GAGCCTCTCATCACCCGAGCCTCTCATCACCCGAGCCTCTCATCACCCGAGCCTCTCATCGCCGAAGCCTCTCATCGCTTTCCCGCCCCATCACCCGCGACAAGATCAATAAGAAGAAGAAGAGCTGCACCCGTACAACGCGGTGAGTGGAAGGCAGTAAGCCGAAATACGTCAAGAGTGCACTCCATAACACAGCCTTGACGTTGGAACTTCAGTTCATGATGGACAACTCACCGTTTGCCCGGTTGAGCCCCGAGCTCCGAAACATGATTTGGAAGCTAGCCGTCACCCAAAATCGTCCCATCAGCCTCGATTGCTACGAGAACCCCGAGCCCCCGATTACTCGCGTCTGTGAACAAATTCGGCAGGAGAGCATCGGTCTGTTTTACGGCGGAAACATCTTTCTAGAAAGCTTGGGTAACGCTCAATATTTCGCCAACGAGGAGCTCCGAGCTTCGTATGAAGCCATCGGGCCAGAGAGATATGGTTTGATCAGACAGTTCGAGATCTGGACCGACAATGTCAGCGAAACCCAGATCACGGAGAGGTATGTCATCAAGACGGAGACGGAAGAAGTGCTTGATGGGCGCCGGCTGTTCGGCGTCCCGGTCAGTAAAGAATGTTTCCGGGGTCCACAGGTCATCAGGATTACAGCCCACCATTCTATGCCCAAGGCATTCACATCGGAGTGGGTGCGTGGATCCGACAACTACTACCGGCGTGTTGAAGACTCCCAATCCATCTGGGTGCAAGAACGCATCAAGGCAATTCAGGAGGGAATCAAGAAGGATCGGGATGAAGAGGACATCGAAGACTCGATCGGCTACGCCTCATCTGTCGACTACGTCGGGTCCTATTGTGACAATGGTGGTTTCGACAGTGATGACGAGTCGGCGTTAGCTCTGGCTTAGCACACGGGCCTGACCACGGGCGAGTGAAGTCGCGATCCACGACCTGTGCAGAGGAAGACCAGCGAGCGTACTGTGAGGTGGCGCGGGAGGCAGATATGCATGTGCTCGAATGGCAGGTTGTGGAGAAGATTGAGGTTGTTACGGGCGGTGAGCAGGGAGTGGTGTAAGATTGGAGTGGACCTTCCCATGAGCGTGAATGTACCTTCCTCATGAATTCACGTTGAGTTTTCATGTGACTGCAGGCGGCGGTCGCTTGACGCGCCCGCTTCCATATTCACACTTCACTGTTTGCTTCGCTTTTCTGCTTCATCTGCCTGCTCCTCTCACCACTCGAGTCTCTCATCTACCAGGGAAAGGCACTGGAAGGCGGTGCAGCTCTACATCCGCGTGAGCAGAAGACAGTACGTGGAGTTGCAGAGAGTAGCAAAGACACGGCATCGCCAACGAAACGGCAGCGATGGACAGCTCGCCCTTTGGTCGACTGAGCCCCGAGCTCCGAAACATGATCTGGAAGCTGGCTGTCACACAAGGCGGACCAACGTACATTGGGTTCCGTGAGAAGCCCGAACCGCCTATCACTCGAGTCTGCAAGCAGATCCGGCAGGAGAGCATTCTCGTGTTCTACAGCGAAGCTACGTTTGCGGTGTGCGTGGATCTACGCTCGAACCAGAGCAAAGAGCGTCTTACGCAATGGTACAAGTCCATCGGTGCGGAAGTGTGCGCGTTGGTGAAACTTCTCACCGTCTACTCAACCAACATCGACAAACTTGACTTCAGTGAACGCTACCTTAGTGGGCTGGGGCCGGCAGGGGAGCTGGAAGGACGTCTTCTATTCCACACCCATGGACAAGACTCGGTGTCCTTTCGGGGGCCACAAGTCATCCGGATCACAGAGCGCAAAGCAGACGGGACAATGGTCCCCCGCCACGACTCTCTAACGTCGGAATGGGTGCGTGTCTCAGATGGGTTGTATCGGCGAGTCGAGGATCAGGATTCGACGTGGGTGCAAGCACGCATCAAGGAGCTTGAGATAGCGGACAAACGTATTCGTTTCCTGAGCGACGCTTTCGGATGGCTGCACGACGGGGCCGGTCTCTCGTACCTTTACAATGACGCGAGCGATGAGTATGAAGACGACTACGAAGACGGCGACGAAAGCGAGTGAGAGGATGAGGAGGAAAGTGATGAGGGGAGCGAGAAAGAGAGTGACGAGGCCACAGAGACATGAGAATGATTCCAAGGCTTTTGCTCAAGAAAGCCAGCGAACATGCTGTTAGATGGTTCAGTGGCGGGCGTTAATGGGCCGTTTGTCATCCAACCAGTCGGAGTGACCGTGTGTGTGAAGGGTCTGTACCGAGTAGCAAATTACGAGACCGCCCATGGAAGCGCAAGCAGTCCCGTACTCAAAGGCTCTCAAATGATCAATCTTGTCTCGCGACACGGTGTGTTGTGCCTCCAGCTCAAGATCTGCCGTCGATGCGGCAAGACCGAGCGCGGTAAGAGACGGGCGTTTGGTGTACAAGGTGAGGTTCGCTTGTTCCTGAGCATCTCTATGCTCTGCAGTGCGAAGACCTCGTTATGCAGAATAAGGTGAGGTACACGTAGATGTTGAAGTTATGATATGGCGGGAGAGAACCTTGAAAAAGTTCACGCCAGCGAGCTCGGAGCACTTCCCTATCCACCGCCGAGCAATTTCCGAAGCACTTCACCTTTCCACTCCACCTGGTTCAACACGATTCCGACCCATTGGCCCTCTCTTTCCGTGGATACATCTGATCGCACTCATCCAAGAAAGAGTGCAGCGCTCAGCGCACTACCTGGGCAAGATGTCCGCTTCACTGCCAGGAAACAGAGATCTGCCCGCCTCGCGGCACGATCTGAGCACGTATTGGGGCAGAGTCAAACATTCCGCCGAAATCGCAGATCCAAGGTGAGCAGGACTCGCAATGGGTGCAACCACCGCTCAGAACCTCTCGCTGATGTATTTCACAGAACTCTCTTCACATCAAGCGCCGCTCTGGAACATGCAAAGTCACTCATCACGAAGTACAAGCAAGGCGAGATCCAGTCGATGACTCCCGAGCTATGGAAGGCGAAGAAGATTGTCGATTCCACGATACATCCTGGTATGTCTTTTCTCGCTGCTTACAGACGTAAGCCACTAATCGAGGAGTATAGACACCGGCCAACCCGTCTTCCTCCCATTCCGCATGTCCTGCTTCGTGTTATCAAACTTGGTCGTCACAGCCGGCATGCTCACCCCCAATCTCGGCACAGCGGGCACAATAGGCTGGCAAGTAGCCAATCAGTCCCTCAATGTCGGCATCAACAGCGCAAATGCCAACAAATCTACGCCCCTCTCCACCGGAACCATGGTGCAGTCTTACTTCTTCGCTGTCGGCGCCAGTTGTACCGTAGCGGTGGGACTCAACTCGATCATTCCAAGACTCAAAGGCCTCAGCCCGGGGACGCGAACGTTGCTCACACGACTTGTGCCCTTCGCGGCAGTAGCGAGCGCGGGTGTTCTGAACGTCTTTCTCATGCGCGGCGAGGAGATTAGAAGAGGCATCGATGTCTTCCCCCGAGAATCCGAAGCAACTCGCATCAAGCGCGAAGAAGCCGGTCAAACGCTGCAATCCGTCGGCAAAAGCAAGAAAGCAGCGGTGCTGGCGATCAGTGAAACGGCCTTCTCGCGAGTCATGAACGCCACGCCGATCATGGTGTTGCCGCCGCTGATTTTGGTACGACTGCAGAGGACAGCATGGTTGAGTCAGCGGCCGAGCATGGTGTTGCCTGTGAATCTGGGGTTGATTTTGACCACGAGTCTGTTTGCTTTGCCGTTGGCGCTTGGGGCATTTCCGCAGCGGCAGGCCGTCAAGGCTACGACGTTGGAGAAGGAGTTTTGGGATCAGGGCGGGGAGGGCGGAGAGCTCGAGTTCAATAGAGGGTTATAGACTGAGGCTGCCATATGAACTGGCAACACTCAGAATTATACATCCAACATCGATCTGTACATCATATGTCTTGTCGCCAATGGTTGGTAGGTTGTGCAGCCGAAAGGTTGGAGGTCCGTGCGCGATGCATCGCGGACCCCTTGGACGGGCGGAGCCGCTCTCGTAGATAGACGTGGCATCTCCACGAACTTTTTGGCGAAGGCACGCACAGCTCCTTCCACCCCTCGCATTGTTGTATTATCCTCCCACGCTCCTTGACAGGGATACTGCAGTCCTGCTTTTCCTTTCTTTGAAATCCTCACCCCCGATGCTGGCATCAGCGAATTGAAGAATCTGTGATCCATCCTACCCGCAGGGGTACACGAGACCACCACCACCATGTCGTCCGACTACAATTACGACACCGACGCCCAGTTCTTCCCCTTCTTCGTCCTCACCGTCACCTCCCTCATCACTCTTCCACTCACCTACTCTCTGCTCCGAGCCCCATCGTCGCAGGTCGCATCGAGCAGCAAAGCCTCTCAAATCACCTCCACCTACCAGCCCGACAATGTCGACATCATCGACAGCCAGCGCGCAAAGCAAAAGCGCAAGGACCTGCACCTCAAGAGCATCCTCACCGCCGCGGTGGGATGGTCCATCATGGCCTACATGGTCTACCTCATGGTCGTGACGGCGCGGTCGGTGCCGGAGATCTGGAACCCGTACGACATCCTGGATATTTCCATGTCGGCGCAAGAGAAGGACATTAATCGGCGATACCGCAAGCTGTCGCTCACCATGCATCCGGACAAGCGAGAGCCGAATGCCGCTTTGAACGAGACGGCGGAGAGTGTCAACAATCAATGGGTGGAGATTGTGAAGGCGTACAAGGCGCTGACGGATGAAGAGGTGCGCAATAACTACATCATGTACGGCAACCCCGATGGAAAGCAGAGCACGAGCTTTGGCATTGCACTGCCGCAGTTCATTGTCGCGGAGGGCAGTGGCAAGTACGTGCTGCTCATCTACGGCGCCTTGCTCGGCATTGGTCTCCCATGGCTGGTTGGGTCGTGGTGGTACGGCATGCGGAACCAGACGAAAGAGAAAATCCTCGTGACCAGTGCGGGGAACATGTTCCGCGAGTACTCCCCCAATATGGATGGTGGCGACGTCGTTGCTGCCATTAGCAGTGCAACCGAGTTCAAGGATATCTTGAGTGGTACCAAGGCGGACGCTGGCCTGGGCAAATTGGAGAACAAGCTGCGGTCTTCGGAGGCGTGCAACACCGCCATGTTATCCAAGGACAAGAAGAAGCTGGTCAACACCGAAGATCCCGAGCGCCGCAAGACTCTCGCGTTACTATGGGCCTATCTTGCCCGCGTCCCGCTCGACGATGCCAACCTTGAAGCCGAGAAGTTTGAGCTCGCGCCGACTGCTCAGCGACTCAGCGAAGCGTTCACCTCCATCGCGCTCGCGCATGGCTTCACAGCTCCCGTCTTCGCGTCCTGGCGTTTCGCTCAAAGCATCACCCAGGCCGTCTCACCGGGCAAAGACGGTGCACCTCTGCTGCAACTCCCTCACTTCACCATCACCATTGTCGATGAGATCCGACGCAACTCGAAGCAGCGGAAACACATGACCGTTCAATCCTTCATGGCCCTGCCACCCGAGCAACGACAAGCGCTTGCCCAAGCGGCCGGCTTGACGAACGATCGCCTGCGCGCCGCAGAGAGCGTTGCCCGCCAGCTCCCGCTGCTAAAGGTGGAAAAGGCGTTCTTCAAAGTGCAAGGCGAAAAGTACATCATCCCTTCGTCATTGGTGCAACTGGTCGTCAAAGCCCGCTTCATCCCTCCAGGAACGACACAAATCCCGCCGGTAAACGAGAAAGACCTCCTCGACATCGACCCGGCGGACGGCGACATCAAAGCCCAAAAGATCGAACCCGAAGAGAACCCCGTGCCCCTCGCCTACGCCCCCTACTTCGCCCGCGACCGCGCGCCCCGCTGGCACGTCTTCCTCGGCGACAACCGGCAAGGCCGCATCGCCGTGCCGCCCTTCACCTTCGCCGCCTTCGACAAGAAGCCCTTTGATCCCGAGACGGGCAAGCCGACGTTCGAGGTGGTGACGCTGAAGATGCAGTTCCAGGCGCCGCCGCAGGTGGGCGAGTACAAGTTCACGATGCACCTTGTGTGCGATAGCTATGTGGGGTTTGATTTCAAGCAGGAGGTTGTGCTGAACATTGAGGATGCGAGTAAGGGGTTGGAGGTGGATTCCGATGATGACATTTCGGAGCCGGACGAGGGTGAGTTTTTGATTCTCTCCTTCCCTTGATTGAGTCGTGTTTGCTGACGATGAGGGTTACAGATACTATTGCTGGCGCCATGGCTACGCTCAAGGGACAGCCGACTGCTGATCCCAACAAGCCCAAGCGGGAGAAGAGGGTGAGGAAGGAGGCTGAGGATGAGGAGAAGGAGGAGAGCGACTACGAGTCTGGCACTGACGAAGATGAGGAGTCGGAGAGTGAGACGGATACTGATACGGACTCGGATGGCGAGTAGGTGGGATTTCGGCAGCCTGATTCAGTTGGGTGTTGTATCATAGCATCTCGCGAGCATTGGAGGAGTCTGGTTTCGATAGAGTCCGTTGACATATGGCAGTCACTGCCAAGGAGCAAGTATCATCGCTTTACCGCCGATGCTGTGTCCACGCAAGACTTTTCTACAAATACGTTTGGACAGTTGATCATCGACGAAAACGAACAGCTTTCTGTTGAGGTGTATACGCAGCTATAGAACAGCCGATTACGTTCTACGAGAAGTGCTGCGCTGACTGGCAGTCTTTGCTTCATGCATTGCATTAAAGATTCCCTCCCCTCCGGCGCCACGCCTGAGCTGCTCCATTACGGGAAAAGACGAGAAGCCTTTGCTTTTGCTCACTCCCCAGTGCTCACTGAATTCCATCCAGCGCTTACTGAGCGGCGAAACCGATTCTCGGCGAGCCCTGCGTCTCGTCGAAGATGGCGTAGACGGCTCGGAGGAAGACATCACCAAAGATGGTGAAGCCGATGCCCGTGTTCTCCTGCAGGCCGCCGAAGCAGGTATTCCCAGAGCCGGTGGGGGAGTAGTTGAAGTTGGAGCCCGGGACGACAAAGCCGTGCCCGCCAATGGAGACGGTCAGGCTGGGCAGGCTGGCGGAGCAGGGGAAGATGTACCCGCCCTGCGAGCTGCTGTAGCTCGAGCCGGAGACTTGCGAGTAGTAGGACTGCACGGCGGCGGTGGGCAGGTACATGAGGGAAGTGCCGGTGTCGGCGATTGCGGAGCCGATGGTGCCGGTCGAGTTGCTGCCGCCGCCGCCGACGGTGTAGCCGCCTGCGGTGAAGCCCCAGAAGCCTTGGGAGTTGTCGACGGCGGTGTAGGTGATGGAGCCGGTGTACTTGGAGCTGTCGATGTAGCTGTGAGGAGGATGGGTTAGTTTCTGGGGTGAATATATGAGGAGTAGACTTGGACATACCCGAAAGTGTAGCTGCCCGGGCCGTTGCTCTGCAGGTCGGCGGTGAAGAGTTCAGCCTCGAGGGAAGACTTGACGGTGTCGAAGAAGGTCGTTTGCGGCGTAGGCTTGACCTGGTTGATGCTGCTGAATGCCAGACCAAGCAGACCATCGCTGCCGGTATCTGACGTGAACTCGGAGGAGACGGACGTCGCGGCCTCCACGGCTTGAGAAGTGGCAGTGGCACCACCGACGTTGACGGTATCAGCGTAGACGACACCGCTGGCACCAGAGCCGTCGCCGTAGGAGATGGACCAGGTGTAGCCGTCCTTCTTCGTTGCGCCGGCGCTGTTGGTGTTGAATTCGGTCTGGCCGTCGACCTCACTGGATGGCATGAGGTTGGAGAAGACCCAGAGATCGGAGCTGCCGGTGTCGAAGTCGAGGTGCAGCGTCTGGCTGCCGATGGTGACGGGGCAGATGTAGGCCTGGTCGTACTGCTCTGGGTTGGCGGCCACGGTGCCGGTCTGGCCGGCGGCCTCTGCGGCGCGCACGACATCGGGAGGGGCGACGGCGCCGACGTGCGCGAACTTCTTGTACGTCTTGGCCATTTGGAGAGGACCGTTCTTGCGGATGGTGCCCACTTGCACCTGTTGGACTTCGAACTTGCTGCTGATCTGGGCTGGGGCCGGGGCCGGGGCGGCGAGAGAGAGGGAGGCGGTCGCCACCAGGGCGGCCGCGGTAATGAGGGAATGCATCGTGAAGAAGGAACGATGAACGAGCTACTCGAGCAAGCGAGCGGTTGTGTGAAGTGAAGGGCAGCGGCGGAGGGGAAGTTGATGGAATGACTGGACTGATGAAGGGGAAGGAGAAGTTACTGGAAGGCGAAGGGGCAGAGGGGATTAAGTATGGCAAGGGAGTGAAGTGGGCAATCTCACGCGCTCGCGCTGAGACGGATCATCAAAGAGACAATCTAAGGAGCTGCCACTCACACCAGTCAGATGATGCGCAGCACGGGCAGTGTTTGTCCCCAGGCCTGCCACGCCTCCCCGTTCGCGATCCCCGTTTAGCGTGGCCTTGCCTGAAAGAAGCTCGGACATGCCCGCCGATCCCCGCCTACCTTCCACATCAGGCAGCTCCGAGATGGCAAACACATGCTCGTCCGCATGTCCAGCATTTATCCGCGAGAGACAGAGTCGCCTCCAGCGCTACTTGGCATGGTAACCCCGGCTGCGCGAATGCTACCTCACGCGTGATCGCCGGTGCACATTGGACGGCGTGGGGTCGGCCGGAGATGGTGGGTGGCCCCTTCCGCGGCCAGCGAGAGATGGGCGATGCTGGCGGTGTTTCGGAAGGCGGTGTCGCACCATGCGCATCCACCGTTCGTCATCTGCCGTCGAACGAATGGAAGGCGCGGAGAAGCCCTTTGCGGGCCTTGCCGTCGCTAAGAGGCGCCCACCGACCAATGATAGCCCGCCCTTCGCACTCCACTCCCTCACTCTACTTCAACTGCATCGTTTGTCTTTGGCCCCTTCACCTCTTTCATTTGCTCCCACAGAATCTTGGTGCTGCCATATTATTTACACTATACGCATCATCGATCGTCTATTTTCGCCCCCAAGACCCGGCATCCTGCTTCCGTCGAGGTGCGTAGGCGCGTGAAAGCACTGGATGCAAGCAATTCATAGCGGCTTGGTCAAGTCTGGGTACCAACAACGCCGTCAAACTGTACTCGCCCCTACTTGCAGATCCCTCTCTTTATCCTGCGATCAGCTCTCTTTTCCTACCACACACTCCGCCCCCGCACTAAGAGCACGCTGCCAGCTTTCGCCTCACCAACTTCCAGGTTTTCTTTGCGCGCCTCGGCAAGCATGACACTTTCTCACCGGCCTATGAGCGAGCTGCGACCAACAAAGACATCTCGTATCTCGTCTCCGCTTCGTCGTATTTCCGGTCTCGGGGCAATCTCAGTCCGCGTGTATTGTGGCTCATGCAATATCATCTACGACCTCAGCCCTCCATTAGCCTGCTATGAAGCACTCGCTATAGGAAGAATAAGCATGATGCCGCCAGCCAATCAAACTGGCTCCGCCCAAGTGCGCCGCCTGAACGTCAAACATCTGCCAAGAAGCTTATCAAGCAAGACAAGCATCAGGTCCTCCATCTGCGCCATGGATACAAACGTCTTCTCTACACAACTACTCAATCTGACATGCTCCAAATCGCTTTTTCAAACCACCCGGCAGAATGCACCAATATGTCTGAAACACCGCGACGTGACCCCGGATTGTCTAAAGACGATCGCATCTTCCCCCTTCAGCTCTAGCGGGAAACCTAAGCGGCGCATCACCCTCGTTAGAGCCCTCAGCCCTGTAGATCAAACTCACCGAGCACCACACTTTTCCGCAGTCGGTGAGCTACTGGCCTCCCCCGGCTTATCTTCTCAGCCTGCTGTCCTGCATGAGCCTCGATACTTCGAAAAACGAAACTCAAATCATGGGGTAGGCGCCCGCGCCACTTCGTCAATAGGTACTGCGTCTGCCTGATCAACAGTCACAAGGCTCTCAGAATCCCATTCCCCGCTAACGAATTGCGCACGCCTCCACCTCCGTCATATCTCGGTGCGCGCCCTCGGCGCCCCCCGTTATGCCTGCCAAAGCCGATAGTCACGCGGATGGCGTCTTTCTTCTACACACTCGCGTACAGATAGCGCTATCATGAAAATTGTGACCGTAGCATCAGCCAAGCACGAGTGTGGGGGTGCACGGCCATATCCAACTCATCAGGCTGAATTCCGGCGAGCTGCCTTGATATCGCAAGTGATTGCGAGGCTTGAGGGTACGCAATGATATTTACCTTACAGTAATCTATTCCACGCCTTAGCGGATGTAACTTGCGGACCGAGCGAACGAGCCTTGGCGTATCCCGCACAGCTCTTGTGAAAGGCATGGATGGGGGAGAGGTTGTCGTTTTCACTTTTGACGTCTGCTTCCTCGCAGCCTTCTCGAATGTTCTCGAAGGTCGGCCGAATGGCGCTTACGGCCTGAGTTGTGACGACATATGTCCATTTCGCACAGCAGTATAGGCAAGACAAGCCAAGAGCATTCGTAGGTCAAAAGCTAGGCCGTAGGTAGAATTAAAATCTCCTCGACAATCATCATCACATCGTATCACCCACATGCTTACATAAATAGAGCCTCACTTCTTCCTCCCCTTCTTCCCCGCCCCCGCATTCGCAGACCCCAAAATGGCATCAAACGTCTTGCTCGAGTCGACGGCATGCGGCGTCCCCGGCGCCGAAGAAGTCGCAGGCGGCATCATACTCCACGGCCTCTGCCTCCTCTGCTGCGGAGCCTGTGGCTCCATTGATACCGGCGCCTGATGTCCCAGCCCCACCCCGCTGCCATCGGGCATGACGCCACTAGGCAAAGGAAGGGCTTCAAGGCCGAAGCCAAGGGACGAGTTGCGCTTACTCGTTCGACTTGTCGGTCGACTATCCGGCGCGGCGAGAAGGTGGTGGCTCGGGGATCCCGCTCTCCAGCCGCCAATATCAGGCGTGGTGTACTCCGGTGCCCATACTATGCTTCCTCCCCGACCTCCACCGGCTTGCATTTCCGCCGCGGCGTTCATGGCTTCCTGCTCGTGCAGCGCTTCGTTCATGATGGGATTCGCTTGCGTCCACTTCTCCGCCATCACCCAGCAGTGGCTGCGGCGGTAGATGCCTTCGACGCCGTGCTCGACGACGTCGGCGGGGAGGGAGACGACGTTGGCGCCCTCGCCTACCGCGAACCAGGTGCGGCCTGTGCCGGCTGCTGTTGCGTTGGATGCGGAGGCGGGCGTCATGTTGGGGTTCGCCCAGGGGACGCCTTTGCGCGGTGGCTCGCAGAGGAAGTATTCCACTCCTTTGGTCCATTTGACTCCCGGCGCATCGCAGGCGAGCATGGGAAGGGCTTGAAGGACGACGTAGACGAAAATCCACTGGCCGATGCGGAGGTCGACGAGCTCGGAGATGGAGCAGCCGTGTGCGGTGCGCTTTTCCATTTCCCAGAATTGCTGCAGGAAGGGAGAGGGATTGGCGAGGGCGTCTTTGTTCCAGGATTGCAGGAGAATGTGGGAGAGGTCGTCGTCGCGTAACTTCTTCTGCTGCATTTTGAGATCCTTCTTTTTGTTCGCGTCGTTTTGCGCGTAGTCGCGGTGGATGGTGCGGAGGGTGGGGAAGATGGGGAGGTCGAAGGGCACGGGCGGCTTGACGGGTGGGGAGCTGCGGTCGTATTCGGAGAGGACGATGCGGATGGCGCGTACCGTTGGCTCTTCTCGCGGACCGGAGAGGTTGATGCCGTCGGTTGTGCGAGATGTGAGGGAGGTGCGGTCGACGAGGAGGTTGTAGACGGCGCACATGTCAGCGTACAAGTCGCGCAGGACGAGACGGTTCAGGCCGGACGTTTCAAGATCGTTCTTCTTGCTCTTGGCCTTGGGCGGCCAGTCACCGTAGCGACTCTTCAGGATGGCCAGGTAGGTCTTGCGAAAGCCGAGGAAGCCTTCTTTCCAGCTATCAAAGCGGACTCCTTCTTTGCGCTCGTCACTGGTTTTGCTGGACATGTAGCCCTTGAACAACGCCGGGAACTCGAAGTCGTCCAAGATGAGCTTGACGCTGGCAATGCGCTTCTCCAAATCCATAGAGGCACGAATGAGCCGGTTGTCAGTGACGGAACTCATCAAGGCGAACTTGGCGCTTTTCAGGTTTGCAAGTTCCTCGAGCTTGCCTGCTGCGTGGGTGAAGGCTTCATTGTAGAGAGCGACGCTCTTCATGCGCTCGCCGAGCACCACGCCCTCGATTGTCTTCTCTCGGCTGCTCCTCACATCCGCCAGTCGGAGTTCGTCGACGTAGCAGTCGAATGACGAGCTTGCTGCCTCGCCGAAGGTGCTTCCATCAAGATTGCTAAATTGGTAGGATTTGAGGATGCCGGCGACTGCCATGAAGATGTGGAAGAAAGTGCCTCTTCTGTCCGTAGCCACGAGAGATTGTCCGCAGAGGAAGGCGAAGAAGTTGCGAATGTCGATGAGGGTCTGGAGGTCGTGCATTGCCGTCTCATTGCCAATGTGAGGGGGTGTTATCATCGGCTGCACCATTTGTTGCGGGTCCTGAAAGTTGATGGGGAGGTAGAGGTGGACTTCGGCAAAGGAGTCTGAGACGTTGGACAGACGGCCTCGAGAGCCTTGTGAAGAAGCAGGAGAGTTTCTCGTGTCGACATTGGTGGGTCTGACTTTAGGAGTTCCCGGTGGAGAGAGATCCCCAAGGGAGAGACGGGGTGGAAGGTCGAGGGGGAGAGGACGTCTTTCTCTCTCAGGTCGGGGAGGAGGAACGGTGTATGAGTCGCCAAACGCAAACTTGGTGAGGACAGGGGAAGATGCAAAGACAGCGGTGTCGATACGGAATGAAGGTCCTTTGCCGGAGCTACGTGGGAAGAGGTAGACGAGGCAATTGCCATCGTTGTCATTCCAGAGCTCGGGCAGAGGTCGACCGTTCAGGAGGCCGTGCACATCGTATGGGAGTTTCTTCGGGTGTCCTGAAATCCATGCTTGACTCCGTAGAGGCTCACGTTCCAAGCTGCTGTCATCTTCCTTCTGGCTCTTGCCGAACCACCCGCTCTTCTTCCGCTCTTTTATTCTCGCCGGCGAGGTATTCCGTTCTTTCCTTCCTGCAGGCGAGCTGGATGGGCTAGGAGATTGAGTGGGTAGATTGATGACGGGGGTGATGGGTCTGCTGTAGTTTGAAGGTGTGGTGGGCCGTGACCGGCTCTCCATAGATGAAGAGCGAGAGCGAGTGGATGAGTCGTAGACGAAGGGAGGAGGATCTAAAGGCGGAGGCGGCGCATGGGGAAAGTAGGCTTGCTGTAGTTGCTGTAGCGTCGGCTGCGGGTAGTTGGGCGGGGGAGGAACCGAGTAGGAGTTTGCAGAAACGGAACGAGCGTGGTGCTGTTTGGGCACTGGTTTGTGAAGGCGACCACGAGCGTCCATGTCGGATGGGGGTGGGTACGCCATGTTGGAGAGGAGGGGCGAGGCCCTGGGGATGGAGATGGAGGTGGAGGTGGAGAATGAAATGAGTGAATGATGTCCGTGAGGTGGGACAATGGGTGCACGTGAGGTGGATCACACTCCGTTCAAGGATGCCATCACAGTGGACAAAGAAGGGGGGGAAACGAGGTGGGTGCAACAAAGGATGGCGGGGAGAGAGGAAGGTCATAGGGAAGAATTGAATGAATGAAGATGTCGGCAAAGCGGGTGCTGCGTGCCGGGATGCAGGAGACGGCTGGTTCGAAACGGCGTCACACGCGGCGTGGAAAGACTGGAGTCGTGCATGAGAAAGATTTGAGGAACGCGCGGGACACTTACGCTGCAGCGCCTACGTAATGCGGGCCCCCTGCATCGCCCAAACGCGTTCGCGCTCTTCGCGACCCACCGTTGGAGGCGGAGGCGTGTGATCAAAGCCGCGCCGAGGGTCGGCAGTGTTGGGGCGGGCGACTATTCATGGGGAATGGATGGGGACAAGATGGATGGGGGAGTGTCCACGTGGAGAACGGACCAGGGTGTCAGAATGTTGAATGGAGGATGCGCGAGTTGGCGAACAAAACCACCCGGTGGCGCAGTTAGACGTTGCCAAGATGCGCCACCCAACGAGCTAAACGCGGGACTTCGGCAAGTATGTTTAGAGCGGCGGCAACATCATCCATCGATCCTGTGTCCTTCATGTTACCTGTACACCTCTTCCTCTGCTTACTCACATCATGTCAATGTGCTCTCCTCGTCGGTCGCAGACCACATGCACTCGCTGCGTCTCGCCCGCGCACGCTTAGTCACCAGATCCCAGACAGGTAAGAGCCCGACATCACCAATCTCTACCTCCCCTCCTCTCCTCCTCTCCTCTCGTTCTCCAAACAGAACAATGGCAGCCACGACCACTCCCAAAAAGCGCATCGACCTCCTCAAAGGCTCTCCCAGCCCCTCCCTCCTTCCCGTCGCCTTGCTTAAATCCGCCGCCGCACACACATTATCCGACCCCTCCATCTTCGTTCCCGGCCTAGCCTATGGGCCCGATGCAGGCTACGCGCCTCTCCGTGAGAGCATCGCCAATTGGCTCACCTCCTTCTACCGCTCCTCCTCCTCCTCCAATCCTGTGACATCCGACCGCGTCTGCATCACCGGCGGCGCCAGCCAGAACATGGGCTGTCTCCTCTCCGTCTACACCGACCCCCACTACACCCGCAACATCTGGATTATTGCCCCCGCCTACTTCCTCGCCTTCCGCATCTTCGAAGATGCAGGTTTTGGCGTCGATGGTAAAATGCGCGCCGTGCCTGAGGATGAACATGGACTGGATATTCAATTCCTTCGCGCGGAGATGGAAAAGAGTGAAGGGAGCGCCAAGAAGAAGGGATGGGAGCATCCAAAGTACAAGCCTGATAGACCAAGGGCAAAGGTCTATAAGCACGTCATCTACTGTGTGCCCACCTTCGCCAATCCATCTAGTCGCACAATGAGTCTGGATCGCAGGAAGGCATTGGTGAGGTTGGCAAGGGAATTCGATGCCTTGATTCTCGCCGACGATGTCTATGACTTCTTGCAATGGGAAGCCGAGCCTGGTGGGGAGGCCAACACAAAAGTACAGGAAAGATCAGACCGCAAGACAACCGCGCACCTCCCACGAATCGTAGACATCGATCACGACCTCGACGGCGGAGCAGAAAGGCAAGGCGCAGACGGCTTCGGCAACGCCTGCTCCAACGGCTCCTTCTCCAAAATCGCCGCCCCGGGCCTCCGAGTAGGATGGTGCGAAGGCACGCCCAAATTCGCCTACGGCATAAGTCAAAGGTAAAGACTCCCCCTCACCTAAACCACCCCTGCACGATGAACCCCACAGCTAACGTGAATGCCCCAGCGGCACCACCACCTCCGGCGGAGCCCCCAGCCAACTAACCTCCACGTACTTCCACACCCTCCTCACCAACCCAGCCGCGCAGCAAACCCTGCAAACCCACATCCACACCACCCTCCAACCCGCCTACGCCCGCCGCTCCACCCTTCTCCTCTCCGCCATAACCTCCCACCTCGTGCCCCTAGGCTTCGCCCTCCCGCAGCCCAACCGCGATATCATAGGCGGCTACTTCGCCTGGCTTGCACTCCCCTCTTCTCTGCACTGCGACGCGAAGACGCTGGCGCGGAGGTGCGCGGAGGAGGAGAATGTCGTTATTGCGGGCGGGAATTTGTTTGAAGTCCCTGGCGATGCGGACGCGGAGAGGGGCACGTCATTCGAAAGGAATGTGCGCTTTTGCTGGGCGTATGAGGAGGAGGGGTTGCTTGAGGAGGGAGTTGAGAGGGTGGGAAGGGTGGTGAGGAGGATGCTGGAGGAGCAGCAGCAAGGGAGGGTGGAGGAGGCGGGGTTTGTGGTTGTTGAGAAGGATGGGACGGCATGATGATTTGAATGGGAATCTGATTTGCAAGACGAAAATGTCTGGCTATACTAAATGCCTTGATGCCTATTGCAACGGCAAAAAGATGCTTCCCTAGCACCCCTATATATGCAACCAAGCCACGAAAATGGCAGAATGCCCATGCTCCCTCGCCTCGCCCCGCCATGCAATCTCAAATCCTGCATTCGAGAAGAAAAACTGAAGAAAGAGAAACAGACGAAACCCCATCGCAACCAACGCACGCTAATGCCCCGTAAAGTAGTACGCCAACGTCGCACAAAACCAATTCGCATTGTCCGCATCCGTCACCGTGCCCACCCCATCGTCAAGCAGCATATTGACGGCGGAAAAGGTATTGACGGCGTACATGTCCACCTGGCTGTTCTGGATGTGAATCATGTTGAGCTGGCAATTGCGGTCCGCCGCGCACTCCTGCGCGTAGTCCTGGTAGAAGCTGTACAAGCCCGTGGTGTAGATGAGCACGTTGCGGCTGTTGATAACACGCAAGCCCCAGGACTCTTTGCAGTACTCGGATGCCGAGCCGGCGCAGACGGAGAAGGTGGGGTCGCCGTAGGCGGAGTTGATGGTTAGCGGCGCTGGTGCCTCCGGGAAGGGCTGGAAGTAGGGGGTTTCGGATTGCATGAGCCCGCTGTACAGCGCTTGCACGCCGTCGAATTGGTAGTTGTACATGATAGAGTGCTCGGAGGCTGTGCCCCAGAGCCAGACGGGGCCGGCGGCTTGGATGAGCATGCCGCGCCCGCTGTAGATGGTGAGTTGCTCCGGGGTGCTGCTGTCGAGGTCGTGGTCTGCCACCCAGAACCACGTGTTTTCGAGGTAGACGCCGGAGGCGGCGGAGGTAGCGTGGAACATGAGGAAGACGCCTTCGCAGGCGGTGTTGATTGCGCTGGTGCCATTAACCGCGGCGCATTGGGCGACTTCGAGGTTGGAGCCGGCGGAGCCGCCGACGCGCGTGTGGACGTCCCACATCCCGGACTCGCCTTGAGCGGACTGGAGGTTCCATTCGATCAAGACGGCACCAGGAGCCGGGCCGTTGGTCTCGAAGATGAAGTCGCTGATTTGGAAGAAGCCTTGTTGGCCGCCGGACTGGCCGACTTGGAAGACGGGCTTGGGGGCGGATTCGTCGCTGAAGCTCGCGCTGTCGGCGACGATCAAAGGCCAGATCTCGCCGGTCATCATGACGTTGGGTGGGATTGTGACGGTATCCTTGATCAGGTACGCGCCATGTTCAAAGTAAGCAATGTTGTTGGTACCGGCCACCTTTTGTAGCAGGGCGGTGACTGCTGCAGTATCATCGGTCACTCCATCACCCGCGCAGCCATTCTGCTTGGCGGAGAGGAAGGAGGTGACGGGGTAAGTCTCGTATTGTGGACGCGATTGTCCGAAGATGTTTCCTTGGCCGTCCAGCAGCGAGGAAGCTTTGGTTGCAGGGGTGATCGTATTCTCCTGCCTGGTAGGCTGAAGCACTGTTTGAGTGCCTCGTCCGGAGTAGCCGGTGTTGGAGTAGCCATTTCCAGAAGCCCATGCGGCGATCATGCCGGGCTCCAGGATGGTGGTGCCGGAATTGTCAACGACCGCGGCCGTCCTGACGCCCGACATGTCCACGTTGTCCATGATGAGGGTGCCACCCGTGGGATAGACATTCGCGGATGAGTTTTGATATGAGAACTTCACACCATACTCTACGTTGGAGAATGTGCTGTCAGCAAGGACGACGGAGCCGACGGTCTGGTTGGTCGGATCGTTGGACATGTCCAGTCCGATACTGCCGCCGTTGACTGTGATACCAGCCAGCGTCCAGCCCCAATCCCAGTTCAAGTAGATGGCTGTCTTGCAGTTGTTGAAAGTCAAGTTCCGACTGGTGAACTGCTGGCTGCCAAGGAAAGCACCTTGGTCGCCGTTGTTGAAGGTCAAGTCTGCAAACCAGCCACCGCTACCATTGTCCATGAACACGCCCTGCTGTGTGGTGCCCTCGTTCGGGCTCAGCTCAAAGATGATGTTCTGGAGCGAGGTAGCTTGAGCGACTTGCCAATGAATGGCGGCACCGTTCATGCCACCGTTCCACTGGGTGATGTCGATGACGAAGTTGCGTACTTGGCGGTAGAAGTTGTTCTGATTGACGAACCAGTTGGCGCCGCCACCGTTGGGAATGTAGGGATCTGAGTCGACAACAGCCATGCCTTGGAAGTCCGAGCTGGCAAGAAGCGTGGGTAGATCGGTGGGGTCGCCGATCATCTGCGTCATGTAGAACATCTGGATGGGAGTGCTGACAAGGTATGTTCCGGGAGGAAAGAAGACAACGGCAGGAGTGATGGTGGACGACTGGCATGAAGGAAAGCTGGGCAAGCCACCACAGCGGTTACCGGCGGAGATGGCGGCGTTGATTGCTGCGGTGTCGTCGGTGACACCGTCCCCTTTTGCGCCGTAGGACATGACATTGCGGAAGACTTGGTAGCTGCTGTCGCTGTTTTGCCAGACGGTATCGAGAGAGTGATCGATGTTCGCATACCAGTAGTTGCTCCCCGAGCCTCCCGGTGATGATGTGTGGATTCCAGGCTTTAGTATGGTGTGCGAAGCGCTCGATGTCGAAGTACCAGATGATGAGGTACCAGATTGTGAGGCGCCGGACCACGCCGATGACGGTGTCGAGAGAGTGGAGGAAGTGGTAGAGAGCGTTGATGTTGATGTAGTGAATGTCGGTTGTGATGCTGTTTCTGCAAGAGTGGCAGAAGTGACTGTAGTCGGAATCTGGGGTGCAGGCACAGCAACCACGAGCGACGGGCCCAGTGCTGCGCAAAGCAAGAGAAGGGAGCGGATAGAAGACATGTTTGCAAAGCAGCCGCTCTGCCGGAGCACTGTTGTGGTAGATCGAAGCAGTGAGCCTGCACTGCTGGAGTATTCTCAAAAGTCCTAGGTCGGGCAAGGATTGTGATGGAAGCAGAGGTTGGCAGTCGCGCAAAAAGAAACGGCAGAGTGGTGAAGGGGGAAGTTCCAGAACCGTGAATGAATGGAAAAAGGTTTCGAAACTGTTATTGTCGCGGATGGGGTTGGTATTGTGGATGCGCCTCAATCAAGGAATGACGTGGAAGGCGGCGTAGAAGGAAGGAGCGTGGCAGGCCAGCAGCTTGGAGGGAAAGAGGCGGGTTAGCGAAAGAAGCATCACCGGAGAAGAAAGGCGAAGCGAAAGAAGATCAACGGCAGCAGTGAATGAATGCAATGAGTGAAGGAGAGACAGCGCGATTCACGGAGGAGGGAGGTCGGAAGTAGAGAAGGGTGAGATAAGGTAGAGCAAGGGAAGGGTTGGCATATGCAAGGACAAGACAGGCCATGCGGGCAGTGATAGGGTGAGAAAACAAGAGGCTTACAAGGCTCCCGTCGTTTGCACCTTTGCTCGTTTCAGATACCCGCCTGTGCATGAGTTCGTTGTAGTCGTTGTAGATCTGCCTCGCCTGGCCTCCGCGTTTGCATATACATGCCTCGACGCGTTATATATACACCTTACCTTCACTCCCTTTGCTGGTGTGTCTAGTTGATCACCAGGTCAGAGAGAGATACAGCCCATCCGCCCAGAGGCATATCATGCTCCACGCCAGTCTTTGTCCTCCAGATCACGCTCAACAGTCTCATCGTCACGAGGCCGGGAGGCGTGACATCCGGCGCAAGTAGCAGGGCGAATGGGGCCGGACACATGACAGCGAAATGAAGACATCTCGCCGTCAGCCGTGCGGTGCCGAGGCCACCGAGTCGCAAGCCGACACCAGCCATCGGCAGCAGAGCAGCAGAGTAGATGGAGGTGTGGTCGTGAGAGGATCAAAAGGCTCCGCGGTAGCGATCCAGGGGTGCGTCGGGCGGGCCGGGACCGTCGCGTTTGCCGCCGATCATCCGCAAGTGAAACGCGACGCTGTGCCGGCGACAGCCTGCTCGCGCGCACCTACTGGTCGCGCGCTCAATCCCCTTCATCACCTTCACACATTCCACTCTGCCACTGGCCCCGACGGCGTTGATTGTGCTTCCCCACTTGGTGAGATTGCATGCCGCTTCCAAATCACAGTGCGAAGGGCGGCAGCCCGTGGTGAGGCCCGAGTTGGATGCGCCTGCCGCATGACCCGCCAAGCTTTCCCGGTGGCTGCTGTGGCGCTGGTGGCTGGAGCCGCGCATCGCTACACCACACAACGCCACTGCCACCTCTTCATTCTTGAACGTCGCTCTTTCTTGCCTTCAAGTGCTGTGATGTATTCCGCTCGGATCAAGAGCCGCCGTCTACACTCGCCCGGTTGGAAGCGCCGTTCATTCAACCTCTCAGGATTCTACACCAGAATGATATCCATGCTTCTAAAGTCAGGCGATTCCTCAATCTCCAACGGCTTCCTAGCAAAATACCAAGTAAATCCCACCCGCTCAAAAACAGGCAAATTCCCTTGCTTGACGAGAAGCTCGTGCTCAGCAACCTGCCGCAACACCAGCGCCCTCACCTTCGCATAATTCGAAGGCGCATACTCGCCTCCCGCCCGCCCGATAATCACTTCCTCCGGATCGACGTCTTTCAAAAGATATGCTCCCAGATACGCGATCTCAGCTCGCATTGGCATGAGGAAAAGGCATTCATCCGCGGGGATTGCAGCTTTCGAAGACGAGGAGATGGTGATGTTGTAGTCCGGTGTAAAGCGGATCGTCTCCGCTTCGGCTTCATCTGGATGTCCTGGCATTACGATTCGATTCGCGCTCTTCCCCGCAAAGGGAAACATGCCGAATTGGCCTTGCATGCCCTTTACTGCGGTGAGTTTGTACCAGGACTCGCTAGACTCTTTGTTGAAACTGCACGTCCACGCCGTTTCGAGCAGTTTGCATCTCAGCTTTAGATGGCTGGCGGGCGTCACGGCGCCCATAGGGTTGTCTGATTCTGGCACGATACCCGCTTCCAAAAGGGTGATGTACGGCGTAGGCTCTGTCCAAGTGGAGACTGGAAGGAAAGTGATGGGCTCCTCGACGCTCGCCCAGGACCAAGAGGGCGCAATGTAGGTTTGCGAGCGCGGCTTGGTGGCGAGTTGTCGCTCGCCTTCACGGATGGTATTCTGTTTTGTGAGGCGTGGGTCGTCGACCACCAGTTCCGGCCCGACGTACCAGCACAAATCCGCCAGGAGACTTTCTTGCCACAAGCCCGCGAGATAGCGCCCGCGGAGCTGCAGGGATTTTGCGAATCCTGAGATGGCGGGCAACCTGTCACTTGCGAAAGTCAAGTCCAGCGTGCTATAGGCCGCGCACGCAGACCTCCACTGGTCTCCCGCCTTCCGTTCGTCGCGGCCCTCGGGCTCTGGTACGCCAATGCCGTAGCTATACAATCGGAGAGGAGGCTCGGGCTTCGACTTCGTCCAGTTGATCTGGTACTCCTGGCAGTGCCCACATTCGCACCATGTTTGTGCCCCGCATTCGTACACGAGCTCATTTTTGCAGAGATGCAGGATTCGTGGAGCGAGCTTGCGCTCCTGGTACACCCAGCCTCTTTTGAGAAGGGGAAAGGTGGCGTCGAGTTCTTTTTCGGAGAGTTGGGTGAAGTGTTGGGATTCTGGGGACTCATCGATCTGCTCGAGTGGGACAGCGAGAAGCCGGAAGGGCAGACCATCGGGCCCTGTGCCTGTCAACTTGATGGCGTTTGGTCGGCGGAATGGTTTCCCTTCGTCGTCGGCATCGGGATTCGAGGTGGTTGCGATACAGATGAAACAGTTCCCGTAGTAGGAGGCCATGTTTTGTGACTCGACTTGCCAGTCGGCTTTGGAGTCTTGCTGGATGCATAGAGAGTCCACCCACAAGTACCGTAGGCCCAATTTCAAACAGACGTCAATCACGGTTTGGATGGATTGTGGCAGTAGGGTGGTTTTGACTCCCTCGCTTTGGAGCTCATGTTGATTTGCCATAGTCAGTGTGAACGGAGTAGCACTGCTCCACCGATAACTGGCACAAGCGTATCGCTCGCATTCGCCGTTCGTGATGATCAGTCGAGCAATCCCTCGATCCACGGCCGTGAGATCAAGTACACGTGCGGGAAGAGGCGACCATGCCTCTCGCCGACAATCACCGCCGTGATTTCTCGTGCAATTCGTGATCGAAGAGTGGACGAGAGACCAGCGCATCTCCGGCTCATACCAGGAATCTGGCAGGGAGTTTCGTGGCATTGCCTGCAACGACTTGCTTGAGATCTTCAGATCTGTCGGACGTCAACATCTCAACAAGTTTAGCTGTCGGGCATGCTTTGTCTTGGGCTCACCTGCGCGATTGTAGATGACATACTCGGCACTGTGTGTTTTGGATGCCTTGGCTGAGTCTGAGGTGCTGTAGCGGACTTGGAGGACTACCTGCCGATAGCTTTTGTGCAGTGTGGGAGTGAAGACGCATTCAGTCACCTCTCCAGTTGGGCCACCTTCTCGACGAGCAATCTGCCTCACGAGTGAGCAAATGGGGCAGGAACTGTTTCCTAACGGTGGCCTGAGTGAGATTGGAGGATGGTCGAGAGGAAGGAAGAAGCGACCATGCCGAAACAGAGGTCGACATCGATCACATTCCCGGGCAGTAATCCGCTGGACGGCAATAGCTTTGTTGGAGAACTCCAAAGCCCCATCCCGCCATCGAACAAAGTGACTCAGGTCGATCTCAGCCGTGTCCCACACGTGGTCGACTCTTCGAGGCTTTCCTTTCAGAACGGTGCCATCGAGTACCACATCCTTCGTACTCATGGAAAAGTTCTCGCCGCCGACTTCCAGCTTGCCGTCGTGATTACCTATCGACCGGTTCAAATCGAGTTGATGCAGCTTATCATCGAGTCTGGCATAAAGAATACCGTCCAGGACTGCAGGACGATCGGTTTCCGCGAGGAGGCGAATGTCATGACGACCCTCTTCATCCTCGGCCGCGAGTGTGCCAAACTTCAGCACAGCGCCATCCCAATAGACAAGCGGGTCGAGATCGACTTCTTCCAGCCTCCAGGTGCCGCGAATGCCCCACGACATATCGCCATAGCGAACGTTTACGCGGAGAACGGTGCCTTGCAGGTCCTTGGGGGCCCAGCGTCTCCAATACTCGTTGGACTTCCATTTGGTGCCTACGACGAGTTTGCCCTCGTGGTTGCCGATGTTTTTGGACAAGTCTAGGGTGCTTTCGACGTATCCGTCGTCTGTTGCTCGCTCGGCGTGCAGATCCAGCCCGTTGAGATGTAAGCGTGTTGATTGTCCGAGTCGTGACATGGTTTCGAGATCCGTTTCGAAACATGGAGCTCCGAAGCGACAACTGCGACCTAGGCCATGTTGTATTCCAACGATATTCCAGTCTTTTGTCAAGCGACCAATCTACGTTCATTGGGATCGAGCAGCATTTCCTCTACGGGACTTTCGCACAAAATGCAGGCATTATGCACGCAATATGTGAGTTGGGGGCCAATGCAGCCTGAGGCAATCAGCCGCAGCTTAGGGTTGTTGGAGCTTCGAAAACCTCAACCCTAACCATTCACTTCATGTGATGCATCGACTTTTTCGATTTCATTGAAACGGTCCAAGAACCTCCATTCTGCTCCCATTTCGAGAGGGAAAAGACGCCGCATTGGCTTCAGCGATCAGACTTCTCGAGCGCTTCACGAGACCAACGACCTCACGAACGCCGTCTCGAATAACGACCATCCTAGCCGCTTCGTTTCACTCCTCCAATTACCTCTCCACTCCACGAAAGCCCAACAATCGTTCCACAAACCAAGCTAGTCTCGTCGAAAATCTCCTTGATTCCACCGAGAAGCACTCGACAGCGCCAGAAGCGAAGTCTACCCCCAAAGAAGCATCGCCCACAACCCCCATCCGAGCGGAATTCGTGTTCAATGTCCGCAAGGTAGAAGCGCACTCTCCTACCGAACGCTGGCGAAGCCGCAGTGTCCTCGCTCCAGGAACGCGCTACAATGTTAACAACGAGTCACGCAAGCCAGCAAGACATTCGCGCGGGTGGAGTCAAGAGATAGCATTCAGGGAAAGTCACAAGAGACTGCTGCGGCCGCCGCAGTCTGAAGAGCGCAACGCCAGTCCCACCACAGCTTGGGATTACAAGCCCGAAAGAAAAATGCGCTCCTTTGTACAAGTCCTCACGACGCCCACGGCGGACACGCCGGGCACGACGTTGATTCTGCATTTCGATAAGAAGCGCTACCTGATTGGTAGTCTCGGGGAAGGTACTCAAAGAGCTTGCGTGCAGATGGGCGCGAGACTGCTCAAGGTTTCAGAATGCTTCGTTACAGGCCGAACGGAGTGGAGCAATGTCGGGGGTTTGTTGGGGATGGTGCTCACACTCGCCGACTCTGCTGCGTCAAGTCAAGCGAGCGCGCTGGAAGAGGCGTTGTTCAAGGCCAAAGCCAAAGCTAAGCGAGAGGGGTGGTCAGAAGACTACGAGAAGATGAGAAAGATGGAAGATGAGATCAGGAACGAGGTGAAGGCCAACAGCGTCTTGAATATCTTCGGGCCGCAGAACATGAACCACATGCTGGCGACGGCGAGGCGGTTCATATTTCGCAAGGGCATGCCGCTCAACGTCCACGAAGTTCGCGGGGAGACACACAGCAAGGACACCGAAGAGCCATGGGCGCCGTACTGGGCAGATGACAATATCAAGGTCTGGGCCATGAGCATTTCGCCCGACTCTTCAACCAAATCTCCGTCCTCCAGTGAAGGCAGCTCTGCAAGCCCTCGGAAGAGGAGCATTGAACAAGTCTATGAAGGAGAGGCAGTTCCCGACGGCACCGTAGCTAACGACTTGTCGCCGAAAGAGCGAGACATGCTTACAGTCAAAGCGGTGGTCTCCGAAATGTTCGACTCGACCTGGAGATTGGACACCCTCCACGAAACGCCCCTATCGAGCGTCCGGCTACCAGCAACGATCTTCGTCCGCAATTCCGACACGAACAAAGTAGAGCGGTACCAGGGCCCTCTACCGGGAGGTCCACAGCCACTGCCAGACCCCAATCGCACAGTGCTTGTGCGGCGACCGTGGCCCGGCGCATTGATCGAGAGTCTCCCCTACACCGAGCCGGCAAAGCAAGCCATCTCTTATATCATCCGCAATCACCTGCAGAGGGGCAAGTTCAATAAGCAAAGGGCTGTTGAGCTGAAAGTCGAAGAGGGCCCGAAATTCCGCGAACTGTCAAACGGCAATAGCGTGCTGAACAAGGACGGAGAAACCATCACATCTGACATGGTTCTTGGGGAAACCAGGGATGGTGGAGGATTCGCTGTCGTTGATCTTCCTGATCCTTCTTACATTGACAATCTGATCAATCGACCCGAGTGGCGAGAAGCCAAAGTGATGGCTGGAGTGGGAGCGATCATCTGGATCTGCGGCCAAGACGTTGCGCAGGATCTCAGAGTTACTCAATTCATGAAGGAATTCGTCAACTTGCAACACATTGTGTCTTCCGCGGAGCATTGCCCTAATCAGATCTCCATGGACTCGTCCGCAGCCTCGACCGTGCGTCTACGGAAGATTGACCCCGTTCGATTTCGCACACCCGTACACGATGATGCCATCCCAAAAGTGCTGTCTGGCACCAATGTGACTATGGCGGCAAGAGGGCAGGTTGTACAGCTGGAACCGTCATTCGAGCTTCAGGACAAGCAGATCGTGCCCCCACTATCCATCGCAGAGGTTGAAAAGGAGATGTCGTCGGACATCCTCGGCGAAGCTGCAAAAGCGCACCAAGCCATCGAGGCAGACCAAGACCAAGAGTCATTGTGGGCGGCCAACATCCCCGACAAAGAAGCCGAGATCATCACCCTCGGCACCGGCTCCGCCTTACCCTCCAAATACCGCAACGTCTCCGCCACCCTCCTCCGCGTACCCGGTTGGGGCAGCATGCTCTTCGACTGCGGCGAAAACACCCTCGGCCAGCTAAAGCGCGTCTTCACCCCGACCGAACTGCAACAAGTCCTGCGCGAGCTCCGCCTCATCTTCATCAGCCACATGCACGCCGACCACCACCTAGGCACCGTAGGCGTCATCAAAGCCTGGTACGCCGAAGTGCACAACAGCCAGCCCGCCTCGACCGACTCGCTGCTCCAAAGCCAACTCAACGACCAACGCCGTCTCGCCGTCGTCTCCGAACCCGCCATGCTGCAATGGCTCATGGAGTACGCCGCTGTAGAAGACTACGGCTACTCGCGCCTCGCAAGTCTGCACATCAGCCCACACGAACGCAACAAGCGCCGCCCCAGCAAACTCGGCTGGTTCGTCCCGCCCACCGAGTTCACCGGCCTAACGCCGCAAGAACGCATGGAAAAGCACGCGCGCAACTCCATCCCCGCCTCCCACCCCATCCTCCGCCTGACCGACATCCAAGCCGTGAGCGTGACGCACTGCCACGGCGCGCGCGCCGTCTCCATCTCCTTCCCCTCAGGCCTCAAAGTCTCCTACTCAGGCGACTGCCGCCCCAGCACCGCGTTCGCGCACATAGGCCGCGGAAGCCACGTGTGCATCCACGAAGCGACCTTTGACGACGAGCTGCTGTCCGACGCAAAAGCGAAGAACCACTCTACTACTTCGGAAGCGCTGGGCGTCGCGCAGGCTATGGGCGCCAAGGCGTGCGTGTTGACGCATTTCAGCCAGCGGTATCAGAAGTTGCCTGTGCTGGAGTATCGCGAGACGGAAGAGGAGAAGGCGGAGGAGGAGAGTTTGCTGGCAGTGTCCGACGACGAGGCGGAAGACGGCGACGACGCGGAGATGGCGGCTCCATTGGAAGACGCAAACGGAGGGCCGCCTGCCCCTACCTTCCCGGATCAAACTACCGCCAACGGAGCAGGCAACCAATATACTCTCCCCTCCAAGCGGAACGGAAAGCCTGCTCCTACGGCGGGAAGTGCGACTACAGCACCGCCCGAGGCCGTGCGCCTCAAAGTATCAGCGGACATGCGCGTCGCGGTCGCTTTCGACTACATGCGCATCAAGGTGGGCGAGATCGGGCAGATGGAGAAGTTTACGCCGGCGTTGTTGAAGTTGTTTGCCGAGGAGGATAAGTCGGAGAAGACGGGGAATGGTGTTGTAGGGGTGGAAGAGGGGGAGAAGGGGAGTGGGAAGAAGAAGGGCAAGGGGAAAAGAGGTGGTGGTGCGTAGGCGGGTGCTTACTGGCTTGTATATACGTCACAGAGCGCACATCATCCTGTGTAGGTACGAACTTTGAATTGCACCCATCACACAGCGACACAAGGTTTGCACTTTTGAAAGAGTTGTTTCAACGGTCTACAAAACTGCAAAATAGTGGCAGTAGTAAAGCAGCCAGCTTGTCTCGGCTGACTCGATCAGCAACTGCACCAATGGCAGGACATGCCGCTCTCCACCGCTGCAGCAAGCCTTCTCCTCTTCCCTCCAGCAGCAACACATCTATCTGTTCGACTTGGCCACCCGCTCCAACTCGTCCTTCTTCTTGATGGCGTAGCTGTTACTGCTCCCCTTGGCGGCGTTGATCAGCTCTTCGGCGAGACACTCGGCAATGCTCTTGATGTTCCGGAAGGCCGCCTCTCTCGCGCCGATGGTGAGGAGGGCAATGGCTTGGTTGACGCGGCGGAGAGGCGAGACGTCGACGGCTTGGCGACGCACGGTGCCTGCACTTCCGATTCGGGTGCTGTCTTCGCGCGGGCCGCAGTTGACAATGGCATCGACGGCTATTTGGATGGGGTTTTGGTCGGTCATGATGTGGATCTGTGGAGGGAATGGGAGGTTAGTGAACAGGCCCTGCAGGGTGTCTGGGATGTGTAAGACGCACGATTTCAAAGGCGTGGGCGACGATGCGGACGGCCATGAGCTTCTTTCCGTTGTTGCGGCCGTTCATCATGAGCGAGTTCGTTAGACGCTCGATGATGGGGCATTGTGCTTTGCGGAAGCGCTTGACGGCATAGCGGCCAGCGGAGTGGGAGATGTAGACGGGCTGTCGGATTTGGATGTAGTCACTGTGTACGGCGGTCACGTTAGCGATGGCTGCCCTTCGCTGACCTCTTCATATCTGCGATGAGCAGTAGGCACGTACGTCAAGGAGATGTCGCGGATCTCCACGTCCTCGTAGGTCCATTTGTTGAAGAGCTTGGTGGTGCCGATTTCCTGCACCACATCCTTGGGCAGGACGGAGTAGTTGATGGTGGACGCTTCGACTTCCACTTCGCCGTCCGACATCTTGGGCCTGCGCTGTCGATGGGAGTGTGTTGATGGGGTGGGTGGTGTTGATCTGATGTTTGCGCCTGGGAAGAGAGTCGGTTTGCCGGTGCCGCTGGAGAATTCGAAGTGGGTGGGCACGCCAAGGAATTTCGCCCGATCTGTGCAATGTGTGGTGGAGCTTAGTCATCGGGATTGAAAACGGCGGTTTGATGCCTTGATGCCTGAAACTGGAATTTCTTGACGTCTTTCCACTCACTGAGATGTCATACTGCTGCCACTTTGTATCACGTTTATCGGCGGCGGCTTCGCGGATCTGGGACACAGTCAGGAAATCATATGCTCAGCTAATCCCTGTATAGTCTATTCAATGCGACAGAATGAAGTCAATGGGCCACTTGTGCGTTCGCCCAGTATTGACTATGGGCGGCCAACGAGTACATTCTCGAGATAGTCGCTACCCACTGATGAGGAGCAAAGTAGCATAAAGTGTAGAGAATGGCCCCAAATGGCGATAGACTACACTCAACGAGTACACCAAAAATAACAATGACGCATGTCGAGGAATCAATCAATTGTACGTCGACTATGTACATCTGCCGACCGTGGGTATGTGCACACACCAAAGACTCAACAAGACATCACCCAGTCCCGCTGCGGACTTCTAAACCAACCGCCCCATCTCCGCATACCGCAACTTCCTGGCCGCACCCTCGAGTTGAGCCAAAACATCATCGAGATCGGAAGGCGCAGAAGATTGGGAGAGGAGGAGAGCGGGGTCAGGGCCAGAGGGGACGTCGAGAACCGGGTAAGCGTTGACAGAGTACGAGTTGAAGTTCATGGAGGCGTTGGCGTTGTTGAAGCCGTTGATGTTGAGTTTGCTGAAGTCATTTTCCGGGAGGGTGGCGCGGTTGATGCGTTCGGTGTGCTGTTGCGGCTGTTGTTGCTCCTGGCCCGGCATCTGAAGTTGAGAGGCGTCAAAGTTCATGAAGTCGGGCTTGGAGTCTTGTTGAGGGGGTTGCTGGTAGGACTGTTGCTGCTGTTGGCCCTGTTGCTGAGGCGGTTGCTGCTGAGGTGCCGGGGGCTGCTGCTGCTGCTGCTGTTGTTGTTGGGGAGGCGGCGGACCGAGAAGGGATGGATCCTTGCTGATGTCGTTGATGAAAGGCGTGAAGGCCGGGTGGCGCAGCAGGGTTTCAATCAACGTTCGGTAGCGTTCATTCTCCTGCATCAGAGCAGTGTTTTCGGTGCGCAGGTCGGCGCTCTCTTGAACCTTGATGGCAACTTCGCCTTCGAGTTGAGAGATGTATTCTGTTGAAGAGTCAGTGTCGGATCCATGTACGTAAGGGTGAGTGAATGCGTACCCTTCCTCCTAGACCGGAACGCACGAGCAGACACCTTGTTCCGGAGTTGCCTCCGTTCCTTGCTCGACAACTTCTTGCCTTCCTCGGAAGCGAGCAGGCGTTCATCGTCGTCCATATCCTCATCATCCTTCTTCATGCGGGCGATGTGGGGAAGCATGTCGGACGGCGAGTCGGCATCATCGCCATAGACAGAAGCGGAGCTGTTCTGGCGCATTTGGTTGAGCAAACGGGAGATGCTCTCCTCCACATGCGGCTCCGGCGCGTTCGAGGCTCGTTTGGCATGGCCTTGAGTCTGTTGCGAAGCAGCTTGGCCTTGGCCGGGTTGACGATACTGAGCGTGCTGAGCCTGCAACTTCATCTGGCGCTGTTGGACGGCCTGGGTCTGCATGGTCTTCTGCATGGCAGCTTGCTGGGCTTGCTGCGAGTGCATGCCGGGCCAGAGACGACCAACGCTGCTGGTCGGCTCCTCGGGGCCACCAAGACTGTTGGGGTTGATGAAGGCATCAGACGGGCTGTCGTTGGTGGGCGGGGGGAAGAACATGGCAGGCATGGTGGGTTGGGGGTTGTTGAAGTCCATGTTCATGTCGGTGTCGAGGTCGATGCCGGAGCCCCATCCGAAGCCCATGTCGTTCAAACCGGAGCCATACCCATCAAACATGGATTGCGAGGGCATGTTGGCCAGGCTTCCGACCGGGAGGCCAACCTGCTGCTTGTGCATGTTGTAGTCATGGCTCGGGCCATTGAACTGCTGGCGCTCCTCAGCCTTGTCGAATGGGGAGAGAGCGGCGGAGGGAGTGCCAGTGACGGCAGACGAGGGCTGGGTGGTGCTCTGGTTAAAGTCGAAGAGCGAGTCCATGTCGAAGGGCTCGGTCTTGAGGGCGGGAGTTCGGGTTGCCATCGCGGGAGTCGTGGCGGCCATTCAATAGACGGGCGGATGGAGTTTGGTGATGCGGATTGAGTTAGTGCCTTAGCAAGGCGACGTGCGGATGGGTAGTGTGTGTGGTGGTGGTCGTCCGAATTTGGTTGCCTGACCTTAACCCCTCAGCTGCAGGCGATGCTTTGCTGACGCGGCCGCAACTCTCGGCTTTCCCAAAATAGACAGATCTCCCGTTCGCGGTGTCCAGTCGTGAGGAAGGCGCGAATCGTGTCTCCAGAAACCAAGCAAAGCGAGTGATGATGGCGGAGGGTGTTGGAGAGCGAGAGTTGGATGGAGAAAGACGGTGTTGTGATGAAAAGGAAGCGAGAGTGCGAGGGATGGAGGAGTGGAACAGGGAGAATTCTGTTTCGGTTCTTTGCCGCATCGCCTCCTTCCTCCGCGCCTTTACCCAACGAGGCGCAGCTGCCCAGTTTCATCAACAACGTTTCCACATCCCACCAATCAGCGGATCAGGCTTGATGACACATCCACCCGGAGCATCGGGCGAAACGCACGCCGATGCCCTAAACCGCCAAGTCTAGCCAGGCGGGTAGGACGGCGGTGTTTGAGGACTTGCACTACCTGACTCGACTCAGCATAAAAGTCGATCACATTCCTTATAGTGTCCACGAAAGCGCTGACGACTGCTCGTGTGTACAGCCATGCCGTCTTTTCCATGTCTTTCTTGGCTGTCCACTCCGCCACAGCATCGCACCTCGCTGCCCGGGCTGGAATGCAAGTCAACGGCATCTCGCCCGGCAGAGCCCCAAGCGACATTTCCCGCTCTATCCGCCAGCATCCTATCATCCTCTCAGCGGCAGGCAATATGGCCGTTGTAATGCTGACTGCCCGCCATCCGCAGGCTAGACTTGCCTCACAATGCCGCTTCCAGCGCGACATTTCCGCACTTTGACAGCTATCTATGCATCGTCAATGATCTCTTATAAAGCGCGGCTCCTCCATCACCACAAGTCCCGCAGTAACCCTGATCTCTCTCCGCTACAACTTGCCGCACGAGTGGGGACATGCGTAAGCATTCGCAGTCCGAAACTCGTCCGCCGCGAGATCGAGTGCAATCGTGCTGGACCGGTGAAACGCTGGCACGCATCTGACGGTGTCTAATCGGTCGGTCGGTCATCGGGCCCGTCAGCTGAACGCTTTCGCCGTGGCTGCTTATTCGGCCTTCATTTGATCCTAACATGCCTTACAATGTTGCCCCTCCGCTAGTAAATGTGAGATATTGCTTTCGTCTTTTTGGTTGACTTACGCGTTGATTTCTGTTTGGTTTGAGGGAGCAGAGCATGGGATGAGTGTATGAACTGAATCGCTAAGAAGCTCAAACAATGGAGGGTATCGTAGCTCTCAATCAAACGCCATGAAGAAAGCATGCCAGAAGAATCAGAGTGTCCTGCTCTCCGCATCACAGTTCCTTCCATTCAACATCCCATTCCACATCCCCTCCGAGCCACCTCACAACCCCCCCGCCTGCCCCAACGCAATCAAACCCCGCCCTTCCATCTTTATAGTTCATCCCCCCACCGCAGCAGCAGCATTCTCCCTCCCCCTCCCCTCCAGCGAATGAATCTCCAACGCCAAAAGCACCCCACTGCGATTCGCAAAAGGCGTAACAGCAACATTCGCCCACCCGAGCTCGGGATCAAACAAGCGCTTCAAGCCCGCGCGCAAATCGACAGGCGTGAAGCCACGAAACGGCTCTCCCTCCTTCACAGGCGGTATAGGAGAGAAAACATCGTCGCCGAGCCGCTGTCCGAGGTGCAATAGGGAGCTCTCGTTGGGAGGGTGCACTAAGGGAGTGGCGTTGGCGTTGTGGAGGCGCATCAGGTCCACGGCGCCGGGGTGAGGGGGCGTGGTGAGGGCGGCGAAGTGCGTGACGTGCACGCGGCAGGTGCAGATGATGCGGATTGTGGGCGCGGGCGGGGTGGCGGCGAGCCTGCGTTGGACTTTGAGCCAGTGGTGTTGGCACCTTAGGTCGGCTGGGGTGGGCGAGGCAGGGAGCGGGTTGGCGAGCCAGGCGTTCATCTCGGTATCTGTGGGCGAAAGCGGGATGTCGGTGCCATTGTTGATGTTGAGGAAGCCCCCCGCCGGCCCGTCGGGGAGGAAGACCTCGCGGAAGCCGTTGATAAGCTGGTCGAGGTTCTCATCATAACTCCACGTCTTCATGTTGGAGTGCGGCGTCTGCGTGTGGCTCCATTTGTTGCTGCGGTACTTGACCTGCAGCTCGCGCAGGCCGGGGAAGTCGCACTTCAAGCTGCGGATGGGATCGCGCGAGCTGAGATACCTGGTCCACAGCGAGGTCTCTTGCGCCTTGATGTGCAGGTTGACGCGCGTGGTGTGCTGCGCCATGGGCTGCGACGCGATGGCGCGCACAAACATGTTGGCGTCGGAGGGGTGGTGGAAAGTGAGGGCGTTGAGCGAGTAGAGCAGCGGTCCAGCTTCGTCGTAGATGATTTTGCAGGTGCGCAGGAGTTGGGGTTGCGTGGTGTAGGACTTCATCGCGCTCGGCCACTCCACTTGCTGCCCGTTCTGCGACGTGAGGCAGAATGAGTACACGCGGTCGCGAATCTCGCGCGGGAGGAGGAACAGCGGACATTGCGCGACGCTGGCGGGCAGAGGCGAGGTGTCGTCGTCCTTCAACTCATCGTCTCTTGTCTCCGCCATTTCGAGCGGGTAATCCGACTCGCTGGTCAGTGTGCTTCGCCGCGTTCGAGTGTGCGAGAGGTTGGTGCTCGTGTTTCGGCTTTGGGAGGTGTGGAAGGGGGGAAGGCCGGGGGAAGAATGGGCGTCATTGCTGAGGTAGGACAGCGAGCGGGTGGACAGAACTGACTCGCGGCCGTAGGGGAAGCTGGGAGTTGCGGAGAGGTGGTGCGGGGGGATGGGAGGGTTGGCCATCCTCGATAGAGCTGCTACCTGTTCCTATATGGACAGGGCAGTGGAAGAGGAAGGGAGTGATCGTGTGTGTGTAGCATGGGAAGGGTGTGGTGTGTGTGTGGAGGGATGGAGACAACAATAAGGCTGTCCAGATGAGGTTGACATGGCTTGGCAACGGCTGGCTCTTCGGCCTGGACCCCATTATTCAATGCAGCACTCACGGACGTGGATCCAATACTTCCAACATGCTATGAAGGGGAGTGCTCGCAAGTTCGACGACTGTGTACACCTTGTTACATTGCTTGGAGCTAAGTAGATATCGAGCCAAGTGAAAAACACCCCTCAGGCCAGCACGTGCGCCTACAGAAATCATCAATCGATCGTTCAACCGAACAATCTTCGACAACGGACGTCTCCGGTCTCCATCACAGTCTCCTCCTTCATCTGACTTTGCAATCTGCCTTTCCTCCAACTTCCCCCTTCGTTCGTCTTCACAACCTTCACGTCACGTCCGCAACACCACCTCAGCCATCCGCCCAGCATCTCCCACTTCATCGCACTGCCATCTCTACTTAGTGGCCTCCCACAGGCCAGCAGTCCGCGACAAGCCGGCCATGGCACCACAAGCACCCATGATGCCCAAGTTGAACCAGGGCAGGCCACCCTCGGTGGTGAATTGCATGGCAACAGGGGTCCAGCTGGCAGGGACGACCAAATCGCTCCACCACTTGGCATCGCGCTCGCGCTCCGACTCGGCGGAGACGTCCTTGTCGGTGCCGCGCAGCTGCCACTCGCGGCCGAGACGGACAAAGTCGCAGATGACGCCGGCGAACCAGCAGCGGTAGGCGGTCAAGTAGATCTTGGCCGTGGTGCCGCCGGACTGCGCCGTCCAGCGCGCCGTGTAGGAGTCGGCGAGCACCTTGTGGTCGGTGAGCAGCGCCACGTTCTCGAGGAACTGGAAGGCCATGTACAGCGAGCACTGGGCCACAGAGGTGGTGTACAGGACGAGATCCTGGCCGGGCTTGGGGCCTTGGGCGAGCTGGCGCGCCCAGGCGTACATGGGCAGGAGGCCGAAGAGACGCAGCGTCACACGCGTGGTGGAGAAGAGGGCACCGAGGGCGCGGAAGGGCGACTGCAGGGGGTCGGAGGAGACGAGGCGCGGGGCGGGGCGGCCGGTGAAGCGGCTCAGGATGGCGTAGAGCTTGGCCTGGAGAGGCGCGGACTTGGCGTCGAGGTAGGCGAGGAGGTAGAGGGTGTAGTTGAAGGTGGAGAGGAAGGCGCTGAGGCCGCCGGGGCTGGCGAGCAGTCTGGAGGTGGAGGGGTCAGCTGGGGAGAGGCATGGAGAGGCTTGGGGAGTGGTACTTGTTCAGACGCAGGATAATCTGGTCGGGGGTGCGGGCGAGGGCGACAGCGGTGCTGGGAACGCGCTGCTTGACCTCGTGGGCGATGGACTTCTCGGAGGCGGGAGGCATGTTGGTCGTCGCACCACCTTGGGGGGCACCAGGCTCGGCAGCGGGATCAGACATGAATTGGGAGGGAATGGATGGGTGGAGGTGGGCAGGCAGGGCAAGTGCAATGGATTGAGATGGCGATTTGATGGGGTCGAGGAGGTGGTGGTGGTGATGAAGGGAGGAGGGTGGTGGAAGTAGAGTTCCGCCTTGGTTTGGCTGGCATCACTCTGATTCTATACCGCCGCGAGCTGTCCCTCGGCAATGCGGAGAAGCTCTCGCCCTCGCCCTCACGTGGAGTGGCCTCCGGCTCCACAATTCGAGCTAAGCCTGGGGCATTCATTTTAATTCACGTATGAACGCGTGCAGGAACTGCTCGCTTGCGGCAATAAAGGCTGTATGTGCACAGAAAGAATGCCAATGACTGCAAGTACTTACAACACGTTGCACGGCACGTGTCAGTCGACTTTGCGCGTGATATTGAAGGCAGTCTCGAAAAGGGGGGATGAGGTTGGTGCCTGAGGCAGACAATATCTCGAAATTCTGTCGCCCCGCACTTTCCCAATGTTGACATGCCTTGATGCCTTGTTTACGCCACGCCTTCATCAATGTAGCATCTTCAACAACGACAATTCCCCCTCAATGGAGATGTCAGAAATCATCACAGGGGCGCATGCAGTGGCATCACCTTGTGGAAGCTATGTCGCTTCCCTCTCCGCCGCCAAACTGAGGATAAGCTCCACCTGGACTCCGGAGCGATACACGCATATAAACATTCGCCCTGTCAAGGATGTCACCGCCCTGAAATGGAGCCAAGACAGCAATCGCCTGGCAATTCTATCCCCTCAACACGTCGAGGTCGTGTGTCTGGACGATGCGCATCACCGAGTCCGATTGGACAACGGCAGTGGTGGCCTTGGCCGCTTTGCTTCGGTGGACTTTGTCGGTGCAGACCATCTCCTCGTCATCTGGGAATTCGGCAAGGCGAAACTCTGGAGTCTAAGTGAAGGCAAAGGCGTGGAACTCGCGGATGTCAAGACCGTCACTGGTGGCCAGGCGTGGCAGATTAGACCCGGACACACCACCGCCACATCACAAGTTTTGGCCATTCTGACCCGGCAGGGCTCTGATGATCTGCTCAACATCTACTTTCCGCACCTGCACAAGCAACTCTCCTCCACCAAACTGTCCACCGTGGATGCGCAATCGATTTCATGGTCGCCTGATGGACGATGGCTGACTGTACTGGATACTCCGACTGCACCTTCAAGCGTGCACATCTTCACCCCGGATGGCCACCTGTTTCGCACCTACCCTTCCTCTACCGATAGTAGCACCATGTCACTGGGCATCAAGTCAGCCATTTGGTCCTCTGACTCTCGTGTCCTGGCCTTAACAAGACACGATAGCCGCATACTTCTCCTCAACACCCGAACTTTCGCCCCCTTGGCCATCATCGAGCACAGCACCACCATCGATCAACGCTCCTCACCACCAGACCAGCAATCCCCCATCTGGCAAGAGTCGGTCACAGCCTCCGGCCAGCGATCCTACATCCCCGTCTCCCACCCCGTTTCACCCCCCCTCTCCAAACCAAAATCCACAGCCGACCCAGCCGACTTCGGAATTGCAGAAGCTCGATTCAACTGCACCGGCAGCCACCTCGCCACTCGCGACGAGCGCATGCTCAACACAGTCTGGATCTGGGATATGTCGAGCTTGGTGGCGCACGCCGTGCTCATCCAACATAGCAACGTGCGAAGACTACGGTGGCACCCCACCCGGCCAGACATGCTCTTGCTAGACTGCGGCGAACGCATCCCTTACATCTTCAGCATTGCATCCGCACAGCCACCCACCCCATTCGAAGCGAACATGCCATTCAACCTCACCTTCACATGGGCCGAGACACCCGCAACAAGCAACCTCGCCTTCCTCGCAATCTCCAAAACCACCCTGCGGATCATGTACCCCGAAGGCCAGCCTTCACCTAACGATGAAGAAGGCACAACCGCGCCACAAGCCAACCCTCCCAACACCGTCTTCGACGAAGGCAACAGCGACGACTCCCTCTTCGACGTCCTCTCAGGCCGGAAACCTCTGCCGCCCAAAACGGAGCCTTCGTACACCGAGAGGATAGATTGGGAGGTGGAGACGGAAGAGGAGAACAGCCTGGTGCGCGTGGATGATACATTCCGGGAGAAGAGGCGGAAAAGCGTGCAGAAAGCGCCGGCGACGTCGATGATCCTGGATCCCTTAGACGACAGTGAGATATTCTGAGAAGAATGGAAAGAATTACAAAGTGTGTGTGTGTGCCAGAGCGCCGTGCGTTCTCATTTGTCGGGGGTATAAAACGGTGAAGCAAGAACACAAGCCGCGCGATGCGATGCGATGCGATGCGATGCGATGCAAAGCACAACAAAAAAAGCGCCGCCCAGATGCCCTGAATCCTTCCAACTCCTTCGCTAATGCCCACAATCCCGGCGGCAAAGACCTCCCAGCGCCCCATCTGTGTGGGACTGCCGGTGAGATGCCACCATCCCATCCGCGACGGCGTACCGTTCCATCCCAGGCGCCCATTCCTGGTGCGTCGACCCTCCGTCCCATCCCAGACGCCCATGCCAGGTGCGCCGACCACCTTCCATCCTCCGCGACGGCCCTCACTGCATCTCCGACGAGGAGGAGAACCCTGCCGGCAGGGTGCGCAGGGGAGTTGTCCAGGCAGACGCCGACGACGCCGGGCCGAACAACTCCGAAAAAGCGGCCGCATCCTGCTGCGCCGTCCTCTTCTCCTCCGCCTCCTGCCAGGCCTTCCACGCCACCAACAGCTGCTGCTCGGCGACGCCGAGCTCGGCGGCCTTCCTCCTCTTCTCCTCCTCCTCCGTGTCCTCCTCCGCCTCCTTCTCCTCCTCCTCCTCCGCCGACACGGCCGCATCTCCGCCGGCGACGACAGGCTGGGCCAGGGCCGCGGTGTACTGCCCCGCCAGATCGTCATCGCGCGCGGTCCAGGGAAGGTCCGCGGCGGCGGCGGCGGCGTCGGCATCCAGGCCCTCCAACCCGAGATCCATCCCGACGTCCTGATCGTAATCCATCAGGGCGTCGAGCTGCTCCGCCGACATCAAATCGGGCTCCGTGGACGCCGCCATCGGACCCGTCGCTTCGCCCAAATCCATCTGCCACATCCCCACACCAAACAAGGCATCCGTGGGCGCCGCCAGCAGACCCTCCGCTTCGCCCATTCCTCCCAGCTGCTCACTGAGAAAGGCATCCATGGACGCCGCCATGGAATCCTCCGCTTCACCCGGGAATTCCTCCTCTTCCGCATCGCCCTCGAAGACGATGGGATTCGTGGCCGTCGCGCCCATTCCCGACGAGCCAGGCTGGACTGGCAGAGAGCCGGAGGGCGCGAAGACGGCGGGGACGGCGGCCGGGGCGCCGAGAGGGGCCAGGCCGGCAAGGGTTGGCGCCAGAGCGGGCGCGGGGGCAAGGGGGGCGGCGGCGGCGGTCGGGGCCACTCCCATCGAGCCAGGCTGGACTGGCAGAGGGGCGGGAGTGGCCGGGTTGACCGGCAGGAGGACCTGGTCAGGGACAGCGGGCTCAGGGAGCCCGTTCTCCCTGGCCTGCTTGTGGGCCTCGAAGGCCTCGACGCCGATCGGGCCGGCAGGTCTCCAGGCCTGCGCCCAGCCCGGGAGGACGGACAGGGGCGGCAGGGTCTTGGGGTCGGTCCCCTGCGGCACGCGGAGATACGGCGAGACGGTCAGACCGCCGCTCTTGTATCCCCAGGTGTCGGCCTCCTCCTGCAGCGTCACCGGCCGCGGCACCTCCCACTTCTGCTCGGCGTACGTGCTGTCGCACGTACGCCCGCCCCTGAAATCCAAGTGACGGTTGAACTCAAAGGCGTTCGGGAAGCCTTTGGAGCAGAAGGCGCACACGGCCTTGCAGAGCCGCCTGGGCCAGAGGTTGTGCTCGCTGCACTATGGAAGGCGTCAGTTGGAAAACAGGGGGATGAGAAAGAGGGGAAGGCACTCACCATGTGGCCGCGCATGGAGGCCTCGTCCGCGAACACACGCTCCCTGCAGCCGTATCGGCAGCGGAAGGCGTGTGTGACGCCCTTGCGGTCCCGCAGCGCCTGCTTCCCGGACCGGGGAGGACCCGCTTGGGCGACCGGAGCAGGGGCGGGAGCGGCGCGAGGAGCCGGTGCGCGGGCGGCGGCGCGGACGTTCTCTGGAACCAATGTGTCAGCCAAAAATGTGGAGAAAGGGAAGCGCGCCAGCCTCGTGGCCAGCGGAAACGCTGAGAAGCGCCGTTTCAGACAAGGAAATGGGGGAGGAAACTTACGAATTTGCCCTTGGGCCGGGCCGGCGAGAGGGGCGGTCTCTGTTGGAAGGCGTCAGCCGCAAACGTCGTTGGGTGGAACGCGACAGCCTCATGGCCCATCTTCGACGATGAGATGTGCCATTTGGCCGTCGAGGGCTGGGTGGAAAACGTACGAGCTGGCACCTGTGGTGCCGCCGAGTATTGCACTCCCAGTGCCGCGGTCTGGGAGCCAGTGTCTGCAATGCGACGTCAGTACATTGGAAGCAGCGTCAATAAGGCTGAGATGGTTGCACTTACGAGCCGTGCCGCCGCACGGGGGAGGGGCGGAGGAGCGGGCGGTGGCCCAGGGAGCGACGGCGGGGGGAGGGGGGGAAGAGATGCCCAGGGGAAGGGCAGAGGCAGGGGTAAGGCGAGGGCGAGGAGGAAGTGCAATCCCGTGGTAGAGGCCAGGGACAGGGGCAGGGGCAGGGGCAGGGGCAGGAGGGGCAGGTGTTTGTGCGGCTGTTCTCAATGTCAGTGAACTGGACGTGAGTGGACGCGATCGTCGCCGGGTGCAGCAAGGAGATGAGCCAACTTACCGGCAGAGGGCGGAGGGTAAGGGCCCCGGCGATGGGCGGGCCTTGCTGCTGACGGCACGCGAGGCATGGTGATTGTCGCCGGGGGTTGGTGGTGGAGGAAAGGGGTGATTGTCGAAGGGGGTGGGTGGGTGTTGGAAGTAGCTTGTGATTGATGTGCAGATGTTTGAATGTGATTGATGTGCTTGATGTGAACGCTTGTGACTGTGTGTCTGATGGTTCGAGATGAGAAGGGGAGGAACATGAAAAGGGGCAGCATATATATACTGCGCGGGCATCGAATGCCTCAGTACGCACCAGAGTTGAGAATAGACAGCCAAGAGAAGAGATCCAGAGATAGAGTATAGACACCTACCGGCGACAGCGCTCAAAGAACGGAACGGGGTGGGCAGCCTGCTTCGCGTTGCCAATGAGAAACCACCCATATCCATGACATGGGCGAGGTCAGCCTGTATAGGACTGAGTGGGCCCTTTGCCGGGCATGCAGTGGGCTGCATTAGCGAGCTAAAGCCAGAATACTGCGCGATTACCGCACATCGTGAACACTGGTAGCAGCGGGCTATTATCGGATGACGGATCTCTGGTAGCAACATCTTGGATGCCAGCGAGCTAGAATTGGAGGATGGGTCCGTTGAAGTGGCAGCGATTCCAGTCGCGTTCCTCACCCCCCCCTTTCCGTTTCGAAGGGCGTTTGAAGCCTCCGCAGATATCAGACATCGCCAGCCCGAGTCGAAACGAGACGAGTTGAGCGCGTTGAAATCGGATGAAAACTCGCGGACCTTGCGTCGAGTTGCTTGCGTGCGGCATTGCTGCCGGCAGTCGAGGGCTCCGTGAAAGCTTTCCTCCGGCATCACAGCAACGCCATCGACCACGGAAAACGCTTGCATATGTCGCGGGATCGTGAGCCAAGCTCGAGGACTGGCCATGAGACCTGCCTGCCGCCCCGGAGTGGACTCACGATGCCGGCCAGGGGTTGGTAATGACATCCGACGGCGCCGTCGTTGACACCTGTCAGTGGGGCGGTGCAGACGCTTGGACGGCATCGTAGCGCCGGCATAGCGTCGGCAGTCATTCGCAGCGGGGCCTGGGTGAGGGTTCCTGGGCAACCAGGTTGGATCCGTGGAGCGGGGGGTTGGTCATCGACATCGTGAAGTGGAAAGGCCGTTGGCAAGGGACCCGTACTGGACTAGCCCCCTTTTGAAACGCGGTGGGGAACGCGACTGCCGCTGACAGCGACAGGGGGTCCTGCGTGGCGGCATGACGTAGCCCCCGCGCTAAGCCGCCGGCAGCGAGGTCTGCGGGACACGCATGATCTGGGATTGGACGACAGTGATGATGAGTGCAATTCATTATGGCTAGCATTTCTTTGATCCACCCATCTTCGTGAATCTGTACTTGCGTATTAGTCTGTGTTCGTTCAACTTCGATTCATGACATTATACTCCCCGACCATACAAGTCCCAGCACCTTCCCGCAAACAGGCGAGGGAGACCTCTGCGGGTCCCGGATCTCGGCTGAAGACGAGGGAAGAAGATGAAAGTCGACGCGCAAACTTTGACCATCCCGCAAGCAAAATCGCTTTCTCTTTATCTTAATCCTTCCCAGAGCGAGAACTAATACACACTTGATAACACCGCCTTTTCCCCTGCTTCAAAACGATGAGATTTGAGAGATTCGCTGCTAGGTGAGGAAAGTTGAAGGAAAGGGCAGGAGCGAAGAGCAGCGGGTGATGTTGCCACATATTCGGCTGACTTGCCGCCAACTCTAACGTGCATGCAGATCAACCACGCCACGTCAAACTTAGTTCGCACCTCAGCATTGCCAGCCATTGTCAGCAACACCAAGGCACCCTCGAAAATGCCTCCCGGGCTCAATGGCGACCTGCTGCCATTGATGCATGGTCCGAAGCTCATTTTGTATCACCAAACACATCACGCCCCGGGAACTGGCAAAGTGGCGTCTCTACTCCCGCTCATCACCAATCGCACCGGAGTAACTCACATAATCGTCGCGGCAATCCACCTGAATGACCGACCGGGAGACATCACGCTGAACGACAATCCACCTGATCACGAGAAATTCAACGTACTATGGAGCGAGGTGGCTTGGCTTCAGGCCAGCGGTGTGAAGGTCCTCGGGATGCTTGGTGGAGCCGCCAAAGGAACCTTTGCCCGTCTTGATGGTGACGCCCATTCTTTCGAAGCATTTTACAGCCCTCTCCGCGATGTCATACGACGTCACAAACTAGATGGGATAGATCTAGACGTAGAAGAGCCCATGTCGCTTGCCGGAATTACAAGACTCATTGATCGTTTGCGAGTGGACTTTGGCCCGAATTTCCTCATTACTCTGGCGCCCGTGGCGACTGCTCTCTTACCAGGCCAGCCACATCTCTCCGACTTCGACTATCGTCAACTAGAGCAACTTCGAGGGCATGACATCGCATGGTACAATACTCAATTCTACTGCGGCTGGGGCGATGCCAGCACGACGGCTTGGTACGATGCCATCATCTCATGCGGATGGAAAGCGAACAAGGTCATTATGGGACTGGTCACCAACCCCGAACTGGGCGCAGGGCATGTATCATTACCGCAGATGCAAATGGTTCTGCGACATTTGCGAGCCAAGCATCCTACTTTCGGGGGTGTGATGGGATGGGAGTACTTCAACGCTCTGCCCGGCGGACAACAGCAGCCTTGGGACTGGGCGGCGCATATGGCCCAGGCGGTCAGAACACCACTTCCCGTTGCCGCTCCACCGGCTCAACAGGCTCCGATTCGGCCTTTTGGAGCGCCTCTACCTCCTCCGGCTCATGCTTTCTCTTCGGAAAGTGTGGGCTTCCTGCTAGAACTCGGCTTCACTCAGCCGCAGGCTGTCGCAGCTTTGAACATGACCAACGGCAACGTTGATCAAGCAGCAGGCATCTTACTCGGAGAGTGAAAGTGACGTCCATTCTGGACAAGCCCGTTCAAAAGACGGTGCTTCCCGTGCTCGTTCTTTTCGCAAGTTTCCGCCCGGAAGAAGCGCGCTGCCAAAGTTTCCAAAGACGTCGCTTCACCCACTCGATCATCGGCACCTTCTCAATCTCGGTGAACGCATACTCCGAACTGGCTCGAAGTTGTCTGGGCAAGCAGTTCTTCCTGCACCAACATCAGCAACCAATCAAAGCCAGGAGAGCCATCACTCCCAACCCATCAGGAAGCGCCCACCACCACCGCCCATCAATAAACTTGACCTCATCCTCGACCCGGAACTTGTCAATCATCAGTCCATCATCCTCAATAAAAGAAAGAACATCCCACACACCTTCGGCCGTCCAGTCAACCCCTCCGCCAACCCCGCAACCTCATCATCCCAATCCGCCAACCTCTTCTCCAACTCTCTCACCTCCGCTTCCAACTCCTCTACACTCCCCGCATCAGCCTTATCCCTGCTCTTCACCAATTTACATCTCCCGCCTCCGTCAGCCGTAGGTGCAGAGACGGACGCAGCGTCACGGGCTTTTCTGCAAGCGAGCAGCATGCCTCGCACTTGCTCCACTTGTTCGCGCAGTGTGTGGAGGACCGTGAGGTTTTGGGTGTAGGTTGGGTTGCGGGCGCAGAGGGTTTGTTGGGAGGTGAGGTGGCGGGTGTGCAGGGTGTAGGGGGTGGTTGTGTCGGAGCTGAGATTCATGATGGGATGGGATAGAGTAGAGTTGTGCTTTTGCTGGAAGTGTTTTGGGTGCTGTGTAGTGTTGTTCCAAGATTGCTATATTGACATTAGAGTAGTTGAACGAGCACGTGCCTTCGCTACTTGAGAGTAGAGTGAAGTGAAGCAGTCAATGTCATACAAAGACATGATAGCTGTTCAATGGCTACATAAGTATTCTCACTCGTTCAGTCACTACCGCTCTCCAACCAATCCGGCTCCGCGTCTTCGTCCTCCGGATCATGAGATAGCATGGAGCCGTGATCGGTCTCCGGATCTTCTCTCGCTTCGTGAGACTCGTCCCTGGTGGACGCATCAACCTGGGCATCTGCCGTATGCCCCATCTGCACTTCTGGCGGGGTTGTAATGTGGGCAGGGACTGCAGGACGCTCCGAGCTGGCCGTGTGCGTCAGCTCCTGGTGCTCGATCGTATTGGTGGCGGTGCCGTGTGGCTCCGCTTCAACGAGTGGGAGTTGGTCATCGAGCTCGTTTCCGATATCATCGTCTTCGATCATAAAGCCGCCTCCTCTCATATCATCGTGGGAAGGTGAATTCAATCCGTGTTCTTCGAAGTCATCGCCGTTAGCGTCGCCACTTTGTACCACATCCCCAGCTTCACGAGAGATGCTGCCTTCGTTCTCGGTAGGGTGATCGCTTGCTTCGTCGGGGAAGAATCCGCCTCCTCCGTCGTCTTCACCAACGCTTTGATCGGCGTCAGGCATGTATTCGTCATAGCTGCTCGCATCGTCGACGATCTTCCGTCTGCGAGGTCTCGATTTCACCTTAGGTTCGTAGTCCACGTAATCGTCTGCAGAGGTGAACGCCGCCTCATCTTCACTGCTTGCTTCAACTCGCCGCTTCTTCGAGCCCTTTGAGGGTTTCGCTGTTGTCGACAATATATCCAGAGAGAAGAGCCCTGCAGTCGGCAACGCGACATTCCCATCTCCCTCCCCAGGAAAGAAACCGTCGCCCGCATCGTTGGCTTCATCGCGCTCTGCCTCCGCCATCTCCTGCTCCAGTTCGTTCTCACGTTCACCTTCGTTCCCATCGCCATACGCACTGACCCTGGCCGCAATCCGCAACCCTGTCAAGAAACGCTTCCACATCCTCAGCGCCACCGCGCTCCTTGCCTTGCTTTCCTCTTCCATCTGCTCATCGCCCAGCCCGTCAATAGCAGCGTTGACGGCATCGGCGTACTGCTCTGCAACAACAACGCCATCGATGACAGCCGTGCCATGTCTCCCCTTGAACTGGAACCCCGTGACGGCATCCGCGTAATCGATCTTGAGGATCCTCGCAGCTTGTCGCGCAAGCGGGTGGTGGATGTGCGTTCCACCCGCCGGGACCATCGATGGAACATAGACGTCCAGATTTCCGTAGGCGTTCTTCGGAACCTTGCCCTTCGTCACGGGCTCCGGGATGTATAGTTCTGTCTGGAAGGGTGCATACAACGGCACCAGACTGTCTTCGCCATCGTCGTCCATTTCATCCACCGTTCGCCTGGCTCGGCGAGCGGGCACTCGCTTGACCGGCACCTCACCCTCCCTCACCTCCCTCCCAACCCGAAACCACCGCTCCGCACTCCGACAGACATGCACGTCTTGCCGTCGAAACACACTCTCCATCCTGGGTTTCGCCGCCGTGCCCGCATTGACTTTCCCCGCCTCGCGTTTCGGATGGATGACCTCATGTCGCTTCAGATGCCTCTCGAGCGCATAATACGGATGGTCTTTGAAATCCAGCACGTTACCCGGCAAGCCTTCTCTCGCCTCTCGCTGGGCGAGTTCGGAGTCCTCGAGTTGTTCGCGATCGAGCGGTGCGCCTCTGCGACGGAAGAGACGCAAAGCTTTTCGCAGCCACTGCGCTCCATTCTCTGTACTTTCCACGCGCTGTCGTCGGGTTTTGGCGTTGTACGCGCGAGCGTAGCGGCGGGTGACATCTTTTGCTACGCCGTCGGATTCGAATGCGATGGCGTATGTCAGCTGGTTCAGCTCGTAGGACGAAGGCGGTTCGAGTTTTGAAGGCTTGTGGACTGTGCGTGTGACGATTGGGTCTACGGAGATCCACTTCTGCTGAGCGGCATTGAAGGCTTCGACCCAGAAGATGGGATAGGCGAGTTTGCGAAACGGCTTTCTCTTGGGCAGTGGGGTGGATGTAGTGGTTTCGGGGGCGAAGAATGGGTCTCCCAGGCGGCGACGGACGGGTGGTACTTTGCCTGTGCTGGTAGGCCTCTTTGCGCTACTCGTGTCGGTGTTGGAATCGCTGGCTGCAGACTCCGTCTCCGAGGCCATGGCAAGCACGACGGGTTTGACGGCCTTTTGAGGTGTATTCGATTTCGGACCAGAGGCAGCGAAAGACAGAGACTGCAGGGAACATACGAGCCTTGCTTTCACACCGACCGAACGAAGCATGGCACAAAACAGTTGATTAGCTGTATCCTGACTTCCTCTCATTTCTTTCGCGGCTGTAATGAAATCCGCTCGATCCAGGGCCTCGGCATCGACTTGGGGGGTGTCAGGATCGTCGTCAGCAGGCCATGTCGCCTTTCGCATGCCCGAGGCATTCACCACGAAGCTGCCCCGGAAGAGATCTGAAGCCTGTTGGAGGCCATCCATGAAAGATCGATTCCGCTGGAATTGCGACTGCTCGGCGTCGGGAGTGAGATAGGAGATAGTCTTCTTCGACAGCCTGGAATGTAGATGCTGTTGTGCTGCGCTGTCGTTACACCAGCTGTTGACGTAGATACAGTGGGCGAGGAGGCATAGCACGTGCGCCTTGTGGACTAACAGGCGAAATGCCTTTTCTGACGCCGAGGCTGGCCTGCGCTTCACCGGAGTACGACGTTTTGGCGTAGTTTGGGGGTCGATGGTGACAGACACATCGGCGATATCATCGGCCTGTCCATTCGGTGTAGTTTGGTCCAGATCCACGTCTTCGAACTCAATGTCGCTCTCGTCATCGTCTTCCGAATCGGATGAAATGACGATAGCCTGAACGGCGCGCTGTCCGCGAACACTACTTGATGCAGTCGCCCGGGATCCTGGGGTACCAGAGTCGTTTGTGACAATTCTGCGCTTCTTGAGCGGGCGCTCTGAATCGCTATGCCAGGATTCGGAAGCGGCAGCTTCATCCAGCATTTCCTGATAGACATCTTGCTGGTTGCGTGGAGGGCGGGTTGACGTCCTAGATGGCCTGCTTGCACTCGCCGTAGCCCTTGATCTGCCCCTTCCTCTGCTGGGAGCCATGTTGAGATGTTGTTCATCAGGATTGTTGGGCGCAGGCTGAGAATCGCGAGATTGTCACGTCCTCATGTGATGGTGTGGATCTGAGTCATGCTGCGCGGGGCGAGCTCAAACTCTCCGTCGTTTGTGGAAATCCAGCCCGAGTTCAAGGACCGAAGACCAAAGTGTAATCGTTGGACTGAGCACAAGATCTGGAAGGCGAGAATGCGAAGAGATAAGACAAACCAGCCTTTCTGTACCCAGTGAACATGCGCCAAATGTGACGTCGTAGGCGCGACAAGCCAATTAAGCTTTAAAGTTTCGGCAGCATCCGCGTTCGCGGCGCGTTGTACCTGAAATAGCGTGTTTGTTGACTGCCCGCACCAGCAGCCCACCAACTCCCGCACACTGACCGATTGCCACCGCAACTGAGCACCACACGGCATACAGGACTGAATGGAGACTCCTTCTCGCCGGTAGAGACAACCCAGACCACCCACTAGCCCACAGTTACCGCCAAGTTCGAACGCATTCGACCAAGGAGCCATGGAGAACTACCAGAAACTCGAGAAGATTGGCGAGGGTGAGTGAGCAGACATTCTTTTTGCCTCCGGATCACTTGCTTACACTGCTTCCAGGCACATACGGTGTCGTGTACAAAGCCCGCGACCTCTCCACGCCCGACCAGCGCATCGTCGCCCTCAAGAAGATCCGCCTCGAAGCCGAAGATGAGGGCGTCCCCTCCACCGCCATTCGCGAAATCTCCCTTCTCAAAGAGATGAACAACCCCAACATCGTGCGCTTGTTGAATATCGTTCACGCCGACGGACACAAGTTGTACCTCGTCTTTGAGTTCCTCGATTGCGACCTCAAGAAGTACATGGAGGCGTTGCCTGTCAGTCAGGGAGGGCGCGGAAAGCCGTTGCCAGAGGGGGTCATGGCTGGACGCTCTGGTCACCTCGGGCTGGATGCGAATATGGTGCGCTTCAATCTCCCTTCAACCATTCTATTGTACTCCTGCTGACAACACGTGCACCTTCAGGTCAAGAAATTCGCATCCCAACTCCTGCAAGGCGTCTGCTACTGCCACTCCCACCGCGTCCTCCACCGCGACCTCAAACCCCAAAACCTCCTCATCGACCGCGACGGCAACCTCAAACTCGCCGACTTCGGGCTCGCCCGCGCCTTCGGCGTGCCCCTGCGCACCTACACCCACGAAGTCGTCACGCTGTGGTATCGCGCGCCCGAGATCCTGCTCGGCGGCCGCCAGTACTCCACCGGCGTGGACATGTGGTCCGTAGGCTGCATCTTCGCCGAGATGGCCACGCGCAAACCCCTCTTCCCAGGCGACAGCGAAATCGACGAAATCTTCAAGATCTTCCGTGTGCTGGGCACGCCGACGGAGCAGGATTGGCCGGGGGTCACCAGCTTCCCCGATTTCAAGAGCAGCTTCCCCAAGTGGGATCGGAAAGGGGATGATGGCTTGACGACGCCTGATGGAGCCAAGGTGCTGGGCGACGAGGGGCTGGACTTGCTGGAGGCGCTGTTGGTGTATGATCCCGCGGGCAGGATTTCCGCGAAGCAAGCCGTCATCCACCCCTACTTCATGGAGGGCAACAAGATGAGGACGAATGGCTATCACTGATGTCCGACGTTAAGACGACAAGGGCGACGAAGAGATGGCTCGAACGACTGGCAAAGGGGTGATGTGGCAGAATCTTTCTCAGTAGATGTCTCCTTTGTCATGGCCTCCGAAAGGGCACGGGAGTTACGTTTGCATTCAAGCTGGCTCGGATATCGGAATCGAAAGGAGTTCTGGCGAGAAGATCTGGGTAACTGGAGTTGATTGAGCTGCAGAGCAATGCAAGCATTCCAATTCACATCCGCTCCATTCGTGCTGTCCTTCGTGACATGCTTCTCCTCACCCCCGTGACTCCTCATCCCCCTTCGCCTTCCCTTCCAAAGCAACGCAAACCTCCGGCCTCTGCTGTAACAAATTCCTACAAGGCAAAAACAGCTTGTCCGCCTCCGCCTCACCCATCTCCCTCATCTGGCGGAACGTAACCCATTCCCACCCCTCGCACTTATCCGGCTCCATCACCTAGCAACTCATCAGTCACCGCCTACACAACCAAGCCCCAACAGCAAAAAAACAACTCACCCTCGCCTCCACCACCCCTCTCTGCTCTGCTCTCACAACCCCCCTCACAAAAACCGTAACATAATGCTCCCCACCCGCAAAGAAAGTCTCAGTAGCCGTCAAAAAGCGCACATCCTCAATTTCCAACCCCGTTTCTTCGAGGACTTCGCGCGCAGCACAGGTTGCGAAAGTTTCGGCGGTTTCGAGGTGGCCTCCTGGGAGGGAGAATGTGCCTATCACTCACAAGAATTAGAGGTACGTTTTACTGGAGGGTTTGTGGGGGGGATGACGGCTGACCTGCGCCTATACTCCCTTTCCGCTTGCCTATGAGGAAGTGAGTGGAGGTGGGGGATCTGAAGACGAAGACGCCGACGCCTACGCGGGGGTATGGGTGAGGGGTGGGCATTGTGTTGGTGGATGGAGGAGGGTGCGTGTTAAATGATTCAAAGATGGACGAATGTGCTCGCTATCTACCGCTGGTGGATGGAATGAGGGGGATGCCATCGTGACTCACACGGTGGAAGGTTTATCAGGTTGAAGTCGTTCAGGCGATTCAGGATGCAATTCCCAATTTTATATCGAGCTCTACTCTCCCACCTAGACGTACAATTCACACAACAACCCTCTGAGAAGGGAAGAAGAAGAAAAGGACGCCGCCCAATGGAGGGAACAAACCGCATATATCCACAACAACGACAAACAACCCCGTCAGTCTATAAGAAACTCTACTCCCCACTACAACTCATCGTGTCCACTCGGCTCATCATCGCCATAATCCGGCATGCCGCCCGCGCCGCCAGCATAAAGCTTGCTAGTAATGGGGTAAGCAACATCCGACAGCTTCTGCTTCTGCTCCTCAAAGTCCTCCGTGAGCGCGGTAGCCGAGTTCTCCTCCAGCCAGTCCTGCGCCTCCTTGACAGCCTCGAGAAGCGTCTCCTTGTCGTCGTCGTCGATCTTGCCGCCGAGGCCTTCGTCGTCGTTGATCTGGTTCTTCAGGCCGAAAGCGTAGTTCTCCAGGCCGTTGCGCGCTTCCACGCGTTCGCGCGTCGCCTTGTCTTCTTCGGCGTAGCGCTCTGCTTCCTCCACCATGCGCTCAATTTCTTCGGCGCTCAGGCGGCCTTTGTCGTTGGTGATGGTGATGGATTCGCTCTTGCCTGTGCCCTTGTCGCCGGCGCTGACACGCAGGATTCCATTGGCGTCGAGTTCAAAGGTGACTTCGATTTGCGGCTGGCCTCGTGGGGCCGGGGGAATGCCGGAGAGTTCGAATTTGCCGAGGAGGTTGCTGTGAAGATATGTTAGCAATGAATCGCGTGAATATGCTGGTACGAATGTTACTCACTTGTCCTTGGTCATTGATCGTTCGCCTTCGAAGACCTGGATCAAGACGACGGGCTGGTTGTCGGCGGCCGTGGAGAAGATTTGAGATTTCTTGGTAGGGATGGTAGTACCACGCTTGATGAGGGTGGTCATGACGCCGCCGGTGGTTTCAATTCCGAGAGTGAGAGGGTTGACGTCCATGAGGACAACACCGCTGGCCTCTTCTTCACCAGAGAGCACACCACCTTGGACGGCGGCACCGTAAGCGACGGCCTCGTCGGGGTTGATACCCTTGCTGGCCTTCTTGCCGAAGAACTCCTCGAGCATGGCCTGGACCTTGGGGATACGAGTGGAGCCACCGACGAGAACGATGTCGTGGATGTCGGCCTTGGAGAGCTTGGCGTCCTTGAGCACTTGCTCGACGGGCTTGAGCGTCTTCTTGAACAGGTCGTTGTTGAGCTCTTCAAACTTGGCGCGGGTCAGAGTCTCGGAGAAGTCCTGGCCGTCGTGGAACGACTCGATTTCGATCTTGGTGCTCATCTGGCTGGACAGAGTGCGCTTCGCCTTCTCGACCTCGCGCTTCAGCTTGCCCATGGTTTTGGCGTTCTTGGTGATGTCCGTGTCGTGCTTCTTGTTGTACAGCTTGGTGAAGTGGTCGACCACACGCTGGTCAAAATCCTCACCACCCAAATGAGTGTCACCGGCAGTAGCCAGCACCTCGAAAACGCCCTCATCGACGGTCAGGATGGAGACATCGAAAGTACCACCACCGAGATCGTAGACGACAATCTGGCGTTCCTGGTCGGTCTTGTCGAGGCCGTATGCGAGAGCGGCAGCGGTGGGCTCGTTGACGACTCGGAGCACATTCAGGCCTGCAATAGTACCGGCATCCTTGGTGGCAGCGCGCTGGGCGTCGTTGAAGTAGGCTGGCACGGTAACAACCGCATTTGTAACTTTCTCGCCAAGGTATGATTCGGCCACTTCCTTCATCTTGCCCAAGATCATGGAGGAGATTTCCTCGGGGGTGAATGTCTTGTCCTCGCTGCGCACGTCGTCAGAATCACGTCTATATTCATCGCATTCAATTGTACTCACCCGCCGACGTCAACCTTGACACGAGGCTGGTCATTCTTGTTGATGACCGAGAAGGGGAAGTGCTTGATATCCTTTTGAACATCCTTGTCGTTGAACTTGCGCCCAATCAATCTCTTGATGTCAAAGACGGTGCGGTGAGGGTTGGCGGCGTATTGATTCTTGGCTGCGTCTCCGACAAGTCTCTCCTCGTCGTTCCACGCCACCCAGGAGGGCGTTATCCGGTTTCCTTGGTCGTTGACGAGGATTTCGACTTTGCCACCTTTCATAATACCCACACAGGAGTAGGTAGTGCCGAGATCGATACCAATGACTGGATGGGGGTCAGCTGGAGTTGTTCTCGTAGACAGGTTTGTTGGTGCTGAGGGCGCCATGCTTACCTGGGCCAGTGACTTCATTCTTGACCTTCTCCGTCGCGGCATCTTGCGCACGTGCGGAGGGGATCATGCCCATGAAGAGCATGGGAAGCAGCAGGATGCTGCAGATGTAAAAGGCGGTCATCCATGGCGAAGTGACTCGCACACTCGGCCGGCTCTTCTCTCTTGAAAAGCGCCCCATGTTGGAGTGTGGTGGAGGGGGGAGGAGTGTTGGACAGGGGAAGGGAGTTGAGCTCGTGCTCCCCTGGAAACGATTCGAGGGCGGGGCCCAGGAGGGAGAAAGTAGATTGAATCAAGGGAAAGCAACAGCGTGCTATTGGCGAAGAAAAGTCGAAAGAGGAGGGAGTGTGAGAATGGGATGAAGGAGGGAAAGGAGAAGGGGAGGTGGTGGGATATTATGACGGCAAAGGTCCAGCTGTCACTTTATCGAGCGCCTCGAAACTTTTCCACGCCGTCTCTTGCCCAAAAGGCCAACTTGCACCCAGGAGGCCGCTCGAGCCTTGGCAAGGGTCTTCCCCGCAAACGGGCCAATCACATTCCTTTGCCGCCGTCGATCCGTCCGCTTTGGGATTGCCCGCCCAACTTCAGGTCGTCCTTTCATCGAAACATCTACACTGCCGTGCCGACTGAACGCCACATTTCCTCTATTCAAAATAGCCAAAGACACGGTGGCATCTTCCACAGCGCCATCATGGTCGAGCATCACCTCGAGAAGAGTCAGAACGGCCAAGACATGCGCACATTGGCATCTCATCCATCAGCATGGCGAGCGAGCCGAACTGCCCCATCTCCTCTAGCCAGGATGCCATCAAAAACATATCGTCACGCTGCAGCATTCCCTCGTCGCTGCCTCGAGCGGTGAGATTAGCCAGACCAGCCACTATCATCATCCTCAGCTGGTCCTCCATCTTCCTATCGTAGTCTGCCTGTCTGGCACATTTCTCGCACAATCCTTTCTTGTAAAATGCATCAGCAAAGCGTAAGGCTCTTTCATTGTTTCATTTATCGGCGAGAACTGCCAGATGGCCGGCTTCTGTGAGATCTTTTGCTGGGAAATCCGCTCAACTGCTCCTGGCTGTCAGGTCAGTCTCTGAACATCACGACAGCCTGGCAATCGGTTGGAACCCCTTCCCGCTGGCTTCTTCTCTGCTTTGCACACTGGGATGCGCCAGAATGGCCGATCATCCTAGTTGCATTTCTAGGTCTTGAGCTCGCCGGGCTGTTGCCATCTCGGCTCCTCTCTTCCCCCGCATAATTCATTGTTCTGTATCGCATCTGCTTCATATCCCACACTCCTGCTGAGAGCGTCCTCATCGCTTGCAATGAACGCAAAGTCGTCATCACTGCGTTTCCTCAGCGTTCATTCAATATGAGCTGCACGCCAAGCCCCAAATTCACCTCGCTCCTTCCCAAACTGGAAACTTCCCTTCATTTCGGCTGCACCCGCTTTGCACGTCGCACAACCTCACCTCACCCTACAAACGACAATACATCTATTGTCGCACGCACAAACCTTAAGTTGCAGACTTTTCTGCCTAAAACTCCTCTCCAACCTCTTCCTTCTCACACAACACCTTTTTGCAAGAACGTTGCCTGCTTGTCCCTTCTCGACAAGCTCATCCCCATCAAGCAGCCTTCTCTTCTTGCGCACCATCACCACCACCATGTCCTACTCTCGCGAGGACGATCCGCTCGGCGAGCTCGTGGCCGTTTGCGCGGCCTGCGCCGTGCTGTACACGCTCGCCATCGTGTACTGGCTCTCCTGCTTCGGTGTGTGCCGTGATCCTGCGGCTCTCTTTTCTGCCTTTGCCTGCTGGATCGGGTGGAAGATCCTGGTGTTGATCGGCCCTGCCTCTGCGCAGCACGACGCGCCCACACCACCACCAACCCCCTGGATGCCTGGCTCCTTCCCAGCATCCCCGCCTTCCGCCTGTCCGCTGTCTCTGGCTGCCTCTCCTCCACCACCAACCCCCTGGATGCCTGGCTCCTTTCCAGCATCCCCTCCGCCTGCCCGTCTGCCGCCTCTCGCCGCCTGTCCTCCGCCGCCTGCCGCCGCTCCTGTGCAAGCCAGACCTTGCCGCCCTGCCCCTCAAATTGGCACGATCAACCCCGTAGCCAATCATGGGATCTCAGAGCTCAAGGCCAAGCAATACTGGGACCTTCGCCACGAGGAGCAAAAGGCCCGGGATTTGGAGCGGTACTGGTACCGCAGATCTGACAAGTTCAAGGAGGACGTCAGAAAGGCGGAAGAGGAGAGGAAGAGGAAGGTGCAGGAAGAGGAGGACTCTTGGACCCGTTTCTGGGCCCCAATCCGCGCCAGAGAGGCCAAGGAAGCCGCCGAGAAGGCCGAACGGGAGCGACCTCTGCCCTCCGACCCTGTCCGCGAGCAGAAGAGCCTGGCCGCCTTCTCTGCTGCCCTACGCGTTGGTGGCAAGAGCAGCGGCTCACTCTTCGAGCCCGACTACATCCCGGAGGACATGCCGGTGAAGTACGTCGCCGTCCGCGCCTGCGGGACAATCTTTTTCGCTGCGACCTTCCCCTCGGCCGAACCGGCGCCTCCCCCACCGCCGCAACAGCAGCAGCAGTACTTCGCGCCGCCTGCTTTCCCCTTCGTGCCGGCTGGGCCGCCTCTCCAACCAGCACAGCGGCAGCAGCAGTACCTCGCGCCGCCTCCTCCCTCCTTTGTGCCGGCTGGGCCACCTCCCCAACCGGCACAGCAGCAACAGCAACAGCAGCAGCACGCTGTCCTCCTCTCTCCGGCCGTCGGCGCACCTCCCCCGCCGCCTCACCACCAGCAGCAGCAAATGCTGCCCACCATCGCCGCCTCCTGGGTCCCCGACCCAATGGAGGACGTGCAGTACCACCCAGTGGCTGCACCTCCTCCTCCGCCACCTCAGAACCCCTCTGGGGCGCCCACAGGGCTGCTCCCAGACTTCTCGAGCCTGGCGATCTCAACGCCAGCTCCCGCGGCAGCGGCAGCTGCGACTCCCGCTGCTCCGTCGAGAGCGGTGCCTCCGCCGCGGTCGGCCTTTGCGCCAATCTCCTTCTCTTTGGCTGGTGCCGTGCCCGCTGCGCCCGCTCCCTTCAGCGTCGCGCCCGCCGCACCTACCTCCACTCCGCTCGCCTCCGCCGCGATGGCGCCAGCGGCACCGAGAAAGGTCGCTCCTCCGGCCTCTGCTCGCGTAGCCGCGCCGATGGCGCTCAGTTTCCTCCCGGCCGGCGCCGCCACCTCCACTCCGCTCCCCTCCGCCGTCGCCGCCGCGCCAGCGGCACCGAGAAAGGTCGCTCCGCCGGCCTCTGCTCGCGTAGCCGCGCCGATGGCGCTGAACTTCCTCCCGGCCGCCGCGCCAAATCCCTTCGTGTCTGCGCCTGCTGGAGCACCTCCTTCTGCTTCCAGCTCCGGTGTTGCTGGACCTTTGCCGCCGTCGAAAAAGGCCCAGGCAAACCCCTTGACCGACAAGGGGGCGGATTACGCCGCTGCCCGCGTCATGATCAAGGGGTGGACGGACGCCGTCCAGACTGGACTTGGCAGACACCGCACCAGCATGAAAGCCATCAATGATGTGAGGCAGGGGTGGTTCAGGACGACGAAGAGCATTGACGGCGTCATGTTTCTCACGGATTTGCGCAAGCGGATGAACTGGATCTGCGAGTGGGCCATCATCCCCGGCACCAACGACCTGGACAAGCAGAGACTGGCGCCACACATGTACGCCGCTCTGGGACTCAAGGGCGCCGAGTTTGACGACTTGTACAGCGAGATTATGAAGGGAGAGCAGGTCATCACGCAAATTATGAACACGAGGAACTTGATCACGGAGGCGAGAGAGGCGCTGGACAGGGTGAAGAGGGACTTGTACTGAGCTGGACGTCATGAGACACGACTGACTACCGATCTAAGAGAAAACGCCAGAGAACGCCATCGCTAAGGGTGAGGCAGGAACGGAAGGCGCTCGAGTGCTTCGGAGGACCACTTCGGTGCGCTTCATCCGAACATCTCGTCGTACTCTCCATCCTCTTCGTCTGGCGGCGGCGGCGGAACGGTTTTCTTCTTGATGAGTTGTTGGCGGTCCATGGGGCAGGTCGGATTGAGCTTGATCCACGGTTGAATGCATTCGAGGTCGAAGGCGTGCTCGCCTTGACATGGGAGTTTGACGACGAGAGGATGCGAGTCTATTGGAAGAGGGAGAGAGAGAGAGTCAGCGTTGAACATGATACCCCCACTGTTTTTGCTTTGCGTGCATGACAGACAGACAGACAGAATGAACACATACCTTCCAAAAACGCATTCCCGCAAATCGGACAGCTCATATTCTCGCGCAACTTCTTCTTCGGCACCCGCTCCAACTGCTCAATATACTCATCACTGACGCCCTGTACTTCCGGCGGCGGGTGCTCCGCGCTCTCCATCAAACTCTCCACCAATCTGCCCAGCAACTCATCGCTGCTATCCGAGGGCTCGACGTGCCCGTCGCTGCTGCGCATCATTTCGTAGGCGTTGGCGAGGTTGCGGAAGGCGGCGCTGATGTCGCGGGGCATGGGGAGGGCGTGGGTGTTTTGGGGTTGGCGGGCGCCGGAGGTGTCGACGTGGTCGAGGGTGGCGAAGAAGGTGGTGAGGTCTGGTCTTCGGCGCGGTTGTTGGTCTTGGGGTTGCGGTTGGATGCCGTGTTCCACTGGGGGATTTGTTAGAGGGTGTGGGTGGAGGGATAGATGCTTTGTGGCAGTGCTTACCTTCGTAGCCTGACATTTTGTCTTGAGTGGAAGGGAGAGAAGACGAGAGAGAGAGGAGAAGAGATGGAATGGAAATATTTGAAGTATGAAAGTCCTCCAGGCACCTCCGACTTGCGCATTCATTTGCCCGCCGCCGCGAATTTCCGCTTTCGGCCAAGCGAGCGATTGTCTCGCGACGTCAGTTGTCGCATGACCAACTCGTCTACTACACCTCCACCACCTCACACTCGACAGACGCACCAGCATCAGCTCGAGGAATGGTCGACGCGCTCGCCATGCGCCATGAGCGACGACAACCCTCCGAATGGGCGCGACGATGACGACGATGTATTCGCCGCGCCGAGCAGCAATGACCAGCTTGCAACACCCGCCTTGACCCCAATCAGCGAGCACGGCAGTCGTGAGAGCTCGGCTTTTCTTGACGGTGAAGATGAGCAGGGAAGCAGAAGATCAGCAGATGCGGTGATCGAAGTGGACAAACAAGCTGTATTATCGACACAAAGCAATGGCGCTGTCAATCGCGAAAGCAGAGCTGGTAGTGCGACTAAGTTGTCCCACTCGCAGTTGCAAGAGTTTGTTCAGTCGCCGGAGAATCTGCCTGTGCGTGTGCTGGATGAGAGTGGAAGAGAAGGGTCAACGGTGCACAGTCGGCGCCCGTCTGACCACATCCCTCCAATCGGCTTGGATGCCAGCGATATACACACGACACCTGCTGGAGACTCCTTGGACAACCATACCGGAAGCAACACATTGCAGAGACTTACCGAACCGTCTTTCCTCGGCGCTACCCCTGCAGCCATCACCACTGCTCGCCCATCGAAGGGTTCGCGCTCGGCGTCCACTCCTCTCGTTCACCGCAAGTCGTCTTCCTCCAAGCCCTCCGCGGCAAGACCAGCGCTGGACCCTCTCAATACCGATGATTTGAATGCCGCGCAAACCGTGCGACAAGCCAGGATGACACCCACGCTGGACCGCTTCCCCTCCCCCGCGCCACCCCTTCTCCCAATTCCACCATTCTCTCTGCCCACCTACCTCCAACTCGAACTATCCTCAGATCGACCCTCGGCACTCTACATCCACCGCTCCACCAGCGCCGACTTCCCGTATGAATCCTCCAAAGTAAAGTTTGAGCGACTGCTCAACTTCCTCTGGCTACCGCACAACCTCGAGCAAGTTCTGTGGTTCGGAGCGATTGCTTGCTTGGATTCTTGGCTGTATACTTTCACCATCCTCCCCCTACGATTCTTCAAGGCGATTAGTATCCTTCTACAGTGGATGCTTCACAACACCATCAAGGAACTGCACGATCTCAATGCCTTCGTATATTCCGGCATCGGCCGAATGTGGCAGAGGAAGCGAGGCAGATCCTTCTCCGAGACGCCGAGAGGCTCGATATCGGAAGGCGACAGCTCGCGGCGACATTCAGTAGTGGATGCGACGGCAGATGCGGCGGCATCGAAAATGAACGGACACATCTCCCACGCACCCACCGATCGAAAACGAAGGACGAACAACCCAGCCTTTCGCCATCGTCGAACGAAATCCACTCCCTCGGCTCTACTGCCCAACCACAAAGCCGACATTCTTCAAGGCCTTCTCGTCATCATCAGCTGCACTCTCCTCATGTACTTTGACGCGAGTCGCATGTACCACAGCATCCGCGGGCAAGCAGCCATCAAGCTCTACGTCATCTACAACGTCCTCGAAGTCTTTGACCGCCTCTTTTCCGCCCTCGGGCAAGACGTACTGGAATGCCTGTTCAGCAAGGAGACGTTGGAGCGCGACGAGCACGGCCGCAGCAAGATCCTGCGGCCGCTCTGGATGTTCTGCCTCGCGCTCGTCTACAACGTCACGCACGCCACTGCCCTCTTCTACCAAGTCGTGACGCTCAACGTCGCTGTCAACTCCTACAACAATGCCCTCCTCACCCTCCTCATGAGCAATCAATTTGTGGAGATCAAGGGAACGGTCTTCAAGAAGTTCGACAAGGAAAATCTCTTCCAAATGACGTGCGCCGACATTGTCGAACGCTTCCAACTCTGGCTGCTCCTGCTCATCATCGCCTTACGCAACATCGTCGAAGTAGGCGGACTCAGCATCTCCCTGAACAGCGCCTTCGGCGACTCTCCCGAACCCTTTAACCCCGGACTCAACGGCACGTCCGCCATCCCCCTCACCTCCGCCTTCGTCATCCCCAAAGCCTTCACCCTCTTCCCCAAATGGACCGGCGAAGTGCTCGGACCCTTCCTCATCGTGCTCGGCAGCGAAGCGCTAGTGGACTGGTGCAAGCACGCGTACATTGGCAAGTTCAACAACATCAAGCCCAACATCTACTCCCGCTTCCTCGACGTGCTCGCCAAGGACTACTACACCCACGCCTTTGCCGACCAGAACTTAACGAAGCGCCTCGGCCTGCCCGTCATCCCGCTCAGCTGTCTCGTCATCCGTGCTTGCATGCAAACTTACCACATGTTCCTCGCAACCCACATGCCACTACCCATCGCCTCCGCCGCAACGAGCATCTCCCTCGAATCAGACTCCACAGGCCAAATCCCAGCAACAACCGCCGCACTGCAACACATCGACGACATCTTCCGGCGCGCCCTCGGGCGCTCCTCCTTCGGCGCCGGAGGCGGAAACGGCAGCGGACCAAGCACATCTACCTTCAGCTGGTGGAGCGTAGACGACCTCATCGCCTTCGCAACCATGTGCGTCTTCTTCCTCGCGCTGTACCTCGTGCTCTTGGCCCTCAAACTCATCCTCGGCATGGCGCTGCTGTCGTTTGCGCGCAAGCGGTATGCAGGGATGAAAGCGCGGGAGGGGGAGAGTGTGGAGACGCAGGGGAAGCGGGTGGGGCGGTTGGCAACGGTGGAGGTTGGGGAGGATAAGCGGCGGTGGATTTATGGGGACGATGCGGAAGGACTCAGAGAGGTTAGGGAGAGGGAGGAGAGGGGGAGGCGGGCGGCGAAGGCGGAGATGAAGCTGGATGGCGTTATGCGGTATAGTATGGCTGGTAAAAGGATTTGGTAGAGCGTTAATGCCAATTTGCGTTCAGTTGTTATGAGTGCGCTTTTGCCGCCAGGTGTAGATTGTCAAAACTTGTGAACACGTTTAAAGTATGAGAGAAGCGATTGCTATTCCTCCACCTCCATACGAGCATGCGGATTTAGCTCCGACTAGCGAGGACCGCCGCAACATCCAGCCACCACCTCACGTCCACCTCACGTCCCCACGATACTCGCAAGAGGGCGCGACCAACTCACGTCGAAAAATGGAAAAGCTCAAGGGCCAAGTCTCAGGCCTGCTGTAAGCCCAACATTTACCTACCTGCAATAAAACCCCAAAGAGATGTTGATCAGCCCCCGCGCAGGAGCAAAGGCCTCAAATACACCGACAAAGAAGCGTCCGAGGCGCAGCGCGACCTCGAGCACTCCGTCGGCCTGGGCCACAAACCCAACCAAGTGCCCGACGGCACGCCGGATATTAATGGCGAGATGCGCACGATTATGCTGGGGTGGCATGTGAGTTCTCCCCCTTGACTTTCATCCTCCGTGCGCGGCCATGCTGATTCGTGTATTGTAGCCCGTGGCCGGCGGGGCGGGCAAGTGGTTCGCCGAAAAGACGATCATCGGCAAGCAGATTACGCATCGCATTGGCAAGTTTCCCGATCCAACGCAACATTGGGCGGTGATTGTGGGGGACTACGTGCATGAGTTGTGGATGGTTTGTCGCCTCTCCTCTCGCAAGCGAGTGTGACGACTAATGGGATATTGCAGGACGAGAAGCTCGACATCATCTACTTCAACGAGAAACATGTGCCGGAAGAATGGCACACGTACGAAGTCGGCAAGACGAGGTTCAATGATCAGGCGTTGAGAAAAGCAGGTGAGGCTCATTCATCCCAACTACTTCCATTAAGAATCCACTCACATACTCTCCCCAGGCCAAATGACGATCCACAACATGCGAGAAAAACACGCAGCCTACAACCTCATCAGCAACAACTGCCAAAACTTCGCCGTCAACCTGCTCGACAAAGTCCAAGTCGGCGCGCACAAGGAGTTCGCCACGGCGTTTACAGTCTACCAGCACGCCACGGGCGACCACGAAGTCATGGATCTCTGGCAGGACAAGCAGCCGGCGGAGCAGCAGAAGCTGGACGAGGATGCGGCGGAAGTGCCGAAAGCGAAGCGCGACGATACCACGCAGGTGGCGGAGCAGGTGATGAAGGAGAATACGACGCATTTGGATCACGGGGATTGATTTGATGGTGCAAGACAGCTGGGAAATGAAGACTTTTTGGTCTCTATCTGGAATTAATTACACAGTACGTTCGTTCTAGTGGACTCTCTCTATCCCCCAGCAACGCCCTCTCCCAAACGACACAAGGATATCTCAAGCACATATGAAACAAGAACCCCCCCATCCTTTCCTTCCAAGGAAATACAATAACACCACGCTAAGGCTTCAACAGCTGCTCCTTGCGGTAGAACTTGTAGAAGCCAACACAAACAAACAAATTAAACGCCAGCGCAATCCAGAACCACGCCTGCCAAATCGGCGCCACGCCGCCGCTGATATCCGGCGAAATGGGGCCGGGCCCAATGCGGTTGGGCGCGACGCCGCGCGCGAGCATCGTCGTCGCGGAACCGAGCACTTGCGTCGCGATCACGGTGAAGGCGACGTGCGAGCGGGTGAGGGTGGAGAGCATGATCATGCCCAGGCCGACGCCTTGGATGGCGTCTAGCACGCCGAGCCAGAGCCAGAGGGTGCGGGAGATGAGGGCGCTCCAGAGGAAGCTGGGGGCCCAGGGGAGCCAGAGGCCGATGTTGCTTGTGCCCCACCAGATTTGCGCCCATCTAGAGAGAGAGAGAGAGAGTTAGTCAATGCTGAACGATAGACGTGGCTTGGGATGCGAAAGCCTTACCTGGGAGCACCCAGTCCAATGGCAAAGAGAGGCAAGATCCAAGCATGCGCCTTCGACAGCTTACGGAAGATCATAAGGGCAACACCCCAAACGCCAACAAAGAAGATGAGCATCAAGCACAGCACCTGCCAAGTGGAGGCATGCGTGCTGCTGAACAGGAACGCCCAATTGCGCCCGTACGGCGCACTGAGGAAGAAGTTCTGCACCGCGGCGGTGAACAGGAACCACAGCACGACCTTGCGCTTCATCACCGACCGGTAGAAACGCGGGATGCGCCCGGGCGTCTGGCGGTAGTAGTCGGGCAGACCGACGTACATGGCGAACCCCACGGCCCACAAAAAGCCGGCGATGGGGAGGGTGATGGCGGTGATCTTCCAGCTGCCGGCGAGCGTATCGGTCGTGATGACGATGCCTTGGGATGTGCGCCTCGTCAAGACAGAGCCCCAGTACCACAAAGCGGCGACGTAGATTTGCTGCGAGCCCTGAATGACGCAAGCGCGGAAGACCCACGACTTGACCTGCGCGCCTCCCTCGTCTCCGAAGTTGAGGGAGAAGAAGAGCGCACCGGTGGCGGAGCCGACTGCGTAGGCGCCTGTGCCGGCATTCTGGATCCAGAACTTGTCGGCGTAAGAAGCCCAAGGCGCGACGCCGATGAGGAGGAAAGCGATGCCATAGAAGACGAATGGGAGCGAGAGAGACAAGACCGCGGGTCGGCGGCGGTAGAGCCACCACCAGCAGAGCGAGGAGACGAGGTAGATGGATGCGATGATGTAGAGCTTCGGCGCCGTCTCACCGATTTCACCGGTCAGCAGCACAATCTGGTAGCTGTTGGCAGCAATAATTTGGCCGAGGGCCATGAAGTAGGCGTAGACCGGCCAGCTGAGGAAGCGGTATTGCATGTACTTCCTCAGGCCGCGAGGCGGCTTGTAGTCGGCCCCCAAGAGGAATTCGTCTGCGTTGTCTCCGGATTGGTCGTCATCGTCGGAGCTCGTCCTCTCTCGAGCAACGCGCTCAGCGGAGGAAAGGCCCCAGGACAGAGTCCGAGACTTGCGATTAATCGACGAAGGCCGAGAGCTGGGAGCGCGACCGAGTTTGGCATTGCGGAAGCTGTTGAACCATTGCTTCTCCGACTTGATGAGGAACTGCTCGATGCAGTTGCTTGTCTCGGAGTTGTTCTTGTCGAGGCTGTCGAGCTTCTTGCTGAAAATCTCATAGTAGTAGCCATTGCTATCGGTGAAGAATGGATCGACCTTTTGGAGGTTGTAGTCCTTCTTTTCGCCGACGATCGAGTCAACCGATACCATGGAGCGGGTCCGGAGCAGCCTAGGCGGATCCTGGGGGATCGGCGGTGGTGCATAAGGGAAGGCTGCGACGACCTCGGCATCGGTATCAGCATGAAGGGCCGCATCTTCCGCATGTTCGTCATCGTCCGAATCTCCGGCATCCTCGTAGAACTCATCCTCCTCGTCATCATCAGAATGAACGCCGCTCTCCACAGGCGCATAGCGTTGTCGAGAGGATTGTCCACTCCGCGAAGCGGAAGAAGCCATTCGCTGCAGCGGAAGCGGCCACTGGGAGCTCTGCGGCTCATCGTCGTCATGATAGGAATCAGCGGCGACCAGCCTCGCTCGGGCCGGTGCCGACTGTGCAACTTGAAACTCCTCAACTTCAAACGACGGCCGCTGGATTTCCTCATCATATTCATAGGGGTCATCGTCAAGGTCGTCGAGGTCGTCGTGGTAGCTGCTAGCCTCGCTGTCCGAATCGTCGTCAACGCCGAGCTCGGGCGAGGGGAGTCGTGGCACTAGCTCCGTCGACAACGCTCTTCCAACGTTTGGCTTGTGGTTGTCAGGGAAGAAGTACTTGCCCTCGTTGAGGCCACCAGAAGCTTCGCCGTCGTTCCAGTCCTCTTGCTCCACATGGCCTGGACCTTGGCTGACACCGAATGTTGCTTCCTTGTACACTTCCGCATGGTGTCGTCGCGAGAAGTTTAGACTCTGCGGACGGCTTGCGGTGGAAGAAGGTCTCGATGCTCTATCCACCTCGCCTTCGCTGTTGGTCGGCGAATGCTCGCGGCTTGGAGGAGGCAAGAGAGCAGCACTCGGGCCATCTGGCGACACGGCTCGGTCGGTAAGATCCGTAATACGATTCTGGGCACCGAAATCCACCAGCGTCTCGGCGGAAGATGCGCGCTTCTCCGACTTGACCTTGTGGTAGATGCGCATGGAGGTGGACTGGAGAATTTCCAAATCCTCTACCCATTGCGCTACCGGGAAGCGCTGCTTCGCCGATCGAGCTCGCATCTTCGCTCTTGCGGATGTGGAGGAGCTCATGGCCTCGTTGATAGCGCCCTTGAACTGGTGGAGAAGATGATCGGTCGTCATGCTCTCGATGGTAAACCACCATCCGGGCATTTGACCAAGACCACCGACTCGGGCACCGACACCAAGAGCACCCTTCCTGCCAAACTCGACTGCAACCAAGCCAAAGGGCTCGTCACGAGATGGGATCAGAGCGAATTCGGCTCCGGAGAAAATGTAGGGCGGGAGAGCGGTGAACTCGGGCTTGCTGAAGACTCGCTTGGGATAGAGCTTCATCAGGCGGTCCAGTTTGAGAGCGGCGAATTTTCCGTAAAGGTCGATGACCGGACCGACACAGATCAGCTGGACCTTTTTGTTGGATGCGAGGATGGAGGGGAAGACGTCGGCAATCAAATCGACACCCTTCTGGTTCGACCAGCGACCCACGAAGACGAAGAGTTCGGCGGTCGGATCCTCCTCGAGCCCGGCCCATTGCTGCGCTTGGACACGCATTTGGAGTCTCTCCTTCTCAAACACGGGATCGACTTTCATGTCCGATTCCTTGGGCAGCTTCTTGTCCCACTCGCCGGTATCCGTGGGATCCGGGTTGGGCAGGCCTTGCACGCTTTGCAAACCCCAGAAAATCGGATATCTGGCGTATGCACGCTTGCCATACTTCTTCGAAACACCCACGGCACCGAAGCCGTCCTGGTAGACTCGAAGCAGGGAAGCACCGGCATGCAACAGGTTGAAAATCTCACCGAATTGTACGTATTCTTGGACAACCCGTTCGGGGAGGTTGAAGACGGAGCACACCTCTTGTCGCTCGGCTTTGTTGCGCATTGGCCACAGACCCTGGAATTCGGCATTGTGCAAGGACAGACAGACTGGGAACGATTGCGGCAACAAGTACAGCGGAGCAATCGTTCCGTGGTAGTCGTTGATGTGGTAGAGGTCGACGGGGAAGCGCGTCAGAGCCTGAGCGATACACTGATTCCATGCGGAATAGTAGATGGCGCTCGTCATGTCGTCCATGCGAGCTGGATACGGCTCTGCCTTGGTCTGTTGTCGGAAAACGGGCGCATCGAGAAGGACGTAGGTGATGTTGCGGAGCTTGTGGTATTGCACCTGGACCTCATACTCTGCATCGAGAATGGTCACAAGCATGGGTTCGGCCGTTTCATCAACAGGGTACTCCACGCCGCCAACACAAGGAATCACCCAGATCAAATCTTGGTGGCCGAGATTCTTGCCCATCAGCTGGGCCATGACACCCAGCCCACCAATTTTGACCTTGATGTTCCAGTCCTCGATGTCGTACTCCATGGTTGCAATGAGAACCGTCCTTCGCTTGGAGCCAGAAGCAGAAACCTGAAGAGGGTCATACTTCTGCAAGCAGGAAACGCAGTGGCCGACTTCGTGCTTGGGAGCATTCCTCGGAGGCACCACATTGACGCCCACGCGAGGATCATCGTCCACTTCTTCCACGCTCACCATGAAGCCAAGAGACTTTTTCATGGAGTAGGGAATGAAGGACTCCTTCTGGGAGATGCCGATCTCGTTGAACTTGATCTTGTAGAAGCTGCCGGCGAAGATCCAGACGGAGGCGACCGCGGTGATGAGTGGGATCGCAGCCAAAAGGCAGTAGAGGATGAGCGACACCCACATGTTGCCCGCGGGGATGATGAAGAAGCGCATATCGCCGTCGTTGACGATAAACTTCCAGCTCCAGTAGGGCCTTGGTGGGGCTTCTGTGATGTTCAACACGACTGGGGCGAGGTAGGAAGGCGGCACACGATCAAGGATGGAGTCTCCGTCGATGTCGCCCATGACAACTTGTGAGTCTGGTGCTCCGTTCGGATCCATGCCCCAAACATTGAGTTGAGCGATGGTACCGTTCATGGACCATTCGACCGACCAGTGACGCTCCCAGGTTCCGTCGTCTGTGAGCTGAAGCTGGTTCTCCAACCCAGCATCATAGCCCCAGTAATTGTAAGGACCGTTCAGGAAGAGATGCGGGAAGCGACGTTGCTTGGCACCGATGTCACCTTGCTGTATGTGATCGCTGGAGCCAGACAAGCGGCTGTAGTACTCGACCCGCAGATGATGGCCGTGCCACGCTTGCACCTTGGTGCCAGACCACGGCTGTGGTTCGATCTCGTGAATGCCGCCAGTGTACGGCATCCAGTCGGAGAACGAGGACTCAAAGTTGGTGCTGTATCTCCACAAGTCGGCGCCGGCCGCAGAGTGGTTGACCAGAAGCGGGCCCTCCTCGAGCTTAAGGAAGAGCGACGTCGAATAGTTGGCTTGCTGAAAGACCATGGGGTTCTCAATCTGGCCCACTCGGAACAGGAAGCGATCCGTCACGTTGGTGGTAGTGATTTGACCGAGAGTGCTGACGTTGCTGACAATCAACTGGTGCACGCCATTCGCCACGTCGGTAAGAGTGGCCTTCCATGCCCAGACGGATTGGATAGCACCAACATAGCTGATGTTCTCCGGGCGCCAAACCTCGCCACAGCGCACACTGTCTCTGACCACACTGGGACGAATTTCTAACTCGGTCGTTGATTGGAAAGAGATGCCGTCCGTCACACTGTTGCAGTCCATGGTTTCCGAAAATTGAATCTCGACTTCAATGTCCTCGGTGCTGTACTGGTCGACCTTGGACACGAGACGAGCATCATGACCCGGCTGGAACTTTGTGATCATGGGAATTGGCTCGATCCAGTATTCGATGGGCACGTACGCTCGGAAGTCATACGGCTCCAGAGTGAGAGAGCTGAGACACCCGTTGTTTTTGGTGGCGTTGTTGATGTAGAGTTTCTGGGTGCTGTTCTCCAGAATGTGCTCGTCGTAGGGGTATAGCAGGTTCTTGACATGGGAGCCGACATGGAACGGCGCAATCAGCGCTTTCGTGTTCAGCGTCTGGTCAGGGTCGCTGCACTTGAACTCGTAAGTCTTCGACTCATTGTAGTTGGAGTAGACGAGCCAGACGTAGCCTTGATGGCCAAAGTCTTGCACTCCGTACAGGCCGGATCGCAAGACGCTGTACAGCCCAGTCTCGGTTGCAATTCCACTGGAACCAGGAAGGTAGATGTTCCAGGTCATGTTCGACAGCTGTTGCAGAGCAAAGCCGTCGTTGAGTACTGGGTACGCCTCGCGGAGCTGGTACATGCGACGAAGGATGTTGCGGACCGGCGCAGACGGATCTCTGTGATCGAGACTGACGCTGTCGTCGGAGCACCCATGCCGAACCTTGTCCAAGGGCATGTTGTAGTACTGAAGGGATCCGAGATGATAGCATCCATGCGTTTGCCATGCGGTCGCGGTCGACATGGCTTGGCGGCCAAAGATGTAGTTATCGGCGGTGCTGTCAAGAATGTAGAACTCCTGCTCTTCTCCCCAGAGGAGAAGCGGGAGGCCGGGCATGAGGAGCGTAGTCACGTAATGGCCGAGAAGCTGACGCTGCACACCGTTTGTGATGCCTCCCCAGCGGAAGACATCCTGGTTGGTCGCTCCCATCATGTGACGGGGATCGAATTCGCCGGTGTTTGCGTTGATGAAATCGTTCGTGAGTAAGTACGTATTCCACTGGTCAACCCAATTGAGCGGAGCATCGTAGCCGGCAGCAAGATTGCCGTCCATGCCCAGGAAGCGGGTGAGGGTGCGGTAGACAGTGTAGTGGAAAGCTGCGGAGTCGAGAGCACCATAGCCCGGTTCGCGAATGAAGTACTGCTGGTTCCTGGAAGCGTTGGCCTGTAAAGTCGCCGCTTGAGTGAAGTTTTCCGGGAGCTGGTTAGGCTGACGTCCGCGACCCACGTAGGTGGCACCAAAGTCATTGCCGGGAGTGATTTCACCGGGGAGAAAGAAGTTCTCCTTGCCGAATCGTCGCGCACAAGCTCGCATGGCGTGGTTCATCTCGCTCAGTGCATCGATTGTAGCTTGACAAGCCTTGTCGTACCGGTAACCATCGACGTCCAACATGGCGATTGCCATGCAGTAAAAGTTCTCCAGCTTGGCCCGGACAGGGGGATGCCATTCTCTCAGACGATCTTGCACGGAGGCGAACTTGCTCAATTGACGGCGCCAGTTGGGAAACACACCAAAGGCCTCCGTATCGCCATACTGGTCGAAATCGGAGTTGTAGCAGCCCTGCACTTGGTCGGAGATGTAATCTCCAAGCGGGTAGCCCTCTTGACCCCAGAACGCCGGGTATTCACAGGTCTTGTTGTAGTCATTTCCAAAGTCGAAGTCCCAATACTGCCGGTCGCTCTTGTACTGAACTTGATGCTCCTGCAGAGTGAAGGGTGCGGTTTGATTCAGGTAACCGTCGAATCCGATCAAATCACCGAGAGTAGCGAATGTGTTGTCCAAGACAACGTACATTCCACGCGCGTGAATTTCGTCGATCGCATTGCGCCAGACGTCAATGGTGCCGAAGTGGAGGTCGAGAATGGAGAGATCGAGAGGAGAGTATTGGTCGTAGCCCCAGGGCGCATTGATGAAAGGCGAGCCGGCCAGGTACAAACCCTATTTTCGAAATCAGCTGAAGATCGTCGGAAAAAAGTCGCAATCCCTGCATACCTTGATTCCCATTCCGTGAAGATAATCCAGAGTATCCACGAGACCTTGAATGTCTCCTCCATGTCGCAGCTGATTAGAATTCGAATCATGCTCGTACATGGTACCGTTGATGTTGTCGTTCGTCGGATCTCCGTTCACAAAGCGATCCATGAAGATCGTGTAGAACGGGAATCGCCAGTTCTTCGGGGAAGGTGTATAACGATGATCGTCCCATTGTCCCCAATAGTCGAGCGGATTGACCGCCGTCTTGTTCTGGTTGAGGTTGTGCGCAACATATTGCGGGTCGTATCTGTACGCTCGGGAGAGGGGAACGAGCGTGGTGAGCAAGCAAACGACGAGTCTCATGATGGGCAACATTGCGCCGGCAGTATAGACCTCGTCATACAGCCCACAACAAAGCAACACCTCCGCGAGGGTAAGGTGTGTTGGGTTTCGCGAGAGTAAACAGCAACTGAACAACAAGAAAGAAGACCCACAGCGAGCGACGGGGCGGCGACGAAGTTAAGATATAAGACGAGAGAGCGCGACAGAGCGGAGACTCCGACCTACCCTCCACGAGCCAGACCACCACGGGCGTAGCATCTGGTTAGTCGCTGCAGCGCTGCGTGCGCGCCTGGCCCCAAGTAGAGTTCAAAGTTATTTGAGACACTTGGAGATTCGCAGAAACGCCACCCGCGCTCGCAATGATGCCGCTGGCACGCGAGAGGCAGCGCTTGCCACGGTGGGCGTGGACCGGTGGATCGATGGACCGGGGTGTAGAGAGCAAGACGTAGCGGGAGGGTCTAGAAGGCGTTCAATTGAAGCCGACGGCGTTCGCGCTCAGACTTTCTGGACGTGCGACGCCGTTTGGAGCTCTCCACATGGCAGGGACCGAGCTGCTCGCATTCGCCCAAAGGAGCTTGGGTGGCGACTAGAATAGGCAATGCACGGCAGACTGGTGTCAGATTGGGAATGAGCGTGGCTGCGGACGGACTGGGCCCGGCCGTAAGAAGCGCCCGAGGACTGGCCGGGCCGCTGCCTGTAGCTGCATAAACCTCCCGATTGCTCCCTTCCCGGCCCAGCTACCGATGCAAGTGATGCATCTGGCTGATCAACGATCTGTGCCTGCCGATCTCGACCACGTTTTGTTCTCGAACGCTCCGATGTCTCGGTCATTTCCAGGCCGTCTTTTGGAATGCGCAGAAGATCATGGTGGTGACTTGCATCGATCGACAGAGCGAAGCAATCGTCCTCGCGTGCCTGGCGGAGCAGGGGCATGGTTGACCGGGCTCGTTAGGGGGTTGGGGGCTTGACCTCGGCGCATGCTACAGGCGCCGAACCGGGCTCCCAACGAGACCTCGCCCAGAGATTGGGCAGGCAACGTGCTCATTGGTATGGGCGGCGCTATAGCCTTTATGACTTGGCGTGGTTGTTGCTGGGGTGGACAAGGTTCCCACCGGTATGCTCCGGCCGCTTGCTGCGATACCCTATCCTAGCGAATGAGGTCTCGTCGTGGGGCTCATGCGCGGCGCGTGGGACACTGGTGGCCTCCTCCGCCGCCTCCTGCGTATGCCCAGTTCCTCGACTACGACGGAGCCCGCAGCGATTGCGTATGCGGCAATTTGCGCTGACTCGGCGCCGTTACTGCAGATGTAAGCTTACGGCCGACGGGCTATCCTCCAGTGTGGGGACTGTGCGGGTAGCTGCAAGCCGAATCTTTCCGTCCGCACCTCTACGGTTGTGCGTGTATGAGATGCGACTCCCACGCGGGCGTCATGCCACCACGACCAAGGGAACATGAAACACATGTGTTCTGGAAGCTCGAGGTGAGCAGGGGGCCGCGCGATGCGCCGGGACCGGCAGATGCCATATGATAGGTGCGGACAGCGGCTGGACTGCCGGCAGGAAGGTTGGGATGAGGTTGAGCTGCAATCGCCTAAACCCGATGGGGGATATGCAACTCGATTTGAGATGAGCTTAATCGGGAAAGTGCCACCCTCGGACAAATACCCCGGAACCCCGATGCAGCTGCCCCTGGCGACATTGGCCAATGAAGGAGGCTTGTTCGCATGGGCAGATCCACCATTTGCGATTATCTCCGATCTCACACTGCACCGACAACCCTCTTCCTGTCCTGTTCCGGCATGTGATGAATGCACAGTGGAGTCGCGAAGCTTCAGCCTGCGCAAGGCTTCCTCAACACATCGACGCAATCTTCTTGGCCGTTGCCGCAACTCTTGCCTTGCGTTTTCCACCGATCTGAAACCACCCTCATGAGTATTTGTGTTGTCGAGCAGACGCCTGCTCTCTTTCTACGCAATGGCGCCATCGGCTCCTCACATATCCAGCTTAAGGCCAGCCACGCTCGTTCCTGGGGTTGAAAAGCCATCTCAAGGCTAAAGAAGCGCCACCCAAGCCCTTGAGGCTCCACAGGGGGCCACTAGGATTCCCAGCCAAGACGCTTCTTATCAAAACTCCCCTCAATGCGGAAACCTTCCACTCTCACGCACCTTCCCACGCGCAAAGACGCACAATCTCACCGCTTGGCTCAAAAGCGTTGGCATGATCTCACCTGCACTGCACGCACGCAATGCACATGCGCGATTGGGAAAAGGATCGGCCGCAATAGGCATATGCGCCAGCGCAACCGCCCGCGCACACCCTGCAAACCTTGCGCAGCGAAGGTTTCGCCCTTCCCCTAAGAGAGACACTGCATGTGCCCGCGGGGGAATGGTACGCGCGTGCGTGCGTGCTTCCCCTGCCCTGCCCTGCCCGTTCTCGCTCGTTGCCGAAATCACACCATGGCTCGTTGGGGTGACGAGTGATGCCCTTGCTCGCATGGAACGTGGTGTGATGAAATTCCCACGTGCCGACCTAGACTGTTGCCGATCGGCGATCGGCAGGGACGAGGGAGCGTTGTGCTTCTGGCCGGGTCTAGAGCGCGCGACGACTTCAGCTCCTCCTGGGTGTTGCCAGTTGGGAGCATATCCTGAGCGATGCGAGAGATATGGTGGTGGAAGTGGCAGGAGATAGAGGCTAGTAGTATCGGACACCTTGGCGGGGGTATTCGTGGGTTTCTGAGGGGCGTATGAGTGTCATTGCTTGATTTCCAATAGATGGCTTGCAGCGAAGCCGATGCATCGCTCTGAACCTTCTCAAGCCTCGGAGTCGTTGTGGAGGCCTGCCCCCGTCCTTCCATCGTTCACCCTTATAATTTGATTCGGAGAATGCCTGCCCCAGTTCTTCGTCGACAGTTGCATTTGCTTGTGCCCCGGCATAGATGGTGGAGATTAGACGCGTCAAAACGGCGCTGTCAACCTATATATCTTTATCCATCAACCCTCTCGATATGATTCACCCAAGCGGCTCGCCGAGATTAGACAACGGCGTGAATCCACCAGTCAAGTGTCTTCGCGACCATGCCCAAGACCAACGCCATTGGCACTGAACAAAAGCATGTCGTGGCGACTAGACGCGCCTAATTGACGAGTTGAAGTCAGTCCAACAGACGCGTGAAGTCAGAAGAAAGCCTGGTAAGTTGGCAGCACGAAACGATCGTCAGACGCAGCGTCGATCTGCGCGTCGACGATCGAATGGTTCGCTGCAAGTCATTCTAGCATACCCGAGGTGCAGACGCGGACGCAGGAACGAGGAGATATGGAGTCGACCAGGGGCCCATATCCGCCCTCCTGAGCCCACTACTGGAGAGGCAGGGCGGAGCTGCGGGAAGGTACGTCGCGTTTCTGTGATGACGAGGAGATTGATGGCGCGGGTCGTCGGAACTCATCCGCTGCTGCAGATTGGCGCGGACGGGTACAAGCTCATCAGAGCGCCGTCTGTTCTGGACGCGATTCCAGGAGCACTGACGGTGGACGGGTGATGAGGGCGCGTGAAAGCAACTCGAGCGGTGTTGGTGGTTGCACATGCAGCAGCACAAGGGTAAGTGTCGCGTTCTCCTGTCCGTGTGTCGATCCAGAGACAGCGGAAGTACCGCAAGGTACGTCTCCTCGGTGGTCGGGAGGGCGGGCGAAAGTTGGAACTCCACTCTGTCCGACGTGCATACCCGCCCCTCCCACTCGGTGCGCATCAGTGCCTTGGCCTTCTGTTTGGTCGAGGCAAAGGAAGCCGCGAGACTGTGCAGATCCCCACTCCGATGGAGATGGACAGCTGCCTCCCCAATGTACTGCGCGCAATCCGCGCATTTCGCCTTTGGTTTTGATGATTGGTCAAGAAGGCTGAGTTGCCAAATTTGCGTATATCTCGCAGCCTGGCCCGATCGCTCAGGCATGGCCTTGCTTCGTAGACGATGCCAACGATTCGAAACTGACAAAGATCCCCACATTGTTCGGGGGCTTGCATGCCTTCCCGCCTCTCCACATGTCGGCAGTAATCTGTTGTGTTCGATGAAGAGAGTTGACGGACAACGCCACAGAACCTGCAAGGTCCCCACTCCGTCGCAGAACTTGCAAAGCTCTCCGGCCCCCTCCTTACCCGACCGGTACGTATATCAGTCACACTCCCGCTCCGCATGACTGACTGAGAGGCTGTGAAATAGACCCTGAACAGAGGCACGGAAAGCAATCAGACTTGACATTGCCGGATATGTCACCATACTCGTCGTCATCATCAATCATTCAACTTTGATGTCTGACATTGCCGAATATGCAACCATAAATCGTCGTCAGCGTCGTCAAATCATCCACCCCTCACTCCTCCTTCTGCTCCTCCATCAACTTCCTCACCCGCCAATCCTCTCGCACGATGAGCAACTTGCCCTGCGACACCCGCAGCACCGTGTACACGAGATTGACCAAATAGACAATGACAAGAGCAATGATCATGATGACGGTGATGACTCTATAAGCGGGGGAGTCGAGGTCGATGGCAAAGAGCAGGAAGGAGGTGGTGAGAGTGGAGTTGGGGAAGATGATGCCGTTCCACGCGGGCGTCCAGCGGAGTTCGCGCTTCACTGCTCGCTCGAGCATGCCGAGGATGCCGAGGATGAGCCAAATGATGCCCAGGCCGTTCATGAGGAAGGCGAGGAGGAGGCAGGCTGGCGCCAGGGCCTTGGCTGATTCTGCGGTGAGGAAGGTGCCGGTGTTGTACTCGCCGAAACGGCCGTAAGTTGATGCTGCCGAGGCGAGGGTTTGTAGGGCTGCCGAGGATTGGCCTGAAAGACGTTGTCAGCATCGTTGATAATTGAGCGATAGCAACGCATGTACATACCCATGGGTCCAACAAGGATGAAAAGGGTTGCGGTCTGGTCCGGTGCAGGCCATCCTTTCGTAAGTAGAGACCAGAAGAGATAGGACGTGAGGAGTATCCCAAACAAGATGCCCACTCCCGTCCATTGGAAGCTGACAATCATCACCGGGATCGCCAGGCGTGCAGACAGACCGACTGCGTACGTCGATATAACGGCACCTGTTAGGCCGACGGTGGAGACACTGACTGCGGGAATGATGATGCTGAAAGGGAGATTCGCGTTGGAGGGTTCATGTCGGCGGATGAGGATGGTGAAGGCCCAGAACAGCAGGCACGCATTCCACGTCTGCACAAACCACCACATGACATATGCGACGATGGTAAAGGGATAGCCGCCCCAGGATGCGGTGCTGACAAGGAGAGCGACGCAGCCGGTGAGCACCATGAAAGAGATGGCCCAGCATGATGTGAATGTGAGCTCGGCGATGTTGTCGACGATTTCGAGGTATGCGGCCTTCCGAAACCACACGAAGCGAGCGATGAAGAGGATGGAAAAGACGACGTAGGTGACGAGGGCGATGCAGAAGAGGATGTCGGCGAGGATGTCGATGCCCTTGAAGCGGAGGGGGGTTTGATGTAGCAGGATGGCAAGAGCGCCGCTGTTCATGCACCACGTAAACCTGTGCTGCTCGTTAGCCATCGACCTCCGCTCGTGCTCGTCTCGTCTGTTCCCTGGCATGTCAAACGGACCAGATGGGACCAAAGTCTTGGACGAGGGCGCGGAACGCGCCTCGCCGAAGTCGGGACTCGAGCTCGTCGCCATTTGCGTGGCCATTGGCGGTCACTGGCACGTCCGACATGGTGTTATTATCATCCACCATCGCGAGGAAGAAGGAGCTGCATGATAGAATATGGTCAAGAAGAGCCCTTATTACGGACCGGTGACGACGGGAGTGCCAGGAGGTGGTGTGGCATCATGATGCGCATTTCGGGCGAAATTAGCTTTCGGTCCAGCGCGCGGAGACGTTGCCGGCGAAGGCTGACACATGAATGACGAGACATGAAGAGTGCATCATTGATGTGTAGATCGCATGGTCTTTCCTTCCTCGGGGCCGTTCGATGGGAGCATTCGACAGCAGGCCTCGCTGATAGCAGGCAGTCAGTCAATTGAAGTGCTTAATCAGTCCACGCGATAGCAGCTGCATGGAGATCAAAGCCATAGAAGTTCAACCACCCTCAGAAAACACAACCGCACGGTCGAAGCCACCACTGAATCCACTGAACACTTTGGCCTCCTTGCACCGACAAGACACCACCTCGAGCAACGCCCTCAGGAATGAACATCGCAAGGCTGTGGAGCACGGGAGTAAGACGCGAGTGCAGCCTCCTGCGGTCGACTTCCCACCACAGCCGATATCGGCGGCACAGCCCGACGAAATTCGAGAGAAACACACCTCTTCAATTGCATCAGCTAGAGGTAAATGGTGGATTCACAACGAGATCATTCGCAACCGCCACAATGCCGGAGTTCAATATCGTCGTTTTCGGAGGTATGGAGTGTCACGGTGATGACGCATCATTCACATTAGCTGACGTTGAATGTCGCAGGCGACCATTGCGGTCCTGAAGTATGCCGTCCTTCGGTTTTGCTTGATCAGATACCGTATTAACACGTCCCTTCATTCTAGGTCACAGCAGAGGCCGTAAAGGTATCAAATCCCCCTGTTGCTCACCAGAAGTTTATGCTGACAACACCCAGATCCTCCGCGTCGTCCAAACCCACGCCAAAGACATCAAATTCAACTTCCAAGAACACCTCCTCGGCGGCGTATGACCATCTCCATCTCATCCTACCTCACACCCCCGCTAACCCGTAAAACACCAGGCCTCCATCGACGCCCACGGCACCCCACTAACAGACGCCGCCCTCACCGCAGCCAAAGCCGCCGACGCCGTGCTCCTAGGCGCCATCGGCGGGCCAAAATGGGGCACCGGCGCCGTCCGGCCGGAGCAAGGGATCCTCAAGTTGCGCAAAGAAATGGGCACCTTTGGCAACCTGCGGCCGTGCTTCTTCGCGTCGGAGAGTCTGGTGGAGAACTCTCCGCTCAAGGACGCGGTGTGCCGCGGCACGAATTTCATGATTGTGCGCGAGCTCACCGGGGGGATTTATTTTGGGGAGAGGAAGGAGGATGACGGGAGTGGGTTTGCGCTTGACACGGAGCCGTATTCGCGCGAGGAGATTGAGCGCGTCACGCGGCTGGCGGCGTACCTTGCGCTGGCGGAGGATCCGCCGCTGCCCGTTTGGTCGCTCGACAAGGCGAACGTGATGGCCACGTCACGACTGTGGCGGAAAACAGTGACGCAAGTGATTACAGAGGAGTTCCCGCAGCTCAAGCTAGGACACCACCTCATCGACTCGGCGGCAATGCTGATGGTGAAGAACCCGCGCGCCCTCAACGGCGTCATCGTCACCTCCAACTTGTTCGGCGACATCATCAGCGACGAAGCGTCCGTCATCCCAGGCAGTCTCGGCCTCTTGCCATCAGCCTCCCTCTCCTCCCTCCCGGACGGCAAGGGCAAGTGCAACGGCATCTACGAGCCAATCCACGGCTCCGCGCCGGACATCAGCGGCAAGGGGATTGTGAATCCCGTTGCAATGTTGCTGTCTGTGGGTATGATGCTCAAGTACTCGCTGGGGCGCGCGGATTTGTGTCAGCAGGTTGAGGAGGCGGTCAAGGCGGTTATTGACAAGGGGATCCGCACGACGGATATTGGGGGCTCGGCTACTACGGTGGAGGTTGGGGATGCGGTTGCCAAGGAGCTCGAGGGGATTCTGGCGCGGTGAGCGCAGGCCGTTCGACCTCCGGCGTAGTGAGTGCTTCGGTGAGATAGATAGACGTGAATCGCACGGGAATCAAAACTCAAGATAATCTGCTTTTCCGATTGCGCGCCGTATTAAGCTATCTCAATCCCTGCCCATATTCCTCGAAACAGAGTCATCCCATTCCACCCTCACCCCTTCCAGCTCCACGCTAAGAATCGACCTATGTAGAACACAGAAACCACAGTCCCCGCAGCAGCAGACAAACAACCCTCAAAGCCTCACCCCGCTATTCCCCATAGCATCCGCATCCACCTCCGGATCCGGCCTCAACGGCTGCGACGCCTCGAGATTCGCATCCTGCTTCCCCTCCGACTCCTCCGTGTCCTCGGCCCAGCTACGCCGGAACAAGCCCCCGCCGCCACGCTCAAACGTCGCGGAGGACTCGGATCGCCCAAATGTGGACGATGTAGTCGACGACGAAGTCTGCGACGTCGAGGTAGACTTCACCGAGCCGGAGATGTTCTTGCTCGACTCCTCGACTCGCTTCCCTGCGTCTTTGGCGGTGCTTTTTGCCTTGTCCGCGTACGTCTCCGCCTTTCTAGCGGCGTTCGAGGCCGTCTGTTTCACGTTTTCCTGGACTTTGCCTTCGCGTAAGGATTGCTTGACGCGCTGCACATCCTTCTTAACTTCTGCCTCCGCCTGACTTCCTCTCTTCGCGACCTCGTCCTCCGCATCCTTGCCAGCTCGCTCAACAGCCTGCTTAGCCTGCCTTCTCGCGTCCCTCGCGGCCTCTGCGACCTCGTGCAACGTCTGCGAGCCCGAGCGCGCCCTACTGCGCTGGAGATAGGCGCGTGAGAAGAAGCGCAGGAACAGCCATGTGAGGGGCGACAAGTAGATGAGGTTCAAGTAGATGGCAAACGCCTCGCCCGTGGTGTCGATGCAGTTGATCCTCGTCCAGTCGGTGCGATAGCGCGTCTCGACCGTCTGCTCCCAAACTTGGTGCGCCTTTTGCGCTGCATTGCCCGCTGCATTTCCGGCGATCGGAGTGGTCGTAGGTGGGAACAGGCCATCCCCGTGCGGATAAGAGACTCGTTCGGCAACGCCTCCGTCACCTGCGGCGCGGAGCAGTAGCTTTTTGATGAAGGCACCGATGGCTGTAGCGGCGGGAGGGGATGCGATGGCTGCCGAGACTGCCGAGGGGGCGGAGTGCGCGGCGGATTGGACGGAACTCGCTGCGCGCTGGAACGTTCGCATGACGTTGTAGGGGATATCAATCGGGATGTCGTATTGGATGAAGAGATGGGCGGCAGCGTATGATGCGCCCCAGACAAATTGTCCAATTTGAAGCATCGTCAGAGTGCGCTTGAGGTTCTGCGGAACTCTGTAGCCTAGCGCAGAGAGACTGTAGTACGTGTACTGAATAGCACAAATGTTAGTCGCGAGGGTTCAATTCGGAGTGGATTGTACTCACCATCAGCGCGTGGATGCCCGAGTTGACAAAAACAAACATCCAGATCGGAGGGCTCATGTAGCGAATACCAGCCCACATGCACAGCATGGCGCCGGCGTGATGGTATGTCTGGAGCGTTGCACTCCTTTTCCCCTTGGCCAACACGATAAAGGTGTCGATGACTTCGTAAAACTTGCTCACGTAGAAGAACCAGCCCCAGAAAGCCAAGCCTTCGTTCCACAATCTGCCCACGTCTGTGGGATCGGGAACGCCTCTGCTGGTTAGATGGATGGCGGTATTCTTGACCTCCCAGATGTTGATTGTGGTGTTGAATGTCGCCGCATCTCCCAAGCCTCTCGGGCCATGCAGCTTGCAGAAGGCATCGGTGGCCTTGACATTCCAATGCTCTTCATCCCAAGACGGAAGCACGCGAGAAGCGGCGCGGCCCATGGCGATGAAGGTCGCGAAGCTGTAGAGCGCGAGGAAGATGTTGTGTGCTATGACAAAGTATCGAAATTCTGGTGTGCGACTGATCTTCCATGGCTGGCTGTTGCGTCGACGGTTGTAGGAGTTGAAGTTGAGGACGAGCAACATGTATATGCTGGCGACGGCGATGGGGATCTCGGGGCGGAGGACGAAGTTGTACACATCGTGGTCGATGCCGAAGGGTGCTCGGAGATTGCCTTCGCCGACTGGAGAAGGGAGGACGGGGGGGATAGCTTCAGGCAAGAGGGTGAGGTGGGAAGGCGTCCATCGCCAGTGGACTTCGGGATGCGCCATGGTTGGAGGTGATGTTGGAGGGTTGTTGGCGGTTGTTGAGGTTCAACGGAAGATGTAGAGGAACGCAAGGAGTGGGTGAAGGAGGAGTGAATGCGGGGCGACTACCACATCATTCACTGCACAGGAAAAGGAGGTTGGCAATGAATGTCGCGTGGGAGAGGACGCAACGCGGCTGAATGTTGAACAAGTCAGTGGCCGGAGAGTGAGTGTTGTCAATCTTTCAGAAGTGTGGCTGGTGCTTCCCTGATTTCCATGCGGCTCTGTGGCGTCGAAACAAACAATGTCGTCATATTGCATCACGCGTTGCCACAAGGCTTCGACGGAATGCGACGGAGGTCGACATAAATTGACGTCTTCAACAGACCTGCTTCTCTGTTCAAAGTCCAACAATCAGTCAATCGAGCGCAATATCTACAATAACGATCCGTCGATATGTCTTCTTCAAATACCCACCACACCGTTGGCGAGCCCGGCCATCACACGCCCAACACCACCGCCACCGGCGAGACCGGCCAACACAGCGCCCAATCCACCAAGAGTGCCTTCAAAGAAGCGGGTGTACGTTGCCACCAGCTCATGCGACAGACAAAATGATACTTACATGCGTATAGAACTTGACAGAGGGCCTGCGAAAGAACATCAACGAATTCGCCGACGAGCTCTTCACCCATCACGGATCCAAGACACACGGTGGCGACGGTATACATCCGGATGCGAAGAGGACCGGTGATAAGTTGGCCGAAGGTGCTGGAGCAGCTGTCGGCAAGGTCGAGCATGCTGTTGATCGGAACAAGACGGCGACGACGACGACAGAGGAGAGGAGGGTATGAAGTGGTTGTACTTTACCTCAGCCATTTGGCATGCCTTACTTAATTTCAACTGATATAGCTAGATCTTCTTGACTAATCTTGCCGTGATCGCCTCAGGCATTCACTTGCCAAGTCCCCCATCCCATGCCTGCCAGATTAGATCTGTCTTGATCGCCAAGTCCAATTGCTCTCCCTTCGAAATTCCGCTCAGAGCCGGCTGGGCACAAACTTAGTGCCGCAGCCTGGACCAACGTTGCACCCTTAAACCCCGACCGCACGCCTTTGACCACAGGCTCACGCCACGCTGGGCAATACAAGCTTCTGGCTTGCGTACGCGTCCAGCGCCTCCACGCTCCTTTCCCTCCCTCGTCTCTGCCTCGTCGTTGGTCGCCTTCGGCGGCCGCCAGCGGATGTACCAATGCTTGTTTTTCCCTTGGCAGGTTGGGTGGGACTTCACCTTCCTCCTTGTCGCCGCCCAGCCCGCACGGCGCGGAGATTTTCCTTTGCCTCGAATGCAACGTCGTTGGACGCTTTCGAGCGGACACCAGCGGATGTACGAATGCTTGATTTTTCCTTGGCGAGATGTGGTGGTTTCCTGCACTTCTTCTGCTTGCTTTGGTTCCGTGTCTCTTTCCTCCTTCGTAAGTAAGCAGGTGCTGTTCAAGCCACTTCAACTCTTCGCGTGGATACATGTATGCGCTCCCGCGACGAGGTCATGCTTGCTTGTAGCTGGCGTCTGTCTTCCGCCTTTCCTCCAGCCGTCATCTTGCTCCTGCCACTCCCACTTGTCCCGCTTTCCATTGGTTTTACGTTTTTCTTTGCATCAGCAGCTCAATGTTGGAAAGAGAAAGAATGCATTGGCCACTTCCCAAGCATGTGCCAACGTCTCAGACTTGCCTCGTCTCGTCACAGGTTCCTGCTTGGGACCTGAGCATCACTGCGACGTAACCTACCCCTACGTGTACAGTATTGCGACCTTTCTACTCCATCATCGTATCACGCGAAACTGTCATCCTCCATCCAACCCCGACACAATGCCAGTCGCCGTAAGAAGAGCAGCCGTCGCAGAACATACCTCCTCCCCTCCCCTCCCTTCCTCCTCCATCTTCACTCCCCAATCCCTGCTCCAACAATCCCGCTGGATCCGCGATGATCTAGACCCGCAAGTCGCCCGCAACGGCCCCAACGCCCTGCGCTCCGACGACCTCCTGGTCCTCGACCAATTCCTGCGCAAAATACAAGCCTCCAAACTCACGCTGGACGACATCCGCTACAGCCGCCTGCACCTCGCGATGCTTAGCATTTCCGGCTTGGCGACGCGGTGGCCCAACAAATTGATTGAGAGGGCGGATAAATTAAGGGCCGATTGGGAGGCGCTGTATGGCCCGCTGAAGACCTGGGGGACGCCGTTGTATGAGAAGGGTGGGAGGCTGAATGGCTTGTGCAAGGCTGAGGATGTGCATAATGAGATGCTCCTTGCGAAATGGTTGAAGTCGAAAAGTGCGAAGATTAACCCGCTTTCGTCGAGGAAGAGTGGGAGCATTGGCTTCACTGCTGGGGAGTGAGTGGTTGCTACAAGCCCACCGCGCCGAAGCTGTACATGTCGTTGACAACGCGAAACATAGCTGGTGGATCAGCCCCATCTTCGCCTTCAAAGACGGCATCATCGACTCGCCCAGCTCCGAAGGCGGCATCACCGCAGACAGCAAAGGCGCCTACGCGCTTCTGATGATTGATGACGAAGAGCTGGGCAGTCTCTCGCCCACCACTTTCACGTATCGGACAAAGCCACAAGACAACGGTCGATATCGCCTGACGAGCGCTACCATAGGCTCCAGACACCCGATTCGCGTGCTGCGAAGCCATACGTTGCGCAGTTTCTGGGCGCCCAAAGCGGGTGTGAGATATGACGGGTTGTTCGTGATTTGATCTCTGCCACTCAATTCTGTCTCTATTGCATTCAGAATTCATTGAACTAATGGTAACTAGACACAAAGTGGTGGGCTGGTCGATCATCACCGACAAAGCGACGAAGCAGATGGTATATCAGGTGCAACTCGAGCGACTTCCCAGCGAGCCGAGCATGGATGTCGTCCTCCGTCGGCCGTACTCGGATGAAGTGGAGGACTACGGGGAGTACAAGCGTCTTCGACACGTTCTCCGCGAGCAGCAGGAGGAGGCGGCACGAGGGGCGGGCATTGCTAGGCTGGTTGTCAACCCCGACTTCGTGCTCACGGATGCTTGATGGGCGGTGCATGGGAGGTGTATGTCTGTGTAGCCGATACTTCTAGTATCTATTTCACTTTAATCATCTCCAAACAAAGCACACGCTGATCAATCCGCTTGCCGACAGGATCGGAGCTGTCAAGGCTGCAGTGACCGGGGAATTTCCCGCCTCAAACACGCTAGCCAAACCTTAACCCGACGTTGTTTGGCCGACCGGGCGTCTGTTGACGTCGGCCCGCGCGCAAGACCTCCAGCTCGAATCCATCCCGTTCAAACCACCAGCAACCAGCCTCGACAATGTTATCGCCGCCGCCTCAATAAGCCCAACCAGGTGTTGTACCCATCATGGAGGCGCTCGGGAAATTCATGTTCCCCTCCGCCCGCGACACGCCCAGCAAACCCCTCCAAAACCTGTCGCCCGAACGCGTCAATGCCGCCTCTCGACCCCCCAGCACAACCACGCTCTCCACCACCCCGACCTCAAAAACAACCACAACAGCACCCGACGAACCCCAATACTACACCTCCCCGCAATCCCCCCGCTCCCCTCCCATCCGCAGACTCCACGCCGACCTCTTCGCCGACTACCGCCCTACCAACGGCCCCACCTCCCCCAAAGCAACCATCTCCACCTTCGGCGGCCTCACGCAATCGCCCTCCATGCCGGAAATCAACGCCTTGCGAGCGCACGTGCGCACTAATAGTGATGTGCAGGGGCTTGTGAAGCGGTTCGAGCACTTGGACGTGAGGGATAAGGACGCGGAGAGTGCGGAGCGGAGGCAGAAGGTGGAGGCGGAGCTGCGGCGGGCGCAGATTGCGAGGGAGGAGGCGGAGAGTGATGTTAGGCGGTTGAGGGAGGAGGTGAGGGTGCTGAATCGCGAGGTGGATGAGGGAAGGGAGAGGGAGAGGATGGTGACGAAGAGGTTGGAGGTTGTGGCGGTAAGGCTGCCGTTTTCGTGGGGTTTCCTTCTATTAGTCTTGCTGATTTGTGTGCGCAGGCGAATCTCGGGGCTGATAACGACTCGCACGCGTCGCAAACGAAAATATACGAGAAGGAGTTACGGAATGCGAGAAAAGAGGCGTTCAAGTCGTCCTCGGCGGTACTGAAGCTACAAGAAGAGCTAAAGTCCACCCGTAACTCTCTACGCATCACGCAGACCGGATTCGAGGTGGAGAAGCAAAAAGTACAACGCAAGGAGCAGGAGCGTTTCGAGATGGAGTATCGCCTTATACCTCTCCAAGAGCAAGTCGAGAAACTCTCGCAGAAGCTGCAGGTCGCGGAGGCGGAGAAGGAGGCGCTCAAGACGTCGCTGGAGAAGGAGGAAGTCTTGCGAATTGCAGCAGAGGGCAAGATTGCCCTTCCCACGTCCCAAGATCAGGATGACGACCTGTGGTCTTCGCCTCGCAAAATCATTGCCAGCCCGCTATCAGACGACAAGGAGAATATCCCTGTTGTTGCGAAGAAGACAGTGGAGAACCGACACCTTGCCGAGGATTTGAGGCAGGAGAAGATCAAGCGGGAGCACGCGGAGGAGCTTGTCGACTTCATGCGCATGGAGTGCTTGTTCCAATGCTGCCCGTGCAAGACTACGGCAGACCTGCGACGGGAGCTCGAGACCACGCTGGATGCTGAGATGGCTGCTGGTCTGGAGCGGATTCGGAAAGACATGTCTGGCATCTTGACGCCACCTGCGAGCGTTGACGAGACGGATGACATGCTTGTGGAGCAGACACGTACGATGGAAGTTGTGGAGGAGCAGACCACGGCGGCTCGCTCGGTCTCGCCTCCCGAACACGCAACAACGGCTAGCTCAAAGGAGAGCACAGCCATGGACACTGCCGAAAGCAGTTGCCCCAGCATCGTACGATCACCCACAGCCTGCCTGTCTCCGGTCGACCAGCTCCGTGAAGAAGCTGAACAAGCCTTCAACACACTCAGCCCGACACCAACCTCATCAAAACCATTAGCACGAAACAACGCCGAGGCCGAAAACACCCTTACGATCCCCCTTCAGCCCTCCTCACCAACGACCCCAACCTACACCAACCCCCACGAAACAACCCCCTTCCGCCAACAACCCTCAATCCGCACCGTAACCACCACAACCACAATCCCAATGCACTTCACCCCCGTCTCCAAACCCGCTCAACCCGTCTTCGCACCCAACGCCGAAGACGCAGCTCCAACTGCAGCAGCAGAACCAGACTCCGCAGCTCTAATGACACCCACCTTCGACCGCGCCGCCGCGCTCGCAGCCATCGAGTACCGCCGCGGCCGCGCGAGGAGTCTGGCTAATGGGCATGCCACACCGCGTAAGCAGATGCTCGAAGGCGTGAGGGAGAGGCGGGACATCAGCGCGCCGGCGCTGGGGAACAAGGGGGTAGGAGAGGGGATGGGGAGTGTGAGGGGCCGGACGGGGAGTGCTAGTCGAGGGGTGGGGAGGAAGTGAGGAGGAAGTATACACGCGGGCGGCCCAAAAAAGAATTGCACATTTGTCTAGCGGCGGCGTTTGGGATGGACCTAGGCTGGGATTCCCGGGACTTTCAATTCTATCCGCATTTCGTAGATTCGATTGGTACACATCGACCTCTCTACTGCACGTCTGACGTCCGCTGCGTGCCCTTGGCCGGCGTCTCCCAAGGCTCCTTATTCCTCAGCCAATTCTCCATCGTCGGGTTAGGAATCTCGTGCGGTCGGAAGAGCCCTGTAGCACACATTAGCACCGCACCTCCTTCCCAAAGAACACACACCCCGACAGAAGAAGTAAGGACAGCAACATACCGCCCTTCAAACACGTCATATCCGGTTTGGTAGAAGGCTTAATCCACAACCCGCACCCGCACTCATCGCACCAGGCGCGCGTAATGGTGTTGCCGCTTTCCCCTTGCATGCTGTGTGTCCGGGGCGCAGGGGTGGAGGCGGCGGCGTGCTGGGTTATGTCTGCTGTTTTGACGAAGAGGTGGGCGGAGTGCCTGGTTTTCCACCCTCTCGTTGGTAAGTGTATGGTGGGGGAGAGGGGAGGGGAGAGGGCAGGGATGGCTGACATTGCTCCCGCCCATTTGCGGCAGTCGATGCAGTCTGCGTGCGGGGTTGCGTTAGGTCAAGGGACGTCGTGTAGAGTCGCGAGAATGGAGGGTCGTGTCGTTTGGGAAGTGCATTTTACATACGGCATAGGTTCATGCCATCTGGCCTGGAAAGTGATCGGGCAGGGCAGTTTAGTCATTGATCAAGGCAGCTCATCGTGCAGCCTTGCGTATGGGTCGACTCACTTGGGAATGGTATAAGTGTAGCGGCCGCAATTGCAGCCGCCGGTAATCGTGTTTGACATTTTGGCCAATGATAATCCTCGAGTGCTAGATGTGCTGCGAATGGAGTCACCTTGATGGATAACTGTACTAGAGGGTGTGCATGGAAACACTTTTTTCGCCGGTCTTGGTGGTTGCTGCGATGACGTAAAGGCCGAGGGTTTCACGAGGTCGATGGGCGAGATGGCGGTGCTTTCGGCTATGTGATTGACATTGGAATGGCCATGAAATCAACATACATGGTACTCATGGTTTGCTCGAGCAAAGCATGGTAGCAAATCTAGCCTGCCATCAGCTCTTCCAAGAGCTTCCCGAGCTGCTCGTTCTCTATCTGCCCGCTTTCGTTCCCCAGGTCTTGACTTAAGGCAGCGTGATACAGCTCCGCCATGTCTGCGGCAGTCACACGCACCGCCCACCCCATCTCCGTAATCATAGTCATCGTATCGCCCTTCCGCCCAATCATGCCACTCGTCTTTAAGATCTTCTCAACCCATTCCACATCCACCTCATCCCCCGCCATCTGCGCAACCCGGAACAAATTACACATGCTCCGCACCTCCAACTCCTCTCGAACAACATCGAGCACCAACTCCACCCTCTTAGACGTCGCCTCCCTCTCCGCCTCGTCCCGAATCCGCTTAGCCTCTCGCTCATTCGCCTTGCGAAGCTCCACCTCCCTTTCCTTCGCTCTGCGTCTTTCTTGCTCCGCCGCTAACGCTGCTTCTCGCCCTGCAGCCCCTTCTGCGTCTCTCTCCCGCTGAGCTACGCCCTGCGATCGCATGAATTCATGGTACGCGCGTCGTTGATCTTTGCGCGCGAGAGACTTGGCTTTCTTCGCGCCGATGTTGCGTTGGCGGGCACCGTCAGGGAGTCGGGTGGCATCGGCTGGTCCGGGCTCATCGATTATCTCCTCCTCTGGCTGTACGGCACCATTTGCTGGCAATTCGTTTTCAAGGGGAGCCTGAACGTCGCCATCGCGCTCTACGTTGAGGCCAACGTTCTCGGCTTGGGGCTGCGGTTGATCTCGTATCGGTATATTCCTGGCGGAATCTAATGCGACAGGCTCTGGTTCTTCATTTTGCAGACGACCATCTGGACTAGAATTCCTTTGCAGCCTCTGCTGTATCTGCGGAGCAAAGTACAGGAGGCCAGCGAGGACGGCGAGATGGATGACATCCTGGAGCAGCGGCGTGCCAGGCGTTGCGAAGGGCAGCAGTCGATTCAGAAGGGACAGCAGCGAGGCCATGGCTGTTTAGAGCGGGTCTCCTTCGTAATGTAGGTATTGACGGGGCAAATCAAGTCATCTCAGTGGGCCTGTTGCTGAAGGCTCGTGGAGACAACATCACGCATTCCAGTAATGGCTGATCAAGGCATTCCAGTATTGGTAATAATCTCTCACGGTGATTTCATTGGCGATGGCCAGAGAGTTTGGACCTGATTGACATACCAGAGAGAAAGAGTGGCAGGACGTGAGTGCAGATGTTGGAAGTCATCCGTGCCACGACTTTTGCACATCAAACTACATTGTACTCAGCCTACGACGCAGCCATGCCTTCCCGCAACAACATGTCCGCAAAACACTCCGCAACCGCATACACCGTAGCCTGCGTAGTCGCCGAAATGGGGGCAGGGAAAACGCTGGCATCGCAGACTCGAAGCCCCTCCACGCCCTTGACACGCAGACTGGAATCCACCACCTTGCCCATAGCAGCCGTGCCGGCCGGGTGGTAAATGGTACCAAGGCATTTCCGAATGCGGTCGTCAATCTCCGCATCGGAGCTCTTGGAGTTCAGGACCGTGTAACCTGCCGGCACTTCTTCTCCGTCAATGTAAGGTGCGAGAGCCTTCGACTCGGCCACAAGAAGGGTTCTTCGAACGGCCGTGCGCATGAGTACGCGATCGTATTGTGCTGACAGGTACATGGGATCGATGTCTGGAGGTTCCAGTGGATCGGCTGAGCGTAGAGTCACTGTCCCTCGCGATGCTGGCTGGTAGTTCAACATGCCGATGCCAATCACCTTGCCATCGACAGCGACGTTGTAATCCGGCCCCGTGACGATCGGCATATAGACCACGCTGAGCCAATTCGTCACCCTCTTCGCAAAGCCGAACCCCTCCACGATGTCCGGAGCAAGGCCGTCTTCTTGCAGTGCTTTGGTGAGTTCTGGGCTGGACAGATGTTCATTCGCTTCCCAGTCGACTGGCAGCCCTTCTAGCGCGCCCGGCCTCGACATGAAGTCCGGACTGCCAAAGGCGAATCCTTTCGCCTCCGCTTCGGGCTTGAGTCGCCAGCAGGTGTAACACGCGGCGTGATCCCACATGTTTCTCCCGACGTCCGGGCTCTCGATGACAGTCGGTACGCCTAGCGCATCCAGCTGATCGCGGGCTCCAATTCCGCTGAGCATCAGTATTTGAGTGGTGCCGTACGATCCAGCGCTGATGATGACCTCTTGTGTTGCGTGGAACGATCTCCCATCGACAAGCTCGACTCCCGTGGCTCTGGGCCCGGTATGGCCTGAAGCCCCGATGAGCACCTTCCGGACGACAGCCTTGTCGACGACGTGCACCTGACTCAAGTCATAAACGACACCAGCTGGCTGACGAGTCGGTCGAAAGTTCTCACAATGTGCCAGAATCCCGGACTGATCGCCGTCTTCCCTACCCGTATTCTCGTTGAGTCCCAACTCCACAAACGCATCCCGGACTTGCTCCTTGAGAGGATATCCCGGGCCGACCAGGGTGTTCATCGGACCATCGAAGCCATGCAACTCCTTCAGCCCGGCGGCATCATGCCACTTCTCCGTACGGCGAAAGTAAGGGAGTAACCCCTTATAACTCCACCTCTCATCCCCCACCAACTTCGCCCAATAATCGTAATCCTTAGCATCCCCTCGCATCCACAAACCCGCATTAACCCCACTCGATCCAGACAGCATGTTCCCCGCCCAAAGCCCAATACTCCGTCCATTGAGCGCCGCCTGCGGAACGGAGTCGTGAATCTTCGCAATGCCTAGCTCGGGGGCTTTGGCGAATCCCAGTGGCGCGAGAACTTCCGGGCTGTGTTGCACTTCGCTGCTGCCGCGCTCGATCAGTGCTATGCTGGATTGGGGGTTGCCTTGTTTGAGGCGGGCGGCGAGGGCGCAGCCTGCTGTTCCGCCGCCGCAGATGATGTAGTCGAAGGTGGTGGCGGCCATTCTGCTGATAATGGAGAGTCGTGCAGGAACTTTAATTGATATGAATGCTCACGAGTTGTGCCTATGCAGCGATGGCTAATCTCAGAGCACACAGTCCAAAGATGAGATGATCTCGACTTCAATGCGCTTCGCCCTTCCGACAGAGCACGAAAGTGATCGAATTCCGACAACGAGAAGAGATTCCAAGGTAATGATAGAGCACGTCTCAGCTGCGCAAAACACCGCGGACATATATACACAGTAATGACGGCAGATGTGGAGCATTGCGCGCCTAGCGTCCACCTCGCCCATTTTGGGTGTTGTTGCGGTCGACTCTTACCTTACCCAGATGGAGGTTCGATCGACAGACCACGGGGCGACGTCGACCAATTGCATGCAGCGCGCAACTCATTTCTCAGCCTTGAGCTGGGCTTGGTCAGCGCGGCGGCTTGCATACTGGACTCGCTAATGGGCTCGGGCAGCCCTAGCTATTGTAGTGCGGGACGTGCTTCTTAGAAGTGTAAAACAACGTCCGATCAAAGTGCTTAGCCATGACAGACGGAGCAATGACATGCGGAACGCAAAGGTATTGATTCGTGGTGCACCAGGCGTTCCAAAGCCGACCTCGCCCTCCCATCCTAGCACTCATTCCACCTTCTGCTTCATCGCCGACGTTACCCAAAGCCAACTTGCACGCTGAACGACGGACAGCAGCAGTCACGATATAACAGCGTGTCTTCTGGAGTACGGCTACGCCTCGGCCTGAAACGGCCACCCCAGGATGTTCGGCGTCAAGATGGACGTCTCTTGAATCTCTTTTGCCCGTGCCTGCAATTGCTCCACGTCCCAGTTGGCGTAGCAGAATTTGCCGCGCAGAAATGCGGCCTGCTTGGTGGTGGCCCACACGAAGAAGTGGGCAGACAGGTTGACTGGTGCGATTTGGAGGCATTAGTACGGCTTGTGAGTCAAGATGCACCAACAGAAACGAAGGAAGAACGAAGGAAAGAGAAGGACAAACGTACCATCGTCAAGCAGCGTGGCTTCTGCATTCCCCTCCGTCATCCCCGACTTACGCATCATATCCGTAGCCACAATGCCCGGATGCACGGCGACGACAAACACATCGGGGTGCTCGGCCGCGACGTGCTCGAGCAGCCGGATCTGCGCCAGCTTGCTCGTGACGTACGCGCTGGCTCCCTGGCACGGCGGATAGACGGCAGGCAGGTTCACGATGGCTGCGGAGACGCCGACGATGCGCGCGCCGGGTTTGCGCGTAGGCAGGAAGGCGTGCAGGGTGTTGAAGAAGCCGCGCATGTTGGTCTGTGTCGCGCGAGGGTGTCAGTCAACGAGGAATGGGTGGCAGGGGGCGTCAAGTTTTCTCGTCTCATGTGAACGACCTGGGGGAAAGTACCTCGATGACATTCCACCATGCGTCAGGCTCCGCATCGGCGACGCTGGCAGGAGACATGATTGCGCCGGCGCTCAGCACAAGCACATCCCAGCCGCCAACCGCCTCCGCGACGCCCTTGATCGCAGCAGCGTGCATGGTATCAGCAGCGAACGGGTGCACCGCGCAAGAGCCCGGCGACTGCGCCTCGATCAGCGCCTGCGTTTCGTCGAGCTTAGCTTGTCGACGCCCGAGCAGGATGAGGCGCGAGGCTCCCGATGCCGCGTATGCCAAGCACGCAGCCTGCCCGATCCCTGAGCCGGCGCCGGTGACGACGACTGTTTGCCCGGCGTGGGAGAGGGCGGGTGAGGTGGGCTCTATGGCTGGGTAAGGCGCGTTGTGCCATTCTGAAACGAGAGCTGGGTAAGGGGGCTTCATGGTTTTGGGATGATAGATGAGGAGGAGTGGGTGAGGATAGGGAGGGGAGAAGATGGGAATGGGGGAAGGGAGGACATGGCACAGAATCTACAGTCAGAGGGCGAGCCAGGTATTGGCATTGCCGGTGCACGGCAATGCCGATCTAGATTAGCATGCTGCATTGGGTGGTACAGTATGAGAGTACTAAGATGCAGTGGGGCTGATAATTCCAAAGTTAGTGCCTTTCAGCTGCGGTGGCCAGGCTGGGTCGGGTGATTCCATTGAGAAATTATAGCCTACACCGACTAACGGCGTTCGTCCATCGTGTTCCACATTTATGTTGCGTACAAACACCCTTCTCTCATGCATGATCGATGGGCGACGGTCCCACACCGATGTAAATGCTAAAGACGTACAACGGCTTGGTGATCAAGCTCGTGCCGTTGTGGAACGGCGTACCTCGATTCAGCTGATCGGCCGGCATCCAGAGTCGCTTCTGATCATCAATCCACATTGCGTCCTGTAGGGCAAGTCAGTGACCAGCCTCGTCAATAGCACAGATAGACAACCACTCACCACCCACAACAACCTCGGATCCTGCACAAGCAGCGACATGGTCCCATTCGGCGCTATCTTGATAATCCGCTGGCTATCCGTATCACTGTTGTAAATATTGCCCTCGGCGTCGATCGCCGTGCCGCCGGTGGCGGGCGTGTGCGCGTACGGCTCGACGTACTGGCCGAGAATGGCGTTGTCGTTCAGCGAGCTGTTGCTGAAGGCCGCGTTCATCCATTTCGTCGGGATGCGGCTCATGCCGCCGCTGGCGGGCTGGAAGTAGTAGTACTCTGCGTCGGGGCTGACTTCGTGCTGGTCGGCGTAGAAGTAGAAGGGTTTGCCTTGGTTGTAGAGGATGCTGCCTCTGTTGGGGGATGTATTAGTGGGTGAGTCTTTTGGGGGTTGAATCGGGGATGCGTACTCGGCGGACACGGGCATGTACTCGTGCGTAGAGAGGGCATCGTTGAGAACGCGCACGGCATCACCAGTCTCGAGATCGAGCACAATCAGACCCGCACTTCCAGCATCGGTGAGATACGCCATCCCAGCAGCAGGATTGAACCGAATATCATCTGCACCACATCGTCAGCACATGCTTCCCAACGCACCACACAAAAGACAGCACTAACCCATAAAGCTATTAATCCTCGTCACATTCCCCATCTCATAAACCCTCGCAACCTCATTCGTAGTCACATTCACAACCACCACCTTTGGCCCATCTGGCAGCAACACCGGCTCCCCAATCCCCGTCGCTCCCTTATCTACAATCCACAAATTCCCATCGGGCCCAATGCGCTGCGCATTCACCCCGATGAAATGCGTCGCCACGTCGTCGCCCGCGCTGTACGTATTCCATGCTTCGTTGGGGTAGGGCGTGGAGGTGTTTGTCGTCTTGTTGTACTCGACTACTTGCGGGCCGCCGCTGGTGCCGTCGACGTAGGTGTAGGCTACGAAGATGCGGCCGTCGGCGGTGATGCTGATGCCTTGCGAGGGCGTTTGGAGTTCGAGTTCGATGCTGATGCGGGGGTCTTCGGGGCCGGTGAAGGTTTGGGCTGCACTCCAGCTCCAGAGGGAGGAGAGGAGGAGAAACACGAAAGGTTGAAACATGTTGGGCGGTAGTACAGAGAGGGGTTTGAGTGGAGAGTAAAGGAAGAGCGCACCATGCTGGGCTACTCTTTATATTTGCTTTGATCGTCTCGATCGCCCTTCCTGCCTCGAGCATGTCATTGAGCGACGGATGAGATGGAGATGACGTGGGTTGTCTTGCCGTTTCGCCGAGGATCGTCGCTTTTGACTTCAGGACCTGCAGCCGTCACCGGCCGGGCCATTGACGTGGGAATTCCTACAACCATCGGCAGACCAGAGTAGCAACAGTTTCAAGGAAACGGACAGATTTCAATTGAACAAAACAGCATCCCCCTACGACCCCCCCTCCACGCAAAACACATCCTCCAACCCCTCTTCCCGCCACGTCCTCTTCCCATCCGCCACCTCATCCCTCACCTTCCAGTACTGATGGTTAAACAGCCAATACGGCTCCCCGGTAACCGGATGCCTCGCCTCCTTCCTAAACCACCTCGGCTCAAACTCCTCGCCTCGCTCCTCCCTCATCCGCCTCCGTGCCCTCTGCCCCTCCTCCACCCGCGTCTTCTCCACCGCCGCGAAATCGTACTCGCCTTCCTCCATGGCGCGCTGGTCGGGGCGCAGGCGCGAGTCCGTAGGCGGGAGGACAGGGCGCAGCCGGTCCGGGAGGTCGTTGAGCGTGACGACGAAAGGCGTGATGTTGAAGGGGATGCCGGTGGGGCGGGGGTGCGCTTCCCACACCAGGATGGCGGGGTTCTTGTTGCCTGCATCCGACGCGGCGCCGACGTCCGCTTCGTACCCCGGCGTCAGGCGGGCGTAGATCTTGTCGTTCCACCGCCCACCGACGGACCAGCACGTGCGCCCCGCGGCGTCCACAATCTTGCCCGTAACTTGCCCCGCGGAATTGGCTTTCCAGCCCTTCGCTTTGAAGTCGAGATAGCACACGTCGCCCGTCGTCCAGTTCTTCACCTCCATCGGGCCGTAGTTGTCCACCGTCGGGTTGCCGGTAATGATGCCCACCACGCTCGACGTCACCTTCTTCCACGTGTAGAGCTCCGAGCCGCCGTCGGGCGTGCGCAGGTTCAGGAACCAGGTCCCCAGCGGGTTGAATTCGAAGCTCTTGCCGTAGAACTTCGACTTCACCGCGCTCTCGCCGTAGTAGTCCCATTTCGGGCTTTCGGCGTAGGCCGCGCCGACGGGCGGGTGATGCGATACTTGCTCGATGAAGAAGCGGTAGCCCAGATCCGGGCGGCAGTACTCGTACGTCTCGCCGAGGAGCGGATTGAAGGGTTTCGCCACGCGGCCGATCGTGCTGGCGTACTCGCTCGCTGCAAAGCCTGCAACGTATACCAGTCGCTCCGTAGAGTCTTGGCGATCGGCGGCGATGTCGAGCAGATCCGTGTACTCCATGTCTTCCACGACACGATACAGCAGCGACGTGGGCTCGTTGAAAGAAACCGGCAGAGTCATGCGAGTCATGTCCTTGCCAATCATGGACTTGAGGATACCCCACAGGCTGACTTTCGGACGGTTGTCCGCATCGAGCTTCAGCTTCTTGCGGATGCCATCTTCGTAACCGCGGAAGGACTTGGCAATTTCTTGCGCGCGCACATTCGTGTCTTGCCTTTGCACAGGCACCAGGCTGGCTTCTGTTGCTTCGGCCGCCGTGGGCGAAATCACGGGCCTGTCCTCCCGCACCTCCACCTCGCCCGCGTCGACCGCGTCGAAGAACTCTTCGTCTTCCTCGCTTTCGTCGTCGGAGAGTTCGTTGTTTGTGAGCTGGGCAATGGTTGGTCTCCTTCCCACCGGCCTGATGGCTTCAGGCGATACTTCTTTACCCAGAGCCGAGGACCGTCGATCGTCATCAGCAGAGGCAGCAGCCGCGGCCACCACACTGCCAGCAGCGGCACCGACAGCTCCACCTTCCAAGGCTTCCTTCAACGCACGCTTAGTACGCTTCCGCTTGTCCTCGCTCTCGCCAATGCGCGTCTCCAACTCCTCCTGCTCCTGCGCCACCCGCGCCATGCTGTCCTCCCACAAGCGGCGAATGTCCTGCTCGCGATCCAGACGATACTGCCAATAAGCTTCGTGGTCGCGACTGATGCGAAGCAAATCCACCAGTCCGGCTTTGAGATTGCTAACGGCGATATCGTACGAGGCTAGAGCCTGGAGAACCACGGGGTCGGAGACGGAGAGGTCGGGCTGCTTTTTGCCTTGCGCTTGCAATGCGGTCGAGATCTGCTCGAGGAGGTCCAATTGCAGCTTCGCGCTCTGCGCAGTAATGGAGAAAGCGTCGCGATTCATTGGCTGCAGCTCGTTGTCGCTGGCGTCATCGCCGTACTCCTCTTCCTCGTCCACGTCACCGGCGATGACTGCGGTGTTGGTCCGACTGATGGTTTTATTCAGTTCAAGCCCGGCATCGCTGGTGGCGTAGGTGGAAGTCTGATCGCCCATCATCGATCCGCCAGCGGGAGTCGTGTCGCCGGTGCGAAAGACGACTGCAGTAGCGGGCACCAGACCGCCCACGGTGGGCGCACCATCACCCTTGTTGCGCTCCATCTGCTCGTTGCGTGCATCTCGAATCGCAAGCGTCTCTTGCTGCTGCCTCTTCTGCTCTTCTTTGGCCTCGTCCTTGGCCCATTGAATGGCGTTGTTCAGCGCCCAGAACCATCGCTTCGCCTCCACTTGATGATTGGCCTTGAGGCTGTACTTGACGCTGCTCTTGCCATGGATCTCGAACTGCAGTTTGTCCTTTGGGTCCATGTTCAGCTTCGCGATGCGCATATTGATGGCTCCACGACATGCGCTCCCTGCATCGTCTTGATGCTTGTAGTACGACAGCACGCCGTCCTCAAGCACGAACCAGCGCAGTTTGTATCCAGATGTGTAGTTGGTCCATTTGCGCAAGTATCCTTTCATCTCTCTGCCTTCTTTCCCGCCCGGACCTCCATCTGTACTCGGGGCAGCGCCAGTTTGCGCGCTCTCGCCAAGGATCGTCCTCTCTTGTATGTTCCGCTGAGCGGCTTGAGCGGCGGGAGACTTCTTCAAAATGGCACGCGTGCGGTCGTCTTTTGTGACATCTTGAGGAAGCTTGCCCTTGCGATCGCGGCGAAAAGGATCGGCGCCGTTGAGCAGAAGGAGCTGGGCGAGTTTGAGATCGCGTTTGCGAGCTGCTTCATGCAACAGCGTCCCTCCATGCTCCATCGTCGCGGGATCGCTGGCGAGCTCGGGCCCATTGACATCGAGCACACTGCGCACATGGCTATCGTTCAACAGATGCTCCAAACCTTCGTAGTTGCCCGCCTCCACCAGCTGATGCACTTTCCTAACTTGCCCGTCAATATAGACAGATCGCGCAAGCTGCAGCTCCTGGAAGATGTCGGCATTACGCGCCAGATCCAGCGCCGTCTTGCCTTGCAAATTCGTAATCGACTCGTTGGCCCCCTTGTGAACGAGGAGCAACTTCACAATCGGCTCACGGCCAAGCATGGCAGCGATGTGCAGAGGAGTGTTGCCATCGCGGTCTCGCGCGTTGATGTCGGTGCCGGGATGGGAGAGAAGGTAATCGATGACGGGCTGCTGGGCACACTGAATGGCCAAATGCAGCATCGTCGTCCCTTCCAATCGATTCTCCCCATCTTCTTTGGCGGCTTTGGCGACGGCAGCGGTGTCGCCGCTCCGCAGCGCCTCGAAGACTTTGAACAGCCGTACGCTCTGCTCGATGCTGCCGCTTGGCGCAGTGCCGGCAGAGGGAGAAGCGGAGCTGGGGTCTACTCTTCCTCCTGCTGAGGCCGCAGTGGGCGTCTGCGGTGTGTTGCTCATGGTGGTGCTAAGGTGCGGACGCGTGGTGGATTGCATGCTGGTGCGGGAGGAGAGGGTGGGGGGTTCGGCTGGGCTGGAGGGGACGGGGGGTTCTTCGGCGGCGGTGGTTAAGGTGGGGACATCGCCGCGACTGGAGATGCGGTGGAGGGCACGAGTGACGGCGGAGCGGGTGCGTTTGGGGGCACTGTGGTGTGCGAGAGAGGGCGGTGTCAGTGCAATGCGGTGCAGCAAGCATCATCCATGCAAGCGCACACGTGCCTCGCCAAGCGAGGGGCAGCGAAACGTCACGCAAGGCTTAGCGGGGGGGAAGACGTACGGGGGAGTGCTGTTGCCGCTCATTTTCGCCGATTTACTTCTCCCTGCGAATGGCAGACGGCCACAGAGTAGTTGATGAAATGACAGTGGTGGACTGTTGGAAATGAATGGCCCGGCGGGTTCAATGGCAAGGTTGCACTTCACCTTACCCGCCCGTTCCAGTGCCCCCGGCGCGCATACGCAATTCCGCCAGCTGCACAATGATGCATGACGCAAACTCTCCTTTGGTCTGCCCCCGGCCATGTCATCTTAACTCCGAGAACTGCCATCTTACTTACATCACGCTGGCTGGGTCGCGTCCAACTCGCTGCTCAGAGTGTCGGCCTCTGCGGATTGATCCGGAACCACACGAGCTGCTCGACCGCTCCCTTTTCAGTAGCACCGCGTGAGTTCCTGACACAGCAACGGGACGGTGGCGTCTCACAGGCCATCTGTCAGTGCTCATCTGCTGTCTATGCCTCTCCACCCGGTATCTGCATCCCGTGGCGTCCGCGATATTTTGGAGGCTGCGGTTCACTCCACCCGCTCAACACCGCCGGGTCGGTCAATGCAAACACCTCCACCCCCAGCGGCCGACAGCACTCCACCATACTCTTCTTCTCCCCCTCCTCTCCCCCTCCACCCTCGCCCCATCCCCACGTAGACAAATCACCACCCGGACAAGTCGACAGCGCCATCAACACTGGCTGCTCCGTAAAGAACTCAATGTAATCCCCGCGCGTCGCCGGCGACGCCTCCATGAAATACCGCCCCTCCTTGTCCAACCCCGTCACCTGAAACACATTCAACACATCGTGCACATCAAACTCCGTCAGCCCGTACGGCAGCACCGCGCGCGTCAAATTCGAATGACAGTGGAAATCATACTCGTCCCCGCTCAGCATCTGATTGACGTACGGATCACACCTCGTCCCCAGCAGATCGTGACACCGTCCCCCCCATTCGTCAACATCGTACCCCTCGCGACCCCCCAGCGTGTCCGCGATGATCGTCACCATAGGCCGCAAGTACGGCAGACAGCTCCACAGCCGATCATACGTGCTCACATGGCTGGCGTGCAATTGCCGCGTGCGCGCTGCCCAGAAGCGTTCCCGCGGATTGTGCAGATTCCAGATGTTCAGATCGCCGACTTGCGGGCCCTCCGGTGTGGACAAGCGCACAATGTGGCCGGCGGGAACGGTCCAGGCGCGTCCGGAGCGGATGGGGAGGGTGAAGGCTTCGATCGGGGTGCGGTCTGCTTTGGCGAGGGTGGAGTAGAAGTTGCGGTTGACGTTGAGGATGGAGCCGGGCGTGGCTTGGTATGCTGGTTGCGGCGGCGGCCTGGAGGTGGTGGAGGATGTCATTGCTGGGGTATTCGTTAGTATTGCTCTTCAATCCTTATTATCTAAAGTATTATCTAGAGAAAGGCCAGCGGCAGTGAGGCGCGGAGTTCGAGCTCCGCACTCGGGGTCGGCTGTCCCACGGCTTTTGGCAAGCTGAGAGTGGTCGTTGCAGGCAGGCGGATGAGGCTCGATGCCTTTCAATCTACGCATGAATATCTTTGCACATTGCTACGCCACCTTGGCAAGAACATTCGAGGGCACCGCTCATATTATCGGCAGCTCAATGTCCTCTTGAAATGGTTGCGCACGGCTGTCGTTGGTGCAGCGACTTTAGCTGAACCCCGTAGGATATCTAACCAACGATGCGCATGGATGAACACCGCTAACAATGAATCACCAGATTGCTGCGCTCTTGAGGATATATAGTGCGTCTCAGACCACGCGCGTCACTTCATCATGTCTTCAGCTACGCCTCGTATCAGCGACTCACCAGTTGACGCTCCGAATCCTCCTGCCGGATCGAATCGCCGCAATGGCAAACTGGCCTCGTGCGAGCCCTGCCGCAAACGCAAGACTCGTTGCGACCATCAGCAGCCCGTTTGTGGCCGCTGTCGTCGACGTGGCCAGGACAGGCTTTGTTTCTACCATCCTGCTCCTCTCACCAAGCGTCCTTACTGGGCCCTGTCTCCTCCGACAGCTCACGAAGCCGACATTCGTGTACAGAACGGCAACACAGAAGCTGCCGAGTCCCCGACGAATGCACATGGCCCTTCTTTGATCCCATCCTCTTCCTCCGACGTCCTCGATCCACCCCTGGAATACGACAGCCGTGACGGTCATCTTCGGTCAATCCGAACGCTCGTCTCTCGACTACGCCATTTGCCCCTACTTCACAAATCCCTATCGACTTTTTTTGCACAAACCGCCTCTGGACTAGTTCCGGGCGCGCTTATCATGCCCGCAGTCGTCGATCTACTCGATCGCTGGAACCAGTCCACTGATACCGCAGGGCTAATACGCTCAATTGCGGACGACATATTGCGCTCCACCACGTCTCCAATCGACGTCACCGCCATGAGAAGTGTCTCGGCGTTTTGCAGCCTGCACCACGGCAAGAATCTCCGACTGGAAATCCTCGGGCTCATCTACAACATTGGGGCCCGCTCATGCATGTACGATCTGTACCACAGCGATTCCGATCGTGAGGCTTTTGTACATGACATGTATCGTTGTAGCAACGAGGCCATCCGCCTGGCCCATGCTATCCTGCCGGAGATTACCGACTCCCTCGCCTGGCTGGAGCACGAGAATCTGCTCTTGACCAATCCGCTACGCGGAGACATCGGTATGTTTGCCTATCCCGCTCGCCGCGAATGCCATCCCGAAAGCGCCTAACCTATTCTCTCCTCCACGAAGGCTCCGTAACTTGGAGCCGACTAGGCGAGCTCTCCAGCGACGTCCTAGCCTTGGACGCCCACCGCGAATCCTCCTACGCCAAACTTCCCTTTTTCCTGGCCCAGTCTCGCCGAAGATTATATGCCGCCGTGTTCCACCAAGACAAGCTTCTCGCTACCCTGATGGAGCGTCCGCCGCGAATCTCCAAGCGCTACTCGGATTGTCAGCTGCCTCTCCATCTGACGGATACCGAGATGCTTACCGATGACCCCGCGGAGATCGAGAAGCTACTCCAAACCCTCACAAGTGACGGATGGAGCTTGGAACGCAAATTCTGCAGCTCTGGTTGGCTGCGGCTACGCTGCAATGTGGCCGTGGTTCGTGAGGAAGTTCTCGAGTATCCATTCCAGCCATCTTCGCCCGAGCAGATTGACAGGCTAAAGTAAGCTCCTCATGCTCACTCTAATCTCTCTGACCCGATCAATTCGCTAATCAAACGACTCAGAGTACTCGTTCGGCAGAACCAGGAGCAATATCTAGCCCTGCCCGTCCATCTACAGTACACCCCTGCATGTTGGGACTCTGGAATCAGGGCCCCCACGTGCTTCCTGTTGACAGCATCGTATCTTTCGTATCGACAACTCGACTTTCAGATCTATCGGCTACTGGAGAAGCACGATGCCGATGCATTACTCTCCCTGCTTCTGGTGTCGGAAGACATCATCGCCACCGTCATGAACGTGGGCACGCTTCGTACACGTGCAACCTTCTTGGCCCAAGACTTCGAATTTCTGGTGAGCATACTCGCCACAAATACAGACCCGGTCGGCGCAGATGACTGACCCACCCCCAACACAGATCCTAGCATACGGCCTCCCAAGCGCCGCAGTCCTCGCCACAGCCCTCGAACATGCCGCCATCCCTCGCACTCCCGATCTCCCCGCTCGACTCAGCCGCTCCGCCCTCATCCGCAAACTCACCGTCTTCGTATCCATGCTCGAAAGCCTGCAAGGGCTCGTCGGCATGCGCAAAGCCCTGTGCGAAGAGTCGTCCAGATCGATTTCCGGTACGCTGGATCGAGTGCTGGATGCGGCTTCCGATCTTGGGCGTTCGGAGTCGGCTCCTACTCCAGCTTCTCAGAACTACTATCCCGGAACACATTCTGGGCAGCCTATGATTGCGGGTGCGTTTGGCGCGGATATGGGCGAGGCGGGGATGGAGGCGCTTTTCCCGAATGGCAAGGATGGGTTTGAGTTGTTCGATCTGCCGGATTGGGCGAGTAATGTGGACTGGGCTAATATGGGCGGCGACTGGATGAGTTTATGAGACCGTTTGTTCTGGACGGATAGGCTGACTATAACTACGATGTCGATTTCATTACGACTTTGCTACTCCAGACGCCCGATTGTGCACTACCAATGTGCAGGGCAGTGCTGCAGATCCCATCATCGTCACGTTACTTTCAGATACTTCTGCAGCGTGGGCCCTGCGTTCTCCCACGCTCGCTCCACCCGAAAGGATTGCGGCAGCCATTCGGGCCTCTGACCCGTCGTCATCATCTCGACCAAGGCCTCCGCACATCGGAACGCCATAGCCACTGTGCAAGCACGTCAGTCAAGATCACTAAACGCCTCATAGGAAATCACTTACTACCATGCCCATTCATCGCCACCGACATCCACAACCCCTCCTCTCCCGGCGCCTCCCCAACAAGTGGAAAGGTATCAGGGGTATAGCACACAATCCCCGTCCAATCCCTCAACACCTCCCCCTCCGTCCCCCACGCCTTCTCCCCAAACAAATGGCCCGGAGCGTGGTGAAGGTACTCCGCAATCCCCGCATGGACCGTCGAATCATCCGTGATGCCCATTTCCCTCGTTTTCGACACCGGCCGCCCGCCGCCCCAGATGATGTCCCCCTCGCCTTGGAGACCTGGCTCACGAGCGAAGAAGTAGCCACCTGCTTCGAAGTCGTCGATCCCTGCGCTGCCGCGGAGGGCGGGGTTGCCGGTTGCGTTGCTCCCGGGTCGAAGGGCGGTGACTTGGCTTCTGGAGGGGGTGAGGAAGCCTGTTGCGCCGAGGCTGCGGTGGAGGGCGTTGGTGTAGGCGTTTGTCGCTAGGACTACTTGTCTGCCCTGGGCGGTGCCTCTTTCTGTTCGCACGTTCCACTGTCGCGCACCGTCTGGAGTGGTGGAAGGCGAGACGTCCGTCACCAGCGTGTTGGTCTGCAAGTTCAGGCCCATGTCCAGGCTCAGCTCGAGCATGCGACAAACAAGGCGATACGGATTCTGCGTATGGCCAGGATAAGTAATGGCGCCAACGAGCGCCTCAATCCCAAACCGCTCCCTCGCCTCCTCGCCCACCCAGAACTTCCGCTCACTCGATAGATCCCCAGCATCAGGTCGCCGCCTCCTCACATCTTCCCGAAACCGCACAACCTCCATCGCCTCCTCCCACACCGCCTCCGTAGCAGCCAAATCCGCCGTCTCGACAGCGCGAAAATCACACTCGACCTCATGCTCCCGCACAAAAGCCGCAATATCCCGCACATTCCCCTCCTCCAGCGCCTCAAACTTCAACGCCTCCTCCTCGCCAAAAGCCTCTGCGTACTTTTTGAAATTCGTCCACCAGCCGGCGCGGCAGTGGCCTCCGTTCCGGCCTGAGGCGCCTGAAGCGGCGCTCCGGGCTTCGAGCATGAGGATGCTGGTGGACGGGTTGCGGCGCAGGAGTTTGTAGGCTGTGGCTGCGCCTGAGATGCCGGAGCCGATGATTATGTAGTCGAATGTTGTTGTGGTGGGGAGGTTGGGGGTTGTGCGGTGGTTTGCTATTCGGTGCGGGGGGAGTTGCCAGTAGGAGGTTGTGGGGTTTGGGACGGGGAAGCCTGGGTAGGTGGTGGTTGAGCCGCCCATTGTGGGGATGGAGGTTTTTTGGTTGGTGGATGGTTGTGGTTGTGGTTGTTTGGTTTGTGTTTTTGAGTGGAGTCAATGGGTGGCAAGGCTGCGGTTTATATGTGCGTGTGGCGGAGCGGAATTGCAGGGCGCGGAATAAAGCGCGGAATAAAAAGCGGAGTTCCCCAATCACCTCACCTCCTCCACCACCCATCGCCTCGATTCAACTGCACGAGAGCTCCAAAACGAGCAGGGACCTCCATTCCAAGCAGAAACACAACCATGCGTCATCCCGCAGCAAGTCCACTTTGACCTCTCAGAACCCATGGCCGACAAACCCCCCCTCCTAACCGGCAGCTGCGCCTGCGGCTCAATAACCTACACCTCCACCTCCCTCCCCACCCACCTGGACTACTGCTACTGTCTCACCTGCCAAAGAGTCTCCGGCGCCCCCTTCACAGCCTGGACCGGAATCCCCAAAAGCTCCCTAACCTGGACCTTCAAAACCCCACCTTTCACCTGGCGCGCACCGGTCGGCAACGCGGCGGACGAAGTGTACATTTCCGAGCGCACGTGTTGCGGCGTGTGCGGGTGTAATGTCATTTTGCAGTATTTTTTGTATCCTGAGAAGACGCATGTTGCGGCTGTGACGGTGGAGGGGTGGGGAGGTGGTGCTGCGGGGGAATGGCCGGAAGTTGGGTGCCATATTTGGACGAAGCATGTTCCCGTTTGGCATTCGATTGCCGAGGATGGGGTTGGGCGGTGGGAGGAGTTTGATGAGGTGTTTCGGGGGCGGATGGAGGAGTATTTGAAGGGGAAGAAGGATAGAGATGGGTAAATGGCCGGAACCAGGAGAGGTTCTTTGCATCATTGACAACCTGTCGGCGATCTGATGAGGGTTACTTCTACGCCACGCTACCCCCGAGATGAGTCGATGCAATGAAATCCCAAAACGCTCGCACGCCATACGCTTGCTTGGAATCCGGCACGTCTTCTCGCAGCCGCTTCGCCCGATCCACCAACAACGCCAGCCGATCCCGCTCGCCCGCCTCGTCCAGCGCTCTCGCAGCGGCCTCCAATGCCCGCCAAGAAGGCCTCTTCCCATCCTTCTCCATCGCCTCCATGAAGCTCACCATTTGCTTGGTGCCGATAACGGAATGATGCTGGGCCGACAGCTCTATCATGCGGTCGTAGAAGGTGTTGTCCAGCAGGGCGCCGTAGCCTGAATTCTCACTGCGGATGCGAGACCAGAGACTCTCCATGGCTGCGAAATTGAGCGGCGACTGTTGGAAGTAAGACGTCATGATGATGGTGTACATTTCGGCGTTCGGCTTCAGGCCGCGGGCGAGCATGTGTTCGAGGACTTGCTGCGCGGCGGCATGGTTGTTGTACCGCTTTAGCAAGCGGTCCATGATGAGCGCGTAGCCCTTTTCGTCCATTCCGCCCTCGGAGAACTGGTCGACTTCCCGCATAAGACTCACAACCCGCTCTCCGACTTCCTCGGCGTCCAAACCGTCGAAGATGCCGCCTTCGAACATGGCAGACGTCATCACGGTCATGGTGGTGCTGTCGGCTTGGATGCCCCTTTCCTTCATTTTCTTGAGAATGCTCATGGCTTCGTCCGCGGACCCGTGGCGCATCGACACGTTGATGAGAGCATTGTATGTCTTGAGATCCGGCTCGATCCCGAAAGAACGACCCCACTGAAGCGCCTGGGAGATCAGAGAATCGCGCGATGCAGCCAGCGCCATGATTGCCGCGTTCATGATCACCGCGTTGGGGCGAGGAATCCCATTTACATGCTCCTCCGGGAACCTCGTCAGAAGTTCTTGTCGATCGACTCGCGTTGGGGTCGCTGGCGTTTGGCTGCCCTTCTTCCCTCCTCGCTTTGACGTGCCATGATACGCCTGCGTCGCTGCCGTCACCCACTCCTGTCCCATCTGCTCCAGCGCCGCCATACCCAGCTTCAAGTGTTGACTCTTCTTGCTCTTCAGCAAGCCAAAGATCTTCGTGCTCCACGCATAGCCGTCCGGCTGGAGCCCAGCCTGCCGCATCATTTCCCAGAATGCCTCCATGGTGTCGAGGTCCCGCATGGTCTGATTCCCCTTCATCATGATGGTATATGTCCTCGTCGTCGGCTTGTGTCCAGCTTTGATCATGTCGTTCCAAACAGTCGTAATGTTGTCTCCATGGCGCAGCGCCTGGAAGGAGAAGAGGAAGTGTTCGTACATTTCGATTGGGATGCGAGTTTGCGGACTGCTGTCGCCGAACTCTTGCACTTCTCGGTACACCCGTTCGGCGGCGTGGATGTCGTTGCGCTCCCGTGCGCGACCGAGCCGTACATTGCACACCTCCAGGAATGGATCCAAGATTGCTTGGTCAGAGGAATCGAGTGCGGTTGGGGCTTTGGTTTCGAAGCCCGCTTCTTCTGCGAAAATGCCTGTACTCGGGACTGCAGGCTCGGTCGTTTGCGAAGCCGAACGATCGGTTGCCGACGTGATTGAAGATGGATCAGGAGTGACATCGTGTTGATGCCGCGCAAAGCTCTGGATCACAGGCGCGTAGGTCTGCCGTTTCCCTGGCGTATCCATCTTGTTTTGCAATGAAGGTGGTACGCTGTCATCGCCAGTGAGTTTATGTATCGTTTCCATCAACGACATCCACGGTGTGAATGGCGCGATCATTGTCGCACCGCCGGGCTGTCTTTTGAGTCCGTCCAGTAGGTGTAGTGTGACGAGAGCAGCAGATGGGTAGTCGAAAGGTTCAAAATGTGAGTCCAGCCTCGGAGCGTCCTGGATTGTAATTGGGGAAGGCTGTTTCGTCGCGGATGTTGAAGAATCTTCTTTCACAGACACTGATAGAGCACTGTTGATCGGCTGGTCTGCATCGCGTCTTTGCTGGAAAACATACGGCGGGACGAGAAGGTTGAGTGCACTCTCAAACGGCACTGTGCTATTACCACCCGGTTGCTGTTCCCTTTGAAGGGTTTGCGTCAACTCGTTAGCATCCGGAAGATGTGCCCAGTCTAGAGTACGTTTTTGAACGGCCTTGGCGAGAGGGACTGAGGTCGCGAGATTCATGATTAGACTCCAGGCCGTCATAAGCTCAGTGACACTTGCGAGGCTGCTTTGCGGATCGCTCGCATCTTCTGTTGTTTGTTGTTCCAACAGAGCAGAAGACACTCGCCACAGCGTGCTGGGGTATGTATTCCGACAGTAAGGATGCGATGCGGCAGCCACTGCGCGGAGCGCCTCCGAGGGCCGTAATGCCCTGGCGGAGAGTTCTTCCGAGCGCGTACTCCGCACCCACCTATCGCTGACGTGCTTTACCCAGTTGAAACATTTCCTCGTGAAATTGAATGGCACAAGCCCGCGTTCTCCCGTCGGGCGTACATTCAGGCGGCCGAATTCCAAGAGATGCTCTAATGCTGCCCAGTCGTCCAGCCTGGCGCCGGGTCTAGGCGATGTAGCATCTTCAAACGCCTTAAAAGACGCTTCGGCAGCGTGCATCGGTCTCGTGTTTGATCTAGGTCTCGACACAGTTGTGGCTCCCTTGCGTGGCGAAGGCTGCCCTGGTGCTGGACTGCTTGCAGTGCTTTGGTCCGGCGCTCGGCCATGGTCAGGGGACAAGCGATCCAGAAGTTGCCGGGGTTCCAATGGCTGGCGAGAGTAGCGACCGATTGGTACTTGCTGTGACTCTAGTGGCTGCCGAGAGTATCGACCAAGCGGAACGTGCTGTTGTGCACACGTTCGGAGCTGTCTCGCGGCGTTCGGCGCTCCCCCATGCGAAGGAGGCGTGAGAAAGTGCGCCGGTTGCAGGTCGCGTTTCGAAGACTGCCATAGCCGCTGAGGACGTCCTGCGAGCGCGCCTCTGCGAAGGATACCTTCTCGTGCGCGGCAGACCGTGCAGATGTACAGGCTGCCCATTTCTGGCTTGCCGATGTCCTTGCAGGGGACGACACGTGAAGTGAAGATGTTCAGGCAGGCGGCTAGGTCGAATGAGGAAACTCCGCGGCGCAGGTTCTCCAACGCGCCGATGTCGTTGGCCAATGCCGGGAAAGTTTAAATTTTTGACCGCTGGTGCAGGGATGGCCCGGCTGAATGACTCTCCCGCGAAATCCGACACTTCTTTGATCTTCACCGAAAGTACATCATGATAAGATTGTAGTGCAGGTCTCCCTGATTTCACGGAGACTTGCGGAGAACACCAATCGCAATGACGACGCTGAAACCTCGCGCGCCCTACACTCCCGAGGAGTTGGCCAAGCTCTATCCGGCCGGTCTCGAATTACGACAAGTCCAGATTCTTCTGCGCCACGGAGAGCGGACGCCTGTATCGACTCGATTTCAGAATGCTGGTCTGGCACCTTTCTGGCCGTATTGCAGTGCGGCCAAAGACATGAAATCGGCAATCCTGGAGGCGGATGGCTCATGGGACACCCTGCAATGGAGAAGGCGCATAGAATCACTCGGCAAAGACGACCAGCCAAGCTTAAACACTGGATCGAAAGGGGAGGTCGATAGCATATGCCAGCTTGGCGAGCTAACCGATCGCGGTCGCGAGACCACTCTCGCTCTTGGACAGCGCACACGGAAGCTCTACGTTGACCAACTGGCCTTTCTCCCAGCCACCTTCGACGTCCAGTCCGCCTCGAATGTGTACTTGCGATCGACACCGATTGTTCGCGCCCTGGAGAGCGTGCAGCAAGCATTCAACGGCCTCTACCCTTCTTCTACACGGGCCAATGGAGCGCCTGCACCCGCGGTAATGACGAGAGCATGGCAAGACGAGACGCTCGTCCCCAGCGAAGGCGCATGCAAACGTTTCCGCGAACTGGCACGTGGCTTTGCTGATCGCGCCGCAAAGCTGTACAACGATGGGCCTGAACTTCAATACATCAACAAGAAGATTGGCAAGTACATGCCTGAGGACTCGCCCGTGGTGAAGGTGGACTCCCATCCGCGCTTGTCAGGTGTGATGGATTCAGTCCACGCCTCACTGGCTCATGGCAAAGACACTCGATTGCCGAGCGAATTCTACGACGAGAAGGTTCGCGCCGGCATCGACAAGATCTGTGTTGAGGAATGGTTCGGGGGATATGCCGAGAGCAATGAGTACCGCAAACTGGGCATCGGAGGTCTAGTCGGAGACCTAGTGCAGCGAATGGTGGAGCACACAATGGCCGCAGCTAAGCAGCAGCCCAGCGAGGAGCCATTCAAGATCAGCATGGCGGGATGCCATGATACTACCGTCGCAGCGACGCTTGCTGCATTCGGCGCATTCGATCCTTACAACGACAAGTGGCCTGGCTTCACCAGCTCCATCGCCTTTGAACTTTTCAAGCAAAAGGACGGCGAGGCAGGAAACAACACTCCCACTGGTACCATCAGGCCCGACAGCAAGAGGACATGGTGGAGTTCCTTCTTCCCATCGTCCCTCGCCCCAACCCCGAGCTCTCCCCGCGCACCTCTGGCCGAAATGCCATTAACCGACCGCAAGAATCTCGACGAGTACTTTGTCAGACTCCGATACAATGATCAACCCCTGACAATTCCCTTTTGCAAGCCTCAGGGCCGACATTACAAGGACGACGAAAGCTTCTGTACACTGGCTGCATTCAAAGAAGCCGCCGACAGTTTCACGCCCAAGAACTGGAAGGAGGAGTGTGTAATGAATCTGGGGCAGCCGACGATGAGTGCGGTGGTTGACAGGCCGCCAGGGTTGTGACCAGTGTTTTTGTCGAGAGTTGTGCTTCGAATAGAGACAGAGATTCTAGAGGTATAGACGCACGCGTATGGACAAAGGTTCATGTATGAAGGCGAAAGAAGGGGTTGTTTGTCGAGTGTGTGAATGCAACGAGCATTTTTGTAGTGTTCGATCTACGGGTGATTGCCTTGTCTCTTCATGACAGGTCCTCAAAAGAGATGAGTCGTGTTTGTAAATGTGATGTTTGTGCAGTGAACAAAGCACAAGCACCAAATAAGGTTCGCGACGGGCGGCGGGAACAGCCGCCGCTTTGAAGCGCTGGCGGCCTCACGTGTCAATTGTTGCGCATGCCGCCTGCAACACGCATCTACTCTTGCCTGAGCAACCCTCACTCCCATTGTATTCTTCTTCACCAACGCGTGCGCATACCGACGTGGAGGACGTCGACGAAGGCTCTTGTTAAATCGAGAAGAGGGAGATGGGGAAGAGTGGTTCCCGATGAGCGAGCACTCCCGCTGTGTCACTGCGCCCCCGCGATGACCTCGCGCTCCTCTTACCGCTAGCCATACCCACTCTCGCTCGCCTCACTCCCACCCGTCACACGGGAAGTTCCAACAACCATGGCTACAACAGTAGTCACTCGGCCTGCGCAAGCCCTTCGCAACCGCCGCGACGGCCCCCGACCAGCGTCCATCTCCAAGCGGCAGAATGCCATGGAAGCGGCCACGGAGCAGAGCAACAAACGGCGCAAGCTGAACGAACCCTTCGTCCGCGACTCGCAGTACATCTTGGACAAGTTCTACGGCAAGCAGCCATCGCTCACCATCCACCTCTACGATGCGACGTTCCGCTTTGAAGGCCAGGACGTCAGCTGGACCTACGACTCCCCCATGAAGTGCGTCCTTCGCCATTTGAAGCATCAGACCGTGCCGCATGAGATGATGGAAGAGCTGCTGTCGGGTGCCATTCAGTGGTATGATGGTTGCCTGATTGTCGAGGTACACAACCACCGCGCCAAGGCGGGCAAGGAGAAGGGCAGGAAAGACTTGACGGCGAATGATGGAAATCTCAAGTTTGGCATGCACAACTATACTCAACATGTTACCCCATCTCCTATGGTCGCATATCCGAGCAAAGCGATCACGGACCAGGCGCTAGAGCTGGAGAGTGCAGACAGCCACGGCGGGAACATGGCGGCACCCGAAAGACCAAGGGACAAGGATGGACCCAGTGTTGTCACCGTGGTCATGCACCCGACGCCTCTATCACAACATGCAGAGATGATGATCCTCATGAAGACTCCCGCGGATCAGATGCGAAGTAACAAGAAGAGAGGCGCTGATGGTGCTCCCACCGCAGCCCCGCCCACTCCCCAGATGTTCGCACCTCCGACCCCCCTGACGCAGACCTCACGTGGCCCCGTCACCCAGTCGCAGAAGATGTGTCTGGAGGATGGCGATCTATATTCGTTCCAAGCGGATCTGCTGGTTGCAACGGAACCGCCTCTCTACCTCGAACCTGTCGACAATCCGCAAGACGCGGAGAGGGTGCTCGATATGCTTCAACACCCTCTCCACCAAGCTCAGCCACCTTCTTCGAAGACTCGTAAGAGGACTACCGCGGAAGTGGCGGCTGACGATGCGCAAGCAGCCGAGAGTGAGCGCAGGCTGCTCATCATGGACGAGCGCCTCAAACCAACCACCGCTGGTGCAGTTGCAAATGAGAATCAAAACGCCGCTGCTTCTCTTGGCTTCTCCCGATTCAAGACCATCGAAATGGTGCGACAGAAGCACGAGGAAGCCGATCGTGCCAAGAAAGAGGAGGAGGCGCGGCTGGCGTTGGAGAAGAGGCAAGCGGAGGAGCAGAATGCCATTCAGCAGAAGAATGAGCAACTGGCGCAGAGACAACGACAGTTGCAGATCTTGGCGGCGCAGCAAGCCGCGCAGCAGCAACAACCGAACCAGGCCAACATCGCCCTCATGCGACAGGAACAGTTCCGCCAGCAACAAGCTGCTAGAGCGCAACAGCAGGCACTTATGAATCAAGCCCACGGTCATCCACAGCAGAACGGGATGATGCCGAACGGACAGCAGGGCTTCCAGCAAGGAAACCAGGGTGCGGCAACACAGTCAAGCCCTGTAGTAAGGAATCAGACGCCGATGATCCACTCGTCGCCAATGACGGCACAAGGCGGCTTCCCGATGGCGCAGACGTCTAGCCAAGGTGGCGGCAGCCCTCAACGCCCGACTTCTGGCGCGATGGCGAACCCCATGATCCGACAGGCCAGTCAACAACATCAGGGCAGTCGCAACAACACCCCGCAAATGCCGCAGGGCACACCGGCGATGGCGCAAGCCATGCCTCGACAGATGAGCCAGACGCCACGCATGCAACCTGGCAGCCCCGGATCGGTGATGCAACAAGGCACGCCAAACATGCCGATGGGGATGCAGACACCACAAATGGGCAATCAAAGTCAATTGACGCCCGAGCAGATGCAGATTTTGCGTGCACAGCAACATGCCATGCAGCAGGGACAAGCGAACGGGGCGTCGCAAGTTGCACAGTTCAATCCCGAGCAGCTGTCACTTCTCAAGAATATCACTCAGCAGCATAGTGCGATGAACCTGCAGTTGAGCAACGCTATGAACGCGGCTCGCCAGGCGGGAAACCAGCAAGCGGCCCAGACTTACTACAATAGAATCCAGCAAAACTCCGCTCAACTGAAGGCTAAGCAGGCTCAGGTGATTGCCAGTTTCCAACAGCAACAACAGCAACAGCACCAGATGAATGCTGCGAACCAGATGGGCAACGCCGGAGGTGGTCAGGCCGGCAGTCCGGGAGGCATGCAGCAACCTACGCCTCAAATGGGCCACGCACACCCCCAGCAAGCGGGAGGAGACCCAAACCAAATGTCCCCGATGCAGTTTGCGAGTGCGCAAGCCAAAGCGCAGCAGCTCGCCGCCATGCGGCAATCGGCGCAACTCTCGCACGCGCAACAGCAACTCCAGGGCCTGGCGCAGCAATACAGCGGGCTGAACAACGTGCCGCCTCAGATTATTCAATCGCTTCCCCCGGCCGCCCAGCAGCTCCTGAAGCAGCAAATGCTGCGCCAACAAAACGCCCGCCAACAACAGGCTTTTCGCGCGCAGGCTGCCCAACAGCAGCAACAGCAGAATGGAGGCAGCAACGCCACCGCCGCCGGCGGCAACCACGAACAAGTCCCCGGCTCCCAACCAAATCCGCAATATATGCAGCAACTGCGCCAGAACCAAGCCATGCTGGCGCAGATGCAGAGCCAGCAGGCGCAGCAGCAGCTTCGGCAGCAGCAGCAGCAGCAGCAGCAGGGAGGCGGCGGCGGGATGGGATTCAATATGCCGAATGGAGGGAGTTTTGGCGCGGGCACGCCGGATGGGAGTGGGGATGGTGGTGGTGGTGCGGGAGGGTTGGGGCCGCAATTTGCTGCTATGGCTAATGCGGTTAATCGGGGGAATTCTGGAGGGCAGCAGGGGCAGGGACAGTAGAGTTGGGTCGTGCGGAGTGTGGTTTGCATGTGTGATAGGGAGGTGCTGCAGAATGACTGGAAGAGGAGGGATGTTTTGATTGCTTTCTGGTTGAAGAATGGGTGCGCGGGTGCGCGGGTAATGTTTACACCTCGCTACGGTGTGTGTGTTAGTATTGAGACGTTAGAATGAATTGTACTTTCTGAAACACGGCATACCCGCATAAGACATTGCATGATGAGGTGAGATTGATAAGATTGATCTCGTGCCCTGGGAACCGCTTGCCAGATGAGGCTAGGGCAGGGTCTCGGCGCGCGCGTGGCTGCAACGGCCGGCGCCCATTTAAGAAATTTGGCGACGGAGGTGAGATGCCTGCACTGCCTGGCCTCCATCATCGTCTCCGTCCAACTCCTTATCACTTACTTCCCTCCTCTCTTTCCGAACCTTTTTCAACAAAAGGCTTGCTTCATCGCCTCCTACCTTCTACCTTCTTTCTTGTTCATCCACACCTGTGTTCAAGAAACCCCTACCCCGAAGCCGTGGACAGCCGAGTCGCGTTGCGCGTGCCCTTCCCGACAGACATTCAAGACACCAGCGCACGCTGACCCCAGCGCTTTAGCGACTCCATCTCCTCTTCATTCCGTCTTTGTGCCTCTTCCCACTCTTCGACAGACATGCCACCCCGACGATCGCCGCGACAGCCCGTGAAGCAAGAAACCATGGCGGCGCAAGATGAGGATTCGGCCGCCGAGTACGAACACACCAACGGCTATGCGAATGGTCGTATGAACGGACACCTCAAGGAATCGGCGGAGAGCAGAGATCAAACAAATGAGAACATCTTCCTCTTCGCTCCCAATCTGATCGGTACGTGGCGGCTACCATCCCACTCCCTCACCCTTTCAATCAGTCAGCTAACTCCATCCCCCAGGCTACACCCGCATCATCCTCGCCCTCGCCTCCCTCTACTTCATGCCCCTGCACCCCCGCCGCTGCAGCTTCCTCTACTCCATCTCCTGCCTCCTCGACGCCATGGACGGCTGGGCGGCGCGCAAATTCAACCAGTCCACGCGCTTCGGCGCCGTGCTCGACATGATTACCGACCGCTGCACCACCACCTGCCTCCTCGTCTTCCTCGCCACGGCCAAGCCCGCCTACTCGATGATCTTCCAGTGTCTGATTAGCTTGGACTTTGCGAGCCATTATATCCACATGTATGCCACGCTTGCCATGGGCGGGCAGGGGGAGAGCCATAAGAATGTCAGCGCGAGTCGGAGTCGGATCATGAATTTGTACTATACGAATAAGGTGCGTCCAGACTAGCCGCGGTCATGCGAAAGGGACGAAGCATACTAACACAAATGCCACAGGCCGTCCTCTTCACCGCCTGCGCCCTCAACGAACTCTTCTTCATCGCCCTCTACCTCCTCTGCTTCAGCAGCCCGCTCATCACCCCCGCCCTCCTCCAGCCAGGCAACAACCTCGCCACCCCTGCCGAACCCTTCCATCCCGCGCCGTCTCTGCTGTTCCCCTCGCCCTTCTCCGCTGCAGCAATGGAAATGGCCCGCGCGAACAAGATGGACTCCACGGTCCCTTGGATTCTGACGATTGTCAGTGCGCCTGTCATGGCGTTCAAGCAGTGGGTAAATGTCATCCAGCTTGTTAAGGCGAGTAAATGGTTGGCTGAGGGGGATCGGAGGGAGAGGAAGAAAGCTGGACTTGGGGGAAAGAAGAGGGCATGATCCATTCCCATAGTTGCACTTTGCGGACTTTTTCCTTCTAACGGGGCTATGATTGTCTTTTCATGGAGTCGACTTGATGTTTAGCGTGGTGTTTGGCGGTTGGGCATTATAGAGATTGTGAGTTCCTTCAAATTACCGAGGGTCTTGATTGGTTTGGCTGAGCTGGTGAGGTAGTCTGAAGTATCGTTTCGACCTGGCCATGAAATGACATTCATGAGTTCTTGACGGGTCGGCAAGGTCTCCGTCAGACGCAGAAGCAACGCACGTAAAACTGCATCACTTTCGGCTTTGCATCGCATTCAACCCGGCCCGTCCTGCGCGCGCAGGCAACCAGAGCGCCAAAATGTGCCCGCATCGTCGGCCCATCCTTCCCGCTGTGCAAGAGGATGAAGCACTGCTGCCCCATGAAGCCAACGAGAGCGCGCTCCTCGTCAAAACACACGGCGTCTTCTCCTCCGCGGAGCTTGGGACCGCCGGCAATCGCCACGCGATGCGCCATGTGGGCTGTGGAATCGGTGCGCGCGCGCCAGTTGAGGGCCATGAGGTAGAGCTCCGCCCCCTTGTCTGCATGGTGCACCGTCCAGACCGGGCCTTCGATGTAGAGCCCCTTGTGCGTGACGTAGTAGGGGGCTCTTTGCAGCGCGCGCCTGCTTCGGTCATTGCTGATACAGTGGTGGAATTGCGCGGGCTCGACGGCTAGCATGCCCGTGACGTTCAGCGGGGGATCGCGATCCCGGAAAATAAAGATCGATTCGTCGGCGGATTGCTGGATGAAGAGGTATTGCAGGCGCATGAAAGCTTTCTGCCCGCCTTCGCCGTACAGCAGCGGCATGTTGATGTCCAGCAAGCCAAGCAGACAATACGCCATGTCCTCCGCTCTCGACGTCTTCCGGCCCGCCGCCCAGCTCAGGATCTCGGCGAAGTTGGCCGCCTTGACGGTCGAGGGGAGGTGCAGGTACTCGGGTGCGATGCCGGTGATGCGGGAAATGCTCTCGAGGAAGTGGGCGTCTTTTTCTTGCGTCGGCGTCGTGTCTGCTGTCAGGGTCATGTCTGCGCCTTTGGCTCCGATTACTAGTCGGCTGAGAAACGTTGCTTGGCCGCGCCCTTTTCGCCCAAACTCCCGCCAGGTTTTGCTGCAGAAGATGACTTCGTCGGGGGCTAGCAGCTCCTGAAGGCTAGGTACTGCGTCAACAACGACCTGCTGGAAACAAGAAGGGCTTCGACTCACGTCCAGCCGCGCTCAAACCACTCGCTCTCCGCCAACTGCTCCTGCGTAGGGAAATTCGTAATGTCCGCGAGATAGGCGACGCAGAAGGCCGCCTCGCGATACCAGTGATACATCGAGTTGATAGCCTCCGACAGCTCCGCCGAGCTGCGCTGGTCGATGCAAGCCGTGTCGACCCAGATCCATTGCACGCGCTGCGGGGGGCCAGCCTGCTCAAGCCAGCCCTGCACTTTGGGTTGTTCTTTCTTGACCCAGTGGCAGAATTGCTCGATTTTGCGAAATCCCGCGCTCGATTTCCGGCGGCCTTTGGCAAAGTCTTTGTAGGTGATTTCGTCGTCGGTCCAGCGATGGGAGAGGATGGCGTAGGGCGGGACCTGGGTTAGGTCGAGGAAGTCTTTGATTTCTAGCGAGTGGATGTTGATCAGTCGCATGTTCGCTGAGCTCGACAAGTTGTATATGCATGTTCATCCAGAGAGTGAGGCTGAGGTTGCGAGGTTGCGTCGACGGGTGAAGTGGTCTGCTGCGCCCCCGCTCGATCGAGGCGCATGAGTTGTGAGCTGCGTGCATTGCACTGCCTTTGCATTGTCTGCACGAAATGATTGACAGGGGTCGTCAAAGTTCCGATCAAAGTGAGTGAATCATTGGTTGACGCCTTGGAGGTTCAGACAATGCATCGTGACCATGATTCCATCATCACTCAGCCTTGCCCGAAAAATCGAATAAATATAATCAATTCCAAAATCTGACTCAGCCGATCGATCCAAAAGCCTCTATGGCGGTGAGTGTCCAAAAATCGCTTAGATTTTGGTTAATTCCCCGCTGATAATTGGCTGCAGCAGTGGTAACGCGTCGCACTTGTAACGACCAAGTACAACCCACTGGTTCGATAAGAGATGCGAAGATCCCTAGTTCAATTCTGGGTGGAGGCATTGATCCCTCTGATTACTCTTTCTTTTTTGCTGTTTTGCTTCCGTTCGTGGTGGGGTGTCCGTGTCTACTACTGCATTCAGTTCAGATCTGCCGACTCTTCTTTTGGACATTATGGAGGTAAAGAAGTGGTTTGGAAAGATCCACACACGAACCCATCTACATAACATATGCTGGTCGAAATACAACGCTGGTATCATCATAAACTAATCAATTCGGAAGGCCGTTGGCTGGAAGTCCTTCGTTGTCTGGTATGAGTCCAAGTTTGCCCTCGACGTCCTTGTACATGTCGTAGCTGTGTGTAGCAGTCAGCGTACGCTCTTCAGTCCGGTCAAACACATGGGAGCATTACCTGTTCATCTCTTCGATCGTCAGCTTCTGCTGCTCGTCTTTGACGCTGTAGAGTTTGTTGTCGGTGTTGCTGGAGAAGCCTGCAGAGAACATGTCAGTCAGTCTTTCTTTCCTCTCAAACCATTGATAAGTGATAACCGACCAATTCGCTCGTGGATATTCTCGCGTGCTCGAGCAGCAGCAGCCTGCACTTTCGTGGCTCTCGGCTTCCGCACCTGCTCGTATAGCCGTAGCGCCGCCTTGACGTCTCCTTGGTAGTACTTGGGGCTGAAGACAATTCCCAAAGCTGCAGCATCTTCCAATGCCATGCACGCTCCTTGACTCTGGTCAGGCATCACTTCGGCCAGTTAGCAATGGACTCATCAACACGCTCTTCAACATGCACTCACTCGGATGTGCGGCATCACCCAGAATCGTCACCACGCCCTTCGACCAGTGCTCGTAGGGGTCATGCACCCACAACCTCCAAGGCCGAATCTCCTCGCCAATTTCGAGATGCTTGAATACTTGTCGATCCAAATCCGGGTAGGGATCCAGGAGATCCTCGACCGGTGCATCCGCATCCCACTTCTGCTCGGCGTAGTCACCCTTCTCGCGCGGGAAAAAGCAGTAGTACGACAGCAGACTCCCACCGTTGCAAGGTGATAGCACAATCTTGTTCACAGTGTTGTGACCACCCCAGTACTCCAGCGAGCTGTCGAGAGAATAATCCACCAGTCCCAGCTCCCTCGCCTTCTCCGTGGTGACGTTGGCATGCAAACAACTCGTGCTGGCTGGCCGCTTCTCGGGGAAAATGCCAATCAGATTCCGCACGACGGAGCCAATGCCATCAGCCCCAATCACCAAATCATGCTTCGCCGTGGTGTTGTTGTGGAACGTCACCGTGCCGGATTCGAGATCGATCGCCTTGCACTTGTGATTACACACCAACTTCGCCGGCGTCCCCTTGCCCTCCTGATCCAGCGCGCAGTCCATGAGCATGGAATGCATATACTGCCGATGGAACATGTTGTACACATAGCCCCACTTCTCCTCGTAGTCGTCGAGGTCGTACACGCTGACGGGCTCGCCAGTCTTCCAGTCGCGGTTGATGAGCTTCTTCAGCACGACGGGATCGCCTTTCTCAATGTCGACGCCCCATTCTGTTAGCCAGCGCATGCCGTTTGCCGCGCAGGAAATCGAGGCTCCGACCTCTCCGGCAAAATCGGAGCGCTCGTAGATGGTCGTTTCGTGGCCGGAGCGTCGGAGGGCAATGGCGGTCGCTAGGCCGCCGATGCCGCCTCCGATGATGCCGATGTTGAGCGGGGTGAAGTGGGCATCCTGGAGTGTTCTCGCGGGCGCCATGGCTTGTGTTGGAGATGTGGATAGTCTGCGGATTGCGGGAGATGTGGTGGCTTGGATGGGTTTGTTGAAGAGGATGTGTACTCTACCTTGTACTCTCCATCTTTTATTATACCGCTATGCGCTGGCGATAAGCCGACATGCACTTCCCGTGTCGGCCATCGTCCCGCACGGAGGGGCTACCAACGAGATCGCGATCCGATGTCATGTCTGGCGGGGTGGCCTTCCCGAAGCCGGGTTTGGGGGTCATGGGTGTGTGGGCTGGTGCGAGGTGCGGATGTGTACCCGGGCCGTGTACCCCATCCGCTCTGCTTGATCGCTTTGCAGCGGCCAAATCTTTGATCGGGCACAAACCGAGATACGTGAATCGAACTTGGCTCGGCTGGTGAATGTCCATCCGCTGGCCGCTTTCCGGATCTCTCATGCCAAACAGCGAGTGGGCGGCCTTGGTCAATCCTTCGTCAATGACAGGTGAAATCGCACTGGATCGTAGAATGCAGATGACAGTGATGCACGAAGAAATCATACATTCGCGATCTATGCAATCCCTCTATGCCTTCGAGTCCTTAAAATTGCCCAACTTGAACAACGCCGCAGCATTATCCCTTCCAATCCGCTTCTTCGTCCCCTCCTCCAAATCCACCCCATCATACCACCCACAAGCATCCTCAAAGCTCTCAAAGGGATAATCAATGGAGAACAGGATCCGCGCCTCCGTGATCTCCTCAATACAATACTTCAGCGTCGGCGTCGAGAAGTGGCCAGAGGTCGTAATGTAGATGTTGTCGCGGAAGTAATCGCGAATGGTCCTCTTGCAATCCAGCCCCAGCGGCTTCTTCACGTCTTCAAACCAGTGGTTGATCCGCCATAGGTCGAAAGGGATGTGCTCGCCCAAATGGCCGATAATGACTTTCAACTTCGGGTGGCGGTCGAAGACGCCGTTCGTCACCATGCCCAGGATGTGCAGACTGACGCCTTGGGCGAAGCTGAGAGGTGGCCCGACGAGCCACTTCCGCGGGGCCCACAGTTTGTCCATGAAGACGCCTGTGGGGTTGCGAGGGTGCAGGTAGAAGGGAACGTCCAGATCCGTGCACGTCTGCCAGAAGACATCCCAGGAGGGGTCGTCGTAGAAGATCATCGAGTCGCCCGAGGCGTCGTTGCGTTGGGTGTCGTTGACCAGGGCGCCGAGGAAGCCGTATTGCGTTACGCAGCGGCGGAGTTCGGCGGCGGCGACGTTGGGGTCGTGCATGGATAGTGTTCTGATAAAGTTAGCATTGTACTTCAAAGTGCTGGACAGGAATGGTGGAGCATACGCCAACGCCCCAAATCGATCGGGATATCCCTTGATCTGCTCTGCAACGTGATCGTTCACCTCAACAGCAAGGGCATTCGCCTCCTTCGCATCGTACACATCCTGCACGCCGGGAGCGGTGTATGACAGGATCGTGTAGCCGACGCCGAACTTGTCCATCTTCTCGAGACGGATTTTCTGGATGTCAATAATCTCGCGCGTGTGCTTTTCAGCATCGACGGCGAACAAGCCCGCCCACCATTTCTGCTTTTCCTCGTGCCGGGGGAGGCAGAAGGCTTCTTCTAACGCGATTTTGCCTTTCATGATGATGACGATGAGTATTGTGCTTGGAATGAAGAAGGAGAATGGAGATGGGGTTTTAAAGGACGGGTGACGTCCAGTCCTTGCCTCTGAAGCTCACCTGGTTACATAGGAAGGCTTGACGCGGCTTTGGGTATCATCCTGGTCGACAGCGGATGCTGCGCTTACTCTGCCGTGGCGGATGGAGCGGAGGAGGGAGTGGGTGAAGTTGCGGTCCGGGTACTCGGCCCGTGCACCATCCGCCGCAACGTCGGCTGGTGACAGCCTTGCGCCGGGCCAAGAGCAGAGGGTTGCCATCACGATGAACTTGAGATAGGAAAGAGTGCGGGACTCCGTAAAACAAGGTGCCATTTGTGATACGCACAACGAAAGTCCAACATGCTCGGCCGTGAAGACAATTCAGTGACACTCTTGACATACGACATTTCGCCATGGCAAGCCCGCATTCATTCGACTACCACATCCCACACGATAATCGGTCGATACCGTCCCTCGGCTCTCGGATCAAAATCTTCTTGCTGTCTCTCCAAATCAGGACCATCGAAGTAGCCGGCGAGGACCACGGTGCCACTGGTGAACGTCGTTGCATCGGGCGCCAGCGTCAGCTTCGCCGACCAGATGATACGAGTATCCCCCGGATCCATGGCGTTGGGTGCAAACCGTTGCCATTCGACCTTCGGTTGTGGCAGTATATTGCTGGTTTTGTTGGCAATGGACTTAACGGTTGCCCAATCCGTGTTGAAGTAACCCAGGAAGGTATCCGGCATGTTGAGCCTCTGGTGTACACAGTTGTTCTTGAACGTTACAACAAAGGATGCGTCCTTGAGCCACGTCATCCGGGTGTTGAAAGGCGTGACTGTCGCCGTGTCGATCCAGTAGAGCTCGTCCTTATTGTACCAGATGGGTTGAGTTTTCCAATACATGTCATACAAGTTCTTGTATGGCAGTGTCTGGGGGTCCGTATAGAGATACTCCGCGAGCCATGTAGGATGCACCAAGTCGCGAACACCCGCAATCAAAGCCTCGCTCATCGGACCGTGAAACACTGCCTGGCCGGCGTTGGTCAGACTCCACTCGACGCTTCGGGAACTGGGCCTGGTTTTGGGCAGTTCGACGCCGTTCGTATCTTTGACCACGACGGGGATCGCCCAAGTAGGGTCTATGATTTTGTATTTGACGCCTGGAGCACCTCTTCCCATCGCTTCAGCATCAGTGGGGAAGGCGTTCCACATGTGATCCAGAATCATCGACGCATGGGGATTTTGGAGGCCTCCTAGCTGACGTGTGCAGCCGCTGATCTTCTTCGCGTAAGAGGTACCGGTCGCACCGTTGAGCAAGGCATAGAACATTCGGGCGAAACCCTCGCAGACTTCTTCGCCGCTAGCCAAGGCATCGGACAACCGACGGGTCATGAATGTGCTCTTGAAATGCCCAATGAACGTGTTCATATCCTTTTCGATAGCGGTGCTGAAGATTAAGGAGAATGCGACCCAGGAGTACATCAAACGTGCGACCGCGATATAGTCCATTTGACCTTCTGGCACTTGTGGAAGCCCTGGCTGCTTTTGCCGTTGCTGTTCCCGAAAATCGTGTCTGGCTTTGTCGAATTGGTCCAGTAAAGCTCGGCCAAATCTTGTGAAAAGCTCGTCTTCAGGTTTCGCGGCTGGAGCTTTTCCCCCTCCGCCCGGCGCTGGAGGTTTCCACCCGCCCCCGGGAGCTGGAGGTTTGGCCGCGCCCCCCGGAGCTGGAGGTTTGGCTCCAACCCCCGGAGCTGGAGGTTTTGCCCCGCCCCCCGGAGCTGGAGGTTTGGCTCCACCACCTGGAGATTTGACCGGTACATCTGCGGGCGGAAGCTGCTCCCATGCTTTTAGAAACGCCGCGAGTGTGTTCTCCTCTCCAAGACCTTTCCGCACTTCCTGCAAAGACTGCAGCAGAGGGACGCAGTTGAAGTAGCCAGGTGGCGACACAGAGGCAGTGTCTTTCTGCTCTGCCACGCCATCGAAGCACAGTTTCCATAGATCCGGTAATTTACAGGCCCAAGCGAATGAATCGATTTCCGTGTAGTCCTGGCAAATGATGCACTCGTTGGCGGCAGGGTTGGAGTAGTTCTTCGTTGTGGGCAGAAACCCGGCGGCCGCCAAGTTGATCTCCCAGGGCTTCGTACTATACGGCGCTGGTGCACGACTGGTCGCTGGCGGACTTTCCTCTTCTTCGTTGTTATTGTTGTTGTTGTTATTGTTGTTGTTGCTATTGTTATTGTTGTTTTGGTTGTTATTTCCGCGATTGTTGCGGTTGTAGCCTGGAGGGTCTTCCATCGAAATCGTCTGGTAGTCACAACGAGGATAAAGAGAACGCGTACGGAGTAAATGTAGGGGAAGAAGCAGGAATACGAAAGTAGAGAGACAGTTAGCTCTTGTCGGATAGATGTCTCGAGCTGACATGGGCATCCTTACATCTTCTTGGGGGTCTCAACTGCGTACCCTACCTCGCATCAGATGCATCGTCGAAAGAGGTTCGAGGCCCGCGGAGACCTCAGGTGATAGCTCGATGGCCAGACCGGAATCACACTCGCATGTCTGCCAGCGCATTCGCCATGCATGGCATTGGTGGGCAACAATCAGCTCGAGGTCGTAGATACGAGCGGCCAGCTAATGAGACGGCGATCAGTGCCTCTTCTCACAGTCTGGGTAGGAAGTCGCCGGCCGATGGCCGACGGCATGCAGTTGATCAGGCCATGCTTGCTGTGATGATTGTTCGACCCGCCTGTTGATAGGCCCGACCAGCTGAGTCAATGCAGCCTCGCCTACATTAGCACGCGTGTGCACTTCTTGATCTGGCGGTGTATGCGTCAAAAGTAAGGCGCTTCGCCTGTCACCGGCGCCGCCGCTGCAGCTCTAGGCCTTGGATGTGGCATACAAGACGTGCAGTATAGCTTACGCCCGTAAGGGTGGGGCTGGCGCAGTGTGTTGTGCGACGGGATAGGAGGTACATGCAGGTGACGTTGGAAGTCACGGAAGCGGCCCTTTCGATTTCTTGGCAAGGCTTGCCTCGACCAACATTTCGATCGCAAGTCAATGCGACATTGATACAACAGTCCAATCGGAACGACAACAGGCTTGTGCCGCTCAGTACAAGTCACAGCACAAAGATGATAATGTCAATGATTTGGAATGAATTCGATACATGTGATCTCAATCATGCAAGCAGGCGAACACGGGCTTCAAACTTCACACCTTTCGAGGGTGCTTCTCAAGCCACTCATCAACCAAGCCTCGATAGTCCTTCGGCTCATACGGCTGAGTGAGATCCGCGTACAACCCAGCCTTCCGATTAACCTTCAACCCGCAATCATTGATCAACAAATCGAGGTAAGGCTGCGCATCGAACGCCAGATCCGGCAGCGTAGCACCATATCCGTAGGGGTATCGCCATTTGTTCCATTGCGTGTGCAGCAAGACTTCGCGCGTCACTTCCTCCGGCGAAGAAGGCAGATGATCCAATTTGCCATCCAGGAAAGCCGAGATCCAGACTGCTTGAGCATTGGCTTGGTTCGCAGTCAGCACGGATGATACCATGCCCGCAAAGGCGATGTTGTGCTCGTTGATGCGGGCAGGTGGGACGATGAAGCGGTACATGCGGAAGGGGTCGCCTTTGTTTTCGAAGGGGAGGTTGGGTTGCTTCCGTAGGCGCGGATAGGTGGTGAAGACTTCTTCGTCGGTCTGCTTGACCAGTCTCGCCTGTTCGTCTGCTGAGAGCGGGAGGCCGATGCCTGCGGAGCCGAAGTTGATGAATTTGATGGTGGGTTCTTTCTTCCAGCCTGTGGCGGTGACGACGATGTCGGCTTTGAGGGTTGTGCCGTCGGTGAGGTGGACGCTTTGCTTGGACAGGTGGTCGATGTCTGCCCCGTGGACGGTGATTTTGCCTTGCTTGCATAGCTCGTACCAGTCGCTGTCGTAGTTGAGGATGGAGAGGCCAGATGCTATCCAGAAGGCAGAGTCACGCGGTTGCAGAAGCTTGAGCGCGTCGTGCTTAGCATATGCATTTGTCTCGATGACTTCTCCTCCAAGCGAAGCCCAGAACTTGTCGACAATGAATCTTCCCACAGCCGTGCCGCTGCGAGATTATCAGTGGGTCGTCTCTCGAGGTTGAAAGCGAGCTTGTAAACTTACTGCAGAAACCATCGTGGCCATGAATACCCATCAACACCACCAAACGGACACGGAGAGAACCATGTGAGGGCTCGCACCGAAAGCAGCTTCTCCAATCGAGCTTTGCCTCCCAACACCCATGGCTTCGAGATATACACCGGCCCTTTCCCATTCGGCCGAATCACCATATCGACGTGTGCGCCGTTAGTCGCATACGCGTAGGCGACATCGTACGCAGACTTTGCGCCACCCACAACAACCACATTCTCCGCCGCCTTCAAGGTCTCGTTCTTCCTGCAAAAGTCTTTTGCGTGGAAGTACTGGCCCTGGAAGTCGTCCTTCCCGCGGTATTGTGGGAAGTTGGGAGTGGAAGTCAAGCCGGTGGCAACGATGAGCTTCTTCGTCTCGATTACCTTGGTGCCGCTTGGGCCGGTTGTGGACAGACGATATCCATCCTTGATGGCCTCGACACTGTCCACGTTGGTCTTGAACTGAGTTCGAGAGATGATGCCGAACTTCTTTGCGTAGTCCGTGAGGTATTGGTGCAGGACTGCTCCGGGAATATGCGAGTGTGGTTTCACGCCGTAGACTTCTTCCGACTACGACAAACGTGAGTGACAATTCGAGGACACGTTTTGAGATATACTGCGATGCTCACCATCGGGAAGTCAGGGTTCTCATATGCGTCGAACAAGTTATTAGACTTCAAGCCAGCGTAGATTCGATCTTTGGCCCATGTTCCACCAATCGAGTCCTGCGACTCGAGCACGAGTATCTCCTCAGACGGGTGAATCTCTATGTACACCTTTGCGGCGCTGAGGCCATGCCACCCTTATACAATGGTCAGTCATCAGAAGTTCATAGGGATAATCGCATAAACTCACCCGTCCCAACGACAATACAGTCGTACTTGCTAGTCATTTTCAATGTCGAGGCGAAGCAGTTGATGTCCGGATGTTGGCGAAGATGGACAAAGTACAAGTGGCCAGAAGGGGGTTGGATATATACGCTCGCCGCTGCCGGATCTTATCTCGACACTGCCCAAAATGAAGCACTTCCTGTTGGCACGACCCAGCCCCCGGCCGCGTTGTCCACACACAGATGTCTTTGGCGTTATCGAGTTGGCCAAGATTACCCCAGTGCATTCCCCGCGTTTTTTGGTGCGGTCTTGCTGCGAGGTACAGTAACCGACGCCCAGCCAGATAGGCCAGTCTCGGTCCGCGTGGGGTATTTTGCCGGTCCTCGATCCGTATCGCCGGCGGGTATCGTCCCCTTTACCTATTAGATAAGGCTGAAAGCTAATGTTAACTGCAGCCGGTACATATTCCGTGTTTCCGCGAATCGAGAGTGGGCCAAGAAATCACAACGACGACTCTTGCGGCTCGTAGCAGCACCGATTGAAGCATTCTTGAAGCAGCTCGTCCCGTCTTTCAGTCGAGACATCACACCAAAATTTGCCAGCCCCAACCCAACAGTCTGCTTTTCCTTCCAAACCATGTCTTCAATTCGCAAGAAGTTCGAGCTCCATGGCCGCAACTACATTGTCACTGGCGGCGCCATGGGCATTGGATTCGCAATCACCAAGGACATCTGCGAAATGGGTGGCAATGTGGCCGTAATCGATCTAAGGGAAACCCCGCTCGAGGATGTCTACGGCCTGGCGAAGACCTTCAATGTCAAGACCAGCTATCACCAAGCGGACGTCAGTGATGAGAAGAGTCTTCAGGCTGGTTTCGCCAAAGCAGTGGAGGCGCTCGGGCGCCTTGACGGCATTGTGACTGCGGCTGGCATTGCCATCGACAAGCCGTATACTGACCAGAAGTGGGAAGAGGTCAACAAAGTCATTCAGGTCAACGTGAGTGAGGTTCATGCTTGGAGAGGACAGACAGAGCACTGACACCCATCATAGAGCATAGGAACGTTTTTCTCGGGGCAGTTGGCGGTGCAGCAGATGAAGAAGCAAGGCACGCCGGGCAGCGTCGTCATGATTGCTTCCATCACCTCTCACGTTAATCTGCCCGGCTACCGAATGGCGGGCTACAACATGTCCAAGGGGGGCGTGCGGATGGTGAGCACATCTCTCCTTCCGTGTGGTCTAGCTTTCAATCTCACTTAACTCTACGCAGCTCTCCAAGGCTCTTTCGGCAGAACTGGGGCCGTCGAAGATCAGGGTGAATAGCATTTCACCGGCGTTCATCGAGACGAACCAGACGAGGACAGCTCGTGAGTACACCAGCAAAGCAGCTGGTGACCTCATGAACACTGCGCCGCCGCTTGGGAGGATTGGTACTCCGGATGAAGTTTCTCCCGCAGTCATTTACTTATTGAGCGATGCATCGGCCTATACTACAGGCGCGGATATTCTGATCAGTGGCGGCATTCACACTGGGCGTGGAGGGGATTATGATATGTGCTAGGAGATGAGTAAGGTAGGTAGAGTAGAGCGAGCATTTATGCAACCCGTCAAACCCGCACCGTCCATTGAGAAGACTACCTTACTAAGCGAATTGTTGAAAAGGTGGACGCTAAACCGAATTTGATCGTATCAGCCCCGACCCCACGCGCCGAGGTTCCGGGGGCGATAGGCCAGATCCCAGAGCGCATCTCGAAGCAGCCTGGTCCTCCAAGCACGCGACACGCGGTCGGTTTTCTGATACCCCATCATGTAGGCCGCAGAAAGATGTACAGCACAAGATGCCACGGAAGAAGGTTCCGCTCGACCAGCGCCAGCGCTCCGTGGTAGCCTGCTTACCTTGCAAAGCGGCCAAGATACGCTGCGATGCCCAAACGCCATGCGCCACTTGTTCGAAACGCGGCCGAGAGGGCGACTGCATCTATCCTGATGCGCAGGAAAGCAGCGCTAAGCGTCGGCGAGCTTCGACTTTGACGCGGGAGGAGGCAAGCAGCCCGTTGAAGAAGCGCGCTTTGGCTGCCCGGCGGGATGACGAAGCTGCAGCGGCCACCACGAATGGGAGCACGACTGAGGCTTCTGTGAGTGATGAACATGGGCCGAAGAGTCGCATGCTGCTTAGTTCGAAGCTGCAGAAAGGTGAGCAGGGACCGGTCATGAAGCACAGCATGAGGAATCTCTGACCGATGCACAGTCTATGTTGGCGAGACCGCATCTCTGTCATACTTGCAATTCCTGAGACACGTCGTCAAGCATCGCATCGGGCCGTGCAGCTTCACAGAAGGCGACTTCAACGGCTTCATGCTCGAGAACGACATCTTGAACGGCAGTCCGGATTCCACAGGCACGCTGGAGCACCATGATAGCCAGTCACTGGCACACGTATATCTGGATGCCGTATGTGTCACGCTCACCTGTGCTTTCCCATCACTGACCATCAATTAGACTAGCGGGATCCTCGACTTCTATCCGAATGCGGACGTCTTCACGTCTTTGGACGGGAGCGGCGCATCGATTGGTACAGCAGCGCACTGTTTCATTCTGGCGATTGGTGCTCAGTGCCGTGGTGGTGGTAATGCCGACCTACAGCATGCCTCTCTCCAATTCGCACAAGGCCAGCAGCTGTCTTTCCAAGGCATGCTCTGCGATCCCAGCCTCGACATGGTGCAGAACTTCCTGCATATGGCGTTCTATATGCTAGGCGCTTGCCATCGGAACGCAGCGTTTATGTATCTCGGTGTTGCTGCACAAGCAGCTGGCGCTCTCGGTTTGCATCGACCCGATCAATATCGACATCTTCCACCCGAAGAATGCAGAGCGAGGTGAGTCTTGAACATTTTTGACCAGACGAAATGATCTAAGCTGTTCCTCAGGATCCATACGTGGCACAGCGTCCGTGTTCTCGCGACCATCGTGAACTCCATCCTTGGAAGGTCGTGCAGCCTTCCGGGAATGCTCCAGCCGTATGAGCAATTCCCCACGGACGATGAATACGTCGATGTCGATGCAGTTCTACCGCGTGCATTGGCGCTCGAGTCAATATTCAAGCTTTGCCCATTCATGGACGAACTTGAAACGACGGTGTGCAAGCAAGACGCCGCCACCGCCGAGGATTTCTTGCAACGCCTGCAACAGTGGAGTAAAGCGCTCCCAGCCGAAATTCGCACTGGCAATGAACCTGTCTCGAGTCCACATGATCGAGAGCGATCTGTGGCGAGGCTACACGTTGGCTCTGTGTACTACTTCACCGTCATCCTGGTCACACGACGCTTCCTCACACTCTACCTCTTGAACGAGATTGAGAGACGGACATCGCCCGATCAGCAAAAGTCGAGACTGGACGACCGAACTTCGGCTCTAGCGCATGTATGCCTTGATGCCGCCGTCAATCTTGCGAGGGTCGCACACAACGCCATGGCCACCAATCAGATGCTGGGCAATATGTGCTTACTAAAGTTGGTCTTTGCTCTCCACTATTCTTCACGAACAATCTATAGACTGACATTGGCGCTAGGGCTTGGATCTTCGCGGCCGGCCTCCTCCTCGGTTTCTCTCTGTTCGCGCAGGGCCCTCTTTCCGATGCCGAAACCGTAGACGCATTCAACCAAAGCAAAGCCGTGCTCACCAAAATCGCCGAACTCAGCTTGCAGGCCGGCCACTACCTCGAAATCCTCTCCTCCCTCTCCGACGCCGTCGACCTCTTCCAGCGGAAAATGACAAACGAGAGAAAGCGAATGACAAGCCAATACTTAGACCAAAGCTTCACAGTTCACAGCAAGGACCCATCCAACAAGGATCTCGCTACAGCGGCTAATGTATCGCCGGACGACGTTCTTGATGATCCGGGCGCCTTGTCTAGCAGCACGATGGACTTTGGCACCAGCAATTTCGGTCTGGACGATATGGTCACCGGGAACTATGGGCTAATGTTCTCTGAGGGATTCCCTTGGCCGGCCGATGACTTGAGTTTCGACTGGCAGATCTCCGGGCTGTTCCCGACGTGAGCGAAGCCAATGATCAGACGGTACCACACTCTCGCGAGGGAACTCTTATGCACACCAAAGTGTGATGAGTGTCTCTAGTCCTCGTCCCGCGTGCGCCGTTGCAGCCAACATAACATCCAGGCAGGATCATGCCGAATGCAAGCAGCATCGCTGCAACTGGAATGCATCTAGATCTGAATAAGGAACCAGCCATTATTCGACGGATTGTCGACGAGAGTCTTGTTGAACTGCCGATGCTTTGTCCTTACCCTCAAGCTGTACCATCTTGACTCTATGTTGTCTTCAGCAATCTCCTCACTTCCCCTTGAATGGCCTCGCTCATCTCCACCGTGCCTGCCTTGCCACCCAAATCACCCGTCCGGATCTCAAGCCCACCATCCTCCCGAGTATCCAAGCACCGCTCCACCGCCTTCTCGATAATGTTCGCTTCCCGGTGCATGTTGAAACTGTACCGCAGCATCATCGCCAGACTCAGAATCTGCCCCGTGGGATTTGCCAGCCCCTTGCCGCTGATATCTGGCGCGGAGCCGTGGACTGGTTCGTAGAGTCCGACGACACCGCCAACGCTGTTCCTGCCGAGCTTGCTGTCGACGTTCCCGGGTGGTCCAGCGAGCGATGCGGAGGGCAAGAGTCCCAGCGAGCCCGTAAGACCACCGGATTCGTCAGACAGAATGTCGCCGAACGTGTTGTCCGAGACAAGCACACCGTTGAACGCAGTGGGCTTCGTGATGAACAGCAGCGCCAGACTATCCGCCAACTGATGCTTCAGCTGGATCTTGGGAAACTCCTTCTCAAACACCTCCGTCGCTATCCGTCGCCAGACGCGCGAGTTGGCCAGCACGTTCGCCTTGTCGACGCTGTACACTTGCAGCGGCGGGTCGTGCTGCATGGCCAGCGCGCCGGCGACCCGCACCACCCGCTCGATCTCGGGTCTGCTGTACTCCCACGGGTCGCAGCCGTAGTCTGCCTCTTCGATCTTCTTGCCGTAGTAGGCGCCGCCGCAGTTTTCGCGGATGAACATGAAGTCCACGCCCTTGACTACTTCTGTTTTGATGGGGGAGTAGGCTAGGAGAGCTTTGCTGGCGAATTTGCACGGGCGGAGGTTGGCGAAGATCTGCGGAGATTAGTACCGTGATGCCAGTACTCTGTGCACGTGGACAACGCACCTGCATGCGATCCCGTATCCTCAGCAGCCCGCTTTCCGGATTCGGCTGCGCAGTGCCCCATTCAGGACCGCCAGCGCTACCAAAGAAGACTGCATCCACGTTCAAGCACTTCTGCAGCACTTCCTCCGTCACGGAGTCGCCGTGCTTGTCGAGCGAGCAGCCGCCGCACAAGTCGACTTCCAACTCGAATTTCCGGCCCGTCTCTTCTGCGATGATGTTGAGCACTTTGATCGCTTCTGTCACTACTTCCGGTCCGACGTGGTCGCCGGGCAGGACGAGGATTTTGCCGCCTGAGGCGGGGGTTGTGCCGTCCGCGTTGGTTTCTGGGGCTGTCATGGTGAGGAATCGAGACTGACACGAGTTGTGTGTGGAAGGGGTTCAGGCAGGAAAGATTGTAGAAGATGTCACCGGAAAATGAAATCTATCAAAAAGTATTTGTCGGCAATGCCAATGTCCTGTCCGCGGTGACGTTGAAGCACCGCCCCGACATCGGCTGTTGAAATCCGGGGACAATTGGACGGGCAGGTGTGCCGAGGAAAAGAGCCATTGGCCCCGACGACACCTCGTCCAGTCATTGAATCGCAGACACAGGACCGGCAGCACGCGATGTGGAAGCAGCAATGGTGCTCGCTACACACCACAGCACGGCGCTGTACAGACCGCCGGAGCGCCATCATCGACATCCGTAACGCGACCTTCTACCGCCACCAATACCCATCAGCACACGATACGCAGGAGTCGAATCCGCCTCTCTTCCCCAACCTCACCTTTCAACTCTCCAATGGCGGGCAAACCACCCCACAGTTCTGGTCTGTTTTATCCCCCTCATCTCTGGCGCGCACCACTTTTCTCCGCATCCTAGCCGGACAACATATCTGCGTCCCACCTGCCGCGAGATCCTATCCCTATCTGGTGGAAACGTCCGAATCTCTCCAACATGCCATCAAGTACGTCGGATTCGACGCAGATCGAGGGAGTAATGTTGGGGGCACGAGTGTGCGAGGCGCCTACCTAAGTGCACGATACGAGAGTCGAAGGGAAGAGACTGACTTTTCCGTTCACGACTATCTCACCGGCCATACGGAACTCAATGCCCTTGAGCGCCAAATGACCGCTACAGAGCGACAGACGCTGGAAGAAGTGACGGAGCAACTTAACCTTCGCCGACTGCTCTCCATGCCCGTCTCGAATCTTAGTAATGGACAGACACGCCGGGCGCGCATTGCTAAAGCTCTCATGGGCCGGCCGCAGGTTTTGCTGCTCGATGGACCCTTCATGGGACTGGATCCGAATACGTTGGCGAATATGTCGAGGGTGCTTCGTGACTTGGCGGAGAGGCAGCAGCCTCGGCTTATCATCAGTTTGCGGCCGGAGGATGGGGTGCCGGAATGGATCAGCCATTTGGTACTTGTTAGTGAGGAAGCGAGGATCCTGGCGCAGGGGGCAAAGCAAGAGGTGTTCAATTCAAAGACCGATGCTACGAAATCTATCCTATTCACTGCTCAACTCGGGCACAATGCGAACAACATCACCAGACTCAGCCGAGATGGGTTTCCGCAAGAGTCCCCTGCGCTGAAAGCCGGCGAACCTCTGGTCGAGATGAATGGCGTCGAAGTTGCTTACGGCCAGAACGAAGCTCGCAGAGTAGTTCTCGGCGACTGGGAGCAACAAGTCAATGGAGAGCAAAGGCCCGGCCTATGGTGGAGTTTGCACCGCGGGCAACGATCCGGCATCTTTGGAGCGAATGGAAGCGGCAAAACCACAATGCTCAGCCTCATCACTTCCGACCATCCTCAAACCTACAGTCTACCCATCAAACTCTTTGGACGCTCGAGACTCCCCGCTCCGGGTGAGGCGGGCATTAGCTTGTTTGATATTCAGAAGCGAATGGGACACTCCAGTCCCGAAGTTCATGCCTTTTTCCCCAAGAGTCTGACCGTCCGGCGAGCGTTGGAATCCGCGTGGGCGGATGCGCCGATGGCTAAGCCTCGATTGGATGAGGAGGCGAATCGGCGAGTGGCTGCGTGTCTTCGCTGGTTCTCGAACGAGCTTGATCCATCATCAAAGCCCAGGAGTATGATCGACCACCTACAACATGCATCCTCAACCACCACAAACGATGTAAAAGAGCTGGAGCAGGAGCACAGACGCCTGACGCAAGATGACAAGGACCTAGCTTGGGCCAAGGACCTCCGTTTCGGCGAGCTGAGCTTCTCCAACCAACGGCTCCTTCTCTTCCTCCGCGCAATCGTCGCCAGTCCAGACCTCGTAATCCTCGACGAAGCGCTCAGCGGCATTGACGAAGCCACACGCGACAAAGCCCTACTCTTCCTCTCGCAGGGTGAGACAGTCGCCGCAGTCGTTGACGGAGTTGCGCAGCCTAGTGTCTTGACGCAGCTGGACATGGTCGTTCACAGCGGTCTCTCCCCCGACCAAGCCCTTCTTGTCATCAGTCACTCGAAAGAGGATGTACCGGGGTGTGTGAGGGAATGGATCTGTCTGCCTGAGCCTGGAGAAGGCCGCATTCCGAGGACTGGCAAGCTTTCAGGGCCACTGGAGCTCAATCCGCAAGGCTGGGGCGAGATCTGGGGAGAACGCTTACCAGCGTGACAAACATGACCGCCGCCCTTCGAACGAAACCCGTGCTAAGGTCGGCAATACGGTAGAGGGTCCGTCGATGGCTTATTCTCCTCGGAATCATACCGCGAGGCTTCCGAAGTCTTGAAAAACGTCTCGACCATTGGGCAAAGCGAAGAAGTGACCATCTCCAGCCGGCGAACATGCGCCGATATCGCCTCGAGACACCCATCGCACCACCTGGTCTCCTCCTCGACTCCGGCAGAGTGGAAGAAGGATCTTGCCGTGTAGACAAATGCGTACAGGAACTTGACGGCCGTGAGCGGCCGCTGGCTGTAAAAGTGGACGTGCTGGCAGCTCTCGTACGCGGAGAGGTATGCTCTATGCTCCACCTCGGCTTTTGACACGCCCGTCCAGTCCGCTGCCAGACCGTGGTGGTCCATGCCGCGGCAGATAATTTTTAGAAGGGCGCAGTCGTTGTTCAGACTTCCGTGGCGAGTGATGGCGCTGTTGAATCCGTACTGAGGACTCTTGAACTGGTAATGCTCTCGGACGAAAGAGGTGCGCAGGAGATATCGGTGTTCTTCGAGCGACATGTCGAAGGAGTCGAGATGGGTGTTGCGAATCATCGGACCGCAGGCCGCGGCTTCGCTGTCGTACACTGCCGCACGAATGCAGTACTTCTGGATGAAGTTTGTGTGGCGCACGAGGGAAGCCAGGTCCTCTAAGCGCTCTGGCGTCACTGTCCCTTCTTCAGCAACGAACTCGTCGGCCATACGACAAAGGCCGGGCAGAGAGCCGAATAAATCTCGGGGAATGTTGCGCTCAGGCACGGCGGTGGGGATGCGCTCTAAAGAGCCTGGCTGGGCGTGCCACCATTCCACCCGCTTTTCAGTCTTGGGTGGTAACCAGCCAGTGACCTGGTAAATTGCTGTGTCCTCATTCAGCAACATACGAGGCACCTTTGCCCACGATGGCTTTTCAAAGATCATCTCTTGACGACGGGCGATGGAAACGACATTCGCTTGGAATTGCAGCTGTCGCAGGAGGACGTCGTTCATTTCAGTCCTCCCGCTGCCGAGCACGGCTGGCCCGTACTTGGCCATGAACTGGATCGCTCCCTCAAGATGAACAGCGGATTGGCGGAGGAAGACTTCCGAATCGCCTGGGATTGCAGGCATGATGCTGATCAACATGATGACCATGATGATGGTCTGCGAGCTCTCGATGGGCTTGTCACTGTCATGAGTGGCAACAGCATGGTGCAGCATCGCCAGAATCTGGCCACGGGATCTAGAGGCCAGCGCAATGGCATCGCTTTGCTTTGACCTGCCCGCCAGATGCGTGAGGCATATACTCTCGATCGCGTACCGGATTAGCGGTGTCGAGAGATTCATACTGGCCCAGAGATGCGGCAGCGATGTGCGCGCCATATGTCCGATAGCTGGGGCCGCAGGGGTTGGATCTGGAAACCGGTCTTCGAGGTATTTGGCCAGGAGTTGTGTGCGGTTGGCCGCTCGGCCGCTGACTGGACTCGCGACTCGATCTTCCAGCATCCACTGTACCAGCTGGTCGCACTCGAAGGCTCGCGGCTCGGCCGTGGTAACTGGACGAGTAGTGCGAATGACTACAGCCTTGTCTGTGGGCGGGGTGAAGTTCAGCTCCCACGAACTGTAACCCGGACATACGAGACCAGACCGAGTACATCTCATGCAGCACGGTCGCGTACCATCGCATTTCGTCTTGCGCGCTCTGTGGCGAATTGGTCAACAAAGACGAACTCGTGGCTCGGGAACATATACTCACCGGCAAGTCTTACAGTAATCATGGCTGGGCTTGAGTACTACAACGCGCTTCCGTCTTGCTTGACTGCTCGCTGTCAATGCCTTGCTGGCTGGATTATTCATGGTTCGGATCTACGGCCGACGTGCGTGATATCGAACGGTGATAGTGAGGCTGGCGACCGTGGATATTAGGCTGCGGTATATCTCGATCGTCGACCACGGGGTTGGAATGCATTCTTCTAAAACTCATCGACAATGATTCGATTTCAGGCGCAGAAAAAGCGCGAAGTCCCAAGATCGCTGAATACATGGAAATCATTTCAAATCCTACGCATCGGTCGGTTGTCCGTGCCCAGCATGTTACAATATCATGACTAAATCGTCCAGCTCTCGATCGAAGCCTGGCGTCACGCTCGGCTGCAGCTTGGCAGCAATCCTGACACGTGAAGCCCAACACAAGGCTGACTAAGGGCCATCTAGCCGGGGAGTGCTCGTGCACCGCAGTCGCAGTTGCCTAAGCCGAGCCTAGCGCGTCAAGCTCTCCTTCCCGAGGCTATACCACAGCCCGTCTCACACTTTCTCGACCTTTAAGATATCTCAATGCCCGGGGCATGGCGCTGTAGACCAGCTTAATCACACCTTTTCCCTCCCTCCCCACGATTCCAGCCAGTATGAGAGTAGCAAGTGCGGCGACCTCGACGTCGCTGAGGCTGGCGTATGGCGCCATGGCTGGCCCCAGTGCGCGGAGGTCCTTTGCGACCACCTCACGTTTCATGAAGGCCTATGGCTTCATTGGATTGGGGAGAATGGGTGAGCACTTCCTTTTACCACCTCCAGACTCGCATCTGTGACTGACATGCGACTTCCAGGCTGGCCCATGGCCAAGAATCTCCGCGCCAAAATCGGCAAGTCCGATACCCTCATCGTGTACGATGTGTCCTCGGACGCGGTGCAAAAGTTGCAGAAAGAGGCGGACGGCGAGGTCGAGGCGGCCAAGAGCGTGCGAGAAGTCGCGGAGAAGGCGGTGAGTGCTGCGTATTCCCAAAAGTCCTGCTGCGCTGCTTCACCTTTTCCATGATGATACTCTTTTTGTCCTATCTATGATCTAAGTTGGCGGCGTGCGTTTGCGCGTCGTTGCTGTGATTACACCATTACATAGCCAATCCTCTGATGTCCGCCTCTGGCTGTCCTGCTTACTTCGATGGAGTCGTGAGGATGAACATGGCTGATCGTGAAACACCAGGAAACAATCCTCACAGCCCTCCCCGAACCCCACCACGTGCAAAAAGTCTACTCGGAAATGCTAGAGCCCGCAACCCTCCGCACCGAAGCGCCAAACAAAAACGAACGGCTCCTGATCGACTGCAGCACCATTGACCCCAAGACCTCGGAAGAAGTGACGGAGAAGGTGCTCAGCAGCGGCGCCGGCAAGTTCTGCGACGCACCCATGTCCGGCGGCGTCGTGGGCGCCACCAACGCTACGCTGGCCTTCATGGTCGGCTGTCCGGACGAGATGGTTGACCGCGTCAAGGAAGTGCTCGGCCTCCTTGGCCGTCGAGTCATTCATATGGGTCCGCCGACCAGCGGACTCAAGGGCAAGCTCGCGAACAACTACCTCCTCGCCCTCAACAACATCGCGACGTGCGAAGCGATGAACATGGGCATCAAGTGGGGTCTCGACGGCAAGGTACTGGCGGAGTTGATCAACAACGCCACGGGCAAGTGCTGGCCCAGCGAATCGAACAACCCCGTCCCGGGTGTGCTTGAGGTCGCGCCGGCCAATCGGGACTACGAGGGTGGCTTCGGGACGGCACTCATGGCGAAGGATCTGGGGCTGGCGTTGACGGCTCTCGAGCAGGCGGATCTTAAGCCTGTGTTGGGCCAGCATGCGCAGGAAGTGTACAAGGCTGTACAGCAGGATGACAAGTGCAAGAACCGGGATTTCTCGGTTGTCTATCGATGGTTGGGAGGGAAGGAGTGATTCGATGTGCTTCTGAGATAGTCTGTGACCATGTATGAAGATGTAAACCGACATCTATCTGCGCTCGACAATGTCGACAGAGACCTCACATCAGAGTCTCGCCGCCTCTTCAGCAGGCACAACACCAGTCCTACACGCGCAAGACGCAGTAACAACCACATCCGCCGTCGCCGCCGTCAAATCCAACAACTTCTTCACAATCCGCGCCTCCCCCTCCCTCCCCAACTTCCCCAAACACTCATGTAACCCATGCAACGCCCACACATTATTCGGATGCTGCAGCGCGCGCGGCAACGTATCGTCCAGCCCCAGATCCGCCGTGTACACCCCCGCCGCCTCCTTCACGCGTCCTTGCTCGAGGAGCAGTGCGCCGTACGCGTGCCGCGGCGGCTGCATCCAGCCCCACGGTTCGTCGTAGGGGAGGTTATCGCTTAGGTGGATGGCGTGGCGGAGGTGTTGGAAGGCGAGGTCGTGGTTGCCGCGGCGGTACTCGAGTTCGCCGTCGAGCATGGCGCTTCCGACGGCGAGGATGTCGGTGCAGGTGTTGTTGAAGACTGTGCGGCTGGCGGGGACGGCTTGTGCTGCGGCGCGGAAGAGCGCGCGTTGCTCTTCTGCTTCTTGGACGCGGTTGAGGGCGGAGAGCGCGATGCCTTTTGCGTAGTGCGTCATTGCTGTTGTTGTGGCGTAGAGCACTTCGTCCTGCGGTAATGGGAGGGCGAGAATGTCGTTCCACTTGCCGAAGCGAACGAGCACGTGGAAGCGCATAGGGAAGAAGCCTTCGAGCCAGTCGGCCATGGGCGGGGATTCGATTCGAAGCAGGTCAGGAGGGAGCGAGGCTTCGAGCATACGGGCCGTTTGCAGCGCAATGCCGTACTGCCCGGCAAACATGGCGCCGTAGATGCGGAAGTGGTAGTTGTGGGAGCGGTAGAGGGAGTAGAAGTTCAGCGCGCCGGCGCGGGCGAGCCAGCGTTCGTCGGCGCGGATGGCGTCGGCGTTGGAGGCGATGACGCGGCGGTAGTCGCCGCACAGGACGTCGAGGTGGGTGGGCATGTGTTGCAAGTGGCCGCCGTCAGGCACCAGGCCGCGGAGGCTGTCTGCTGCCGGGAGAGCGAGTTCGGGGGCGCTCGACATCTCCATCAGGTGGATGTACAGATGGAGGAGACCGGGGTGCTCATGGCCGCCGTTCTGCGCAATGGCACGCTCGAGGATGCCCCTGGCCTCGAGCGTACGCGCGCCTTCTGCTGGCTTGCCTGTGCGTAGGTCCCATAAGCCCCACGGGGTGAGGTTCATCAGGGAGTCGGCGTAGAGAGCGGCGACATCCAAGTCGTCGGAGAACTGTTCGTAGACTTCCGCCATGGCGCGCGCATAGTCTTGATTCCATTGCGATCGGTCGGTCCCAGCATTCGGTTGATATCGCCATTGTACAGCGTCCAGAAGAGCCACTTCCACCGGCGTGCCATTCGATCCACTCTCGTGCTTTTTCGCGGTCTGAACAGCCTCCACCGCTTTGCTCAAATTCCTCTCGACCTCATCTGCATCGAAGACTTCCCACGGCTTGTTGTAATTTGGCCCAACGGTGTATGCAACACCCCAGTACGCAAGCAAGCAGTGCGGGTCCTCTGCGATCGCCTTCTCAAAGCACACAGTCGCTTCTTCGTGGTTGAAAGCGTAGCTCCAGACCAAACCTCTGTCGAACCATTTCTGCGCCGCTGGGTTGGCTGTGCTTACTCTGCGAGTGTATCTTCCGAGATCGAAATAGTCTTCATTATCAGTTTTGTGAGACATTGTTCAGTGTTTGTTCGTCAGGAGTGACAGGAGTGTATGAGCGAATGTGGTTTGCGGGGGGGCCATTGTATTGCGTGATGGAGTGACGTTGCGGGGGTTTGTCAAAAGTCGAGACAAGGGCCACAGCCTGATCGCCATATGCCTGGGCATTGCAACGTCGGGATCAAGTACATGATCGAGATGTGTAGGAGATAAGCCTCTACTCTGAGATTGCATTTATCATTCAACATCCTCCGACTAGTACCGTTGTGCTCCATCTCGCACGAACATCAAAGATCAACACAGCAACGTCTAACCGTACTGCACCTGCAATGCTCCGCTCACACGTCTCATAACACGCTCCGGCAACTCATTCTCATATCTGCATCGACATCAGTGACACGTTGCGAAACAAAGTTGGAAAGAAGACTTACACCATTCGACACCACTCCGCCACCACCATCCGCGTCATGGCAGGATCGATCAACTCCTCGATGCTGAAGTGGTTGGCCGTGCGCACAGGATTGATCAGCCGTTTGTACATCGTGGTCAGCTCCTCGAGTCGTTTCTGCTTCGCTTCCAGGCCTTGCTCCTTTTCGATCTGTTTGAGTTCTCCGGAGTGGCCGACTTCTACTCCGCCTTCGAGGGGGAGACTGCCCCATTCACCTGACCGCAATGATTAGAAACATCAACCAGGAGAACGAGGATTGTTTGCCACATACCACTCGGCCAGGCAACTCTCAACCTAGGCTCTCGGCAATCCACCATCACCCCTCCCGCGACTCCATACACCTTGCGGACAATGACGTTGAACAGCGGCATCGTAGTCGTATAATACGCCTTGGTGAGCTCCACTCCCCATCTCATCGTCGCCGTCCTCTCCGCCACAGTGCCAATAGCATACCCAGGCACATCGACAAACTGCAACACGGGCAAATTGAAGACATCGCAGAACTTCAGATGGCGCGTGATCTTCTGCGAGCCGGCTGCATCCAGCGCCCCGGTCGCCACTTCGGCGTTGTTCGCGATGATGCCAACCGGTTTGCCGCCGAGTCTTGCTAGCCCGATGATCGCCGTCCGTCCCCATAGCGCTCCGATTTCGAACCATGAACCTTCGTCCACGACGGTAGAGATGATCTTTCGCGGATTGTACATCCTCTCTCGTTTCCGTGGCACAATGGAGCGAAGTTCAGGCGACTCGCGATCGACGGGATCATTGCAAGTGACTTCGGGAGGGATTCTCGTCCCGCAATTCGGGAGGTACTCCAGCACCGTGCGAATCTGCTCAAAAGCCTCGGCTTCCGTCTCGGCGTAGTTGTCAATGGTGCCGTTGGTGCAGTGCATCGCCGGCCCGCCGAGTTCGGTGAAAGACAGGCCTTCTTCGAAGGTGGCGCCTGCGACGACTTTCGGGCCCGCATTGAAGAGCGAGCCTACGTCTGCTGCCATGACGGAGAAGTGGCAGCTGACGATTCGTGCGGCTCCGAGACCTATTGCGGGCCCGAGCACGGCGCCGAGGTTGGGGATGCCCATGTTTAATTGTTTCGTCACGAGGTCTGTGTTGCGTGTTAGTATGCACGGCTGTTGAACGGGGAGAGTAAGCTTTACCGAAGCCCTGCATGGGAGGGACGTAAGAGTAGCCCTAGTAGGATTGTTAGTATACTTGAACCCGGCCTCGATGGGGGGACCTGGTGGTCGAACTTGTTTCTGAATCGAAGAGACGGATCCGCCTCCTGATGAACCATCGCAGAGTTTGATCATAGGGAGTTTCAGCGCAATGGCCATCTTCTCCGTGTATAGCGTCTTCTCCATGAGGTGACCTGGCCTAATCAGTACATATTCCTCGGCGATGACACCAGTCGAGTCACGTACCATCCTGATGACCCGCGCGAAGAGAGAAGTCGTCAGCAGTAAACACAATCTGGCGCCCCCGCAGTTTTCCAAAACCTTGGAGGTTGTTGAACGGGGTGTATTCTTCCTGAAGCCACGGATCAATACAACATCACATGGGAAACAACTCAACACTCACCGGCTCCTCTCGAATCCCCTCAATCAACTTCCACTTCACCTTGCCCGACACACTCCCGATCTCCCGAAAAGACTTCTTGTCCAAGAGCAAAGCAATGCGCTCCCTTACGTGCAACTTGCCGCTTTCCTTCTGTCGCCTGTAACCCGGATGGTCTGAACTGGGGTTGCGCGCCCACTTTCGCATCGTGTCCATCTGACCAAGGAGGTCGGAGTAATCCGCGGGCAAGTCATCCTTCTTGCCTGCGCGCTTACGTCGGCCTGAAGTCGATTTGGAGTCCTTGGATGACGAGTCGTTGGATGAGGAGAGGTGGTCGTTGATCTGGCCTGCTCGGGACGATGCCTGCTGCGATTGCGATTGTTGGCTGGATGTGGCCTTGCGGGCGCTGCTATCATCCGGCATGGCTCTTCCTGCGCATGTTACAGCACCGTCGTTCTTTGCGCGTCTGCAGGCGCGTTGTTGATGTATATAGCCTTTGAACACCACCAGCCGCAGCCCCTCAGTCAAACCTCGGCCCTCCTCTTTCCCAAACGAGCAGCTCCGAGTCCGAGTCCAGTATCGCATGGCCGATCCACTTAATTATTAATCCAGATATCGGGGGAAGAATAAATACCTAATTACATCATCTCTAACCATCTTTTCTGCCCTCTTGCCATCTTTCTAAATACTCACTCACATTGCAACTAAAATCAAAGCATCACAATGGTCAAATCACGACAATGGATTCTGGCTAAGAAGCCCAAGGATTTGCCCGAACTCGACGGTCCCAATGCCACCTTCAAGCTTCAGGAAACGGAGCTGCCCGATCTCAAGGATGGCGAGGTGCTGGTCAAGACGACTTTCATCTCCAATGATCCTGCGCAACGTGGGTGGTAAGTCAGCTTCTTCTCAATCGGCATGGCATTGGTGGCCGTGCATTTTGCAAATCAGAACGATCAACGAACACCTTCTACTGGATCGACAACACCAGCTGACAAAGACATGTCAGGATCGCCGAAGATGCCAACCCCGACCGTCTCTACGTGCCCCCAGTGAAAGAGGGCGAGGTCATGCGCGCCCGCGCCCTCGCCGAAGTCGTCGAATCCAAGTCGCCCGACTGGAAGAAAGGCGACGCAGTCCTCGGCGGCACCAACTGGTCCGAGTACGCGGTGCTGAAAGCCAAAGACCTCCAGGCCGCCAAGGACCTTCCCGGCAACCGGCCCAAGACGCACTATCTCGGTGCGCTGGGGCTGACGGGGTTGACGGCCTACTTTGGCCTGACGGAGGTGGGCGAGCTGAAGCCTGAGCACACCGTGGTTGTTTCTGGCGCTGCGGGGGCGACGGGCATGATGGCCGTGCAGATTGCGAAGAACATTGTCGGGTGTAAGAAGGTGATTGGGTTTGCGGGTAGCGATGAGAAGTGCAAGTGGGTGGAGAGTCTGGGAGCGGACCTGTGCTTGAATTGTAAGTCCTATCGCGTCGGTCCAAGGAGAGGCAACGTGCTAATCGTGCTGGGGCGCAGACAAGAAGGACAGCTTCAAGAAAGACCTCGAAAAGGCCTTGCCGGCCCCGGATGGATATGCGAATGTCTACTTCGACAATGTCGGCGGCGAGATTCTCGACGTCATGCTCACGCGCATGGCCAAGTTTGGGCGGGTGATTGCGTGCGGCGCCATCTCGAGCTACAACTCCTCCGCGGGCACCATGTACGGGGTGAAGAACTGGTTCGAAATTATCATCATGAGCCTCCGGATCCAGGGGTTCATTGTGCTGAGTGTAAGTCGACTTAAACACCGTACTGTGCATACGAACCAAGACGGGTTGCTGACCTCGGGCCCTGTAGTACGCCAGCAAGTACGGGCAAGCGCTGGAGACGCTGCAGAAAGCGCTGGCGGACGGCAAGCTGCAAATCGACGAGGGCGAACATGTTGTCAAGTCCAGTTTCGAGGAGGTCCCCAAGACGTGGATGCATCTGTTCAGCGGCGGCAATACTGGAAAGCTGGTCACGGCCCTGCAGTAAGCAAGCCCTCTGTGGGGTGGAACGAATGGCTCCCATTTGACGCCATCACTGCAGACAGTCCTCGCCCTCTAAATTATAAAATGGCGATTCGTGTACGGATAAGATGGTTTTGATCAAAAGCATGCCTTCGTTATTATATCTTCACCAGCCTCGAGTAGCGTGACGCCAAGCAGCCTCGTGAGAGATGGCGGGGAAACCCAACCGCACCTCACTCTTTCCCACCTCCACACACACCCATATCGACTCCTCCAACAATGCCATTCCCCTATGCCCTGCCCACAACAAGCTCCGTCCAGCTCTCCGACTTCTTCTCCAGTCTCACTCACCCCTCCCTCCCCCTCACAGCCACAATCAAACGCAGCGTCGTCAAAGATGCCCTCAAAAAGTACAAACGCCTCGCCGGCGCGTCTCGCGAAAGCCAGCTGTCTCTCATCCGCGACGCACTAACAGCGTACATCCCGTACCTCCTCGCGCTCAACACAGCCAGCAGTTTCCGGGATGTCGGCGGGCAGCGCGTAGACGTGGAAGTCGTGAAGCCGCTGGAAGTGGAATGGCGCACCACCCTCTCCGCCGCCGCTTTGCCCGGCCGCGAAGCCCCGCGCGTGAAAGTCATCGGCTTGCATCTCGAACTGGCGTTCGTCCTTTCCACTCTAGGCTACGTGCAATGCCTCCTGGCGCGCGCACAGCTCAAAGCACTCTACAGCGCGACCGCCCCGTCGGCGGAGCAGCGCAAAGTGGCCGTCGGCACGGCGATGAAGCAATTGCTCGAAGCGCACGGGATCTGGAAGTTCCTACTATCGCTGCCTTCCATTTCCGCCGCCAAACACGCTCCGGTCGATATCCAGCCGTCCACAGTTTCCGCGCTCGCGGCGCTCGCTCTGGCCGAGGCGAATCTAATTGCCTTCTACCACGATGATCCCTACGCTGCAGCTGTGGCGGATACAAGGGACGAACAGAATACAGACTGGATGTTCAAGTCGCCTACCATTCCTAAAGTGCGGGCTCGCGTGTACGCGACGGTGTGTTTTGGCGCGGCGGACCACGCGAGTCAGGCGTGCGGGTTGCTGAAGGGGGCTGGTGGCAAGTTGGACGAGAGTCTGATCAAATACGCTAATGATCTGCGTCGTACGGCGCGAGCGAAAGGTATGCGCTTCTTGGGCGTCGACACGGAGCTCGCGGGGGAGAGCGGGAAGGCAATTGCCTGGCTCCGCGGCGCGAAGAAGGAACTTGGTTTCTCTTCGGAGATGGACGAGGGCAAACGAAAAGGACTCAAAGGGTTGAAGCAGAGCTGGCAGGAGCGAAGAGAAGACCGAAAGATCGAAAAGGGCGGCGAATGGGGATTGGACGCGGGGAGGTACGAGGAAGCGCGAGTTGTAGAGATGTTGGAAGCGAAGTGGGAAAAGGAAAACAGCACGGTGAATGTGCAGGCTGTGCCGCCTATCGAGCCGCTGCTGGCGGACATCCCGTCTGGTCGGGAGTACCATTCCCAGCCGCCTGTGTGGCAACCGGAGACGTTGGATGCGGAGGCTGTAGCGTCACTCGAAGCGCCGCCCGACCCGAACCAGCAAGGCTTTCGTGGAGCGGAAGATGACAGTGGGGACGAAGCGGTGTATGGACAAGGCGCACCGGTTGGTGCATTCCCCGGAACGGCCGCGCAGTACGGTCGGAGCGGAACGAGTAGCAGCTACTACTAGTAAGACAGCTCACCTCACCACTCCACCACCTTCTCCTCCCTCCAGAACTCCCCTCTCTTCCCATCCAAATCCTGCAGCGCTAGCATGACCAGCGTCCTCGCTCCCTCATCCGGCGTAATCGCTCCAGGCCTGTCCATATGCTCCGTCATACTCGTCGCCACATACCCAGGACAACACGCATTCACCACCACCCCGTCTTGCCTCTGCTGCTCCGCAAGCACCTTGCTAAACGCAATAACCCCCGCCTTACTAACACCATAAGCCCGCTTCACGAACCCAGCTTCCTCAACCCTGTCGGCGTCAACGGAATGTTGGAATTTCTCCATCAGGGCCGTCACCGCGGGAATGGAGCCTTTATTGACGGCGGCGTGGAAGTTGGCCTGGATGGCGGGCGAATAGGCGTCTAGCATGCCTGATATACTTGCCACGTTCACGAGTCGAGATTGCGGAGACGGTTTAAGGAGGGGAAGGAGGGTGGTGCAGACGTCCAGGGTGCCGTGGTAATTTGTGCGAATCGTTTCGCGCACGATGGCGGAGTCAAAGCCTTTGAGCGCGATGCCTGGGATCTTTAGCAAGTGCTCTAAGGTATCCATCTTTATGACGAGGATGTGAGGAAAGAACATACCAGCATTATTAATCACAACATCCACACCACTCTCATGCTCCTTCTTCAAAAACTCCCCCAGCGCAGCAACACTCTCAGCAGATCCAATATCCAACTCACGAAACTTGACCGTCACGCTCCCGCCCTGCTGCACAAGAACTCCAGCCTCACGGAGCTGTGCATCGTCAAGCAAAGTCTGCACAGCTTCTTCGCCGCGCTCAGGCGAGCGAGCGGCGAGGTAGATGAGGAGGGATCCGCCTGTGTTTAGGGGTGAGGTGGGGTATTTGAGGGCGAGTTGGCGGACTGGGACGAGGGTTAATTGGAGGATTCCGCTTTGGAATGGAGTGGATGATGTAGTATTTTACCCGCTGCAAGGCCGACGCCTTTGTTGGCGCCGGTGACGATGGCTATGCGTTGTTTTGTCGACATTGTGGCTACGCTCGTACTATATTGCTGATGCAGTTATCCTGGGTCGGACGATGTTTGATACAGTGTAATAAGGTTGATTGATGGAGGAGATTTGAACTAGTCGATCCTCAAGCGTCATCGAACGAACGACCCTGGACCCATCAACTGATAGTGCTCACTGGCGTTAATTGTTCTCATTGCTATCGAGCACAGCGACAAGACTGGCGCCCATGTACATCTTGAAGTCGTCAAAAACTGGGAGGAATAGGTTACACATTTAATTCCACTGGCTGTATGTATCTCTCTCCCAACAACAAAAAGATCATCAATTCATCCCCATTCACTCCTCGCCATACGCCTTTTTACACAACAGTCTTCAAGATAAGCGAAGGAAAAGAAGATATACAAAAATCCAGGGACCACTCTCACCCGCGTAACGCCGCCGAACTTTCACGGCCATTCTCAAGGTGTGAACGATGCGGCATCTGCAGAGGCATTCGCATCTCGTGGCTGTACTACGGCGGAGTAGGATACCCTTTTTGCCCTCTTTGGGCGCTGCCTTGTCGTGCAACGCTGGCGTTGCGATGAGCAGCCGTTCCTGAAGCGTAACCTGATTGCAAATGTCAGTACAAGCAGACGACAACCCCCCTTGATAAAAACAGAAAGACTTACTAGCACGCCTAGAAGAACCATACAATCCCGCGATAGTGCTCACCCTCCGACCCTGCTGCTCATTCCGCGCATTGGCAAGCTGTTGGGCGAAAGGCGAGCGCTCGCGCAACTTCGGGCCGTAGTAGTAGATGAGGTAGACGGCGATGACGAGGATGGTGGAGATACAGGCGAGGATGGTGGACGCGTACTCGAGGTTGAGGCCGCTGCTCTTGCCGATGTTGGTGAAGAAGGGGGTGGCGGGGACGGTGAGGACGCCGGCGAGGAAGTCGCGCGACCAGCCGTTGCCGCCGGTGGCGGAGGCAGAGTAGGGGCCATAGGCACAGATCATATAGTCTAAGTGAAGGTTAGAATGGAGTGCGGGATGGGGAGACACTTTGGGATACACACCTATTGTAGCCATGTAGATGGAATAGTTGGCGATACCGATGATGGCGGCGAAGATCATAGAACCAATCCAGTGTACCGGCGGGCCGAGAATGGTCCATGCGAAGCCAAACAGCCCGATGGGGAGGCAGGGTGCGGTGTAGAGCAGCCACCATAGACGCGATTCATACTGCGCGCGTTCGTCGTTGGGTTTGGCCTGGCGTTCCTTGATGTTGCGGCGAATGGCGGGGATGAAAAGACCCCAGGCGATAAAGTAGCCAACGCCAATGGGAATGAAAGACAAGCCAATGTCGATGGTGGTGAAGTTCCATTGCTTGTAGACGATGGAGAAGGATTGGATGAACATGAACACCAGGGCATCGGAGAAGCCGGACAGGAGGGACAAGACGAGGACGATGGGCTCGGTGAGGAACATGCGGAAGGGCCGGATCCAGGTGATGAGGACTTCTTTGACGGAGAAGCGATCTTTGAACGGCACAAGTTCATCGGGACCCCAGATGTTGGGGTTGCCCTCCTTTCTGCGCTTCTTTGCGATGCGGTTCATCAGAATGGTGGTGCGGGTCTCCGGGACGGTGAAGAAGTGCAAAGCTTGCACGAAGCCGCCAAAGATGAGCTGGATCCAGATGGTCCATCTGGGAGGGATGTGTCAGTGAAAAAGTATTGTCAGTGCGGTTTCCACAACGACACTTACTGCCATGCGAGGAATTCTTCCACGAAGCCGCCCACGACGGGGCCGAGAATGCTACCGCCGACACTGGAAAAGACGACAAAAGCAACGGCGTATTGCTGCTTGTCGGGCTCCCACAAGTCGGCAATCATGCCGAGCGTCACCGATCCGCCGGCGGAGCTCAATCCACCGAGCGCGCGGAAGGCGAGGATGGTGCCGAAGTTGGGGGCAAGGGCGACAGGAATCTGCCAGATGTTGACCAAGAAGAGTGAGAGCTGGAGGATGGGCCAGCGACCAAACTCCTCGGACCAGGGGGCCCACAGCTCGCAGCCAAAGGCGTAGGTGATGAGGAAGATGGCGGCGCCGACACGCGCGGCCTGCTCGCTGACGTTGAATTGCTTGCTGATGCCGCCGATGCCGTTGGAGTAGAGGGAGGTGTTGAAGTTCATCGACACCTGCACGATGAAGATGATGGTCAACACGTACCACTTCTTCCACTCTGGCCAGCTGTATCCGAGTTCATCGTAGCAGTCCTCTTCCGAGATCTCGTATGCGCCTTCATCGGGCGGCGTGTCTTTTCCGTGGTCGACGCCATCGTTGGCTTCGCCGTTGGCGTAGTCGGAGGACGCGCCTTCGGTCTCGGCCTTGTCGCCGGCGTGGGATGATGACTTTTCGACGTCTTCCACTCGTTCGTGCTCCTCCGTGGCTGGGGTGTCGTACTTTGGGGTTTCAAATTCTGGGGCTTTCTCGTTGGTGGCCATGTTGGCGAACGGGGAGGATTAGATGGAAAGGATGGGTATTGTGATGGGGAGCGTCGTCGGGGTAAGTCTGCTTTGACGAGATATGCTGGGCAGAATCAGCAATGCGACCGCCTCATAAACGCCTTCTCGCCCCACGAGACAAGCTATGAATGAAGCATTGGCAGAGAGGGGTCTAATGATGAGGGGCAATGTCGAGGAGGAGTATTTGAGGAAGCGGGAAGAAGCGGTGGAAAACTGGAGCGTTTATTGTGCGCGACCGCCACAGCTCTCGACAGCCTCTGCATCATCGCCATCTCGATGATGACGTCGCTGGTCGCTGGTCGCCGGTCGCGTGTGAGCGGCGTGGCTGCGGCTCGGTGCGCCGTCTTGGCCACCGTCGCGCGCGCGATCGCGATTGGTTCGGGGGCGCTTTTGCCCCTCCAGCTGTTGCCCCGCTCGATCCTTCCGAAACAAAACGCTCATCAGCAGGGCGAGTCAAGCTGTCTGAACCACGCCTCGAGCAAGCGAACGCTGCGTGCGTGCGGCCTGCGGCATCATCATTCCGCTTACTCATTCTCAAATCTTGCGTGGAGGCGCCTTTGCTTGGAATCACCAGCAGACACCTACCCCCAGTGCAGGGGAGGTACGACTGCACCTTCACGTCATACCAAGCTGTGGTTTTCATCCCATGCTCAAAGTCACAATCGGGCAGGCATCGACACACCATCAACGATCAACGGAGATCAACATTCCTTCAGCCCCCCATGTATCGGGCAAATACCGAGGGCTCAGCTAAGTCACTCTGCCTAAGCTATCACTATTCACCCACGACAAATCTCACATGCTCCTCGGTTGGGTTGAAGATACTGTAATCAATCCTCAGATAGGAGCATCCGGCACTTCTACCTCTCCATACATCGCACGAAACGCCAAAGGTCTCGCCGGCATGGCGCCGCTCCTGCTGGCTCCCGTGCCCACTCCATCCGCCGCACCACTCAACTTGTTAAACGCCGTCGTCCGCGGTGTGGTCAGCGGCACTCCGCTCTGCGACCATGGCGTCGCTGGTGTGCGAGGCATGTCCGCAAACACTCGCTGTCGTCGCACTTCCCACTCTTCATCCGGGTCATATGCTTCTTCGTATTGCTTCAAGTCTTTCTCTTCTTCCCAGTCGTTGAGTCGTTCCGCTTTTTCCTCCCGCGTGATGATGGCGGAGTGGATGGCCATTAGGAAGTCGACGACGAAGAGCGCTCTGTCGTCTTGCATCAGCAATGTCCATCTGCGCTGCTGTAGTGCCTGAGACGAGTACTCACAACATCACCGTCGTCACCGCAAAAGCCGCGCGCGATTGCAAGCAATAGCCATAGTTCTGCTTCGAAGCATAACTGCACCCCTTGCCCAGATACCACGGCAGATTCGTCTGCAAATCGGGCACATTCCGATTGCTCAAATCCGGAGTGGATTGCCACTTTACCGACACCGCGTACAGCGCGATCAAGGCCCCGTGCATGACGATGCTGAAGACGGGCAGCAAGGCGGAGAGCACGTACATGGTGCTCTTGCACAGCAGGAGGAACATACTGAGCACGACGATGACGGTGTCGTAGTGGGTGAGACTACGGGTATGCTCGCATCAGCTCAGCACACTGCAGAAGGAAGAAAGAAGAAATACGAACCGACTGCTCCAAATCAGCGGCACGTGAATCGGCTGGTAGTTGGCGTATTGGTAAAGAATCTCATTCGGATTGCTGTTGAAGCCGTGATTCGACCCGTCTAGCCATAGCTTTTTGCGGTATGTGTCGCCGTCCGCGATGCCGAAAAGCAGGAGCAGCACGATGGTGCAGGGCAGTTCGAGGATCAACAGTCCGATCATGACTTTGGGCCAGCGCCATCGGTGGGCGAGGTAGATGCACCATCGCGGAGCCATGGATTGTGGAGGTAGAGAGGGGGAGTCGTGCGCGCGCGCTCTCGTCGAACAGCTCGTGTCTCGCTACCTTGCCTACTCACAGCGGCCTCGTCGTTGCACGCAGCCGCGACGTATCAAAGCATTGAAGACGTGTAGTTATCGAAAGCAGTAGAGGAGATGAAGAGAAGAAGAACAGCATACCTCTCCCCTCCCCTCCACTCCATCGCACGCGCATCTCTCACACCCAATGCCGTGCTCCGAACCGCCCAGGGTCCGCGTGCAGCGCAAGTCCAGCGATACAGATGTCCAGCCTAAGCGCTGGCCTTGCTGCACCGTGATGGCCGGCAGCCAATCCCGTAGCGCAGAAGTGCCAAGAGTGTTTGTAGGGAAAGCTTGATGAATGGAGACTAGCTTGAACTATATCTTCGACGAAGCCGCTGGGTTGTTTCACTCCATCGTCGTCTTGCGATATGAGGTAGGCATTGCGCTGGGTGAGATTTGTGTTAAGTGTTTGATCGACCGAGCATGGAGCGTCAGAAGATTCGGGGCTGCTGTCTACCCCGATCTTGCCAAAGAAATATTGTATACCACCAACCCATCTTTCTCCCAGCGGAATCAGTGCAATTACATCTCCCCACCTACCAACTATCCCCCGCCACTCTGGTCCGCCAGCGCATAGGATCAGTAAAACTCGGCTTCTTCTTCAGCAGCAGTCTCGGCGGCGAAGGCGGATCCACAGACACCAACTCCTGCACAACAAACGGAATAGCCGCACATTCGCAGCCGCAGCCAGCCGGACACTGGAAAGCCCCATCATCCTCCCCATCCACAGCCGCAACGTAAGCCTCCAAACACGACAGGTGCGAAACGTGCAAACACGAAGGACAAAGCTGCACGGTTCCCTTCGCCACGCTTTCGCAAATTGCACATCGTGTTTGCCGACGGTTGGTTCGGAAGGCGGGTTGCAAGCCCAGCTCGATTGGAACGGGTGTCGCAGGCCATGGTCCCGTAGCGCTACTTCCTGCGAGGCCGATGGCTTTCTCGAGCTCGGCGGCTTGCATATGCATGTCCCACGAGCGGAGCATGTCTGCGTAGTAGGAGCACCAGATGTCCGCCTTGTCGGCTAGACCGTCAGGGACGAGGCCGGCTTTTGCAGAGCCGGAGATTTCATCGACGAACAGCGTGGAGTCGTTGTTGAAGGTGATTGAAACGACGGCGTCCGGCGTGCGGGGCGTGTGTGGCGTGCCGGTATCATCGAGCGTCCTGTCGCTGTCGTTTCCGTCGGCGTTTTCTTCCATCAAGTGCCCAGGGGAGCCAGAGCTGGCGAAACTGCCGTTGCTTGCGTTCGTAAAAGCAGACGATGCAAAGGAGACGGACTTGGCGAGCCAGCTTCCGCCCGGCAGACTACTGGACAATTCGGCGTTGCCACTGGCGTTCCTCTCCATCCTCTTAGCGGTAGGCGAAGTGCTGAAAGAATGCGATTTGTCCGAGATGGACTGCGAATGTCCGTGACCTTTTGGGATCGCACTGAAGCTGTTGCTCCGCTCCAATTCTGGACTTAGCGGCCCGACCACGAACGATTGCGTTCTCTGGCGCAAGATGGGCGAGAAGAACCAGGACGGCACGTTATCTGGATCCAAGTAAGGTGTGGCTGGCTGCGAGGGTTGAGACGAGGGTTTCGCGTTGCTGGGAGACTTTTCATGGTAGGAAGTAATGGTTGCCGAATGAGTCCGCACCGTCGGGACGCGCCTCTTCAGAGATGGGGGAGTTCTCTTGTAGTGGACGTCGGAGAAGTAATCGAGGGTATGCATCGGTAGCTGGCGGACCATGGCTTGCTCTGCCTTGACGTTGCTCAAGGGGACAGTTTCCGAAGCTGCTGATAAGACGGCGGTCGCATAAGCCATGAATTGAACATCGGCGCGATTTTCAGCCCATTGAAAGATCTGATTTATCAGCCAGGCACCTCCGAATGGGTGCTCAGCCCAGCGCAATTTGCCGAATAGATTGGAGTTCCCCGGCAGGTCTGTGATGTTTGCGCCAGCACCATAGCCTGTCGGAGACTTCAGCTTTTGCGTGATGACCATGATGCTTTCTTCTGCCAAACCGAAAGGCAGCTCGAGTGGTACTTTATCTTCCAGCAGCATCGAGAGCAGCCACCATGCTTCTGCAGTTTCTTCCTCCATGGCTCTGCGGGCTATGCCAGCATTGTGCAGACATAGTTGCGCCCCCGATTCACCTTTCTCACACAACACTCGATATTCCTTGGCAAGCGTGCGTCGAGCTGGACTCAACATCTGATAATCATCGATTTCGTGGATGCTGACGATGATACTAGCCTGGGTGATTTCGTTGTCGTGAAGCAATGGGGTAACGTGACCTTGTGGTGAAGAGGATGCAAGCCCTGGTACAGAGAGGGTAGACCTGGCAAAGGATCCGACCGTATGGACGCCAGTCTTTTCCTCATCGCTCGAGTTGCCAGAGCCATCGAGTGAGCTGTCACTGAAGGAATCCGAATCACCGTCGAGGGCTCCAAAGGTGGGAAACAGCTTCACCATCCTCTGGGTGACATTCTCCTTTTGCAGCGGGCTGGGAGCGGCGGGTTCGTTTCGACTCGATGCAACTTTGCGCTTGGGTGGGAAGAAGACGAGCAGCTGGCCATTGGGGGCGAACAGCGCACCGCAGGCCTTCGGAAGAGGCACATTGATCCCACCGGGCAAGAACAGCATGCTGTCTCTGATGTTGCTCACAAAGGCCTCGTCATCTGAATCTTCACTGTCGTCTTCCAGATCTGGGGCAGCAGACGTCGGAGGCAGTGAGGACAGACTAGGCATATGAGCCATCGGGATAGCTCCTTCTGCCAAAGGGGGAATTTCATTCGGCGAGACCTTGCGGGATGGTATGCTTGGAGATATGAAAGGCATGGGCGAAGCGAGATCATCTGTCGCTCGAGGTTTCGGCAGCTCCAGGCTGGACGTCATCGAAGGTATTGACGGGGCGGGCGGCTTTGTGTCAGCCGGGAGCTCATTCCGAGGCGTTGGAGAAATTTCCGTGCTGAGACTCCGTTTCCGCGACTGCCGCCGTCTTTGAAGCTGCCTAGAAGTTCTGGCAAATGTAGCGTGTTCATTTTGGAGTAGCGATATAGGGGCCGGGCTGATTGTCGGGCTGGTCGACGCTGGAGGTGCGATTTGCTTTGGCGTATACCGAGTAGTGCCTTTGGGGAGCACGGATGGTGAAGAAGCATGGTCTGAAGGCTCCACCTCACCGAAAGCATCGATGGTCTTGCACAAGAGCCCATCCTCTCCTATGCCACAGAGAGTAGTAATATCGTCTGGACTGGTCCGAGTGGAGACATTTGTGATGGCTCGCTCGAATTGCAAAGCCTCGGTAGACACAAGAGTGTCATCTTTGTCAAGTTGGCACAGCAAGGCGGTTACACCACCAGTGGTAAGGCCCAATAGAGTCGAAGCGCCGCACCAAGACATGCATGTCAATGGAGCGTCGATGGTGAGACTTTTGGCCGCTCGCAGCATCTCCGGCAGACCATCGAGCAGCCCAAAGACGCCATCGCCATCCTCATCGTCGCTGCTATCGCTATCTTGCTGACCCTTTGAACCAGATATGGCACTTGAAAGATCATAGAAATCCAGGACTTTGTTGCCATACGATACCAGGAGCATCTTGGAGTGTTGACGATGCCAAATGAGCGCGAGAGGTGATGAGCCATGATTGGGAATGACGCATAGCGGTTGCGGAGCGTCGCGTCGGAGGTCGAATACTTGACATAATTCCGAACTCAGGCAGGCAAGTATGGATTCGTCTGACGGGTTGAATGCCAGGCCACGACACCTTCCAGCATCGGAGGTCATGCGGCGCTGGGGGTGAGATGGATCATCAACCTGCCAGATGCAGACGGTGCCATCGATGTGGCCAGTGGCGAGGGCGCCAGCATGGTTCGGGGCAAAGGTGACGAAGGTGATGACTCGTCCTATCCCGGCGATGGTATGCACGAGGCGGCGCGTGGCGACATTGAAGACACAGACTTGGAGGCCGCATGGGACGGCGAGAAGCTGGGGTTGCGGTTGAGACAGTGCCGGAGTTGAAGTGCATTTCGCTGGGGTGGTCAGATATTGAGGCTCGCCATCTGGTTCATCCAAGCGGCATGTGTAGATGTGGCCGTCGGAAAGGAATGCCGAGTATTCGCGGTTGAATGCCATGCCAGAGGTGGACCAGCTCGCGTGGTGGCTGCAAATAACATCATTTCATGGAACGCATCCTGTTCATCAACCCCGAGTTCTTCACCATCGGCCTTCTATTGTAGCAGGTGGATTGCAGGATGAGCCATTTCATGACATGAAGTCGCGTGGAGTGGAAGAACAGCTGGAGTGCCTGAGGCTTGGAGGTCCGTGCTGGCCTCGAACTCCGAGCTCCTCCTCCTCAACACTCTGTCGCCTACACCACCATTCACTCTGAACGAGCCCATCGCCGCCACCTTGAGCGCGCCAAGACTGCCTTGTAATCCCCGAGTTCGGGACTATCGCTACGAATTACCGTGGGTGACAATTGAGCATTCATCAAACCAACGGGTCACGTAAGATAAAGCTGACACATTATTACGTCCGCTTCATGAGCCTGGCCTGGGCGCCCCATAACTGCATCTAGCCCTCTCTTCTGCGACATGTTCTCCCCGTCAATTCTCGCGCTGAACGGTGCACAGTATTTGCTATCCCCTCCGCGATTGTTCCATTCGTTTGCGGTAAGCGGAGACGCTTCATTGTTCACTGCGAACAGGCTGTCAGAAAGATGGGTGGCGCCGAGCCTGGCGCGGGAAAAAGCCCCAGAAGGAAGCGGGTGGTGTTGCTCAAGCCGAGCCACAACTGTTGCAAGACCTGCCGGTAATTCTACCCAGTAGATGGAAGAAAGAAACAGAGCTCTGTTGAACAGGCCATCGCAGTACTCGCAAAATCAAGTGTGGCGGAGAACGGCCGCACTGTGCAAAATGTACGCGCTCGGGACTCTTGTGCGAGGGCTATACCACGTGGGTTCTGACCATGCGACAACCGGACACTGAGTCGCCCGGCCTGCCCATCAACCTCCCAAGCAGTGTCGGTCCAAGAGCGATGAACCGCGTACAACTATTCGCCCGGTTCCTGGGAGATCGGTTTTCCGACGTTGCTCCTGCTGCGCCGCCAGCGGGACACGTACCGAGCCTGTCACTGCCGCATCTCTGGGCCGAAATGGATATTGAAACTCCGCTCTTGTGCCATGCCATAGATACGCTATGTCTGACCGACACTGCAAGCAAGTCTCCGTGCACTGCGATGGCGTACGCAGCGGCCGCCGCTCGCGGACGAACGTACGGTATGCTGCATAGAGCTATTGCTCTGCATCAGTCGAAGCCTCCAACTAGAAGTTCACGAGACATCGTCCTCACGATCATATGCATCAGCCTCACAGCCGCACTGGGATCCGAGGCAGAGCTAGACGATCGCCATAGCCAAGCAACTGCCCATCTCGAGGGAGCACTCCGGTTTCTGGCGGCAAATGGCCCGTCATTCCTCATCGGAGATGACAAGCTCGACGCGGTCCTTCTACGACACATCCAGATGTATTGTCTACCCGTCGGGCTCGCGCGTCGGAAAGAATTCATCTTTCAGACCCCCGAGTGGCAGCGCGTCCCGCGCGTTCTTTTGCATGATGACTTGAATGTCTACAAGGCCTCTGGATACATTAGAGCTCAGTCGTTGCCCACCAAATCCCTGCGATGGCATCACGAATTCGAGACGACCACAGACCGGAATCTACATAGAGACATGCTTGGCCCAATACCCAAGCTCCTCGAGGTAGCTGACAACTTTGTCAAGGGATACACTGGTGATGCAGAGCAGCTCCAAGCAATGTCACATGTTGTCCGCCGTGCTGATCACACGCTGGAAACGTCTGTTGGGCCAGCCATGGACGATGCGTTCCGAGTGCACGAACCGCACATCACCAATGACCATACCGACGCTTTCGACCCCGCGATCGAGGAGCACGCGTTTCTGCGCACGAGTGCGTTCGTGCGGGAGCATTTCCAATTCGTCAGCCCCATGTGCGGGTACGCAAGCGCAAACATGTACCTGCTGAGTTTGATGACCGACTGTACTCTGCTTCAGATCATCTGCTGTGGCATTGAACATGGCCTGTCGCCCGAATGGACAGGGGTGCACAAGGACGACGTGGAGGAAAGAGCTTCGGCGAATGCCTTTGGCCTCTGCCAGCACGTCTACTTCTACAGCCAACGCTCCCTGACGGCTGCTATATTCCTGCGCCTCATGGTGGCAGGTGCGCGAAACTATTTCGAAAGCATCGGCCAGGTAGATGCGACGGAGTGGTGTGACGGGTGCCTGGACGCCAACTCGCTCCGCATTGAGCGCCTCCAGCTGACCGCGACCTCTCTTTGTCCGGTCGTGGCTACTTTTCCTCGCATTGCAGAAGGCTTCAAGATTCCGAACTACGTGCCGTGACACGGACCAGATCGTGACGTGGCTGCTTCGGCCCATTCAGCGAATGAATTGCTATAGTAGATGTACAACTCGGCCTATAAGGTCCCCTTGTCTCTGCCTAAGCGTCTTGCTAAACTCCTTAGACACCTTAAGGGCAGAAATCGCCTTGGTCTAGTCAGATCCTGGTGCCTATCACTACGATTTGCCACACGCAGACACCCTGTCCATATATCTTTTCCACATCTTCGGAGTCGCCGGGCGGAGCTGCCCGATTTGGAAGGCGGTCGATTCCCAATATGGCATCTCCGCTTCCGGCGCGGCTCGACCACCTGACAGTATATGAGTTGGCATCTCTCACCAAGTATTCGTTCTCGCGTTGACTTACACATCGTTTGACGTTGAAGCACGTTCCGCTCGTTATATTCTTCTTCCCCGTCAACAGAACTTTACGCGACAGGCTTGTTCGCGCTCACATTCACACGAGAGGCGTGATCACGCGACCAGCCTTCCATCCCACACGATCACAATGGCTCTCAAAATCCCGTACAGGGCTTGCCTGAAAAGACAGCGTCTCGATGTACCCATTCGTCTCTTGCTCCCTAGCGCACGCGCTGCCAGTACCACAGCCGCAGCCGCCCAAAAACAAGAAGGCGATATCTCCGCCGCCTTTGCCTCGCTATCCGGCATCTCCTTTGAGCCGCTCGAACCACGCTTCGCAGATGTGAAACGACGACTGATCGCGGGTAACGAAGCGGCCATCCATGACTCCTGGACGCGTCTACTTCACAACCTGCGCGACGACATCGCCGAAATCAGAGAGCTTGGCTCGACCATCGTCCCGGAAATCGACTTCAAAGACATTCACAGTCCCAGCGAAGCCTTCGTCTCGGCACATCGCAAACGAGGTGTTGCTGTTATCCGCAACGTGATGCCTCAGGAAGAAGCTTTGGACTTGAAGCGCGAGCTGCGAGCTTACATTCAAGCCAACCCATCGACCAAAGCTTTTCCCGCCGACAACCCTCAGGTGTACGAGCTTTACTGGTCTCCATCGCAGATGCGTGCGCGTGGACATCCGAACATGATTGCGGCACAGAGATTCTTGATGAACTTCTGGCATTCGACGGATCCGAATGCGCTGGTCTCGACAGACCATCCGACTTCTTATGCTGATCGATTGCGGATGCGGTTGCCAGGCGATGCAAAGTTCGCTTTGGGCCCGCACGTGGATGGTGGGAGTTGCGAAAGATGTAAGTAATAACCTGACTTCTATTGAGCGAGACATCCTTACTCACTACCGGGCTACAGGGGAACAAGAAGGCTACGGAAAAGGCAAAGTGTACGACGCGATCTGGCGCGGCGATTGGGAGTCCTTCGATCCCTGGGAGAGCAACACTCGCCTGTCCGTCAACTCCGACTTGTACAACGGCGTGGGCGCATGCAGCATGTTCCGCATGTTCCAAGGCTGGCTATCAAGTAAGACGCGCTTCCAACCCCCAACACCTCTCACAACCACTAACAACATCCACAGTGAGCAACACAGGCCCCTACGAAGGCACACTGCTTGTCAACCCCTTGTTCAACAAGGCAACAGCCTACTTCCTCCTCCGCCCCTTCTTCTCTCCCATACAGCAGCCAACAGCCTGCTCTCCCGACACCTTCCTCCACCCAACCAACTGGCACCTCGACCTCTCTCCGACAAACTCCTGGCTCCACGGCGCCACACCCGGCCGAGGGCAAGAACTGCGCCCCGAGCTGCATCCGCATCTCGACCTCGCGCAGAGCATGGTGCACATGCCGCGTGTCAATCCGGGCGACTACGTGAGCTGGCATTGCGATACGATTCACGCCGTCGACAGTGTGCACGCGGGAAAGTCGGACAGCTCGGTCATGTATATCCCCGCCTGTCCGCTGACGCTAGACAACGCGGCGTTTCTGGCGAGGCAGAGGGAGTGCTTCTTGCAAGGGACGCCGTGTCCGGACTTCGGGTCAGGCAAAGGGGAGAGCGAGCATGTTGGGCGACCGGGCGTGGAGGATGTGAGGGCGTTGATTCCGGAAGAGGGCATGCGGGCGTTTGGGCTGCAGGAATGGGATGCGGAAGAGAGTTCGTTGACATCTGCGCAGAAGGAATTGGTCAACCGAGCAAATAAGATGCTCGGGTTTTATGAATAGCGATTCGGTGAACGAAAGGATGATAGCGGAGCAACTCATCTATATTCTACGACTCTGCTTTTAGCGATTGCCTGTACCCCAGATTGTGTGAGCTACTTCTGCTCCAGCAACCACTTCACCCCCTTGACCGAATCGTCCACAAATTTCTTACTCCCCTTGATGGTCGGCGCAACCGAGTGGAATCCATGCGGCTGGCCAGGGTAAACTTCGACCTTGGTCTTCACGCCCTCCTCTCGCAGGATGCGCTCGGCGATCAACGCCTCGTCACGCAGAGGATCCTGGCCGCAGATCTGGAAGTAGGAGGCTGGAAGATTGGCGTGCCCGGTTTTCCAGAGCAGCGGGCTGAAAATCGGGTTGCCTTCCTCTTCCTTGGAGATGTAGTTGCTGGTGAAGAGGTCCATGGCGGCTTGGGAGAGGATGGGAGCGTTTTTGTTTCTGAGGCGAAGCATCAAATCAGTTTCACGATTCGCTTGGACATATGGCAGGGAGGGTCGGGGCATCTTACTGCTCCGGGGATGTGACTTCAGATTTGTACTTCTCGGGCAAATGGGCGCCAGCGCACCAGGCGGGGATCATAAGGAGACAGCCGGTGAGGCCGGGCGTGATTTTGTCGTCGCGGAACTGGTGGGCGATGGTGGCGGTGATGTTGCCTCCGGCAGAAGTGCCGCCTGGTGGGAAGTCAGTTGCCTGCTTTGACGGTAAGACGAGGTATACAGTGCTCACTCACCGATAACGAATCCCTTGGTGGGATCGGCGCCCAATCTCGAGGCGTTGTCCAGCGCCTGGAAAGTGTACGGTCAGCCCATGGACCTCAGTGATGAAAAATAAAGACCCACCCATTTAGTAGCATCGTAACAATCATCATGTGCCGCGGGGAACTTATGCTCCGGCCCAAGGCGATAGTCAACATTGACAGCCGTAGCGCCCAGCTCGGACGTCACACGTCGACAGAGCAGCTCCTCGTTCTCCAGCCCGCCAATACACCAGCCTCCACCGTGGTAGATGACCTATTCCGCAGAGCACTCGTCAACAAAGAGTCCAGTGGGGTCGTCAGGCAGAAGCAAAACTTACAACAAGAGGACTCCCACCCTGAGGCGGCTTCTCAGGGGAATAAATGCGGCACGTAATCGTCGTCCCGTCGCGCACCTTGACTTGCTCGTCGTGCTCCTTGACGCCAGCAGGCGCGTCGCCCATGGTGGCCGTCATGGCTTGCTTCGCGGCGGTGATCCAAGTCCGCAAGCTGGCAATGTCGGGAAAGAGACCGAGCTGAGGCAATGTTTGTCAGTGCTGGGCGGGGGAGGGGTGGTGAGCAGGAGCCGACTCACATCTGGTTGATTCCCGCCCATGTTGTCTTTCACGAATTGGTCCCATTCCGGGTCGGGTTTGGCGAGCGAGGGCCAGTCTTTGATGTCTGCCATTGTTGGGGGATTTGATGCGTGTATACCTGGAGGGCAACGACGAGGAGTGGTATCAGGCTGTGATTGTCAATCGACTTACAGCAGATGATCTTTATTTATAGGCAGTGAGATTGAAGGAGACGGGACTGAGTTCAAATGCCGTGCCGAGGTCACGGCCGAAACCCGCAAGCAGTAGTAGGTGGGGGCGTGGAGTCTGTGAAGGATGGTGGAAACGCGGGGCTGTTTATGAACAGCTTATGCGCAACCATCGAAGATCCGTATACACGTTGGACGAGAGCATAAGTAGAGAAGCCTGGACGAATGGCAAGGACGGCTCATAAGCGTTCATGACTGTCTGCTCTTCCTGCTGGCCTGTAATGGAAGACTGGGTGAAGACTACGCTCGTTGCTATCCTTGTCCTTCGACAGCAGCCAACAGACGATGCACTTGCAGTTCGTGGCTGATGGTCAGATCAAAGGATGCTCACAGTGGGTGGACCATCCCGGGCATCTCCTTTGGGTGTATGACATTGCATATCCGCGCGTAAGGTAGTCTTCGGTGCTGCGCTCGACTCGCATTCATCGGCGGATCTCCAGACGCATAGATTCGATTGGAGGGTTGGCAACACAAGCACACCTCATACCGGCAGCAGATGACACCCCAGCAATCCCCTCCCACCCCAGTCTCTTCTCGGCACCAAACTCAGCTCGAGGGTTTGTGACCGTGCATTTCCTGCCGTCTCCCTCAGGACTCTGATCCGAATCACGCGCTACCAACGACCCAAAGTCAGCATCCACACCTCTGCACGCCGAGGGTGATCCAACTTACATTCTCACTCTGTTGCACCACCTGCGCCACCTTGCCTAATCTCTCGTGATTCGTGAAATTCACGGTTCCAAATCTCGTCACTTTGTCCCCTACCAAAAGCCCAGCCAGCTCCGCCGGACTATTTGAAACAATGGTATTAATCTTCGCAAACGGTGGCTCAAGCGGAGAGTCCGCCGTAGTCGGGACGGCAGAGCGAGCAGCGGTGTTTGCAGAAGGCGTGGCTTGTGATGAGCTGTCTGCTCCTTGTGCAAATCGATCGTGTACCGCCTTCTCCAGCTCGGCCATCACCAGCTTGTAGTCGGTTTTGAGGTGGATGATTCTCGCACGCGTGGTTCGGATCTGTGCGACGTCGATGTCGTTGCGGGGAAAGCCGTCGAAGGTGAGGAGGGAGGTGTTCATGTTGACGCCGTGCTGTTGGTGAATTGTTTAGTTGTGCTTCTTGTGAGAAGGAGAATCCGTGTGGGTGAGCATGGTGTGGACTGACCGAATCCAACACTGATCCGAGAGCAGACAGCTCGGCTTCGAGGTTCTCTTTCCGCGCCATCAACTCTTGCAATGATTTGCCTTTCTCTTCGCTCTTTGATGCTGCTTGAGAGGTTGGTCCAGACGCCACGGTGGGCGCGTGGAGGTCGTCCATCCTGAGACCCATCGAATGGAGTGATGGAGTTGCGGTGTATCAAGTGCAGCGAGTGAGGTGATGGAGAGAGGGTGAAAGGTATGAGAGGCCTACGTCAAGATGGTGCCTGCAGCTCTGACGTGGTCTGTGCGCTGCGACATCGTCGAGGCTGGCGGCACCGGAGCAGCCTTCCTCGATACATCGTCACCTCTATTGACCACCAGCATCCTCAGCCACTTCTGCATGTAGACATTGCATCTATTTGACTTATGCTTGGAACTTGATCTCGTCCTCTTAGATTCGCTCCTCTAACAACAACCATGTCTCTCTCAAAATCGCTCCCATGGACCAAAAGTCCCCTCATCATCAACGCTCCAGTTAGTCGTTACTATTTCCCACCACCTCATCAAGATCTCTCTCACATCCATCAAACAGATGGGCGGCTTTGCCACCGCCAAACTCTCCACCGCCGTCTCCCAAGCCGGCGGCGTAGGCCTCATAGGCGACGACAGCAACATGCCAGCCCTCGCCGACACACTCGCAGAAGTCGACAAAGCCCTCAGCAGAACAGACGCCGGCCTCCTCCCCGTTGGCGTCGGCCTTCTCCTCTTCCTCGTCAGACTCGATGAGGCCCTCCCCCTACTAGAAAAGTACCGCCCGGCAATAGTCTGGATGTTCGCGGCAAAGGAACTCGCCCACTACGCCGACTGGGCCGCCCGCATCCGCGCCGCGCTCCCCAAGTCGCAAATCTGGATTCAAGTCGGCTCCGTGCACGCCGCGATGGAAGTCGCCGCGACTGCCAAACCGGACGTCATGTGTGTGCAAGGCAGCGATGCGGGCGGACATGGGTACGAGAAAGGGGCGGGTTTCATTTCACTGCTGCCTGAGATTTCGGATGCGTTGGCGGCAAACGGACACAATGGGATTTCGCTCGTGGCGGCAGGGGGGATTGTAGATGGGCGAAGCGCGGCGGCGGCATTTGCGCTCGGGGCGCAGGGGGTGGTGATGGGGACGCGGTTTCTGTCGGCGCGCGAGACGAATGTGCATCCTGTTTACCAGGAGGCGCTCGTGGCTGCGAGTGATGGCGGGCAGAGCACGCGGCGGAGTAAGTTGTTTGATAATTTGAGGGGCCCGAATATCTGGCCCGGGGCGTATGATGGGCGGAGTATCCTTATGCAGAGTTGGGCGGACCACGAGAGTGGAGTTGGGATTGAGGAGATTCGGAAGAGGCACAAGGAGGCTTTGAAGGATGGTATGTGCACCAATATTGGTCAATGGTGTTTGATTGCTAACTTCAATGTCTACTCAGACGACAAAGGTTTCAACGCCGATCGAAGCGGGAGAGCGGTGATGTGGGCTGGCACGGGTGTTGGCCTTGTGAAGAAGGTGCAACCAGCGGCAGAGATTGTAGAGGAAGTGAGAAGTACTGCAGCGGCGCGGCTGAAAGAAGTTGCCTCAAAGCTGTAGTGTGGTCTATGGTCCGTTGTGAGAGGTTGATACTAGATAGATTCGAAGTAACACGTCTGCCCCATCTGGCTATGCAACAGCAGACTCATTCACCCTTCACGTTCCCACTCCTCATTTTGCGCGTCGCGCCACCGTTCGAGATGATAGTGTCTCTGCCATTCAAAAGACCGTACAGGGAAATCAACAGCATAGTCACCCCCGTCATCAAGAGAGCAGAAGATGCAAAAAGCCTGCATCACAGCGATTAGTTCAATAATTCACTTCTGTGGCAGGATGGATTACGCACCCTACTCGCTGCGGAGTACTCAAAATCTCAAACAGCGGGTAGGGGTAGAATTGATTAAACTGGTAGCACCGCTCAATCCAAACCCAGTACCCAAACGCTATGCATCCGCTCAGAGCAAGGGCGGGGAGGACTGCAATGGTGTAAGGCGGGGAGAAGAAGAGAATGTCGATGACAAGAGCCAAAGCGGGGATCGCATGGAAGGAGAAATCGGTGTGGAGAGGTAGAGGTTCGGCCCAGTCTGGCAGGACGAGACTCTCGTCGATCTGGTCCGCGAAGTCAGGATCGGGTGTATACGTGTGTGTAGTGGCTGTGCATGCTCACCGCTCGTAATGTCCAATACAGCAGGCTGATGAGGCACTCCATTGGCGCACTGGCCACGGCGAGGGCATTCTTAATCTTGAACAGGGTGTGGCTGTCGGTGATGTCGGCGAGCAAGGCGACGGTGAAGGTAGCGGCTGCGAGGGAGAGGCCGATGATGGTGAGGTATTGCATGTGCCAGCCGTATGAGTCGTTGCTGTTTTTCAGCACTCTCTGTCAGCTTTCGGCGTAAGGCTGGGTGATGCTGAAGCTTACACAGGGTTCGGATTGCGGACGAGCCATGAGAAGGAGTATGCAAAGGATGCCAATCCGAGAGACTGAAGGTGTTAGCAAGGTCGGCAGTGTATGTGGTGTGGGAGGTGATGCACATGAAGGATGGCTGACGCGCCACGTGATGGCGCTGGAAGGCGCTGGAGAGGATGTCGCCGAACGAGGCCCGCGGTAGCCATGTTGACGATCTGGTTGCGAATGGGATGGGATGTTGCTAAGGAGCCTGAGAGCGATGGCGGTCTTCACCAACCGTTAGTGCTTGGGCGCGGCACGCGAGATTGAGAAGCCCTCGACGTCAGACAACCTTTCGTCAAGCGGATAGAGTCAGACACAGCGGAGTCATCGAGTGACTTTCCCTCTCACACGCCTATAAATGCGAGGTCGGGAGTCAGGTGTATTGTTGTAAAATCATCCAACTGAAGGCATTGGAGAGGTGCCCTGCCCCTCGCGCCTTCCGCGGCGAACACGAGTGCCCCACCTTCCCAGTCCCCGTCCCTTGGCGGCGGGCTGACTTCCATGGATCCTTTCCCCGGCGTGCCCAAGACACCGCTTCGGTCTAGATCGTCGACTTCCCTCTCCTTTCGTACCCGCGACGTGACTCGAAGAACAACGAGATCGAGAACGATACCGCACAGAATACACGACTGTTGTGCGTCTCAGCCGAAGCAGAGGCCGGAGTTCCGTCAGCCGCCTCTACCGCTCTGATCGTATTCTCTCTGACTCGATCAGCTGATCAGCATGGGCATGTCTTGAACGACGACACCTTGCCAGAAAGCATCTGCAAGACCACGCGGCGCATGCTGGCCCACCCCCAGTGGCAAGAATACCGCATCTTGGAAGAAAGAAGGGGTACCAGACGATATGCCCCGGCCGAAGAAAGAGCCTGGGTTGGAACCAAAGAAGCGCAGCCGCACGGGATGCTGGCCCTGCAAGGCGCGCAAAGTCAAGTGCGGTGAGGAGAAGCCGGCATGTACAAATTGTCTCAAGAGCGGCGAGACGTGCGATTACAGCATCCGCCTCAACTGGGGCGGCCGCGGGCGGAAGGGCGATGAGGATGCGCTGGACGACATGAACACCATCACCTTCGTCAGCAATCCCGCGTCTATCAACGCAAAGACGACAGAGCACTCCCATGAACACATCTTCTCTGCCCAGCATATCGCTCCCGCCCCCGCCCCGGCGAGGCCATCAAGCAGCCAGCGCGCCAGTCTACCCACCCCCGAGCCCACCCCCAGCTCTGATGGCGCCACTATCGACCCGCTTCTCAGAGGCGCGCAGTATCCTCCGGGACAGGATCGTGCAACTTCTCAATACACGTCGTTCCCGTTCCAACCGCATCCGAACGGCGCATGGCAACATTCTCCACCCACCTCCGCCCCAGCTCCGATGAAAGAGGAGTCGAGATGGTCGCCTGAGAACCCAGCGAAGCGGATGAAGATGAGCAGTCCCCCCAACTCCCATCATACCCCCGTCTTTGCGGTGCCACAATACCCCAATCAAGTGGAACAATCGCCATCCGCTTCCCACTTGACCACCCACAGCATCTCTAGTATCGTGAATACGCCCGCCACTCCAGGCTCCACCATCAGCTCCGGCTCTCCATTCCCGCAATACCAAGCACCCATCACGGTGCAAGACCCGCCCGACCTGCGACGACTCTCCGTCAAATCTCTTCTCTCCGATCCGTCGGACGATGCAGATCGGCCTCAATATCCCCGCGTCAATAGCCATGGAGGTTGGCGGACGTACGGTTACGACCACGGATTCCCGGATCTTGATCTGCCCAATAACGACGATACGAACGTCATCCAACCTAGGTCGCCGGACCTTCGTCGCGCAAGTGTAGCGGCGATCGAGGATGATAGCTCCAGCAATGACTCCGATCCTAAGCTAATCGCGTTCGAGCCCGGTGGATACTACGCACAACCCGTACCCATCAAACTACCCCGATCTCTCGAGCCGCTCCCTCCGGAACTCACCCACAATCAGATGAACCTCCTCTACTTCCACCACTTTATCAATCACACTGCGCGAATCCTGGTCCCGCATGATTGCCCGGAAAACCCGCTGCGCGGTGTGCTTCCGATAATGGCTGTGCGTAATCCGCACCTCCTTCACCTCGTACTCGCTTACTCCGCCTCTCATCGAGCGCGCTTACTCCTGCATCCCGAGCCGCGTACCCGAATTGCAGGATGGATCGCCGACGTTGTGCCTGCGTTACGACAAGCCGTGGCCGAGCCCTCGTCGCCTGGAATCGCGGAACCAACAGACCCGTCATCCCTCGCGCCTCTCGCAACAGCCATCATGTTTGCCTCCCTGAACATCATCAGCCCCGACATCTTCGACATTGCCATCCCCTGGCAACGCCACCTCCACACCGCCCGCGAGATGATTATCGCCAAAGGAGGGCTGGATCATCTCGCTCAAAAGGCCGACGGCGCACGCGACAAGGCCATCTTCTTCCTCTCGCGTTGGTTCGCATATCTCGATGTCCTCGGTAGCTTGAGCGGCGGCCAGCAAGAGGAACCGCTTTATGGGGCCTATCTGGAGGATGGTGGGGGATGTTGGCTTGTGAATCGCGACCCGACGGAAGAAATCTACCAGATCGACTGCTTCTTTGGCTTCTCCGGTCGCTGCATTTCGCTCCTCGCCCAAGTGGCCGAACTAGCGGCACAGTGCGACAAAGAGCGCATCGATCCGATGAATAAGGAAGTGCGGCCCGATTGGACGCCGTCGCAGCAGGTGCGGGAGGAAGCCGACGCGCTGCGGACGAGGATACTGGAGAGCGCGACTGGCAAGTACCATGGCTGCTCGCATGCGAATCGTGATTCCAGTGAGGCGGAGGAGACGGCGGGCGGGAAATATGACTTGGAAGAGATTTACGCGACCAACGAACTCTTCCACTGGGCGGCGTTGATTCAGCTGGCTCGCAGGGTGTTGGGACTGCCCGCGAGTGATCCCGAAGTGCAGGAGAATGTGAAGCGATCGGTCAACTCGTTGATCAAGGTTCGCAGGGGTAGCTCGGCGGAGAGCAATCTGCTGTTCCCCATGTTCAGCGCGGGATGTGAGGCGTTGACGGTGGAGGAGAGGGAGGTCTTCAGCTCTAGATTGGCAGAGGTGGAGGGCTGGGGATTGGATCATGTGGGGAGGGCCAGGAGATTGATGGAGTTGGTGTGGGAGACGGGCAGAGGATGGGAGACGATTGTGGATGGCGAGTTCTTGGGGTGAAAGTCATCGGAGGCATCTAGAAGCGAAGGACTGCCAGCCTTGCTGCGTGGCGCCTTCCTCATTAGCGGCAATTCCTCGGCGTGTGGGGGGCAATGGCTATCGACGGCACATCAGTTACTGTAGCTACATACCTACACCTTAGCTCAAGCAGCTGTCGTGGTCACATTCCATTGCACATTTTTTCGTCCTCACTACCTCCTCCCCTCCTCGTCCATGCTCAAGAGGCTTCTGCATTTGCCCCGACTCGCCGCCACCAGCAGAGCCTTCACCACCTCCCCACCCCGCCGCTTCCCCGCCGAAATGGCCAAAGTCGACACCTCCGCCCGACTGGCGCATCTGCGCCAGCTCATGCAGAAACACGAGGTAGACGTCTACGGTATGTTCCAAGCCTCAATAAGCCACAAACACCCCCATTGATGTCTTCTAGTCATCCCCTCGGAAGACGCCCACTCTTCGGAATACATCGCGCCCACCGACGCCCGACGCGCCTTCCTCACAGGCTTCACAGGCTCCGCGGGCACGGCAGTAGTGACGCAAGAGAAGGCCGCGCTCGCGACGGACGGGCGCTACTTCAACCAAGCCGCCAGCCAGCTCGACGATAACTGGACGCTGCTGAAGCAAGGGCTGCAAGACGTGCCGACGTGGCAGGAGTGGGCGGTCGAGCAGGCGGAGGGGGGCAAGAGCGTAGGCGTGGATCCGACGACGATTACCGCGCCTGAGGGAAAGAAGCTGGGGGAGAAGATTGTGAAGAAGGGGGGCAAGGGACTTGTGCCTGTTGTGGCGAATTTGGTGGATGAGGTGTGGGGTGCTAAGAAGCCTGGACGGCCGAATGAGGGGGTGAGAGTGCTGGGGTTGGAGTATGCGGGGAAGAAGTGGGAGGAGAAGGTTGAGGAGTTGCGCAAGGAGTTGGAGAAGAAGAAGGCCGCGGGCTTTGTGGTTAGTATGTTGGATGAGGTGGCGTGGTTGTTCAACTTGCGGGGGAACGATATCCCATACAACCCGGTGTTCTTCTCATACGCCCTGATTACGCCTACGACGGTGACGCTGTATGTGGACGAGTCGAAACTGGGCGCAAAGGGAAAAGAGCATCTCTCCGGCGTCAGCATCAAGCCCTACGACGCCATCTTCTCCGATCTCACTGCGCTGGTGAAGTCGGACGAGCCCGTGACGAACGGCACAGCGCATACTTCTTCATCATCATCACCGCCGAAACGAAAATACCTCATCTCCACCAAAGGCTCCTGGGCGCTCTCGCACGCACTCGGCGGAGAGGAGAATGTCGAGGAGATCCGATCGCTCATCGGCGACGCCAAAGCGGTGAAGAACGACACGGAGCTAGAAGGTATGCGGCAATGCCACATCCGCGACGGCGCCGCACTATCCGAATACTTCGCCTGGCTGGAAGAGCAAATCCACTCGGGCACGCAGCTCGATGAGGTCCAAGCGGCAGACAAACTCGAGTCGATCCGCAAAACCAAAGACCACTTCGTCGGCCTCTCCTTCGACACCATCTCGAGCACTGGCGCCAACGCGGCCATTATCCACTACAAGCCCGAGCCGGGCAGCTGCTCCACCATCGACCCCGCGAAAATCTACCTCTGCGACTCCGGCGCGCAGTATCTCGACGGCACCACCGACACGACGCGCACGCTGCACTTCGGCCAGCCGACGCCAATGGAAATCGAGGCCTACACCCTCGTCCTCAAAGGCCACATTGCCCTCGAGCTTGCGGTCTTCCCCAAGGGCACGTCGGGCTTCGCCATTGACGCTTTCGCCCGGCAGTTTCTGTGGGCGTACGGGCTGGAATACCGGCACGGCACCGGGCACGGCGTGGGCTCGTTCCTAAACGTACACGAAGGCCCGATCGGCATCGGCACGCGGGTGCAGTACGCCGACGTGCCGCTGGCGGCGGGCAACGTGCTCTCCAACGAGCCCGGGTACTACGACGACGGCAATTTCGGGATCCGGATTGAGAACATGTTTATGGTGAAGGAGGTGCAGACGAAGCACAGGTTTGGGGACAAGCCGTCGTTTGGGTTTGAGCACGTCACGCTCGTGCCCATGTGTCGGGCGCTGGTGGATGTTGCGCTGCTGACGGAGCGGGAGCGCGAGTGGGTGAATGCGTATCATGCGGAGGTGCTGGAGAAAACGGGGGTGTTTTTCAAGCAGGACGAGCGGACGAGACGGTGGTTGGAGCGGGAGTGTGCGCCGTATTAGAACATTTATACTGCAATCTTTATAATTGCGCAAATGCGCTCAGGGCGAACATCAGCCCGAAGCTGAGCTTGAAGGCCGCGTTATCCTGTACCGCGCTGCGCATGTTGATCCCCTTTACGTATTTCTGCAGATACCCGTAGGGAACGAGGTGAATGCCGTAGCTCTCGGCCGTTTGCACACCGACGATCAGGAGACCGATGAGGAGAGCGAGGGGTTTGCTGAAGACGCTGATGCCCAGGCCAGCTACGAGACCTGCCGACCTTATCAGCTGACCTATTCGTGGCTTGTGTGAATGGGAAGGAAAGCAAGACGAACCGAATATACTCCCCATACTCATCTGCCTTACGGCGCGCGCATTCAGCCGTCCCCCGGACGTGAGCACGGGCGTTTGAGCGTCATTTTGGTATTGCGAGAAGGACCAGTCTTTGGGGCTGAGAGCGGAGGGGGAGGAGTCGAGACGTAGGGCGTGGCGGAGGGAGGTGTGTTGATGGAGGAGGAGGCCGGTGGAGACGCCGAGGGTTGCGAGGAGGAGGGGGGTGCGGAGGTGGAAGAGGTTGGGGTTGAGGAGGCGGGAGGCCATGTCTGGTGGTCAGGCGGTATTGGTGGGGGTTGTGGTGTTTCGATTGGTGTTGGTGTTGGTATTATCGATGTAGGGGACGGGAACGGGGTAGATGCATGGGAGCTGGAGGTGAGGTCATTTGGTCGGACCACGTGGGCGCGTAGCGGGATCCATCATTCGCGGCTTCCTCGTCGAATGCACACATGCACTTCACCTTCATCCTCACGACCATCGGATTGAACTGAACAATGCTTCATTCGATTCGCACAGTCCGTATTGATAGCTGCGTCATTCGTCACTTCCCTTGGCGATGTTGGTTACGATCGTAACCTCGTCAAGCAGGAGATCGACATTTGATCTGGCGGCAGACCGTTGGCCGTCAGGCTTCGACGACCGAGGGCAGCGCCTAGCAAAGAACACAGCAAGCTGCAGCCGTGCGGATCGAACAGTTATAAGTCTCCCTGCTAACCATCGTGAAGACGCTTTCACGCCTCAACTCAATCTTCCAGATGTTGCTCATGGACAGGCTTCTCGCCCTTCTTGATGCCATTGATCGACGAGTAGACATTACTCTGCTACTGTTACTCCTTGCCTTCAAAATACGCACATTTCTTGTCCGAAAGGATTCCTTCCTCGATGCGTGTCCTCCTGAACAGACTCTGTTTAGCACCATTGGCCTTGTTCTGCTGCTATGGCGCAGGCGTATCTACCATGAGCGAGGTGTCGATCGAATTATGCGAGCATGATGCTCCAGAAAGCAGTACCATCTCAACACATCTTCTGAAGCCGTATGGCAAAGCGAAAAGGTATATTGAGACAGACCGGAGGAAATCAGGCTGAGCGATCACGATACACGTGACTGATGCACTCTAGATTGCACTTGATGTATGGTGCTATTCGTACTTGGTCTTCTACTTTGCGAATCAGTAACCCAACATCTTCATGCGTTCGTTCCTTTCACGACAGTCTTCTTGATGCCCGCCGCGAGCCTTGCTTGTGTTCGTCTCGTCTGTGTTCAGCTCAGGCTTCTTGTCTCACTAGGACGAGGAGTACGCAGCACGGGCTTCAGGCTACGCATGTTCGACATCTGCGAGCACCTTCTCGGCAATGCTAGACCTCATTTCTACTCACCACATGCATCGCCTTCCGTCCCAGGACCATTCCCAATGCGTGGGATGCCTTCTAAAGGTCACATGTTGCGCCAAAGCCTCAATGCATCATTGACTCTCGGCACAACGAGCCATTAAATCCATGACCCGCCCGGCCAATTCTCGTGGGCCCTGCATTGTGAGTAGATGTGGCGGTGCTGCCAGCCCTACCTGCCAGGTCACATTCACATGACGCCGATCTCCTACTGACCTCATGATCGATTGAAGCATTGGGTATACTCTCATAAATAAGAAGCGCAAACTGTCGACCTGTGTTCCGCCACGCCCGCCATGCCCGGAAGACGACGATGAGCCATGGAAGCCCACCCGCCATCCTACGAAACGGCGACGCGCATCGACCCCTGGCACATCATCGCGCGCTACATCCCCTCCAACGACCTGTGCTCCGCCGCGCTGGTCTGCAGCACGTGGCACTCCACCTTCACGCCGCACCTGTGGGGCAATCCCGCCTCGCACTTTGGCATCGAGAACGACCATGTCTACGTCGCTCTGACCAAGTTCAAACGCACGCTTCAAACCGCACGACTCCTCGTGCGATCGCAAACTCACACCCTTCATCTGCCTCCGGCTCATGCTGAACTCTATAATGGCCCCCATGCCACCTGGCTTCGCGATATCCTCGATCGCTTGCCCAGCTTGCAGTCGTTGATCGTCAGAGGCTTGCCATTCTTCGACTACTCTGCCCTTCAAGCGCTGAAGTACAAGCGTCCAAGTGTGAATCTGGAAGACGGCCTACCAAGTGGTGCAATAGAGCTACTTGGGTCCGCGGGCTTCGCGTATCAGCGACCCGCCGACTTCATCCCTTCCTTCGGCTTACGTCTGTTGGATGCCTCGAGATGCTCCAACGTCACTGCCAGCAGCCTCGCTCAGGCTCTCGGCCGTTTCGAAGGCCTGCTCTATCTCGACCTCTCCTTCACGTATCCTGCACGAGACCCCGTTGTTCTGAAGAGTCTCCGCCGCTTTCAGAACTTACAGGTGGTCAAGCTGCGGGGCATCAGCCTCAATGATGAAGCCTTGGAGGTGCTAGCCATGGCAATAGGCTGCAAAGTTCGGAGTCTAGACATACGGAACAATATAATCACTGACAAGGGCGCACGGAAACTGCTCGATCATTGCTTCGTGCTGGACACGCAGAACACCGCTCTCGGCTCGCATGCGACGAGAAGACGCTCGCAGACCCTCCTGCCGTACTTGGGCCACGAGATGCTGGAAATCTACCAGGGCGAAGACTTTGAGAGCTTTATTCGAAACGCGTTCACCGGCCGCTTTATTGATCGGCTGGCGATTGAAGATCTACCAGAAGGAGGCATCACTCATCTCTATGTGTCTGGTAATCCAATCTCTATCGAAGGTGTTTCCGATCTTGTGCGCACCGGCCGCTTGCATGTCTTGGATGTGCAGTCGACTGTGTCTCGAGTCAAAGCTCCTCAGCGCACTTTATCCAACGGTGATCAAAGTCCAGTCTCGCAGGTCTTCGGAGCTGAACAGCTGACACCGGTCATGCACGAGTTTGCATGCGACTCCATGATGTTCTTGAGAATTGATCACTCCCTTGTCACGCACGACTCGCCTCACCAGCCGGTCGAGGAGGCGGTGATTCCCGGTCGGATTGAGCTGGATGACACCGCTTTACCCATCCTCCCTGATGCAGTTGAATTGAGCGCCACAGCGGCACATCCAGATGTCTTCGAAATGCCTGCCGTGGAGACCCCCAAATACGAGCTCGCCGGTGATCCGCTACACTTCTACGTCTCGCCCGCAATCAACGACCAGCAACACGAAACCGAGGAGGAAAAGTCACCCGCTGTAGCAGGGCCGAGGAGAGGCAGTGCCTTCGCTCCAGAGGTGGTCGAGACGCCCACAACAGACACCGACAAATTCACCTTACTGAGCGCCGTCTCCCCTCTGGAAGACGAGTATCAAACCTTCAGCACCATGGCCGAGTGGACGCCCATCACCCCCGGAACTCTCACCTTCCCAAACCCATCTTTCAATCCTTTCCTCAACCCATTTGTCCCCCGACCTGCTGGGAGAGTACGCACCTACTCCTCCGTCACCAACGAACGTCAAGCCCGCCTAACCACGCACATCACGCACAACGACAACCTCCACCCCGCCATGCTCCCCCGCCTCACCACCCTCGTCCTAACCAACATCCCCACCACAACCCCCTCCAAAGCCACCTCCACCCGCCTCATCAACTTCATCCGCCAATGCGCCCAAGAAGCCCAAGTAGCCAAACACCAGGCGCAACTAGACTACTCCCTGCCCCCAGGGCGACGAGGCCACGCAGCAGCACTCAAGCACGCCGCGCAGGAAGTCTTTGCCCTCAAACGCATCGTGCTCGAACTCGCGCCGCCGCAGTCCGCTTCCTCGGCCGCTGAGGGTCGTCGTGCGAGCCAGTGGCAGCACGCTTGCACCAAGTCTGTGACGGAAGACCACGACAGCGAGAGTTTGTGGTCTGCCGCCGAAACGGACTTTAGTTTTTTCGGGGACGAAGATGCGGATACGTTTCCGAGCCTTGTGGACTCTTCTGCGCCCTTGATCAGGAGTAGTAGTCGCGCGACTGCTAGCACTGCTCACGTTAGCAAGGGGAAAGATTCCTCGTCGTTGCCGACGTTCGACACTGTTGCGCTGTTGTCTGCTTTTCGGCGGGAGCGTGCACAGGCTCATGCGAGGAGTCTTGCTGCTGGCGCGCTGGATCCTGATACAGAGGGATACTGGGCTGGGGCAATTCAGATTGTGCGGCCGGAGGTGGAGCAGACGGGCTTATGGGAGCGGAAAGATTACTACGGGAATCGATTCGACGGGGTGAGATGATGATGAGAAACTTGTGACGGGTTTTATTGATTCATGCATTGCACGGCATAGCATCTAGGTCTATACATCTGTCTTCGTCAATCTTCTCTAGCCATAAATGTTGAATTCGGGGTGGGGGTATCATTGCATCAAAAGGATATCAGCACATCAAGACGCAGCCTTGCCATTCGACAATTTTGCCTTCGCCTCCGCCTCCCTCTCCATCTCTTCCCTCCTCGCCGCCTCCTCGCCCACAGCTTTGATGCCCTTCTTCCGCTGCCGCGCCTCGTACTCTTCCCTCTTGTCCAGAATCCTCTGCACGATCTGCGCGCTATCGACGTCCTGGAAGCGATGCGGACCAACCTGCTGGAAAATGCCTAGACTCTTCGCATCGGCGTATGGATCCGTGGGAGTCGGGAGGAAGGACGTGGGGCCGTGGTAGACGACGTCAGGGAGACCAGTGGGTAGTGAGGAGAGGTACTCCTTTGTTGGAATGATGGGCGCAGACAAGATGACGGAGTGCACGTATCGGCATTGAATGGCGCACAGGCCGCGCTCGTAGATGTTCATGATGGGGTAGTTGACGCCGCGGTGGGCGTTGACGACGGCGTCGGAGTGTAGGCCTGCGATGATGTAGGCGGGGCCGTAGTCGGAGCCTGTTTGCGCTATGCGAGAGGCGGCGGCGCTTGCGTCGTACCAGTTGCGTGCTTCCGCGTGGGCGTGTTCTAGCGCGGTGGTTGTTTCGAGGAAGGCGATGTGGCCGGAGGAGAAGAGGTCGAAGCTGCCGTCTACGTAGACGATTCGTTGGCCGGGGCGCGGGGGCTGGCCCGAGACGAGGGAGACAAGTGGTGTTGTGCTTCCAGCGTGTCCATTCTGCTGCTGGGCAGAGTCTTCGAAAGAGTACACCTGCACCCATGAATCCAGCCCATCCTCTGCCGCAGCATACTCTTCAATCCTTCTCTTCATCTCCGTAGGGGTCTCCTTCATCCTCTCCCTCCCCTCCTGCCCCTCCAACACAGCCGGCAGACTCTTGATAAAATGCTCCTTACTCGCACCCAACATCCGCCCCACCAAATCCGTCGTGCTGATACCCTCCGTCCGCCTCACAATCTTCATGCGCCCCGCCTCTTTCACAAACCGATAGCAATCCTCCCCATTCGCATCGCTGGTAATATCATCCCCATGCGTCACAAACCAACACCCGTAGTGCGAAATCCACGCCAAAGACGTGACGTACGGCGCGCGCGGGATGCACTGCGTGGCAAAGCGGCACGCGTCCACGGCCGCCACGCGCTCGGCGAGACTCATGACGGTGGGGCCCTTGTTGGCCGCGATTTCCTCATCGGTGTGCAGGCCTACGAGCAGCGAGGCGCCGAGGCGACGCGATTGAAGCATCACGCCTGTGTGGCCGTGGTGGAAGAAGTCGAAGCAGCCGTCGATCCAGAGGCGGTCGTGGCGGATGGGTTGGTCTTCTTGCGGATCCACGGGCCATTCGCCGGGGTGGGGGACGATGGCGTGGGTGTGGGGGTCGAGGGTGGGCGGCATGGTGGCTATGGTGTTGGTGGTACTAAGGGACGAGGGAGGGGTAGGAAGCTGCACGCATGCTTCGAGCGGACTTGGGATGGGGTGTTGGAGATGTGGTGTTGGAAGTCGGAGTGGTGTAGAGGTGGAATGAAGCTCAAACGACGTCAGACTGGATTTAAATTCAATGGCTTTGCTCTCGTGCAGCCCTGCCCCACCATCAGCTCGACGACCATCGTTACGCCACGGCCTTTAGTTTCAGTTGGAACAAATATATAATAAGGTTATAGTGTATTTGACGAGTTATTCGTCGTACTCGTGCTTCGTAACGCTGATGAATCCGGTAATGCCTCGGAGTCAACCCGTGCCTCATAGATCTTTCATCGCCGCAACGACCCCGCGATCAGGTACTTATGGTCGACGCCTTGGAGATGAATGCCGACCATTTCGATGGCGTTTTCGATCTAAACGAAGGTCGTCCACAAGCAAAAGAGCTCCAGGCCCAACAAGTCGGGGCAAGGACAAGCAGAGGGCGTCGACATCGGGGTCCAGCATATCAGCATGCGACACTGGAATCATCCCTTCACGCTACCGCGCCTCTCACCCGCCTCCCTCTTCCTCCTCTGCTCCTCGCCGTTCTCCCACACCATGAACGTGCCCGCAACGGCAATGGCAATACTCGTTGCGGCCACCAGCTGGATCCCAACCACGTTCGGCCGGAAGACGCCCCGCTGCAGCTCGCGCATAGTACTGAAATACCGCTGCGTGCCGTGTGCCACACACAGACTCCCGCTAGATACTAGGATGCCCGCGGCGAGCTTTGTGCGGGAGTTTTCGAGGTGGAGTAAAGTGGGTGACAGAGCGGCGAAGGCCTCCACTTTCTCGAGCGCCACGCCCAGTGCGATGAAGCCCAGTCCTGTGCGTGTCCAGGCAAGGAAGGTGCGTTCGGAGGCGAGGAGATCGCGCGCTAGACTGCCGGTGTTTTGAAGTGTGGGCGACTGGAAGATGGTGCGGAGGCGTTGGAACATGGTGGGCCCTTGAGTGATAGACACCTGCCGTCACCTTGTCTGGAATGGCGGTCTCCCCACTTCTACCACTGAATCCGGTGAGAAGCCCAAATATGGATGTGATTGTGACGTGAGGTTGATCTCAAGCAGTTGGGCAAATGCAAGGATGCGCATGTGAAGATTAGCTTAGGTAAGCATCGAAACCGGGGAAAGCTTGGGCCGCTTCGCGCCGTGCATGCATCCGCAAAAAGTTCACATGCACAACTTCGACAATATCACATTCGTTGGATATGGCGACAGAGGCGGAGGATAAGCCGCAAGGCACGAAACGACCTCACTCCGAGATCGTGGAAGAGAATGGAAAGACTCACGATGGTGCGAAGCATGCCAGCGACTCCGACTCGGACGACGATGACATCGGGCCCGCCCTGCCCTCTGCAGACGGACCGAAGAAGAAACGAAGGAGACTCCCATACGAGAAGCAGTACATTGCCGCACTGCCCACCGCCACGAGATACTCCAAATCCCTCATGCACCAAGAGCAGCTCGCCTTCTGCCACATCACACCCCACACCGACTTCTTGATCACCAGCTCCATCGATGGCTACGTAAAGTTCTGGAAAAAGGTCACAGGCGGCGTGGAGTTTGTCAAGGAGTTCAAGGCGCACGACGGCGAGATCAAGAGTGTTACTGTCAGTGTGGACGGCAGGAGTTACGCGACGGCGGGCGTGGACAACACCGTCAAGATCTTCGATGTCGAGACGTTCGATCTGCTGGCCATGCTCGAGCCCGAGGCGCCGCCCAAGTGCGTCTGTTTCGTCCATGGATCCGGCTCCTCCTTCCCTCTCCTCGCCATCTCCAACGAGCAAGACGGCCGTATCTTCATCTTCGACGGTCGAGGCGAGAACCCCACCCCTCTGCACACCCTTACAAATATCCATCGAAAGCCAGTGCATCTCATGGCGTACAACAACGCCTACGACTGTGTCGTGTCAGCAGATGAAGGAGGCATGGTGGAATACTGGCAACCGTCCAGCCCTTTTGAAAAGCCAGACAACGTCTTCGAGATGAAGAGCAACACCTCGCTCTTCGAGTTCAAGAAAGCAAAATCCACTCCATGCTCTCTCACCATCTCCCCCACCGGCACGCAATTCGCCACCTTCTCCTTTCCCGATCGCAAGGTGCGCGTCTTCGATTTCGCCTCTGCCAAACTCCATCGAACGTATGACGAGAGTGTCACTACCATCACGGAAATGCAGCAAGCCGGTACCCTCAGCTCCGAGCCAATGGAAGCGGTGGACTTTGGTCGGCGGATCGCTGTGGAGCGCGAGCTCGACAATCCGGCAGTGCGAAGCAAGATGAATGTCGTCTACGATGAAAGTGGACACTTCATCATGTTCGGCAGCATCCTCGGGGTCAAGGTTATCAATACCCTCTCGAATCGTGTCGTCAAAGTCTACGGCCGAGAGGAGGCATTTCGCCCGCTCAATCTCGCAGTGTACCAAGGGCAGCCGGATAAGAAGGGCGTCGTGACTGTTCAGATGGCCGCATCAGACAACCCGCTGCTGGCAGAAGCAGAAGCGCGCGATGCCATGCTCGTCTGCACCGGCTCAGGCAAAGTACGCTTCTACATGTTCACCAACGACGACAGCGTCTCGAAATCCGACCGCGACATCCACAACGAGAAGCCCCGAAACCTCAACGCAGCGAAAAAATCCGCAGCAGAAGCCGAGAAGGAATCCCGCACGGCGACAGCAGCAACAATCCACACGACGTTGGGCGACATCAGCGTCCGCATGTACCCCCAGCACGCCCCGAAAGCCGTGGAAAACTTCACCATGCACGCAAAGCAGAACTACTACAACAACATCACCTTCCACCGCGTGATCCGCAAATTCATGATCCAGACTGGCGACCCCCTCGGCGACGGGACGGGAGGAGATTCCATCTGGGGGCGGGAGTTCGAAGACGAGTTCACGCCCGAACTGCGGCACGATAAGCCGTACATGCTCAGCATGGCGAACGCCGGGCCCAACACGAACGCAAGCCAGTTCTTCATTACGACGGAGAAGGCGCCGTGGCTGGATGACAAGCACACGATTTTCGGGCGGGTGGTGCGGGGGATGGATGTGGTGCATTTGATTGAGAATGTGCGGGTGCATAAGGAGAAGCCGGTGGACGATGTGAAGATTGTGAGCGTTAGTCTTGGATAGGTAGGCGATCTTATTAGAAGACGAGATCGTAGGCTAGTGTGTCCGTCGCCATTTCCTCTCGGAACTTGTGCACCCTGCGAGTAGGACGAGTGTTAGCATACCTTCTCACAGTCACCGCTAAGGTCGAAGAATCTCACTGCTGATGAACAGGATGCTCAGCGTAGATCTTGACATCCGACGCCTTTTCCAGCGTAGCAACAAGTCCCAAATTGAAGCCCTGTCCTCTATGAGCGGTGCTCTCGAGGGGCGGAGCGACAGCCATCTCTCGCAGGCCTGCGATGGTGATTAGCACGGTAGCAGGGGTTCGACAACAGGAGGACAGGAGTACCTGGAATCTTCCCCACCATGCCTTTTGCCATTGCCTCGAATTCTTGGATCTTCTCCGGCCCGGCTTCGGGCTTGAGTTTGAAGAGGACTGTCCGATGGGTGGTGGTTAGCTTGATGTACTGGGGGGATGGACGAGGGACTTGCCGATGTGGTAGACTGGCATGTTGATTGGTGGATGGGAGAAGTCTTTGGGTCTTTCTATGGTCAAATGGAAAGGGCGAGTGTAAGGTAGGTAGAGTTGATTGATGAGTGAGGGGCATTGGATGTTTTTGCCGTAACGTCATGGCTTCTGCTAACGTTTACCCCCCCCTTCTCTGTAACTGGATGCGCCTACGAGGCCGATTCTCACTTACCAACAAGACTGCCTGTGTCCATTCTTATCCTTCACAAATCGCTCATAATCCACGAGAACGGCCTTTCACGACACGATAGCTATGAACCAATCTTTCTTCCAACAATCTACTCGCTCGGCGAACCCTCGTTCACCACGCCCAGTGTCTATATATTCTCATTTTTACACTTGCCCTTTAACCAATGACCACAATCAAATGATCTGTCGGTTGGCGGCCCAAAAATGCAAACCTGTTGGGGTCCTACGAGTCTCGCCTTGCTTTCTCTCCTGAAAAGGAGTTTGTTTTTTTGTCCTTTTCGGGCAGGTCCCGAGTTCGAGTCGGAGTCGCTGCCTTCTTTACGCGGCTGCACCTTTTCCTCCAATCCTCCACACGCAAGTGAATCTTCCACTCACGAGCTGTCATGTTCAAGATGTATGATATGCTTCTATTCGAATAGTACGGCTCGTTACTGCTCCGGCTGAATGCCCTCCGCCGTGAACTTCCGCCTGACCTCCTGATACACCTCGTCCGGCTCCTTGGTAGCATCCACCTTGACCACCTTGCCTTGCCCCTCAAAGTGATTGACAACCGGCATACTCTGCTCCACAAACGTCTTGAAGCGCTTCTTAATGCTCTCCTCATTATCATCCGCCCGCCCCGAAGTCTTGCCCCGATTCAACAGGCGCTCCCGCATCGTCGCCTCCGGGCAGTCAAAGAACAGCGTGAACCGGCTCGGCACCACCACCTCCTCAAACTTGACCGCTTGATCCATCTTGCGCGGAAAGCCATCAATCAAGAACTTGCGATTCCCGGACTCCGCAATGGTGGCATTCATCGCGTTCTCCAGCAGCTGGATCGTCACCTCCATCGGCACAATTTGGCCTTCTTTGATGTACGTCTTGATCATGTCGCCGAACTCGCTGCCCTTGCGATCCTGCTCTTCTCGTAGCAAGTCGCCCGCAGACAAGTGCCGGAAGCCATAGTCCCGCACCAGGTTCTCGGATTGTGTGCCTTTTCCCGCGCCGGGGCCGCCGAGCACGAAAATCACGAGCGCTTGGTCCTTGCCGGTGCCAGGGGAGAAGAGGGGTTGCGTGCGCTTGGGAGCCTGGAGCGAAGGGTGGTTCTGGACGTCTACGGCAGGCATGGTGGAGGTAGTATGTGTGGTGGCTGCTGCAGGATTCTAACTGGCGTCCTGCTTGCTCCGAGGCCACGATTGTTTCGGCGGCGCTTTGTCGGGCAGGACGTAGTGGCTTGACCCTTGTCCTTCGCGGCTCTTGACTAACCAGTAGAACGAGAGGCTTCCCAGGCAGAAGATGGCGACGAGCGGGATGACGGGGAGTTGAGAGCCGGTGCTTCGAGATTTTGGGGTTCGCTGACGGATTTGGTCTTGGGTGGCTGCGGGTTTTGGTTGGCTGTCTAGTCGTCGACTGCTGGTGTTGAGGGATAGGGGTTTCAGGATTGAGAGAGGGCCAGGCCGTCTTAGAGCAATCCGCTGGAGTGGCATGGTGCTGAGTGAAAGTAGGTAGAAATTCGGGTTACGTCGTTGAAAGCTCGTGCAAATGGCTGACCAATCAGAAGCCGACTAACAACCTCTCTCCATCTCGACGAGGCTATCTAATGTGTTGAGGCAGTTTAATGGTTAATGAAAGGGCGATGCTGTCCTTACAACTCTAGGAGACGATTCAACAAGTCTATAATCTCTACCGTAACTCAAATAGCAAAGCCCCCAGAGTTCTTCTGTCTCGGCTCGCCAGCAGCCTCAAACGTGCCATTCGGCAGCATCCTCAAGCTCTGGGCCGTCGAAGAGCCAGGAGCGAACCATGTAACATTATGCGCTCTAGTCTTCATAAACGCCACGGTATCATTGTCGTAGGCATACTCGAAAAAACACTGATTCGGGATGAGTTGGTCGTGAAGTCTCGGCGCGGCAAGCGCTTCGATAGGCGTCATGCCGTGGTCGAGGACGTGCCAGAGGTTCTGTAAGGTGGCGGTGATGATCCGGCTGCCTCCTGCTGCTCCTACGACGTAGTAGAGCGAGCCGTTGTCCGCGTGCTCTACTATGCCATTGGATATTGAAGACAGCGGCCTCTTGCCTGGGCGGATGAAGTTGGACGGTGACGGCAAGAAGCCAAAGGCGTTGGACTTCCCTGGAATGGAGAAATCGTTCTGCTCGTTGTTTAAAATGGTCCTGAAAGGTGTAGGGTTAGCCAGTGCTTTGTCTCAACACAGGGGTATAGGGTCGAACGAGTCCAGTGCTCCGAGATGAATAAAAGAGGGTGCGACCGGTGGCACCTTTCTCTACTGCATCTCAGAGCACTGGGCTTTTTCTCCTTGGAATTCTTACCCAGTCTCTGGAACGATCAACTGCGACCCAAACAGCAAGTTTATCGTCGTGGTCAAGGAGATCGCCATCCCCGAGGAGTCGGCAACGACCACCGCCGAGGTGCCAGGGGTGTCGAGAATCTCGAAGCCCGAGGGATCGTAGGCGGACACGTTCAATGTATGTGCGTCGCTGATCTTGGAGCGGATGTTGGCGGCAGTCGATGCATTGAGGATTTCTCGCTGAAATTCGTACATGCCGTCTAGAAAATCCGGGTCGCCCATGCCACTTCTCTGGCCGTAGGCAAATCGGAAGGCTTCGCTGAGTCGATGCGTGCTGAGGTGCACCGCGGATGGATCTCCCATGCCGTCGAAGCCTTCGAGGATATTCATGACAGAGAGAGCGACAGGTCCCGAAGATGGCGCGCTGTTGCTCCGTATGATGAAGTCTCGGTACTTCGTCTGCACGGGCTCTCGAATGGCGACGGTATAGTTTGCCAGATCCTCCATCGTCATGGTTCCATTTGCTGCTTGTAAAGCGCGAATCATCGCTTCCGCCATCGGGCCTTCGTAGAACGCAGAAGGCCCTCGCTCGGCGATTGTTTCCAGGGTGTCCGCATATCTTTTCCGAGTGATGGTGTCGCCGACTTGTATGAGCTTGCCGCCGGGAGCGAAGTCGATGGCCCAAGCTGGGTCATCGACAAGAAATTGGTTCTCCTCTGACATGGCTGCATTCATGTAACGGATGAGGTCCTCATTGACGAGCCAGCCTTCTCGAGCGACTCGCACGGCAGGCATCACCACCATGTTCCAAGGCAGAACACCGTGTCGCTCGTGGAGGTACTCTAAGCCCCGCAGCTCTCCAGGTACTCCGCTCGCCAGGCCAGATCTTACGCTTCCGTTCTTTCGCCCAGGTCAGCTTGCACTTGGAAGCGCACGGAAATTGTCACCTACTGCGTTTCCTTGGTACATATCCTGGTGTGCAGCTGCGGGTGCAGTCTCTCGAAAGTCGATATCCTCGTATTTGCCGTCGCTCGTGCGAACGAGCATGAACCCGCCGCCTCCAATGCCGCTGCTAACCTCAGCAGGAGCACAACGAAGGACACGAGTATCCGCCCTCACCTATGATACATCCCAATCACCCCAACACAAAGCACCGTCGCCACCAGCGCATCCGCCGCATTGCCTCCAATCTTGAGGATATCAATGCCAATGTTGGAGCAGATCGCGCTTTCTGATGCGACCGCGCCGAGGCCGTTACGTTCTGCGTTTGATAGCGCCTTGGAGACATCGTAGTCTTCTAATAGCCATGCGGGCGATGCGTCTGCGTTTTGCGATAAGAGGATGTTCGAGAGTGATAGGCCCAGCGCCAGCCTGGCAAGGAAAGCCATTGCAAGAAGATGTGGTAGAACCATTGCAAGACCTTCTCTAGCCCACTCCTCCAAGATCGAGCCCAATGACAGCAAAATCGAGATCCCTTCGCGCTTTGAAATGAAATATTGATGCGGAAAGAGAAAGAACGAATGTGGGCTCGTGATCAACATTGAACAGCCGCGATCGGACTGGACGTCGCCACCAATTGCGAAACTCTATTTCTGGTGGAAGCACTTTGGGAGGAGACTGATGGTATTATTGTCTTCCTCATCTCTGCTTCACTAACTACTCGTATTGCAGAGCTGGATAATGTTCTCGGGAACATACTCCTGCAAAATCCCGACCAATTGCGACAGAGGCAACCACTCGAGAAGGCCATAGATGGTCTCCATGGGCTGCCCACTGTATAGCACACGCGCATAAATCGACCCTCCATCAATACGCCAGAGCTCAAAGGCGATGTTACTCCCCATACCTGGCCAACGAAGCGAAGAAATGCCCAGAGCTCCAGCGACGGGTCCAATGTCGCCGTCGTGGATAAAGTCATGCTCGTACTTGATCGTGTTGGTCCCGGCCTCCACGGCGGCGAATCGCGCCAGGATCTCCTGGATGAACAGGCCCTCCACCGTCTGGATGTACGTCTTTGCGTTGGGATAGGCTCGCCAGTAATAATTCCATTCCCAATCGCCTGTTCGGAAGACCTCGTCCGCTTGGGTCATGCTCACGCAGTCTGAAGTGTCATTGATGGCGCAGGGAAGATGATACCCATTACACAAGCGGCTCTGGAAATTATCAGACAGATGATCAAACGTCTGCGTCCAAGCGCTGTCGTTGGCGGTGAAGGGTTCGAGCTGAGCGAGCAGAGGCGCCGCGGCCTGGAGCTGCGCTTGCCATGCCGAAGTGTTGAGAATGTCCGCTAGGATCGTGTTGCGGTAACTGCAGGAGAAGCCCTCGTTCACCGTATCAACATCCGTGGCCTGCTGATGCAAGGGCAGCGACTTGGAGTAAGAAGGCCAGATCCCTCGCAGCACCCCTCCGGCTGTCTGCTGGGTCAATGGCGACTCCGACGATCGAAACCATGTGGTGTTGTCCGGACACGAAGGCAAGAATCCGAGCTTCTCCCCATACACACCCCACAGGTCCTGTGCATGGATGTAGGCGTCCAAAAGACCACCGATGGTAAGCTGAGGATACTGACACGTCCCTGGAATGTACGTCTTCACGAACGGATTCGTGGGATCGGTGTATGTCTCGCCGTAAACATCGATAGGCGCTTGAGCGGACACACCCTGGCCAGGCCCAGCATAGAGGTAGGTGTCGATGTTGTCGCACTCAAACGGCTGATTCTCGCCCGTGGGTAAGATGTTGTAAGGCGTCCGTCTCTGATGCCGTTGCAGGTATTGCAAATACACGAGCTCAGCCTTGACCGAGCCATTGGCCACGGGTGCGGGAAGTCGATACTCTTGCACCCTCGGGTGAGGCATGAAGCAGTAGTCATAGGTTCCATAAGTCTTATTCTCGACATTCCAGTCGTACGTTCCCGCTTGGTAGATGCCGCCATAAGTGCCTATGGTGTCATTGCTAATCCATTCCGTGGTGTTGATGTTCTTCGGGTAGAAGGTGCCATACAAGGCGCTGGGGACTTGGGCAAATGCACCGCCGACCAACAAGGCCGCACTCGTGAGGTAAAACATGTTTGCTGTCTTTTGCAATTCTCACATCGGAGAGATCTGTCTTAATATACCCGGCCTGTCAAAGTAACAAGGTTCTCAATTGGGTTTGATCAAGTTGCGATCGCCGCGCACATGGCTCCCACGTGCGGCGAATCATTGGGCAGGCCGGATTTGAAGTGTGGTCTACAGCCCACCCATAGAGTTGCCGTCTTACCCTACGACCGTGAAGAGTAGCTAACGGAGGATCACGATGGAAGAAGTAGTTCATTGACTAAGGATCGGAATTCATGTCATTCATTGTCAGATCACACGAAACCCATCGATAAAGAGAAAGATGAGAGACGCAATCACCAGCCAAACCTGCCGTCGACCCGCTTCTTCGTACCCATAAGCAAGTCACTCTTCCGCAGCCCTGCTCGCTCCATCATCGAAGAGAACGTCGTATCTCGCCTCAAATCCGCGGAACTCCCACCCGGCACGGCCAGACCACCACCCGGCCCACCTTCACCCTGAATCTTCGTAGGCGTGTAAGGCGAATCGAGAAACTCCGGCCGTCCATTGATGCCAGTGGGCAGCGGAGGCGGCGCGGGCATCGAAAGTGGAGGTAGTTCGCTCGGATACCTGCTTGAGGTTGCGTAGGGCGTTCGTGCTTGCGGTTGCTGTGGCTGGGTTCGGGCGTTGTTCGTGGCCCACGCTTCTTCTGAGCGAGGGGGTTGGTATTTTCCTGAGGATGAGGGTGTGTTGTCTCTAGGCATGGTGCGTTGATCCGGCGTCATCAGCACCTGGATTGTCTCGGTACTGCCGGTCCGATCTCGGCTCGTCATGCCATACCGTGCGGCTTCTTGCATTTGGCGGCGGAGAGAGTGCATGCTCTTTTGCTTCTTCAACCCGCGAATGGGCGAGATGGTGAAGCTGAGGGTTCCGCGCTTCAGATGAGCAGGCATGGGAGACTGAGTCAAGGGCGGTGTGGAGGGAGTTTTGATTCAGAAATGGCGAGCGGCTGAAGAGGGCCTTGATTCCAGGCGTTCGGCTGGCAGTTGGACTCGGCCCACTTGCTTCGACTTTGTAGCTGCTGGTGACAATGTCATTCGAGTTCACGGTGCGCGGTGGTGTGCCACGGAGAAAGTCAGTCCGCGCACCCCAGGAACTTGGATCTATGGTCGGCTCAGAGATTGAACGGCCGTGAGAGGTGGGTCCAAGAGTGCTCAGATCCGTGAGAGTGTCGCGAGTCTTCTCCGTATGTTTTTCCGATTTCTTGCGCTTTCGAGTCAGGCATACGAAGATGCCGAGGGCGACGGCGATTAGGCCAATCGCAATTCCCGGTACGAAACCCGCAGCGAAAGATGCTGGACTGAAATGTGTCCCTGTCGTTGGTCCTTCCAAAGGCTGACCGCTTGCCGTGGCCGGGGCCGCAGTCCCTCCGCTTGATGCGGCAGAACTCGAGGCGGAGGATGCAGAAGATGGGCTCGAAGTCGCGCTGGTCGACAGTGGATGCAGCGCCTTGCACTGGCCGTTATTGCATGTGTATCCCTTCGGACAACAGCCATCCCCACATGACTCAAGCTGTTGTGGCGGGATTGAATGCAGCTCGCTCACGGGGAATTGATTCGCGTCTTGAAGGGCTTCATTGCAGTTGATCGGGTTGATAACGCTGCAGTCCGAGCCGTTGGGACAGCATATCGCCGAAATGATCGAAGTATTGCCAGTATTGATCGACAGGCATGTGGAAGTTGGAGAGCAGCAGAAGTTTGGGGGAAAATCGCCAGGACACTGGTTGAGAGATGCCGCTGCCTTGCAAGTGTTGGTGGAGCGTTTAGCACGCAGACTGGCGCTGAGTGACGACTCGAAATCCTCTTGGACCCAGAGCACTCTCGCGTTGACGGATGTGAGAAGGTATATTAGCGTGATGGTGAAAGGAGACATTATGCAGACGATTCTTTCAGTGCCAGCCGAACGCGCACAGCGCGGGAACGATATAAGAAATGGGAGATGATTTTCACCACCGTACGTGAAGCCCAGATGGCGCGAGTATTGAAGGAAAGAGTGAATGGAAGTGTCTCACTTTCAGGCTGCGGTGAATGTGAGTCTTGAGCGCCGCGCCGCCGGGGTAAGGTAACCCGCCCATAGCACGTGAATGCTCGCAAACATCTATCATTGTCGACAAGGCGAAGCCGAGAATAGGCGATCAGCGACAAGAGATATCGCTGTCTGGAGCAGATCATGAGACATTTGTTTCAGGTTTGCGTGAGCTCGTTGAGTGACTGGTGACTGTTTCCTTTGATACGCGCGTGCTCGAAGCCAATCAAATTCGTTCCTTTGGCGCGCCTCCGGGCACTTCAAAGACAGCTATAGACAGGTCAGTCTCACTATAGTCAACTCCGAATGCATAGTATGAAAGATAGTAGTTGTAGCCAATGAGACCATAAAGAGCCAGGATTGTAAGAGGAAGATGGAACGGAAGAGGGGCGCACGGCCGATGTATCGCGGTACTTTAGTACAGCCGCCGTTCAAGAAAGAGTGGAGTTCAAGCCCGACCTCACCTCTGTCTCTTCATCAGTATCAACCCACTGATGCCACGCAAGCATTCATTGTGAATGTTTGAACAGCCGGGATACCCAATTGGATGGTGGCTCATCGAGCTACATATACGTGAGTTGGGATGGGCACTGCTTGTCTGCCTCGAGAAACGCCAGTAGACACATCCCAAGAGGAGTTGGCCTGGATATCTTCGTGGAGTAGAATAACGCTGGCTATCGCAGACGACAAGATATCGGCATAACCGAGATGCTCGTCTCCGTGTCGAGGACCTGCATACACGTCAAGGACTGCATGCGCCTTCGGGAAACTTGTGTTCGCCTGCCGCCATTCCGGCCGGTCTTGAGCTACGAAAAGATAAGGCAAATGAATGTCTGCTCAACTGTGTTCAATTAGCGAATCGCCCAACGGTACGGACTTCTCATGGCAAATCCTAGGTACAGGTTTCGTTGCTGTCTCTTCCAACCCCTTAACAAACAAGACGAGCTGGGGGCTCTAACGCATTCTCCACTTGTCGCGCAGCCACCGCCATCTTTCTCCGCATCTCTTTGAACATCCAGGCCCCATGTCTCACTCCAGTCTGCTTGCATCTGACGACTCAATCGCGTTAGTCTTAGTAACGTAATCGCTTGTCGACGCTCGGGCCAGCGCACAACGAAATTCAAAGCTGGCGCCTCTTCCTCTTCTTCTTCTTCCTCACAACACAAACGTCAGTTAGAGCCCGCCCTTCTTGGGTGGCTCTTCTGTCAACCCAATTTTTTGCCTCCTTTGCTCCCTTTCAGCGCCTTGAGACGGCCGGCCCTGTCTGGTCCGTCAAGAGTGACCGCTATAGGGATGCAACCCTCCGCTCTCGTTGCCTTCGGGCTTCTGGGATGCAGCTGTCGGTCCTTTTCTGGGTCGGCTTTGTTCCTCTTTCAAGCGCCTTCGGGTGTCTTACCTGGTGGTCCTTTTCTGAGCTATCTTTGTTCCTCGTTCTCTCTCGGAAGTCTGCTCCACCTCCGGGTGCCCGCAGCTACTTCTCGTGGCCTCCTCTAAGACCACAATTTCTCTCGATCCCTTTTTGAAGTTCAGCTCCACCTCCGGGTGTCCGCAGCTGCTTCATCGCCGAAACCGAGTTCCACCTTCGGGTGTCGAGCAAGGTTGACGCTGTCGGCGGTTCCGGTTGGGGCCGTCCTTGCACACTATTATATCTTGAAGTCCAGCTCCTCTTTCGGGAGTCTGCAGCTGCGAAATCCGCACTGATGCTCCTCTCCGCAGAGCGACGTATCCTGCACACCCTCCCTTCGATGCATCAGCCCTCTCTCCTCCGGGGGTTCGATGTATCAGGTCCCTCTCACGTACTTACAGCTCGTCCTTCGGGAGTCGACAAGCATACCATACCAGACGTCGACAGGCTCACTCCTCCAGGAACTGACGCCTCGGCTGTCTTCTCGCTGAAGTCCAGTGCACGCTGCTTCGGCCACCAATTCTTTGCAATCAACCCTCCTCGACATCGTGTCGCGGGTTTTGCCGAATTCCAGTACACGCTGCTTCACCCAACACCTTTGGGACAACCACCTCGACATCTCTGCACCGCTTTTTTTCATCATCACCTACCTGGACTCCAATCCGCCTTTGGGGCTGGACACCTCGCCTGTGCCGGAGCGGGAGACCTCCGGGCCACGGCCATGTGGAGAAGACTTCGACAAACCACCCACGCCACCTCGAAGAATGCCGCTAACACTACTCAAGCTTGATGCAATCTTCGACACTACGCGAGAGCAGCCCAGAGAAGACACAGCATCAATGTCGCCAACGTGGGGGGGCTCACTGGGAAGCAGGAAGTCAGCACCAAGTCTACAATCGCTCGGGAGGAGGAAATCAAATGGGGAAGCGGGCAATGTTGGGAACGGGGTGAAAACATCGGAGGAGAGCAAAGTCAAGGAAGGGATGGAAGCATCGGGGCGAACGTGGTCAGGGTGGGATGAATGTGCACCAAGACGCATAAGATGAATTATAGAGCATCAAATCAAGACAGGTTGCTCCCATCCTTAATGTTTGCAACAAAATGTATGTCGGTGGCAAGGTAAATGGCGCAGGCTCGCGGCTCGAAGGTGAAGCCATCGCAGGTCAGCGGCGGGCAGCCCCGATCCGGCCTAGCGTGAATATTTGTCGCCATAGATCTTGAGATCTTGAAAGGCCGAATGCTTCGAACTACACCAGTCCACCCAACACGACAATGGCCACGAGACGGTTAGTGAGGCCATTGGTCTCAGCTGCATCCACATCATGGCTCTGTCCAGCATGCGTAAGTGTGTCTACACTCCACTACACGCTCCAGACATTGACGGCGCAAAGGCACGAACACCCCCAATCCAACAACACCTCCTCCGTCCACAGCAAGCACAAAAACGAGCAGCGCATTCCGTCCCCCCACTTGCAGGCCTCGAAAAGAGCTTCGAAGAAAACGGAGTGCCGGGTCTATTCAGCAACGAGGGCTTCAAACAAGCATGGCTCGACTACCAAGGCATGATAACAGACAAACTCAACTCCCTCACGGCCGGCGAGGCCACGTACAACGAAACAGCGTACAGCCTCCTGCTGCGCTTCGCTCGCGACCCCATGAACGCCAGCCTGTTCAATCACGCGAGCATGGCGTACAACAACCACTTTTTCTTCAAGACGCTCAGCACCGCGCCTGTGCACATTGAAGACCAGAAGGTCGCGGCGGTGAAGGCGAGCCTTGAGCAGACGTTTGGCAGTATTGATACGCTGCGGACTGCTATGCTCGATGCGGCTTCGGGCATGTTTGGCCCGGGGTTTGTCTGGCTTGTGTGGATGCGTAGTTCGGGGTCTGGGAGCTTCGCTCAGCGCGATGACCAGGGTTGGCGCGTGCTGACCACTTACAACGCCGGCACGCCCTTTCCCACCGCCGCATACCGCCTTCAAGGACTCGATGTGAACACCGCCAATGCGAAGTCGTTTGAAGATTACTACAATGCCGAGCCGGCGAATGATGCCGGGGCTTTTGGAAGACATACGGCGGGCGGCAAGGCGGAGGCGAAGATTCCTCCCGGCGGGACGCAGCTGGCGCCGGTGCTTTGTGTCAATACGTGGGAGCATGTCTGGCTGCATGATTTCGGCATCAAGGGCAAGAGGCAGTACTTGGCGCGGTGGTGGGATGCGATAGATTGGTATGCGGTGCAGACGAACATGCCTCCGGAGGTGCTGAGGCCGGGGTTTATGCGGAGGTGAGCGGCGCATAATGTATGGGAGTTTTGTACGAGTATACAGATCACATCCTGCGAGTCCGGGAAAAGCATCCGGTTTGTCTGTCCGCATGAGCTAGAAAGAGCTACTGGTACACTTCAAGAAATGCTACGGCAGTCCCACCCGCCTGATCGTGTCCTTCGTAAAACCACTCTGAACGAGCGTGTCGTAAATCAAAACACCAAACAACTCCTCAGCACCTTGCTTCTTCACTCTGGGTCCTTCATAATCCCGAGTCCCACGTCAAAATGTTCCACCTAAGACTCTCAAACATTCGACTGAGGGTGAGAGTAGTGCCACCGATTCTTAATCAGTCCATGTAGAAATCGCCCTTGAGAATACGCTCCTGGAAGTGATCCGGTCTAGGCCTCTCCTTGGGCTTGGGAGGTGCCACGGGAGGCGCCTCCATCGGCGGAACGTTCTGAGGGCGAGGAGGGCTAGCGGCAGCACCTCCCAGTCCGCCTTGACCGGCGATTGAGGTACGCTCCGCACGCGAACGCAGATTATCCGACCAGTTGAATCCCTCGCTCGAGCCTGCACAGAAGATGACTAGTTAGCAGTGGTGCCCATGAAAAATGAAAAGAGAGTATGATCGGGCAAAAATCATGGTGCACGGGACAGACCTCGACCCTTGGCATCTCGGGAAGAGATTGTCCTGGTGTGGGAAGATTTGTTCGCAGAGCCATTACTGGACGATGATGTACCATTCTGTCCCGGGCTTCCTCCGCCTCCACTGCCCGCCTGTTGCCCACTGAATGAGCCGGTGCGAATGTCCCGCAACGCTCTTGCTCCGAAACTGGTGCGACGCTGGAATGGGGTGTTGGAGGGGCTGCTGCTCAGGCTCGACTCACGGCCCTGCCCGTCGTCCTCGGCAATTGCTGACTCTTCTGGACTGCCGCTGTTGGTGGAGGTGAGGCTGTCTCCGCGCCCACGCATGGAGGCAAAGGCAGACGACTGGTTGGGGGAGGCAGAGAGACCGAGAGTGGTGAGCGAGAGGCGACGACGCTGAGCTTGGGCGGCGGCTTGTGAGATGGGGCCCGGCATTTGCTGGGTGGGTGGGGAGTTGTTCGGTTCGTTTGTGGAGCGATTCATCGAACCACGCCCGGATCCGAACAAGTCGGCCAATGTCTCTCCGACGAACGAGGTGCGGCGTCGGTGCGAGGGCGGCGGGGAGTGCCCTTGATTGTTGTTGTCGTCGGACATGGTGTGGAATGGAAAGGAGTGACGAGGTTTGGGTGAGATTGAGGTGTGGCTGACGGAGGATGGGGGTGGGCAGATGCCAGATACACAGCCCAGCGCTTCTGCAGGTCAGGTAGGGAGCAAGATCGACAGTTAATGCGGTGTGTGAGAGGGTGCGGTGTAGCTGGAGCTTCGGAAGCGATGGGAGCTGGAGGAGACTCGAGAGGATGTTGTGACGTAGAGCTTGCGTGTGAGCGGTCACGCGTCCCCGCGCAAGTGACTCGGGACAAAGACGGGTGGACAAAGCGTAGGCCTTTGCTTCAAGACGAGAAGACGTCGTTCACCCCTGATTCACCGAAGGCATTCCCAATTGATGGACAATCAGTGGAGGGAAGAGGGCCAAGTAGGGCCGATGAGTGCTTGCGTGCCAGGTAACACAATCGCCGTGTGGGGGTCGCCAGTCCCAATGCAGCTAGTGCATCGCGGGGTAGCCTTAGCTCCCGCACATCCCGGCGCATGGACCCTGGGGTGATTGATGTTCCACGACTTCGAGCTCCTGTCATCTGTGCTACGTCGCGAGATCGCTTAATGCTTGCTCTTCAACAGACAAAATCAAGAACGCATTTGCAATACACAGCGCACTATCAATGGACGGAACGCCAATCTCCAAACAGCACCAGCTACCGACCCCAAGATCCCGATCTAGCACCCTTCTCGCTTCGTATTGTCTCCCGAGAATTCCACCCCATAATGTCCATCCCCCTGGTCGGTCACTATAGCATTGCATCGAACAAGTCCCGTCCCTGATACGCGGTAATGCACTGGAAGAGCACATACTCCACAAGGTAGACCAGATCTCCTGCCGGAGTCTGTCGGTGAGGGTCGGGCTCGAAGAAGTCGTCCACTTCTTCGCCATAGCCGCTGTCCCGTAGCACAAAAAGTTCCTCTTCGACGGATGTCAGGAAATGGTCTGTGAAAGTGGCCAACTCGTCGCCTGTGACCTCTTTGTGGGGGTAGCCACACAGACCTGCTCGAACCACCTCCAGAATGATCTTCCAGGCCCGCCATTGACGTACCGTGTATGATCTGTGCATCACAAACGCATGCCCAAACAGGAAATTGCCCATTGCACCAAGGTGCTGGCCGATGATTGTGTCATCCAGAAGTGCCGTCTCGTTCGGCTGCGGCACGCCACCGATGCCCCTGATCTCGCGGAGATACTCGCGCGCTTCTGGCACCACTTCGTGAATCTGCGCTGTCGTCACCCCCACGATATTAACCCGTGGGAATGTGTCGTGAGTGAGCCCTGATTCGATCTCAATCAGGTCAAAGACCTCCTCCTCCGTCAGCACCTCGTCCTCCGCGTCATCCTCTTCCTCGGCATTGGGCACGGCAAAGAGGATGCGACGACAAGTCGGACAAGTATTGTTCCTGTCGTCGGTTAGCCACTCGTCGATGCATCCGCGGCAGAAGATGTGCTTCTCACATACTGCCATTGGCTGATGGTGCTCTTCCAAGCAAATACCGCACTCCTCATCGGCGTCGTCGGGGAGATCGATGAGTTGGGGAAGCTGAGCCAGGAACTGCTCGCGGGTTTGTAGGGCGTCAGACATTTCGGGCTGGGGTGGTGCTGCTGTGAGGTAGGTTGGTGAATTGCAATTGATATGTTCTGAAGGGAACAGACCTTCGACATGTTCGCTGCACTTATACCCGTTGCTCGTATGGTTGTCACAAAGCAACGACACAAAGGCTGCTCGACCGAGGTGAAGTCGCACAATCGACATTGTTCCTAACAAAGGGGAGCCTTATTCTATCCTCTTTGACTTCACTCTCTTACCATTAATTTTAGATCGTACAAAGAATCTACGGTCGGTGGTTTACTCAATCGCATTCACGGTGATGTCTAGACCCCGATAGGTCGACCGTGTGACGTTCTCGTTGTGCACTGCAGCATGCTGATGGATGAATCGACGTGCCGCTTTTTGTCATTGACGGTGACGATAGTCCACCGCATTGTCGTGAAGAAGCGGTTGCCAGCAATGTTGAATACGTTATAGCGGAGCTGCTCAACTTCACTCAATGATTGCGTGCTTACCAACCCTAAGAGCAGGGCAGCTCGAGGATGCCGATCATCGGAGGTACAACGGAGGGGACTTGGTACGATTCGATGTCCAACCTCTTCATTCCAGATATTCACGGTTTTCTACCTTGTCTATATTGCTCAACGCCATCGAACGTGACGACATGGCCGCCGCTGTTCAAAGCATGCCCAGTGTGCCTAATGGCAAGCTGGAGAAGTACACTCAAGTCGAGGAATCGAAGTATGAGTGTAAGACGAACAGCTTCTCAGACCCGAAAGTACAAAATCACATTGCTGATTTCGATAGTGGACTGGGCGGATCTAGTGACTTTGGATCTCTCCGAGTTCGACCAGCCGGGTGGCAAGCAGCAGCTCGCGAACCAGCTGAAGGACGCAGTGCACAACGGTGAGACGGCCGCACAGCATATTTTACGCAACGCATCTACTAACACCTTTCCCTAGTCGGCTTCTTCTATATTATCAACTTTGGCTTGCCTCAAGACGAAATCGACCGCCAGTTCGCCATCGGCAAGCAAGTCTTCAAGCTGCCCGTGGAGGAGAAGCTGAAGTACCGCGCCGACCTCGAGAATGGCAACTACAACGGCTATCGCCCAAAGGGCATGCAAGAGCTGTTCCCTGAGAGGAATGGGACAGCGTTCCGCGATAATTTCGAAATGTATAATATCTTCAAGTACAGTTCGTGGACCATCCTCCTGCCCCAGCTGCTCCGCTGTTTAACATCATCTAGTTCCGGAGCTGGAACGGACGCATCCCGAGATCATCAACGAGCACCGGGAAGAGATTGAGCGGTTCCAACGCAAGATTGCCCAGGACATTGTGCAGAAACTGCTCGTCCTTATCGCTCTGGTCCTCGAGCTCCCCGAAGACCATCTCGCGAACGGACACCAGTATAACGATGTTTCTGACTGCCATCTTCGATATATGATCTACCGCGCTCGCTCTACGGAAGAGAACGAGCGGTATCAGAACATTTATTCGCAAGGGCATAGCGATTTTGGCAGGTCAGAGGCGAGAGCTCCGCCCAAGGGAATAGAAACATGCACGTTACTCACATCAAATACAGCCTTACCCTGCTATTCAGACAGCCAATCGCGGCTCTACAGATACGCTCAAAGTCAGTCTCTCTACTACGACCGCGTACACACATGCTAACTTGGACATAGCGACGGTTCCTGGAAATGGGTCAAGCCATACCCCGAGTCCATCACGGTGAACATCGCCGACGTATTGCAATTTTGGTCCGCTGGATATCTGAAGTCATCGGTCCATCGCGTCGTCGCCCCTCCACCCGACCAAGCTCACATCGATCGGCTGGGTCTGCTTTACTTCTTGCGTCCAGCGCACGATCTCAAGCTAAAGACTTTGGATAGCCCTCTGCTTAAGAGGCTTGGCCTGAAAGCAGAGAATGATGCAGCGTCGGGTATTGCGGCTGGTGACTGGGTGAAGGCGAGAGTCAAAGGAAACTTGGACAAAGTGACAGAGGAAGGCAAAAAGGAAAAGGTGGTGTTGAATGGGATATCAGCACTGTACTATGCCTAGATAAACTTTGCTTTTAGATCCCTTCAGGCCATGAGAATCGAATGTTCTTGTCCCTCAGACCTTGCGTCACAATGTCGAGTCCACCGGACTTAATCATCCATTCCAAGCGGTGATCACGATACTCGCGTCGAAGGCCAGTGCCAGGCTTGAACCAGTCCTTGAATGTGTCCTTCATCTTGTTCGTTGCAGTCTCCAGTTCCTCAAACGTCTGCTTCACGCTTGGACGCTGCATGACTCGAGCCCTCCATTTGCCAATAGGGCTGTCTACATCCAGCATGTCGTAGAGAAAGGTCCGGTTGACATACGGAACTACAGCGATGTCCGCATATCCGAAGGTGTCTCCGTTGAAGTACTCTTTGTCGCCGAGACGGACAATAAGCCATTCGTGGATGATTCCAACTTGCTTCTTGGCCGCAGACAACATGTTCTCCGCCAGGACTCCCGTGGCACGTTCGGCTCCTGTGATCTCCAAGATGCCCCAGTTGATGGCTTCGTACTGCGTATCGCACACTTCCTCAATCATCCTCGCGGTAGCACGAGCCTTGGGATCTTTGGGCAACAACGGCTTCTCTGGATATTTCTCCTCAAGATACGCGAGGATAACCTTCGAGTCGAAGATCTTGAAGTCACCATCCACGAGAGCTGGCACTTCCAGCCTCGGATTCGACTCCGCCAATTTGGGGATAGGTTTGCCGGAGCCCAGACCTTCGGGGACTTCCATGTCGAATGGAATCCCTTTCTCTCGGAGAGCCAGTCGTACCTTTTGCGCGTACGAGCTGTTACAATCAGTCAATGAATGTGGGCATCGTGGGACTTCCGCCGAGGTACATACGACCCGGGATGGTTATGCAAGAATAGCTTGGACTCGGCCATGTTTGTTGTTTGGATAGATGGTAGGGACAGTATTGCGTTGTTACACACGTTTTCGATGGTCAATGGAAATGGATACAGATCCTCCCGTCTGCAACAATTGTCCGCTTACGGCGACGTTGATCCGAGGGCTTACATCATAGCACGTGACAAGGCTATATGATGTCGGCAAGCAGCCGAGGTCAAAGGCCGACAAGGCCGACTTCACGTCACTCCAGCCACGTCCACCGTTGTTCATTCTTAAGCTTCTTCTTGGCCAACCTTCAATCCCCGCGCTGGTTGTGCGGATCTCCAACAATGTTCGAGGCAAAGGAGCAAGTGGACGTGCCCACTCAAGATCTCCTCTCTTGGTATTTCGACAAGCCCGCATGCGACCCGGACAAGCCCATCTATATTGACGCCCTCGACCCGTCCAATAATTACACACTCAACTCGGCCAAATCGACAATTCGGAAGCTCGCTGCAGGCTTCCGAAAGCATGGCCTGCAAAAGGGCGATGTGGTGTCCATCCACAGCTTCAATAACATCCACTATCCCATCCTGGTGAACGGCATCAACGCGTTTGGTGGCATTTTCGCCGGCACCAACCCCTCTTACCAGCCTTACGAGCTCTCTCATGCTATTAAAGCGGGTCGGGTCAAGTTTCTCATCGTAGAGCCCGAGATTCTGAAGCATGCTCTCAAGGCCGCCGATGAAAACAAAATCCCGCGCTCCAACATTCTGATCTTTGATACATTCAAGGACCAGAAGATCCCCAAAGGCTTCAAATCATGGCGCACCCTCTTGGACCACGGTGAGCAAGACTGGGTACGGTTCGACGACCTGGAAACGGCAAAGAATACCTCCGCTGGCCACATGTTCTCCAGCGGGACGACTGGACTCCCAAAGGCCGCGTATATCAGTCACTACAACCTCATCGCCCAGCATGTGCTCATCAACGACTGGAAGCCGAAGCCGTACGAGGAGAAGCGGATCATGTGCATGCCCATGTTCCACGTCGCCGTCGCACCATGCACGCATTGGTCTCCGTTGAAGAACGGGGTGGAAACGTACGTGATGCGCCGCTTCGAGCTCGAGACCTGGCTTGCGACGATCGAGAAGTACCGCATTACTGGTGAGTAACAGACTTCTCTTGTCTCGCGTAGACTACTTACACACATTTAGACATCGCATCTGTTCCGCCGATGATCATTTCCATCATCATGTCGGACAAGACCAAAAAGTACGACCTGAGTTCAGTGAAGTTCGCCACGTGCGGAGCCGCTCCATTGGACAAAGGTCCTCAAGCGAGATTCCAGAGTCTACTTGACAACGCCATCTTCACTCAAGTCTGGGGCATGACCGAGTAAGTCTTCTCAGGGTGAAAGTGTGCGTATGCGGGAGTCTGATCAAATCACTCACGCATTCACAGAACCACATGCATCGTGACAAACTTCCCTTACCCTGAAACCGACGATACCGGAAGCGTAGGCCGATCTCTGCCGGGCCTGGACATGAAGTTGATCGACGATGAGGGCAAAGACATCACCGATTACGATGTTCGGGGCGAGCTGTGCGTCCGAGGACCCACGGTCATTGGAGGCTACCTCGACAAAGTGAGTGCCGTAGCCTTGCTCATCTGTCGGGTTTAGCCCATACTAATGGTAACACAGGATGCCACAGCCGCGAGCTGGGACAAAGAAGGCTTCTTCCACACGGGTGACGTGGCGTACTGCGCAAAAGATTCGGGAAAGTGGTACATTGTGGACCGCAAGAAGGAGCTGATCAAAGTCCGAGGCTTTCAAGTGGCACCGCCGGAATTGGAAAGTGTACTGCTGTCTCACCCACACATTGTCGACGCCGCTGTGATTGGTGTCAAGCCGTTCAAAGACGACGACTCGGAGTACCCTCGTGCGTATGTTGTCCGCCGCGACTCGGCTGAGGGGAAGAAGTTGGATTCGGAGACGGTGAAGAAGTTCATGGCCGAACGCCTGGCGAAGTACAAAAGACTCGACGGCGGGGTTGCGTTCCTGGACGACATTGTAAGCATACCATGATGGTTCCTGGCTTGCACAACGCTGATCCTCTCTCACAGCCCAAGAACCCTAGTGGAAAGATCCTCAAGAGAACGTTGCGAGAGGTAAGTTATCGTCCCGCGTGTGTGCCCGTACGGCAAACATGCAAGCGACCGCCAGTGTTCTACAAAGCGTCGTACTGACAATGCGGTACACCAGTGGGCCGAGAAGGAATTGAAGCAGGAGAAGCAAACATCGAAGCTATAGGGCAAGACGTGCTGCATTCACTTGGCTAGCCAAGATTTAATTCGACCCTCATCGTTTGTTGAATTTAGCTTTGTATTAGTTTGTGTAGACCACATTGTGTGCCGCATCGTGGATGATGGGCTTGACCCTTGGCTATATATTCCTGCCGTCCTCTCGAAAGCAATCCTTTCTTCATAGCCACTCCATTCCACCCTTCGACATGACTTCTTCAAATCAAATACACCCCATGGACATCATTGACGATACAGACGTGCACAATGCACCCATGCCCGAGCAACACAAGCAGATGATCTTGAAGCATCTCCAACGCCTGCAAGATATCGCCAAAGGCGAGGACGTCGACAGCGGCGAAGAAGAGGTCTGTAGAAAACGAGCAGACATCGAATACCAAAAGCGCCTTGCTCGCGAGCAGCTGGCCCGCATCACCACCGTCTTCCGTCGCTATCAAGCCAGACACGAGCGCGGCGAATTCGAAGATGAAGAAGTCGAGTCAATGTGCGCAGACATTATTGACGGGTGTATCCTGGTGTATAACACGCGGTTTCTCGGTAAAATGCCCGCTGCTGGTGACCGTTTGATGGACGAAGACCAGGATGGCGCTGCGGAACTGTGGAAACCAGCTTCGGTCGAGACCGCCATCCTGCCTGATTGCAGCAGGAAACACGACATTGGAGAGGACCTGGAGCTGCACAAGCTCGTGCTAAAGGACAAAAGGTCGGAGGGTAACCTCGTTGAGCTGGGACGAGCGCAGGTGCCAGTGCTTTCGGGACAGTGGCCGAAGATCCGCGAAGAGCTGTTGAAGAAGAGTCCTGTCTACCACCACTGGCCGCCAACGCCTGCCGAAGGCGCCGCGTACGTAGCGCACAAAGGAGCAGAGCCCGAAGAGCCCGAGTCGGATTGGGAGGAGTATCTTCAGTCGCGAGCAGAGACCGAGGCGGGTGATTCGGACTGTGAGGAGTACCGACAGGATGGCTGAGATGAACGTCGGGCATCCTCGGTGAATGTAATTGGCAGCTAACTGGAGCCATAGAATTCATATATCATGAGTCGTGGCGCATATCCACATCTTCCGCATTAACTTCTGATCTCATGCCACCCGCTCAGGCTGTCGCCTTCTAGCGGGCTTCTGATGGTATCTTTGCCAGATCCCGCAATGTTCATGTCTTCTTTCTCATCCTCTGCGCAGCCACAATCATAAAAGTCCCCGATTTGAGAGCAGTCGAAGATGGGCTTCTGCAAGCTCTTGTTGACCTCGTTGTGCACGTGGCACGCCCACCCTGCTGCGACATTCCTCCCGGACACCTGCGGAGGGAATTTTTGAAGGACCTGGCCGAAGTGCTCGGCGCACTCTCCGCAAGGGTAGAGTCGCTGGAAGAGGTGGATGTAGGAGCGCAAGGCTTCTCGTTCGTCCAGGGTTGGTGATTCCGGGAAACGAGCCATGACCGTGTGGAACAGCTTCCATGATGCACGACCCAGCTCGGCCTTGAGTGTCTCGTTGCCAAGCTTGGGCGCTATTGCATGGCCGGAGAGGGATGCTTGTGAGGTGGAAGAGCCGTGTAGATCCGCAGAGGCGAATTGTGATCCTAATGGAGCTGCTCTATCTCGAAAAGGCTGAGAGCGGAAAGATGTGACGAAGATGATGGATATGATGGCAGAGAAGGCGATGATGAGAACGTTCCGGCGGGTAGAACTATTGAGCGGCATCCTTGCCATATGGTGGGTGAAAGGAAGAGAACGATGATGCACTACGTATGCACATGAAAGCAGACGCATTTAGAGCTCAATAGCCACCCCGGCCCGGCCCGGAGTCCGGGGTCGGGAGCCTGGAGCACGGACGGCCACAGGACCGAGATCGGCGGGAAAAGGCGCGGCATTGCTCTCGGACTTCCACACACCACACCTTCCCTCGAGCGTCGAGACTGATTTGCACTGGAGTTTGTATTGGTTACTAAGATCGCGCAGTAGATTCTTCAAAGCCGTTAATACCCCCAAATCACATTCTACGCAACAACCGTGAAGATGGCCTCTTCCTTCCCTCCGCCGCCCGTCAACACCATCGGTAAATGAGTCTATCCCCCTGCTCACAACCCTCGCGCTGACCGTTCCCGACCACAGATTGGGACGACATCGGATTTCGCGTTCGAGAAGGTGAGGACCCTCGCGAGCTGGATTGGATGTGCTGCGCATCACTAACATCTCCCCCAAGTCAACGGTCACATCGAATCGCACTACTCGAAGAAGACGGGCAAATGGACGCCGCCGAAATTCGTCAAGTCCCCTTATCTGCAGCTCCACGGAATGTGCCCCGGCCTCAACTATGGTCAGCAGTGCTACGAGGGACTCAAGGCTTTCCGTGCCCCCGACGACAAAGCCATCAACATCTTCCGGCCGCAACAGAACGCGGAGCGCATGCAGCATTCCGCCTCGTTCATCTCCATTCCTGAAGTCCCCGTAGACCTCTTCAAACAGTGTGTGCATCTGGCCGTGTCGCTGAATGCAGAATACGTGCCCCCTCACTACACCGGAGCGAGCATGTACATTCGGCCTCTTCTGTTCGGCAGCTCCGCGCAACTAGGTCTCAACCCGCCCGAGGAATACACGTTCCTGGTCTTCGTCCTGCCGACGGGAGTCTACCATGGTGTGCACCCTGTCGCTGCTTTGATCCTCGAAGACTTCGATCGCGCCGCGCCCGAGGGGACCGGCTCGGTGAAGGTTGGAGGCAACTACGCGCCCGTCCTGCGGTTCAGTGAAAAGGCGAGGAACGAAGGCTTCGGCATCACCCTCCATCTGGACAGCAGGACGCGCAGTGAAGTGGACGAGTTCTCTACCAGTGGATTCATCGGTGTGCACGGCACGCCGGAAAAGGGGGACGTGACTATTGTGGTCCCGGATAGCAAGAACGTGATCAAGAGCGTGACGAGCGACAGCGTGTGCCAGATTGCAAAGTTACTCGGCTGGAAGGTGGAGCAGCGAGTGGTGGGTTGTTAATGTCTCGGAGAAGCATCGGACACCTGCTAACAGTAACGACAGATCAAGTATGAAGAGTTGCCGACCTTCACGGAGATTGCAGCAGCCGGCACAGCTGCGGCGCTCGTCCCGATCAAGTCCATTACCATGCGCAGCAAGAACGACCACTTCAAATATCAAGGCGGCGGCGATGAGCCGGGCCCCGTCATCAAGACGGTGTTGGAGCAGCTCAAGGCGATTCAGCAGGGCCGAGCCAAGGACCCTCATGGATGGCGTGAGGAGGTGAGGGAGTACAAGAGGGGCGAGTACGCCGATGAAGGTTCGGAGGGGGTTAACGGAAGCGATGGGATCAACGGGAAGGTGCCTGATCAGCTGCCCTAGATGCTTGAGATGCGAGAAGGGGCTTGCAAAGGATAGACGGGTGCGAAGTTGGCATTACGGCATGGCATGAAGTTGGTCGAAGGCCTCAACTTTGGAATACATGTAGTGAATGAGACCTCACCTTTGAGTAGCAGAGTGGTGCCCTGGCCTTCTGATCTGCCGAGAATGTACGATCTCACTTCTGACATTCTTCCTTGAGCGCTTCATTTCTGCGCATGGGGCACGGATGCTTGAATGTATGCAAGAAATTGGTAAGCTTTAACCACATGGCGTCGGCGTTGGTTGGCTTCCGATTGGGTGGAGAAGGCTGGGATTTTCCGCGTCATCTCATGAATCCGCCTTTCCTCATGGGGGCTCCGCCGGGCCAGCTCCACCATCTCGCGACCTCCCTTCACCTCTCCATACCCTCCGCGCACCCTCTCTTGCATAGCATTGCGCGTTTGCACTTCCCCATCATGTTCTCCGGTTCTTCGTCCTACCTGGGCGGTGGGTATAGCGCTCGTCCCGGCGCTCCACAGTACGGCCAGCAGCAGCAGCCGCAGCAGCCCTTCCAAAGCCAACCGCCTCAGTACGGCAATCAGGCGCAACCGACGGGCTTCGGCCAGGCACCACTGCAACAGCAGTACACTGGCTACCCCAGCGGCGGTGGACTCCAGCCTCAAGCTACCGGCTACTCACCTCAAGCCCCCCAATCCAGCCAATACTCCCAACAGTCGCAGTTCCCGGGCTATCAACAGCCCCAGCCCACAGGCTACCAACAACCTCAGCCCACCGGCTTCCAACAGCCTCAATCTGCGGGCTTCCAACAACCTCAACCGACCGGCTTTCAATCGCAGCTACAACCGCAGCAGCAGCCGCAGCAGACCGGCTTTCAGCAGAATGGCTTCAATTCGCAGCCCGCACCTCAACCGCAAGTCCCGCAGAAGACGGGGCTCACAAGCGCAGATATGGCCAACTCGTTTCGATCGGCTCCATCGCAATCCCCCGCGCCCTCTTCCATCCCCAAGGCCAAAGGCAGTCGCATACCCAACATCCGCCTCTCCTTTGTCACCGCCACCGATCAAGCCAAGTTCGAGCAACTCTTCAAGAGCGCGACAGCGGGTGAACAAGCCCTGAGTGGAGACAAGGCAAAAGACTTGTTGTTGCGGAGCAACCTGGATGGAGACAGCCTGGCGCAAATCTGGGTGCTCGCAGACACCACAAAAAGCGGCCAATTGCTCTTCCCCGAGTTCGCACTGGCCATGTACCTGTGCAACATCAAGCTGACGGGTAAGGCGTTGCCAACGTCGCTGCCGGAGAAGGTGAAGAACGAGGTCAGCAGCATGGTGGACATCATCTCCTTCGGCGTCGCAGATACACCTTCCGAAGCCCCTCGAAGCAACGCGCCAAATTTTAGCGAGCCGCCAAAGATTGTTCAACCTCAGCCTCAGCAGCCCAACAATACGCAACTGATGCAACAGCTTACCGCGCAGCCCACCGGTGCTTTCCAGATCCCCCAGGCCACCGGCTATGCGCAGTCAATTCAACCGCAGCAGACCGGCTATCCGGGACCCCAAAGCCAGTTCGGTCAGCAACTGCAACAGAATCCACAGCCTACGGGCTACTCTGGATTGCGCCCACCAGTCCCACCCATGCCCACCGGATTCAATGCAAACCAAGGTCTTTCTCCGCAACCCACTGGCTACCCGGTTGCGCCATTGAACGCTCAACCCACCGGCAGACCCGGCCAATGGGGTCTCGTGAATGCGCCAGCATCCGGCCTGCCCAATTTGCAGGCTTTACAAGAGCAAATGATGCCGCAGCCAGGCCGTGAAACCGGCTTCTCCGCTCACGGACTCCGTGGCAATGCTACAGTGCCCTGGGCCGTGACCAAAGACGAGAAGAAGATCTACGATGATATGTTCAAGGCGTGGGATGGCTTTGGGAAAGGTTTCGTCTCCGGTAGCCAGGCCATCGAAATCTTCAGTCAGTCGGGACTCGAAAAGCCAGATCTGGAACGGATTTGGACACTGTCAGATCCTCACAACAAAGGCCGATTGAACTTGGATGAATTCGCCGTCGCGATGCATTTGATCTACAGGCGTCTCAATGGTTACCCAGTCCCCAATCAGCTTCCGCCTGAGCTGGTCCCTCCGAGCACGAGACATCTGAACGATAGCATCGGTGCGATGAAAAATTTGCTCTCGGAAGACGCTCAGTCGAGAAAGTCTTCGGGCGGGTTCCTGTCGCCGCAAAGGACGGGCGTGAGCTACATGAAGACGCGGTCTTTCCATGCGAATGGTGCATCTGCAGGGAGGAAGGACGGCACAGCCTTCAAGAATAATGATGATGCTGTTGGTTACCGCTCATCCGCAAGGAGGCGAGCGGGTCATCAGGACGACGGACGAAGTTCCAGTCCGGCCTTGAGCGATAGCACGACTGGTACTGCTGTGGACGAGATGACCATCGAGCAGCTCAAAAAGACCATCCGTGAGAAGCAGGTGCTACTAGATGCCATGGATTTCGAAGACGAAGGCAACGCCGACGAGGAAGACGCACTGGACCGCAAAGACCGAAAGGCGAGCGAGGAGCTATTCCGCCGAATCCGGAGCATCCAAGAAGACATCGACTCTCATCCTGCATCTGCGTTCAAGAGCGGCGACAGTGACGCCGAGCGAAGGACGATGCAGAGAAGCCTGCGAGGACTGCAGGACCGGTTGCCGGAGCTCGCTAGCCAGGTCCGGAAGTGCGAACGCGCGATCGCAGAAGCACAATTGGAGCTGTTCAGGATGAAGGACGCCAAAGCGCACCCTGGATCTGCTTCTGCTATCGTCGGCACTGGTCCCGGCGGTGCTGTCACTGAGTCGGATCGAGTCAAAGCTAGAGCGAAAGCAATGATGCGCCAGCGTTCTGCCGCCCTCTCCGGGAAGAAGGTGGAAGATGCCGATGATGGAACTGCCGCCGCGCAAAGACTGGAGACCGAGAGCAGCCGTGTCGCTCGCGAGCGGGAGGACAACGAGAAGATGGTCAAAGACGTGGAAGAAAGTGTGACGGAGTACTCGAGGTCACTGGAGCAAGGGCTCAAGGAGGGTGGGGAGAGCGCGCAAAATGAACATGAGAAGCGCAGGTGGGAGGAGGGATTGGGCGTTGAGGACGAGGTGAAGGACTTCATCTTTGACCTGCAAAGAAGTTCACGATCGGCGAGGATTAGAAACGAAGAGAAGGTGCAGCCCCCACAGCCTGCCAGCGTGGAGGTTACAAGCGGAGCGTCTACTCCGATCAGTAGGACTGACAGTCCTGCCTCGTCGCGAGCCGTCGCTCCCTCGACTACTCCTCAAACCTCGGGTTCGAGCTACTCGAGCTACAAAACTGCGGAAGAACGCGCGGCATTCATCAAGCAGCAGGCAGAGCAACGCATGGCAGAACGTCTGGCTGCGCTTGGCATTAAGGCGCCGGCCAAGGCAGGCGAGACTGCGGGACAACGCGCGGAACGTGAGCGCAAGGAGCGCGAAGACAAGCTCAAGCAGGCGGAGGAGGAAGATGCGAGAAGAGAAAAAGAGCGTCAAGCACGACTCCAGGGCGAAGGGATAGAGCCACCACCCGCAGCTGCCGGGATTGCCTCGCCTCCGCCAGGCAAAGCCAAACCGCCGCCTCCAGCCCCCAGGAAGGGCCGCAGCGAGAGTGTGACGAGCGAGCAAAGCCAAGTTGATGCGGAGAAGAAGCGAGCCGAGACTCAAATTAAGGAGCAGGCTCTCCGAGAGCAGCAGGAAGCCATGGCCAACGAGACCAAGGAGATGGAGTATGTTTCCCATCACTGTCCAATATCAGATGTGGTTGCTGACATGCATGATTACAGAGATGAAGGAGCTCGCCAAGAGCGCGACTTGCAAGCCCAGCGTGAAGAGCAGGAAGCCAATCTGCGTGCTCTTGAGGAGCAGGTCAGGGCTGGCAAGATCAAGAAGGCGGAAGGGAAGAGGCAGAGAGAGGCTGCCAAGAAGGAGGCGCAGGAGAAGGAGGCGAGGCTGGCTGCGCAGAAGGCGGAGATCGACGCGGCCAAGCAACGAGAAGCAGAGCTTCGACGACAGTTGGAGAGTCTGGATGATGATGACGACGACAGCGAGGATGAATCGGCGCCGCCGGTCGTCACAAGCGTGCAGCGAGATGTCACGTCCCCACCTGCGGTGCCAACGATGCCAGAGGTCACCAGCCCGCCAACAGATGCTGCACCGCCAGCCCCGCCACCTCCTCCGCCTATGCCAGAGGCCCGCAGTCCACCTCCCACCGATGCGGCGAGCCCGCCAGAACAGTCCAAGAACCCATTCTACCGCAGCATGTCTTCGGTTGGGACGACACCTGCAGTGGCAAGTCCCGCTGGCGAGAAGAAGGAGACCAACCCCTTCCACCGCATGACGAACCAAGAGGTCGCGAAACAACAAGAAGCAATTGCCAATCCTCCCTCGGCACCGTCTCGTACGCGCGGCAATGTCGACGCCGACGATGACGATTGGGACAAAGATAGCTCGGAGGATGAAGAGGAAGAAGACGATGGACCGCAGAGCGGCAGCGCAAAGCAACTGGCGTCGATCCTCTTCGGCACAATGGCGCCACCTAAGCCGTTGTCAGGAGCCGACAGTCCTGCCTCGCGAGGGCCAGGCTCGCCCTTTACGCCCGTAGCAGCCTCGACCGCTTCTCCGCCTCCTACATCCGCTGGTCTCGGATCACCTCCTCCTCCGCCTCCGCCACCGCCCATGCCCGGCTCAGGCGCTCCAGCTGCTCCTCCTCCTCCACCTCCGCCTCCTCCACCCGGAAGTGATGCAGCCCCCCCTGCTCCTCCTCCTCCGCCACCTCCATCAGGAGGAGCGGCGGTGGGTGGAGGTGTGCCGGATCGCAGCGGCTTGCTCGGAGAAATCCAGGCTGGCAGGGGTCTGAGGAAGACACAGACGAAGGATCGGAGTCAGGCTTCTACGGCCGGAAGGGTGCTGTAAAGATGCCTTGTACCGTAGTTATCAGCGCCCTTGGCTTGGCACTTTCGTTTTTCCCGGCTGGTGGGTCAATATACGGAGTGCTGAGAGGTTGAATTTTAATCACGCATAAGCACTGTTCATATTGCAGAGTAACGAGTGACCCCCCAAACCTGGAAGCGTGTGATCATTCCCTGCTCGTGTCGCACCGCCAAGCACCAACCAAATCTTGGCCATGCTTGTCGTCTTCGAGTGTTTCGAGCATCTTACGCCCGTAAAGTGACATTGGCCGCGCTCGCTTAGGATTACGCACGACTCCGCGGCCGGAAACGTCGCGTGGATTTCCGGCCGCGAGACGTTACGGACGAGTACCGGCCTGCCGCACGGCTGCCGCCTCGCTAACTTACTCGGGGAAGCGTCCGCGAGCCTGACCCCGGGCGCGAACAGCAAGTTTTGCCGATGTGGGTGTACTTTTTAAGTATCCCTTACCCACATACGCAATCGACTCGATGAGAACACATGGATCGACGACCAACTCGAGGCTCCCTACTTCGATATGCCTGGAGTGACGCGGGAGAAAGAAATGCGAGTTGAGACGAGGGGGACATCAAGCGAGCACCCGACCGATGACCCTGTGGAGAGTTGTGAGAAGAAAGCCCTGCCGCCATCAACCGACGAGCCCGCCGCGCAGACTTCTCGCTATCGAGATGCACCGTTAACCGTACAAGTCACAGGCTGGCGCCAAAAGATCCTGCTCATCTCCGTCTTCATCGGCCTGTTTCTCAGCTTCCTCGACACTACCATCGTCTCCGTCGCTCTCCCCACCATCGCCGCCGAGTTCGACGAGTACGATCGATCGACATGGGTCATCACTGCCTACCTCCTCACCTACATGGCCTTTGCCATCATCATCACCCGGCTGAGCGACATTTTCGGGCGCAAAGCAATCGAAGTGACCAATTTCCTCCTTTTCATCGCCTTCTCGCTCGCTTGCGCTCTGAGCCAGTCGATGACGCAGTTAATCGTCTTTCGAGCCTTCCAGGGCATTGGAGGGAGCGGCCTCTTCTCCATGACGATTGTGATTGCAATGAATGCAGTCTCCCGCCAGAAGCAGAGTGCCGTTGGTGGAGCGATTGGGGGAGTGATGGTCACTTCAGGAGTTCTCGGGCCAGTGCTGTCCGGAGCAATCACACAGAGCCATCACGGTTCGACGTGGAGATGGATCTTCTATCTCAATCTCCCGGTGGGAGGAGTGGCCCTATTGCTGCTGTTGATGTCGTGGCCGAGCGATAAATCTCGCAAGTCACTCTCCATGGACACTCTCAAGACCGTGGACTTCTTCGGCTGTCTCCTGCTGCTGGCGGCATCGATACTTCTCATCTTTGCCCTGCAAGAGGGCGGTGCGGGCGTGTACGCCTGGAGCAGTGGTACCATTATCGCTTGCCTTGTCATCTCAACCATGGCGTTTCTGGCGTTCGTGCTGTGGCAGATCTGGCTGGCTTCCCACCCCGCTCTACCCGTCAAGCCCGTATTTCCTGTCAAGCTGATGGCGGAAAGGGTCATCGGTTCTACCATGCTGTAAGTCCAAATGGGAGCCTTGCTTCTGCGGAGCAATCGACTAACATTACTCCAGAGTGGCGCTGTTGATAGGTTTCGTCTTCTACATTGCCGTCGTGAGCCTGCCACAGCGCTTCCAAATCGTCGATGGCGACAGCCCCGTCACTGCCGGAGTCAAGCTATTGCCTTTGATGGCCTCGTCTGCTGTGGGGTCGCTGGTGACGGGCGGTATCAACAGCGGAAAGAACCGCACGCGGTACACGCTCGTCGTTGCTTCGGCGTTCCAGGTTCTCGGGTACGGACTGATGATCAGCTTGGGCAATACGCGTCCAACACCGACGCGGCAATTCGGATTCCAAGTCTTTCTCGGCCTCGGCTTTGGGATGGCTGTCACCACAGTGACGATAATAGGGCGCCAGAACGTCGAACTGAGGTGGACAGGTGAGTGCGGGTGGTGTCGTGTCGGTATTTCACGAACATGCTGACACGTTTCCAGCCGTGACCCAAGGAGCACTCACACAAATGAGATCGCTCGGGGGTAGTATTGGGCTCTCCGTCGGCGTCATCGTGTTCAACAATCGCATTCGAGGCTCGCGAGAATTGGCAGCGCAATTGACGCCAGACCAAGTGAGAGCCTTGACTAGGTCGCCGCTGGTGATATCGCAATTCTCCCCACAGGAGCAAGAAATGGTGGGCATGGTGTATGCCGAAGCATTCACGCAAGAAATGCGGGTGGCGACGTACCTCGCAGCGGCGTGTTTTGTCGTCAGCCTTGTCGCTTGGCAGCGAAACCCTCCGCAATCCTACGCGGTAGGTGTCGCAGAGCCTGGAGAAGGTAGTAGAACAGGCGACTCCAGAGGGCGTTTAGATCTTTGAGCCGCGGACGATGCTTGTCGTAGATAGACTCGGATACTCCACCCATCCAGTTTGCACAATATGTCATGTTCACGCGCAAATTGTGCATCTGGGGTGAACCGCGTGCCTCACGCAGCAGACTTGCCGGCCGTCAGACTCCTCAACTCCTCCTCCACCCCGCGGATCTCATCCTCCTTGCTCTTCTTGACCTCCAGACTTTCCAGCTTGAGCCATGACAAGTAAAGTAATTGATACGTGCACAGCGCAATAAGGAAGTTCTTCGCAATGGGCCGACCAAAGGTCTTGTAGAAGTTGGAATGCGCGCTGCTCGAGGGTTTGGTTGGCGCGGCTGGGGACTCGGAGGTGGAGTTCCAGCGGCGTTGCGTGGGTATGCTTCGTGCGGCACCGCGGACGATGTGTTTGACGCGCAACATTATGGAGGCACAGAGTCTGGGCGGATGAGTTGGTGGATTGATGAGTAGGGTGATTGAGCAAGGTCTATGGAGATCGAGGATGCTCATGCTGGAAAAATTGGATTACATAATCACACTCCGCCCTGGGTGGCTCGTGCCTACCTCCACCGCACCTCTTTGCATTGCAACGACATAGCGACATCAGTAGTCGACGATGAAGTAGGACATCAGGTGAAGTGCTGTTGTGCCTCAATCACTAGATAAGAAGCGCCTTCACCTCGGGCACTGCGATTGGGTGCATTCGAGCATCCCATCCGTCCCGGCAACGAAATATGGAGAGCGAGAGCTTGGATTGCCGAGGATGGACATGAGCGACGACCCTTCATCAATATACCTGTACTTTCAATGCATGTCAAGAACAAATTGCAACGTGGTTCATCCCTTGAATAGCAGCAAAATCAGCATCAAAAGAGGCCAAGACCCATCGACATTCGCACAGGACTAACAGCTGACCATCACGGCTACAAGCGCGATGGCCTCCGGACAACCATCCATCCCCACGCACATGAAAGCTCAACTCCTAGAAGCTTACAACACCCCATATGCCCTCAAAGAGATCCCCGTTCCCGCTCTGACGAGCCCGAATGACCTGCTCATCCGCCTCGACGCAGCAGGCTACTGCCACACCGACGCCGTGATAGCAGAAGGCGAATGGGCGAACGTTCCCCGTCAGTTCCCACACATTTCGGGGCACGAAATCGCCGGCACGATTGTTCGCAAAGCCTCACCCTCCTCCACCGCGGCTGACGAACTTCCCATTGGCACGAGGGTTGCTTCTCCCGGCCGCGGTTACAACCCCTGCGGCGAGTGTTTCGAGTGCCGCGATCCGGGCAACGATTACGAAGGATACTCGTTCTTTTGTCCCCGGTCTGTGAGCAATGGTAGCAGCAAGCATGGAGGATTTGCAGAGTACGTTGTCGTGGATGCGAGGCAGGTCGTGCCGCTTCCTGACGGACTGAGCGCGGTTGACGCCGCTCCTCTCATGTGCGCTGGAGTCACGATCTACAGCGCCTTGAAGCGTTGCAATTTATCCCCCGGCCAGCGAGTTGGTATCATTGGCTGTGGTGGTGGATTAGGTCATCTCGGCCTGCAATTTGCGGAAGCCATGGGACTGCGTGTGACGGGTGTTGATGCCGCTCCGGGTGCCCTTGAACTTGCAAAGTCGCTGGGAACCAAGGCTCACATCGTTGATGCGAGGGCCACACCTGCTGAAGACTTGGTGCGCCATATCGGAAAAGAAGATGGCAAGACCGACCGAGCCGACTTTGGTCTCGACGCAGTTCTCATCCTCCCTGACACCCAGAAAAGTTTCGACTATGGCACCACGCTCCTTCGCAACCACGGCTTGTGCATTGTCGTTAGCTTCCTCGAGAGAGGCTTCCAGGTGTCTGCGAGCGACTTGGTGTTCAGAGACCTCACCATCCGTGGAACGATGCTGGGCACTCATGAGACCCTTCACGAGACGGTCGAGTTTGCTGCAAAGCACAACATAAAATCCGTCAAGCAGACCTTCGCTTTGAACAAACTGGGAGACCTAGTCGATCGGTACCGTGCTGGCGGAGGTGGAAAACTGGTACTTGACATGTCGCTGTAAGGGTGGTTCTGTCAAGCTCGTTCAGGGAAAGGGGTCGTAGGGCATTGATCCATAGCAAACGCCATCGACGTCGAGTGCATCCACCCGCTGGACGGGCTTCACCTTTGCCCCGAAGCGTAAGAGATCTCCGTGACCCAAAGCAAGGATGTTTTCCTCCGGCCAGCCAGCGATATGATGAGGGTCTTGAAGGAATGACAGGAGAAAGTCCTGCATCTTAATGCTGGTTTCAGTTTCCATTGGCAGGACTGAATCCCCCGTGCCGACGTCGTAAGTTCCAAACAGCATCGGCAGATCGCTGGAGTGATAAGCTCCCATCCAGGAGAGGGGGTTTTGGTTTGGCCACACGCCCGCGTATTGGTAGCGATAGGTGGTCAGGTTGATGCCATGTCTCAGTCTACTGGACTCCGCGGCGCCACACAAAATACGCTGAGTAATGGTGTTGACAGTCTCTTGGTCCGGCGCACTTTCGGGATGCTGCGCGTTGTACGAGGCGAGGACGGCGCCATCGTTCGCCGCACTGGAATAGATCATCGGAACTTGAGAGACCTTCCCTTCCGCATAGCGTTCCTTGTAATCCGAGAAGACAGTGCGCTGATCCGTCACGGGCCCGAACCTCAGTCGTTGATCTCCGTGGTAGAGGCCGATGAAGTCGACAATGTCTCGGAAGGCTGGCTCTTGCATGCAGGTGAGCTCCTCCACCGGTTCATCTTCGAATTCGCAGCCGAATTTCTTCGCCACAAAGGTGAATTTGGAGTGATCGGAAGCATGGCCGGATCCAAAAGCCAAGCAGCTGCCGGACTGAGAGAAGAAAGAACGGGCAATGGGATTTTCATAGTAGGCGTAGTTGTGGAAATCGACGGCTTGTGCTCCGGCGGAGAATCCCCAGACCATGATTTTGGTTGCATCTCCGCCGAAGCTGTTGATGTTGTCTTTGACCCATTCGAGAGCAAGACGCTGGTCCAAAAGACCAAGGTTCTGTTCTTTTGCACCAGCGGCATCCGGAAAGCCGAGGACTGCACGGTCGTTTAGCTTACTGCGATATGGGAGGCACTATGAACGACTTACTGCCGAGTCTATAGTTGATCGTGACAACGACATGAGACTGCGAGCGAGACACCCACTGCGCGGGTTGATGTGCAGGGACCAGAATGCCATTCGTCTGGAAACCGCCGCCAGGCCAGAACATAGCAACCGGCAGCTTCGAGTTCTCGGTCGCATTCGCTGGCGTCCAAATGGCCATGCTTAGACAATCTTCGCCACTCAGAGCAGCAGTCTCGCCCTTTTCCGACGCTTCGTGCGGAATGCGATACCACGGGATCTGCTCCGACCAGACGGAGGGTAGGGCAGAGACGAATTGAGGACACACTCGGCCGTACGCCGTTGCGTCGTGATGGTCGTCGGACTTGGAGACGGGCACGGGTGGCATGAAGCGGTTCTTGCCTGCGGTCGATTCGGCGTAGGGGACGTTGAGGAATTCGCGCACATCTGGGAAGTTTGGGTCGAATTTGCCTGTATAGTATCCGGTCGAGGCTCGGACGATGTTGCTCGCCGGTTGATCGGGCTGCACTGGCGGCTTTGGCGGCACTGGCGGTATTGGACGATGAGTCGGCTGCGGCCAAACTGCAGGGTCTGAATGCGCTGGCGGCTCATGTGGTGTCTCAAACTCGACTTGACCATGAGTGTCCGGGGAATGGACGTTCCTGATGCTCGGTTGCGAAAAGGAGAGCAGGAAGAAGATGATGAACATGAACGGGATGATGGCGGAGATGGTGATGCAAAACGTCTGCCTTCTGCGGCCGCCTCCAGGGATGATGCAGCGCCATCGCGATGCCATCTCGCGGATTGATCTGGCGAGCAGGTTGATGTTGTTCAATCCATGGACCGGGCGACGTCAACTCATCATCAGGCAGGAGGTACTTCGCATAGAGCTCTCCCTGCACGGGCCATGTGATTGGGTGCTCGCGAAGCGCCGAACGTCCATCACATGCTGTCAGACTCGAGACGATGCGATGTTGAATATAAGGATCGAATTAATAACTAGTTGATCTTTGGAATATGAACCTGGAGGATATCAAACATAGAAATCAAGCCTTGATAACAGACAGCAAATCAACTCCGACCCAAAACGCCGCGCTGCTTTGAAGCATCTCTACTCGTCCAAATGAGCGCTGTGAGAACAAAGCATTACTCGGAAGCTTCAAACTGCTTTCCGCCATCCCACAGTCCGCCGTGTGGTACACACAGCCCAAGCCGCCAGAAGTAGTCCCTGTGGGCAAAGAACAGCTGCCATAGCTTGTACCGCGAGGGAATACCCCATGGCTCATGCCGAACGTCGTGCAGCTCATCCTCCACCGAGGCCATCAGATCGCGCTTCCGATCGCGAGCGCCGTGTGCATCACCGGCGGTGGTGGAGTCCTGTCCAGCGATACACCTCTGATCATTGTCTCCGTCGCAAAGCTCGAGGTCGCCGATATCCGGCGACAGAGCGGATTTGGTGATGAAGATTTCCCCGGCGTGCATGGCATAGCCCCATTCGCTCAGGGGAAGGAGAGGGACGGGGTCGTCGACATGTGTGACACGACGGTATTTTCTCATCAAGTCGTTGGCGTCATGGTCGTCATGAAGCCCGAACTGCTGGTCCAGAAATTTGGCCAGGGCAGCGTTGCCGGTACGTGGTTCACCAAAGGTTGTAATGACCGGGTCATGGCCTCGTGCGAGCAGATCGAGCCCAGCTAGGGCGGCGACCGCTCCGCCGAGGCTGTGGCCGACAAGGTGGAGTTGGTAGTCGGGATATAGGCTGGACTCTGTGCGGAGAATGGGCATGATGCGGTCGCGAGTGTGGCTCCAGGCGGAGTTGAAGCCCATATGCACGGTACAGTTATCACATTTGCGCTGCGGTACGTCCCGCTCGGACTGCTGATCGTCGCCATCGCCAGATCCGGGATAGGGTTCATATTCTTGTGGAATAGTGCTTAGATCCACCACGGTGTTGGCAATGCTGTACGTGCCTCGGAAGGCGACGATCAGGCGTCGCTTGTCATGGTCGAGAGCGATGTAGCCACAGCTGTCGCTGAGCAAGCGTCCCGTCTCCCAAGCGTCGACGAGTTCGAAGTGGGGGAACTCGGCGCATCGCGAGAGGCATTTGAAGGGCTTCTGGATGCCGTTCAACGAGCCTCCCACGCAATACGAGATGTCGACGATGCGCGCCAGCTCCTCCAGCTCGGCGAAGAGGGCGGGTGAGACGGAGCGGTGGGGGTGAGCTTGGGCGAGGAGTGGCTCTTGCAGCGACTTGGCGCCATGGCTGCCGAGGAGAGCGCAGTTGGCGAGTGTCGAGGTGTAGGCAGCGAGGCCTAGGAAGGCAAGGCGAGCGTACATCTCTTCAGTGGCCGGCCCCTCCTGCCCTCACACGGTTAGGGTTTGGGCGCTCCCTAACCGGAAGGGCAAGCAGACGTTGTAGTGAAGAGGTGGTAGAGTGACGGCAATGTGCGATCAGGTGAGTGGATCATGCGGTCGACGACGACGTGCAGACGGGCGGGGAGAGTTTAAAAAGCAGTACCGAATGCGGACTGGGGCGGGTGATGTAATACCAACAATGCAATTGATCAGCGGGCTGGGCTGGGCACAATCGAAGCTGTCGGTGGCGGCGGCAAGCGTCGCGTCGTCTTGGCTCCAAACCTTCATGAGAATAGACGGGAAGGGAAGTTGGCCTTGCGCGGTGGAGCCAGTTGCCTCATCTCGACGCAAGCCAGCGACGCGCAGAGAAATAACGTGCATATCGCGATTGCATGTTTGTTCTTTTCCACCAACCCATTGCCACCCACCTCCCTCCCTCTCTCCCTCATTCTTCCCACCCGCTCATCAGAATTACTCATCCATCTCATCACTCCCGCATTGATCCCATCCTGCATTGCAATTGCTGTCCATCCGCCCGCTCCGCACGCTTCCGGACCAAACCCCCCCGACGCCACAGGCTTGCGCCAGCTGGTGTTGGCCCCTCCCCTACTTCCTCCCCTTCGCACACCCTCGCTCCGCAGCCGCTTCAACACACACGATGGAGGGCGACCCGCGAGACCACGACTTCGACCAGCGCCTCGATGGCCCGCATCAGGAGCCCACCCGACCCTCCGAATCCCACCCCTTCCCTCCCACCGACCCCGACACGCTCGAGAATAAAAAGGGCCGCGCGCAGACCGTCGACTTCGGGGCATTGGGTCAGCCTGGCAGCGACACCTCCGCCCCGCATCGAACTACTTCCAACCCCAATGTCGCCTCACCCCCGCGACACAGCATCCAAGCCATCCGCACCCGGGCCAGTCGCGATATGGGCCGTCGCTCCAGCCGCGACTTTGATCGCAGAGTCGATGGCCCATTCGGCCGGCCGTCTCTGACAATGACAAGGAGAAGGAGCGACGGACATCAGCTGCCCCCCACGCCGACCTTTGTATCCTCACCAGTCGCACTTACGAGCGAAGAGAGCAAGGAGCTGAACACAGTGGCCACCGGAGACCAACCACCCCCTGCGAGCATAGAAACGCTGCAATCTTCCACCGATCCCGCCTTTGAGCCCGAGCCGCCATCCCTCAACTACACCCTCCGCACCCGCTACCGAAGCATCGCCTTCTTCTGGTCTCTCGTCGTCATCGACAGCACCGCAATGCCCCTCGGTCTCTACTACGGCCTCCACTACGGCACCAGCTTGTCTCCAAACACCGTCTTTTCCATCGTCACCGCTGCCATCGGAGGCATAAGCATCGTCGAATACTGTGTGCGATTCTGGCGGCTGTGGAAGCACTCCAGCACTTGCCGGGTGATTGGCGCTAGGAGAGCCTATCTGGACTGGTTTCACTGGAATCTGTCGGTTGGCTGGTTCATTGTCATGATTGAGCTCATTGTGTATGTCTGCCTCCTCTCAACCTCCTCCACAGCCCCCTTTGGTATTTGCTAACAATGCTCGCTCACAGCGGTACTGTCTTTACACACCCTCCCATCCGCCTGCTCTCTATGCCCTTGACATCAATGCTGTACGCCTTCGGCATCGAGTTGCTCATCGTCGACGTCCTCCGCTACTTCCATGTCCCGGCACCAGTCCGCCTGTCCTCCATTCCCAAAGGAGCACAGCTGCGGCCGTGCGTGTACAGCTTCATCGAGGACGTGTGCGCGGTCGATGGCAGTGGCGGCACCGAGTTCCGCGAGGCGCTCAACCGACGCTACGAAGCCAGCCACATCTTCCGCGCCATGTTGCGTCGCCTCGGCCTCTTTTGGGCCGTGGGGTCGAATGCGACCGCCGTGTTGTGCACCATTCTCATCTTCACCCTGGACAATCATGACGCGGTGTATGCAATTGGCTGGTCTGTGCCGTTCATCTGGGCCGGCATCTGGGTGCTGATCACCATTTGGTACGTGAAGAAGAAGTTGAGGGAGGAGAGCAAGGCTTGGACGGAGGAGGTCAATGCCACCAAGGCCGCGGTTTAAATGCGTGGGAGAGTCTGTACTTTCTTTTGTCGGGTTGGACGATGAAGATCCGCCGACCTTTTAACGATTGCATGCGGACAGTGATTTGTAGCGTTGGTTATACACAAGCGTTGGCTATACGCATGACATGGCGTTGTTGGGGCCTCTTTCAAAGGCTCAATACAAGATTGTGTGCACCTTCGACTCCATCTCTCTCGCCCTTCGCTCTACGTATAGCGTACCAAGCCTTCCTCTTCATTCATCATCTATAATTAGCAGCCAGTGTGGTCTGCTTGCCAGATGTGATTTGTCCACCGCCTTGCCCACAACGAAATGTGGCATTTATCCCATTCCCTGCCGCCAATTTTCTCGACTCTACAATCGGCTCGTCTTACCGCCTCCAATATAGCTCTGCTGGCTGCGCAGGATCTCCACACACTCCGACACCATCTCGTCCATAATGGCCTTTGCCGGCTTGATCTCTCCAATAGTCGCCGCCACCTGGCCCATCAAAAAGGGAATGTCGACCTCCTTCTCCTCGTCCATGTCTTTCTGCAGCGGGACAATGCCACTGTCGCACAGCTTGCGCACTTCGTCCGGCCGATCCACCTCCCAGGACTTGATGTAGTCGTTCATCCGCACTCGCAGCGGGCGGCCGGAGACGACGAGCGTGCGGAGGGTGTCTTCGAATGATGCGGAGCATACTGCCTCTTTGTGCATTTGGCTGCAGCCTGCTTCTTCCGAGGCGACGAATCGCGTCCCTACCCAGACTCCGGCGGAGCCGTAGGAAAGCATGGCAGCGAGGGACCTCCCCGTCGAGACACCACCCGCCGCCACAACCAATGCCGTCTTGCCTGTCAACGGACTCTTGTACTGCCGCGCAACGTCCACCACGGCCGGGATGAGGATGCTAGTGGCAATGTCTCCTGTGTGTCCGCCACCTTCTCCACCTTGTGCGCAGACGATATCGACGCCGGCTTGGAATGCCTTGTGAGCATGTTTCGGGTGGCCGACCATGTTCATCACCAGAATGCCAGCTTCGTGTAATCTCTCAATCACGTGTTTCGGCGGCACACCGACCGCGCTGACAAACAGACTCGCCTTCTCCTCGATCGTGACGGTGATAAGATCATCGAGTTGGCCATGAGTGTAGTCATGATTAGTCTTGCGCGCGCTCCCACCGACTTGAGGGAGGGCGAGATCGACGCCGAATTTGAAGCTGGGGTCGGCGAGGTTGGCCTTGATCTCGTGGATGATGGCACGCAGTTGGTCCGGGGTGTAGCCCAGGCCTCCAATGACGCCCAGGCCGCCGGCGTTGGAGACGGCGGCGGCGAGGGCGCCGGAGGAGGTGCGAGCCATGCCTGCTAGCAGGATGGGGTACTCGATCCCGAGCAGGTCGCAGAGGGGCGTCTTCAATACTGGGCGAGGAGGCATTTTGGATGGTGGGAGATGAAGGAAAGACGAAAGATGAATCGGCTCGAGGATGAGCTACATATGAATTATCCCATTGATCTGTTCCGAGCCTCGGCACGATCAACCTCAGCCCGGTGCAGTTGTGCACGGAAGCCACAGGGTCCGCGATTGCGGGGAAAGGCTGGATGGTGGAGGGAGATGGTGGACTGCCCCATCCAAGGATGCAAGGACAGACATCTCCAGCCCTCCAGCCAGCAAAGGCTTCGGAGAGCACGGCTTCTGCAAAATTGCCGTGCTACAGCGCAGTGGAAGAAAGGAAGACCGATGATTTGCCGAGTCCTCGTCCGAAGGCGCAACGTGAAGGCCACGAGCGCGTGTGTGGGGATGTGGTGGGGCGTGACCACACCTCTCCACACATCCCCGACTGCCACCCTCGCCGAAAGTGCTTTTCGTTGCTGACGTCCGAGGGGATGTGATAAATAGAGAATCCGCCCGCAAATACCTCGAGGTCTCCTTGTATGTCACATCCGCTGAGACGCAGGATCCATTGATCGACGGGCTATCCTCCAGCACGCGACAGACTCGGGACATCCCCTCACATTGTACATCACACCCAGCATGGCCGTCAAAGACGTTCTCGACTTGCACATATGTGTCATTGGAGCAGGTCAGTCGCCTCGTATTTATCTCCACCAGACTCGACCTGACAGACATTCATCACAGGCATGGGTGGCCTAGCCACTGCCCTCGCTTTGGCCAAGCAAGGCTTCCGACATATCGAGGTGTATGAATACGCTTCCAATCTCGGCTTCGTTGGCGCCGGTATCCAGCTGGCGCCGAATATGGCGCGCATTCTCGACCGACTGGGCGTGTGGAAGGAGATTGAGCGGGAAGCAGTGGACCTCAAGGACACTAGCATACGACGTAAGCACCCACGCTTCGAGATCTCATATCTTATACTAACATCGTTCAGAGGGCTCAACGGACGAGGAGTTAAGCCACGTCGACCTCGTCTACATTCGTGAGAAATACCACTATCCCCACATGGTCGGCCACCGTCACTCCCTAGCCAATGGGTTGTACAACGGCTGCAAACGCGAAAAAGCGATCAAGTTCATCTTCTCAACCGGAGCAAGCGACGTGAAGTCCTACGGCCCTCGACCCTCCTTCACCGCCGTTCCGCGCGATGGCCAACCATACCCGGTCGAATGCGACATCCTCCTCGCAGCCGACGGCATCAAGTCCACCATCCGCGATCAAATGCTGCAAGCCAACAACATCGACGCCAAGATCGTCAACACCGGCACCGCGGCGTACAGAATCATGCTCACCCGCGATCAAATGAAGCACGACCCGGAACTCCTCGAGCTCATCGACGGCGAATGCGTGACGCGCTGGATTGGGCCCAAACGCCACATCATCGCCTACCCCGTTTCCAACAACACGATCTACAACCTCAGCACCGCCCAGCCGGATGTCAACTTCGCCGACGCCCCGTCTGCCACATACACGACAAAGGGCAGCAAGCCGGAGATGATGAAGGTCTACGAGGATTTCTGCCCCAAGGTCAAACGCATGCTCGATTTGGTGCCGGATGGCGAGGTGTGCGAGTGGAAGCTGCGAGTCCACGAGCCCCTGCAATTCTGGGTGCACGAGCAGACGGCGTTGGTTGGTGATGCGTGCCATCCTACTCTGCCGCATATGGCGCAAGGAGCCGCACAGGCGATTGAAGACGGCGGCGTGCTGGGTGTCGTACTGTCACGGCTGCCGGACGCGTCTCCCGGATCAATCAACAAGGCCTTACGAGTGTACCAGGAAGTTCGGATGGACCGGGCATATCAGCTCGTCGAGCTGGCGGCGGAGAATGGACGACAGATGCATCTGGGCGAGGGCGAGGCGAAGAAGGCTCGCGACAAGGAGTTTGCGGAGTTCCGACGGACCGGCAAAGGAGCGGTGCCGGACAAGTGGGCGGATGCGGATATTCAAAGGCAGATTTACGGCCAGGACGTGATGAAGATTGCGGAGGAGGAGTTTGAAAGGCTCTTCACCTCGCTGTAGTTGACTTGAATTACACTTCGGAGTCTGTTGATTTGGATTTTGGCATGCGACTGCAGCGTTGCTGGTGGGCTTGGGCTGGTGGGACATATCTTCTACTTCATACAGTGGATTTGAATTTCACGCCGATCTCCCCCTTTTCAATCCGCGTGACAAATCCATTCACCCGTCGCACGAGATCTTGAATGATTGCAGCTGGCTGCCCGTTCAGATTATGGCTGGCTCCCTCGACAATACCCGAGTTGATCGCATCCACGCTTCCACCATGCTTCTCGGTAGTGTGCAGCCAACGCTGGACTAGCTTGCGGGCATCCACAAAATCTGCCACAGTCTCATCGCTTCCGCTATAGAGGATGAGCAGGGGTGTGCTGGGGGGCAGTCTCCCAAACGTCAATGCCAGCCGCTCATCCGACAGGTCTTGGGAGAAATAGTCGTCGGCACCATCGCGATTCGGAGCGGGCGAGGCAATGTCTACCCAGCGCTTCGCAGTGATGGCAAGATCACCCATGGATTGCGTGAGTCTATGGGGCATGAAGTCCTTGCCCTGGCCTTCTCTGCACATCTTCAAGGCAAGCTGGTTCGCCTCGTTCATGAAAGCTTGCGGCAAGTCCTTCTCCAAGCCTTCGCGATCCGACACCGGTGCTTGTAGGATGATCCCATCGACAGGAGGCCTCGTCTCTGCTCTCTGGCCGACAACATACTCCATGCAGTCTTGGCAGCCGGTCGAATGGCCCATGATGACCACGCGGCCGGTGGGTCGCAGCTGTTTGACGTAGGCCACGATCTTCCCCATGTCTTCCGCGTCTCGCGCGATACTACTCGTGCCCCAACTTAGACCGGCGGAAGTCAACGAGGCCACCATTACGCTCCATGTTGGGCCGAGAGCCTGGGCAATGCTCTGAGGGTATGAGGTGGCGAGGTGGGTGCCATACATGCCGTCGATCCATATGAGAGTATTTGCAGTTTGCGGGGGGCTCACAAGTGGCTTGGACGGTTCGAAAACGCTTAGATTCGGGGGGATAAAGTGCAGGATGCCCGGGTGGGCACTTGGCGGCGGTGCTGTGAAGTCCATGGCTTCTTGGGCGTATTGTTGACAGGGGATATGAGGAGCGAAGAGCTCCTGTGCAATTCCACGCCGCTTATGAGAGGTTTAAGTGCTCAGCTGCCGATTGAGCAAGACCGGACCGCAGTAACGTATAATAAGACAATGGTTGCGCAGCCCTCGACGCGGCTGGGAGTTGGACGGCTCCAGATGATGTTGGCGTTGGTCCAGAGTTCCAGCTGACCGGTTGGCAAGAAGTAGTTGGAACCAGCCTGACAGTCGGAAAAGGGCTATCCGTGGATTTGTATCGAATACTGGAGTGATACCGACGCTCTAGTTGAAGACACCGAATGCCGGAGGGTTTCAGCGAAGGCAGACGGCCCCACTTTTCTTGACACCTTGACACCTTGCACGTGCACGTTGCCTGCCGGGCGTCACTACACCCAATGCTGTCGCGCTTCAATCCTGTCGCAAAGCATCTCCCTCGACCCCACGACTCCCTCCATCACCCTTTGTTGGACCACGCCGCCTCCGTCCCTCACACAACGAGAAGAGCAGACTCGAGCACGCATGGGACCCCACCGATCACATCAAACGCCACGCTAAGCGAAGGGGCCGGCCATGTCTAGTTATGCACCTCCAAGTCAAAATGGTTGGCCCACCCAGCGACATTTCGACGCCCAACCCGGCCCATCCTCACACTCGACTCTTCCCGGCCATTCGCGCGGCAACGGTAGCATCGGGGCCAAGGTATCGGGCCTCTTCGCCCCCGATCGAAGTCAAGAGTTGCCGATGTACAAGGACAAACCCACGTCGTATTGGGCGAAGACGGGGGGCCCGAGAGCGAGAGCGCCATGGATGCTGCAACGAAGAACAGTCGCGGTGGCGTTGACCACGCTGGCACTCCTCAGCTGGTGGTTTGGCATCCTCTCACCCTTGCACTGGTTTGCGGGCGATGGCAGAAAACCCCCATCCGCCAAAACGTGGGCTGCAAGGGCGGAGCAGGTGCGCGACACGTTCAAAATATCCTTTGCGGGCTACGAAGCGAATGCTTGGGGGTTTGACGAGTACCATCCCGTCAGCAAGTCGGGGCGACAGATGACGCAGACCGGCCTGGGATGGATCATCGTCGACGCCCTGGACACGATGATGTTGATGAACCTCACCACCGAGGTGGCGCATGCACGTCAGTGGATCCACGACCATCTCGATTACGACCAAGATCACGATGTGAATACGTTTGAGAGCACCATCCGTATGCTCGGCGGCCTGCTGTCCGCTCATTACTTGACCACCGAGTTCAAAGGTCTCTACGCGCCCGTCCACGATGGGCTCAGCGATGACATGTACATTGAAAAGGCGACCGATCTCGCCGATCGCCTTCTGGGTGCTTACACCTCCAATTCCGGTGTGCCCTATGCCAGCGTCAACCTGCACACTCGACAAGGCATCCCCTCGCACACCGATGGCGGCGCCTCTTCCACTGCCGAGGCCACTTCCGTCCAGCTGGAGATGAAATACTTGGCCAAATTGACGGGCGAGGATCTCTTTTGGGAGAAATCCGAGGCCGTCATGAAAGTCATCGACGACAACAACCCACAAGCAGGTCTTGTCCCGATATTCATCAGTGCCGATCGGGGCACATTCGTGGGCGATAATGTGCGACTCGGCAGCCGGGGCGACAGCTATTACGAATACCTCATCAAGCAATACTTCCAGACTTCCAAGGAAGAGCCGGTGTATCAAGCCATGTGGAATGATTCCCTGGCCGGCATCAAAGACCACCTCATCACGTACAGCTACCCCTCCAACTTTACCCTAATCGCTGAACGGCCGTCAGGCTTGGGTGGGGGCCCCTCGGCGAAGATGGACCACTTGGTCTGCTTCATGCCCGGAACCCTTGCCCTCGCCACGACCGGCGGCCTGACCCTCGCAGAAGCTCGTAAGCAGCCGACGTGGACTCAGCAACAGGAAGACGACATGAGGCTAGCAGAAGAGCTGACAAACACCTGCTGGGGCATGTACATGGCTACGGACACCGGGCTGGCCGGCGAAATTACCCACTTTCACCTCCACAGTCCCCCACTCATGTACAACGACTTCAACGCCAGACCCGAGCTGCGACCCCATTGTCCGCCCGACTTTGACAAAATCTACCCCGGCCACGACTTTGCTGGGCGTGACGACTACATCATCAAAGGCATGGACGCGCACAACCTGCAGCGGCCCGAGACGGTGGAGAGCCTGTTCTACATGTGGCGCATCACTGGCGACCAGAAGTATCGCGAGTGGGGATGGAAGATGTTCCAGAATTTCGTGCGGTGGACGGATGTCGGGGATGGATCGGGGTATTCCAGCCTGAACAGCGTGCTGCAGAAGCCGCCGACTTTCCGGGATAATATGGAGAGTTTCTGGCTGGTGAGTTCTTTCGCCGACCGTGACCACATTCATGGACTAATGTGAATGTGCAGGCCGAAACGCTGAAATACTTCTACCTCCTCTTCTCCTCCAACGACATCCTCCCCCTCACCGACGTCGTCTTCAACACCGAAGCGCATCCCTTTCCGCGATTCCACCTGGGCAAGCTCTTCAAGACGGGCTGGCAGCGGAAGGCGCGCGACTCCAATGGGAACTTCATCCCAGAAGCACAGCAGGGAGCGACGGAGGTTACCACAGTCACGCAGACGCTGGAAAAGGAGCCGGGCGTGACGGCGACGACGACGGTCGAAATCGCGGGGTTGGCGACTCCGCCAGCAGTTTAACGGCCTGCCCTTGTTGGCATTTGATACCCAGTGCGCGTCGAGTGACGGCCGGTATGTTATACCATGTACATCTAGTTCGTTCCGCGAATGTTGTCGTTGCATTTAGCAGGTTGGTAGTGCGATTATCGCTTGACGTTATCATCAGCTAGTTCGATCATGGCCCCCAGCGCTTAGTTATCTGTGACCAATCTTCAGTAGGGATCATAAGAGCTGCTCTGGAGAGATGTATATTTGACGTAGTGCATATAACAAAAGGCGTCGGTTGTGAGAGTCAGCGCGGTAGGGACACAAGGACTGCGCGGGCGTCTATCGGCGGGCTCCGATGTCCAGCCAACCACACCTCACTCTTCGTCCTATCTATCTTCCACTCTCTCCCCCATGCACACAATGTTTCTTTCTCTATCGCAATGGCCGGCCTGAATGGAGCAGCCCCACTGTTGGATCTGACTGATATGCTGCCTTCGCAATCCTTCACATGACAACCTAAACATCTTGTCCCATCATGGCCGGGTCAAATCTACCCTCCGACCCCGAAGGCTACGATGCCTATATCTCGCAGATGCGCACGACCGAGTACCCGATGCTCCAGGACTCCATCTATCTCGACCATGCAGGCACCACACTCTACAACAAGACGCTGCTCCAGCGTTTCCACGACGACATGCTGGCCGGCCTGTATGGAAATCCGCATTCCTCCTCGCCATCGAGTCAGCGCTCGACGCAGCTAGTCGAGAATGTGAGACTCGAAGTGTTGCGCATGTTTAATGCGGACCCGGAGCTGTTCGACGTCGTCTTTACGGCGAATGCGACTGCTGCAATCAAATTGGTGGGGGAGGCTTTCCGGGAATGGGGTTTTGACTATGCGTATCATGTTGATTCGCATACGAGCTTGGTTGGCCTGAGGGAGCTGGCCGAGGAGCATGTGTGTTTGGAGACAGATGAGCAAGTACGCGCATGGCTGAAGGAGCGCCAGAGTGTCAGCAACTCGATGCGATTGCCGCTCTTCGCCTACCCCTTGCAGTCCAACATGAACGGCCGACGTCTACCACTGCAATGGTGCCGCCAAAGCAACACTCCGAACAGAGTCTACACTTTGGCGGACGCTGCAGCCCTCGTCTCAACGTCTCCACTCGATCTCAGCGACGCTGCCCTGGCACCCGACTTCTCCGTCTTCAGCTTCTACAAGATCTTTGGCTTCCCGGACCTCGGCGCGCTCATTGTCAAAAAGAGCGCGGCACACATCTTCTCCCGGAAAAAGTACTTCGGGGGCGGGACTGTCGACATGGTGATATGTCTCAAGGAAGAATGGCATGCGACGAAACATGGGCCCCTGCACCAGCAACTCGAGGATGGCACTCTGCCCATCCATAGCATCATGGCTCTCAAGAGTGCCTTGCAAACTCACCAAGAGCTTTTTGGGACCCTCCATCGCATTTCGGAGCACACTACTCGATTAGCCAAATCGTTGTACGACGGCCTTGCATCACTCCGGCATGCCAACGGCCGGCTTGTCTGCGACATGTACAGACACTCAAGCAGCACCTACGGCGATGGCGAAAGCCAAGGCCCAATTGTGGCGTTCAACATACTGGACGGGCAGGGAGATTGGGTTAGCAACGCCGAGGTGGAGAAGCTGACGGCCATCCAAAAAATACATATCAGGACGGGAGGAGTATGTAATCCTGGCGGAACTGCAACAGCTTTGCATCTCGCGCCGTGGGAGATGCGGCAGAATCTCTCGTCCGGCCATCGATGCGGCAGCGAGAACGACATCCTCAACGGCAAGCCTACCGGCATTATCAGGGTCAGCCTCGGAGCTATGAGTACGTCCAGCGACATCCAGCGATTTCTTGCATTCATGAACGAATTCTTCGTGGACGGGAGCATAGAGGAGCCGGCAGTCGACTCGCCTCTTCTGGAATCTACGAACCCCCGCTTTCACGTGGAGAGCTTGACCGTCTACCCCATCAAGAGTTGTGGTGGATGGCAAGTACCACACGGGCAGGCCTGGCAAGTGCGTCTGGAAGGCCTTGCTTGGGATCGAGAATGGTGTATTGTACATCAAGGTACAGGAAAAGCTTTGAGTCAAAAGCAGCACCCGCGGATGGCTCTGCTACGCCCAGTGCTCAACCTGAAAGATGGTTCATTGCGCGTGAGCACCGTCGACGGTTCAAACAGCGTGAGTGTGTCGCTGTCAAGAGATCCAGACTTGTACGTGACGGACGTTAAGAGCGCCGGGGCGACCATCTGCGGCGACGGAATCCAGGCGCTCGTCTACAACTCTCCCACCATCGCCGCCTTCTTCACCGACGCCATCGGCACTCCATGCACTCTCGCTCGCTTCAACCCTGCTTCGGACGTAAGCAGACACAGCAAAGCACATTTGCAACCGTCCAGAGATCACGAGAAGCTCGACAAGATCCCCCGACCCATTCTATTCAGCAACGAGTCACCAATCCTCACGATTTCGAGGTCTTCTCTCAGCCGGCTGAACGAGCAGATCAAAGCCAAAGGAGGTAAAGCAGCTTCACCGTCCGTGTTCCGCGCAAACATTGTCGTAGCAGAAGACCCATGGCTTGCTCCCGGACAGGAACAGCCTTGGGCAGAAGACTGGTGGCGGGGGATGCGGATCGGAGCGACGCAGTTTGATTTTCTTGGTGGGTGTAGACGATGTCAGATGCTTTGTGTGGACCAGGAGAGCGCGGCGCGGAATTCCGAGCCCTTTGTCACGTTGGCAAAGACCCGGCGGTTTGGTGGGAGGGTGCTGTTTGGTGTGCACACGGCCCTGGTGGCTGGGAGCAGGGCATGTGCGAGTATCAGCGCGGGAGACGTGGTTGAGACGTTGCAATGAGCGACTCTGCAGCCGAAAGTTACCATCTCATACATCGAGTGATTGTTGAAGATCACAGAGCCTCTCACGTATCGAGGGTGAATGCATCGTGGTCGGTCCAAACTGCCTCGTCGCCTGTCAACCCCCACATATATCAGCGGAGACGCCCGAAACTCTAATTGTCCCTGCCAACCTCCCACTCTCGACCACAGACACTGCCATTGCGCAACAACTTTGTGTCCTTCCACCGAACGACTTACCACAACTCCCCAACGTAAGGACGGCATCGCTTGACATTCGGATAGATCCATTGCAGCCTCCACAATACGATGGCGCTCAAAGGCATTGGCCCATTCGCGACCTACCTCATCGTAGGCTGTACGTTGCCGTTCCCAACCTCCCACTCTACGTGTCGCGCGTACTGACCAAACACCCCATAGCAACCTGCTTCTTCCTCGGCATCCTCTTTGGCAACCTCCCATACGACTACTTCATCCTGTGGTCGCAGCCATGGCCGACGGAAGCGGACCCCGACCCCATGACCCGATACTTCGCGCTGCAAGAGTCGCACGTCAAGTTCCTGCACGCCTCGCCGCCGCTCATCAGCCGTCTGCTCAATCTCGTCATCGGCGTGGGCCTGCTCGGCTTCCTGATGAAGCTCTACCGCCCCACCGAGGCGAACAAGCTGTTCGACGGCGCCAGCCTGGCCCTGTACATGGTGGGCATCACCGTGTACGCGACGAACATCGTCAAGGGCATGCGCGCGGCCACGGCGGGGGTGTATGGCAATCCGGAGCTCGCGGAAGACCCGGTCGCGTTGCAGAAAAGCCTTGATTCGGCTGATGCGGCCATCGTTGGGCGCGAGGATACGCTGCGTGTGATTGCGGCGAGCAACACCATTCTCGCCTTCATCCTTATCGGCATCCTTGTGCTGCAGGCCGGTCAGTGGTACGCGCAGAGAAAAGAGGCGCAGGAGATGGAGATCATCGACAAGGCGCGGGATGACAAGCGGAAGGAGAAGGCGTTGGAGAAGGCGGAAAAGACGGACAAGTCGAGCAAGAAGAAGCAATGAGCACGGGGTGGGTGTTGGGGGTTGGATACTAGATGCAGATGAGCATTGATTGAGAAGATCCAAGGCTTGCGACCAGTTTAAATAGAGTAGCATGGCAAAGTGAGTTGGATTTGCATCGAATTGTTGTCTCTATCCGCCAGCCCATGGTATACACTTGAACGCCAGCTCCCTGACATCCAGAATCGCTAAGTGGCTATGAAGAAAGGCTGACCAGGTATAAATCAGTAGGTCACACTGACACTCTTGTTTAGCCATTCCTGCGGCACGCCCGTCTTGACCAATCTCTCAAACATGAACGTCCCCACGTCTTTCCGCTGAATCGTATAGCCCACCGCCGGTTTCTCATCCACTCCCACCCGTACAGCCTGCAAACCACAGCCTGCACCATCCATTAGGAGAGACGGCTTGACGTTGACATACGCCCTCAACCCTCTCTCCTTTTCCGGCAGTTTTGTATGCGCCGCCAGCTTCTCCTCCAGCACCTGCTTGTCGGCATGCGGAACACTCAGGAACCAGTGATACAAAGGCACGAACAGCAGCGGCACATCCCTGGGGACGCTGCGGGGCGAGATGCCTGTAGTGGAGACATTGATGAAGGTCGGCTTCTGCTCGACTTGCAATCCTTGCAGAGCGCGCAGAATGGTTGCGCCGGCATCTTGGCAAATGGTGGGATCGTTGAGCGTGACGGGCTCCCAGAGACTCCATTGTAGCTTGGGCAGGCCACCGATGCCGGAGACGATGTAGTCGACCACGCGCCCGTTGAGTTGCAGAGCCGTCTGGACCGTCGAGACGTCCTTGACGTCGCCGGAAACGATAGTCAGGTGGGAATCGAGAGTGGTGGTGCTGACGCCTTTGGCCTTCATCGAGTTGGTGAGTTTGGATGGGGTGCGGGCCAAGGCGATGCAGTTGAAGCCGGCTTTAAGGGCTGAGGAGAGGCAGTAGCCGGCGCAGTCGCCTGTCGCGCCGAAGAAAGCAACGGTCGGGGTGGTCATCCTGAAGTGAAGGTTGCGAGTTCTCGCCGTGCGTGTGTTGGTCTGTTTCTGTATGGGAGGGATTCTAGTTCTTGAGTGGACTTGAGATGCGATGGAATGAACAATCGAGAGAAAGTGAAGGGAATGCCGCCATACTTATACCCTGTCGCAGCCCGGAGCAACTCACTGTCGAGCATTGCCAGTCAAAGCATTATGTTCCGTTCTTTGCGAAGGCTGAATGCAAGCCCTAGGTGGACATCAGGTCCGAAGGGGCTCATGTCGGAGCAACTTTCGAGGCTGAGGTGACGTAGACTGACCAATCAAAGGCCTCTAAATGCGAATGCGAAGAGGATTTGGCCGGCGGAGCTCATCTCACCGCGCTCTGCCTTCCCCTCTCGGCCGCTGCGAGAGATCGTCGGACGATGCTATGCCAAAGCGCCCGCACTGATGCAATGGCGACAAGTCAATGTATCCACGGGTGTCAGCAAGGCTAGCTGCTTGATGTCAACGCTCATGATTCTTCCCAGTTCTATATCTCTAATGACTAGACGCCCCCCTCGCCGATACTGAAGATGCTCATTAGCCGTACATATGCATACATTTCCAACCCAAATGGTGGTAATCGACAAGAACGCCGGCATTATCGAAACCTCTCCCGTCTTCCATAACCATCTCCCTCGAGTGGCCCCTCCACGTGAACGCTCTGTGCCCGACTGGTCGGCTCACTTCCACTGCCGTTGCCAGACTGCCCGAGCATGAGACTTGACCGACTCGCATTGCCGTAAGTAGCGGCGTTGTTAAAGAAACTGTGGCGGGCGACGCCTCCCTCTTGCCGCGTTGGACTACCATTGCCTCGGCCGTGTTGTAGCAGTACATCGCGCGAGCCGCCTCGTGCATGCCGGGATGGAACCGCGGGAGATACAGGAGGAGTGGACCAACTGACTTGCGCCGCTTGCGTGCTGGTGCGTTGGTGATGCGTTGGGACGTAGGGAGACGTTTGGCTCGCGATCCTGAAGTTGCCCGCGCCTGCACCCGATGGAGACGACGGATTGGCGTAGTAGCCGGAAGGCATGTATGGAGACGCTCGCTGGCCCATCGGGCTGCTGTCGCGAGACTGCGCCGTGGGGCTGAAGAATAGTGCTTGAGGTGGAGCGCTCGATCGATCCGTCGCCGAGTCCCGGTAATGCTGCCTGACCGGACTTCCCGCACTCGTCAGATGTTCCGTGGAAATCGTACTCGCTGCGTTTTTGTGGAAAGATATTGTCGACGCCGGATTGTAGCCCGTCCCTATCCTGCTCGCCGGCCATCTCCCGTTGGTGTCACCGCGTCCTATCTTTTCCGAGTAACTCGATGTGGAGGATTTGATCGCTCGCTTGGCGTTGCGATTGACGCTGCATGCGATCATGGCTCGCCATAGAAGCACACACGCGCCCATGAATAGCAGTATGGCCCCGACAGCGATGAAGAACGTGCCTTCGGGGAGCGATGACTTCTGCATGAAGGGGGCATTGGCGGTGTTTGGAACACCAATGGTGGGTATGGCGATGCCGGCGATCGTCGGGAGAGCTGTCAGATGACCAACATTGACGGTGCTCCCCAACGGCGTGGGAAGGGCCGTGGTACTGCTGCTGGATTGTGTCGGAGGTGGCTTTGCGGAGGACGCCGAGGTGGGGGAAGCAGAGGAGGGTGTGGACGTTGTCCTATGCTTCTCACCCACCCTTTCTCTCGTCCGAGTCGATGTCGTAAGGTCGGGCCGTTGGCTGACCTCTGCTGCATCGCCGGTCGTTGCGAGGAAGAGCAGAAGTGCGAGCATGTCTCGCCCTCGTAACCTTCTCTCCATATCTTGCCACCGGATTGGAACCGCCGTGATTCTTGGTATGAGTAGCGCTTTGACGGCGTAGAACTTTCGCTCTAGTGTCGTCACAATCAGAGCAGGGATTAGATGCAGTAGGTGTGAGGAGTGTATCAATGGAGTGAGAGCCTCGTCACTGTTTGGCGCTAACGCCTTCGGTAGTGGTCGAGCGTTACCAGGGTCCCGCCCCGGATTTTACTGCTTAGTCATTCAAGCCTGACTTTGGGCTGTCGGTGTCGTTTGCGTATTCGTGTCGAACATATCTGCACAAATGTCGTCGCAATGAAGAGGAAGAGGAAAATAACACGCGATGCACGCGTAGATAAGCGCCAGAAGACCGATGCTCCACTCAACGCTCAACCAACATGGCCTTTGCTGCGTCACTACTATCCGGAAGTGAACACCCTAAGGCACTACCTCGTTTCGAAGTTGTCGGGCTCAAAGAAGCGGCAGAGAAAACTGTTGCACTATGGCCGATCCAATCGTGTCAGCCCGTCTACGGTTCACGATCAAGCTGTGATAAGACTACTCGACGAAATAGTGATTGGAACGGCGGAAAAGCTGGAAAGCATCGATGCGGAATCCCTCGAGGAAGACATCACCATCTTCACTCAGCAGCTATCCCGATCGGAGTGCACCATCTCCCCAACACAGGGATCGTTGAGCCAGGCGGAGGTAGGAAGAGTGGACTGTCCTCAATGCTGCCGCGCTGCTCGGTGCTAATCGACTCTCCAGATCGTCGACTTCGCCATCTGGCTGCTTTTCAAAAGGCATCAAGGTCTGCATAGACCATCTCATCTCCTGGCTCACGGCTTCTCGAAGTTTGCCGGTGGCCCAAACAGTGGCGAGCATTGGGGGGTCGTTCCCGGCGTGCCTGGGCTCTGGTCGAGCGGAAGCAATCGACATGTCGAGGCGTTGAAGGCCCACCCCTGGGCTGCAATTCCCCGACTGCTCGGCAAAGGCGCCGATGCCATCCTCAGTGATTTGCTCTTACGCTGTGGCGTTTTCGAAAGTGTAAGCCAAAGCAACAACCTGAGTCAGATGAGTGGACCGCCTCTGTGTGATCTGAAGCCGTTTCCTCGTTTGGCCAAAGTACATGCAGAGCCCGAGAGAACATCAAAGAGAGCCTCCGCGGCAGCGGGTATCGCAAAGCGTAGTATCTCCGACATACGCTTCATCCGTCATCGTATGCTCTACGCTAAGCCCGGGCTGAACGAGCGGGCGCAGCCAGTTGGTCTTGGACGTGCTCATGTCCTTAGCAGAGACCTCGACGTTGATGACGAGCAACAGACCGTGCACGTTCTCAAGTACATCTTCCCGCGGCAATTCGATCTGCACAACGTCTTCACCTCCTGTACCGATTTCAGAGATACAGCGTTGGGTTTCAAAGACTATACTATTCGGGAGCAAGAGATTCATCGATCTGAGTGTCGTTGGAAGCAGCGGAAAGAGATATTGCTGGGCCCACCGAGAGCATGTCAGCGGCCACTGCCGAAACGACTGCGTAACCAGGTCGTTCCGCTTGTTCGACAACTGCGCAAAAGACATTTGAGATGCTCGTACGCTTCATTGTTGAACCACTACTGCCCAAGACCGTCTGGCGCAGCGGCGGAGAGGTCGATAAAGGCAGCCTCGTCTCTTGCACAGGTATCTGCATTTTGTCGAGCGATCGTGCTGAAAGTCTTCCCTGGAGGCTTCTGGGGCTCGTGCGACGTGCGTGTGCACAATCAGCAGGTGATCTGTCGGAACATCGACAGATTTGTACGGCTCCGCCGATACGAATGCCTCTCGCTACACGATGTGCTTGCAGACATCAAAGTTCACGGAGTGGAATGGCCGGCATGCGAGCAGGTCGACCAAGCTTCTCAGATGAGCCAGACGGACTTTACAAAGCGTCGAGAGCTCATGGCAGAGCTGATGTACTACTTGTTCGACTCCTTCCTCATCCCCTTGATCAGAGGACATTTCTACGTTACGGAATCCAGCGCACACCGCAATCAGCTCTTCTACTTCCGACAAGACGTGTGGAAGGCCATCTCGGAACCGACACTGGGATCGCTCAAGACATCAATGCTGGAGCCATGCAATGCTTCTCAAGTGAAACGGGCGCTGGCGAAGCGAGAGCTAGGGATCAGCCAAGTCCGACTGTTGCCGAAAGAGGCAGGAATGCGTCCTGTCATCAATCTTCGCCGTCGAGTGCAGCGAGTACAGCATGGCCGGATGGTCCTGGGGAAGAGTATCAACAGCATCTTGACCCCAGCATTCAGCATTCTCAACTGTGAGAAGGCGATGGACCCTGGCGCTCTAGCATCGGCTCTCTTCTCCGTAGGCGACATCTACCCTCGCCTGCAGGCCTTCAGAGGCCTGCTGTCTCAAGCAGGATGTCTAGGCCAGCCACTCTACTTCGCCAAGGTCGATGTCAAGGCTTGCTTCGACACCATTCCTCAGAAGCGCTTGATGCAGCTTGCGGGCAGCATACTGAAGGCGGATGCTTATAACATCACCAAATTTGCGCGAGCGAAGCTGGTAGGGGGGAATAGCAATGAGAAGACGGGTCCAGACGCTGTGCCCTCGTGGCGCTTTCTCACCAAGGCGACTGCTGCAGACGGGACATTTGATTTTGTGAATGTCATCGAGTCGGATACGATGGAAGGGCGGACGCGGACAGTGTACGTCGATGGTGTCGTGCAGAAGCCGGAGCTGAGAAAGGCCGTTCTGAATCTGCTCGAGGAGCACATCGAGTCGAACCTCATTACAGTCGAAGGTCGATTGTATCGCCAGAAACGCGGCATTCCCCAAGGATCGATCATATCGAGTCTATTGTGCAGCTACTTCTACGCCGACTTGGAGCGCGGCGTACTTGACTTTGTGAACGACGGCAAGAGCATCCTTCTTCGGCTGATCGACGACTTTTTGGTCATCAGCGTCGACCAGCAAGTCGCCGAGCGCTTCATGCGAGTGATGCATGCGGGAGTTGCGGAGTATGGGGTTGAAGTCAAGGCTGAGAAGAGTCGGGCAAACTTTGCGGTGGTGATTGATGGGAAGCAGATTGCTACCTTTCCAGAGCAGACGGACTTTCAGTACTGCGGTGTAGCCATCAATACGGTTACGCTCGATCTGAGCAAGGACAGGGAGCGAAGACGGAAGAGCAGTAGGTCTTCCATGAGAAGGGACAAAGGTGTATACGCTGACTCGACATGCAGATCTCGCGGACTCGTTCACGGTCGAGCACTCAAAGCTGCCCGGCCTTGCGTTTTACCGGAAGACGTTAAAGTAAGCAGCGGCCGAAGCGATGTGATGATACATGCTGACCAGTGCGACAGTGCTCTGAAACAGCAAATGCAAGGCATGCTGCTCTCCACCAGATACAACAGCCTACGTACCGTTCTCGCCAATCTCGAGCACGGCTTCACGGAGATTGCGCAAAAGACCTACCACTACATCCGCAGCCTTCCGCCCACCAAACAGCCCGCCGGGAGGCTTGTTGTCCGTAAGTTGTCTCACTCGATCGGACTCGGACGAAGGAAATGGCATGACCCGATCCGACTCGACTAGCGAGATGGGGCGGGGGCATGTGAACGAGTAGATCGAGTTTCCTGCATGCTGACGCCGAGTAGGGACGGTTGACGATGTCATCAAGCTAGCTTCGACGCTCATGCAGAACCGGAAGCGGAGCCGCAACGATGGCTCGGACGAATGCTGTGTGCGTGCCGCGCAGACACGATGGTAAGTTCTCCATTTCCTTGCTTGATTGCCACATCGAGCCTGCTTGTGTCCGCAAGAAGAACCAGTCAGCTGCACGAGGTGTCCTAGAATCTCGATTCGATGTCTCGCGAATCCGGGAATGGGGCAGCAATGATGCGGAGATATTGGAAGTGGGCCCCACACCCACCTGGCGTGGAGCGGGTGGCAGCTGCAGAGCCCCCGAACCGGGTTGGCACAATGTTTCAAGATCTGCACGGCGAAGCCTTAAAATCGATGCATAGTGACCTCACTGACTTGTGCTGGGTAGGTTGGCGTGCACCGCCTTCCACGCGGTGTTCACGCGACGGCAGACGAAGCACAGGTATTTGCTAGAGTGGCTCGAGGGACAGTTAAGGGAGCCGGGATTGCTGGCGGCGGGAAGGAGGGTGACGTCGGTTGTTGGTGCGACGCGGTAAATGAAGAGCCAGTGTTTGGGATGGCGGGTGGCTGCTGCTTGGCTGACTTAAGCGGCCGGCCATCGCCACTCCCTCTCCCAGAAGGATCGCGGAGTGCATGATTATTTGCCGTGTCATAACAGCTGCAACGTGCAGCCGGGAGCGGGAATCGGGATGAGTAGACACCCGATCTAGACCCTGCGAGTGGTGCATGCGAGGAATGTGCATGCTCGCGGTGTCTGCATCGTTGATGCCAAGCCCGGCCTAGCCATTCCACTCTCCACTCATCATCACCACGTCGACCTTGTTTTTTCTTATTGTCGCTGCTGCAAGTCGCATGCATTGCGGCGGTGTGGAGGGTATGATTACTTGCATTGTCGATAGTTCGAAGGCGAGTGGGCGAATGCCATCCAACCAACGCCAGCACGGCCTCCTGCCATCTCATCAGGTCGAGTTATGCGTTGGCGGGGACGGCTTGTCATGTCCAGCCTCCTCGCCCAAACACACCACTAGCACCGCATCTGCCCTTCCCCTCCCCCCTGCTCCCTCATGTGGTATTAATCGCTGCATTATCCCCATTCATATCCTCGAATCTCGCGCCCTCCTCTCTCGCCGTCGCGTTGCCTCTGGCCTGCATTTGCATGATTGAACGACCTCTCACGCCCATTGGCCGGTGCTAAAAGTAGGAATTAGGTTGCGCACCCCGGCAAAAGCTTAAGCCCCTGATCGCGCGCCCGCGCGCCGCCCGATTGCACTTTTCATCATCCAAAAGGGAAGCTGCGCTTGGCGGCGCAAGAGGCGGATGGCGCGCCTTCCTCTCTGCATCGTCGAAGAAGAGGGCTTGGCTTGGGATGACATTTCCGCCGCCTCTCCCTACCGTCATCCCTCCTTCACGCTGCGACATGGTTATCCTCAATCTCTAGCCACCCACCCCGATCACTCCTGGCTCGGCAGCGGCGACGGCAAGCTGCAGTACGCCGACATTGGCCTCCGTCTGCCGCACCACATCGCCACAAAGCCCTCCCGCGCCCATCGCAGGTATCGCAGGAGTCCGTCGGATCCCTGCGCGCTGCGCAGCACCATCATCATGTCCGCCGAGGCGACGGTGCTGGGCTCACCGACGGAAGACGCCGACACCGCGCCCAACACTCCCCCCGACCTGAGCTCCTCCAAATCCTCAAAGTCCTCCAATTCCTCCGTCCGCTCCGACTCCTCCGACGATGAGGACGCGGTCAGCCCCTCGCACAAGCTGTCGCATTTCGAAGACAGCTCCATCGAGGATGTCTCGCGCTTCAGCCCCGACGACTCCAATCTCCGTCCCGAGTCCCGTCCCACCCTCAAGCGACCACCCCCGCGATCCATGACCGCCATGGATCTGTCGCGCACCGTCTCCACCTCCTCAATGGGCATGCCCTCGAACCGCTACCCGCCGCCGCTACACGGTGCAGAGCGTCCGTTGAACCCCCTTCCCAACGGTCTGGGCTTGCGCCGCGGCTTTAGCAGTCCCTCGGCGCCATCTCTCTTCACCCTCGGTTCTCCGCGCATGCACAGCTCGAGATCACCCTCGCCTACCAAACCGTTCATGTACAATGGTGTCAGTGTCTCTCCCCAGGCCCTGGCCGGCGCCATTCCCAAGTTGCCCCACGAGCTGCGGTCGCCGAATGGACATTACAGCGGAGTACACGCTAGACGGAAGTCATGGCAGACTGGACAACGCAAGACGGCGAAGGAAATCGAGGCAGACTTCAACGACGATGATGGGGAAGTGCCCATCGATGCCATCCTCGAGAATGTGCCCATAACGCCCATGCCCGGACAGCCACGACTTTCGCAATCCTCCCGACCTCAATCGCGATCAACGACTCCCAGCCCGCAGCGTCGCCCATCCTACACCAATCTGCACTCGGCGAATGTGCCAAAGGGGGCGAGACGTCCGTCGGCACCCTCCAATGGACAGTACGGCAGCGCCAGGTCACCGCGCAACAACCGACCATACCCGCTCCAGCACACCCCGACCATGCCTGTATTTCAGCACGGCTTCCATCCAAAGCAGCGGTCCAAATCTTGGACCGAGGACTTGAGCGAGGAGGCGAGAGAGCTTTCGAGGGCCCTCGAGGCACACGCAGAGCTTTCAATGCACGAGAAACACGGCTCCGGAGCCAACAGCATGTCCAACAGTGTGTCCAGCAGCCCACCCGAGCCCAGCTTTCTGAAGCAGCGCGCCCAAAGCGCGACTTTCGAGTTGCCAATGGCGCAGAAGGGCAATGTCATGATCGATCCGTTGCCCATTAGCAAAGAGAAGGAGGCGGTGCTCACGCGCACGCGACCATCCTGGCTTCCCCCGAAATCCCAGAAAGAGGAGAAGAAACATATGAAGGAGTGGGAGCAGATGATGGCCCGCGCGGCTGAGAACGAAAAGAGGCGCGCGATCAAGCAGAAGGAGCAGGAGGAGTCGCAAATAGAGGTGAAGGACAGCATTGCGCGGTTATGGGAGCAACATGTGCTGCCTCACTGGGAACTGGTGGTCTTGGAGCCACGCACGCGCGAACTGTGGTGGAGGGGCGTGGCGCCAAAGAATCGAGGCACGGTATGGCAGCGAGCCATTGGCAATGAGCTCGAGCTTTCCGAGGCCTCTTTCAACGCGGCGTTGCTACGTGCCAACGAACTCGAGGAAAAGGTGGCTGAAATGGCGCCAGAAGAGCGCGACAAGAGCAAGGAAGCCGCCTGGCTCGATGCGATCTACCGCGATGCCGTCCACGCGTGTCCGCACATCTCCAGCACCTCCGACGAGCGCATCCCGTTCGAACAGGACCTGGCCAACGTCCTCAAAGCCTACGCCATGTATCGCAGTGACGTTGGGTACGTCTACGGGTCGCATCTGGTGGCGGGTATGCTGTGCTACCACCTGCGGCCTGCCGACGCCTTCGTCACACTAGCGAACATGCTCAACCGAGCTGTACCGCTGGCGTTCCACGTGCACGACGTGGCTGTCATGGCTCGCACATACGAGTTGGTGCTCAGCACACTGAAGTACAAGTTCCCGAAGCTCCACGGCCACCTTACATCCTCCGCCATCGGGCTCAGACCAGAAGACTTTCTCGACCCCATCTTCCGCTGCCTGTTTGCCTACCACCTTCCTTTGGAGCACGCCAGCCGCTTGTGGGACATTTTTGTCTTTGAGGGCGATAAGGCGCTCGTGCGCGCGGCCGTGGCTGTGCTGGGCAGGCTGGAAGGGAAGCTTTACGGAACGAGCGAGGAGGTGTTGGATCTACTTGGATGGAGGAACGAGAAGCGTTGGGATCTGGGGAACGAGGAGGAGTTCATCGCCGCCGTGCGAGAGGCGGGCAAAGTGGACTCGAAGGGAGAGGCGAAGGATTCATGACGACCCCTTGGCTTCATCTAACCGACACGACTCCTGCGATTTCCTCTTGACTGTAAAGTCATACGTGCGGCGACTTGCGAGTCGACTGTCCTTTGGCACGAATTGTATTTTGTTTGCTAACGAATTGGCATGAGAGACGACTGCTGCTTTGGCTTGGTTTGTGTTGCGGTTCAGTCTTTGTTACTTATCCTCGGTGTTGCACCTGAGCCAATGATGTACATATTGTGTAGTGGTCGATGAACGACATGTCCATGCTCTCATCTCATTCTCTTCCCTCCTTTTATCCAAGCCCGATATTCTCGTGAGATCCGACTTAGGAAAGAGTGGAGCTGGCCATATCGGCAGCGGAGGACGGTTAATACTTCATCCACCTTCATTGATCGTAAGGCTCGGTCTCTGCGGCTCTCCTTCGAGCCATTCTTCCCTTCCCAACTTGCTTCGAAAGACATGAGCTGCTGGCAACACGTCAGCCCATCACATATTCCGATACCGGCGACATGAAACACCATCTGATGATTGGGACCTGGTCAGTCTGAATCAGCCCCGCGCACTCGTACAGGCTGACCAGGAATGCTAACCTCTTGGTAGGACCCCGCCAGGAGCAATCTTTACAGTCGTCTTCGATGATGAGAAATTGAGGCTGGACTTGGTCAAGCGGACGGAGATTCCCCAAGACGAGCCGATTTCATGGATTACCTTCGACGCACGTTGTCTTCCAATCCGAGTTGTGAACTATTCAACTGACGGCTATACCTTTGTAGAAAGATCGAAAGAACATCTACGGTGCGGCGATGAAGAAGTGGAACTCGTTTATCGTGCAGAGTCCGACTGAGATCTACCATCATGCTTCCTTGCCCATAGGCGGACATCGTACGTTCTGGGTGTTCAGTATGTCACCGTAATTTGGTCTAATGACAACGACAGCGAAAGCAAACGACTCAGACACCAAGACTCGAGCGATATTTGTTCTAGCAGCCAAACTCCCGCCGCATAATGTCTACGGCAACCCCTTCTACGACCATGCGGGATTCCTGAACGTCTTCTCCGTCAATCCCACTGGAGGCTTGAACGAGAACGTGCAGAATGCGGAACTGGATGAGAAGTCGGCGATCCACGGGATGGTGTTTGACTCGAGGGAGGAGTACCTCTACTCCGCCGATATGTGGGCGAATAAGATCTGGTGTCACAAGAAGGTCAGACATCTTCTACTCCGCCACACGTAATTTTCAGCTAACGAGAGACGATAGGACGCACATACAGGCCATCTGACTCTCGTCGGCTCCGTCTCCGCCCCCTCACCGAACGACCACCCTCGCTGGGTGGAGATCAGCCCGCAAGACACATATCTCTACGTGCTGATGGAAGCGGGCAACAGAGTCTGCCTCTACCTCATCGATCCCACAACCCACATGCCAGTCTACACCCATCAGTCGTACCCCCTCATCCCTCCCTCGTTCGCGACCTTCCACCCCAAGATGTACCGCTCCGATGTCGTCTTCCGCTCGCATAGCGGCCGCTATCTCTTCGCCACCTCTCGCTCCAACAGTCCCGGCCTCACGGGCTACATTGCTGCTTTCCGCTTGGGAGCGCAGGGGCAGATCGAGCGGCAGATCTGTCTGAATTCCACGCCTACGAGCGGTGGACACTCTAATGCCGTTAGTCCCTGTCCATGGAGCGATGAGTGGTTGGCGTTGTGTGACGATGAGAAGGGGTTTGTGGAGGTGTACCGCTGGAAGGACGAATTCCTGGGTCGTGTGGCGCATCTGGATATCCGCGAGCCTGGGTTTGGCATGAATGCTATTTGGTATGATTGAAGTCTTGCTCATTGGTCAATGGACTTCTAGTGAACCGCGCATGTTATGTGCTGTCAGGGTGAGAGCGCAGAATTTTGAGAGTAACTAGACAACACAATAGGCTTGCTAATTGGGTGGCCACTTCACGGCCGCCAATACTTCCATGCATTGCGGTCATTATGCTCGCCAACCAAATCCTCCACCGCCTCGCGATCAGGAACGGTAAGGAAAGTGTCCTGGTCGATTTCCTTGCCCGCAATCACCGCGGGATACAAGACGCCCGCCCCTTCACCACCCAGGGTAGCCTCGTACTTCACAAAGCCTTCTTCCCCGAGCTGTCGCTCCAAGTCGCCCAGAGCGGCCGACAGATCGTGCGCCGTCTTTGACGAATCGCCATTCGCGCTGCTGGTGGTGGCTTTGGCGCCCGACTTCAGTAAAGTGATGGCGCACCCGCCCCCGCCTCCCCCGGTCAATTTCGTCCAGCCGACACCCGACTGATCCACCAAATACCTCAATCGCTCAAGCCGGGGATGTGACACGCCCAGACTTGTCAGTAGGCTGTGATTCACCGACATCAGTTCGCCGAGGTGCGCAATGCTCTTCTCCGCATCTTCATGAGATGTGAAGTCGGTGTTGGAGATGACTTCGTACACGGATCGTGTAATGGCGTCGATGGAGTCTAGGATGGCCTCCACCACCGCCGGATGCTTCTTCTTGAGCGCGCCGACCTTGGCCACCTCTGCTGCCGTGGACTTTGGCTGGCACGTGTCGATCAGCAGCAGTGGAAGTTCGGGGAAGTTGCGGATGATGGAGACCGAGGGTGGTTTGTTGTAGTCTTTCCTCTGAAAGAGGGCCGCATGACCATTCGTCGCAACGGTGTTGTCGATCCCGCTGGGGTTGCCGTGGATCACGAGCTCGCCAACAAAAGCCCATTGATTGATTCGCTGGAGCTGTTCTTCTGCTTCGGAGCTCTGTTGATCGGGATGTGGGCCAGAGAGGGCTCGGCATTGCAGGAGCAAGGCGGTCGCTATGCACACACAGATGCTTGCGCTGCTCCCCAGTCCCTGGCCGATGGGAATGGTGGAGCGCAGGGAGTAGACACAGGGCGGACTGTCCTGCCATCCCAAGGAGAGGAAGAGGTAGAGGAAGGCTCCGGCGGCGGCGTGATGTTGCTTGCGCAGATGCGGCTCCACGTCCGGGCTGATGTTGGAGATGTGCGGCTCCATGGCAGCCAGGAGCTCCTCATCCAGAGTCGTGACGCGATCGTAGTACTTTTTCTTCTTCCCGGGCTGCGCGAAGGTGCTCCATGGCAGGTCGGGGATGTTCCAGGTGTGGTCCAAGTCGAGATCGCGGAATTTCAAGGTCACGGTCCTTCGCGACTTGGTGAGGGTGGTGCAGAGGAGGTATGAGCGGAGAGATATGGCGGCCGCAATGGCCGCTTTGCCGTGCACGACCGCATGCTCGCCGTAGACAATGGTTTTGCCCGGCGCAGAGACGATGAATGGTGGAGCCAGAGGGTTGGAGTCCTTGCGACCCTTGGCCGCAGTTTGCGCCGCCATTGCGTACGATGCGTGTTTTCAAAGGGGGCTTTCAGGCGCACAAAGACATGATGCCCTCGCGCCCGGCTTCCAGATTTGGGCGCTTTAGTAGTGCTGGTATGCAGCGATCGCGCGACACTTGTGGCTCGATTTTTCTCGAGGGAGAGGAGGTCGGGCAACAAGGGGCCTGCGCCACACCGAACGCCACAGTCGAAGCATTGGCCGGAATTTCTTCGACCTCATCAGATATGACTCTTTGGAGAACATTGATCTTTCGAAACATCACTTCAACTCACGCAATAAATTGACAATGGCACCGACGACACTCCACGTCCGTGCCGAGACTAAACCCCTCGAACATCGCTCCGCAGTCACCCCGACCATTGCCAAGAAGCTTGTCGACGCCGGCTACACTGTCAATGTCGAACGGTCCCCACTGAGTATCTTCGATGATGCAGAGTACGAGCCGGCGGGAGCGAAGCTGGTTCCAACTGGATCATGGATCGATGCTCCTAGTGAGCACATCATCGTTGGTTTGAAGGAGTTGCCGGAGGAGGATTTCCCTCTGAAGCATACAGTAAGTCAGAGCGCGAACATTCCATTGAGTCAACGAATTGACTAATGATTGCTCAACAGCATGTTCAATTCGCCCATTGTAAGTCAAATGCTCAAGTATGATATCATGAAGATGTTGTCCTCATATCAATCAAGGCTACAAGGGCCAAGGAGGCTGGGAAACAGTATTGGGTCGCTTTCCCCGCGGCAAGGGAACGTTGTTGGATCTGGAATTCCTTGAAGACGGTATTCCACCCTGCATGGAAGCGACCTGCGGAACACAAAGCTGATTGACATCTAGAACAAGGGAGAAGGGTTGCTGCCTTTGGCTACGTAAGGCTTCCCCACCTCACTATGAGCCCTTGCTAACCACTACCCAGCATGCTGGATTCGCGGGCGCCGCACTGGCGTTAATGGCGTGGGCGTGGCAGCACACTCACGGCAAGGAGCAGCCGTTGCCCGGCGTGACGGCGTACGACAACGAGGCAGCTCTGATTGCCGATGTCAAGAAGGCTGTCGACGAGGGCAAGGCAAAGGCCGGCCATCTGCCACGAGTCCTGGTCATTGGAGCACTCGGCCGCTGTGGTAGGGGCGCGGTAGATCTTTGCGTCAAAGCCGGCCTCAGTGACATCCTGGTGGGTATTTCTTAAGCCGTTGCCTGTTCACTGCTGATCAATTCGTAGAAATGGGACCTCCCCGAGACCTCGGCGAAGCCAGGACCGTACCAGGAAATCATCGAATCCGATGTCTTCGTCAACTGCATCTACCTCTCCGCCAAGATCCCGCCCTTCATCGATGCCCAGTCCTTGTCGACGCCGACACGCAAGCTGAGCGTCGTTTGCGATGTGTCCTGCGATACCACGAACCCTCACAATCCCATTCCCATCTACGAAATCAACACCACCTTCACCAACCCGGCCGTCCCGGTGAAGCTGCCAGGCGGATCTAGTGAGCTGCCGTTGAGTGTCATCAGTATCGATCATCTGCCATCTCTGTTGCCGAGGGAATCGTCCGAGGCTTTCAGTGCGGCGCTGCTGCCGAGTCTACTCCAATTGAACGAGTGGAAGCATGCGCGCGTCTGGCAGCAGGCTGAAAAGCTGTTCAAGGAGAAGTGCGCGACTCTGCCATAGGACGAAGTGGACAGTCACGTGTAGCTGGTTGCCAATCAATCCTAGCTGGTTCGTCCGAGGGAAAGGAAGATGCAGTCGCAGTAGTAATTCGATAGACCGGCGAATGCCCTAGAAATAGCGTGTTCTTTCGCAAGCATACCGATTCGAGCTCCATTGATGCACTCTGCCTACACGTACGTCTCAGCATGGCCGTCCGGCATCATCGCACATCATAAGGCCGGGCCAGACCTTCCCATATCGTCGGCAAGCGGGCGAAGTAGACGTCGAGTAGCTCCCTCCAGTCACAATAGATACCATCGCCGTCGGCCGGCACGACTCTCGGCATGTGCATCTCGATATCCGTGCCCATGAACTTCACGCGCCACTCCTGCGCCGGTCCAAAGCCCTGTGCACACATGCGTTTCCACGTCTCGAGCACGCGGTCGCGTTGGGCCTCTGGCGTGATGCTCGCCGTCTCGAAGAGCGCGTACTGCGGGTTGGGGCGATTGATGCAGCGGAAGCGATGATTCACCGTCCCACGCACGTCGTACCATCTGGGCACATTGCCGGAGCTGAGATTGAATCTCAACCCGATGTCAAACTGCGGTACAAGTAGCTTGGAGGCGACGTCTTCGGCATAGGAGCGATAGACGGAGTTGACGTGTCGGACCTTGAGCCAGAGGTCCCATGGCTGGATGAAGCCGAGAATGAGGAGCACGATTTCTTCGGGGAGTCTTTCGAGCAGCGTGAATCTGACAGGAGTAGTTCGTAATGTTACGTTTGTTTGCAGGGCTGCGTTTGTAGCCATGGTTTTTTACCTGTGGTGGATGAGGAATCGATTGACCATGCTCTGACGAGATGTCGTTGGAGCTGCCGATGCTGGCTTGAGCTTGGACCAACATAACCCTTTGCACCTGCACCTGCACTTGCGGCATGAGACAGACTTGCGTTGTGCATCTCAATGCGCGTCGTCCCCCTCGGCAGCGCTCCGTCACCGCTGCAGTCCCTCATCGCGCGACGATGGCGACCGCAATGGATCTGCCAGGACTGCAGACGAGGCTCCATCCGGCGCCGCAGCATCGCCTCCACCACCACCACGACCACGGCTGATCCATCCAAGCCCTTCTACATCACCGCGCCCATCTTCTACGCCAACGCCGCTCCTCATGTCGGACACTTGTACTCCATGCTCCTCGCCGACGTTCTCAAACGCTGGCACCAGCTGCGACACCCCTCCGGAACAGCAATCCTTTGCACCGGCACCGATGAACACGGCGTGGAGATCCAGCAGGCCGCTGTCAAGGCCGGTCTCGAGCCGCAACAACTCTGTGACAGAGGCGCCGAAGGATTTCAAGAGCTAGCAGCGAACGTCGACATCAGCAATGATGTCTTCGCCCGTACCACCGATCCCAAGCACAAACGCGCTGTCGAGTATGCATGGCAGATGCTGGAGAGGGAGCGCTACATCTATGAACGGACGCATGAGGGCTGGTACAGCGTTGCCGATGAGGCCTTCTACCAGCAGGGCCAAGTGCAGTTGATCGTCGACCCGCCCACCGGACGCAAGATCATGGTCAGTATCGAGACAGGCAACGCGGTCGAATTGACGAAGGAGAGGAGTTATCATTTTCGACTCAGCATGTTCAAGGACCTCCTGCTGGACTTTTACAATCGTACTCCCACCTTCATCGTGCCACAGGAGAGGATGAATGAAGTGATCAAAGAGGTCCAAGCCGGCTTGGTGGATCTTCCCATCTCACACCCCTTGAATCGCCTCAGCTGGGGCGTGCGCGTGCCCAGCGATTCCTCTCAAACGATGTTTGCTTGGTTTTCTGCACTTCTCAGTCACGCTACTGCCATCGGCTACCCCTTCACCCCGGGATTGCACAAGGCCGCCGGCTGGTCTCCCGACGTTCAAGTTACCGGCAAAGACGCCATGCGCTTGTACTGCATCTACTGGCCTGCAGTGCTCATGGGCCTCAACCTTCCCCTCCCCAAACAAATTCTCGTTCACGCACATTGGACGCTGGGCAATAAAAGGATGCGTAACGTCGATCGCACCGCCGTGAACCCATTCTTTGCGCTCGAGCGGTTTGGCGTGGACACCATGCGCTACTTCCTCATCCGCCAAGGCGGTGTCATCGACGATGCGGCGTACAGCAACCTCTTTATCATTCGCACCTACAAAACCGAACTACAACAGCTCCTGGGTAGTCTCGTGAGTCTTCTCACACGTTTCCAAGGCTGGAGTGTCGCACGTGCGGTCCAGAAGTTCGGTGGCGCCTCGTCGGATTGCGCACCAGACGATAAATCGAGTCGTGCTCTTTGCGACCGGATAAGGAAAGCTCCCGCGCGAGTGGAGATGTGCATGCAAAGCCTAAGGCCCAAGAAGGCCTTGCAAACCATCATGCTTCTCGTCGAAGCCGCGAACGCTCATTTTGACCGCTTGCCGCCCACCAAGCTGGCGCGCAGCTCACCATTGTATAAAAGGGACACGCCAATTGACAATGAGCCCGCTGCTCTACAGCACGCAGCGAGTCAGATTGGTGATCGCCTCGATCGCATCATCTACCTTGACGCGGAAGCCTTGAGGGTCGTGGGAATCCTGCTGCAGCCATTCATGCCGGATGCTGCGCGTAAATTGCTCGACATGCTGGGCGTTTCCAAGGATCGGCGGAGTTGGGAATGGTGCGAGCTCGGGGCGGATGAAGCGTACGGCGTCCCTATGGTAGATCTGGGCCAGGGAGAGACAGGCGTGCTTTTCCCTGGTCTGACTAGTGGATATTAGGGCGATGGATCGTGAGGCTCATCTCTTTACTTAGACAGGTCAGGCAGAATGCGCTGGCATGACACTTCACAACCTCGCGCCAATCTCTGGCGTGGAGAGTGGACACGACAGGCAAGCTGCCCATCATATCAGCGCTCGCAATTATAGTAGTCATAAGGCCAGCAATGAGATCCAATAATTTGAAGTCCGACGCCGGCACTAGAAGACGGTCAACTCAATGGATTCATCTTGCAGTGCACAAGCACGTCCATGTTGACTAGATAACTCGACGGCGGCTGAAGGCTAATGGATTGCACTGCTCCTACAGCGTACGTACGGTGCACTTACGACGCACAACACACACCCTCCCCATCTGCAACGGACGTGTGCCAGAAAGGGAAGAATGGGCGAAGGCTGTCGCGGTGTGGAAGTTTGAACTCCGACAAGTTGGTCACACACAGGCAAGCAGCGGGAAGAATTGGAGAGAGATAGAGTAGACCACTGTCAATACTCGTTACCGGTAGCTACATGGAGTTACCCATTGCTTTCGTCACATTCCTCCACGCTGCACCAATCATCTCGACTGTGTCTCCCGTGGGCTACCAGATCAGTATTTCTGTGTTGGACTCCATGTCAGCATGTATACCGCAAAACGACAGTTGGGGTGGGATTGATTTCCACTTACGTTCAATTCCGAGTTGACGGCACTGTTGACGAAGTTATCAGCACCCTGAGGTAGGCCTTCACGATTGAGGAACCCGTCGACCTCTGCGTAGCGGTATTGTTAGCATTTATACCTCTGTTTCCGTTACCGGGTGCCCCCGTGGTGGTACTCACTGTTATCAACCATGCCATCCTTGCCCACGTTCTCGGCGTCCTTGAGAAAGCCACCGCCGCCGCTGTTGTTGCTGCGGTTCTGGTCGTCACCGTAGCCTCCACCGCCTTGCTGTTGGTCGTTGTTGTTGCCTTGGTCATTACCATAACCACCTTGCTGCTGGTCGTTGTTGTTGCCTTGGTCGTCACCGTAGCCACCACCGCCTTGCTGGTCATTGTTGTTGCCCTGGTCGTTGCCGTAGTCGCCTCCACCTTGCTGCTGGTTGTTGTTGTTGTCGCCGCCCGAGAAGTCTTGCTCGGCGTCACGCAGGAAGGAAGCCATGTTGAGTTGAGTTGATTGAGGTAGTTTGGTGTGTGTGGATTGGATTTGAGTGGAATTGTTTGTGTTCGAGTGATGAGAAGAAAGAAGTGAAGTGAAGTGAGAGCAGGGCAAGCTTGCTTTATAGCTCTCTCGTCATATGCCAGTGCTCGTGCACAGATGCAGGTGGTGCCACACTGGCCACCTTGGAAACTTGCTTGCGCCCCCGCGGACCCGCCATCGCGGCGCACGAAGACATGAGCTAGCGTAGGTAGCTGCCTTAGCTGCGGCGGTTTCGCGTTCTAGACGCGTTTGCAACGTAACACAACCCCATTCGACACGCCGGCGCAGTCACATGGCGTCAATAATGTTAATTGGGAAACGCAATTCCCTTTTGCGGGGAACATTGTGGCGAAGTCGGTCGTCTCGGCCGACTCTAACGGACACGAGCGCGGGCTTTCTGGTCACTTCAGCTGGTGCAACGCTGCGGGTCAGAGACCGGCTGCAGGCTAATCAGCTATCGGACAGCCCGGCGGACGCTACGTGTCACTACGTCGGGCTCCGAGGCCTGGACGATCGAGCCGCAGCTGCACTGCCGGAACGTGATAGCACAGACATGATCAAGTGAAGTGCTCTGCCGACCGAAGCCATTCGCCGCCAAGTCGCCAAGGTGAAGCTTGGCCTCGAGTCTTAAAAGTCTCCGACCGAGTCCTCCGCCGTACGGCACTCCTCGCTGCGAGACCGAAGACGGAGTAATGGGAAGACGGAGCGAGCGTTCGGCTGTCTTAAATCGACATTACTTTAGTAATCATCTCGTCTATCACTCTGCCAAAGACATCCACCAAATCCCGTTCCCTGCCAACCTGAAAGCAAACGATCCGAGCGAGGGGGAATCTTTGTGGACGTACACCGTCCAATGCTGTGCAAAAACGTAAACCGAATCCGCCGCTGCCTCTGTAGTCATACAGTTTCTTCTTTTCTTTTCTCATTCTCAATTTCCTTCCTGTCCACCGACTGCTCGCTCAAGATCAAAGAGCACGGCATGAATGCATCCTCAATAGCGTCCGACAGACATCTCGCTATTGTAGCTCCCGCCATTTCCCAACTGACCCTTCAACGTAATGACCTCCTCCTGCAACCGACTGATCCGCAATTCGTACTCATCTTGCATGCGACTAAAGCGCTGTTCGAGCTGTCGCACATAACCCCAAATGTCACTTTGGTCTTGGCCAAGGATATCGCGGATACTGCTGCCTGACGAGCGGCCGTGGCTCGAAAGACTGCCCGGGTTGGACCCAGAAGGACCAGTTTGTGACGGCTGGATGGGCGGGTGTTGCAGCATGCTCGTCCCGGGACCACTGCCGGGGATGCTGGAGGCTGGCATGCCCGGTCGACTCGCGGGACCTTGGTTGGTCAGAGGAGGGAGCACCGGCGCGCCCGGAGGCCCACCCCCCGCGGTGAAGGGAGTGGAGTGTTGCTGCGTCGCCGGCGGTGTCCGACCGTCACTCGCCCCGAAATGCTGGAACTGAGTGGTCAGGCTCGGCGATCGGTTGCGCGCACTCGACATCGATGCGTCTCCGACACTCAAGCGTTGTTGGTTGGGAGCCTGCTGGCGCGGTGACAAGGGCTTCGGCGATTCGATCATCCCGCTCTGATGGAGGACTTGGCCCGAGTTGGTGTTGTAGTAGGCGCCGGCGGCTGGAGTGGTCGATTCACGTGGCGAGTTGGCGTTTTGCCCAGGCAAGACTACTTGCGGAGGCCCCATGTTCGCCGCGCTGCCCCCGTGCGATCGCGTTGGTTGCTGATATGGTGGCGGATACGTGTTGGAGTACTGTCGGTACACTTGCCGATGCGGGTCTTCTGGTGTTTCCAAATGCGTCTTCTTCCTGTTGGGTTCGCTGCCTCGTCGACCCGGGTCGGGACTGCTTCCATCCTCGTCGTACTCGATACCATCCATGGTGTCACCGCCATCAGGTCCGAATTCGTCGTCGCCGCCAATGCTCGATCGACGTCCAGCACATCCGCCGGGGCCCTTATTGTGCCTTGCAAGCGCGTCCCCGCGTGCGAACTTTCGCCCACACTTGTCGCAGGTATGCGGCCGCTCTCCCGTGTGTAGCTTGGTATGTCGCTTCAGATCATGCAGCCGCCGGAAGCGAGCCTGGCAGGTCTGACACCAGTACGGCTTCTCTTGACTATGTGTTAACAAGTGGCTCTTTAGGTTGTGGTGGCGCGTGAACTCGGTAGCGCAGTAGGGGCATTTGTGTCGCTTGTTCGAGGCCGGGGATTTCGGACTGCCCTGCCCGTACCCCGGAAGGCTCATCCCTCTTGCCGCTCCGCCATCCTGCTCTTGATCCTGCGGAGGCGGCCCAGGATAGGAGAAGGCTTTGGGCCCATCATCGTGGAGGTCGTCGCCCAGATGGCCGTTGCCATTATGGTACGGCGGAGCGTCAGTCATCTGCGCCGGCTCGGCAACGAATGACTGCCCCGGACCAGCAGTGGCTGTCACCGAGGCCGGGGCGCCGGTGCTCTCAATCGTGCCGAAGCTCGACAGACTAACGGGACTTTCGTGGATATTATTCGTGTCGAGCGTGCTGCTTTCAGGCACGTTTATTCGTATCTGCTCGGCAGCCTTCCGCACGGGAGAGCTGACCTTGCTAGGGTCGGGGGCGTCTGTGGGCTTGCTCATGCCGCCACCACCCATAAGTGCCTGAACGGCTTGGAGGGCGGGATTGGGACTGGTCTGCCGCGCCGCAGGGTCTTCGGCCTCTTTCTGCTGCTGCCGCTTTCTGCTCTCCGCCACAGCCGCGACGCCGGTCAGCGACACGGGGGATATGCTCGTGTGTGGGAGCTTGGGAGGGGAGACGTCGTTTGAAGGTCGGGTGGCGGACGATTTGGGAGTATGTGGGCTGTTGATCAGGGCCGGAAAGGGCTCGGTACTGGTGGCGCGCGTGGTCGTAGCCATGTCACAAAGGTCGCATTGATTGGTTGCTACGATGACAGTCTATACCGGTGACTGAGCAGTAATGTCAACACATGCGCGCGGGAAAGTCGCTGACGAAGGGGGCGGTTTGGGGAGCAGCGGTGTCAAATGCGCCGAGATGGCGCGATGCAGCATGACGAGCGTGCAATGGAGGAGAGGGGATGGAGGGGGCCGACGTACGCAGGTGATGAGGAGAATGTGAAGAGCCGCAGTCTCGCTTCCGTCTCGCTATGCTATGGCAGGGATGCTGCAGAGAGCGAGTTGAGACGGCGGAGGAGACCCGAGTCGCAGGCGCGTGGGCGGTGTATGAGGCGGTGCGGCAGTGGCGGTGGCGGTGGTAAGCGAATGAACCGGAAGTCGCAAGCAAACCGCGCAACGGATGCGTGCGTGAGAGGCGGATGCGAGGGCGCGGAGGGGGAAAGTGTGGCAAAGCAAACGAGGCTGCGCTGCGCTGGTGGAGGTTGCTCCGACGGCGCGGGCGCGAGGGGGGCGGTGCGTGCAGTCGAGGGGCGGAGGGCGGGTGGTGTGACGGGGAAGGTGGCACGGCGGGGGGAGAATACAATATGCAAGGGCTGCTTCACCAAAGGACAGCAGAGCGGAATGGGGGATTGAAGATGGAGGAAAGAGTGGGTGGAGGAGTGTAGCTGGCCACTGGCGCGCGGGAATGGCTGAAGCAGCCGGGCGGGCAGGAGCGAAGTGAGGCGCAGGCCAGCGAGCGAGGACACGCCACTCGCGAACGCCAAGCGGGAAAAGAGGGCAAGACAAGCTGGACGATCTGCGGACAATCAAGAAATGTGAGCCTCCTTGATTTTCACCTGCTCTCGGCCAAGCTGGGCAAGGGCGAGGGACGGGATGGACACCATCCGGGGGGATCATCCTGTCTCTACCCCGTGAGCCCGTCTACTACTGCTGCTTCTCTTCCGGCGGGGCGGCCACGTCTGCAGGCGCGAGAAATGCCATCATGCGCGTCGCAAGTGCGAGGGCTCGTGTGGATTTACGGATCGGGAAATGGGACAGATCTCCCTCGTGGCGCAAACTTTGCCTGCGCCCATCCCCGATGGACCCACGCCGCATCGTGCTTTGCCTCGTCCACCGGCCTGACCTACATGTAGGGCATTGCCCCAGGGCTGTTTATTAATCAGAGACATCGATCTACACCATCCCTGAACGCCTGGTGAGATGCAACCTGCGTATACAGCCATTCGTCGCCCATTCCACCTGCAGAAAGCAAGCCTCCAGCCTACGTCACTTGGACGGGCGGGTCGGGCTGCGGCGTGAAGGCGAGAGGCTGGTGCGCTACTCCCCGGCAGACCCAGGAACCATCACGCCACACTCCCCGCCGACCAATCATGCCATCACCAGACAGGAGACCATGGAGCAGCGGTTTGGTCTCCGCTCACGGCGAACCGAGTCTCCGGTCAACATGCCCTCCTCCCCGTCCGCTGTCTGGCCTCCGTCATGTCTGGTCATTCTGCTCTCATCTGTGCGTACGGATACGTCAAGTTGGCCGCCCTTTGTTACCAGTGTGCCTGCCGTGCCACCGCCACACCTGAAACTTGGATCGAGAGCTCGTCACGTGGGATTGAAAGTTACCGGCATTCTCACGCATGAATATGTCAGTTTGATACACAGCAGCTGGACCTCAGCCTTCTGTAGCAGTCGGTAATAAGCGCCTCCAGTTTCTACTCTACTCCGTCACGACCAGTTCTGCACTATTCATGAGTATTCAAATTCATTGCTGCTTTCCTTTCTGTGCCTGCGGACCCATCTGCACCCGCAATCAATGTCAGCATTTCCGTTCTCTCCCTCACCCGGACTGCAAAGTCAACTCACCTCCTTGTTGAACGCCATATACGACACCTCCAACCCAGCCACTGCGCTAAGGCCAACATAGAGGATGATCAAGAGTAACAGGCTGACCCCAAGACCCATGAAGAGGGCGGGCGATAGGAACTGGTACTTCTCAAAGAGCGGGAGTCCGGCCTGCATGTCCTGGTTGCCCTCCGACTGTCGTCGCTGCATAGTCAAATCCCGCTTGAGGTCGGTATGCAGGCCAGACGGATAAGGATCGTCCATCTCGTAAAGATGCCCGTCCTCGGCATCCGACAAGCTAGGCTGCGGCGGAGTCGTGATATATATCAGCACAGATGACTGATGTTGGCCCAGCACTGTGGCAACAACATCGTCGATGGTGTCGTCTGCATCCCGTTAGCCGCGCAGGAGAAGGGTTAAGAGGCTATGCTTTAGCGTCTGCTCACCGGCGTCCCGAACAACCTGTGCTCTGCCTTCCACGTCGTTTGGGGGAGATGGCAGATTCAAGGTGATGACGTTGTATTCGCCCACCCTTTCCGGCCCAGCTAGATTGCAAGACCATATCAGCACTCACTGTCCCCGTTGCAAGTCTCCGTTGAGATCGTTCACTCACTCTTCCCATCCGGGGCACAAGCCTCCGCTAACCTCGCCGCCACGGTCTTCGCACTGAGGTCTCCCATCTGCACCACCTCCGGAATCTGCACCACTCTATCACTCCCAGCTTCGGCCAGTCTCCGCTGTAGTTTTGGCATGGCGCCGTCCTTGAGATCCTCGGCGCCAACGTGTTCTTGCGAGAAGATGTAGTACCATTTCTTGTCGCAGGCAGAGAGGGAGTCTATTAATCGATCTTGGACATCTTTCGTGAGCGCGATCTGGGACGATTGGAGGGAGTAGTCGGAAGGTAGCCTAAGACACGGGTGAGTGGCTGCGTAGATGCATCGCGGAGAGCAAAGGGAGCCTACTTGTCGGAGGAGAGGAGTAGGAAGGGCGAGGCATTTCGCAGAGCGTCGACGCCAATTGCTGCCAGCAGCACCGCCAGTACCTGAGGTAGCCGCATTTTGTTTACGCGCCTGATGATGTTGGAACAGAGGTGCGACGATGGCGACGGTGGCAGTGGTTGACGAGGTCTGGTGAAGGCGAGGGAGATCCGAGAAGAAGCTCGGGCCACTTTGGTCGAGACGTCTCGAACTTCGACTTGCTACACATCCTGCGAATTTGCATGCTCTCAATCGCCGGGTCTTCATATACATCGGACGACGAGAAAGAGCATGGCACCTCCGGCCAAACGACGAAAATTGCATCAGGTCGAAGAAATCACCTTTGACGTTGCCGCACGACAGGAATACCTTACCGGCTTTCACAAGCGCAAGCAGCAGCGCATCCAGAATGCTCGCGAGTCAGCGGCAAAGCGAGACAAAGAGGAGAGAGTGAAGGAGAGACAACAGGTAGGGCGACCAACAATACATTCCGATGACATGGCTTGACGCGGTCTTGCTAATGCATGAGTGACAGCTTCGCGCACAGCGACAGGAGGATCTGGCGCAGCATGTTGCCGAAGTCAAGGCGGTCCTGAAGAGGCAGAACCCCGAAGTCGAATCTACGGAAGGCGCAAGTGATGAGGAAGCGTCTGCCGAGTGGAATGGCATTGTGGACCAGGACGTGGCAGCGGACGAGGAGTACGTGGACGAAGACAAATTTACCACGGTGACGGTGGAAGCATTAGATCTGACGCATGCTGCGGAGGAGGAAGAGGAAGAGGAGAGGAGGAAGATGCGCGCCCAGGAGGAAAGTGAGGCGGCTTCGCAACTGGCCGCGAAGAAGAAGAGACCGTGGGCCAAAGACCAGCCGAAGAAGAAGAAGTTTCGTTACGAAAGCAAAGGAGAGCGGCAAGCAGGTAGACAGAAGCAGAAAATGAAGGACCGTGCGGCGAAAGATCGTCGCAAGGGAACGTGAAGGATGCACATCGTTCCGCAAAACACGCCACGACGCTTCGTTGGATTCAGAAGAAAGATGCCGTATCTAGCGCTGTCCATCAATGCAAAAATCAGAAAGGGGGGCAAGCAAAGGACAAGGGGGTTGCGAGGTGCATGTCTACGACATTCGTCACTCTCCAGGCCTTCCGGGCCCAATTTGTGCACTGCTCAAGCCATTGTGCCGACCAACTTCTCTTCTGCCCTGAGTCGACTTCGTTCCCAGCCTCCCGCCGAATCATGCAGAGAGAGTTGCGGGGAGGGCGACATTAAAGATTGCCAATTTCCGCGGCAAAGTCGTCCAGCTCCTTCTTGGTGGCGGCGTACTTCTTTGCCATCTCCTCGTACTTTTGCTCCCACTGGTCACGGTCATTCTCCAATGCTTGAACCTTGCGCTCAAAGTGGCCGGCCTTGACATCAGTCTGGCGGAGCCTAGGAGGGGACGAATGGTCAGCCATCCCAAGCCAACATTAAAACATCATCAACCCACACGACCTACTTTTCATTGGTCTCCCGCAGATTCTTGTCATTCTGTTCGAGCTCCTCCTCGAGCACCTGCACCTTACGCTGGAGGGACTCGTTCTGGGTACCGTGCTGTGCCGACTGCTCCGCCTCGCCCTTGGCCTTTTGGTGCATCCCTTCCACCTTCTCCACCTCCTGCTCCAAGACTCGCTGCTTGTGTTGGAGGGACGTGATTTCTTGCTCTTTCTGCAGGTTCTCTTGCTCCAGCGACTTCACTTTCGCCTGAAGCTCCTCGACCTTGGCCGCTGAATCGTCCGCCTCCACCCGGAGGGCTTCCATGCGCTGCCATGGGAAAGAGTGTTAGCCAGAGTTCTTTTGTGAGCATTATTTGGTTGGAGCGATCAGTGGTTGGTCGGGCGGAGAATTGTCGAGCATTGAAGAAGCAACTCAACATGGGGGCGGTCTACCTTCTTGATTGCGTCCATCGTTGGTGTTCCTATCGTAGCGAGGAGCGTTGACAAGTGGTGAAGTGAAAGATGACTGAGATGGCGGAAGTGGTCGGGACTTTGTACAGAGGGCGGAAAAGCTGCTGCCTTTCAAACGAGCTGACGAGGGCGTGTGTTTTCGGCTTGGGTGGGACAGGTTGGAGGCGCGCGGTGCTTTGACTTGTTTCAGGAAACCTCCCTAACGACTGCCCGCGCCAAGACGTCCGCGCTTTCCAGGGACATCCCCCGTCCCGCCGCCAAACTCTAAGCCCAAAGGGGTAAAGCCAAACAAACAGTTGCTCCGAGCATGGATGGCGCATGCTTGCACTTGACGACACACCTCCACTCTCTCCCGCACAGCTCTTCCTGCACAGCAGCGGATTATGACAAGATGTTCGCCGCTCGTGCAAACCAGGAAAACACCATTTACGAGCGACAGACCGCCGCCGCCGCAAAGCCACTGAACCAAGGGATCAAAGGCCTTGCGCCAAAGACTCCCGCCAACAAGCCGGCGAGGACGCTTTTCAAGGGGCCCTTGAACGACGAGAACGTTGCGTTCGGGGTTCCCAAGACCGCTGGGAAGGTCAAGCAAGATGGGCTCTTCGGCGAGGGCAAAAGTGGCAAGGCTGGTCGGAATACCCTTGTAACGCCCGCTGGTAAGCAGTCTTCCTCTTGAAGCAATGACGCAGGTCTAACACTGCCATCAGGGCCACGAAACAGGGCGCCTCTGGGGAACAAGACGACAAATGCGAAAGGCAACGCACTCCAGACTCCCGCGCCACCGGTGCAGGACAAAGCTTCAGCTAGAGCCACTAGCCCTCGTGTTCGCAGAGGCAAAATCAAGATCCACGATGCAGGCACGATCGGCGTTGGGAACGAAGACAATATTCCCGAGATTGAGTACATGCCGCCGCGCGAAATCCCACTCCCAGACTACCCAGACGAATGGCCACACGATCGTACCTATCCCCAATTCGAAGGCGCCAATTTGACGCGGGGGTGGTGGTCGGAATTTGCGCGGCAGAAGGGCGACGACGATGACTCTGATTTCAGCGACTTCGAGGGCAAGCTGGCACAGATTGAGGAGAGGCAGAGAAAGGAACGGCAAGCAATGCGAGCAAGGCCATCACCTGCAGTCAAGAGGCCTGGCTTGAAGATGACGGCCAGAGATCCACTCAGCCAGAAGCAGCCGCAGACACTGAATGCGAGAAGTGCAGCATCGGCGCTGAATGCGCCGAACCCAACAGTCACGCCACGGTTTGCGGCTCCCACAGCCGCCACGCAGTCTCGTGCAACTTCGCTGGGCGTGCCGAAGAGGAGTGGTGTAAGTGTCCAGGCGCCAGTCGGTAACGCTCGGCACGGAGCGGCCAGGGTCGCCTCGAACACTACGGTGGGCTATTCGAAGGGGCGAGCGGTTCGTAAGCCTTCGCTGGGTGTCACGGGCGAGCAGCTGCCTGGCTCTGGCGACAAGATGGCATCACCAGACCAGACATCGCTGGACGAGCTGTTCTCCATCTCCAAGATGTTGAGTCTCGATGGAGAAGATGATGATGATCTCGGCGGCGGCGTCTTAGTGGGAGGAGATGTGGAGGATGAGGATGAGGCTGAGGTTTTCCAACTGCCGCCTGTTGATTATTGATTTCACCCATTCCCGGGCGGCGCCAGGCGTTGGGCGTGACTGGGGCAGTGTCTATGGATTAGTATGGCTGCCGCGAGACCCTCATTCATCCTCTATTGGGCCAAGCCAGACATCAATTACAACACTCGTTGCGCGGCTTCGACACGAATACCACATAGTAAAGAAGACACAATGCGACCCCATGGAAATCCGCCTGTCAGTAAGATAAGGTAAGCCTTGCATAACACGGCATCGACCGGAGGCCGGTTCGAGAGCTTCCGAGACATGCACTATACGAGCGGAGGTTAGCTCACTAAACGCCGACCGCCCGAAGCGATTCCCGGACGTCATGTTTTGCTTCGCACGCTGCATGTCCCTCTCTCCGCGCGCACACCAGCACCCACGAGCGCATCAAGATGGGGCTGGAGCCGGAACAAGCAGACGCACAAGACAAACCCGCTCGACAGCGGAAATCACACACCAAGTCTCGGAAGGGCTGCGGGAACTGCAAGCTGAGAAGAGTAAAAGTACGTGCCCGTCTTCCCGCCACTTCCGATGTCCGATTATCCTTCTGCAGACCACTGCATGAAGAATCAAGTGTGATCACGGGTGACTGACGCAACTTCCAGTGCGATGAGTCTCGGCCACAATGTAGAAGATGTGTCAATTTCGGCGTCGAGTGCGATTACGATGCCGATGCAGCTCCCGCGCTACAGTCGCGTGGCGAAGGCGCACTCGTCTTCACCAGCATCCCCCACAGCCTCGGACCGGGCCTGGGGCCAGAAAGTCCAAGAGACTCGCTTTCGCCAGAGCACAAAGACGATCCACTGGTGCCCATGCTCGGACTCCGCCTTGCTTTACACGAATCCAGCGAGGAGTATTGCGTAACACAGGACGACGTGGACATTCTACGTTCATTCCTCAATCGCACCGTCTACACCGTGGGGACGGCGCAGAGCATGGACACGTATCGGCGAGAGCTGCCACAATTGTGTCTCAAGGTACGTGCGATCCATCTCGAGTCTGGCCAGCCTACTAATTACCGAACTACATGTAGTCTTCTCATCTCATCCACGTAGTGTTGGGCATGACCTTGATGCACATCAGATACATCGCCGCAACTGGCTCCTGGCCGGGCGAGCCCTCACAAAAGGAGACGTTTCACACCTACCACGGCACTGCGCTTTTTAGCGTGCTGCTCGCGCAGGAGCCCGTCCGAGAAGAAGACAAGGACGCCTTGTGGGCATGCGCGGCACTCCTGGGCTGCATCACCATTGCCGGCATCGATGCAAAAACTCCGGAAGAGGCATGGCCGTTGCGAGACGACCGCATTGCCGATCTGGACTGGCTGCGCATGAGCGACGGCAAGAAACAGGTGTGGAAGGTGGTCGATCCGCTGCGCCCCACGAGTGTGTGGAGAGAAGTGATGAGCTTCGCAGGACAACAGGACCCGGAGCCGCGCAGCCATGTGCCGGAGCTCGACATGCTGTTCCCGTTTCTCACGAGCATCTACGACTTCAATCCGCTCGTTTCGAAGCCGGAAGAGGAGCAGGATCCTTATCACACTGCAGCGTCCATCCTTGTGCGGTTGTTGGAGCTCGACTGCAACCACTCGACCATCATGTACTTTCTCTCCTTCCTGGGCCACATGGATCCACGTTTCCGCGCGTTACTCCACAAGAAAGATCCCAAGGCTCTGCTGTTGCTGGCGTGGTGGTACGGGAAGATGTGTCAGTATAATGTGTGGTGGCAAAGCCGGCGGATGGTCCTTGAGGGACAGTCAATCTGCATGTATCTGGAGCGCTGGCATTCCGACCGACCGGAGATGATCAAATTGCTGGACTACCCCAAGGTTATGACGGGAATGATGCGGGCGTGAAGACTGCTGTGCTGGCGCGGATATCTAATGGTCACGTGTCGTTGGGGTAGGATGGATGATGCGTTGTCATGTAATATAGGGAGACAAAGGACCGATCGAATGGTCAATTTGGATTCGGTAGATTCACGGACTGGCTCCAGCTTGGACCATCTCACGTAAGGTGACACCTCCAAGGAGGTCATCGAAGATCCATTACTCCCCCTTGTCGCACGAGTTACGTACCTGTATATGTCAGGGCTGCTGACCATGCCAGCGATCATCATTTGATGAAGCAAGCGGTTAGTTTCATCCCGTGCCAGACGCGGCGCCTGCTGATAGCATGTCATCATCACATTATCGGCCGGTTTAATTGACGGAGCCGGGGCAGGTGCAGTGGTTGGAAATCGCGTCTCCTGCCATTGGACCGGGGAGAAAAGACGGCGCAAAGGCTAAAACGGGCCTGGCCCGGGCTTCTGCCACTTCCATCCACAGCCGTTCAAGCTACTGACGGAGCGTGCCATTGCCCTTACCTTGACTTTCTTTATTGCATCTGCCGTGGGTGTGTGCACAGTGCAGCGCGCGGCAAGCACAGTTTCAAAAGGCAAGCACGTCCCACGGTTGGGCTGCGCCTGCCTCACGATAAGTACATCGACTGCTTCCCTCTCTCTGCACCTTCTTCCCCTTGCTCCCGGTTTGCATCTTGACGACTGTCTGCAGCCTGGTCTGTTTCGCCGGGCCGCGTGTCTTGTTCACCTCTTTCCACACCACCGCACTTAGTGCCTGCTAGCTCCCATTGACGTGCTCTGTGGAACGTGATTCCCAGCTCTGCAGACTTCGTCCACAAGACACTTCTCGCCCATTGACTTGGTCGAGAAGCTCTCCGCACCCGAAAGCTTGCCCACCTCCACGACCATGGCTTCGACCGACGATACAGCCTTCGGGGCGTCGATTGTCCCCCTCCACCAACGAGCAAGCCCCCCAATCCTCGTCCTCGACTCTCCCGCCCTTACCCCGGTAGGATCACACGAAGACCTTCCCGTGGTGCATGGCAATGCCATCGGCCCCTACCACGCCGCACCATCTCAGCCTCAAGGCTCACACATGAAAGCTCCCAATGTGCACGTCCGCCAGCCAAGCCAGTCCAGCATCACGCTCAACGAGAAACACGACTTGGAAGCCGGCATCTACACCCCTCTCGCCGTACAAGCAGGAAAGCACGATGACTTCAACCCGTTCAGCAGCAAGATCAGCGTCGACCACAACAAAGAGTGCAAGATGTGGCCTTCGAGGCAGACGCTTCTCCAGAACCGTTTGGCGGACAAGAGGCGGAAGCGAGACGCAAAGGGCTGTGGGTGGTGCCTGGGCCCCATGGTGAATACCTGGGCCGGCTTTACCACGCGGCAGAAATTGTTGATCAAAATCATTACTGCCTTTCTCTTTGTCGGAATCGTCGTTGCCGTGGCGGTCGGCATCAGCATCGCAGTCAAGGGCACCGTCAACACCAACGCTGGACAGACGCAGATTCCGCAGCCGCAGAAGCGCAGCTGATGGGAGGTGTTGGACCGTTCAAGGCTGGAGAAATGCCGGGCTCATTAACATGGCTCGGAGGCTGGTGCATGATCAAGGGCGGGGAGTTTATGGAGCTAGGGAGTGACATTGCTGGCGCATCCCTATGGAGCACTTTACTTGCATTCTGTATGTGCTGAACAGAGCTGGGTTAGTGAGCATGGATGGATGGCGTTAGAAGTGCAGCATTCAATTGGATGATAAAGGGAACGTTCCACCCTTGCTTTGCTATCCTGTATTGAGGGCCACTTTGTGTATCGTGCTCTCTCCACGCCGATCTGTGCTTTGCTGTGGACAAGGTGATGGAGCGAGTGGGGTATCGTTACCCTTAGTCGACGTCACTGTCTGTCGACTTCATGAAACAGACACCTTCCAGGTATTTTGTCTCTTGCAATCGGTCTACGAAACATCTTAACGCGACATCTTCTCGTCAAATAATCGAAAAGTGTGGAGAACCATGCCTGAAACACATATCATCGCCATTCTCTCTCCCGGTAAGCGAATCACGCCAGCATTGGAAGCTCGTCGCTAAATACATGAACAGCCAAGGGCAAATCGCATCGCGTGGGTCACATTTGTGCAACACATATTCGTCATTTGAAACGTCGTCGACTAATCCCAAACCCGGCCATTAGCTGAAGGAACTCTTGGGGAAGATGTGCAAAGACGTGCACGAAAAGGAGGACTACACGCTCCGCTACATCGCCACCGAGCAGATTGACGGCGACAACCCCGACGATGCCGATATCGTGATGATTGAGACGTAAGCCGACCGCGGCTGTGTCGTGCCCGCTCGACTGACAATTGGTCACAGGTACAAGGACAAGGCGTCCGCTGACAAGCATACCACCGAGCCTCACTTCAAGGAGATCTTCGCCACGCTCGACAAGGAAGGCATCCTGGGCAAGGCGCCATGGCTGGCGAAGACGCAGAGCAAGCATGGCTTCGACCTGGATCACAAGCTGATCTAGATTGGCGCTGTTCAATGTGATGCCGTTGAAGTGTTTCGATCTTGCTTCCGTATATATTCCACCTACATACCATGAGGTCATCTTCTCTCATCGCAGCTTATTCGCGACTTTGTCCAAGCATCGCCTTGCATCCTCCCGGACTTCCTCAGTGATAATCGCCGCCTTTTTGACCTCCCGAACCAAGCCCACGCCCGTGCCGGCATAGGTTGTCATTCTCGCATTCTTGCCCCAGCCGTCATCGCCTTTCTTCTCCGCTTCCCGGTACAGACGCTGGTTCTCCTCAAAGCTCAGGCCATTGGCGTGGTCAGAGAAGCTCTCATTCAGCACGCCGCGACCTCCGTACCTCGTTGGCCAGTCGGTCGTGCCACGCAGTTGATCGTACAACTTGGTGCGTTCCGTGGCTTGGCCACCGTCAGACGCCTGCACGACGGCAGCTCTGTAGCCCTGTGCAATGTTCGCTTCCGGTGATGCGAGGTAGCGAGTGCCCATGGCGAAGCCAGCAGCATCGAGGGCAAGGACTGCAGCTCCTCCTCGTCCATCCATGACTCCGCCAGCGGCAATCAGGCTGGGCTTGCGAATCTGTCGCTCCTGACATAAAGTAGTCAGGGCATCATCGACTTCAGGGAACAGAGCGATGATCCCGGCGCCCTGCACCAGCCCATGCCCACCGGCATCTTGGCCTTGGACCACGAGAACATCCGGGTCGCAGGCTTCGGTGTATTCAACCGCTTCCTGCACGCTACCAACCTGGATCCAAATTTTGGTGACTCCTGCCGTTACTCGGCGAGTCTCTTGGGTCCATTGGACAAGTTCGCGGGTGTTGTTCGCTGCGTAAAGCCAGATTGCGGCCGGGCGGTACTTCTCAAGGATTGGAAGTGAGGCCTGCAGCAGTTTCTCTCCCGCCCAGACGAAGACGCCGACGCCAACCGGAAGTACGTTTTTGAAATGACTCAAGTGCGTGTCGTGTGCTTGAGCGGCCTTGACGGCGTCCAGTCCGGAAGACAGGTTGGACACATCGTTACCGGCGGCAAGGAACCCGAATCCTCCTGCTTGGGAGACGGCGATTGCAAGAGGTGAAAGAGCAATCATTCTCATCGGAGCGCCGACCACCAACGGGGCCTTGGTCCATGGATAGTCGTTTTGGAGCTGATCCATCGTGATTGTTGGTCAAAGTTCACGTTCGTTGCGTTGCCAATTGAGCTCAAGTGTCTGCCCCCATCCTTTTTGATTGTTGCAATGCTCCGACTACGGCGATGTATGACACATGACAAAAGTGCTGGGCGACGTCCAAGGGTTCGCTGATGTAAGGTAAGGTACCTACGCTTCACCGTTCACCGTTATTCCCGTTGCAAAAGCCGGGAGAGGAAGGAGCGCCTGCGCCACGCCCACGCCGTCGGTCCGTGCGCAAAATTCGAAGTTCAAGCCATCAGCCAGCAACCTCGACCCTCCAACTCCATCCCACACCCCACTCTCTTCACATTCGCTCCCTCCTCTCTTTATTCACCTCACCAGCTCTTGCCGTCGTGAGTGCTGTGTGTCACGACGCTCCAAGATGAACGCCCCAGACAGGTACGTTACCCTTCTCCTCCTCTGTCCTCGCATCCCATTCCCAGCACACGATTTAGCCTTCTGTCGGTATTTGTTGCGCGAGCATCTCTGTACCAGGTAGCATGGCCGAGTCGAATGTATGCAGTTGGCATCCTGCCGCCTTGGACAGCTATGGCGCACGCTACTCGCTCTTCAACGATCCTCGTCGCTACGGCAATCGAGGCACCAAGATTGATATGCAGACTGACTTTGGTCCTTCAAGACACGAACTGTTCCTGCTGGAAGACGGCGAGAAGAAAGTGGAGGAAGACCCCGAGACTCGTAAGTTCTCTCTCATCCTCTCTACCACTACCCGTCTCTTGCTCATCTCGTCCCAGGCGTCCCCAACGCAGCCATGTTCACCTTCAACAAAGAAGACCACACCCTTGGCAATCTGCTCCGCGCAAAGCTCGTCAAGTCGGAACACGTCCTCTTCGCCGGCTACCAAGTCCCTCATCCCCTCTTCGCCACCTTCAAGTTGCGCGTGCAGACAGACGGCGAAGTCACGCCAAAGGAAGCGGTGGTAAAGGCGTGCCAGGATTTGGTCAAGGAGTTGCAGATGCTAGATCAGGAGTTCACCAAGGAGTGGGAGTTGAAGAAGATTGCCGGGGCTGGCGCTGACATTTGAACTCGAGAACATACCGCCGGGGCTGGGAGGACACGGGCGGCTTTCCTGCGTGCTGCATAGCGAAGGCGTTGGGAGATGGGGTTGGGTCGGTCCAACCACACGTGGAACTAAGATACCCCTGGGTGCGTATGCAATTGATTCTACTATTGTGACTGCCTCATATCTACGACGTTGCTTTCCACTGCCTCCTGGCTGGGTCTTGGCATGCACACTCGTCGAACACTCCCGGTCCCGACGCACAGGTCTGCAAACGAAATCGCAGCAACCCCAACTTGCACAACACACCATCCCAGTATTGCGGGCGCTCTCCGAACCACACTCTCCTGCTTGCGCCATGTGACCGCCGGCAGCTGTCTGCAAGAATGGCAGCCATGGTCACCTGCACTGCGAAAGCAGACACGCCCATGTCTCACAACATCCCGTCGGTCATTGATCTCTCCCATCTCAAGGCATTGCCGCCCGCTTCTAAATGGCGAGAATTGAAGAAGGCGGCAGACACCTTCGCTAGCACCGGCCGTAACCTCTTCGTTCACTACGCGTCGCCCATCCTTGTCAGACGGCGCGAATTACTCCGCGCAAGCGGCTCTACGAAGAAGAAGTATCCCAAGACGCCCGCTCAGCTCTGGCCGACCTTGGATGCAGACGACACGTTCTTCTGGAACCAAGCCGCCAAAGTAGTGAGACTGTGTATGAAGGAAGGCTCACTCAGCACCATGGACTGTCTGATTCATGCGGGGAGCTGAGTGAGCGGCAGCTGTATCTGCGACAGGCTGAGATTGCTGTGGCCAAATATCTCAACACTCCACCGCCCCAAGTTACGCCAGAAGCATCCGCTATTGAGATGTCGGAGCTCCTTTTGCACGTCATCCCAGAAAAGCATGAGATGGCCGTGGCCATCACTGCAAAGGACGATCCTGCGACGTTGCGGAATGACGACGAGCCAAACCTGCGAAGATCCAAGCGATACACCGCTCCTAGACACCATCCCTTCCCGCTTCTCCTACCAGCCCAGCATGCTCTACAGCCATTTCGCCAAGTACGACTACGATGAAGTACGCAAAGCGGAGGGCAAGCACCAGACGGCCATGCTGCGCCAACTGGCCAATCTGTTCGACAAGACCGGAAAGACGTTGTTCTACTACTACACCGTCCCCCGCTTGTGTCAGCAGGTCTACCCTCCGAGCAAGGGCGAGACGGTAACGGGCCAGGCGGCGGGATCGTGGCGGTTTCTAGCCGGACGGGAGAAAGAGAAATGGTATCTGGCCAGCGCAAAGCTGAAGAAGATCCTGGGAGATGGCGATATCGCAGGGCTGGAGGTCCTACAGTTGGATGGTGCTGAACCTGAGGTATTCAGGTTGCACGACATGGCGATGGAGGCTATTGGTGGATGTCAAGCTGCGGCGAGTGGGAATGGACCTGTCATCGAATGAAGTCGATTGATATCGGTGATGAAGCGTCTTCAGTTGTGTGACAAAACAGTGAAGTACGCGAGATCGAGGCAGTGAGATACCCGCAGCATGACACCACCGTCTCCGTTCACTCCAAGCGATGAACCTCACATATCCCAAAAACCATCACAGCGTTCGCAGCATCCCTTCAGGAGAGCAAATTCGTCGTCTTTCTCCACCATATTCGCCTGATTGTCTTTTCCCACCAAATTCACCTGCTCTGTCCCCACCCTCTCACCCTTCCCATGCCCCTCGAACTCAACCTGCCCCTGTGGCCTCGCTCTCACTTGGCTCTCCGTATCATTCTGCTCCTCGCTCTTCGGGACCCGTACTTGTTGAACCGCGTTGCAATCGTCGTGAGCCTCGCCCGATGTCGTGCCCGCCTGCCATTTCCCCCTTTCATTCCACTCGCGGTGCAGTTCGTTCACTTGTCGCGCCTGCCTCTCGAAGACAGGCTGCGTTCTGTCCAGCCCGCACAGCTCCATCCAGGCTTGCGGCCAGCCAGGCGTCGTGTTCGGCAGCAACAGCATCGTACGCGCACGATCTTGGTTGTAGTTGGTGTTGACCGTCATTCGCTCGGCCGCGACGAGCGATTGTGGTGAAGGTGGGGATTTGGTGGGAGCGTTTTGTGGGTGAGACATTGTTGCTTTGTGATAGTAGGCGATGGTGTTTTGTGGACTCTTTTGACGACCGCTGAAAAGGCTCTGATGACTGCTCGAAACCGCAATTCCATGGGAGAGTGAGAGTCTTCATATATACCGTGGGAACAGCCTCGCCATGTTTCAACACGCACTGACCACGCTGTGTCAGCCAGTCGTCTCTTTGTCCTTCTAGATCAGTCGCGGCGCCTGTGAAGACTATGATGGGACTCAGTGAGACAGATGAGAGTCACTTCTGGAGTAAGTTCGCATTCGAGGTTTCTGCATCCAGCGAAATTCTGAGAAGGTTTAGGGTATCGTGAAACGTCAGAGCACTGATCGACACCCATCAAAACGAATTTACCGTGCGTTCTTCCTCTCCTGTACCCTCCGCTTCGCCCGGACCTCTGCCTTCCGCCGCTCGCCACCATCCACTTTGTGCCCTCTTCTGTTCTCCCACAAGCCCTCCTTGACTTTGAGTCTTGCAAAGCCCGGATACCCCTTGACGTACTCGATTCCACGCCCGCTGATGGCAGTGCCATGAATGATCTTGACGCCCGATAGCGGCTTGGCTTCGGAGGCGTCGCGTAATCTCAGGAGTGGCAGGATGTGTACGGGCTTATCCTCCGTCGCAGCACCCTCCTCCGCCTTGACAGTGGTGGCTTCCGGGAGAGAAGGGGGGGAGTTGACAATGACCTTACGCATGCCCGCGTCTTTGGACAGCGTGGCCATACTGTCTGTTTTCCGCTGACTCGGCACCTCGGCGATCCTCAGCTCGGCGACACCATCCTTCACGTTCGCCATGTCCCCGCCGATGCCGCTGATGCCATTGCGGAAGCGATCTCTCCACCACAAGAGGTAGCGGCGAGCACGTGCGGGCTCCACGCCGGCCTCTCTAAGCTGCTGGCCCGAAAGTGTGAAGAGGGCCTCCCAGCTGGGGATCTTGGTCGCATGCTGAGAGAGATTACGGCCGATGAGGGTGAGGAATGTTTGCACGTCCGGGACGAAGGGTGTGGGTTTGGGGATGGAGGGTGTAGGCGCGTTGAGGCGGTGGAGTTGGCGGCATTGAAGGCATGTGGCGGTTCGGATGGATGCTGGAAGGCGCAGCAAGGCCGCCGGTCGCTTCAAGAAAGACATGCTGCAGGTCGATGGATGTCGGGCGGTTGATGAAGGGGGAAGTCGAATTCTTTATCTCCAACGTCAATGCTTGAAGTGCAAGCTGTGTCGGCGGGAGAAGGAGGGCATGCTGAGAAGTTCACGCAGCGGTTTCATAAATGCTTATTCACCAACCTCACTGCCTCGCTTCGTGAGTTGATGTATCTCGAGACCTATCAAACCATCATCTCACTCTCGATATGGCGACCTCACCAGCTCTGGATGTGCCGCCGGAAGGTCCACCCTTCAAAAGATTGAAGACCGGATCGAACGGCGTCTCAACTGCTTCATCTCCTGCCCCTTCGCACATGGCCGATCTGGCCGAGCAAGTGGACGCGCAGGAACGGCAGAAATACATCAAGGGACGTAAACTCGGCAGCGGTCAATATGCAGACGTCTACTCAGCCCACCTCGTCTCCGATCCCACCCAGCTCGTGGCCATTAAGAAGATCAAGGTCGGCGCCGAGGCCAAAGAGTTCGGCATCAGCTACGACAGTCTCCGCGAAATCAAATTCCTTCAGGAACTCGACCATCCCAACATCATCAAACTCTACGCCGTCTTCAGCACCAAAAGTCAGAACTTGAACCTCGTTCTCGAGCAACTGCCTCAGGGCGACTTGCTCAAGCTGATCCAGGACACCTCCAACATCACCTACACCCCCGCCGACATCAAGTCCTGGATGCTCATGCTCATGCGCGCCACCCACTTCTGCCATGCAAACTACGTCCTCCACCGTGATATCAAACCCAACAATCTGCTCATCGCCTCCGACGGCTCCATCAAACTCGCCGATTTCGGTCTGGCGAGGAGTTTCGCCGACCCCTTCCAGAAGATGACCTACAACACCGTCACCATCTGGTATCGCCCACCGGAACTCTTCTTCCAGGCTCAGTATTACGGCGGCAAGGTGGACGTGTGGAGTTGTGGCTGCGTCTTCGCCGAGCTGGTCGCCCGTGATGTCATGTTCCGCGCATGGCCGGAGAATGAGATCAACATGGTGAAGATGATCTGCGACAAGATCGGCACTCCAACGGAGGATAACTGGCCGGGAGTCTCGAAGATGAAGGGATATGTAACGCCCACCGAGGTCGTGCCGTTGCGTCCAAAGGAGCATTGGATGGCGCAGTTCCGGGCAGTGGGCGAGACCGGTGTCGATTTGTTGATGAAGATGCTGTTGCTCGATCCTCGCAAGCGATTGAGTGCAGAAGAGGTGCTCAAGCATCCATTCTGGACAGCCGAGCCGAGGCCTAGCAGACTCGAGGATTTGCCCCGGAAAGGTGGTGGCATGGAGGTGATGGGCGAGGACTTGAAGCGGCGTGGTGGTGAGATTCCGAACGGTGGAGGTGCTGGTGGGAGAGGCGACAAAGTGGCGAGGAAGATTGACTTTGGTGCTATGAAGTGATGGCGGGAATGATACACCGAAGCTTTCACATGCGTTGAGAAGATTCTTCCGCATGTGAGCTTCATCTTCGTATGTGCTCGCTCATTACTTCTTCAACAACATTGAAAGGCCTCGACACTCATTAAAAACACTATTCCCATCACTTTGGCAGCCTGAGCAGACCCAGATCCCTGGTGTGACCCTCAGCAACGTCGCCAGTATGGCCGACGAAGTCAACTACCTGCGATATCGAAACATCGTGCTCGAGACCGAGCTTCGCATGGTCAAGGATCAGCTCGCTCAAGCCCAGAGCGGAACACAGTATCTCCTCCACTGTCTCAGTACCCAATCCCAATACGTGACCCACGATCATAATCTCGCCAGCACATTGGCTGCCATCCCAACCTTCAGTGGCATCGAACGTCACAGTGCTGGCCAACCACAGAATCTCAGCTCTGCACAAGCCTCCTTCGATCCGGGCAGCTCCTTATTTCCTCACTTCCGCCCCCACCCCAGGAACCAAGACAGGGATGAATCGGAGCAAGATCTACTCACGTTCAATGATCGAGGTGCTTCATCCGCTGAAGCACGGGCGGCGGGTGAGCTCACGTCTGCAAGTGGTTCCAATAGTACGCTCATCGACAGCGAGGTCGTTACGCCATTGACAGCTTTTGACCTGGATAACGAGGACCAACTGATTGCGCTCGAAGTTCACTCAGGAAACAGCTATTTAACAGAGGACACTGTCGGGAAATCAGGGTGTTTTCCAACTGACCTCCGCCCAGCCGCCTCCGCCAATTATGGTGAGACGCCCCTTGAGAATTCCCGTGCCAACACCGCTGAGCAGCAACACTCGGACCATTGCAACGTGGGTGGATGGGTCGCGTGCCAACCGCCTAAACCATCTGAGCCAGTGCTTATCTTCGATCGCCCCTTTGCCCATCACGAGCACAATCGTCTCATGGGTGCCGCCGTCTTCATCGAAAGTATGACGGGAGAAGAGCGGGCAACGCATTGGCGGGTGCTGGAGAAAGACTCAAACAGACATACTGCGGCAGATTGGAAGCAGTATTACGACTACGTGGTCCGGCCTGCTTTTCTGGCGAAGTATGGCCCGCAAGACTCTGGAGAAGAAGGGCAGACGAAGGACAAAATGATTGAAAGAGAGCCAGACAAAGAACACGAGCTCGAGAGGATCCTCGACACTTATGGCACAGGAGGGCTGAAAGCTTCGAGGTGGGCATTTACAGCTCGACAATCTGAATCGGACATGTCTCGTGCCGACGAGGGGGCCAATCAGAGACCCAACTCCCCTTCGGCTGGTGGCGTGGGAGACGATACACATCCCCTGGGTTTGATGGTGCAACGGATCGACTCTCCCACGATCACACCGGGGTCTCAATCTGACACGACACAGAGCGGTGAGATGATGGAAGCCTCACACGCCAATTCCGTCAAAAGCTCGGCTCCCATGTCTACCCAGCAAACCTCGACGGTGGTAGAGCCGGTCCATGTACACGGATCGAGAGGTATCGTTGGCGAAGGCTTGCCCGAGTTTACATTCGATCCATTCAAGCAACGTCCAGGGCCTCGACCCTCTAATCCGACCATCTGTCGGTCATTCGGCAACGCCTCTCACGTCCTTTACAAGTTTAATTGTAAAGACGAAAACCTCTTCCGAACCATGCTGATCAGCAATATCCCGGCCAACATCACTCTGACCGACATCCTCTCTGCGGTCCGCGGCGGCAAGATAGTGTCCACGCGGTTCTTCGAGACGGTTGGGATGAGAACGAACCCACCGATCCAAACAAATGCCGCGACGATCGAATTCCTTGGATCCAATGCCGCCAAAGCATGCGTGGATTTCGTGAAAGCGAATCCAATCCGATTCTGGTCCACTACGGAAGATGCACCGGTTCAAGCGAAGGTCGAGATGCTGAGAATGGCACCGACCCGACCACTCGACCCACAATTGCTTGCAGACTTCAGAGAAGGCCTTACGCGCGTGCTCTTCATCATCGATACGGATGCACGGTGGACGGCAGAGCAGATCGTTTCCGAATTCGTGCGCGGCGAAGTGACTCGGCCACTAAAAGCTGGTCGAGACGAAGATGGAATTCTGTTCTTCGAGTTCGGGGACGCCAAAAGCGCTGGAGAAGCGTGGAGGGTTGTCGACCGGTGTTACTGGTTCTTTGGTGGTGCACAGAAGGGCTTCTTTCCCGATCCTTGTGCAGGATCGCTGGAAGAGGTGAGGGGGGTAGGGGTAGTTGGGAAGACGGAAGACGGTGTGCTGGGCAAAGACGAGGGTCAGGCTTGAGGAATGATATGCTATGGACTCTCCAAGCGCGAATATCTATCCGTCCCCGGAAAAGGCTTAGGCTAAAGATTGACGAGTAAATTGTGGTAGAGGGAGTAATTAGGCTATGGAAATAAGGTACGGACAGACATGGGATTGCGAACGATTCAGTTCCATCGGTTGAGTTGAATGTCACGCTTGGATATCGAGAGATGGGTCAGGCTTCGCAGCAACATGTGGGCCATTCTAACGGCATGCTCGACACTCTATTCCTTCACACAAGATTGACAGCCGCGCACGTGGGAGGAAGAGTTAGGTTCATGCCACCGACACGCTAAGCCAAATGTGGATGGACGGGACGGGCTAAAGCAAGACCTCGCTTCCCTCGCTGCGCGATATCGAGCACCACCGCCAGGGATTCCATGTAGATCCAACGACGGCGCCCGAGACAAGGCTGCCGGCCATGAACAACCACCAGGCCAGATGTGAGTGGGCTTGCGTCTTCGCGTCCACCGACGCCTGTCCGTCCCGCATGGCTGACCCTTCACAGACTCGCCGTATCCGCCGCAGCAGCAGCATGCCTTCACCTTCGCATATCCCCCATACGCGCAACCGACGTCGCAGGCTCCACCCGTGGGCTATCAGTACCATCAGCAGCCTCCTCCACCTCCCGTCTCGCAGCAACTCCATGCGCCGCACTTCTCTGCTCCCTACAAGCCTGGCGCGCAGGGCTTTGTCGCCGCATCGCAGCCAGCCCCGTCGCCCGCGCCGGGACAGTTCCGCCCGCAGGTCCCTCTACAGCCCATCTCCCGCAACATCACCTCCTCCTCTCCGCCACTGACAGACAATGGACCCGGGGCGCCGCCTCCCGAGCCGACGTCACCGGACGAGCAGCATCAAGACGATGATAGCGCAAATGAGGACCACGAAGGGCAGTACGCGGCGAATGGGAGCGACGAACATGGCGCCATCTTTAACATCCCCCCGCCGCCGGAGAACACATATCCCAACGAGGAAGAGCTCGAAAAGGCGATCCACGAGTGGAGCAAAGAGCATGGCTACGAGCTGGTGCGCCGCGCGAGCAAGCGCAATGCTCGCGGTGTGCTGTACAAGCGCTACTACCACTGCTCCAAGCACGGCAAGCGCGCCAACACCGGCAAGCTGACCGAGGAGATGAGGCAGCGCACCAACCGCAAGAGTGGCCGCGTGGACTGCCCGATGAGTCTCGCCGCCGTCGCCGTCGACCCGACGAACCCCGCCGGTGAATGGCAGATCCGACATCGAAAGTCGCACCACAACCACGGGCCCTTGAAAGCCGTCGAGCTCGCGGGACATCGGCGGCGGGCGAGGATGGGCGCGGTGGAGCAGGCGATCGACGGACTCTTTGCTATAGGCACCAGCACCGCCCAGGTCTTGCAGTTTCTGCAGACCACCCACCCGGATGGTCTCTTCACCCGCACCGACGTGGCCAACATGAAGAATCGATACAAGAAGTGGGGGACGTGCGCGGATCGGATACAGCGAGGGGAGAACCACATCTCTACCGTGCGATACAAGAACCAACTGGGCATCCCCATCCCGTGTATTCCATGTCGGCAGCGAAAGTACAACTGCGGCAGTGAGCGCCCGACGTGCAAAAACTGCCAGCAGAATGGTTTTGCGTGTGAGTACAGCCACGAGCAGCCTGCGAACAACGAAAGCACCCCGGTCGAAGATGGCGATGCAATGCACACTGAGGTCACGCCCGACATTCAACTACAGCAGGAGATTGGCGCCACCGTCCAGCCCGCACCCAATGCCCCTCGTGCCCAGACGTCAGCACCAACCCCCGACGAGACGGAGCGCATCTTGAACAATCTGCGAAACTTCCAAGCCGAGCACATCAAACCGCAACGCCTCACCCTCGACTCCTCATCTGTGGAGGTTCTCGCTCAAAGCTCTTGTGGCAATGGAGACAGCTACCGCGGCCTGCCCTTCCTCAACACCGAGCACGACTGGCCTGCGTTTCGAGACGCGATGATCGAAGCCGCGCTAAAAGAGAACACGCACGATGTCCTAAGAGGCATCAAAACCCAGCCCACCAGCCCACCAGGGCCGCGCGAGGAGATCGACGTGGAGACGTGGAACGAGTACATTCGCCAGCTCGCCATCTTCAACCGGCGCAACAGCCTCCTCCTCTCCGCCCTGCTGTCGAAAACGAGCCCCATGTTCCGCAATCGCGTGCAAACCTTCCCGCTCGCCGCGCCCGCGTGGGACATGCTGGAGCAAATGTGCGCCCCGCGCGGCTGCACCACCGCGTATCAGCTCTACTGCGACCTGCACGCCACCACTCTTGCGGCCTGCACGTCCCTCCAAAACTACATCAGCCGGCTGGACTCGGCGTATGCTGCATTCACGCAGCTCAAACTCAACACAAGCCCGCCCAGTCTTCCGCATGGCAGGAGAGGGGGAGGCGGCGGGAAGCAGAAAGATGCGCAACAGGCCGCCGTGCAACCTTCGCCACCGCACACCGGAGCGGAGGCGATGACGGAGGAGATGCTGGTGTTCTTGTTCCTGCGGGGCCTGGGGCGCGAATGGAGTGGGTGGACCGAGGCAATGTGCATGACGAATAATATCGGCGGGTTTGGAACGGGGGATCGGTTGGGGTTCAAGGAGGTGTGCAAGGCGGCGCTGAGGCAGGAGGCCCTTGCGAGGAGGTCGGGAGGGACGGCTTCGGGTTGATGAAAGGATGATAGGATTGACGTCGGTCGGCGAAACGCCGGGCAGTCAAATATTACGTCGCTATGAACGTTAAGATACCAGATAGTATGAGTAGATAATCATAGTCGTAGATGCATGCGCGCGCGCGTGTCTCATTTCGCCGTGAAAAGCTTGGTCCAAACCACTGAATCCAAAGCAAAAGGAGGACGAACATCCCCCTGAACCATCGCGCAGCCACAAGGCGAATGAGCTAGGTGGCAAGAGGGTGATTACATGAACAGGACAATCTCGCCCCGCTCGTTCCTCCTCAGACGCAAGATCTTCCACAGTTCCTTGTTGTCTTCTTCCTTCTCATCGCCGCGCACATGGCGCTCGCGATGGTAACGCTTGAGCACCTTATTCAGCGAGTCGCCGCGCTCGCTCTCCGGACCCTTCTCGATAAAGGACAGGAACACCTCGGCGCGGCTTTTGTAGCTGACAATTTGATTTGTCGCATGAGGCTGGACGGACGCAGGCCGTTCGGAGCGACGGTCGGGGGCATACTCCAGCACGCGCTGAGATTTGCGGCGGGGTTGGTCGTCGGAGGAGACGGAGTTGCGGTGGTGCGCGCGATGATGGTCGGCACGTTGGCGGTCGGAGCGGCTGTCGTAGTGTTTGCTGCGCTCGGGACTTCGTGTCGCAGTGCGACGATGTCTGTGGCTTTCGTAGCTGTCGCTGCGCTCTGGACTCCGTGGATGCCGGGGTCGGATGTGAGTGTCGGCTGTGGTGGAGGCGCGGTTGTCGTCGTGGTGTTTCTTGCGGTCGTGGCGGTGGTGAGACGAGGTGGTTACGTCAGAGGGTTTGACAGTGATGGTGTTGTATGGCGCGGAGGTGGATTTGCGATGTTCTGCTTTGCCACCATCAGAAGATCGTCTGGTGCGCTTGGCGGGACTGAGCACGGGGGTGGGGCCGGCGTCGATACGGTCCTCGAAGAAGTCGGTGTCGGTGACGAGCTTATTCAGACCGCCGGTGAGGCCGGAATGCAAAATGACGGGGTCGCTGGGAGCATCGGTCATGGTCAGGTCGTGGGGAGAGGGGCGCTTGGTGGAGGAGAGATCCAGGTCTTCCACCTCCAGCCTCTTGCGCTTCTTCTCCGAGCTCTCCACGATTGACACACGCTTCCTCCTCTCCTTCCCGTCCTTGCGATGTTCCTTTGGCGCAGGGGTGACGTAGGCATTGGCGGGGAGATCATGGGCATGCTTGGAGTCTGCGAGATCATGCCAGGAGTCGTAGCGGGAGAAGGAGGAGGCGACGGGGGTGTTGCCGTAGGAGAAGCCATGGTCCATGTACTGCGAGCCGTTGGGATGCGAATGGTGCGAGAGACGGGAGTAGTCTCCATTGCCGTAATGGACAGGGTGTTCGACCATGCGCTGTTCGTGGGAGCGCTCCTCCCTCCTCTTGGAGGCGCTTGGGGAGGCATCGGACACGAGAAAGTCGAAGACATTGACATTGTCCGCCATTTCTGCAGTATTGTCTGGGGCAGGCGGGGGCGTGGGGGCTCTGGGGGGAACGTCAATGACCATCATGGCCTGGGAGTCATCACCCTCCGGGGCATCTTCCACGTAGGCGCGTTTGGGGACGACTGCCATAGCCCCCGAGGTATCTTTTTCCGTCAACGACTTGCGTTTGTCTGCCTTGCTCTTTTTGTCCTGGTACATATGCCCCTGGTACTTTTCGGCCTCGCTGATGCAACTGGTGTGTGAACTGATTTATAGGGTCAGTGGGTGGGGAAGGTGGACGAGGGTTAGACATGGACGAGAGACCTACCGGTAGCTGGTGCCTTCAAAGTGGACCATGCAATCCAGGCAGGTAAAAGCGGCCCATCGACAGTGGTTGCGATGCTTGTCCAGGCCCTTTTTGGTAATCACATCGCCACACGCCTCTGGGAAGAATTAGCACGGCGTGGAGAGAGGGAGAGGACGGTGAAGGGAGATGGGGAGGAAGAAAGGCTGCGCGCGTACCGCAAGAAAAGGAGACCATGGCGAGGGGTGAGCGAAGGAGCAGGAAGGGGGGAGCAAAAAGGCAAGCGCCGTGCTCAGGTGCGTCGATGTCTCTGCAAGACTGCCCACGGGATTACGCGACGAGTGACCCTGAGGGCGACGTCAGGTCCAGTCGGGTTTCAGTTTGAACGCGCATCGTCCAGCCAGGCCAGCGTGCGGGAGGAAAAGGCTTGCTCCCCGCCCAAGTTTTAGGCTTTGGCGGACGCGCTAGGCAGCCAAGGCACGCCCTCTGATTTGTGCCTGCTGCCTGGGGGAAATCAGGCGCATGCAGGGCTCCAGGGGCAATTCGATGTTTAATACCTTATTACCTTGTCGTTATCTCTGCGGGATTCGTCTCCTACATGTACTGTATGGTACGCCGCGCAGCTCGTCAAGCACCTTCTGCCATAATCTCCGAGTCGGTGCATAGGAAGCGATGACGCATCGTTAGGCTTCACCACCGTCACAATGCTCGATCCGCGTCGTGCCACGGCAGGCAGTGATGATCAGTTGTGATTCCTCCATCTCTGCATGTACCCTACAACAATCACTGCCCGAGGCCTCACAACAACTGTCCTGCAACCTCCACCAGTTCACTTGTTGCGTGCATCTCGCTTGCAGATTATTGCCCTGTGCACGAGAACGCGCGACGAATGGGATAGAGAAGGCAACTCTGACCACGTCACGCTCGCCGCTCGTCAACCCCATCGTCGACCAAGCGATTTGATGCGCGACGCTCCATCCTCATTATCGTCAACGCCTACCAGCGGCTTGTTGTTTCCATACATCTCTCATCCACTAACCACCCAGCTATACGTATGCCGGATGCCGTAAAGCAGCGCCACCAGGCTAATGGCACTGAAGATGGCGAGGGCCACCAGCACCCCTCCCTTCAACTCCAGAGCGTCGCCAAGCTCCATCTTGGCCACCGCACGATGCTTCTTTTGCGTCACCCACCCCTGAAACATGGGCGCGGTGGGTTGCTGAGCGTTGCTGCCCTCGCTGCGCTTCCACGTCCCGTCTCGAGAGTCCTGATAGGGTTCGGCAGGTGACCAGTGAGTCACCCGGGCCCATAGGCCTTCGGAGTGGGAAGCGTGCTGCGACACACGCCACTGGCGCTGGCGGTACTCCACGATGGCCAAGGATAGCAGGAAGGCCACCATGTTCAGCGGGACCAATACCAGCTGTGCGGTGCCTTTCGTCAGTCAAGCAGACGGGATGCAGGGGGAAGCAATGCGCATACGTCAAGCAGGAGGGAGGTCCCATTGGCCGCATCTCCTTGCACTTCGCTGTCCGACTCCTGCGCCGGCGTGTGCATCGTGTTTGTGGTCAGGTTCAGGAATGCGTCAGCCTCCGCCCTACCATGATGATGCGCCTTGCCGGCGGGTCGGTGGTGTGCATTTCCTTCTCCTGGCCACTCCTCCGATGTTGCATGCGCGGCTCTCTCAACCATGGCGAAGGATGCGACTCGATTGCGATCGAGAACGAGGCTGTCGTGCTCGACAAAGCGGCATCGCCGTGTGGTGAGCGGAGGTGGACGGAAGCAAAGGCAGCGCGCCCCGCGTCCCAAGGCTCGGCAGCGCCAAAGCTTCATCAGTCGGCCCGGCAGCTGCAGCCCCACTCGGCTTTGGGCGATCAATCTCTTCATCTCAATCGCACGTCCGCTTGCGGTAAGAGCATCAACGACGCGAGACAGCATCGTGAAGATCGGCATGGATCTCGTCTGCGCCAACATTGTCCAGCAGGGTCGAGCAATCTTCTGGGACCAGCCAAGTCCTCGACGGGTAGTCCTCCTGCCTCTGGACGGTATGCACAATGTTGTAAGGCTTGTGGCTTAGCGCGACGCAAAACATTTCCTACCTACACTCGAGCTTCTCGAGCTCGCGTGCTGGCGGAACGATGGAACAACCCTTGATGCGCGCAGGGGCAACGAGGTGGTGTGAGCCTCCGAGCATGCATGTGCAGACAAGCATCAGCCAGACGGAGGTGGCTTGAGCAGGCTTTGATTTGATGCAAGGCGTGGGCGCAAATCGGCAGCCTTCCTCGACATCCCCCGTCATTGGAGCCGTAGTGGCAGCACACTAATGCGGAAGAAAAGTGTTCGCGACAACCTTTGTTTTCGCGCGCCCGACGGCCTAGGGCGGCCAATCACGGCTCCGTCTCCATCCCAAGGCTGTCAAGCCGTCTCCCTGTTCAGCTCCTGCGCCACACTCCGTGTCCCGCCGGATGCTGACGTTTCGTCTCTCGACCCGTTTACGGCGCTTGGACGCTCGAACTTGCTCAAACTCTGTCGCCCTTGCCGCCCACTTCCCTTCCCGCCCGTGTGGAGATGCGTGGCCTGTACATGCTTTTTACCTGCCCGGAAGGCAGAAGCGACCATCCCGCTACCCAATCACCCCCTGCTACCCTTCCACGAAGTTTTCATAGCCTCACGTGGGTGTACCCTGCACGAGCCATTGACATGTCGGTGTCTGCACCCCGCTGCACCACTGGAAGGCCGGCTTGCCATGTCTAAGGGTCTGTGAGAGCCTTCAATGGCCGCCACAGCCTTCCGAATGTGGGTTCCTTGCACGGTACCGATGCCGTCTCTACACCCCATCGGCTTCCGTCATACAGCGACAAGACTACAACCCAACCACCCACGAGCGTCACCGCCGTTGTCTTCTTATATCTATCCTTCCCCCCTCCTTGACCCATGACTGCACGGAACGCATCCTCACCTCCGTGTCCTCTTCACTCTAGCCTGCCGTAGCGGGAACAATGTCGAATAAGCGCGCAGCCGCGCACTCCAAATCAGGCCCTCGCCCTACTTCTCCCGCTTCGAGTAGATCTGACAACAGTAACACCAGTACATCCCACATCACCCCCACGGCCATGCACGGCGCTGACGATCCCCTAGGCAGCAAAGCATCCTCCCCATCCGACACTCCCGGCAAGAACCAGATCGACTTTCAGTTTTTAAATTTCTCCCACCCTTCCGAGGCAAAAGCATCCCCCAATCGCAAAGCCGTCCGCAGTCATGTCACCCGCGAGCAACATCGACGCGAACACGCTGCCGCCGCGGCTCGAAAGGCGCACACCTCACAAGACACCGAGCCCGAGGTCGAAAACGCGGCGTCTCGCCAACGCTCGCCCATCACCCTCCATCTGCCTCACCGTCCACCAACGATACCAAGCAGCTCCGAAATATCGCCTGCTACTCCCACCACCTCGCGCTCGACTTCTCCCTTCTACAGAGCAGGCACTCGAATCAACCCAGCAGACATCTACCCCGAGCAGTGGCAGCCATACCTTCCGCGCATCATAGTATGTGGTCCTTGAACCTTCACCCACGTCCATTCCGCTGATGATCATACAGGAACACTATCTCGCTCACATGGCCCTTGATATCCCTGACCTCGACGGCCCCGGCGACAGAGGCTTGCTTCGCACGCGCTTCTTCCCCTTTGTCCTCACCGATGCCGCCCCTCTACATTCCCTCATGCTCATGGCCACGGCGCATTACTCTCAAATGCGCGGTTCGCAATCCCATACCATCGATATTCTCCAATTAAAAGGCATGGCAATACGCGAGATCAATAGCGCGCTCGAAAACCCGCAACGAATGATCAGCGACCAGCTCGTCGCAGCCGTGGCCAAAATGGCCTCGTACGAAGCTCTCTTCGGCGATCAGCATTTCTTCAACACGCATATGACTGGCCTCCTCCGAATGGTGAGTCTGCGAGGTGGTCTGCCCGCTCTGGGCCTCGATGGTCTGCTCGAGCGCATTCTACTGTGGATCGACTCGAACGTGGCTCACATCAAAGGCACTCAAGTCTACTTCGACCGCGCTGCTTTCCCTACTTCGGCGCGTCATCCCACGCCGGATCCGCAGCGCTTTTTAGGTGGACTGGCGAAGCTCACACCGTCCCCGTCTTGATACGTGATAGCATAGGGTGATGTGTCAGAGTGCGACAGTGCTGGCACTGTCTAAAATCTCTTTTACTGCATTCTCAACGATCATTTGTGACTGCTCCTCTTCCCTTACCCAAAATTCGGCTGGCATGGTTCGACGATTCTCGTTAAGGTTGTTGTGCCGAATGTGGAGCCGAATCGTCTCAACGCACAACAGAATCGTGCCAACGCTGCGCGATAATGTCTCAAGAAGGAATTTATCGTGACATGCCATGGGAAGCGCGGTAGCATCGCAATTTTGGCCAAGGTCTACGGTCGGGTGAAGAAGTTGAGTTACTCAACAGAAGACGACAGGCCAGCGTGGATTGCTAGGCATTCCAAGCGCTGAAAGACGAAAATGAGCCCAGTCCACACATGCACATTGGATCTACTGCAGGGCAAGGGGCGCGGACGCCATTGGATGCTCGTATACCACGCTACCCGTATGCCAATTTTACCGTCGCAGCCCTAGGGAGGGTCCAATAGCCACGCGACGTATGCAGGAGAGGAATCATTCCGTGCATTGATAAGCATCGTCAGGAGGCGGAGCCGATGCTCGCGAGGATGCAAATCTTGCGCGGGCTTGGCGTCGATATGCACCCATCTGACCGGGGGGCCGGAGATTCGGATGGCTAGTTGATGTCCGATTTAGAGTTGCCTGCGTAGCCCTCCCCTGACTAGGCGCCAAAGCATTGGGCCTCGCAATTGCCGTGCAATCTCCGTGAATCTGGGAGATCGCTGTGGCTTCAATCAAGTCGCGTGGCTGACGCATCCGCTTGCGGCACAGAGTCGGTCGTTTGAGTTGTCGAACGTACGGGTGGTCGTCGTCCTTCGTCCGGCGGCGTGTCTGCCGCGTCCGGGCGATCACCACGGGGGACGCTTGACAGTCCGATGATATCGGGCATAGGCTGAGAGGCCCCTCTGACGCTGCCTGTGGTGGAGTCTAGTCTCGACAGCAAATTTTCACGTCTCGTAATGGCTTGCGAGAAGACCTTCCTACAACCGCGTCCGTTGACGGTCGCGATTCCATCTCAACTCCGCGGTGAAAATCCTTACTCCAGAGGCTGTGCAAGGCACGCGAAGACATGTCGTGCAGCAAAGAGCGCTAGACTCGGGAGCTAAATATAAGCGCTAGCCGTATTCGGAATATACACAATGGGCTTCACCGGAAGCCTCAGATGGGCAATTGTAACCCGCTGAGTTGTGCATACTCTGACGTGCTTTTTTCAAGGCTGACCCATGATTGCAATATCGGAGCACCCGATGGCATACCCTGTCATCGTGGAGACTCCGAGAGACCGTTCCTGCATTCTGCCAGTGCTAAGGGGAAGGTTGTGCATTAGTACGCGGATGGCGATGCTTGATGCGCCGCTTTTGATTAAGGTTCAGAGGAGAAAGGACGGAGGGCATCCGGGCTTGGACTCTGCTGCTCGTGGCATCGGTTCAGCAACTTCCTCATTAGGTCTTTAATCCCCATGGTTGTTCAACTTTCGGCCACAGCCTTGTCCACCGGCGGTGGGTGCCGCTAGACATGCAATGTCGTGAGGAGATGGGACGGCCGTCACTTCCCGACGCGGAGCTCGAGCTCAAATGGGATGCAAGATCAGATGGGAGGGAGCATATCCTCGTCATGGAGTGACTTGCGGTTGCAGCACGCCAATAGATGGGAGCAGTCACGTTGGAGGGTCTCAGGACTACTCGGATGCAGAGGATGGTGTAGAATGGATTTCACTTCCTGGTACGAATTGACGACCTCCACCCCATCCGTTCGTAGAAGATGTCCGTGTGGTAGACTCGGGCCTTCGCTGTAAAACATTGCTCTATGCTGACCCCCCAGCGCTTATCTCAGTCTCCTTGCCTCACGCTCAGACTCCAGCAGACACAGAATGTCATCCTCGCGCACTGTTCGCAGTCAGTATGGCCCCGTTTCTCTTCGTGTTGCGTGTGCGCATTGCATACCTGGGCCCTTGACGTTGCGGATGATGCTTCGGGTGGTGTCGTCCATGAATTCGACGCGCACTTGCGTGACACCTCCACGCGAACCTGTACGTTGTCAGAACCCCATGCCAGACCTCAGCTTTTGCGCCTTGCGCTGCCTAGCTCTTCACATACCGGTACGGCCGAGGACTCGGGTGACCTTGACGAGTTTGACGGGAACTCTGTGGGCTGGTTAGGATTTTTCACACCCAGCCAACAGGCCTCAGGGAGGGTCGCTCACTTGGCTGAGTCCATGTTTGCGGTATCTCAAATGTGTCTCTTGTTCGAGATGGTGGTGAGGAGGTCGTAGAGTCGGGTGTTGCGGCGCAAAGGTCTTCAGTGATCGAGCGAAGTGTGCTTTGCCAGCGTTTTGCGAAGCAACTTTTGGAGAAATCTTGGCAAAGTGCGATCGGGATTAAGTATCGCCGCGCCGCTATCCGTGGTCCACCGCCAACCCCGGCGGATCGGCCCGCTTGCAGGGTGTGACAGCTCGCAATGACTGTACACCTCACTTTTTTGGGTTGGGCTCGCCATATCTTCAATGCCTCATTGACTCGATCACGTTTTCGCATCATTGCAAGATTGCCCTTGGATCGCGAGTACGACTGAATCTCCGTGCGACTCTAGACTTCTTGACAGGACGAGGGAATTGTGTCGGACCGCACGCTGTACTGGTCGGCATCGTCTCATCAACACCCGAGCATTCCAGCCTGCCGGGCTGCCAACATACTGTGTACTGAGAAGAGCACAACCCACATCGTGTTAAAATGGATTTCACAGGCACATCGTAGGTCTTCGCCCCAACTGTACCATCCTCACCAAGAATGCGACCTCACACTGCCGATAGTCTCAACGACCGGCTCCTCTTTGGAGTGCCAAAGAAAGGACGACTCCACCAAGCATGTCTTGATCTACTTGCTGGCTCCGACATCCAGTTCCACCGCCACAACCGTCATGACATTGCGCTTGTGAAGAATCTCCCATTGGCCCTGGTCTTCCTACCAGCAGCGGACATTCCCTTCTTCGTTGGGCAGGGCCGAGTCGATATCGGCATTACGGGCAGGGACCAAGTGGCTGAGCACGAAGTCGGAACTCCTCCAACTGAGGCCACAGGTGTGGTCGAGGTCCTCGAGCTTGGCTTTGGCGCCTGCAAATTGCAGGTGCAGGTGCCGGAGAAGGGGCCGATCCAAACGCCACAGCAATTGATCGGCAAAAACATCGTCACCAGTTTCACCGCTCTTGCTGCGCAGTATTTCCAGAAGCTGGAGGGAGCAGAGTCGAGCGTCCAAACCAACGGCGATGCAGGCAGCAAGCTAGCCACCAAGATCCAATTCGTGGGTGGGAGCGTTGAAGCTGCGTGCAATTTGGGCTTCGCAGACGGCATTGTCGATCTCGTTGGTGAGCATGACTGATCGGCTATGCGATCTTTTCTTACGCTAAGTCTGTACAGAATCTGGCGAGACGATGCGCGCGGCTGGGCTCAAAGCCATCGATACTGTGGTAGAGTCGACTGCAGTGCTGATCACTTCGAAGCACCCATCCGACCCCAAGCTCGTTCACATCATTGCAAATCGAATTCGTGGCGTCATCACGGCCAAGAAGTACGTGCTTTGTACTTACAACGTGGAACGGAGACTACTGCCCGTAGTCAGTCAAATCACTCCTGGCCGGCGTGCTCCAACCGTCACCAGCCTTGATGAAGAGGGATGGGTGGCAGTGTCGGTGATGGAACAGCGAAGCAAGATTGCTCCTGCTATGGACGCCTTGCTCGAGGCTGGAGCAGTGGACATTCTTGTAACGGAAATCGGAAACGCCCGCATGGGATCGGTCGACTAAGGGAGGAATGTGTTTCGAGGGAAGTTGGTAGCAGGACATCTGACTCCAGGCTGCGACTTCTTGATGATGGGGCTTCATGGTCGACGGTTAGAATAATCGGCATGGTTCTTTTACAGCTCATTGATGTAACGACTACATTTGATAGAATACCTTAGAAGGGATCCTGGGTTAATGCAAGTGGGCCACCATGCCTTTCATTCAGCGCATCTGTAGCCCTCAAGTGTTCTTCGTGGTAATGAGCAGAAGCCCCCCGCTTCTCATGCTCCACTATAAGCAACGATCAGGCAGAGCAGTAGCGGTCGAACGAACCCTTGATGAGGTCAGTGACATCCCTCACCTTCCTAATCGGGAGATCAATATCCAAAGGCTTTGCCCACAATATCAACTATCCATCACATTTTCAACAGAAGTTCATAATCACTTATTTCCCAGCACGATGCCGGAAACGAAATACTTTGAGCACGAGCTGACGCTTTCCGCCAACTCTGAGCCGGCGGGCTCCAAGCTTGCGGCGAAACAGGCCTACTGGACGTTTGGTGATACATCGAAGCCCGCAGTCTTCTTGCCAACATGCTACGGCGGCACCCTGGAGAGCACGCTTCCGTTCCTGTACTCCTCGGAGCACAGCTCAGATCCCATTCTCCCGCCTTCCCAATATTTCATCATCGTGGCCGCCATGCTCGGGGGAGGCGAATCCTCCTCTCCCTCCAACAGTGGCCAGGGTCCTGACTTTCCGCGCACCACTTACGAAGATAACATCCGACTGCAGCACGCCTTGTGCGAGAGCCTAGGCATCAAGAAGCTCTTCGCCTACATTGGGTTCAGCATGGGTGGGCAGCAAGCCTATCACATCAGCACGCTGTTCCCCGACTTCGTGGAGCATATGGTGTGCATCGCCGGCAGCGCGCGAACTAGTTGGCACAACTGGTGCTTCCTAGAGGGCCCAAGATACGCATTGATCATGTCGAAGGACTTTCAAGACGGTCGCTACGAACGGAATCCGGAAGCCGGGCTGAAGGCCTTTTCGAGAGTATACAGTACGTGGGCGCTGTCACCGCAGTGGTTTCGAGATCGCTGTTGGGAGCAGGCGGGCTTCAAGACATTGGAGGAGTTTCTGGAGGCGAACTGGTCGGGTAATGGGGATGCGAATGATCGGCTGGCGGATTTGTGGACGTGGCAGCATGGTGATATCACGTTGTATCACCCCGAGGATGGAGGAGACCTGGCGAAGACGTTGGGCAGGATTCGAGCCAAGTGCTTGATTATGCCGTCGCGGACCGACCAGTACTTTCCTCCCGAGGACAGTGAATTCGAGGTGAAACACTTGAAGCACGGAGAGTATCGACCTATCGACTCTGTGTGGGGCCATATTGCAGGGTCTGGTTTCAGTGGAGCGAAGGAAGATACTGAGTTCATGGCGAAGGAGATTAAGAGATTTTTGAATGTATGAATAGCACCATCTGAATGGCAATGTCCTCTGAAAGAGACCCGGTTGCGCCTGTCTACCTGCCAGAAGATGCGAGCGTTGGCCGCGTCTGGATCACTTCACTTGGTGGCGATGACCCTGAACTGGTGGTATCATACTGTAGGCTGTTTCCTTGCTTGGACTCCGTGCCATCTCGAGGTTGGCTCTGGCGATACGACGCAGTGAGAAGCGAAAGGCAGCACCCACGTATCCAGTGATTTGTTGGCAGTGCGTGGAAGAAAAGCGAGATGAGTGGTTGGAGTGCAGGTGAAGAAAAGGGAGCTCTTGCCTGATGCGCGTGATGTACCTACATGTAGCTACACCTCACTTGTCATACTCGGATGGAATGGCTGAAGGATCAGCCAGCCTTGTTGCCACCCCTTCTACGCCATGCCCGTGCCATGCCCATCAAGGTCGCTCGCAGCTTCTCTCTTCTCATGAGAATACATTGGGAAGCTTTCCATCTCTCCCTCGTTTTCGCTCAACCGCAAGTGAGCGTCTGCATCCATGTGCAGCTCCCGAGCCACCTGACGGTGTGGACGATTGACAAGAAGATGAAGCAGCCCTCCTTACCCGGATCGACCTCCGGGCCTGGCGTGGCGGTGACATCACAGCAGCAACCATCGCTGGAGCCGTCTCCGACATTTGCTCCGCTCCGCAATTATTACGTGGGTTACTGGTTACCCCTCCAGCGCCACTGCCCCTCCATCCGCGGTCTGGCCCTGCGTCCAAGGCAAAGACATAGCCGGCCAAACATTGACGGCAATCTACCATATTCTTTTTGGCTTCTTTCTCCAATCATTTTCCTTTCTTCTCTCAAACACTTCCTCTGATAATTCCCTAACCGCTTCAATTCTACTTCCCAGTCACATTCCAACATCCCATATACACCCCCACCACCCGTCACCATGGGCATCGAAGAGCTCCCCAAGAAGATGAAGGCCATCCAGGTGGTGGAATACCACAAGCCCTACCAGATCAACGAGATCGACGTGCCCCGTGAGCTGCGAGATGATGACCTGCTGGTCAAGATCGCCGTCGCCTCCAACTGCCACACCGACCAGATGGTCCAGGAGGGCATCATGGGCACCAAGCTGCCCTGCACCGGCTCGCACGAAGGCTCCGGCACCGTCGTCGCCGTCGGCGCTGCAGCAGCCAAGCGTGGCTTCAAAGAGGGCATGCGCGTCATGTGTGGCATCCCATACCATCCCTGCATGAACTGCGCCGACTGCAACAACTCCGACGAGGGCTCCAAGCAGTACTGCATGAAGCTCGAGGGCCACAAGGGCGTGCACATCGATGGCTACTTCGCCGACTATGCCGTCTGCGATTCCCGCACTTCCACCCCCATGCCCGACGAAGTCACCTTCCGCTCAGCCGCCCCGCTGGCCTGTGCCGGACGAACGGTGTGGCGAGCGGTGCTGCAGGCTGGCGAGGCTGCGGAGAAGACGGGCAAGTGGATTTGCATCGTCGGCTCCGGCGGTGGACTTGGGTATGTAGTTGGACCTTGATCTCCTCTCCTATCACCTCCCCCTTGACTAATGTACGTCCAGACATCTCGGTGTGCAGTTCGCCAAAGCTCTCGGCTACAAAGTCATCGGTGTGGACGCGCGCGAGGAGGGCCTGCGATTGTCCAAGGAGTATGGCGCGGACGTGATCGTAGATGCGCGCAAGGGCAAGGATGCCGTGGTGGAGGAGGTGCACAAGGTGACGAACGGCGAGGGCGCCGACTCGACCATTGTCCTGTCCGACCACAAGGACGCCACCGCCATCGGCTGTGCCGCCTCCAAAATGCACGCCACGCTCGTGCAAGTCGCCCAGCCCGACGACATCATCATCCCCTTCCCCGAAATCATCTTCCGCGATATTCGGATTCACGGCTCGCTGATCTGCTCGCCCGAACAGAGCAAGTCGATGATGGAGACCATTGCCAAGCACGGCATCAAGGTGACGACGGTGCCCTTTGAGGGCTTGGAGAAGATCAACGACTTAACCGAGCTGGTGCACAGTGGCAAGCTGGCGGGCAAGGCCATCATCATCGTCGACCCCCAGCAGATTGAGGATGAGAAGAAGCTTGGTGCGAAATACTAGACGAACATGATGAAGCACCATGAGCGAGCGGCTTGCAGCGGAGAGGTTCTCTCTCGGTTCGCTTCTGTTCTGATAGCACCTTCATGTTGTACATAAACACACCCATAGCAGCCCGAGCTCTTGGGGGAGATTTTGCCAAACCAGCAACACGCACTTCGCTGACTGCACGCCTTTCACCAACCTATGCAAACGCCGTCTGACCCATGCTGAACCACCAACCACAGCACACTCCCTTTCGTATCGGTCCAGGTTCACCCCTCAGATCATGTTCTTGTTCTTCTTCAAATTGAAGGCACGCTGATCCTTCAACCATCTCCTGTAGTCCTTGACGGAAGCAATCTTCTCGCCGTAGTAATCAGGGATTGGATTTTGAATGCTCGACGACGCCGGATCCGCACGGTAGCGTTTGATGCGAGCAAAGAAGGACTTTTCTTTCTGCAAAGGCCGTCACATTAGTATGTCAAACGCCTATCCACGAGAAAGTAATGGTGCCGCCGACTCACCTCAGCAATTGAATGGTTCCATCCTTTCCTCGCCGCCCATACTTTGAACAAACCATTGCCGAAGGTCGGTCCACAGAGCCACCCACCCGCAGCGATTGCTATCCCCGTAATCCCCAGCACCATCATGGGATCCAAGCCGGAGACTTGCGCCGCCCATGCATCAATGTCTTGCTGGGCGAGAACGGGCCCCAGAGCCAGGAGGGCGCCGCCGCCAGTCATGACGGATGCGCCGAGATTGACGTAGCGTCGCTTGCGGCGGATGTTGAAGAATCGGTCCCATGTCAAGACGTCTTTGGGGATGTCGGGCTGACTGGAGGTAGGCGCGGACGAGGATGCATGGCGGACGGCGGTGATGGCTAGGGCCTTGGGTGTTTGGTTTCGAAGAGGGCCGGAGACGCTGAGTGGTGAGGTTCTTGATAACCGTTGTATCGGGGAGGTAGCTGTGTGCAAGGAGGACGAGCGCGGCGACTTCACGGGAGAGGATCGGGCGGCGCTGGCGAGGGATCTGAAGCCAGCAGTACTTGGCTTGAAGTGACACGCCATCTTGAATTCAATTCAGGAGATGCATTGGGATGTTGCGCGCGTTGATAGGATTTCTCAAGACCGCGAGATTGACGAAGTCTGGTGCTTGGACTTGGGAGTCAAGCTGCTGCACTGGGAAGCTTAGTCAGCCGAACCTCACTCATTCAGTGCAGTGCTATCAACTGCTATGTACGCCTCTGTCAGAACGTCACTTGCTCCGTCGAACTCCGAATCTTGCTCAACATCTCCGTAAGGTGCTCTTCATCCTCCGCGCCCACCACGACATCCCCATAGCTCAGGCCGGCATTCTTATCTTCGTACCAAGCCACAATACAGAGCTGGCCGGACTCCAGCTCCCCTCTCCATTGCTCACAGAACTCATCCCGCGATTTCCTCACGGTGGCAGAGATTGAGCTGGCGCATTGGAAGCCGCGCGAGGTGAAGTGTGTCTGTAGGAGCGGCAGACATAGCGACCCGGATGTCCGCACGTTCAGATCGACAATGTAGAACTCGCCGTTTTGCGTCTCCAGGATATCTGCTCCAGCTGGGCCGAAGTAGCCGTGCTGATGCAACCACTTTGCTGTCTGATGCATGACATCTCCAAACTTCCGCTGCAGATTGGCTTGATGTGGGTAGGATATCTTACTCCCCGTCCACGCGGAGCTGGCTCGGTCAATCATCTGCTCCGACATGGCGAGGAACGTAGGCGAGCCGTCTTCCCCTACGAAGAAGGTCAATCCGTAATCGTTCACCGCATCGATGACCATCGTCATCAGCAACATCGATCCGGCTCGGAGGTGTTCATTGTCTTTGGTAATCCGACCGAGGAGCCTCCGTAGTATTCCGCCTTGGGTCAAGTCCTCGAGCAGTTGATTTCGTCGTGGCCCTGTTGTGACAACGTACGTCCCAGCTCCAGCGAATGCCTGCTGATTCTTGAAGACGAATGGCAATGGATGGCGTTCAATAGCGGCCAGGATGCGAACCGTCTGCTCTCCAATCCATCTGCCTCGGGGTCCGGTGCAGGTTTCTGGCACGTCTTCCTCTATCAAACTTCGTACACATTCCTCGCAGCAATTCGCCGCACCCGGACACCAACCTTGTACTTCAACCACCTCGGCCTCGGGCGTTGGCAATCCAGATTTTGCCAGTGCCTCCTTGCCGTTCAGAAAGAAGAAGGTGTCGGGATCGGTCAGCATTCGTGTCGGCCGCGCGACGCCCTCGCTCGGATCGGCGATGCAGTCGACAACGAGTTTCGCCCCAATCACACCTATGCCGTGGTCTGCGCACACTCTCGATACGTGCCCGGGACCGGGGCAAAAGATGGCCTCTGCTCTCTGCGACTCGTCGAGCACCGAAAGCGTGCGTTCGGCTTCGGCTTCATCGTGCTCGATTTCCACGCTCGACCTTCCACTGTAGAAGAAGATGACGGGCTCTCTGCCGGTAATGAAGGCGTCCCGTTGTGGGACGAGACAAAGGTATTTGGGGGCCAGGGTGCGCCTGACCAGCGAGTCGGGCTTCTCCGCTCGTGCAACATCATTGAACGTTCCGTCCTGGTAGATGTACTTCTTATTGCGTGGAAAGTCGGCAGAGAGCTCGGTTGTACAGCTCGCGCCACAAAAGATGAATCCAATGCGGGTGTCGGAGAGTGACGGGCATGTCTGACGATAGAGGTCCGACAGTGTCCGGTCGAGTCTGATTCGCGGCAGCGTCACCTTGCCTTGCGGGCCTGCCTCGTTCGTTGATGTCATGCTGATCTTCACATCCCGTGCCGACCATCCATCCGAAGATAGTATATACACGTATGCACAAGGCACGGGGAAAAGTCTTCGGGAGACAATCGCAACGGACTCGCGTTCAACCAATCTGGTATCCGGTGAGGTGTAAAGCATGTGGAGCCTTTTTTAGCCACACTTCCAACCTTGTGTCTACAATTCCCAGACACGCTTGAGCAAGGAGATATGCAGCATTGGCAAGTATTACAACATGCTCTACGTCTAAGCGACTTCCTCCACCATTCTCCCTCTGCCCTGCCCTTTCCAACTGCCCACTCCAATCGACTCACCCAAGGGCCCCTCCAACCACTCCACTGGAATTCCAGCTCGACTACCATCGTTGGCATTGACCCATCGCACGAACAAGGGGTCCGGCCGTTCCTCTTCGCCATCCTCGGCGCCCGGAGTCCCGGTAGAATCGGCATGCTGTGCGGCCAGGATCTCGGCCCGCGTGCGGCGTTTCGGCGCGGGCTTCTTGAGGAGTTTGTTGATGGTGTCCATCTGCGATAATGTAACGTTAGCAGGCAAGGCTCGAACGGAAACGTGCGACAGCAACGACATGCCTTTTCCTCTTCATTCCGCTTCTCGGACAAATTCTTACGCCGCCGAGCCATTTCCGCTCGGCGCATTGCGTGCTCTTCGGCGGTGAGGTGCTTCTTCTTCTGCGCTTCATTGGAGAGGGCCATAAGATTGGGGTCGATTTCTTCCTCGTACACTCCGCGCTGCCGGCGAGTCAATTTGCTCAAGTCCGGAGTCGCACTGCGTGAATTCTCGTTGTCCTCGTCATCATCGTCGCTGTCGTCTTCTTCATCTTCGTCGTTGTCGTCATTGTCGTTGGAACCCAGATCGGACAAATCATCCTCGTCCTCCTCTTCGTCCTCATCCTCCATTTCCTTCTCCTCAACAGACTTTAGCGGGCCTTCCAGAGGGGCCGTGACGGTGACGTTTGGTTTCGCTTGTCCGGCTGATCGCACCTCCTTGATGATAGGAGGCGGTGGGTGCTGCTCTTGCAGGTCGTCCTCCATGTCGACATTCTGATAGCCCGCATCCTCATTGATCCAGTATTTGTCCCGCGCCTCCTTACCGCGGTACGCCGGCCTCGCGACTGGTTCATCCTCTTGATCATCCTCGTCATCTTCTTCCCCCTCCAAATCCTCCTCGTCGGCAGAATCTGGATCGTTGTCGGCGGAATCCGGGTCATCATCGGCGGAATCGGGGTCGTTGTCGGCGGAGTCTATATCGTTGTCGGCGGAGTCTGGATCGTTGTCGGCCGAATCTATGTCGTTGTCGGCGGAGTCTATCTCTTCCTCATCTGAGTCTTGCTCAACGACCGGGCGGGGGTTTCTCGTCGACCGTGCGTTTCTCTTCACGGCAGCGCGTGGGGTGACGTCGGATTCACTCGCCGATCCGGTGTATGGATTCGGCGGGATGCGAGACTCGAGTTGCGAGCGCGAAGTAGCCTGGCGGAGTTTGCTCGGCGGAGCTTTGACGGTCAATCTCAAGGAAGTCGCGCCGTTGGACGGGCGCGCAACAGAGGCTGACGAGGTTGCGGTACTTGTCGATGCGTTAGCTCGTGTGTATGGATGGCGTGTATCCCTCGCAAAAGGCTGCGAGCTTGCGCGAACCGAACGACGGGTGGGAGGCATTGCGGTTGCTGAGCTGTGACAAGGCAAAACGAGGCAAGGTAGAGGGACAGAAAGCAGGCACAAGATGCCTCACAGACAATCATGTGCCACTTCGCTGCCTGGAATGCGCCCGCTCATCTCTCCTTGCACCAATCCGCGCGTTGCTGAGAGCCCAATGACAAAGGAGAGAGGTGGAATGACGTACCCACGCGAAGGATATGATGAGATCTTGATGGGCGCTCCGGACGAGCTCTTGACGCGTTTGTTGCTGTGTTCCATGGTGAATGTCAGATAGCTGAGGTGGCTGGAGATGGCGAGATGTGAGTTGCACGGCCCTGATCGTCGTACACACAGCTGCACGGCAAAGGGAGGACGATAGTGCTGGAGTCTTCGCGACGAATAGGGAGTGAGCTGAGCGAGTGCGAGATGGTTGTTGCCAAGCCTTGCCTGCTGGAAGCAGCTGCCGAGGTTCGGCGCGTTCCTGCCTCTTCAATAAGTTACCTTTGACACCACCACGACGCTGCCTCTTTTCCATCCTGTCGCCGATCGCTATGAAGGCTGCTTGCTGCCATCAACATGCCCGATAACAAACCAACGCCAGCCATACCGGCTTGGCAAAGGGCACGGCAAGCCGGCGAGAAGGCATCGGAAGAGACGTCGGACGATACGAACCTGGCTCATCACGCTGCAGCAGCTCCAGCAGAGGATTCGGCGGCAGCAGACGCGCAAACAGATTCTACTGAGGAGCAGCCGGCAAGTCCAATCGCACAGAGCGAGTCAACGAAGCCCTCCCTCCACACGGGCGACTTCGAGAGCTTCCGACAGCAGCAGGGCCAGCCTCAGCAACCTCCTGCCGTTGCAACCACGTCTGTTGCGCCGCGACCCGTAGGCCCTCCTATCATCACATATCCCGAGTATTTGGTCGAAGCACACAAGCCGCCACCTCTGATCACTCTGTCACGATTATGGACCACGGCAAAAATCGCAAGTGGCGCCGCAGCACTCATCTACGGCGCAAGCAAATACCTCGTCACCCCGATGTCCGATAGCCTCAATGCGGCCCGGCATGACTTTGCACTCCACAGTCAAGGCAAGATGGATGAATTCAACGAGCGCTTGGCCAAACTAGTGAGCAAAGTGCCCGAGGAGAAGAAGTCCACGCCCAACAGCGAGCTCGAAGAGACGGACAGCGAGGTCAGCGATCCTACCGACCTTTACCATCGGGATATGGGCACGCAGACCTCTCCTCCCCCCTCCCGACTCAACTCCATCTCCCGTACCGCCCCGGGCGTGGACAAGACGAAGACACCGACAGAATACCAGACGCAAGGTCTGACTATCATCAAAGAGCATCTGAGTGAAATGCTCGACCGTTTCACCGACCTCGAAGTCCCGGAGGCAGATCGGCAGGCAAAGGTGAACGAGCTCCGAACCTACCTGGACATGCTCATGTATGCCTCTGCGGGGATCAGCGCATGGAGCACGGCGGAGGAAATGGGCAAGACGGGTGAGGAAGCTGGTGGCAAAGAGGACGGGATTGAGGAGTTGAAAAAGGAGATAAGGGGTGTCAAGGGGGTCATGCTGAGTGCAAAGCGCTTTCCTGGTGTCGCTGGCCGTGTCACCTAGCCATGATGCAATACTTCTACCGGCCGACGCCGCATCGTAGACCGAGAGAGGTGTCGGTCTCGCAGAGTGTTACCCGCAGAGCGTTGCTACCTGTATTCTGCAACATCCATTCTCGGCAAGGTCCTATACCAATGGTTGGCTGGCACATGCGAAAGCGCTTACTGCCAATCGCATCGCCCCCCTGCCAGTCTTGCGATGCAAGTGCAGCAATGCAGGGAACCGCGACAGATGAAGGTCCGGCTTACCGGGCCCCAGCATGCCTGATGAGCAGGCATAAACCCTTTACAGCATGATATCTTCCGCCATAATTGATGGAAGACACCGCGCTTCCAACAGAAAAAGCTGGCATCGGAATGTCTGCCGCCCGGGACGTCTCCGACGAATTCCGCCAATTGACAGCCTCGTTGCGCAGATACGTACTTCTGAACCCTGACGGCAAGTCAGATTGCATGTACAGAGTCTTTGCTCTAAGCTGTTCTTTCCCGCTTCTGATCTCTTGTGAAACGAACAATTCTGAGGCGGTCAGCAATGATTGCTAACATTGTGCGCCCATTGCTCCACAGGACGTCGTTCAAGGCAGCCAAGGTGTTCGAGAGCCTGCAGGGATTCGCTTGATACGCGAGACTCGAAGGCTCTCGTGACGCCTTTGCATGGCAGACTAGACTTCGATGACCCATGACGCTCGGCGTTCCTGTCGCTGCTTGCCAAGGCTGGAGCTGTCGTTTCTGCTATGGCCGAAGAGTGTCATTGAGTAGAGATCTCCAACCCCACGAGGGCAAGAAATGGATGCCCAAAGAGTGCAGCCATCTTACCATCACGTTCCTGCGGACGACGTGGGAGGCGTTCCATCCCACAGCTGAGAAGGCTCTCGGCCAAGGGCGCCAAGAGCTAGCAGCAAACACGACTCAAGGACGCAGACCCTGCCATCAACCCCGGAGGGAAGCAAGCTTGCAGCCACAAAGAAGAGTGGACCGGCCAATCCAGCCGTGCGATCAGAGATGAGATGCAGTTTAAGCTTCGCAATCTTCCGATGCCCTCTGCGATAATCCCCGCAACCACGCAGCGCCAACGTGCGCAGGGGTCCCTCTCAACAAACGCACAAAACGCACGCTCATGCTCCGGCCGGGTGTCGGTCTTTCCGCCACAGGCTGAGACACTGGGCAACCTTCTCGAATGTCGAGCCACTTCAGGCGCGAGGATGCAATGTTCGCTTATTCGCGAGGCTACTTGTAGCCACGTGCAGTGTGGCCTGACCAGAGATTTGCGTTCCAGAACTTGTTGCCAGGGTTCTCGTTCTAGACGGACGTGGCGGCGAGTGTTACCTAGCCTTTCTGCACGCTCGCGAGCTTGTCAGGCACGTGAAAGGGTGGAAGCCCTTATGGTCCAGCGTGAATAAGGTGCGCATGCCTCTTTGAGAGTCCGCAGAGGCAAAGAGGGGAATCCTTATGGACAACGCTGTGCTACAGGGGCTGCTGCTATCGGAGCAAACACGCTCCGCAAGGGTGCAAGCTCGATCGGGGCGGGGTGCGGCGATGATCTGTCCTGTCTCACACTCGGCCCCGGATGCAGATCTCCTGTCGGTGTGGCGATCCAACAGCCTGCCGCCCTGCTTGTGAGCTCCGGCGCTGCACGCCGGCTCCCCCATGTCCTGCACGACGTCACCTTCTCGCGCTGTTTCCGAGGGCACAATTGGCCGTCGTGTTATCACGCAGGTCGAGCGCTATCCGTGATGGGGCCCGGCACTCGTGTGAATTAGGAATATGCAACGCTGCTCGGTTGTCTAGCGGCTTGTCGGGTCTGCCGGCCGCCTGGACACTGCGCGTCAGTCATCTAGCCGCTGATAGGGTTCGTCGTGGCGTTTTCTAGACAACGAATAACCGCCCGAGAGGCGCCACGCTTGGACTGCATGATGACAACTGCACCATCGGGATCTTTGTTTTAATTGCTTGCTGCTCCGGCCACCAATGTCCAGACCGAATGTTCACAACCTTTTTTGAAGGTGGCCTACATCACCGCAGGCATTGCCGTCGAACTACACTCTCACTGCAGTGCCAGTGGTGCTTGAAGGTCGACAGAGCACAGGCGTGAGGGGCCGAACCCATTAACTCTCTGCAAGCGCAGCCTGACCGTTCCACTTGGCGCGCGCTGGCCTTACGCTTCGCGCCCCAACCACCTCCCCCTTCCTCCAAACACGAGCGCCGTGCGGCTCTCAAGATTACGCATCAATGTAGATGGGAGGCCCAGAGATGCCGCAAACTGCCACATCCATGGACGACGCGCCGCGACTCCCGGCGAGAGGAGGGAGTACGAAGATTAGGCATTTCGATGGAACCGCAAGAAAGACGAGCGATTGGGATGGATTACGCAGGGTGATGCTCCACTCCCCTTTGCACGGGCTAAATTTGTTGCTGACGCCTTTCAAGGACTCACGGCTCTGGTTTGACGATGCAGACTGCTTCGTCTATTTCTATGGGCACAGCGCGTCCCAGCGAGGCGCAAGTTTGAAGATACCTCTCGATGCTGTGGAAAAGCTGCAAAGCCGCTATCTCATGAAAAGCTGCTTGTACCTTCGACCGGCACTCGACAATTACGATCCTGGGCAGAAATATGTCCTTCTTCAAAACGAGTCCAATCGCGAAGATGCAAAGTACGAGCTGTACATCCCCGCCCCGCCGGGCTTGACGAAGGACCAAGCCTTCTCCTACCACCTTACCACGCGCAACCTACTGGCCTATGCCACGGGACGTCCAGTGGTCGGCGAGAAGTTGAGCGTGGCTCTGATCAACTTGTGGAGGCGCCTCCAAGATTGGCAAATACCTACCCGTCCCGCCGATTTCACCGCATTCTTGGAAAAGCAAGGCTATCTCGACTATACCGAGAACCCAGAGCATGCACTAGCTTGCTTGAAACTGGCCGACGACGCCCGCATCCGCGACATATGGATCGACTCATTTGTCCATTGCGTTGGCATGCGCGAGCGGCTCGATCTTAGTCCCGAGTACATTGGGCTGAGCCACACCATCGCTGCTTTGATAATGCGAGCGTCCCTGGAGATGGACTTACATATTGCGCGAGTTGTCAAAGCCGTCGGCTCCTTCCTTGAGGACGAACTCAGCGCAAGCCGTGTCGGCCTTTCCCGGCCGCTGAGGGATCATCTCGACCTGTTTCGAAGCTTCTTGCATGCTTTCTATGTCAACAGGTTTGGATACTTTCCTCCGCGAGCAACGAACCCGTGGAACAAACGGCCCTGGGCAAGCATGAAGAACGACTTCCAAAACCTCTACGACTACCTCGCAGACACCGCATCGTCATCGGACGGGATCAACAGCAAAGGCTTCACCGGCGGCTTTTGCGTTGTGCAAAACTTACAGTACTTCGATGTCCAGCATGGCTATCCATCGCTTCCTCATCCCCTTCCGTTGCTGCCTCAAATGCCCGTCAAGGTGAGGACACCCACCAGAGGAATGCGAACTCTATCGCTGCCGAGGACGGGTTCCGCCCGCGAACAAGTGGTGACAACGAAGGAGTTGCTCGCAACTGCGACCAACGGGCTGGGGTCTAAGGCAATGTTGTCACCCCTGATCCGAGAATACCAGCGCTTTGAGAGACAGCGCGAAGCCTCTGGTACCAAACTCGATGTCGCCGAGGCTCGAAAGGTTCGATGGCTCCTGATCTATGGCGTGCTACAGATGCTCAAAAGTATCGTTGACGGGCCTGCCGAAGTCAGAGACGCGGAGACGGCTTCGTATCCTCTCTGCGTTCTGACCCTGGGCGCTCCGGCTTGGGACGATAGCGCCACTCCGCTCACGAGAGAGAGTGCCATTCTCGCGAAGCAGCGATCGAACGAGAAGATCCTGGTTCCGGACGCCCTTGCTGCTCTGGAGGGCAACTCGTCAAGAATCTCCATTCACCCCGATTGCGAGGCCGAGTCCGCACAGGATTTCTTTGCCGCTGCCAACCTTTCCCGACGTGATTCTGCCGCTAGTCTGCAATCCCTGACGAACCCTCTCAAAAGGACGGCTTCCATCCGGTCCAGCATGCACTCATCTGTTAATGCCATTCAGCGATCGGTAGTGGGCAGTCTAACCAGACGCCACAGCAGTCGCCGAGCGAGCCTGACTGCCGAAGCCCAGCAAAGCTCTACATTCTGCCAGGTTGTCATCGAAGACTACGACGACGTTCTGAAAGCGCAGCAGGAGGCACTTCAAAGACTGGCAGTTTCGCCATCTGAGCAGACGGGTGCAGCAGCGAAGAATGCGTTTCAGGAGTTCGACTTCGGATTCGTTGCATCTGGTGGTGAGTCGATCGTGAATCGAGACTCGCTCGGGACACACGAATCACCTAACAGCGCCGATGATGCCGTGACAAGCTTCCTCGATAGCGAAAGTGAAGGGGAAAGCGAAGAGGAAAGCGAAAGCCCCGCGGGTAGCAGCAGGGGCTCGAACCGGTCTTCGCTCTACGAAGTCGACGATGCAAGTACGCCTACCGAGCCCTCCTCTCTGGAGAGCAGTCGACGAGATAGCGGCTCAAGCTTGTCCAAAATGGTCGAGGAACCACGACCGCCCAAAGATCAGCGACTGGTATATGAACCCAAGCCAGCCAGCGTCTCGGGCGTCAACGGCGGGACTTACATGCCCAAGGGGATGACAGCTGCGTCGAAGCAGCGGCGCTCACATACGAAGAAGCCAAGCATTGCGAGCAACGCGAGTTATGCTAGCAACGCGAGCTCGGAGTATGCCGCATGGCCTGTTCAGGCGGCGGATATCGATGAGGCTATGGCAAAGCGGACTTGCGGGTCCACCGCCATTCAGGCTCTTTCGAATTATGGAATTGTCTTGGGGGAGACTAATGTGTGGTGATTTTTCTTTGTCTTTTGGGTAATTAATTTTCGTTAGGACGACATTTAGCGAGGTGTTTGGGATGGATGATACCTAGGGAAGGAAAGCAAGGGATATTGTTTGGACGGAGGAGACAGTTACTTCATGATGCTACGTCTTACATCGTTTGCAATATCTCCAATCATCGATCTGTGGTTCAACCAACCGATGCGATACAGCAGTCTCATATTCCCATCAGACTGGCCAGCCGCTTCGCAGCATCGATCGCAAATCCCTCATCGTTGATGGCGCGGTCATCCCTCACAACTTCAAAACCCGACCCTTCCAACCCATCGCTCAATGTCGAAAAGAGCGCGGCATCGGCATCGGCATCGTAGAATGGGGCGTCAGGAGTCGCAATGACGGACACGCCGCCAAGGGGTAAAATGACCTGCACTTTGCTCTTGTCTCTTGTGTATCGCTTGAGCTTCTCCACCATGAACTCGGCAATTGCTTTGCTCTCTTCTGAATTCGTACGCATTAATGTGACTGTTGGATTGTGCTCGTAGAGCTTGCGCGACTGATATTTGTCCGGCACGGTGGATTTTGGGCCGAAGTTGCACATGTCCAAAGCTCCGCAAGAAATAATGTAGGGGATCCCGGCTTGCAGTGCGGCTTGAAGACGGTCTGGGCCGGCGCTCATGACTCCGCCGCATTGATAGTCGCACAGCTCGGTGGTGGTAACGTCGCAGACGGCGTCGAGACCTCCCTCTGCAACGAGACGTTCCAGTGCTCTGCCTCCTGTGCCGGTCATGTGGAAGATGTAACATTCGATAGGGTAGTTGTCCTCGAGGTACTGGCGAATCTTATCGACCGCGGGCGTGGTCACTCCAAACATTGACAGACCTACTCGCCTTTTCTGCTGGGCCTGACTGCCAGTGGGTCGAGAGGTCAGGCTGTGTTCGTATGCTTGACTCATGCCAACTATTGCACCCGCAGCGTTGGAGAGGATACGGTGCAAAAGTTGATTGCTGCCGGCAATATCAACGATGGAGGGCATCATGCAGATATCCGTCTCGCCCACCACGGGGCTGACGTCTGCGGATGCATTGGTGCTGACGACTAGTTTGGGAAAGCCGATTGGAAGGACGGCTCGCATAACTCCAGAGGCCAGAGAGGTGTTGCCCGTGCCACCTGCGCTGATGATGCCGTGGATGGCTACGTCAGGGTTGCCCAGCCCTGCCTCGTACGTCTGCTTAAGCCAATTGGATGCGCATTTGATCATGTAGTTGATGACATCGCCTCGCTGTGCACTCGCAACATCCTGTCGACTGTCCTTCGGAGCATACTCGGACGTGAGAGTGTCCTGAGAAACGGTGATCGACTCGTGCTTGGTTGGTGAGCGACCGGCATCGACCAGGGTAACTTTCGACTCGACTCCAGCATGGCCGAGAATCTGAGAACGCAGATAAAGCAGCTCTTGTAACTTGGTGTCACACGTCCCAATAATGACGATATTCGGCATCTTGCCACCAGATGTCCGAGGGACAAATAATGCAGTGTTGTCGCTGGGAAAGCTGAAGTCTTCGGTGGCGGAGGTGGAGATGTGGGGATTGTGGGGAGAGGAAAGATGGAACGGGCCTAGAAGTTACGTCAAGGCCATTCATGGCATCAATTCTCAATGTACTGAAACCAAAACCTCATATCGATTAGAGGGGCCATAAAGCATCACCACCAGGACAGACAGGCTTTCCGCAACGTAGTCAATTCTCTCGCCCGGCAGGATGGCGCCGCCGACGGACCGCAAAGAGATCCTGGATGGCTTTCGAGAGCAGATTAAGAATGGCAAGCCCATTGTCGGAGCGGGAGCAGGTACACTATGCACCTTTTTGGCGATCTCTTTACCAGGCTGACTTGAAGAAGGCATTGGACTGAGTGCAAAGTTCATCGAGGTCAGCGGGCTTGCATAACTTTGCCAACATCCAGCCTCGTGTACTGACTGCACCGTTTCCAGGCCGGCGGAGGCGACATGATCATCATCTACAACTCGGGACGCTTCAGGATGGCCGGTAGAGGCTCATTAGCCGGCCTCATGCCGTACAGCAACGCCAATGATGTCGTGGTAGAGATGGCGGCCGAGGTCATCCCGGTGGTCAAGCACACGCCAGTCATAGCAGGCGTCTGCGGCACCGACCCCTTTAGAGACATGCCGCGCTTTCTGAAGCAATTGAAAGACCTGGGGTTTGCGGGGGTGCAGAACTTCCCCACGGTCGGCCTGATTGATGGCACATTTCGCGCGAACTTGGAGGAGACGGACATGGGGTATGATGTAGAGGTGGACATGATCAAGACGGCGAGCGAGATGGGCCTGCTGACCACCCCTTACGTCTTCAACCCCGAAGAAGCAGTCAAGATGACAGAGGCTGGGGCGGATGTGCTCGTTGCTCACATGGGCTTGACCTCGTCGGGGTCGATAGGCGCGAAGTCGGGGAAAAGTCTGGAGGACTGTGTGAAGGAGATTCAAGCAATTCGAGATGCCGCTGTCAAGGTGCGCGAGGACATCATCATCCTGTGCCATGGAGGCCCGATTGCGAAGCCCGAGGACGCTACGTTTGTCCTCGAGCGGTGCAAAGGCGTGCAAGGCTTCTTCGGGGCGTCGAGCATGGAGCGGCTGCCGGTGGAGGAGGCCATCACGGGCATCACCAAGAAATTCAAGGGCATTGCCATGCGGTAAACGAGATTCGAGCTTTTGCATTGCATTCGCAAATATCAACCGCGCTTATTGAAACATCCAACATTGTCTCTCCCTCGCTGTTCTGCATCTTGCTTCAGGCTTTCCCTGACCACAATCACAACACGGCTGCAAGGCCTGCAACGAGCCAGCCCAGCTCCGAGCCTCCGATGCTTCCCCCAACAGCCGCGTTGGCGCTCGAAGTGCTTGCGGCGGTGGCCGAGCTACTGCTGGCGGAGGTAGTGGCGGCAGAGGAGGTGGTGGCAGCGCTGGCAGTGCCGGTCGAGGATCCGGTCGAGGTGCCAGTTGAGGAGGGAGTGTAGGTGATGCCCGGCGCACACGAGGCGCTAGTAGGAAGACCGGTGACCTGCGCGCTCTTGCAGATGGCGTCGGCGAACTGAATCGCTTCTACAATGTTCCGTGATCAGTCCAATGCTCGGGCAATGGTGCCCAGGCTTGCCAACAGATATAACGTACCCGCCTGATCTGCCGGAGAACAGTTGACCGAAAGACAGCACGACAAGTTGGCCAGCAGGGCCTTGTTGGTGCAGATGCATTTCACCTGGAGCAACTGGCATCCGTCCAACCTCGACGGATCCACGCAAGCGCCCGCGCACTTGGGGAGGCCGGGGACGCTGATGGCGCCGACGAGGCTCGCAAGCAGCGAGAGGGCGAGGGTGGAGAGGAGGCGCATGTTTGCGGCGGTGGAAGGTGGGTTGAAGGGTCGAGGGAGGAGGAAGGGGAGAGGAGGTCGCAACCCAAAGGCTCCAGTCGCGGTAGAAGACGCTAGCCCCGAGCTTAGCCCCGCCCTTGCCGCGTCTGGACCAAGTGGACCCGCTTGCCCCGGCCTCTGCTAACCCGTCCTGGTGTGGTGTGCCTCGTATTCGATGGCGCTGCAGCCTTGTACCGCGGTATCTCTCCGGGCACTGTTATCGTGGAAGCAGCAGTATCACTCTCGTACTGCATTTCACTCGTATTTGATCAAGAGACAACCGACTTTTAGCCAACAAGTCATCCACTCAAACCTCCGTCTCGACATCAGGCTCGCGCGTGTGATGCTCAAAGAGGCCCTCCACTTTCGACTCGAGTTTCTCCGCCTTGCCCATAGCCCACTTGGCCGTCCGTGGCAGACGCCATTGCATCATGCCACGATTTTGCCGATTGAGGTTCTTGTGATGCTCCTTCAGATCAGTCGCCTTCCTGACCAGCCCCTTCTTGCCGTCTTTGGTTTCCTTTCCATCGTCATCATCGTCGTCGTCGTCGTCGCTGTCATCAGAGCTGTCGCTCAAATCGCTGCCGTCGTCCGTCGCATCATCATCGGCCTCTATGATGCCCGCTTTCTCTTCTTGCGCTTTCGTCTCGTAATTGTCGCGAGCCACGTCCAGCACTTCCTTCACTTCCTTCATATTCTCATTCTTGCTCGCCCACTTCGAATGAGCCGAACCAAGCCCTTCCCAAAACTTCAGCTTCAGAGTAATCGAGCCCAGCTTCTCCCCCGGCTCCGGCAGCGCGTTCTTTTGAGCGCGCTCATAATCCCCTTTCCACACGGAAAGCTGGATTTCCTGCTTTTCCTCGTCCCTTACATCTTTCAGCCAGAGGATGGCAAATGCCGCAGTGCTAGCACCGAGTGTTTTGTTGTGTCGGAATTGTATGGCCAGGCAAGAGCTGTAGCGCTGGCGTACCGGCAGTTTCAGGCTGCGCTCGCGCTTCGCATGCCAGCCCTCCTCGGTCTTGCCCGGGTAGAACTTGCCGCTGCCCAAATCCGTGTGGAACTTCAGCTTGGCCGTCCGCAGAGTCTCAGGCACGTCTCCGAAAGCGACTGACGGCTGGACCTCGAGCGTCCCGCAATTCCATCCGATTGCCTCCGCCGGCGCTTGCCATTGTACGCTTCGCCACACCATGGATACACGAATGCGTCCAAACCCGACACCGCCGGCGATGGGGTAGAACCCGTTGGTTTGAGAACGATTTTTGAACACGTCGCTGAGCGGGAGATGCACAATCCCCAGCAGCGCGTCATCCTCCTTCGCGCGCGCATCCCGCACGGCGATGTAGACCTCCGCACTCCTCCAGTCGCTGACGAATCGTTCAGTGCCGGCGTTGTAGAATGGTCTTGCGTTCTTCGGCTTCGTCCGCGTCTTGAAGATCTTGCTGTGGTTGAGGATGATGGTACAGTAGGCCGAAGGGAGATCTTCCCCTTCCTCTGCTTCATCATCAGCCTCCGCGTCCTTGTCCGCATCCGTCTTATTGAGCTTCTGCAGCTCAAGGCCAGTGATCTGGTGAATCACAATACTCAACACCCCACTTGGATAGTCGTCGGGCGGCGGGGCCGAGATGATCATGGCGTCCTGGATGCGTTTGTATTCCTGCGCCTTTTGCTGCTCAAGTTCGTCTGCGTCTTTCTTATGTCGTCCCTCCTTCACGCTTGCCTCTCGGAGCTTTCGCTGGCAGATGTAGTCGACCTTCTCCTTCAGCTGCTCCGTCGTTTGGACCGATGAATCGAAAGTCTGGCGTTTCAGCTCGCGGTCGGTGATTCGAGTCTTGGAGAAGTATCCGATGCTCCATTCAAGCTTGCCGGGCATGCTCTCCCCGGCTTTGAGCGCGCGGAACCCATCCGACCGATTCCACATGCGCCCATTGGATTCCGAATTCGTCATCACCTCCTTCAGGTCGACCTCAATTCGACCAAGGTCATCATCCGCGGTCATACGATCCGAGTCCCATAGCTGGAGCCGCAGTCGCTCTCTCACGTTCAGTTCTTCAGGTGTAACGAGGATGTAGGCCGTCTCATCCCACCAAGGCTCCATCTCGTTTAGCAGCAACCGCGTGGACCACAGCGGCTTACCGAATTTCGCCCATCCCACAGAGACGTAAGGATCTGAAGAACCGCTTCGTATCAAAGGAATGCCCGGGTCGCCTTCTTTGAAATCGTAACCACGTTTGACGTGCACAACCAAGACTCCACGTGCAACAGTATCCTGTACATGAGTTAGCAACAGCGCACCCGACCAGCCCAAAGACATACCTTTTTATAGTCTTCTCCAGCCAACATGTCTTGAAGGTCGAGGTTCAAACTCTTCGGCGCCACATACTGCGCCATGGCAGCATCGACCGAACTTTGCACGAAATTGGAGATGAGTGGGACGTCCATGATGTTCAGCGCATGCCTGCTGAGTGGCGTACACCGTAGGTCGACCTTGGGCTGGCCGAGGAACGTGATTGTGCAAAGGGAGAAGAAGGGCGGATCGGGGCAGAGCTGAAGCCTCATGCGCACCGTGCCTACCACGCCACGAAGGTCGACCCAGACTGGCACTTTCAGACTGCCGGGGAGGTAGAAGGCCATGTAGAGGTGCAGGTCTTGAGCGCGGTCTTTGAGGCTCTTCTTCTGCGACCTTGCGCGATACGCGAAAGCTACTTCCATGTTCACGAAATCGCCTTCCTCGGCCTCTAAGCCCTCTGCGACTTGTTGCTGGGAGCCGTCGTTGGCGTTTTGACTCGCGTCTTGGCCTTTCGAATCGCCTTGGTCTTTCGAATCGCCTGAGTCCTGACTCTCTACCGAACCTTGGCCAGGGACCTTGCGGTCATTTGACTGGTTGTCATCGCCAGGATCCTTCAACTGGCCGTCCTCAGTAACGGAGCGTGCTGCTGCGCCAGTGGGGAGCCAACGAATGCCGAGGATGCGAACAGCCTCGCTGCCCTGGCCCACATCATCGACACTGACCATCTCCACGACTTTGGGGAGGGAAGCTTGCATGACATCTTCCAGCGTGTCGGCCAGGCTCGTGAAGAGGTCGGGATTGACCAGAGGCCATACCGCACCAAGGAGCGAATTCAGCCAGGCCACCGTCTCGGTATCGTGGGGGTCGCTGCTGTCTTTCGATGTTGCTTCCGCATCCCAGACGCCCGCGTCCCAGACGGATTCGATGCGCTTGCCCATCCATTGCCGCATGCCGACAACGAGTGCCCAGACTGTGGCGAGAGCGATGATCGTCGGCCAGATCCAGATGGTGAAGATGACCAATGCTCGGGGCGAGTCGTCGGAGAAGATGTAGATGCTCATGAATCGTTCAAAGCCGAACGCCACGAGCAAAACCGACGAGATGCCGGCCACGGAGATGGTGATGCCCTTTTTGTAGACGTCTGCGAGCTCTTGCTTCATTTCGTCAAAGTCGGGAGGGGGAAACAAATTCTGCATGGACGCATGGCTCTCTTGCATCCCTTTCAACTCGCGGTGGAGCTGTTTGGTGGTCTTTTTCTTGTTGCTCAGACCAGTTGACGTGCGATTGGTAGTGCCGGGAGGCTCTTCGTTCTGCGGCACCTCTTTGAGGGCCTGGGAGGTCATGTCGTGGATGATGACGGGCAGATGGGTAACGGGGTCGGTGACCTCACGCTCCGCCCGCTCATCCTTGCGGTTCTTGAGCGCCTTCCTGCGTGTGCCCGGGTCTTGCGCAGATGTCTGTGCTTCGGATGTGTCGACAGCTGGCGCGGTGTTCTCGTCGTTGGCATCGCCGTCTTGTGTAGCTCCCGCAGATTGCTGGGTATCGTTTGTGGTCGACTGGTCTTTCCCGTCTCCACTCTGTCCTTGCGCCGGGGACATGAAGCGATTGGCAACATTCTTCGTCGAATTGTTGTCTTGATCTCCGCCGTAGTCGCGTGCCTCGGCCTGCCGCGCCTCCTTCTCCTGCCGGAAGCCCTTGATGGTGGGGATGGGATGGTGGCCGGTGTATGGAGCTTTCTGCCGCCGAGTCTCCTCGGTGTCCTCGTGTCCGGACATGGTGGAAGGGAGGGTGGGATTGCTTGTGGAGCGTAATCAAGTCGTGAGTGGCATTGTGGTTATCGTTGTTCGCACCAGGAAGCTGGACAGTGAAGGTGTCTCGGCTGGTGCTCGCCACCTTCTGCTTGGATGATGCAATGCGACAGGTCAAGGGAACAAGAAGGTGAATGTCGTTGATGAATTCATGAAAATGACAGTAGCTGAAGTGGAAAGCAGCTGCCAGGTACGGTGCGACGCGTCATGGCCTACAACTTTTGAGCAGCGACGGGCCAAGTCTGTCGGGTGTGACGAGGAAGGAGCTGGGGTTGGTCCATGACAGGTGGGGCCTTCCTTCCCGTCGGGAGAGGAACAAGACGTCAGTCGAGGAGCAAATGCCCCATTTCGAAACACGCACGGACTGGACGGAGCAGATCTGACCAAACCCACATCAACCCACATCAACCAAGATGCACAACCTTCCGCACAGAGAGACGAGATGGCAGACGAGGCAAGGACGGCAGGGACGGCACGTGATGGCACGCCGACGCCGCTCTGCGAACCATCAACATACAGTCCGCCTTGTCATCATCCATCCATTCCCTCCGCAACGGCCCCCGAGGACGTCAAGCTTCCATTGGCAGAGAAGCAGCCAATAACTCGCTCGTGCCGTATCGGCGTGCCTCGCGCGCCTCCGCTGTAAGTTGCGGCTAATGCACCTCGAAGCTCCCTCCCTTCTCATCCTGGCCCCTTCACCTCTCGTCGCATCATGGTATCTTTTTTCTACATCAATTGCCACTATTCTCGCGGTTTTCCTCGTCCGCTTCTCGTTCAAATTGACATGCGGCCCCCGCTCAAGTGCCCGTCTCCCTGGCACGGGCGTGCACCTTTCCGCCGACATTCTCCAAGCTTATCATTCCATTGACCGGTCGGCCCTGCACTGCCCGCGGTCCGCCTGACCGGTGTGTGCCCGGACGAAGCTGCATCTTCTTGCCTCAGCACGCGCGAATCCGTGGCAATCCCCGCTCCCTGCACCTTCTAACAAAAGCATTGGTCACAAGACTCAAAATGGCGACCATCGTCTCGTTCGCGGGCCCGGCGCATCCTTTAGGTTATGATCACTTCCCCTTCGATGCCAACAACATCCCAACTCTTGAAGACCTGGCTATGATGGAGCTGTGTGACAACGCCCATCACCATGCTTCACCACTCGACTGGTGTATGGTAGACCCGCCATCCGCGGATGCAACTGCCGGTCCGTCTTCCGCCTCCAGAAACTCGCCGTCCTTCTCACCCCCAAGCCCTCGTCCGTGCGGCAACAATGATTGGTACTACTCGCTCGAAAGACCAGGGGATTCGTCCGAATTCTCCGGCACCAGTCCTGCCTCCAGCTGGAACGGTGCAGCGCGTGCGGGAGGTTCTTTCCCTTTCTCTCCAGGTCCGATTGGTGTGCCCGCTGCACCGGTGAATGGTTCGCCTCCTCTGGGCAGCCCTGGAGCTTCGCACGCCTCTTCCCTCGTGCCTCTTGCCTCGTCTACTCCGAGAAGCTTGACCGCTGCTCCCTCGGACCTTGACTGTGGGAATGGTCATGCCGATCAGCTTCGTGACCTTTCCAACAGCTTACAAGCTCCGCCCACCGCTGCTTATGCAACAGCAGACGAGCTCAACAGTTACCTAAACAACTCGCTCGTCGAGGCTGGGGGTTTTGGCAATCTCTATGCGTCGGAAGTCTATGAGCGCCCTGCAGCCTTTCACGCGCTTCCACACGACCTGTTTGCGTACGCTTCCCTCGATGCTGACGCGCAGCCCAATCACGCCAGTCTACACTACCAAGAGCTCCTGCGACAGCAAAATCATGCCCTCGTGCAGCAATACCATGAGCTACACTATGAAGTAGCAGCCTGGCGCTCGATCGCACAGCGCCATACTCATATCGAAAGTATCACGGGTGATCAAATCCCCCCAATCTCATCAGACTGGAACGTACAACCGAGACAGACAAACAACAAGCGACCAGGTGCGTCTGCCACTTTACAGCCACGAGTGTTCGCACCTACGCCACAGTTCGGGCCCAACGGGATACCACACACTGGCTCGTTTATCGGGCTTCGCAAAAGGCCGTCGCAACCACAGACACTGCGGCCAGGCGCCACAGCCGCTACCCTACCCATCACACAATCTTCGGGCCAGGAGCGCTCACTACAACCACCGCAGGCTGGCGCGGCCGTCAGTGCCAACAGCCGCAGATACCCCATCTTGTTGAAAGCGAAACCGCCTTCCGGGCCCAGAAACACTGCCCAAGAGACGACGGTGCAGCGTCGCAAAGGCGGGCGGGCAAAGAAGCTCGAAGAGCCAATCAGGCAGAAGATATCAAAGATGCGTCGTGCCGTTGCGTGTTGGAGATGCAAGATGCAGAGGGACGAGGTGAGCTCGACATCCAAGAGTGTGTTGTCTCTTGCCCCGACTCACTGCCACTTTAGTGCGACGACCAGCGCACATGCGGACGTTGCGTGGCGAGCGCCCAGAAGGGTCAGCTCTACTTTGCATGTAACCGATCAAAGCTGGAGGAATTTGTCAGTGACTTTCTGCCACGTGAGTCCCTTCTTCCATGGCGCCGTGCATATTGCGTGACTGACCCCCCGCAATAGCCACGATGACCATGATGCATGCGCGGCAGACCATCGAGGATACCGTGGGCGCTGAGGTGGGAGGATGGAATAGAGACAATCCCATCCAAGTATTCCTCACCAGTGGCTACGGTTCTGCCTTGGCCTGGCAGGTCTACGAGTTCAAGCCCAAGTCTCAAGAGCTTCTAGGCCAGTATCAGTATTTCCGAAACCCCGAGACCGGCGTCTCGGTGCGCGAGTATAAGTATTCGCCTCCGCTTGGCCTGATGTCGCTGGACGATGGGGACAGGGCACATGTCGACAACTACCTAGACGAGTTGATGACGGAAGAATACTTGTGGGATCTCGGCTGGACTTGCTTTGAATTCGATGCGCAATCGGACGAGACCGCCTTCCAGCCCAACCTGTTGCACTTCATGTGCAACCTATACCTGGAAACCGAGGATGACGAAGTAAGTCTTTACAACTAGCACGTCGACTCATGAGCAACACTAACGCGCGAGTAGCTGAAGAACGTCCTGCAAAACATCATCCGAATGATGATCATCACCTATATAATGGGCCACACGCTTACTATCGTCGAAGACACCCTCCCCAGTGTTCTAGCAGAGGTCACGCTGTCCGATCGCCCGAAGCAATTTACAAGCCACACCTCGCCTCGCCTCGCGAATCGCCAACTCAAGTTCTTCTTCTCCATCCTCCGCACCTCCATCTACGGCGCCATGCTGAAATGGCAACACCGCGTCTTCTTCTCCAGCGGCCTGAAGGAGAGCACCTGGCTGGCGTCCTTCTGCGCTATGCTTGGCTTTGCAATGGTCTTGGAAGAGATACAGTGCACTTTGCAAATCCAAGCGGACGCGAAGATCCAAAGAGGAGAGATGGCGCCCCATCCGGCTTATGTTGAAGCGAGCAGCGCGTGCGAGCGAATCGATGGCCGGTTCAAATTCCTCGTTGATTTGTTTCAATGCAAATATCGCGACAAGACCTGGGTAGAGGATGGGAGTTTTGGTCCTGGTACTCCAAAACTAGAAGGGCTGGCGGAGAATCATTTCCTCAAGCAGTTACGAGACCTGGTTGATGAGAAGCGTAAGTGGATGGAGAGAAAAGGTCTCCAAATGTAGACTGACGGGCTCTGCAGGTGACTATCTCGCAAGCCGGCGAACTGTGGAATGCTTGCCGGACGACCAATCTCGCTACACATCGCGGCTGGTGGCGCGCTTCTTGTTCACCGTTTTGAATCTGCCGGGCTAGACGTTTGGAGATTACGCGTAACGACTGAGAACGACGAGACGTATGTTTTTGATGAGATGCCATGATTCATGACTTTGGTCTTCGCCAAACGAACTTTTCGATAACTGCAGAGCTACACGATGTATAGCAAAGCTGACTGCTGGCCCCGAGTAGCACGGGCTAGGGCATAGGCTGCTTTTGTTCCATGTCCCGTGGGTAGAACTCATGATGCATCGTTGCCGTCTCCTCTGGACTCCAATCCAACATCTCCCCCTCGCCAAACGCGAATTGATCTTCGATCTGGGAAAACAGGAATTGATTCGCCTCTTCACTCGTCCAGGCCCAGGATCCAGGCGCAAGTTGCATGTCGTCGGTGAGCTGAGGAATGACTTCGCCCCCGGGAATGGCGATAGGCGGGCCCGTCCTGCGCGGCATCTCGAAGCCCGTCGCCTGCGGAAGGACCGGCGTGGTGATTTTCGAAATCGAGCTCCCCGTGTTGAGCAGGTGCGAGTCCTCTTGCAACCTTAGGCGCGCGGCGGTAGAGTTGTCGAGGTAGGCGAAAAACAGGCTGAGCACCCAGTTGGTGACTTCCCAGGTCTTCTGCAGCTCCTGAAGACCGAGGAGGCACAGTTTCGCGCGGTGCTCTGCGACCGTCTTGGTCGTGCCATCGGAACGTCGCAGATGGACGGTGTGAATACAAAGAGTATTGAAGAGATTCGTGATGACGTGAATCTGGCCGTGATGGAGATTGCCCTCGGCGAGCATGTCTTCGATGATTCGCGAATTCTCGGCGGCTGTCTGGAGGACGATGTTGCCGTCGGATTCGCGCCCGCCTTCCCCGTTGACCACGTAGTCGTGCCGATAGAGGAGGATGAGCAGGTTGTTGTAGGCCAGGCGCAGCATGTTGGAGAAGAAAGAAGACTGGGTGCTGATTGCATCGCCGTGCTGCTTCGGTGGTGGCAAGCGCTGCTTCAGTTCGAGCAGCTGCTCCTTCATCTGTGCCGTGTGCGAATCACTAAACGCCTGGTTCGGCAGGTATCCAGAATGCACGATGCGGCCCAGCTGCGTCGCGAGCTGTGCCATCACCAGCGCATAGTTTGCGTACTCCATTGCTTGCCGCTTGGGCACCGCCGGACCAAAAGCGAAGTCGAAGTCGGAGATTTCCAGCGCTTCAAAGTCGCAGTCTTCGTCCCTCACGCGATCAGGAAGGCCCAGTGCGGCAGCGCACTGTCTGTCGCGGGTGTAGAGCGACCACCAGATGCGTCTCTTGAGCTTCGCGTTCTGCGTCTCCGCCTTGCCCGCAGAGCGATGGAGAGCCTTTGTTTGAGCGAGGGTGATGGCACTGCCAAGCCAGTGGCGCGTGTCCTTCTCCAAGAGCGCGCCGGCTCTCCAGAAGCTCATCAGAAAGAGCGCTTGGATGATGGTGATTTTCTTGCGCTCAAACTCGGCATCGTAGATGTCCTTGGCGCGGTTGAAGAAGACGTACTTGGCGCGATGGCGGGAGTCGAATCCCACCTCTTGCAGGATGGGCTCGTCACAGTGCAGGGATCCAATGAAGAGCATGGCCTGGAGCAGCAACGGCGAGAGGGCACCTTTGCGGTACTGTGCCCAGATGTCCACCTCGTCCACCACGGCAAAGCAGGGATGGAAATGGTCGAAGTAGGCCTTCAGGAGGGTCTCGGTGACGTGCGGCACGGGCAGGGAAAAGGCGCCGTTGGCATGCAGATAATCCAGACGGACGCGCCGCCGATCAAACTCCCACTGCGGCACCAAAGCCTCTGCCTTGGCGAAGCTGGGGACAAGATATCTCAGACGCGCTGTGGCCGCAGTCACGGGCCCAGGATGCATGGACGCCGGCGTGCCGTCGGAGACGAAGCGCAGCAGGTTCGTCTCGCCGAGGAAGACATTGTCCTCATCCAACCGCGGGTCCTGACTCGAGTGGGACTCGAGGTCGTCATGGCCGAGCCCCTGGGGCGAAGGGCCCTCCTTGGACGAGCCCTCGCCATCCCGATGGAGCGAGGCGAGGACGCGTGAGGCGGCGAGAGCGTCCGCGCCGCCGGAGGAAGGCGCGGCGCTCTCCCTTCGCTTCTTTGTCGGCCGGGGATGCTTTCCTCGCCGGCTCTCACGGGTTTCGCAGGCCACGGCAGAGGCGACACAATTGCTGCACGCTGCTTCACGTTAGACAGCAGGAAAGAGACGGTGCCAGGAGAGCGGGGAAAGTGAGGGAAAAACGAACGATTCCTTTCCACGACGTCACATTTGACTCGTCTTGAGTTACACTGGGTACAAGCTTGTCGAGCACGCTGGCGTTGCCTGGGACGAGACTCGGTGCTGTCTTCCATAACGCCCCGCCTTTCCGAAGGAGTATGTCGGCGTCTTGGGAGGCTCGGAGGGTCTGGCGGAGAAAAGGGTCGGAAAGCAGAGCCTATCTCCCTCCTTTGACGTCGAGTTTTCGACCTCGGCCCCGGCACGCGGCCACCGAATTTCATCATCCTGCAGGCCTGAAGCCTGCGAGCCCGCGCGCCAATTAGCCAGCGATTGCCTCCACGCGGCATAGCCTATGCCGCGGAAGTCCTACGAGCGCAGTGAAGGCAGTTCGAAGCGATAAGAACGTTGCGGAGCTCTGCACATTGCTTGTCGATGTATCGTTGTCCGTGGCGGAGAGAATACACGCTGTCGACGGGTGTCGAATGCCACGGCTGCACAGCAGTCTTAACCGCATCAATACCTGGCTGAGCGAGGGATCAGAAGCATGGCCTCGTTGAAAGCCATCCGCTCGAGCATTGCGGCCGTTAAAGACCATCCATCCGTCTCACGCCGCACGTTTTGCTCTTCTGCTGCACGTCGCTATGCAACCTATACCGACGACACCATCTCGAACCTCAGAATTGACGCGAATACGCGAGTTATATACCAAGGTATGCAGACCTCCGGCTGTCACAACTCACAACCCGTTACTAAGAATCTGCAGGGTTCACCGGAAAGGCGGTAGGTCCACGCGTGCAACGGCACTGTACAGCACCGGTCCATGAACTGACTCCGAGTCCAGGCAACCAAAAATGCCCAAGATACAATTGAATACGGCACGAAGGTGGTCGGGGGCGTGACCCCGAAGAAGGGCGGGAGCGAGCATCTTGGTTTGCCGGTCTTCAACACAGTGCGAGAGGTGCGTCTTCCGGAACTTGTCCTTTCGCACGCAAGCAGATTCTCACACGGCAAAGGCCATGGAGCAAGTCAAGCCACATGCCACCAGTGTCTTCGTCCCCGCTCTCCTCGCCGGCAAAGCCATCGAGGAAGCCATTGAAGCGGAGGTGCCGCTGATTGTGTCGGTGGCGGAGCATATTCCCGTGCACGACATGCTTAGAGTGCAGGAAATCTTGCGCACGCAGAGCAAGAGTCGACTTATTGGGCCCAATTGCCCTGGCATCATTGCTCCTGAGCAGTAAGTCCTGGCGACTTGGTTCATGGACCCAGACAGTTACTGACTCGTCGGTCTCTACGATTAGATGCAGAATTGGGATCAGTACGCTTTTCTTCCTGTCTGAATGGTGGCCCGAGCGAAGCTAATGTGATTGTTCCAAGTGCCTTACAAGCAGTACAAGAAAGGTGAGCTGTCGCAACAACGACGACTTCACACTCGAGCACTACTAATCTATCGTACAGGTATCATCGGAATTGTGTCTAAAAGCGGAACTTTGAGCTACGAAGCGGTCGGAGCGACTACCAAAGCTGGCCTTGGACAAAGCATTGTCGTGGGTATGGGAGGTGACATGCTTCCTGGTGAGTGCAGAAAGCGCCTCCGTCAACGAACATGTAGCTGAGGGCCTGTCAGGGACCACCCAAGTCGATGGACTCAAGCTCTTCATTGACCACGAGGCCACCAAGGGCATCGTTGTCATCGGAGAGATTGGAGGGGAAGCCGAGCTGAACGCGGCAGAGTTCATCAGGGAGTACCGGGCGAGAACGTCGAACCCCAAGCCGATCGTTGCAATGGTTTCGGGGAGGACGGCGCCGGAAGGCAAGACAATGGGTCATGCAGGAGCGTTGCTGTCTCCGAGAGATGCCTCGGCCGACAAGAAGGCAAAGGAACTCGAGGTGCGTCTGCAAGCAGTGCGTTGACGAGATCGTACTAACGATACACACATAGGCAGCTGGAGCGGTCGTCGTACCGCACCCGGGCCTGATTGGGACAGAGATGAAGAAGCTCTTGAATATGTAAAGCACGGGTACGATGGCAGGATGGGGCGATGTCATTCGCGTGCGTTTTGATGCTATCCTCGAATTGCAGCGGTAGAATAAGGGCCGATCCATTGATCAACTTCTTCACGTCTTGTCTCTACGCGTCAGAATGATCTTCCATGAAATGCAGCCGTGCCTCGTACAGCCGACACCGGCAGTACGATCATACGGCGTGGCATTGGAGCAGGCAAGATTTACCGATCGCAAAACCCGGGGTAGCTTTTATAACCGCCGTGATCATCTCCAGAGGTGCGTCACGTCCAGCATTCAGCATCCGCAGAGAAGTGAGAGGTGCCGAAGGCCGTCACGAGCAAACATGTTCCAGACGCCTTCGTCCAGCTTCATCAGAGGCGCTCGAGCACTCACGCAGCGGCAGCGGTCGAGACTGCCGCAACGTCAGGTCCGGCAACTCAGTCTCCATGAATGTAAGCATTGCGAGTGGAACTCGATCATCTCGAGGATCAGAAGCTGAGTACCGTTTTCACGCGTCAAGATCAATCGCAAAATCTCCTCAAAGAGGTGTGTGGAGTCCAATGCTTTGGCTGCTCATGGTCTTCCTTCTAAATGATAGACAGTACGATGTGCCTGTGCCTCGTGGAATACTCGCCCGGACACCAAAAGAAGTGGCAGATGCTGTCACGAAGCTTGGTATGTCTTACAGCCCTCAGCTGATGGGTTGCCTACATCCATCTGACTGACAACAAAGGCGGAAAATGTGTGGTAAAAAGCCAAGTGCTCAAGGGCGGCCGAGGGAAGGGCCGGTTCGACAGCGGGTTGCAGGGCGGCATACAAGTTGTCGACGATGCAAGCTCGGCGGAGAAGCTTGCAGCTCAAATGTTGGGCCATCGCCTCATCACCAAGCAGACCGATGAGAAAGGGCTGAGCGTGAACAAGCTCTACGTCGCCGAGACGATCAAGTACGACGATGAGTGGTACCTCGCCATGACCATTGACCGGGAGAACTACAGCCCGGCCATCATCGTCTCCAAGGCCGGCGGCATGGACATTGAGACGGTGGCAAAGGAGCATCCCGATCAGTTGCTCACCTTCCACTTCAGTATCTCGCAGGGCATCACCCCCGACCTTGTCAAGCGTCTCTCGTCCGCTCTGAAGACCTCGGAGAAAGAGACCAAAAACCTGGAGACCATCCTCACCCGTATGCACAAAGTCTTTACCGCCAAAGATGCAACACTTCTCGAAATCAACCCACTCGTCCGATCTTCCGACGGAAACTTCACCTGCCTGGATGCCAAGTTTTCCTTTGACGATGCCGCCTCACCACGTCAGAAGGAACTCTTTGCACTGCGAGACTCGGACGACATTGAGCAAGACCAGTCGACCGAGATGGAGGCCAAGGAGTACGATCTGGTGTACATCCGACTTGACGGCAACATTGGCAACGTGGTAAATGGCGCCGGACTGGCCATGGCCACGAATGATGCAATCGCCTATCACGGCGGTTCCAGCGCCAACTTCCTCGATGCCGGGGGCCAGGCCACGCAGCAGACGATGCAGAAGGCTTTCGAGATCATCTTGCGGGACGAGAGGGTGAAGTGCATTCTTGTCAACATCTACGGAGGTGAGTGTTTGCCGTGGGACAGGAGCTGGGCTACGCTGACTCCGGACAAGGCATCATCAGGTGTGATATGATTGCAGAGTCTATCATTGGTGCCGCGAAGGAATTGGGCTCCTTCCGCGTGCCAATTGTTGTCAGATTGCAGGGGACAAATTCCGCCGAAGGGTTGAAATTGGTAAGCAGTTCCCTACTCTTCAGCGTTGTGCCGCACTGACAGACGCGTTCAGGTCGAAGAATCTGGGCTTGGGCTACATTCAGAAGCGGAATTTGGGGAGGCGGCGAAGAAAGCAGTCGAGCTTGCGAAATCAGGGTAGCATCGATGAGATTCTATCTACTCCGTAATGGTGCCTTTCGACGCCACTTTTCCAAACGAGTCATGGCTCTGGATTGTCCACTTGCCTTGACCATCAGAGTCTTGCTCCAGAATGACTCTAAACGGCTCATTGACGTACAGAGGCGTCATGGCTCGGTAGGAAATCGACTTGGGCAAGCGTTCGGGGTCGTCCTTGGCGCGTGTGTCTCGGTATAGGTCCAACATTCCGAATAAGGCGTAAGGCCCATGGACAACAAGACTACGATGCCCTTCGACCTCCCGACACCATGGAAGGGAGTAGTGAATCTTGTGCGCGTTGAAGGTCAAGCCCGACAGCCTAAACAGCGTGACATCCGATGGGCAAAAATCGCGGGAGTACGTGCCTAGGAGACTGCTTGTTAGGTGCTATTGCTTGCCAACCGCTCGAGTAATCTTACCTTCAGGCAGAGGTTTCTCTTGCGGCTTCGGCGGTGGCTCCTTCCTTTCGGTGTGTTCCTTTTGGAAGACCCAGTTTCTATGCGCAGCACGTTAGCTTCGAATTCTACAACTCGCGACATCAAGGATGATCAACGCACCGGCGGTCAACCAAGGCAACACCGTGCTCGTTTTCATACGTCTTCACGAGGCCGGCAAGAATCATCGAGTCTCCACTCCTCATCGTCTTTTCCTCTGCCGACGTAATCTCCGTGGTCTCCTTGACCTTCTGTCCAATCCGGAGGATTTCCTTGGGGTCCTGCGTCCATTCCATTGAGCCACCGGCCCACATGCGTCTGGTCCATGGCGACAGGGGGTTGAGCGTCTTATCCGTCCCGTCAATGCCCAGGTCCTGTTCATGCATGGTCGGAGTGAAGTAGATGAAATGATAGCCGGGGGGCAGCGGCGTGCCATCTACGGGCGCGCCATCGATGTCCAGAGATACCTTTTCGTGGAGATTCCTCCGGCCTAGGGTGACGCTGAGCAGTCGGGCGTGGTTGGCGTCGATTAATTGTTCGCGAATGGACACGGGCTTGCCGCCATATCGCTGCAAGATCTCTTTGGCTGCGTCCGCCGCCGAGCTGCCGGATGCTGACGAGGCAAACCTGCGGAAGATTCGAGACATGGCGGGTGGTTGTGATCAATCCAGGGTGGGTATGCGTCGTTGTTTCCCCTGCCGGTGTCTGGCATTCAAGTCCAGAGAGGAGTAGATAGCCGAACTTCAATACGGTAGCCTCGGCCTGCCCACGGCGCCCCGTGGGGTAGCTTACGTCAATCAATTCCCTGGTGTTTACGCAGGCAGGAACCGACCAGCGCGCGGACAAATCCGACATCTGCCGCGACCCATCGGCCACGCGAGAAGAATTGGCACGAGGGTGTGGAGAAGGGGGGAGGTGGTCTAGACCATGAGCTGGACACATTATAGCCATATCGTCCCACCGCGCCGGACTTTCCTGATTTTCGTTGTGCTGTGTGTTTGAGCTTCCCGAGAGTCACGGCAGTCCATCAAGGTCGACACAATGGCAGCGGGCGTAGAGTCGTTTAAAAACATCGAGACAGTCGCCCTGGTGGTCGACGAAGCCAAGGCGGACTTCAAGCTCCAGCCCATTGTGCTTGACGAAGTGCGAGGCGATGAGGTCCTCATTGAGATGAAGTACAGTGGAATCTGTAAGTTGTTGGATCTGCCACGCATCCCTCTTGTGTGCATGGCTAAAGCATGTCAGGCCACACGGATATCGTACTGCAACAAGGCCTTCTGCCTCTCTGTGATTTTCCCGCCGTGTTTGGTGTAAGTGCGGCGGCTATTCCGACGCGACACACCTGCTGACAGCACCAGCACGAGGGTGCCGGCATCATCCGAGCAATCGGCAAAGATGTGAAGAACAAGGAGCTCAAGGTCGGAGATGCTGCGCTCCTCTCCTTCAACCACTGTGGAACGTGTACTGCGTGCGTGGGAGATCACCCTGCGTATTGCCACACTCACGCCCTCGTCAACCACAACGCCGTGAGACTCTCCGATCGAAGCACGCCTGCACGCCGACCCAATGGCGAGGCCGTTCGCTCGCAGTACTTTGGCCAGTCCTCTTTCTCCAAGATGTCTGTCGTCAACGAGAAGTGTGTCGTCAAATGCCCCAACCCGGACCGCATGGACATTTACGCGCCCTTTGGCTGTGGTGTGCAGACTGGGGCCGGCACGGTGCTGAACGTACTGAAGCCGACCAAGGACGAGTCTCTTGTCATCTTCGGAATCGGCACCGTTGGCATCTCTGCGCTCATGGCCGCAAAACACATCGGAGCGGGCCAGATTATCGCTGTGGACATTGTCGACGCCAAACTGCAGCTCGCCAAAGAACTGGGCGCGACGGCGGTCGTCAATTCGAAGGAGCAGCCCGACACCGTCGCCGCCATCAAGGCACTGACGAATGGCAAAGGCGCAAAATACACCATCGACTGCACCGGTCTATTGCCCGTCATCCAGACCATGGTGGACTGCCTGCAGCCCGAAGGCACAGCAGCGGTCGTTGGCGTGCCCCCGCCCGACGCCAAAATCTCCATCGACCCGCTCATGTTCCTGCTGGACAACAAGAAGCTTATCGGCGTGATCGAAGGCGACTCCAACCCGTCAGACTTCATCCCCAAGCTCATCCAACTGCATCAGGACGGCCACTTCCCGATCGAGAAGATCTGCAAGACGTATCCTGTCGACAAGCTGGCCGATGCTATCCACGACCTTCACACGGGTGCAGTAAGTCGTGGCCTCACCTCGCTCTCTCCTCAATGGCTATCGAAGCTAACCATGCCATGTCCAGGTCACGAAGCCCGTGATCGATTGGGGTTAAAAGCGGAGAAAGGGTTATTAGATCTTCCGCACCACCAAGTCTCGAAGATATTAGGTAGATATTGCGCAACTATATTCTCATTACATCGTGATCATCTGGTGTGACGATGCGACTGGTGTCTAGTTCTATGTTTAGCACAACCCCATGCTACAACCAACATGCCTACAATGATCTCGCCGTGCAGGGATCAAAATCCTCGCACGCCATCACAGTAGCCTGGCGTGGTGTCTTTCGACCCTTTCACCCAGCTCTCCACTGTCAGCGCGGTTGTGTAAATCATCATGATGCTCCCAAGCGCAACGAGGGCAAAGTCGGCCACCTTTTGCCAAAGGCGTGTCGAGAGAACACGGTAGTGCATCAGTGGCTGCACAGTTAGTCAGTCAGGTCACCCTCGTACACTCGGCGGGGGGACAACTTACGGGATAGATATACACCAGCGGAATACAGGCAAAGCTCCCCACCAAACTCACAAACTTATCAAGGTCATCTGCGCCAGCCCATGCGATGCCTGCGCAAAAGATAACCATGAAGAAGCGGAAGCAGTTCTTCTGCCACTTGATCCACGGGTTGTACTTGCCGGTTCTGCTGAACAGCTGCTGACTCGTGATTTCAATGGCCGGGAAGATCTGCAATGGTATGGACAGGAGGATGGCGATGGAGTAGAGGAATTGCACTCCGTTGACAATCTTGTCGTCCTGCGGCATATTGAGGATTACCACGGTCTTCGTGTTGGAGCCGTACGCTGCGTACGAAAGAGCGCCCATCGAGATGAAAATCACGCTCATGACGGCCGTCACGCTTGCCAGGACCACGGGGAATTTCGAAGGGTCACGCATGCCCGATTGGATCGGGATAACCAGACCGACACCTTCAAAGGTGAAGATCGCCGTGCCAATCAACAGAGACCAGGAGTTCGGGTTGAAGTTGACAAAGTCCGCAAATCCAGGCCGGTCGACGATGGTCTTGATGTCGTAGTAGTAAAGGTAGATAAGACCGAGGCAGATGAACAGGTCTGCGAGTAGGGCCATTTTCTGAATGTTGTTGATGTTGCGGTACAGGCTGATGGGCAGGAAGATAATCACCTGCGCCAGAATGACCCATTTGATCTCAATGCTCGTCTTACAATCGGTGACTGCGAGGATGAGGGCTTGGATGTTCTCGGATACAAAGACAATGTAGGCGCTGGTGAACCCGATCTGCGAGAGGATCAGGCTGAAATTGATGAGCCCGCGGAAATAAGGGCCGAAAATCTTGCCGCCCATGTCGCCGTACGACATCGGCACCTTCAATCGCGTTGCCACGAGGATGATGAAACAGTAGTAGGAGAGGAGCGCGAGGGCGATCAGGATGAGGAAGGAGAAGAGCATGCCGCCGTTGTAGAATGCGCGCGGTAGGAAGAGAACTCCTGTGCCAACGAAAGATTTGAGCAGAAGGAGAGCGGCACCGAATGGCGTGCCTTTGCCAGCATTGCGGACTCTGCGTTTCCGTTTCCGTCTGCCCGGCGTGAGAAGGGCAGATTGTTCACCCCAGCCGTCGTCGGATTGATCATCGCCATCCTCCATTGTAGCGGCATCAGAAGAGAAGTATTCGTCCGGGCCGAGCACTTCGTCATCCTCGTCCAATTCTTCTCCCGCGAAGTGGCCGTATAGTGTCAGGAACTCGATGAAATTGCTTGTGACGAATTGGGGGTTTGGTCGGGGCGGCTCAGTATAAGCTCGTCTGTTGATTGCGCCGTAATGCGTGCCATTTATGCTGGGCCGAACTGGGGAGGCGGCTGCTCGACGGAGGTGCTCGCGTCTGAATCCGCCGGGGACTTGGATGTTTTGGATATTGTCGGCCTCCGAGTCGTCCTTGGGCAAGGTGGCACTCAGGCTGCGCTTCAACCTTCCCGTGCCCCTGTCCTGTGCATCGGCCTGCTGGCGCTCACGCTTCTCGGCATAACGATAGATGTGGCGAGTGGTGTCCCCGCCTTGCAATTGCAGACTGGAGAACTCTCCGTCCTCCATGGATGCGCTTGGTGCATCGGTGCCGTGCTCCAGATGGCTTGGTCTCCGGTAAGAGCTCGGCTCCGATCCGGCCTCGGGGCGCCCCACCAAATGCCGCCTTAGGACTTCGATTTCTTCCTGGCCATGTGGACTCTGTCCGAGAGGGCTCGTGTAGGACTGGCTGGCGATTCTCGCATGATTCGACGCACTCAGGGCTTGTGACAATGACGAGGCCCCAGGGCCAGGCAAAGAGCCGGGAGCGGCACCCGCAAGAGGAGTGGCAGGTCGTTGCGGTGTCCCGTGTTGGGGTCGTGCTGCTGGGATCTGCGAGCTGCTGGCTGGCGAGGTCGAGACGGGCGCTGCCAATCGTGCTGTTGCAGATGCCCGGGATGGGGATTGCGGCGTGAAAGATGCGGCACGGCCAGAAGGAGAGGCCGCGACGGGCTGAGCGCCCGCGGACGCCTTTCGTTCGCCGTCTGCCATGACCTACAGAAGGATCCGAGTCGATGCCGAGAGATTTACATATGGCAGAGAGTGCGTGTCGTTGAAACTGGGAAATTTCCAGTTCAGAAAAGCCGCTCGCCAATGGCAGGCACGTCGTTTACCTAATCCGACACTAGCCGCGGTTTGGTACAGGTGCCTGCGAGGCCACGACTTTTGGCCGGAAGGCTTCGTGTCGCGCGGCTTCCCAATATACGCGACTTGCACTCACTTCAACCTCACTCAAACATGACCACATGCGGACAAAATGAACGATCTCCAAGCGCAAGGTCGCGCGTGCTACAAACGAGGAGATTATAAGCAAGCACTGGCGCATTTCGATCGTGCCATTGGACGTGCAGCTTCCGTGCAGCTGCTCGACAACCGTTCTGCCTGCCTTGAGAAGCTAGGCGATCTTCCGAACGCCCTCAAAGACGCCAAGACAGCCATCCAGACTCACCGCGAAGATCCCACGGGCTACTTGCGCGCCGGAAGGATCTTGGTCAAAATGGCCAAAGAGCCGGTGGCGCTGGAGATTTATTCGCATGGATTGCGTTCGGTGAAGCATGTCGGGCAAGGCTACGAGGTATGTCAGCTTCAGGTCCAGCCAAATGCCCCATAGAGCTTACTGGTTGCTGTAGATATTGCGGAATACGCACAAAGAATTGTTGGACAAGCTCTCACCGCCACGAAGTCTGGATCCAATGTCGGTTTTTCCGCGTGAGATTGCCGAGATCATCCTGAAACAGCTCTCCTTCAAGCAAAACATGGCCGCTTGTCTCGTCTCGAAGCCGTGGTGCCTGTTCATAAGGTCGTGTCCGGATCTTTGGCGCCATCTTGATCTGTCGCAAGCCAGGAGAAAGGTCCGAAGCGCCTTCATCAGCCGTGCGATCAACATCGGCCGGGATAAGCTGACAACGGCCACTCTGCACAATCTCTGGGATTTCGACAAGGCTCTGCGTGCGCTTGTCTTGCACACCCCCCTCACCACTCTTAGTCTTTTGGAGAACGGCCTGCTGGGCGATAATCTCACAAAATTGCTGACGCCGGCAAAACGTTTGACATCGCTGAGCCTCGCGTCCAAAATGGCGTTTCCCGCCGATGAAATCCAGCATCTGCTCCACCCCCTGGCCGCCCACCTCGAGTCCCTCGAATGTCATCTCAATGAGATCCTACCGTTGGCCAAGATGACGGACACCCTTGAGTCCCTACAGACCTTAAAAATGACGTTTGACTCCTGTCAGCATCTCCAGCACTTTTTCCGTAGCGAGGTCCACGAGCGACTGCCCAACTTGCGGTCATTGACGGTCCATGGCAGGGAGAGCGGCCGGAGCGTCCACACGGGCAGAATTGCTCTCGATGCGTGCACGAACCTCACTTATCTGGACATATCTTTGCCAACGATATCCCTTAGAGACCTCCGGTTACCTGCGACGCTGCAGAGCTTGCGGCTGGCGGCCACTGGGATCGCCTCGACCTCCTGGCCCGCGCCGCTGCCGCCGCCCACATTCCCAATGTCCGAGCTGGAAGAATTGAACTTGGAGATAGGGCACATGGGCCTCAGGGGCGCCCTAAGATTTCTCGATCACACCACGGACGGAATTCGACACCTGCGCAAACTCGCGGTTCGCGGTGCCGAGTTCCACAGCATGCACTTCGATGGGCTCTTGGCACATCCCCATCTTGCGAACCTCCAACATCTACATCTACCAGGGCTGATTGATTGCCGCGACGAAGATGCCGTCAAGATCATCAACGCCATGCCTCGACTGCTCTCACTTGACCTTTCGGAGACGAAGATTACTGGGGTCAGCGTTCGACATGCAATCAAGCAGCAAAATCTGCAGCACTTGGCAGTGAACAACTGCAGCGAAATCGGCATCGATGCCATCGCATGGGCACGCGAGCAAGGCGTCGAAGTACAACATCGCATGTCGAATGGAGAAAAGGGCAGGAAAGTCCGATATTGACAATAGAAGCGAAGCGACAAGCATCTATTGCGGATAGATGAATCGCGGTGCGGCTCGCATTGCTAGTCAAACAGTCCGTCCTTTTCCACCTTCTCACAAAATATGTCTCCCACTAGATCCAAGACCCCATCACCAAAGGCCTCCTGAAGCGACAGCACAGCATCCGCAGGGCGCGGCACTCTACCTTCCACGCTCCCGTGGCGGACTTGCACATTCTCGACCGTCAGTCTTCTGAGGGTTGCCCTCCTCGCCTTGACGATTTTCACCAAGTCCCTCCACTCAAACGCGAAGCCCTCTAGTTCGAAATGCTGAAGCTGCTGGAGGATTGGTGTTGACTGTGCAGCTTGTGGTAGTGAGGATACTCGTCCGTCCATGATTGCGCGGGCCAACGCGCGGAAGATGGATTCGCTCCCGTCAAGTTCGAGGTTGCATTCCGAACGGGACAATGCCAGAAGCTCCAGGTTTGCAGCTTCGGCCAGGAAAGCGATAAAGTGCCTCAGGGCGGGCTGTATCCGTGGGCCAAGCCACTGGCGCACAGCTACCGCGCGATTGGTAGGGGCAATGGCAAGACGCAGAGCTTTCAGTCGCGAGAATGTGCTTACCCCACCCGTTCTAGAAAAAGGTTCAAAGACGCACAGGGGAAGACCAAAGACCTCGCTCCCCAACTGCAACTGTTGCACAGGATATTCCGTCTCGCGAATGGCTTGGTAGAGCATGTGGAATCTCGTCGGGTCGTGGTGGTCGACACCGATCAGGGCAGCCTCGTAGTGTTGAACAGGCTTGGCGAACCGCCTGAGACGGTGCATATAGCCCGAGGCTCGCCGCTGGTAATCATCAGTGCAGAAATCTCGACCTCCAGCGACGATTGTGGGAATATGGCCGCTTCGGTGGAAGTTGGTGAGAACTTTGTGTAGGACTCGCACGTCGTCCGCGGAACGGCGAAAGCGGGCTTCGGCCTTGACGAGGCGCTTGTGCATGCCCCCGTTCCAGTGCAATTCTTTCAACTGTGTGGCGTCGACCGGGTTGAGGGCGGTCTCATCCAGGTGGTAGAGGGCACCTGCAACCCAGTCTTCGGCCTCGCGCATCGTGGCGAACGAAAAGCGCAAGGTGTGCATACTTCGTCTCAGGTCAGACCGTTGGGAGATGCACAGAAGAGTCTCCATGCTTGCCGGGTCGGCTAGCATGAAGGTGCGGTCGGTGAAGTAGCGCGAGACGAAGACCTTGTGTGTGCTCCGGCAAATCTTTGAGCAGGTGATTCGCAGATCCAAGAGTGCGGGAAGATCAGGTGGAATCCATTCAGCGATGCACTCGAGAAGTTCGGCAGGGAGTGTGTCTAGCGCCATGGAAGTTGGGGTTTGGTCAATGAGGCGGTGGTTCCGGTATACTGTATGATGGGACTAATAAGAGGTTGCTATGGTATGGCATGTTCGAGGACAGCTCAGGTATCGTCGTGATGAAAAGCCATCTCTTAGGCGGCAGCGGACTGGAGTCACAGCCTGCTCTCGACGCCGAGTCACCATCCTCTGTGCCAAACAATTACGACGGCTATCCTTCCTTTCCGGGCCGTCCGAAGCAGGTCAGGCGAGCGACAAAGTTCAGCCTGATGATCCCCCAATCCCATTCCGCAATCGGGAGGAATCCATTGGAAAAGCCCCGCCGACGTCCTTCTCGGCGTGGCGAGCACGATATATTTTGTTTTTGGCCTCATATCACGGCCCAATTTCTTCCTCACCTTACCCTTTGCAAGATCAATACTTCTCCATCATGTTCTCCCAACGCCTCTCTCGGGCTGTGTCCCATTCTCTTGTCAGATCCAGCAGCAGGATCAATGCCGGCAGTCGACGTCATGCTTCCCGACATACGAAATTCACACTCAACAACGGAGCGTCCATGTATATTCCCTGCTCCTTCTTGTCTCAGCACGTCACGTATCTCTAACTCATCGTGTAGTCCCGCTTTGGGCTTCGGAACCTTCCAAGTATGGCCCGATCCTGTAGCACACAGAGAGGTTGTGCTAACTTGTCATCCAGGACCCCGACCATCAAGAAGAAGCCGTAGTCCGAGCGCTGAAGCTTGGATTCCGCCATGTCGATACAGCTCAGATGTATAACGCATCGCCCGTAAATTTCTTCCCAGGACATCGCTGATTAGCCACCAGATATGACACTGAGCTGTCGACGGGAAATGCAATCAAAAAGGCCGGCATTCCGCGAGAGGAGCTATTCCTCTCGACCAAGCTTTGGATGACATCGCACCACCCCGACGATGTCGAGCCCTCCCTCGACGCGTCTTTGGAGAAACTCCAAACCGACTATCTCGACATCCTGATGTTGCACTTCCCGTGCGCCTTTGCCCGGTCGGTCGCCCCAAGCCACCATGAATGTGCATTTTCGCATTGCTAACTCAAGGCCGGCCAGTGGCGACAATGTGTTCCCGGAAGATGAGAACGGCCTCATGGCAATGGGCGATACGCACTATCTCGACACTTGGCTAGCGTTGGAGAAGGTGCTGAAGACCGGCAAAGTCAAAGCTATCGGACTGTCCAATTTCACCAAGGAGCAAGTGCAGAACATCATCGACAAGGGTGAAGTGGTTGGTCTCCCTGATCGAGATAATCGTGTGTATGACTGATCCAAAGCGTGCAGGTCCCGGCCATCCACCAGATTGAATTACATCGTGAGTGATGATCGTCGGAAGCAGCACGGATACAAGTTAACTCCTAGCGATTTCTCTAGCTTGGCTTCAGCAAGCAGATTTCATCAAATGGCACAAGGAACAAGGCATCCACAACACTGCGTACAGTCCTCTGGGTAATAGCAACCCTTACTACCAAGAGCAGGTGTGGTCTCGACCGGAAGCGTTCAGCCTGCCGCCGCCTACCGAGGATCCGGTCTTGATCGAAGTAGCAAAGAAACACAACAAATCGCCCCATCAAGTCGCCTATGCCTGGGGCATCAACAACGGCCGCTCCGTGCTGTCGAAGAGTGTCGTTGACTGGCAGATCGTGGCGAACTTGGAGGCCGACTTTGAGCTGGATGCCGAGGACATGGAGAAGATTGCCACCATGGACAAAAAGGCGCGCTTCAACGATCCCAGCCCGCTGTTCAGATTTCAGTTCTTCGAGGGGCTGGATGGGTTCAAGCCCAGGGGCGATCATGAGTTCCCCGTGTCGGACGTGTTTGGCAAGATCGGTAAGGTGTAGTGAGTGTGGTAGGCAAAATCTATCAATTGCATCTGCGACTACATTTGAGTCAAGACGTAGCTTCCGGACCCCTTGAAGTTCAGCGCTCCCGATCCATCCACGCACAGCCAGTTACCACCTAGGGACAGGTAGTAGTAGCCGCGGTTCCTGGTGTCCTCGTCGTACTCCATGGCAAATTCCCAATTGCCCGCCTCGCTCATCGGTTTGAACACGCACCAATCCCCTTGCTGGCAGGCGACACGGTCAGTGCCATCATCCAAAGTCCACCAGCGCCTGTTGCCTCGTCTCGGGGCGGTGGTCTTGTCGTCCCTGCTGCTGTAAGCCCACCAGTCGTCTCTAGTCTCCATGCCTCCGATGTGGTAGCAGAATCCGTCGTCGTCTTTAGCGAAAAGCGCCATGTTGCGGGTCGTTCAAGATGCGTCTCGTTGATGTACAGTGACTGTGGCATGGAATCTTTGTTAGTGATTTGCAAACGAGCTGAGACTGGACGTATTGCCTACCCTGAGACGTGAAGTAGTAACTTGAAGATTTGGGTCAATGTAGAGCCCAGCAGGTGTCCAGAATCGCTACTTATATGTACAATGAATTGTACAGACCCGAAAGTGTTGAGCCTGAACAGTGGCTCCGACGTGGGGATGCACGCAGATTCGCGACTCAAGATTCGCTAAGAGCTCCTGTTGTGATTTCATGCATCTCGTCTCGAGACGCTGACGATGCGATCGGCATCAACTGCATCTCCGTAGTTGGAGCGAGCTCGACGGTTGCAATGCGTGGGATTGCGTAAGGCTTGTCGTTCGAGCCAGGAAGACCCACATGCGCATGAAAGGAGGTCATCGGTCGACATCATGGTCCACTGAGCACATCTAAGGAAGCGAGCTGAGTGGAGGCGGAACACTACGCAGCGAGCATCTGTTTGTGGTTCCGATGAAATCTTCTACACTCAACACGAGTGCTGCGTTCGAGTGGGATGGGATCGGTGTTTCTCATCGCCAGCGGCATTCCATTGATGTATTTCGGAGCTCGCTTCCCTGGTGTGGGGGCAAGAGTACCATTGCCTGACCAGTCGAGGAGAGCTGGTATTCTCCACGCTTCAACAGCACTCAATGTGATCCGTCGAGACTGCGAGTCCCGTTGTCGATCACGCCTACTTTTCGATGATACCGAGCAATATCTGCTCTGCAGACTAGACGCGTTCAAGAGCAAAGCAACAACAAGCAGCTCCATCATACTGGCGTTGTGTTTTCCATAAATGCCATGCTCGGATGTAGGAGCAATTGACTCCACGGTGGCCACCACCGGCATTGGTTCGCAAACGAGCAGCGACCGCTATGTCTAAGGTTGCTGCCGTGTCCGAGCTGGAGACAAATCCTTGTGGACCACATCCAACTGAACATGGTCTGGACTTATCTCCCAGCAATTAATTACAATGTAGTCGTGATAGATTGTGATCTGTCAACCATTGAAGATGGACGCCAGGCTCGGCGAGACAGATTAGATAATCACGCTTCCGTGCAGCCTCGTCCAATGGTTCGGCTTGCAAATGTTGTCTAGTGCCGAGGACAAGGATTATGTGCAATCTCTCATTTCGAGACATCGCGAATGGGTTCTCAACAGAAGTGCAGCTAATTAATTCTATTCGACCCCTTCAAAATCATCGCGATTCTCGCGTGTCCCATTCGACATCTCGACATCCGTGTTGTGCGAGCCATTCGTAGCCACATGCGACGGCACTCTGAAGATGGCGACGCAATTGCGACCGTCAAGCATCTCGCGCCATCGACCGAGTCTGTGCTCCTGGCCAATCGCTGCTGCAATCAACACCCCGTCCTTACCGCGCTCGCCGAGATCAAGGACGGCGAGGTCGTTGATGATCCCGCGGACTTGACCTTGTCTCTCAACCCCGTCTTTCATGGCCTGCAATGCGCCATCTGCAAGCGTACTCGACTCCACGCCCTCGCTGTCCAATAATGCGCCCAGATCTTCGACCTGCACACCCACAGCCCCCAGCGGTTCGATGCGCCGTTTATCCGAGGAGATTTTCCACGCGCGAACGTAGCCGTCCCAACTCCCACTGACAAGAACGTCGCTGAACGGAATCGCTTTGAGTGCGGTGATCCATCGAGGCTGTTGGCCACCTCGACTTTCTTCATCCAGCGACTCGTCCGGCTCCTGCTCAGCGCTCGCTTCAGCCAGCGGCAGCGGAGGATCCACGCCGTGAGCGAGAGGGAGAACGAATGTGGCCTTCTTTTTGTGAGTGTTCCAGAGCGAGAGCGATCCATTGTCCGAGCCCGTTACGAAGGTCTCCTCGTCGATCATTGCAATCCGATCGATAGACCCTTCATGGTACCGCGCGTCGGCCTTGTCGTTCCCATTGGCGTACGACCTTTTCAATTGTTCCAGCGCCTTTGTTGTTCCAGAGGCATTTCCACCGCGAAAGACGAGTTGCGACTCTTCTGCCACCTTCCATAACCTTGCCGTCCGATCGCGCGCGCCGACAGTGATGCATGTCTCCTGGGCCAGGGCATCAACGTCAAGGATCTCATCCTGGTGCCCGAACAACGTTTCAACGTAAGCCAGTTCGTTAAGGGACCAGGTTTTGACTGTGCGATCTTTGCTCGCGCTGTACAGCTGATTCGTGTTTCTGCGAAATGCCAAAGCGGTGATAGCATCCCGATGCTGTGGGAAGACCTTCAGACACTTCAGCGATTCCCCGTCCCACACGATGAGCTTCTTGTCGGCGCCACCAGTAGCGACAAATTTCCCGTCCGGAGACACCGCGACGCATAGGATTGCCTTGCTGTGATGCTCTGCAATCTCACCCTTTGCGTGGCCACGGGTGCGAGCAACGACTGTCGGCTGCCGACTTGGTCTTCCCTTTGCGTGAGTGTTGTCCAGGCTGGGTAGCTCAAGTTTCACAAGCTGCAAGTCCTTGCTCACGGCAAAGATGTGCTGACCATGCACCGCGATGCCCGTCAGACTCTTTTGCATGCCGTGGCGCCTGCAAACCGTGTGTTGGGCAGCCCGCCAGTCCAGTCCATCAGCGATTCGCCTGTACAGCCTGCCTTTGCCCTCCGCCGTGTCTTCCTTCAGCCGCTCGCCCATCCGGTGTCGCAAATTCTCTTGGTCGACGTCCGCGGCATCGAAGCCGACATCCTCGAGCACCTCCTTCTGTGTGTTGGCGAGGTATTGCTCGGCAAGCCGCACACGCTTTGCGGCGGGATCCTCGTCTTCAAACTGCGCCTCATCCTCCTCTGACAAACTCTCATCGTCTACCGCCGGCGGTGGTGCATCATCATCGGAGGCATCAGAGCCCGAGATGGATTCATCGTCGCGCGTACTCTTCCTCCACCCTGCAGATTTTGAGGGCGCCGAGGCCGACGGTGCGGGGCGTTTGCGCTTCCTTTGCGACGCCGGCAGTGTGAAAAAGGTGGACATTTTCACTGGTTGTAGCGTACGGAGAGAAGAAGTCTCAAGCTCGCGCTGTGAAATTCTCCAAAGCGCTCTACCCTTGCTCTCGGAAGTGCCCCACATGTGGGGCCGCACAGAAGCCAATCCTCATCTCGCGTCCGCTCGTGGAGTACAGCACGTCAACTGCAGCTCTTAACTACGCCACGCAACTTACGGACTAGGCATACAACATGCGACCTCGGGCCATCGACGGTGGTGGTTTGACAGTTGAGGGAAACAATCCGACAAATGTACTGGGTTCGACGGTCAGCATGACTGATAAGCTGCCTAGCTTTCATCAGCGCCGGCTGCAGTGATTCCAAAACACGCACAGTCGTCTACAAAGAGGTGCCGGTATTTATTAATACTGTAAAGCAGTTTCCAAAGCAGGTATTGTATATGTCTGAAGCGCCAGTCTTTATATACCCGCCTCGTCGGCCATTTCTTCTTTCATACACACACACCACGTTCTTCTACACCCTAACGAACCACACGACCACAGCGTGCCGCAATGTCTAAGATCCTCCACATGCTTGACCCTCGACACCACTCTCGCCCCTCTTCGCAGGCCCTGGCCTTTACAACGCAAGCAGCCGTGGAATCTCACAAACAGCCATCGCATCCGTCCGGTCCCGTCAACATTGTCGAGCTCTTCCAATCCCAAGGATGCAACTCATGCCCGCCAACGAATGATGCGCTCCTGGACATCATCCCGCAACGACCAGACGTGCTCGTGCTGACTTACGACGTGACCTACTGGGATTATATTGGATGGAAGGATGTCTTCGGAGACAAAGCCTTCGATGAGCGACAACGGGCCTACGCCAATCGCTGGCAATCCAACCGTGTGTACACCCCTCAAGTCATCGTAAATGGGCGCCGGGAGGCGGAGGGGTCCGGACGCGTGAACCAACTCATCGACCAAGGCATACGAGCCAAAGAGGCAGGAGGCCAGCAAGTGAGTATGAGGCTGGAGAGAAATGAAGTGGTGGTCGCGGGCCCCGATGGCAGCCGTGGAGAGGTGCTCGCCGTCTTCTACGACCCAAGCGTGCACAACGTGGCCGTAACGCGCGGGGAGAACCGTGGGGCGACGCTACGGCATCAAAATGTAGTGCGCAAGGTTGCTCGACTTGACGCCTGGGTGGGCGGAACGCAACGTTATGCGATTCCTGACAGCGGCGAGGGCCTGCGTGTGGCGATCCTTGTTCAGCACGGTGCCGGAGGACGTGTGCTCGCCGCGTTGTCCGTCTAGAACAAAGCAGCGATTTTGCAAATACCCCAATAGAGACCTTCGCGACATCACGGGGAACTCGTCTTTGAAATGCGTGATCAGGCGTGCCGCGGCCGAGCAGCAGCCTAGACCGACTGTGATAGAGCATGCATCGCATGTGCAGAGATTCCCCGCACGAATGGCGGCCCCTCACTCAACGACCTCAAGCGACGCTTCTTCCCCAGACCCACCTCAGCCCACCCCGCACCGCTTACTCGCCTTGCCCAAAACATCAAGGTCACGGGCACCCTGGTGGATACACTACAAGGATGTGGTGAGATGGCAGCTAGCGTCCACTTCGCATATATCCCGCGCGCGAATACTGTACGAAATCTTGCTGCATAAGAGTCTCAGGCCCCTCCTTTCTTGTCGACATCTCAATCTCATCTCCAACCCACCTCCATTGAGACGCAAGACAAGGCAATAAGTCAGCATGGCCACGAACGGTGTAAACGGCGCCAACGGCGCCCCTCATCTACCAGCTCTCGCGCACAACGCCGGGGACTTCCTTCAGCACAAGTATGACTACGTGATTGTCGGCGGTGGTACGTTTTCAGCCATGCAGTCTCGCAGCCATACGGCCTGCTGACCCTACAAACAAAGGCACGGCTGGCTTGGTCGTCGCAGCCCGTTTGACAGAGAATCCGGATGTGACCGTGGGCGTGCTGGAAGCTGGCAAGAATCGCCTGGGCGACATGGTGCGCTGCTTGTGTGCCCTAACAGCTCAGAGTGGAAGACACTGACATTTCATGCACAGTTGGTGGACACCCCTGGTGCATTCTTCCAAATGTTCAACAACCCCGAATACGATTGGGCCTTCATGACCGAACCACAGGTATTGTCTGGAACATTTCTGAGCCCCTGCGGAGTTGCTGATGATCAGTGTAGAAGCATAACCAAAACAAGAAGCACCATGTCGTGCGAGGCAAGATGCTGGGAGGAAGCTCGGGCATCAACTGTATGTCTTAGAATGCCGTCGTGACCGGACAGACTGCTTACCGTTCGGGACCCGCCCTAGACATGATGTGTAAGATCTCGCCATCCCGCCAAAACACGACGTCGCTGACCCAACCTAGATGTCCGTGGATCGAATCAGGACTATGACGACTGGGCTGTGCTAGCGAAAGACAAGGGCTGGAATGCCGAAAAGATGAGCCAATACATGCGAAAGCACCAGACGTTGGAGCCCATTCCGGACGAGGTTGTCGATCGTGCCACCACGCCGTTTGTGGGAGAGTTCCACGGGACCTCTGGCCCCTGCCGCACCTCGTTCAATCACTCCTTCCTGCCCATCGAGCACGACTTCATCAAGGCCTGTGATGAAGTGACTGGCTGCGACAAAAAGCCAAACGATCCCTGGAGTGGTGATCACATCGGTGCGTCAATTCCATTGATATCGGTGAAGGGCTGAGGCTGACTTTTTCGTGTCTGAAGGCTTCTACAATACCTTGGGTCTAGGTAAGTCCATCGTAGACCCAAAACACCAGAGGAAGATTTGGCTGATATGAAAATCAACAGTGTGCAGAACTGGCCCCAACGCAGGCAAACGTAGCTACGCTGCTCGGGGCTACTTCGCGGCCAACGCTGAGCGTCCCAATTTACATGTGTTGTGCGAGGCTCTCGTGTCATCTGTTCAGCTCGACGGCAACAAAGCGACGGGCGTCAACTTCGTCCACGAAGGCAAAACCCATACCGTCAAGGCTGGCCGCGAGGTCATCATCTCCGGCGGCGCGATCCAAAGTCCCCAGATCTTGGAGTTGAGCGGGATTGGAGACCCGGCGGTGTTGAGCGCGGCTGGAGTGGAATGCAAGGTTGAGAACAAGGCTGTCGGTGCCAACTTCCAGGACCATTCTTTGACGGTAAGCCAGCTCCCCAGTTCTGATCCTCGCTCAGATCCTCTGCTGACTACATCAAAGGCGGTGAGCTGGGCCCTTGCCACTGGGAATCCCAGCTTCGAGGTTGTCCACCAACCCGAGGTCATGGCCGCAGCTCAGCAAGAGCTGATGGAAAAACAAACCGGGCCACTGACGCACATTGCCAGCACCCAGGGATTCTTCCCCTACAAGGTAGCCTCTTTCATGGAGATTTGTTGCAGCAGACTGACATTCGATAGCTGTTCGCCTCCGAAGCCGAGCAGGCCGACATTATCAAGTCGGTTGAAGACAGCATTCCCAATCTCACTCCGTTTCAGCAGGAGCAGTACAAGCTCACCATCGACGCGCTGAAGGATTCGAAGAGCGCCAACTTGCAGATCGTTTTCGTGCCTCTTGGCGCAGGTAGGTGCCCCCCACGTAATGCATGGAGAGTTGGCCCTGACGGAAATGTCCAGGCTACGAGGAAGGCATCCAGGATCAGTCCAAGATCTTCCCACCCCCACCGCCAGACCGAGAGAAGATGCAAGTGACTGCTGCACTGTGCCTGCAATACCCCTTGAGCAGAGGTACTGTTCACATCAAGTCGAGTGATCCGACGCAGCATCCTATCGTGGACCCGGCGTACTTGAAACATCCCGCGGACGTGGCGGTGCTCGCAAAGGGCCTCAAAGTAGGTCAATGGGAATGTTCCAAGATTGGTGAAGGAACGCTAATTTGCTGTCTGACAAACAGATGCTGGATGAAGTGTCCAAGTCGGCTCATTTGGATGGCAAAGTGTCTCATCGTGTGGCGCCGGGCCCCGAGGTGGACCTGTCGAATGAAGAGCAGAGGAAGAAGTGGGTTCAGGAGTTCTGCATGTCGGAGTACCACCTGTGCGGATCCGTGGCGAGTACGTATCGGCATATATCTTGGCTGAAGACGCCATCAGCAGTCGCTAACCAAGTCTACAGTGGGCGACGCGGTTGACAGTAGACTGCGGGTGAAGGGAGTGCAGAATCTCCGGGTGGCCGATGCCTCTGTCTTCCCCAACCATGTGAGGATAGTGAAACGTCAATGCTCGCGTATAGCAATACTGATCATCGCCCTAGGTTTCTGGAAACATTGTGTCGTCGGTGTATGCCGTCGCGGAAAAGGCGGCGGATTTGATCAAGGAGGACTGGGACTACGGCGCGTTGTCGAAAGGGTCGTCGTAGGATGGAGAAGAGCTTGAGGTGTTGATTGATGGGTTACATAACATGTCTGCCTGCTTCAATGATTCTCTCGTACTCTGTGGCTGTGCCGTCTCGTGAAAGATTGTACAAGGCGCACGTCCTGTGAAGTCGTGACTCCGGCAACAACATCAGCACGTGGGTCGTCTCCTAAAAGTACCTGAAAGGGTACCTTTACCCATTCAAGCCATTGTTTGGTTTTGTGCATTTGGTGCTAGGCCGACCTGGGCAAGCTTTTCTGCACAAAGCTTCGACCGGGACGGACATCGTCAGGGCATCCGAATAATCATTCCCGGAGATAAGGGTCTCGAGCACGACGGGCGAGTTATGCCGCCCCGAGCTCTGCACGCCACATGGGAACGTTCGTTTAACTTACTAAGTGGTGAAACCGAGCACTTTCCATTTCGATTCTCATTGTTCCTTTTGCCTCATCCCACCATCACCTTCACCCCCTCCTTCTCCTCATTGGAAGTCAGCCGTGGGTGCCTGCCACGTGCAAAGACCGGCGCGTCTTCCCCGCAAAGCTTGGTATTCGCCGCACTTCCATCAAAGGTGAGTCCCTCACGGCGGAGCGGGGCATGGCGACACCCCCCACGACAATGCCATGCCGCATTGGTGCACGCTCTGCGTGGGAGCTGATCTCACGCTGCCATCGCGAGTTGTCTGTGCTACGAGCGCCATACTGACAGGACCCCGCGATAGCACACGCCGACACCATGGCCGCTGCCGAGTCAGAGCTTCGATCACACGGATCGGGCAACAGCAAAGCCATCGACAACGAAAAGGACGACGCTGCGTTGGCGTCCTCCAATGCCTCCGATGCTGGCTCGCCCCTCGACATCGATCGCGATATGGAGAAATCGGCGCCCGTGGAAGCCATCTCCGACCAGGGCCACGCCCCCGACCCAGCCGACCCCAATGTCGTAGACTGGGACTCGCCAGATGATCCCCAAAACCCTATGAACTGGTCCGACAAGAAGAAGTGGAGCAACATCGCCGTGCTTTCCGTCCTTACCCTGCTCACGCCGTTGGCCTCCTCCATGTTTGCCCCGGGTGTGCCTCAGCTGGTCAAAGACTTTCACGTAACAAGGTCGGTTCCGCTATTCCCCGCAAAGGAGTCTATGTACGTTGCTGACTCCAACCTCCAGCCAAGCTCTGGAGACCTTTGTCGTCTCCGTCTGTACGTTTCACTCCAGACGCGGCCATGTTACCCGAGATTAACTCTGTACAGATATCCTTGGCTTCGCATTCGGCCCATTGGTTCTCGCTCCCTTGAGCGAGATGTATGGAAGAGTAGTAATTTACAACGTCTGCAACGTGTGTTACCTCGCCTTCACGATCGCCTGCGCCTTGTCGCAGAACATCGGGCAGCTCATTGGCTTTCGTTTCCTCGCCGGATCTTTCGGCGTCGCTCCGATCACCCTGGGCGGTGGCACCATTGCAGACATCATGAAAGCAGAAAAGCGAGGCTCCGCAATGTCCGTTTGGGCGATGGGACCCTTGCTCGGACCGGTTATCGGGCCGGTCTGTGGCGGGTTCTTGTCGAATGCGAAAGGCTGGCGATGGATCTTTTGGGTACTTGCCATTGCCATCGGTGCGGCCACGATCGGCTGCTTTTTGGTGGCGCGCGAAACCTACGCCCCGGTCCTGCTCGAACGGAAGACCAAGCGATTGAGGAAGGAGACTGGCAACGAGGACCTGGTGTCTAAATTGGACCTGGGAATCACGCCCAAACAACTGTGGATTCGATCGTTGGTGCGACCGGCGAAGCTCATGTTCCTATCGCCGATCTGCGCCCTCATGAGCCTGTACCTGGCCATCATCTACGGCATCCTGTATCTGCTTTTCACGACCTTCACCTTTGTGTTCGAAGGCGCTTACCACTTCTCTGAGAGCATCGTCGGCTTGGTCTATATCGCTCTGGGGGTCGGCATGCTTCTTGGTCTCGCCATCTTGGGCACTCAGTCGGACCCGATCATGAAGAGACTGGCCGCCAAGCACAATGGCGGAACCCCCAAGCCCGAATACCGCCTGCCGCTTCTGATGTACGGAGCTCCGTTCATCCCCGTCGGTCTCTTCATCTACGGCTGGACTGCGCAATATCACATCCAATGGGCCGTTCCGCTCTTTGGCACGCTGCTCGTCGGCGTCGGCTTGCTGGCGGGCTTCATGTGTATCAACACCTATCTCATCGACGCCTACACGCGCTATGCCGCCTCCGCGCTCGCTGCGAACACCGTCCTGCGCTCCATCTTCGGTGCCGTGTTTCCGCTTTTTGCCCTGCAGATGTATGACGCCCTGGGACTTGGCTGGGGCAACAGCTTGATCGCCTTTGTCTCGCTGGCCATGGTGCCCATTCCGTTCGTCTTCTACTACTACGGCGAGCGGATTCGAACGCATCCGAAATTCCAGGTCAAGCTTTAGGCGGGGACATGGAGCTGGCATTGAAGACGGTGTTTGGGAATAGACTTGGCGGAAGTATTGTCAAAGATCTACCATGCACAGTATGACACGAATTTCTTAGTTTTGCTTGATCACGACGAGCTGGGCTTGATAGTTTGTTGTGGCCAGCAATCACAGCTTCTTTATGTGAACATCTCGATAATGCTCAACCGCCGGGTCAATGGTGGGGTCCATGTCAACGAGTCCGCTGCTGGAGGAAGAGGTTGGATCGCCATAGTTGACGGATGACAAGTAACGCGGTCTGGCTGAGTACGGTCTACGAGGCAGTTCCAGCGCGTCACGTGTCTCGAAAGTTAAGCTTTGTTCCTGCAGGCGTGTGGCCGGCGCCGGCTTCTCAACCTGAAAAAGTTCCGGGATGATGACATAAACATTAAGGTATGGGACGATCCTTTTTTGATGATTTCATAAAATTCTGGGACAACACAATGCGCCACTCTCATTAACATCCACCTCGACACCCCTCTAACTCCCCTTCGCCTACCGCCTTTGCGCGCACAACACACACCTCTCGCGCGTCATGGGCGTCCTCAACGAGATTGCCCACCCCGTCTCCGTCTGGGTCGCGGGAGCGAGTACATGGAAGGTGGCCGCGGCGGGCTTTGCCCTCTTCGTTACCCTCTCCATCCTCCTCAACGTCCTCAGCCAGCTCCTCTTCCGCAATCCCCACGAGCCGCCCGTCGTCTTCCACTGGGTCCCCTTCTTCGGCAGCACCATCACCTACGGCATTGACCCATACCGCTTCTTCTTCGCGTGCAGGGAGAAGTACGGGGATGTCTTCACGTTTATTCTGCTCGGGAAGAAGACCACCGTGTGCCTGGGCACCAAAGGCAATGACTTCATCCTAAACGGAAAACTGAAGGATGTCAACGCGGAAGAGGTGTACGGCCCGCTCACCACTCCCGTGTTTGGGAAAGACGTCGTCTACGACTGCCCCAATGCGAAGCTGATGGAGCAGAAGAAGTTTGTCAAGTTCGGCTTGACGACTTCTGCCTTCCAATCATACGTGGGACTGATCGTAGGCGAGGTCAAGGACTACTTCTCCAAGGACAACCCACACAAGAAATTCGCTTCCGACTCCGGCACCGTCAACCTGCCCGGTATCCTCGCCGAGCTCACCATCTATACCGCCTCGCGTTCCCTCCAGGGCAAGGAGGTGCGCAAGACCTTCGATTCCACCTTTGCCGACCTCTATCACGATCTTGACCAAGGCTTTGCTCCGATTAACTTTATGCTTCCCTGGGCCCCGCTGCCCCAAAATCGCAAGCGTGACCGCGCGCAGAAAAAGATGGCGGAGACGTACATGGCCATTATTGAACAGCGAAGGAAAGATGGCGACTTGAAATCGGAAGGTCGCGAAGAGGACATGATCTGGAACTTGATGAATTGCACGTACAAGAACGGCACGCCCGTCCCGGATCGCGAGGTCGCCCACATGATGATTGCCATGCTCATGGCCGGCCAACACAGCTCTTCTGCCACAATCACTTGGATCTTCCTGCGTCTCGCCTCCAAGCCGCATATTCAGGATGAATTGATTCAGGAGCAAAAGGATGTTCTTGGGGTCAACGAGGATGGCACGATCAAACCCCTCACCTACGATGATCTTCCGCGACTCCCCTTGCATAGCCAGGTCGTCAAAGAGACTCTCCGCATCCACACGCCCATTCACTCGATCATGCGCAAAGTCAAGCAGCCCATGGCAGTCGAGGGCACCCCTTATATCATTCCCACCACCCATACCCTCCTCGCATCTCCTGGAGTCACCGCCCGCACATCAGAACACTTTCCCGAGCCGCTGGTGTGGGAACCGCATCGATGGGATGAGCCGGCGTCGGAGAAGTTCACCCATCTCGCGCCCAAACATCTCAAAGAGGGCGTGCTCGAGGAGAAGGAAGATTATGGCTATGGTCTCGTGTCCAAGGGCGCCGCATCACCTTACCTTCCCTTTGGAGCCGGGAGACATCGGTGCATCGGCGAGCAGTTTGCTTACGTGCAGTTGCAGACCATCTTGGCGACGTTGATTCGGGACTTTAAATTCCTCAATATTCCCGGCAAGGAGGGAGAAGTGGTCGGGACGGATTACTCGAGTTTGTTCAGTCGACCTTTGCAGCCTGCCGTGGTAAGATGGGAGAGACGGGAGAAGGCTTACTAGGTTGTTGTATTTTTCCAGCTAGCGTGTGTTCAATTGCTCAATATGAAACGCTGAGCCCGGGCATGGTGTGCATCGTTCGACCTCGTGGCTCATACCGTTCATTCATTCATGCCCCTCCCCCGCTCCCAAAAGCAATATGTCCCAACGAAGCAGACCGGAAGATTGGCTTCATCTGCACGCCAGATGACCATATCTCGTCTTCGTGACCCCACATTGAAGCCGAACGCATCTTGGCGAGCGGGATTGGCGCCGAGGACGAGCCAAACACGTCTTCTTTGAAGGTAACGTTGTCCGCGGCGGAGGGCAATGCGCGCAGCTTGAAGTTTCTGAGGTAATGGTAGTGCGGCAGCTCATCCTCCACTTTCCGTCGAAGTGCTTGTGCTGTTTCGTCACCAAACTCCCGTTTCCACTCCGCTTGCTCTGCGTCGAGGTCGATGAGCTCTTCTGAGGCCTGAGACGTTGTCCGGCGGTGTTTCTGCTGTGGTGGGTTTTAAGTCACACTGTTCGCGCTTCCACGCAAGGGATAAGGAGAACTCACGCTGCTTCGATTTGGCTCGGGGCGCACGCGATCCGTAAACGCTTTCAAGAGATTCTCAGTAATGGTCTTCGCCACCGACTCACACGCACGCTGGAACTTCTGCCCGAAACCCCACGTCTCCTCCATGTCCGCCGTGTCGAGATCGAGCAGGCGGCAGAGCATGAGGAGGATGGCATGAGTGTTGTTCACTACGTCCGCATCGTCAATGACGATCGGCCAGCTGGCTATGAGCGGAAGATCTTGGTGTGTGGAAAGCACCGAGTCCGCGCGCCGTCTTCTAGAAGCAGGTCGTTTCGCCGGTGCCACGGGGCGCAGATAGTCAAAGATCATGCGCGACCAGCGCGCACTCGTCCAGAACGTCAGATCGTCGTCGTCGATATTGTAGAATGGGCCGACGCTGTTTGCCTCGCGCAGCCAAGCGGGAATCACCTTTGCTGGATGCCGGATGAAGATGATTGGGGTAACGAGAGCAAGGAATGCATCGGGCAAGCATGTCGGGTTGGTGAGTCTGGAGAACCCGGGCTCATGGCTGTGGATGGCGGAGAGGACGACGTCGGGTCTCATGATCAGCGGTGATTGCTCTCGCACGAAAAGGATCTTGCCCTCGTGTTCGAGCTTGTCGGCCTCGCGGAGGAGCCTCTCGGTGGCAATATTGTAAGTGAGTGAGGTGATGCGAGTGGGTGCTGCGGCAATCTGGTCATCCCACGCCTTCTTCGCCAGCTCGTTATTCTGAAGCTTCGGCTGTACGCGGTCGGGTCCCAGTGTTGCTGCCAGAGCATAAGGGTTCGAAATACTACCGAAGCGCAGATGGGAGAGCAGATGCCGACTGAAAAGCTGCGCACTGGTCCGTTGCGTGTCGAAAACGAAGATTCGAAGTGGTTCTTGATCCTCTGGTGACGCCCCGCCATCTGAAGGGAGCTCGCGGGATGATGATTGAAGCGTAAACGATGGCAGAGATGGCGTGTGAGACTTTTGTGTGATGAGGTCCATTGTAGAAGCAAGGAGACGAATGACGGGGATGCAATGTATTGCTGGCAATACGCGGGAGAGACGGCGTGGAAGTGATTGCAAGGAAAAGACTTACCAAAAGCCATGCTACTGTTTTGGAAAAAGCAACCTCACCAAGGGCAGTGCATAAAGTATGCTATTGACCAAGCCAACGCTGAGGAATGCATTCCACACGGTGCTGCGAGTTGCCGTGCGTCAGGCCATACGACGATGCAGGAAATGGTGCAGAGTCGAAGTATTGTTGACAGACTTGACGTCCCAATTGGCCAGTCGGAGCCGGAGAGCGGGGCGTTGGCCAAGTATTGACCGGTGGCTAGCTGCAGATGGCAAAGGGAGTCAGAGTCTGGAACGGTGGCGCGGGTGATAGGGCGATCACGAAGCGAGAAATGGCTGCAATCAGACGGGAGTTGTACCAACTCGCACCAACTAATGGTGGACTGAGCGAGCCAAGCGTTGGAGTCCCACACGCTTTCTTCGCGCGTTCGACGACGATTCTGCTGGGTACGATGCCATGGTCCCCTCGACCTCAGAATTCGATGGTTTCTGCAACAGTGCATTGTGATTTATAGTTGGTGGGACTTCCATATCTCGAGATGGTCGCAGTTCCCCTCTCAACGTTCGTAGAGAGTGCGATTCACACTGGATCAACGTACTCGAACCCCGCGGCAGCACGGCAATGAGACATCTGAATGATACTGGATCGTATGCCTTGCGTCGCTGGTGGAGACCAGCTCACGGGTCATAAAGGCCATTGTCGAAGAGCATGCTCAGTCTCCGCCTTTGCATCATAACCATATAGCCATGGCTGAACTTGGGGACACTGTTATCGATCAGCAGTTGAGCATTGCAATACATTGGCCGAGTCCAGCGACCGAGTGAAAGGCAGAACAATGGACTTACCTGCCATCGGCTCGGAAACTTGCAATCGATCTCCTTGCCCAGGGTCGATTGCATGAGCTCGTCTCTCGCTTCTTGTTCTGGGCCGTCGTCCATATGGAAGTCGTGCCGTTGGGCAAACGTTTCTCGAGCGATGGCTTCACCTCGCTCTTTCCTCAATTTTTCATACAAACGCAGGGCTGCTGGCAATTGGTCCTTGGATCGCAATGCTGCCAGCACGTTGCCCAACACGATGCCATCTTCTAGAGATGAGTTTGCGCCTTGTGCGAGATATGGCAACATGGGATGACAGGAATCCCCAGTGAATACAAAGGTGGACTTGTCATTGACCCAATTGTCCATTTCGGTACGATGGAGCAGTTTCCACTTATCGACAGACTTCACTTCATCGAGAAATCGGTTCAATGCGGGATCCCAATCCGCGAAGAGCTGTCTCATCTCGTCCAAAGAACCGGCTTGTCGGTCGACATCTGGAGGGAGATTGTCGGGTGTGAGAAGGACGAGATTGAACCTGTCGCACGGCAATTCAGCTAATATACCATGGAAGGGGTGGAGTTTGAAGCAGAACGTACATAGTCCCGTTACGCAGAGAATAAGCGACACAGTGGCTCCCCGGCCCAATCCAGAATTGACACGAGGGCTTGCCGATCCACTGCTTCAATTCTTCGTCTTGGATGTCTTCCACTTTGAGGAGGATCCGATATGCCAAATCACCAGTGGGCAAGGGCGAATCAGCTTTGCCGAGAGTTGCAAGATAGCGTTCCCGGGATGTCGACCAGAGACCATCCGCGCCGACCAGGAGATCAGCATGCAGACATTCTCCATCCGCCAGGGTGGCCGAGGGACGGGAGAAGTCAATGTCCACCACCTTTGCCGCAAGTCGCACTTCCACCCCCAATTCCCTTGCCCGTTGCACCATGGCCAATTGAACATCCACCCGATGCAGATCCCAGAATGGCTCCCCGTACTTCTTCCTCATCTCGATGTTGAAGTCGTCCGTGCGGGAAAGCACCTTGCCATCCGAGTATCTTCTCACTTGGAGAAAGGACGGCTCGGCGGCTTTGGGCTCGAGGATGTCGTACAGGCCGAGTTGGCGAAGAACTCGGACGCCATTGGGCGTAATTTGAAAACCAGCGCCGATTTCCGCGAGTTCCTTGGCCGCTTCGAGAACTCGGACGTCGTGACCGGCGAGGCGAATGGAGATGGCGGCGCATAGCCCGCTGATGCCAGCTCCAATGACAACTACCGAGAGGACTGAAGCTGAGCGATCGCTGGTGGACATCTTGGCAGTCCAATTATCGACCAAGTAGGCCGCCTGTAGGCGACAGGAGTCACGACATGAGTGGGCGAGAGATTGGCGAAATCAACAAGGAGATGAGGTGCAGTTTGTAGGTTGACAGCCGGCGGCACTTGCGGCGATGATGTGAGTGGAGCACACTCTGACTCTCTGAACATCTCCACCCTTTTTATTCACCATCGCCAACAGTGCAATCTATGCAGCATGTTCTACAGTGATGATAGTAATTTGTGAGTTAAAGCAGTGTTGGGTAACGATGGAAAAGGCTTGCAGACGGTACGATGCCACGAGCTTTGAGCTGTCATTGACGAAGAGCCAGTGGCTACTCTGGCATCTTCATCTCTTTTCCGTTGCTCTCCGTTACATCCAGCGATACTAGAAATCTGCTGACCATGTTGTAGCCAGCGACGGTCATGGCTAGTTCCATTACCTGCCGCTCCGTATACCTCGCCTTCAGCTTGTCCATCAACGACTCGCGAACTTCGATTTCCTTGGTGCTCTGGTAGGTGAAATCGAGCACGTCAATTTCCTCCTCCGTCAGCACCGCAGAGTTCTTCACGTCGTCGTGCAAAATCGCCTCCAACGCATCTCTCCTGGCGCCGGCTTTGAGGGCCAGCGGTGCATGCGCCGTCCACTCGTAGACGGCTTTGTTGAGAACGGCGACGTAGCACACGGCCATCTCCATTGCGGCCAGGTTCAGCGTTGATTTGGAGCGGATGGCTCCCATAAGAGTGTTGAAGCCATCTGCGATGTTGGGATTGTGCAAGAGGGCGAGATCCAAGGGAATCAATGGCCGTGGCTTTCTACGTTCTTTGATGCGTTCGTAGATGGCCTCCTGGCTGGGATCCGCAGGCTCTGATGCGGCGTAGGAGATGCGCATGCTTAGCTTATCCCCGAAGTTCGTGAGGCCAAGACGTGTACACTGCAGGGAGTGAATGGATCGAGGACGGAAAGCAGAGCGAAGTCGCAGCTGGCGAAAAGGCTGCCGGGCAAACAAACGGGCCAATCAGAGCTGCCGATGAAACCACCTTCGTCTCCAACTTGCCCAGATATCTCAACCCGTTGAACTTTTTCAATGCTGGAAACACGCACACATATACACATCTCCCGCAGACATGGTGCTCCAAGCCATCCGCTATCAGCCTGGCCGGCTCCAAATCCTCGACCAGCTGAAGCTGCCCCATCAAGAAGTGTACGATGAGATCCGCAACGCACAGGACGGATGGCATGCTATCAAGGACATGCGCACACGTGGTGCTCCGGCCATTGCAATTGTCGCAGCCTTGTCGCTAGCCGTCGAACTTCAGAACAACGCGCTGTCCGACAGGGCGGAGGAGGTGGCGGCATTTATCGTCGAGAAGCTCGATTACTTGGTCACGAGTCGGCCGACGGCAGTCAATCTTGCCGATGCAGCGAGGAAGTTGAAGCAAGTCGTGTCGGCGGTGTCAAGCGTCAATGGTTGTGGAGGTGCTGCGGTGCGGCAGGCGTATTGCGATGCCGCTGCACGCATGCTGATCGATGACGTGGCTGACAATGAGGCTATCGGGAGATACGGGGCGGAATGGATCATCAAAACTGCCGGGAATGGAGGAGGACTGAGTGTCGTGACACATTGCAATACAGGGTATGTATACGACATCGCTGCTCCTCCATCACAACGCTGATGGTAGCCAGCTCTCTGGCCACGGCTGGCTACGGGACCGCCCTGGGGGTGATTCGGTCACTTCACGCCATGGGTGAGCTCAAGCGAGCCTTCTGCACCGAGACACGCCCCTACAACCAAGGATCTCGATTGACTGCCTTTGAGTTGGTGCACGACAAGATCCCCGCAACGCTGGTCACCGACTCCATGGTCTCCGCCCTGCTCCGACTGAAAGGTCCTTCGGAGCGCATTGCAGCCATTGTCGTCGGCGCAGACCGCGTGGCCGCAAACGGAGACACGGCCAACAAAATCGGCACGTACCAGTTGGCCATTGTCGCAAAAGCGCATGGTCTAAGTTTTCTGGTTGCCGCGCCGAGAACAACGATCGATTTGCAGACCAAGTCAGGCGCGGACATTGTGATCGAGGAACGAGCGCCCCAGGAGATGACGCGTGTGAAAGGGCCGAGGTTTGATGGAGTGGATCTGGACCTGAGTCGCACGGAAACGGTCAGTATCGCTGCGACTGGAATCGATGTGTGGAATCCGGCGTTCGACGTGACACCGGCGAACTTGATCGATGGAATCATCACAGAGGTGGGCGTAGTAGAGAAGAACAAAAACGGAATGTTCGATTTGGCCGCGATCATGCCTCCTCAAGAAACCATCAAGCCAGCGTCGGTGGGTGATGTGTGAGCTTGCGAGATGATGGTCCGCATAGTGTGGCATTGCTGATAGATTATACGGCGCGAGATAAATAGAGAGGACCAAGAGGCCGGGTATAGATGGCTGGATGATGCCGTGGCTGCCTCTTCGTTAGTGATTTGTGGACAAGACATATTGCCGCACGTAATCACCTCCTGCCACTTCATTGCAAGTCATTGAGAACCCTCTGCGCCGGAATTCGATGCAGACTGATCAGTGCTTTTCACCTCCTGTTGTTCCTGCTCCGCCTGTGCAAGCAGCTCGTCAATCTTCGCTTCCATCCGTGTCAGCTGGCTCTCAAGCGCTGCCGCTGTTCGTTCGCCTTTGGACAGCTCTTGTAATGCCTGTCGGACGTCAGCATTCCTATCGGTGCGCTCGGCAAGGTCGATGTGCACCCACCTTTGCGAAATCGGCATCAGACGCGTTTTCCACGCGTTCACCTGAGCTGCCTGACGCCATTTTCGCAATCCAAAGGGCAGCAGCTTCATGTATGAAAGCTCTTGGGTGCTGTGGTGTTGTACTATACAATTGAGGATGTTCTGTGGCGCATCCATTCATTTCTCGGCTGATCGGAGTCGGATCAAAAGTTTGCCGGGCACCGACGGAGACGGCATCAAACAAGCCTGGTTTGGCTTGGGCGAGTGTCATTGATTGGTAACTGACAACTTTACTGCTTTCACTTCGACAAATATATACCTGCTCGATCGGAGATCATTGGAAAAGGAGCAGCGATTCTGGCACTTCTCTGGCGCTCATTTTGATCTGCGCATATCGCGGCCGAATAAGGAAGCTGCGCCTCCCGTCTGACCACAAAGCGGCAGATACCACACTACGACTACCATGGCGAACTCCGCAACACGTAAACCACGGCCTGCCCGTCAGACTAGACTACCGCTCCCCTCGCCCTCACGACTTGCGGCTTCGCTGGAAGAAGATTCGTCCGAGCGGAGTCGACTCGCAACAACGCCTGACGACAAGGACAAGACTTTCCTCTATCTTGCCTATGGATCCAACCTGTGCAACGAGACTTTTCGCGGCAGACGTGGCATTAAACCGCTATCGCAAATCAATGTTCAAGTTCCCGAACTGCGTGTGACATTTGATCTGGCTGGCATCCCGTACTTGGAGCCTTGCTTCGCAAATACAGCGCGAAGACAGCACAGAGACGATGCACCGACACAGCTCCCTCTGGACGCGGAAAAAGCCGATCTCGCCAGCTCGCACTGGAGTGAGGGCGGGTATCGGAAGGACCAGTGGCGCAAAGGTCTCGTGGGTGTGGTGTATGAAGTGACGGCTGAGGACTACGCGCACATCATCCAAACAGAAGGCGGCGGCTCCTCATACCAGGATATTCTGGTCGACTGCCATCCCATTCCCGGTTCAGACCCGGCAGAGCCCCTGCCATGGCACCCTACGGAGCCGGCATTCCGAGCGCACACGCTGTTTGCTCCCGCCCTGCCTCCGCATGGGGGTCCATTGGGTGGTCGTGTGAAGCGGCCAGACACCAGCTACGCGCAAGCGTCTGCGAGGTACTTGAAGCTCATGAGAGACGGAGCGGCGGAATTGGGCCTGCCGTATGAGTATCAGGAGCATCTGAAATCACTCAGACCGTACAAAATCACCACCGTGCGACAGCGGATCGGGCAGGCGGCATTTTTACTTGTCTGGCTGCCTGTGGTAGCTTTGGTTTTTGGATTGGGCAAAATCTTCGCGGATGATCGGGGCAGACTACCAGGCTGGCTTCGACAATTCGGCAATGCGGTATTTTCCGCGGTGTGGACGAGTTACGACAACGTCTTCAAGCCACTGTACGGCGATGGAGAGCGAACGATCTCCGATAATATCGATCTGACTGGCACCGAGAAGGGCTTCAGTTCCGGTGACATGCAAGAGATGAGCAGACTGGTGGACGTTGGGCTGAGCACCGAATTGGAAAGCATCAGCCGTCAGGTATCACGGTCGACATGAGGTCAGCAATGCGCCAATTTGCAGCACTACAAACATAAACAATGTTTCACTTCGTGTCTGATGAGAATGCTTCTACTTCAAAGCGAGATACCAAGATGTGAGGTGGTGCCTGACGCACAATCGGGGAGGGAAGGAGCGTTTGACCAGCTCCTTCCTTTCATCAGGGCTGCAGCCTCTACCGCTCCCGAGCTTCAACTCTCATTCAACTTCACCTCAACATCCGACTTCCCGTTTTCTGTTCGATTTTAATTCACCATACGATGGGTGCAACTCTCGCTTCAGGACCATGATGCCCCCCTTACTGGCGAGTTCACAAACAGAGAAGGTCATTGACTGCAGTGTGGGAGCGCGATCGTCGCCGGATCCAGTCCGACCACAGGTGGAAGTTCAAAACACCCCTCCTCTTGACCTGGTCGAAGACTCAATGAAAGACATCATCCAAGCATCCCGCCACGCCGTCGTGCCCACCCCTCAGCCTACCTCACTGGATGACGACGACGAGCTGTACACCGCCACCCCTCAAGCAAACAAGGCGCGGGCGAGCTCTCCAAGAAAGCTAGCCACGCAGCGCCTCGCCGTTGAAGCTCCCGGCCACTACCGCAGTGCAAATGGCACGTCCGAATCTTCACATCGCGACGCCCCCAACCTCACGAAGACAGTACAACCTGCACAAGCACCCGGGACGCAGATCGGTGGATCGATGCAGACCCCTGCTTCTCGGTCGAAGAAAGTCCCACCTTCCATCACAAAATCTTCTCGATCATCTCTGGCAGCTCTCCGCGCAAGAACTGGAGGTCAAAATCTGCCCACTTCAGTTCAAGGTGACTCCGTGGCGAGGTCGGAACCTGCTACGAAAGCTTCAACGCCATCTGAAGCAATTGGCTCCATCGACGCCGAGTACAAAGCCAAGTATCCTACACAGACGTCTGCTACGAAAGCCCGAACTCAAGCCAGTGCATCTACTTCAGGCATGCTGCGATCCAGGAATAGCAATGCAGAGCAGCAAGGATCAGCAAATAGCGCGAAACCTGCCGCCGTATACCAGCCAGCGACTAGCGATGCACGAAACAGTCACAGTCGAAGCGACGGCGCTGACCGATCGACATCACCGAGAAAGAGACGAAGTTCGAGCATACTGAAGCAGAACAAGCAGCCCAAGCGCCGCGTAGATACTGTTGAGCAGGATGTGTACGACTTGCCAGAGTCACAAACTGTCAAAGAAATCCCTCCGGTGAAGAAGAAGTTTCGGTATACAAACCGCTTGGAACCAAGAGAGACAGGCAAGCCAAGCCGCAGCTCTGCATCCCTCAGCAATTCGAAAGCCAAATCAAGCGCGGCTTCCAACACTCAGAAGCACAAGCCAAGGGAATCCGCGGGGCCCAATGTGAGGACAAGGAGGATGGCCGCACAAAGCACGGCACCTCAAGACGAACGTGTCCGCCGCTCTGCTGACCGGGATGAAGCTTCGGTTCCAGCCTCGAAGAAAGCTGCCCCTGCAAAACAATCCTCCAACGCCGAAGGGCACGTGGAAGAGACTCTGGTTGAACTTGAGCAATCAGTGGTCAATTATGATGCCGAGACCCCAGAAAAGGAGCGTCATGAGGGCAATCTGGATGCGAATGAGCTCCAACGCTCTGACGTAGACAACAAAGACACAGCAAAAGACGCCAGGGAGACTGCCAGCCTCGTCATTGAAGCATCTCAAATGAATGCGATCATCGCTTCAGACAGACAAGAATCCAGCTGCCCATCACCGTCATCAGTACACGGTGAAGCCATCCGCCTTCCCGCGACCACCGCAATGGACACCAGCCATTCGGCGACTCAGGTACCGAAGACGCCGACTCCATATCCTTCATCTCCCCCAGTTACCGCCAATGTGAAAGATCCCACACCTCGAAAATCTACCATCGTGGCTTTTGCTAAATCCGGTCCGCGTAACCAAGGCCGCTCATCAGTCCAGAGACCGTCTCTCGGCGGTGGGGATCCCAACTCAGAGGTCCTACACAGCAGATCATCTGTACCGGCCGAGATCCAGGGCAGCGATGTGACATGGCTGCAAGCAAAGCATGGGAAAGGACCGCCATCCATATCAGCATCTGTCACATCTGGTCGATTCCAGCAACCAATTGAGTCTAGCATCGTGGCCGAGGACGTGTCTGCGGCTCTCACCAATTTCACCAGCAAGCAAAAAGGAGGCCCAGGGCCAATTTCGGAGCGTTTACGACCCAATCGTCCTCAGGTTACAGACATTCCCCAACCTCGAGCATCTTCGCCAATGAAAGGAGATGATCAATTTGTCAACATCGGCGATTTCGACGCTGCTATGGGTGAAGCATATGAGGGGCCTGCGCCGAGGGTGGGCAACGTGAAAGCAATGGACCTTCAACTTACCGCATCTCAGCAGGCGATGCCGCCGCCACCGTCAAAGCCGACCTTTCAGCGGAAGACGGATCAGGCACCCACCGTCGCAGCCATGGCTGTACATCAGAACGACCAACTTCAACCCCGGCAGGGCGTCAGTAGCGACGCACGACCTATGAAGCGGGCGCTCGACGTCGAAACCGTCGAACGGCCATCTTCGAAGCGATCTCGTGCTGAGGCATTTGTATCAGACATTTCCCTACCCGTCGAAGAGGGGTCACCGCCATCCCCTAACGATACACATGTGCAACCAGCTATTATCGATGTTGCTCTTCCACCCACGGACACCTCTCGCAAGCCGGCTCGGGTTGCATCGTACGGCTCCCAGAAGGTGGACTGCCAAGGAAGTCCTGTGCCAGGAGGCATGATAGTACCAGAGTTATCGACTGCTCTGGAAACTTACTCTCAGAACGTACCACTGTCGCCAAGTGCAGCGGACACAGACTTCAGTCGTGCTCCAGATCCCACGTCAAGAGTGGACCGTGGCTCATTGAACGTAACAAAGCGTCTCATTTCAACATTGGCCGAAGATGGTGCTCTATCGAGCAATGTCAAGCCTAGACCTGCTGCACCTCACGAGGCATCGAGAGCCGTTACTGGAGTCGCAAGCACGGATGACAATGAAGAGCTCGTTGGTCGCGCAAAAGCATTGCCGACAAGCAACCCCTTTACAAAGGCCGATCAACCATGGGTGGCGCCGTCCCGGAAGCCTAGTTCCTCGACTTTCGTCGACCATCTCAAACGCATCTCTGCTGAGGCTCAAGAGCAGGCCAGAATCGATTCTCTCAAGGACATTTCTCCTCAGTATGTCAACCGAAGCGTCGTTCCACCCAAAAAGTCGTCGCGAGCAGCCAAACGTACCCGCAGTCCTTCGCCATCTCCGTCCGACAGCTCCACGGATAGCGATGAGTCGACATCGTCAGAGAATGATCTTGCACTCTGGCGTAACGGCCTACAGCCTCATCAGATGAACCTATTTGACGAAATGGTCATTGTATCGCATAGGCTCGTGCGCCACCTGGTGGATGCGGAAACCGCTGCACTGCAGATCGTGGAGGATTACCGCACTCGAGGTGTTGCTCTCGTCGAACAGATGGAAAGTAATCACATCCGACAGCGTGAGAAGTACGTCGAGAAAATGACAGCAAGGAGAAAGAAGTTGCGCAAACAGTTGGGCGGGTACAGTCGAGATCTGCAGGAGATCCGTGACCATGTGCCTAGACGTGCGGACAACCATGCTCCAAATAAATCAGAGGAAGAAGAGAAGTTGCTGCGGGTTATGGCGGAATACTGTTGAGACTCGTCTTGCGAGGGTCGATGCGCCATGTCGCGATAGCTCGGATATCTTGGTTTCGGTATAGTTGCTCGCGATGTATGCGTAGGAATCGCGGAGTCCGCGAGTGAAGATGTTGCTTGATGGCGATACAAATGTAATGCGAAAAGTCCACACCAAATCATCCCTCCAGCGTCATGTTCTCAGTTCTCCGCGCCGGGTTGGACGATCTCCTCTGCGGGCCTAGCGCGACCCGGCGGGGTGGTTTCGCCAAAGACGCAGACACCCGCTAGCGTCCGCTCCGATCTTCCAATAGGCTTCTTTAGCGACAGCCATTTCGCCAAGGAAAAAGTTCGCCCACGGTATGAACTTTTTGAGGAGCAACTATCCACCAACTCCCCGCGGTTACAAGCCTCTCACAACTCAGCAAAGACCTCCGGTGCTGTCAAACCAAGTGCATCTCACGCCTTGTACTTCGCCCCGACCCTGTCAAAGATTGCCGAACCGATCGGTCCACTTCTCTCCGCGCGCAAGGTTGGGAAAATCGTTGACGATTCAGCGAGCCATACCACGAGTCCAAGATGCCCGGCATGCCCAAGCTCTCCCTCGTCGAGGGCAGCTTTGAAGAGTTGGCCACAGAGCTAGCGACATACCTCGACACCCTGAAAGGCGATGGCTCCACCGTCGCGGCTGAGGTGCAGCCCCTCCTCGCCGACCCGGAGCAGCCAGAGCAAGCGAAAGCGACCGACAAAGATGCCGTACTGAAGAAGCTGGTCACCGCCAGCTCGGTTCTCAATGCTGCCCCCGAGCGCGAACTGCAAGCGGCATACAACCTCCTCATTCACCTCATCTCGCAAGCACAAGACCCCAACAAATTCCTCCCGCCGATATGCAAATATCTCAGCCAGCCCATCACCTCATCCCCACAGAATGGATCCGGCATCGCGCTTGGAGTATTAGGATCCCTCTTCAACACCATTCCGCCAGAGGATGAGACGAGATACCATGTGCTGTTGGCCATTGTGGAGTTGATCAAGAACTCCAAGAACTACGACACACTACAGCCGCAGTTGAAGAATCTCGATGTCTGGGTGAAGCAGTGGGAGTCTGAGCCGGAAGAGACGAGAACCCTTTACCTTTCCATCGCCGATGCGGCCGCCGCAGCCAACGAACCCGAAGACAGCTATACCTACCTCCTCAAAGCCCTTCGCACTCTTCAATCCGCCCCGTCTTCACAGGAAGCGCGCGATGTTTCCGTCCGCGCCCTCAAAGTTGCCCTGCAAAGCGAGAAGCACTTCGACTTCGAGGATCTCACCGCGCTAGACAGCGTCCAGTCTCTCCGGAAAACCGACCAGGTCTGGTCGGAAGTCCTCGAGCTGTTCAGCGCGGAAGTCTACGACGACCTGCAAGACTTCAAAGAATCCAACCCCACCTTTTGCTCCGAAAACGGCATCGACGAGGACGCGCTCGACCGCAAGATGCGTCTCCTCACCATTGCCTCCCTCTCCGCACAAGCCGCCCACACTCGCACCCTGCCGTACTCCACCATCGCCAAAGCACTAGCCATCCCGACGGAAGATGTGGAGGTGTGGATCATCGATTCCATCCGCTCCGGCCTCGTGGAGGGTAAGCTGTCGCAACAAAAGCAGGAGTTCCTCATTCACCGCAGCACCTACCGCGTGTTTGGCGAGAACCAGTGGAGAGAAGTGGCGAGCCGGCTGGAGACGTGGAAGACAAGTCTCATCAATGTGTTGGGGGTGATTCGAAGCCAGAAGGAGGAGTTTGTGAAGGAGAAGGAGGCGCAGTTAAATGGACCTCCCGCGACGGCGAGAGACGGGTTCGGCTATCGACCTGATAGGCGGCAGAGGAACGTTGGATTGTCTTTGGACAATGAGTGAAGGATGCGAGTTGACGAGTGTCGCAGGTTGATACGAGTAGGGTGTGCGGGATGAGTTAGACGGCCTGGGAGGCTTGATCATCTGGTCGTTGACCACAAGACCGTTCCTTGAACTGTTCACCCGGTTATCTTAGCAGTGGGAAAGAGAAGAGGCGCATCGCATCATGTGTGTGGATGCACACTTTCTGGTATCATTCATATGCATCGAGCTATCTTCACCCACTCTCATCTCGCATTCATAAAAGCAAGCCTTGTGGATCATCGCTCGTCTATTTACTCGCTCATTCGTCCTTGTAGCAGAACTTCCAGGTCACAACGCCGTCGCTAAAACAATCAAGCATGCCAGGATCGCATGGAGGAGAGCATCACACGTCTTCATTTTCCATGCCAATCCTGGGGGGACTGCGACTCTTGCTCTTGCCTCTCGACCTCCCTCCGGCAGGACTCAGGTAGGGGCTTTGGCTACGACTCCTCCTTCGCTCCCCCTCCACTCGCCTGTCCTCGATGATCCTCAGTATCGCCCGCCGTCCCCCACTCGCATCGACTTCCTTGCCGCGCATGCTCATACTGATCTTGTCGCCACTATGCGCGCGAAGAAGCTTGTTCATGAGCAAGTATTGCATGATCAGACAGACGTAAACGCCACAATCCATCCCGTTCTCTTGCTGAGGGCAGTCGTCTAGATTGATGAAGCGCAGAGGTCGGCCGAGGAGCTGGGAAAAGCGATGGCTGGCGAGCTGGCCCTCGTGCATGTTGTTAGGGTATAGAGAGTCGTAGTGAAAAGAGACGCCATCGATGATGGAGACCAGGAGCAAGCTCCAGTGCGAGCCACCTTCGGCCACGTCGACGCGGTAACAGTCGTTGATGGGGAGGAAGATGTGGGTGGTTTGGGCGAAGTCGGGCAGTGCCGTCTTTAGTGTGAGAGGGTCTTGGGTCTTCATGAGCAGGAAGGACATGCTGGGACGGAGGAGGACGATATGGGCTTTGGGGTAGCTGATCAGCTTTTCCCGTTCGAGGTACTCCTCCCAGAAGGCGATGGCGTTGTCCGTCAGCCAGTCGTTCTTGATGGTTGTCACGTCTTCACGGGTCAGACGAATATCGTGGTAGGAGAGGTAGGCATCGTCGGGGCTCAGCTGGGAGTTGGGGGTTAGCACGCGACTTGAGCGGGAATAAGTGATGGGCGTGGTGAGCGACATACCGACTCTCCAAAGTGACGGCTCAGCTTGCCGCCGAAGGGGTGAAATCCGCCGTGAGGGGAGTGTCGGTCCTTCGAGAAGGAGCTCCGCGAAGGGCAGGCTTTGTGCAACGGCATGGCTGTTGGTGCCCAGGTTCTTGCGGGATGCACTCGGGAGTAGGGAGTGAAGAGCAGATGGATGCGAGCTGGGGCCCGGCAGCGGCGGAAGATAAGTGGGATAGCAGAGATTGCGAGCGAGCAAATACTCCCGCGAGAGAGGAGCGGTTGTCGCGAGGAGGTGTCGCAGGATGAGTGAGCTGGTCACAGCTCGTGAGGAGTGGATGGAACCAGGTTGACATGCATCTGATGAAGCGACGAATTCCGCGATCTGCATACGTCAGATTTGCCGCGGCACTGGCACGTGCATTAGCCCAGCAGCGGGACGGCCCCATCCGCAGAGCCTCCTTATGTAATCCTGTTTCTCGACCTTGCTGTGCTTGCAGCTAGACAGCTCTCACCAATCGTTCCGGTCTGCCTCTCTGCCATCCACGCGCAGCTGGTGGAGAGGTATGACGGTCCTCCGAGTGTCATTTCATCCATGCACTGTCCCTAAAGGCTAGTCGCAAGTCCCAAGCACCCACAAAGTTTCCCAAAATGGCTGCGCAGGCAGTACTCGCATACATTTCCCTAAACACTTACCCCGACTCGGAGTCCATCTCAGCCTCCTCCCTCGCGTCCACGGACCTTCAATCCCTTCTCGATACTCTCCGTGCTGAACAAGAAACGACGCGCACCGAGATCCGCTCCCTCAGCAAGTCTACCGCCGGCGACATCGACGAATGGATCACCCAGGCAAAGACGCTGCAAGCAGACATTCTGCGCTCGCGTGAGACTGCACGTCAAATTGTCGCAGATGCCGAAGTAGGAAACGCTCTACAGTCGAACGTTGAGGAGCAGGGACGCAAAGTTGGCTTGTTGGAGGAGGAGCTGCAGTTCAATGAGACCCTCACTGGAACACTCGAGCATATCCAATATGCGAATGGCTTGATCGATCGTACGCAAGAGGATGCGGCCAGAGCGGATATCCCGGGCGCACTCCAGGGACTGGAAGACGCCGAGGCCAGCATACTGGGCCTTCAAGCGCTCGCAGAAGGCCCTCAATCGTCAAGAGCGCTGGAGTTACTCAACCAACGAATGGATGAGCTGAGGCATAGCCTTATCGAGACGACGACCGAGTTCTGGAATGCATTCGTCTCCGTAAATGAGGAAGAACGGTCTATGCTGGTGTCAGGACGTGGCTACAAGGCGCCGGGGGAAAACATCGCTGTATCGGAGCTGAATTTGGATCACATTCTCGTCGCTGCTCGCGGGTTGGGACTCTTGCCCTCACTCGTCCAGAAGCTTGCCAAAGATATTGAACAGAGTACCCTCAAGCAACGCCTGGTGGTAGACGAGGATGAGTTGGTTGCAACGATCACCATCTCGAAACACACAATGTCCGCTAATGGCAAAAACGGGGATATTACTGTGAGCTCTCTGTTCGACGACTTGAACGACATCCTGGACTTCCTCGCTACCCACCTGCCCGACGCCGTCACAGTCCCGCTGTCCGACTTTCTCGTACCCGCAATGACTAAATTGTTGGAAGACGAATGGCTCGATGCGGCCATTCCCCTGAACATGGCGGAAATCGCTCAGTTCACATCTATTGTCGAGGATACAGAAGAGCTGGCTGAGCGGATCGAGGGCTACGGCTGGAATGGTGCAGGAACGCTACGACAGTGGGTGGAGAATGCGCCTCGCACTTGGCTTACGAAGCGGCGGGAGGCTGTCCTTGGACATGCCCGGAATCTCGTGTTTGCAGGCCTGAGTGAGAGGACTGCTGTTGAGAGAGTGGAAACAAGAGTCTTGAGTCGAGACGACCCTGCTTTGCAAGGACCGGGCGATGCCACTGGGAGCGAAGATGCCTGGGATGAGGCCTGGGATGACTCGGAAGACAAAGCTGGCCCCGCCGATAACTCCCCAAGGATCCAAAAGGATGTCCAACTTGGCGGTATTCCGGATGACGACGACGACACGAGCGCATGGGATGTTGAAGAAGATGCCGACGAGAAGTCGGAAGATCCTGACGCCAACGGGGATGAGGAGGATGCTTGGGGCGCATGGGACGACGAGGATGCGACTTCAAAGCCAGCCTCGCCGGTGGTGGCTAGGAAAGAGCCTGCGTCCACCAGAACAAACGGCACTCAAGCCGCGGCACCGCCAGCGGAGCAAGAGATGACACTCCGCGAAACCTTCACAGTCTCCGCGATCCCGGATGGCATACTGCAACTTTTACAACAAATCATCTCCGAAGCCGAGACGCTTGCTGGGCCTGACTACTCAACGTCTCCTCTCGCTGTTGCGTCACAAGCTCTCTACACTCTTCCGACGTTGGCTCTAGCCATATACCGCGCAACAGCGCCGACCGCCTACGCCAAGGTGGATGTGGGCAACATGCTTATCTACAACGACTCCCTTCGCCTGGCAGAGCTGCTACGCGTATGGCAAGACTCGCGACCCCAAGGTGTTGGCCGACTGCGTCTTGACAACGATACGGTCGCGCTCGAGACTTTCGCAAAGAGAGCCTACTCGTCTGAGATGGAGAGTCAACGCACCATCTTCCGCGACATCCTCGACGGAGCGCAAGGATTTGGGAACTGCACTGTCCCGCCTTTCAAACAGGAATGTGAGAGCGCAATTGACGGGGCAGTTGCAAGACTGCGCGATGTGCACAAGATGTGGAAGCCGATACTCTCGCAGGGCGCGTTGCTGCAATCCCTCGGCTCCCTGCTTTCCACCATCACCACCAAGATCATCTCCGAGATCGAAGACTTGGGCGATATCTCCGAGGCGGATTCGCACCAGCTACACGCACTCTGCACGCGCGTCACTTCCATCACAGACGTCTTCACGCAGAGTGGTGGGGAGGGAGAGCAGGATATGACATTCGTATACTGCGCTACGTGGCTCAAGTTTCAGTATCTCGCGGAGGTGCTGGAGAGCAGTCTGGCGGACATCAAGTGGATGTGGCGAGAAGGGGAACTGAGTCTGGAATTTGATGCGGACGAGGTGGTGGAGCTTGTGGAAGCGCTGTTTGCCGAGAGCGAGTTAAGGAGGCAGGCGGTAAGGGAGATTCGAGCTGGAGGACGGTGAGAAGGACGAGGGGAATTTGGTGTCTACCCGACGATTCTCACTGCCATGTGGAGTCTTGGCTGCAACACATCTCTGTAACAAGGCTCCACGAGTTCCTCTCCTGTCAAGACAATCTCGCTTCATGTAGATCCGCTCATGTCCTCAGAACAGTAGTCCGCCCCCCTTTAATCTCGCGGGAAATAAGGCAGTTCTGAATGCAGTCTGAGGTGGAGGGACATACGCAGCTATCGCCGCACACCGGAAGAACACCAAGCAAGCAAACGCGCACCACCGAAAAGAAACGGGGTTCACAGCTCGACGGGCTTGGACTCAGGCCAGCAGCAACGGACGACGACGCATGCCTCCTGTCAATCTTGCGCTTTTCAAGGTGGAACCTTGGGCTAGTGACCTCACGGTAGTGGATGATCCCAGAAAAGGGTGCTACGGTGGGCGTAGTAATCTGTTCTTGCAGCGCGGATGATGAGAAGAGGAGTAGAAAGCAAAATGGCAACTGAAATGGTCTTGGGAATTCATGAGGACAGTCAAGCGTATGCCTCCTCCGGATTGGAAAGACAACGGGTGAAGAGGTAGGACAAGGAACGGTGGTTCTTTGGTGTGTGATGTGCGTAGTTAGCGAGTGTACAAGATGCCACAAAAATTCCGATAGGCCAAAAGGGTAGAGAAAGGCGCGGAGAATCAATGCCTCGCCCCGTTGACCGCCGCACCGTTGGGTTGTTGTTGCTGCTGCTGCGATCTCGCGGGCTTGGTGCTGCTGTTGCTATTGTTGCTGCCGTTTGGGAGATCCTTTGGCTGCGATGGCGGCGGCGGGGGCGGAGGGCCGTATTGTCGAGGGGGTGGTGGGGGATGTTGCACGTCCAAGCCGTCATCCTCCGTGTCGTCATCGTACTCGCCCTCCTCATCTTCGTCATACTCCTCGTCCTCGTCGTACTCGCTCTCCGTCTCGCCTTCGAGCGCATCGTCGAAATCGGCACCGGGATCCGCACCCCCAGCAGTCGCTCCAGCCGCACCGGCATACCCGCCCGTTTGCATCGCGCGGCAAAGCCTCTTGAGCTTCTCGTTCTCCCGTGTCAGGCGATCGATGCTCTGCTGGGACTGCGACCGCTCTTCGGCCATTTGAAAGATGTTCTTGTTAGTGGCCTCCTGCTTGCGGGTCAGGTTGAGATTCTCCTTCTCCAGGCGCTTAGTCTTCTTCGACATCTCCTCCATCTCCTTGCGGAAGGTCAAGAACAGGTCATTGCTGTTGTTCAGTGTGTCTTCGACCTGCTTTAAGGGTCAGTCAGTGACTAATGTATGGATGGCGCCCGTCCCGAAGCAGCCAGCGAGCAGCAAGCAACTGTGATGTTACATGTATTCGTACGATCATCCACCTCGTCCAATACGTACCTGCTTGAACTTCTCCACGTATACATTCAATTGTCCTCGCAGCTCATTCTCGGTCTGACTGAACGTCGACACTTGCCGAGTGAGCTGATGGCTCTTGCTCAATTCCGACTCTTGCGCCTTTTTGAGCTGATCGTGCCGAGCCATCTGGTATGCGATTTCAAGGTCTTTGGTGCGTAGGAGGGAGTGGAATTGTAGCTCGCGGAGTTCGTACTGCTGGAGGAAGGAGGTGAACTTCTCCTTGAAAATCCGGTCCTGCTCGAGGTCTTGAATCTGTCGTTCCGGCGAGCGTCGGTCGGTGAGGACGTCCTGCACGTCCAACAGCATCGTCTCCAGCTTCTCCTGTAATTCCTCGTTGCGCTCCGCCGACTTCTCCTTCAGGTCTTTGTTGTCCTCTTTGAGCTTCTTATTCTCCTTGGTGAGGTCGCGGCTCAACTTCTCCAGCTTCTCCCGCAGGCCTCGCTCGCGTGTGCGCTCCTTGCCCAGCTCCTCCTTCTCCTTCTGCAGCTGATCGCCGCGCTTTTTCGCCTTGACGTGCTCGCGCTCCACCTTTTTCATCTCGCTCAGCAGCTCGGAGTACTTGCGCTGCACCGCGTCCAGCTTGCTGTTGTGCGGCTCGAGCGTGTTGAGCAGCTGATTCAGGTCACGGTTGGCCTTCTTCACCTCGGCTTCAATCTCCGCCGCCTCGTGCGCGTTCTCCGTCGACGACGCTTCGAGCTGGGAGATCTTGGAGAGCAAAGCTTTGTGGGCGTCGGCGGGGTCATTGGAGGTCGCGCCACCCTTTTTGCCTTTTGCCTTGCCCTTGGTCGGAGGCGGGAGAGTGGTGGGTGGGGGAGGAGGCGGTGGAGGAGGCGCATGCGCCATGTCAGAGGTGGAGGCCTCGCGGCTGTAGTCTGGGGTGGATGTAGTGGATGCATTTCGCGAGCTGTTCGCCGGCAGAGGGGCCTGGGCTTGGTTCGCCACGGCGGCCATTGCGTCGGAGGGATAACAAACTGGTTACTATGCCGTGGAGAGATGGGAAATGCGCCGCCCAGGCGGAGAAACGGGGGGGATCGTGGCGAGGGCCGAAGGGTTTGCAGGTGGAATGAAGTCACGAGCCAGCAAGTGCAGACCTTTCGGGCTTGGCATCCCTGGACGAGGGCCGAATGTCGCCTCCGCCTCTGCTCTTGCCTCTGGGTGCGCTCAAGAAGATAATGGATGGAAGGGACGGGGGTGCAAGAGAGTGGAGGCGCGTGGTGAGTGGATGGATGGTGGAGAGGGTGCGGTGCAGGCGGGAGCATTAGACTTTTTGCCCTCCAACCGTGCTTGCCGTGCCTGCAGCGGGATGGCAGCAACTCGTGGGATGGATGGGGGGGCCATGACGATATGAGTTCCACCACCACCACGCCCTCGCCAATGAAACCACCTGCGAGAGACGACACGACGGGCAGGTGGAGAGTCTCAGAGTCAAGAAAAAACACCATTTGCGTAGTCTATGGAAAAGCACTTGGTTCGCAGCATTACGATCCCGCACCCTCATGCAAATCATTCCATCCTTGTTCGGCGCTCTGCCTCCCCATCTCACCCGTCGTCGGGTAAGGGGAAGCGCGCAGGTTGCTCCCAGCCCCATCCGTAAGTAGTCTATCTTGGATATCATCTGAAAGCAACAATGTCGTGGTATTCGGCGTCTCGCACCCCACACTGGAAAGGCGTGACCAGGAAGCGTCCGATTGTCGGACGGTGCCAGCAAGCTCCCAGCCCCAGTGCAAATGCAGGTCGCTCTTAACGCCGATGATGGATGATGCAGGATCGCTTGTCGAAAATCAAAAACCCAGCAACATAAAAGAAAAAGAAACCCCCTCCACGCCGTGCCAGCCAAGGCTCGCACTCTCCGCGTAGAAAAGCCCGCCCGCCCCTCTATTAGTAACGCCATGTGATGTGAAGAAGTTGGTGAAGGAGTCGGGATTGTCCGTGATGAGCAGCGGCAACAGACGATCCGATGGAGTCAGCCGGAGGCGATGATGCAGTGCAGAGTCGATGCATTCGCCGCTGCGTCCTCACTCGAACCGGTCCAGTCCAAGCAATCGAAGAAAAGCAGAAACGCCGTCGGTCCGGTAGCAGATCAGAAGCCAGGTCTGTGGGAGCCATTCGTGCAGTCTACCACCAGCTGTTAGGGCCACCGCCGCCGCTGGGGTTGCCGTAGCTGCCGCCACCGCCGCCCATGCCACCGGGACCACCGTAGCCGCCGCCGTATCCGCCGCCGCCGTAGCCTCCCATGCCCATTCCACCTCCGTAGGCAGGGCGCTGTCCGCCTCCGTAAGAACGCACGTCCTTCATGGCGGATGTGCCACGGCCACGACCGCCTCCACGACCACCGCCACGACCGGAGCCGAATCCGCCGCCGGTGCCCTCACGAGCGATAGACTCCAAGAAGCCAGGAATCTCTTGGTTGGCTTCCTTGAGAAGGTCGATCAGGTCGCGCACCACGCCACGGTTGCCACGGTTGAAGAAGGCCGTGGAGATACCGGTGTTGCCAGCACGTCCAGTACGACCGATACGATGGACATAGTCGTCGATGTCGGTGGGCAAGTCGTAATTGACGACATGTTTAACATTGGGGATGTCGAGACTGTTCAGAACGCAGTCAGTATAATGCTCATGAGAACGATAAGGATAAATGATGAAAAGAAACACGTACCCACGAGCAGCGACAGCAGTGGCCACGAGGATGGGGCAACGCCCGGTACGGAACATCTCGAGGGCGCGTTCACGCTCCCTCTGCGTGCGATCACCGTGGATGGACGTTGCCGGGAAGCCTTGGTTGATCAAAAAGTCCGAAAGAGAGTCGGCCATACGCTTGGTCTCGACGAAGATCAGCGTCAGACCAGCGCCATGCGTGTGCAGAATGTCGAGCAGCACACTACGCTTGTCGCCATCCTCCACATACTCAATCTTCTGCGTGATGTTCTCCGATGTGGAGCCCACACGTCCGACAGAGAGGAAGATATACTCTCGCAAGAAGTCGCGGGCCAGCATCTGGATGTCACGAGGAAAGGTGGCCGAAAACATGAGCGTTTGGCGGTTGGCAGTCACCGGCATGTCCTCTCCCTCCACAATGCGGCGGATTTGGGGCTCGAACCCCATGTCAAGCATGCGATCGGCCTCGTCGAGCACGAGGTACTTGATGTTTGCAAGAGAGATTCTTCCGCGCTCGATGAGATCGACAAGGCGACCGGGAGTGGCGACGAGCAGATCACATCCACGCTCGATCTGACGGAGCTGGGATCCGATGTCTGCACCGCCGTAGACAACGCACGGCCGCACCCATGAACGATAGGCGAATTTGCGGGCCTCGTCGTAGATCTGGGATGTCAACTCGCGGGTGGGTGCCAGGATCAGGGTGGTGGGGTAGGCTTTGCGCTGTCGACCGAAGCCGCCGCCGCCTTGAACAGGAGCGGCGGATGGTCCAGTGTGGTATCCCTGCGAGAGGATGGGGAAGAGGAAACCACCCGTCTTGCCTGAACCGGTCTGAGCACAAGCCATGAGATCACGGCCGGACATGACGATAGGGATGGAGTATTTTTGAACGGGCGTTGGCACCTTGTAGCCGGCCAGGTCGATGTTGGTGAGCAGATGGTCATCGAGAGGAGGGTTGGTAAAGGCATTCACTGGCTCGGGCACGCCTTGTCCTGACGCTTCCACCGGGATGTCGTCGTATTTCTCGAAGTTGATGCCGGTCTGTTGTTTTGACGGGTCGTTGGCAACGCCAAACAGCTCACGCTCAAGGCGAGCGTTGGGGGGACCGGGAACGTGTTTGCCATCCCTCCACTGTCCATCTCCTGAGCCCATGGGTCCGCGAGAGGGAGCTGAGCCTCCGCCGCCGCCGCCATAGGCATTACGATCGAAGCCACGGGGCAGCTGTGGGCCGTCGCTGAAGTTGCCACGGGGGGTGAAGGCTTGGGCACTGGCCCAGTTGTTTGCGCGAGGGGCATCGTCGTGGAACCCGCTGCACGTCAATCAAGTCAGCCCAAGTCCCGAGCAGATTGTTGGGGGAAGTCAGAGCCAACTTACTTTGGTGCAGCCCAGGCACTGCTGTCCAGTCCGTTGCTCATGGGGGCAGGGCCGCCGTCGAAGCCGTTGGGCTCGGCGGGTTGAGCAGCAGGTCGGTTTCTGAGATGTGGGGGGATGTAGGCAGCACGCTCGGAGAAGCCGTTCTGCTGCGGACCTCCGGACTGAGGAGCGTGCTGAGAGTCCTTGAGGGACAGGCCGTTCATGTTGAGGGAGTCAGCCATGATCACGTCTTGTTTGTGGGTGGTGAGTGATGGTGTCGACTGTCAGGTCGTGGGGTGTTTGAAAGTGAGTGAATGAGGGTGGGTGAGGGAGTGTGGCGACGTTTGTATGAATGAATCAAGCGTCTCAGTGAGCCTTCAATGAGGCCGTGAAGAGACAGATGTGGGGGGGCTCAGATGTGGGTGCTCTGAGAGGAAAGAGGGGGTGTGAAGAGTGGGTAGACAAGAGAGTTGGTTGTTTGATGAGGGAGGGTGTGAGCAAAGAGAAAGGTGGTGCAGCTTTTCATCATCGCCACAGAACTTTCTCTCGAAATTTTGGGAGAAACAACGCTAAAATCCGGGCTTGTCCCGGCTACTCCCGCTACCTTTAAGGTGTCCGGCGGAGGAAAGCGCGAAGGGCAAACTCAGGGTCGTCGGTAGAGGGCAGGATTTGATTGGTTCGTGGCTCCATGTGCTCCATGTCCATGCAAGTCACGTGCTCGATGGGCAATTAGACAGCACAGCGATATCCACATTCGCAGAGTTAAAGGAGAGAAGACGCCTCATCAAATCATGTCGCGGATTGTATGTGTACGCTACGGCAACATTCTCGCCTTCTCATACGCTCCATGTCTCCCAGCTGGCTTGGATCGTCGAGGGGCATGAGCCCGCACATACGCAACACACACGCCCACAATGACCGCGAGAAGAGCAAACTTCGTCAACCAGCCCAGGCCGGCAGTGGAAGCGGGCGTCTTCGCAGCGTCGAGCACTGCATCGAGCACTGCAACAAGTCAGCCACACTCCGTCCGTCTGCCACGCATGCCAGTACGTATACCACCGATCACGTACTGGCCTAAAGTTCCGCTCTAATACCTTCGTCAGGCACCTCCAGCTCCCCGCTCTTGATAATCTTGACCGCCTTGACGGGCTTGTCTCCTGCGCCCTTCGCGCAGTTCTCAATGGCCTCCACCACGCTGTAGCCCTCCAATACCTCGCCGAATACCACGTGTTTGTTGTCCAACCAGGAGGTGATGATGGTGGTGATGAAGAACTGGGAGCCATTGGTGTCCTTGCCGGCGTTTGCCATGCCTGTGTTGTCGCCGTCAGCTTCCGCTCCCAGTCATGCAGTCCGGACTGCAAGCACGACACGTACTCAGGAGCCCTTTCTTGGTATGCTTGAGCTTGAAGTTCTCGTCGGCAAACCTGTCTCCGTAGATGCTCTTCCCGCCAGTGCCATCGCCCCTCGTAAAGTCGCCGCCTTGGATCATGAAGTCCTTGATGACGCGATGGAAGGTCGAGCCTTCATACCCGAAGCCCTTCTCGCCGGTAGCAAGAGCGCGGAAATTCTCGGCGGTCTAACGTATCACTTATTAGCAAAGAAACCCTCCCGCACAAGCATTCCATTGAATCTACCTTGGGCACAGTCCCTCCGTACAGACCCATCACAATCCTTCCAATCTCCTCGTCGCCATGCTGAATGTCGAAGTAGACCTTGTGCGTGATCTTGGGGCCTTTTTGGGCTTCGACCGTCTGAGCAAAGTAGAGGAAAGAGGCCGTACAGACCAGCAGCAGAGTGATGATCAGCTTTTGAAGACTCGCCATGTTGAGCAACGTTGTAGGTGAAGGCAGGAAGGGAAGAAGAAGCTCGGTCAAGGGGGGCTCATCAATGGACAGCTGGTCTGCATGGATTTCTTGGCGTTCGTGAATTGCGGCTCGAGCGTTTCGAGCTGCAAAATGAAGAGCCACCACCACATCTCCCTCTTCCTCGACTCAGGTACCCTTCCAACCCCCTTCAGCAGCAGAAATGGTAAGTTCGATCCATCAGTAAGCGATTCTACCCATCCTCATTCCCCACAGGTCTTCATATTCGGCGTCAACTTCCCCGAAAGTCGGCTGGTCGCCCGCTCCCTCCAATCCTTCTACGGCATCGGACCGCAGGTCTGCACGCGCCTGATGGCCAGGTTCCACGTGCACAAGACGGCCAAGGTCGGCGCACTGAGCGACCGGCAGATCAACGACCTGGCGGCGGAGCTGAGCACCATGACGCTCGAGAATGACTTGCGGCGCCAGCTGCAACAGAACATCAAGCGCTTGAGAGATCTGGGAACGTATCGGGGGCGCAGGCACGCGATGAATCTGCCAGTGAGGGGACAGAGGACGAGGAGTCAGGTGAGATTACAGAATTGCATGGTACTTTTGGGAGTGGAATGCTGATGATGTGGGCAGATCATGACGGCAAGGAAGCTGAACAAGATTGAGCGGATAGGATGAGCAATGCACCGTTATTGATCGGCGGCATCATGATGAGGGACGGCATGCGAGTCCTCGAAGGGGCGGTCGCGTTGTCATCCCGTGGATGAACCGGCTTCAAAGACAAACCCGAGAACATTCACCATCAATCGTCTCGAGGAGAAGGGAGAATGATTGAGTACTCCGGAACTCGTGCGATGCGCGAAACGAGACCACACTGCAGGGCTACTCACCCGCTCCCAGAGGAGAATGCAGCGCCGGAATGCCACTTTGGATCCGTTGACTGTGGGATATCGCGACGGAGCACATACGTACGCAGCGGCATCAGGCAAATCACAGTATTTACTGTCTATAGCATATCTGACACGACTATCCTCTCATACAGCCTCGGCCCTGGTAGGCCTCAATATCACGTGTCTTCTCCCATCACCTCATCCTCATAAGTTTCACTTTCATCCGCATCCACTTCTCCCAGGAGCTCTCGATCGACATCGTCCAACTCCGCCGCTCCGTCAATCTGATCCAAGTCCATGGGATCGGGCTTGCTCTGCTGATTGGATCTTCGCCCCGCACGCCGCTCCGCACGCTTGACAGCTCCCTTCCCTTTTCCCCCTCTACCCTTCGCCTTCTTTGCACGTGGACTTTGATGGGCCGGCACAATCTCCATCCCATCCTCCTCCATACTCGGCTCCTTCATGATCCGTGCGCGTCGAGATTCGCGCGACGCTCGACCTTGCTCCCATTCCCGCATCGCCAGGCCCGGTTGCGTATTTTCATCCCACCGCTCCAACCGCCTCCCACACTTCCGCATCGCCCCCGCCATCCCTCTCAACTCCTCTCCGACATCGTTCGCCTCATCGGGCGCTCGCACAAAGCCCGCGTACAGCACCCTCGGCCGCATGCGGGCTTCGATGTCCTCGATGCCATCCACGTTCTCTTTGCCCTTCGGCAAGGATGCAACGTCCTCACCCTTATCTACACGGTCCCTCACTTTCCGCGACCTGATTGCTTCTTCTTCCGAATCGTAGTCGACAGGTACGACACGTACGCGTGCCCACGCTCGGAGGATAGCACCTTCAACTTCTCGCTTGTCGCGGGCGCGGTCATGCAGTTTGCGAATGCGACGATCGAGATTGTAGTCGACTTGCTGTTTACGGTGACTGTTAATGGCCGATTGGTGTTGCGTGAGACCGCGGAACCGCTTCTGGCTGTGGTAAGAGGCCGTGGGGCCAGGAGCACCATCAAGGGTATCGGGCGGATCGGATGGAAGCAGATTGCCCCGAGTAGTAGTGAGCGGGGTTGAACGTGATGTCTCTGCAGCGAAGGTAGCGTGATTGGGGTTTGGTAACAACGGAACGGGGTGTCCTCGTTCGTCCTGTGGTCGCACCGCGCCGGCGTCTTTGGGTCGATTGCGCCGCCAGTTGCCTCGACCAGGGCCCTTCTTGGGAGGTGCAGCGGGCGGTGACATTTCGGACATGGCGTCTTCGTTGTTCAACAGATTGTTGATCCGCATGTCCCCCGGCGGTTTTGGGCCCGCCCAATTTCCATTCGGGGAGGGAGAGCGAGTGTAGTCGCTAATGGTGTCTTGACGCGTAGTGGCCTGTCTGCGGGCAGAGGAAAAGGTCGAACCCCCGGTGCGCCACATTGAATCGCTCAACTCATCCTCCGAGTCTAGGGCCTGGCCCACCCCCGACGACACCAGGCCTTTCTCCTTCCTCGGACGCCTTGCAGCGGTCATTGCTGGGCTCGGCTCGCTTGCGAGAATGGCGGTGCGCTCCTTCTTCTTGACCTCGCCGTAGTATCGTTCTTCTTCCGTGTCCACGTTCTCGAGTGCGGCTTGCTCTTCCGTCAGACTCTCCAACGTGGGCACTTTCAGCGGCATGACATGCGCATCTTTCTTCTCCCCTTCGCCGAACTGGCCGGGGCCAAAGGGGTTGTTTTGCGAGGCTTCGTAGGTGAAGTCGCTCTCGAGATACCACCACAAGAGCCACAGGAAGGCTGTTGCCCTGCTTTTACTGCTCAACGTCGATCTCATGACCAGGTCGAAGAAGTCTCGCGGGGGCTGGAAGTGGACCTCGCTGATTTTGGGGGCGTATTGGCTCATGACGAAGATCAAGTTGACCGGGTTTGTGCGGGGGATGCTGGCGGCTTTGATCTCTTCGATGGTACTCGGCTGTGGCTCGTCCTCGGTTGCGCCTTTGAGGATGGATTTGAGGCGAGGAGCATCTTGCAGTTGCTTGTATGCATTCGGTTCCTGGTGTGCTTGGAGCGCGGGAATGGAGTGGTAGGTTCGAAGCTGGGCACGCATTTCCGGGAAGACTGGAGAGTTGTCAATTAAGAAAGTAGGGGAAGATGGGGGCAGACGAACAGTTCAGAGTGGTGTTCATCCTGCCCACGTTGACCAGCAGACAGACCATGGCCATGCCAATGCGACCCTCGGTATCCTGCAGAAGTTTATCCTTGAGGATCTTGCTGCATTTGCTGCTCTTGGCCATGGCGTCGATGTAGATTTCGGCAAAGGTATGGCCGGTGGTGCCGTCGGAGTACTTGGTGAAGCAGCGGTGGTCGTCGTGGAAGACGAGATGCAGGAAGTCATACTGGATGTCTTTTCGCCACAGCGGGATGCCGTCTTCCTTCTTGAGGTGCTTCATCTTGTTTCCCGAGTAGACGGAGGAGACGCTGCCGCTGGCATTGCGTCGCGTGGAGGCGGTGGTAGAGGTGTAGACGGCGTCTTTGGGCGGTGTTGTTTGCTCCTCTGCAGTGACGGGCGCGGAGTCGGCAGGGGGCGGTGTTTGTCTGGCTGGCTCTTCGCCGCGCGTGGGCGGAGGGCTGGTTGCGGGTGCTTGCTGAGGGGGAGGCTCGGGCGCCGGGTCATCGAGGATGTCTTTGATGGCCGACATGGTTGAAGAGGGCCTCAATCATGACGACGTGCAAGGAAGGTACGATGGGGGGGTTTAGGGAGGGAGGGAAGGCACGACGTGGCGGGCATGTGAAACGCGAATTGTTCAGAGCCAGTGCACGCCTGCTTTCGCTCCGCGATCCCACGACGGGTAAAAGGGAGCAAGTCGGCCTTCCATAACCGTACATTCAATGCGGTATATCGTCCGTGCGTCGACTTGGAAAGGCTGGTGACGGGGACGGGCTCGACTGGCTGATGATTGCAGACTATCTCTCTATCCAATGGAAAACATCTCTCAGCACCGAGCGTACATCAAGTCACATTCGACCCAAGCCCTTGAATCGATGACAGACGACTTCATATTCACTCTGTTCTCGTCAATCGGACATGCATGAAGGAATCTACCTGCAAGGCAGAGGAGTGACAGCCTCTCTCCGCCAGGCACCCGCGCTTGGCCAGTGCACGAACTTTTGCCGCAGCTCGACAGCAGTCTCGACTTCATCTTTCCATCAATCGCCACGCTTCCTCTCGCCGTTGTGAAAGAGGGCTGAGCTGGTCATCGCCGTCTACCTTGATTCCCTGTCAACCTTGGACCACTCTGGAAGTCGCCCAGGATGCCGGCCACCTCAGCGCACAAGTCGCACTTTCGGACAATCCAAACCATTCATCTCGACTATGCCCCGATTACCGTCACCCAATATGAGTCCACGAGGACGGGCATGCGCGTTGTCGTTACCGACCAAGCTGGACCCAAGGTCAACGGCTATTTTGCTCTCGCCACCGAGATTCACGATGACTCAGGCGCGCCTCATACCCTCGAGCATCTCGTCTTCATGGGTTCGAAGAGCTACCGCTACAAAGGCCTGCTCGACAAACTCGCAACCAGAGCTTACTCCACCACCAACGCCTGGACTGCAACGGAGCAGACCGCCTACACCCTCGACACCGCGGGCTGGGAGGGCTTCGCCCAGATCTTGCCCGTCTACCTCGAGCATGTCATAGTCCCCACCCTCACCGACGCCGCCTGTTACACCGAGGTCCACCACATTGACGGCACGGGCCAGGATGCTGGCGTCGTGTACTCCGAGATGCAAGGCGTCCAAAATACCCAGGAGGACCTGATGCAACTCGCCGCCAAGCGACTCATGTATCCCGCCGGCAATGGCTTCCGCTACGAGACGGGTGGCATGATGGAGCAGCTCCGCGTGCTGACCGCCGATCGCATCCGACAATTCCACAAGGAAATGTACCAACCCAAGAATCTTTGCCTGGTTCTTACCGGCGAAGTCAACCACCCACAGCTGCTACACATTCTCGATCAATTCGAAGATACCATCCTCGAAGATGTGCCCTCCTTTGATGCCCCTTTCCATCGCCCCTGGACCGAGTCCAAACGCGCACCCGCGTTGGCGAAGACGGTGGTAGAGACGGTCAAGTTTCCGGAGGAAGATGAGTCCATGGGCGAAGTGCTTGTGGCTTTCTTCGGCCCCGAGTACAATGATCACAAGGAATGCGCTGCGCTCGGCATCCTTCTGATCTACCTCTGCGGCTCATCGATTTCCGTCTTGGAAAACACTCTGGTGGAGAGGGAACAGCTATGCAGCATGATCTACTACAACACCGAGCCCCGACCCAACCTCGCCATCGAGTTCCAGATGAGCGCCGTGGAGACTGGAAAGCTGAAGCAAGTCGAGCATCGTCTGATCGAACTCCTCGGCGAAGTCGCAGCCAACGACCTGGATATGGCGTACATGCACGACTGTATTCGAAGATGGCGCAGGCAGATCAAGATGAAATGCGAAGGCGGGAGCTACTTCTTTGCGAACCCGGTCATCGAAGATCACCTCTTTGGCTCCCGAGATGGTCGAGATCTCAAGCAATTGGCCACTCTCGACGAACTCGATGCGCTGGAGAAATGGAGCGAGAGCGATTGGAGAGGATTCTTCAAGAAGTACCTCGTCGACGCCCACCACATCTCGGTGCTGGGAGAGCCTTCCAAAGAGCTTTCCGAGCGGATCACTGCCGACGAGAAGGAGCGTGTACAAAAGCAAAAAGAACGACTAGGCGAGGAGGGGCTCGAGAAGCTTGGGGAGAAGCTGAAAAAGGCACAGGCCGAAAACGACAAGCCTATTCCAGACTCTGTCCTGGAAGAGTTTCCGGTACCCAGTGCGAAATCAGTGCACTTCATTTCCACCACCACCGCTCGCGCTGGCCTTGCACGAAAAGCAGGAAAGCCTGGGGATAATGAGATTCAACGACTGATCGACGAAGATGATCACGACTCGCCGCTGTACATTCACTACGAACATATCCCTTCCAACTTTGTGCGCATCAAGCTGGACATGTGCACCGCAGCGATACCATTGAGGCTAAAGCCCCTCATCTCATTATACATGATGAACCTCTTCACGACACCGGTGTACAAGGATGGAAAGCGGATGGAGTTTGAGGAAGTAGTTTTGGAACTGGAACGGGAGACAGTCGCATACGGCGTCGATTCGGAGAGTGCAAACTACGAAATGTTGAGCATCGCATTGGAAGTGGAACCGGAGAGCTACGAGCGCATTATCGGCTGGTTGCGCATCCTGCTGTTTGACGCCATTCACGACGCGGAGAGACTCTACTCCTCGCTCACAAAGCTGCTTGCTGATATACCCGACGAGAAAAGGAGCGGAGACAGCATGGTGTATCAGGTCACGTCAATGATCCAATACAAGCCGGAATCGAGCGTTCGGGCGCGGAGTACGCTGGCGAAAGCGGTGTATCTACGGCGCATCCGCAAACTGCTCAAGGCTGATCCGAAGGCGGCGATTGCGCAGTTGGATGAGCTGTGCAGAGCCTTAAGCCGACCGGAGAACTTCCGCATCTTTGTCTCGGCGGATATCCAGAAGCTATCCAAGCCCGTGTCGGCGTGGAAGATGCTCATCAGCGGGCTCGAGACCGGCAAACCACTTGAGCCGCTCGATAACCGCAAGGCGCTGCTTAGCCAGGTTGGTAGATCGCCGGGTCATGCGGCTTACATCATTCCCATGGCGGCCATCGACTCGTCTTACGCTTTTCTGACCGGCAACGGACCCGAGGGGTATGATCACGCCGATCTACCAGCCTACATGGTGGCTCGAGCGTACATGGACGCCGTGGAGGGTCCGTTATGGGTGGCGGTTCGCGGGACGGGCTTGGCCTACGGCACGGGATTCTCGATGGCGGTGGAAACGGGCAAGCTCCTGTTCCGCATCAGCCGCTCGCCCGACACGTTCAAGGCTTTTACTGCGGCCAAGGAGCAGGTTGAGGGGTACGCGAGTGGGAAATACGAGATGGACAAATTCGCACTAGAAGGTGCGGTCAGCGAGATTGTGCTCGGCATGGCCGACGAGCAACCCACGTTTGCCTCGGCGGCGGAACACAGCTTTGGCAACCAGGCCATTCGAGGCATCAGCAAGGAGTGGAACCATCAGATGCTGGGCAAGGTGCAGGCGGTGACGCCGCAACAGGTGCAAGAGGCGATGCGGAAGTACATGGTGCCCATCTTCCGGCCCGAGTCGTCGAACTTGGTGGTGACGTGCGCGCAAATCATGAAGGACACGCTCGAGGCGGGCTTCAAGGAGTACAAGCCGGAGGTGAGGACGTTGGAGAGCTTCGAGGATGATTATGGGGCTCCGGAGGTGGAGGGCGATGACGATGACGGGGAGGAGGAGGAGGATGGTGATGATGACGACGACGAAGACGAGCCTATGGACACGCCGGAGAGCGAGGAGGAGGATTGATAGGATGATGACTGCAGGCACGAAGCACATGACCAAATGTGCGACCCGTTGGGTAGCTGTGTCTATCTAGTGAGACGCACGGCCTATCCGACGGAGCATAGGCAGTAGAACCCCAGGGCTCCCTCAATTCCGAGGCACCACTCCGTACTCGTTTCAGCTCTGCGTAGCGACCGTTGAGTATGACAGCCTCACCAACGCCAGCGGCGAGTCCGGGCCAAGCAAGTGTACCTGTTGCCATATGCTCGACCGGTTGGACCCCGATTGCGATGACGTCTTTGGTGTGTGAAGGGATGGAAAGATGCAATTGCATCCGCGTGACTTGTTGTCTCCCGCTCCTAGGCAGAAGGGGGTCGGGTGCAGCAGGGCGCAGCGGTCGCGGCCCCAATTTCACTCAACTCACGATTGGCCGGCTAGCCGCCCTCGGCATTGTTGTCGCTCATCCACATACCGGCACGGCAGTAAGAGTAACACATACGCAAGACACCATACGTTTCATCAGGTTCCATGCAGGAACCAACTTGCAACGAATAGATGGCCCGTCAAGCTGATGAAAGGTGGTGTTGGGAAGGTGTTGGCTGTCGCTGGGGACAAGTGGAGCCTGCGGGGCCTCAGGCAGGCACCCGACTTCATCTTCCACAGCCCCCAAAGACTCACGCATCCAGCGACCTCCCACTCCGCGCCACCTTCTGCCTAGTCACGAGTCGCAAATGCGAACATACCGCACTTTACAACCCCCTGCCGCCTGTGCCTAAGCCTCATCGTCCCTAGATCTTCCGTCTCTGCCTGGCCTCAGCAGTCCTGCATGATGGCCTGCTCGGGCTGTCGCTTGTTAGACTCACACCTGCACTACGGCGCGCATGTTGTTCCTCGTGAGCCTCTCAGCGTCCATGAATGGCTCTTGCTGCTCTACAGTCACCGCACTAGCGTCGAGGTCAGTCACGCATTCGTATTTCTACTCTCCCTTATTCATCCGGACACCCCGTCCTCGCATACTGTCTCCTTGCTCTGTCCCCTACCCTGCGTCGTGTTGAAGAGCGAGCCATATAATAGGCGCTTTCGCCACTGCATGACCACACTAATCCTATCTGCCTCACATCAGCCCTACGCTAAAGGCCGCTGCTTTCGTCCGCAGGCGAGGTGGATGAGAAAGATTGTGTGACGTCCTCGGGCTCATGAGCAGATGGGCCGAAGGTTTGCAGGGCTCCCTGAGGCCGCCATTCGCACTGCCATTCATGGCGATGATTCATTCAGGCACCCTCCCTCCTCCCGATTCTGCCTTGCACTCGTCTGTTTCCTATAAATCCTCATTTCCCTCCTTTCGTTGATTCTTTGTTCTGTTCATCCTCGCATCACAACGCATCGCGTACGACACAGCATCACTACACAGTCAAGCCACTGTGCACACGCCTAAACCCAAAGCTTTGCAAGGGTGCTGCTCCCCCAACACTACCGCTCACCGACTACATTTTCCGTCATTCGAGAATAAATGGTCCGCTACATCACACTCCCCATGGACGCCCGGGCTCCCGCCCGTCCACGACCACCCAAAACACCCCAGCCGAGAGACGACGGTGCACATCGTTCTGTCGTCTGCCATCTCAACGCCGGTCGAACTGCATCGCGCGGCCCGCAACCTCGAGATCCACCCAACGGTAACCGCCCTCGACCTCGACATCTTCACAACGCTCGAGTCTACTATGGAGGGGACAATCAGAGGCAGTGGCTTTGAAAGCTATGGCTGTACAGGTTCGTGAAGAATCTTGTCCTTCTATTGGCGCATGCAGTGTGCTGACTTGGGTTGATATAGGTTCGGATATGTATAGTATGATGGATACGATGGACCTCGGGAATCATGTCAGGATATACTTGCAAGTTGCTGGGACGGCGGGATGGTCTTGTAGCAGGTCAAAGCACGTACATTATAAATAGTGGCTCGCTGGGATAAAGGATGTAGATTGTGTACAGAGATGTACACGATGCAGACGACAATCGTCGATTTTGACACCGATCAAACCCTCATCATCTCTACATCTCCGTTTGTCAAAGCATGGCCATTTAGCAACGCATCATCACCAGCACCACCGCCAACCTCATCCATCTGCTCCAAAGTCCAAAGCAGCACAAACCTCTCCTCCGCCGCGCGATCCAGCCTCGCATAATGCCGCTCGGTGTACGCCTTCAGAGCATCCACCACGTCCTTGACGCCCTCCTTATCCCTCCCACCAGTGCTCAGCTGAGCCATGGAATCCACGAGTTCGTCCTCCCCACCTTCTTCCCCCCCTTGCCCAATTGCCTCCCGAGTCGCCAGCTTCCGCCTTCGTTTCCGCAGATTCAAAAGTCTGTCTTTGGGGTACAAACGTAGCAGGGCGAAGAGGATGTGCTGGGCCACCAGGTGCGTGCGAGCATTCGCGTTCCAGTCGCGGAGCCGTTTGAGGAGGATCCATAGCTGTCCGTCGCTCAGCGCACCGATGACTTCATCGACTTCCTTCCTGCCGGTAAAGCTGCCGGACTCTTGTGGGCCATTGACCACCGCCGTGAAGAGATCGAGCAGTCTTTTCGGGTGGTTCAGCTGGAGTGCTAGCACGATGGCTTCGCGGTAATTGTTCGCGCGGATGTGATTTTGGAGCTCCTGGTCTTGCTCAATTCGCGCAGTGGCTTGGGTTGTAGCTTTGAGAGCCGTGGAGGCCGTTGTGTCGGTCCAGAACGTGAGCGTGCTGTCTGCCGAACCTGATACGAGTTCTAGCGGCGGCGCTCGTTCGACAGACTCCTCATCTTCGTCCAGCATTGTTTCATCTGGAGATGTAAGCTGCGTTTGCTTGGTGAACGTGGAGGCGGGTGAAGGTTTGACTGCCAGCGCCCACACCCTGTCGATGTGATTGTCCAGTGTAGTCGCACACTCCCCTTGCTGCACATCCCAGATCTTGACCAGACCATCCCCGGCGGCACTGGCAACCTGCACAGCGCCTCTCCCCTTCTGGCCATCTGCGGGAGCGGGCAGCCAGACGACTTTCAGCACACTGTTCGCATGCCCTTCAAAGGTCCTCAGACAGGTGTAGTCAGCTAAGCTCCACACTCGAACACTCTTGTCTCCGGATCCAGTCACAATCATCCCTTTTGCGGTGCTCGCACCCCCGGCCTCGTTGGTCGTGATCTGAGACACTGAAGGCGGAGAGAACGCGACAGCCCACACGCCTCTCTTGTGCCCTCGCAAGACACCAATTGCCTCTCCGTTCTCGACATCCCATATTTTCACCGTGCGATCCTGAGACGCGGAGGCAAAGAGCGGATTTGAGTGGGAGTAGGACGTCGATATGGCATTGATGTCCTTGTCATGGGCTTTGCGGGTGTAAGACGCTCTTGAGGCCTTGCCTGATCCAAGCGCAGGCACTTCCCAGCGTTTGACTGTCTTGTCTTGGCTTCCAGTGATGAGGAATTTGGGCGGATGATCGAGAGGGTTGGTGTGTTCCTTCGAGCCTTGAGGTGGGGTAGATCTGGGCAGAGAGACTGCACCAATACTCTCTGCATGTCCGGTAAATGTAGCGTAGCAGGTGTAGGAGTCGTTTGCGGGCTCAAGTCGCCACAATCTGGCGGTGTTATCTTTCGCTCCCGTCGCAAGCCAGTGTCCAGACCAGTCAACGTCAAGGGTAATGATGATGTCTGTATGACCCTTGAGAAGGGCAACATCGGCTCCAAAGTAAGGCCAGGCGGTGAGGGAGTCTGCGTCGGCATCCGACAGGCGACTCTCATCAATGGAAACGATTCGAATATCATCGAGGTTGGTCGCAAGAGCAAGCATGTTTCGCTGTGGCCCAATGTACGCGAGGTCGATGACTTCGTCATGTGTGCCGGAGATGCGCCTGTACACTGGTAGAGCGGCCATGCGACTGGGTGAAGAATCGGACTTGTACAAGCCCCATGCATGCAGCTTCAACGTCTGGTCTGCGTGCACTGACAGCAAAGACGAGAGTTTGGGGCAGTTCAACACTTGGACCACGGCATCTGTTTCGCCTCCAGCAGGCTGGGTTTCGGTGATTTCCTGAGAATCACTGGTATTCCACACCCGTATCACTCCCCGCTCGCCAGCGGTGTAGAAGAAGGAATCTCCGACGAAGCCCACGGCTTCAATCTCCTCGAGTATGGGGATGGTAGCATGAATCTTCCATGTCCTCGAATCCCACAGCATTACCGTCTTGTCTCGACTCGCCGATGCGAGGAGCTGCCGGCCGGGGGTAAAGTCGAAGGCGCGCACCACTGACGCATGGGCGTCGAGAGATGCGACGCTTTTGCGCTTGTGCAGATCCCAGATTCTGATCTTGCCGTCTTCGCCTCCCGATGCCAGGTGGAAGCCTGGACTCCCAGCGTCCCCCGCGGCCTCTGCTTGACCCTCAATCTCATGACTCTTCCGCTTCTTACTGCGACTCGTTGGCTGAACATCGGTTGAATTTGGCACGAGGAAGAAGGACAGTGCAGAGATGACGCCGCTGTGACCGTGGAACGTATGCGTTGTGAAGCCAGCTCTTATATCCCACACCTTGACTACGCCATCTGCACTGCCAGTCGCGAGGAGAGAGCTGGTCGAGTCGACGGCTGCTGTGACGATGGGGGTGGTGTGCGGTTTCAGGGTTCGCAACAGCTTTGCGTCTATGCCGTCATCCAAAAGTTGCAGCGCATAGATGCGCATGGACAGAGAGCGAGAGCATATTACAAGGTATGAAGCGTCGGGAGTAAGGGCAAGAGTGGTGATGGCCTCGCCGTCCTAACCGTCTGCGTCAACGTGAATTCGCAAGATGCCGGTAGTCGCACAAGAAAGAACTTACCCCTCCAATGCGTGCGAGGTGTCTTCCAGTGTCCAAGTCGGACAGCAAGGCTTCTTCGCCCAAACATGTAGCCAGGATTCTCCCATCTTCGCTGAGGGCTACGGTGCCGCCGGTATAGATGGGTTGGAGGATTCGACGAGGCTCGAAGGTCGTCTTGGTGTCGAGACTGAGGGCCATTGCGTGCGCAGGGTCATGTCATGCTCTGCGTGGTCTCTTGCTTTGCGACGGGCATCCTGGACGGCAAGAGATGTCATGCCTCGTCGCATTCACATGTCGTCAAGCCGCTGCTCTGAACTTTTTTGACGAAACGCTCGGCCGACTTGCCCTCCCGGCGCGATCCTGCCTCTGCGTAGATGTCGCCAACCGTAGAGACAACCTTACCTCATCACGACCGCGTCCTCAGCTTCTGCCTCTGGCTTGGGCAGCTCCAAGAAACACTTCCCTCCGATCAATCAACTCACCCACTCTCAACAACATCATCAGCCATGTACGTATCCACCGATAGCCATACGGACCGCATCTTCTAACATCGACTCATCAGGGAGGTCTTACTTGGAATCACGGGCAAGGACTTCTGCATCGTGGCCGCTTCCAAAGCGGCCATGCGAGGCGCCACCATCCTCAAGACCAGCGACGACAAGACTCGCCAACTCAACAAACACACCCTCATGGCCTTCAGCGGCGAGGCGGGAGACACAGGTAGATGAACCTCATCCCTCCCACCCTGTTGCATGCTCACCGCCCTCCGCAGTACAATTCGCCGAATACATCCAAGCCAACATCCAGCTTTACAGCATGCGCAACGCCACCGACCTGACCCCTCCCGAGACCGCCTCCTTTGTGCGCAGCGAACTCGCCAAGTCCCTGCGCTCTCGGAACCCCTACACCGTCAATCTGCTGCTCGGCGGCTTCGACAGCCGCACCGACTCCCCCCAACTCTACTGGATCGACTACCTCGCCTCCTGCGCTGCCCTCCCCTATGCCGCCCACGGCTACGCCCAGTACTACTGTCTGTCCCTGCTGGACAAACACCACCATCCCGACATCTCTTTCGAGCAAGGCATGAAGATTCTACGAATGTGCACGGATGAACTGAAGAGACGTTTGCCCATTGACTTCAAGGGGGTGGTGGTCAAGGTTATCACCAAGGATGGCATCAGGGAGGAGCCGTACGAGGACGACAAGCAGATCTATGCGCCGTGATTGCGGCGACGAGAGGGGATTGCTGTTCCAGCAGATGGGAATGCAAGCGCATGGCGTTGGGAGCATAGGGTTCACCATCTTGCATTGACAGGTGGGCAATGGACATAGATCGTCGTGAACGGTCAAATGGCATGTATCATCCGCTTCATCTCTCCCTGTGTGTGCCTTTGTTACGCTGTCAACGTCCCAGAGTGAATGCAATCGCATGCAAGTCCCGCCCTGCCAAGCCGTGTTCCTGCCTCCTCCCACGATCGCTCCTTCCCTTTCAAGCCAGCTTGTGCGCCCGGCCGACATCATGCCGCGAGTCACATGAGTTCGTCCTCAGGCCACATGCCAGCCGGTGCGATTGCCAAGCTTCCAAAATCCCCCTTTTTACACACTCTTCTCACTCACCCTGCCTCTCGTCTTCCCCTCACTCTTTCACACTCCACCTGCCGTCACCTTCTTCAGCATCCAGCATGGCGACGCAAGACCTGTATGCACAGCTGGAGACCCAACACTACACCATTGTCCCAAACTATGACCTGATCGTTCGCGCGATCGAGCGCGAGGAGTCTGCACGCGACGAGATCGGCAGCGATGGGCATGTCCATCGAGTGTTGGAAAGCATCCCGAGGAAAATTCACGTGTTCAAGGTCGCTCGTGCCGTCGTTTCCAGCAGCTCAACATACTTCAAAAAGCTCCTCAATCGGAACAGCGCCTTCAGGGAGAGCGCTCATCATTCTTGCATTGACCTCCACGAAGACCATCCAGAAGCCATTGCTGTGTGGTTCCAGATCATGCACGATTCCTCTCCCGGCGACTCCGCAGCGATGAAGTCTGTAACGATCAAGACTGTTTGGGAAGTCCTCGCGGTTGCACACAAGTACGGTTACGAGCCTGCGACGTCAAAGCCAAAGACATGGTTTGCGGCCTGGTACGAAAGCAACGTCACTTGGAGCGTGAACACTCTCGACTTCCAGGATCATCAGATGCTGCTATTCCCATGCCACACTTTCGACCATGCGGTTGGCTTTGCCGCGACTACCAAGTATCTGGCCTACCACGCGACGGGGCACATCACAGAAAGAAGACCCGAAGGATTCGAGTACGATCATCTCCGGCTGGACTCTCGAATCATTCGTAAGTGATGTTAGGGGGAAACCCGCCGAGCTGATCACTCCGCTTACCCATAGCCATCAGAGCAACTGAACGCTGCAAAAGGGCGCCTGAAGACCATTTTACACGGTAATAGCGACCGCCGACGAGAAGGCATCTACAGTCCAATGGATCAGATCCTAAGATTCGCCCGTTGCAGTTGCAAAGAGAAGAGTCTGTTCGGGTACATGAAAGCTCTCATGCACACGGGAGCCTGGCCTCTTGAGATCGTCTGCCAGTACAGCTCAATGGACAAGATTCTTCGCGGGCTGGGAACATTCGAGCCTCCCGAGAGGTCGAATGACGGGTGCAGCCAATGCCAGAAGCGGTTTGGCATGATTGTGCGGGCCGTTGTGCTAAAGACCAGAACGTACTTTGATGGATTGTGTCTTGGTATGTTCCATTGCATAAAGCTTCGGTGCAATTCACTCACCGGTTCATGCTAGACTGCATGTCCATCTCCAAGCCTAAGTTCGGAGGAGATACAGACGGAGACTACTGGGTACATGCGCGGCAGCATGGCAGCTGGGATGCGAAGTGCAGGATCCATCACAAGCAGCCCTCGTGGTACTTCTCCTTCATGGGCCGAGCGGAGAAGATGATTGAATGGAAGGAAAAGCAGGCACGAGAGCACGAGTACTGAGGGCTTCCGCGATTCGAGCACATGGAGATGAAGGGTCGTGGATGTCATCAAACACGGCCAGTTGCTAGGCGGGCGCGGGGTGTGTAAAGAAGAGTGGCCACTGGCTTGTATCAGAGACCAGCTCTATGGAAACGGCAGTGATGCATATCATGCCAGAGTAGTGAGTGGAGTACGATTGCAACGAGAAACACGTGTGCATATGTTGTTCTTGTCGAGTAGCATGTGGATGCGTTGGATGCACGGATGTCTCAAAGCTCGCGCCATGTCGTCGCCGCGCCGCGCCGCGCCAACGCCCAAACGGGCAGGATGACGTCGATGATGATGGCGCACGGGAACGTGCAGCGGAGATGCAGCTCCAAGCCACTCAGCGCTGCGGGCCAGATGCGAGGGGGAAACTTGTCGTTCTGCTTCCACGTCGCTTTCTCCTCCTTCTGCATGCACTTCACGCTGACGAATCGCTGCCCCTAACCACCCTCGCGCCCATTCGCGCAGCCCTGCACGCGTTTACCTCACCCATCCGGGAAGGAGCCTGAGGCAGCAAGCAGCGCCGACGAGCCTGAGGCCGACGTAGACAGACATGTCTGCTTCCACCACCAACCCCCGCGACATGCCCTGTCCCGACCCGTCTGCGCACGAGCACTCCAAGCCTTCCACCAGCTCGGCAGCCTCCAAGGCAGCTCTGCTCGTCACTCGCGCCCAGCGTGAAGCCACCAGCGCATCGCGAGACAGCATGGACAGCAGCGACGGCAGGCTCGCCTCAAACAGTATGTCCACAGACACCCACTCCGCATTGACCCAACACCAATCACTGACAACTCCCAGGTGCGTCGCACAACCTCAAATACGCCAAAGCACAGGACCTGCCCAGCTTCCCCTCGCGCGGCTCCACCTCCGGCGCCGCCTTTGCTGCCGCCGTCTTGGCCAAGGATTACACAATGAAAGAGTTGTGGCAGCATGAAACCAGCGCCGCGGGCAGCAAGGCCGCCATGCTTGCCCATAGGGACGGCGCCAACGTCGATCTGTGGCAGCCTTCCGCCAGCGCTGCCGGTAACTCCGCCGCCAATATCGCCATGCGCAACAAGGGCCTGAGTCCCGAGATCGACCGAGGATACACAGACATCGGGCGCAACAACTCTTCCCTCGCTGCTGCCATGTCCGTTCGAAGGGGACGACAACGGGCAGGCTCGACGCCAGCTGCGCCCGTCGCCGACTACCCCGACGCGCACAACTCGAGCAAGAACGCGCTCAATGCCGCCACCGTCTCGCACCGCACCTCTGTCCGCGCCGGTCCATCCTCTGATGGCTGGGACTCGGAAGCCATGCAGGCCGCTCGCATCAAGAACAGCCACATGAGTCGCGACATGTTTGGTGAGCACCCACCCGTCGAGCCCGAGGTGGAGGAGCAGAATCACCAAGCCGCCCTTCGCGCCTCCGCCGTCTCCATGGCCAAATCAATGTACGAATATCAGAACCGCGCCGCCACCCCCACCGACACGAGCAGTATGGTCGGCACGGCGGGGCGGGGAGCAGAAGCCGCCCATCGTCGTAATCAGTCTTCGACCTCCCAGTCTGACTTGAAGGACGAGGCGCTGAGGTACATCCACCTCCAAGAGGCCGCACAGAGGATTGCGAACGAGCGCCTGGCCAAGATGGATCAGGGCTTGGACGCGGGCCGCTACAAGGAATACTACGGCTATGGTAACACCAAGACGTCTCCCAAAAAGTCTCGATTATCCGTGCGAAGACGGCCACGTGCTGCCAGTGAAGGGGGCCGCTACGATGACGATTCTTCCGACGAAGAACGAGCCCGACGCATCCGCGGCCAGATGTCGCAGCTGTCCACCGCCCAAAACACTGTCTCGGACAAACAACGCCAGGACGACCGCGCCCGCCTACTCGCGGCGGCCGAGAAGCGGGTGCAGGCACGCATGCATGACATGGACCAGAAGGTCTTCCTCGAGACGGGCAAAGTCAGTCAGGCGATGATGGACGAGTGGGAGACCAAGGCTCGCGACAAGGCCCAGCAGAACAAGGTGGAACGAGAGCGCGACGCACCTGCCGGGAAAACACACATTGGCGGCGGAAGGTACATGGGTACGGCCGAGATCGAGGCGATTGCCGCGGCGAGGCTGAAGGGCACGCTGGATGAAATCACTCAGAATGCAGAACGTATGAGGGCGAGAGACGAGGAGATGGCGAGGCAGAGAGATGCCGAGCACACAGCGAGGATGGAAGAGAAGATGAAGGAGAGCGAGCAAAAGGCAGAGTTCAAGCGATTGAGAGGTATGTTACATCCTGTATGTGCGGGTCTGGCCATGAGTGTATGCTAATCGAGTCTACAGAGCAAGACAAAGCCAATGCGAGGAAGGAGAAAGCCGACAGAGAAGCTCTTCTTGCGAGAGAGAAGCAAGAACGCAAAGCTGCGGCGGACAAGGAAAAGGAAGATCGGAGGAAGCAAAAGGAAGCGGCCAAGGCTCAAAAGGAGGAGGAGAAGCGCAAGCAGAGGGAGTCGATCTACACGTTGGCAGGAGGCGCCACCCTCGGTACGGTGGCAAGCCGGGTGAAGGAGGACAAGGAGCGCGAGGAGAGGAGAGACGAAGAGAGCCAGGCTGCCGGTGCCAATGCGCTCCAGCAACTCGCGTCGAGGGTGAAGGAGGACAAGGAAACCGAAGAACGGAGAGATGCCGAGGCGACCGTCGCTGGTGGAGCTGCCCTGAGCGAAGTCGCGACTAAGGTGAAGGAGGACAAGGAGCGTGAAGAGAGGCGCGATCAAGATTCTCAGATCGCTGGTGCCGATGCTTTGTCGAGAGTTGCCACAAAGCTGAAGGAAGATAAAGAGAAGGATGACCAACGTAAGAGCCGCGAAGCTGCCGCCGGCGGTGCTACTCTCGCCGAAGTTGCGGATCGAGTCCGACGGGACCGCGAGGCCGAACAGCAGAGTCAGAGTGTTGAGAGTCCAATCGCCTCTGGATCTAATCGTGACGCTGAGCTGGCTGGTGCAGGAGCCGCGGTGGCGGGTGTCACTGGTGTCGCCGGGTACGAGGCCATTCAACATGATCGCAGCGATACTGGACCGGCTCCGCATACTGTTGGCCCCCATCAGACCGATATCGCCAACATTCTCGATCCCAGTGTCAAACCGAACTTTGACAAGCAGAAGGAGGCAGAGCCGTTGACGTTCGGTCCTCACCGATCGGATATCGCCAATATCGTAGATCCGCGCGTTGACAGCCAGGCCGGGCCCGTGGACGTGGATGATGAGAAGGAGTTTGCCGGCGATGAAGGCTTTGCGGCTCTGGGCGGTGGCATGCTGGGCGCCGGTGCTGTTGCAGGCGAAGCAGAAGAGGTACCGAAACCCCAGAAGCCTGTCGCTTCGCCAGCAAAAGAGCAGTCCACGGAGAAACGCGGGATGTTCAGCCGAATCGGGCGCCGCCTCAAATCCAAGTCTGTCTCTCAACAGCCCGGAGATGATCCGAGTACAGAAGCCGCGGATGGCGCTGGCGCGGCTGGAATCCCTGTCCTAGCGACCGCTCTTGCCGCCGCGGGTGGTACTGATGAACAACGGGGCGAGACAGAATCCACCGCCGAAGAGCCTTCTGCCCGTATCGCGGAGCCCGACGACGATATGGACGACGTTGACCGCACCAGAGCTGCTGGAGCCATGGCCGGTGTTGGCGGTGCTGGTGTCGCTGCGGCGATTGCGGCAGGCGGGTCAGGAGAGATTGAGGAACGCGAAGAAAGGGGCGAGGTCTCCAGTCTCGACTCCACGGAGGATGGGCACGAAGACCACCACCTGCATGATCCCGTGGAGCACGATCGTCCCAATCTGGAACGGCACATATCGACGATCCACTCGAGCAGCGAGAGCGACTGGGATGGCGAGGATGAACGCGAGCATTACGACTTTGAAGACAGCGCGGGGTTCAGTCGTGTCACCGCCGACTCGCCTGACGTCGAAGAACAGCGCGGACGCACACTTGAGCCTGCCCATGCACCAGTCGCTGTGGCGGCAGCGTCAGCCCGCTCCCCAGTGTCGCCTCTGACTCCCGACAAGGAGTTGGCGCCTCCGATCGTCGTCGCCTCAGCCTCAGCCTCGGCCCCAGCCACACAGCCGCGCCCAAGCGAAGAAGGAAAGGCTGCCTCGCAACCTGAAAAGGAACGCAAAGGCCTCCGGGGCATGTTCCGCAAATTGAAAAGCAGACCGGAGAACAAGCTCTCGAAGAAGGAAGCTCAGAGTGTAGGCTCCGCCCCATCCGTCCACAGTGCCACAGATGAAGAGCCCGTTGCCGTCGCCGCAGGCACCACTGCGGACCGTGATGACGGAATCGTCAACCCCGTCACCACCACCTCCATCGGCGAAGCGGAACAGCGCGGCCTGACAGACGGCACAGTCGCAGGCACGCAACGTCTCGGCAGTGGTGGTGATGTGGGCAACCCACCGGAAAGTCCCTCGAGCTTCAGACGCGGCCACACCCAACCTCATCGAGACGTCGACGACGTCTCCTCTTCCGGCGCGGAAGAAGAAGACGTGAAAGTCGGGCGCGCGGGACGTTTGGCGCAAAAGCTCGGATTGGCGAAAGACAAAGGCAATGAACGGCAACCGGGCAAAGTTGGCGCTGCGGCGGCCGGCCCCGTTCCTGCCGTTTCTGGCTCGGAGTATGGAAGCGGTGATGGGGACGATGATCAGTTTGAAGAGGCGCAGGATCATTTCGATGAGAGCACTGCGCCGCCGCCGGCTTTCGCAGGCCAGGCGAGGCACTCCGGCGAGGCACAAGCGAGAGGGACGAAGTTTCAGGAGGAGTTTGGAAGGTAGAGGAAGTTGGGAGGATGTGAGAGGAGGCTGGGTACACAGATGTGATTTGAGAAAGGAGCCGCGGAGGGGGTTGAGTACAGACATGGATTACTTGCTTGCGTTCGCTTCTGGGGATCTGTCTTACCTAGCGAGCACATGAGCTATACTCGAGCAATTAATCGTCTATTTCAATCAAGAGCCACGCAGATGTATGAGTTGCATTCATGATGTGCCTGAGCAACGACTCGACTAGCCCTGGCGGAGCACGGCCTGCTCGACCGCATCATTGCCGCCAGCCATCCACGCTTCACCATCGTCTCCCAGGAGCATTTCGCTCTCTCCGTGTGCGTCACGTACGAACCCAGAGACACTATCGAAGTCTTGATCACGCTGCTGTACACTCGGACCATCACCATTCTCCTCCCCGCTCCACTCAGCCTTTCGTTCCTCCTCTTCGAGCGCGGTCATCTGCAGCACAAAGTCCCCTTGCAACCTCTTCAGCCACTCTCGCAGCTGCTCGCCTTCCATTTTTCCGTTACGAGCCTGCACAAGCTGCTCTTTCAAGTTCAACAGTAAAACTCGGCGGCGATTGCGAATGACGCCGAGCGAGCGTCTTTTCTTTCTCTTCGCTTGTTGCTCCAACGTACGAGACACCTCCTCGGCATGCTCGAGCACATCCGGGGGCAGAGGAACGACCCTCGCGAGCTTCAGCCCGTAGTGCTCTTGCTGTTCCGTCCCGCTAGAAAGCCGATATTGCATCTCCATCTTGTTTTGCTCGCTCATATCCACCGCAAGATGGTAGTTGACGACGCCGTTGCGCTGCAACATGATCTGGGCAAGGTCGGTGAAGTGCGTCACGAACCATACGAGTGCCCTACTCTGGACTAGTGCTTCGGCGATGGCGAGTGCAATGGCCAGGCCGTCACGCGTGCTCGTTCCGCGTCCCAGCTCGTCGATGATGGCCATGCTCTGGCGGTCGATGTTGCGGAGGATGAAGGCCGTCTCGCGCATTTCAGCCGCGAATGTCGAAACGTTGGCTTCGACGTTGTCATCGAGCGATATGCGAGCGAACAACTGGCGTGTGATGGGAAAGACTGCAAATTCGGCGGGCACGAAGCTGCCGATGTGGGCCATGACCGTCATCAAAGCAACTGAGCGGATGTAGGTGCTCTTGCCGCTCATGTTGCAGCCGGTGATGACTTGGAATCGCGTCTGCTGCGTGGCGTACACATCATTCGGCACGAACTCGGCTTTATGTATGCTCTCACGAATGGGATGTCGAGCAGCTCGAATGGCTAAGGCATCTCCTATTTGTGGCCGGGCATAGTCTCTGCTGGTGACGACTTGGGCGAAGGACGCGAGCATGTCGAGGACTGCTATGCCTTCGCAAATCTTGAACAGGATCGACATGTGTTCTCTCACCCTGACAATCACGTCTTGCACCGACTTGTCGCTCATCAACAACACTTCGGTATGAGCATCGGCAATCTTTTGGTTTTGCTTCATCAAACGTAGCGTTTGGCATTCAATAATGTCTTTCTTGCGATACGCGTTGATGAAGACCGCGGGCAAATTTCGCTCCTCGAGTTCGCTGGCAGAAAGACGCAGGAAGAATTGTCTTGTGGCCTCAAACTTGAGGTTGAGGTCAAGGTTGTGCTCTTCCTTCAGCTCGGTGACGTGCTGATAGGCATCGTTCATAGACTCATGGTACGTTTGGCGAGCAACATCCAGCAAGCCGTTGACGCCAGATCGTACTGCGTAGGACCGCTGGTTACGCAACTCGACAGGCTTCTTTGCGAAAGTGACATCTTCATTGATGACATCGTTGATGAGCTTTCGGATGGGATCAATGTGATCAGGATTGCATAGACCACGGATCTCGTGTAGCATGCTGCATCGAGAGCCCGTCAGCGCTTCAAAGACTGATGGGATGAGGCTGACGAATTGCTTCAGCATCATGACATTGTTGACGGCTTGCTCCGTGTCTTTGAGCGTGGGCTGGGTCGGAATCAAGATGAGCTGTGTAAGCATCTTGTCGACATCGAGGAAGGGTTTCAGTGCTGCTCTGGCAGCAAAGAACATCTCCTCCTTGGTGCTGAGCTCCTCAACGGCTTCGTAACGAGTGTTGAGCGTATCGGGATTGGTTAGAGGCTGCAGGATGTTTGCACGAAGTAATCGAGCACCCATCGGCGTGAGTGTTTGGTTCAACAATCCGAAAAGGCACTCCTTAGACTTTGTATTATGCAAGTTCTGCACCAGCTCCAGAGAATGGATAGTGGAGAGGTCGATCATCATGGAGCCTTCCGACGGCTCATACTTGATGCGGAGGGAGCGGAATGGAAACGTCTTGCCCATGCTGAGCTCGACGTATTTCAGCACGGCAGCGAAGCAACACACCGCGTAGTAGTTGCCACCGACGGCGGTCTTCACAGTCTCGACATCTTCAGCGAAAGCGAGCTGCTGAATGTACTCAAGACCAGTCGTCTCGGCCCAGTAGCGTCTATCTAGAAGCTCGATGGTAGTGCCCAAGGGCTCCACGCTCTCTTCGATGATGGAAAACAGCTTGGACTTTGGATTGGCAGCGGTGCCGACGATGAGAGCAGTGGAGGGATTGTAGACAAGCAATTTATGAACGGTTCGGACGTAGGTCTGACTATCGCTGATTTGGCTGAGAACGGCCTCGCCAGTGTCCAAATTGACAAAGGCCAGGCCGACGGTGGGCGAGATGCCGCGCGACTCACTGACCGCACAGACAATCTCTTGATCCGGCACACCCAGGGTTGAAATGCCAGTGCGGGGACGAGCGGTGCTTGGTCGGGCAGTACTCCGGCGGCTGGTCCTGGGCCGGGATGCGGTAGTGATGTAGTCGCCAGTTTGAAAGGTGCCGGAGTGGACTGAAAGAGGATGAGGTGCGGAGAGTCGATTTGTCGTGGTGGCAGATGCTTCACTGCCCGTTGCCGTCATCGGCGTACTGCGGCTCGATGAGCCTCGTCTGGACAACGCCATTCGTGCTTTCCTCGGCCGCGTTCGGCTTGTCGTGCAATAGTAGGACCCAGGTTGCGAGGACGGGAGGAGGTGGAGTCAAGGTAAAGTCGAGGCAGGCATGTGCCCCGGGCGCTCCTGCCTTGCCAGTGTGCATGCCAAGACATGCATATGCCATGGCACCCCTGCCTCGAACCAACTGCATCTCTACCATCGTGTATAGGTTAAAGGTAGTAGTTGATGCTGGGGAACGCTATGTTCCCTCGTGTTGTAGTCGGTCGGAAACTCTCTGCAGTCTCGTGCAACAGCGGAGAAGACGGTCGCATCAGACGCATCCTACGCAGTTCATGCCACCAACATCTCACCGCTGCTTCTTCGCCTTCTTGCGTGCTCCGTCCGCCACATCATTCCGCTCTCGCTCCGCCTTCTCGTCAACCTCGACCAACCAATTGTCACCGGCGTCCGTCTTCTTCCCCTTGTACCCATACTTCGGCACCCAATCACCCTTTGCTTCATCATACACCAGCTTGCCATCCTTGCGCTTTGCCTTGATGCCCTTCTTCTCCGCAAACTTGGCCCACCTGGTCTTCTCCTTTTCCTTTGGCACCGGCTTCTCGCGCGGCAGCTGAGTGTCCGGGGGCGGGACCGTCAGTTGGAGATTACCATCGTCTGGTGCACGCGAGATGGGGCACACGGTGAGGAGTTGGTTGATGAGTGCTTGAGCACAGTCGCGGGCGGTCGCTGCAAGAACGGCTTCCTTGCTCTCTTCGGGCAGCGGAGCAAGCGGGTTGGGATCGTTGCAGAGCAGGTGACCCAGGTCGAAAGTGTATGGCTGTGCTTTTCCTTCCACCATGGTGGTGGTGGCGTGAGTGCTCATTGTCGTTGCAACGGGAAGTGGAGGTGTGGTGAGTTTGGTGGCACGACACAGCCGCGGAGGAAAAAAAGTCGCGATATGCAAAGCCGAGCGCACAGCCTGCGGCCAAATTGGGCTTAGTGCAAGGCCTCAAAATAGAGCGAGCGCATGTAACCCCGCGGGCGTCAGGCAGCAAGAAGGCCGGCCCTACCCTCGCGAGTTGGCGACGCATAGGGCTCTAGTTTCTGCGGATGAGCTGAGCCTCAGCTGGTGGTAGTGGTGCCATGGTGTTGTCGATCATCCCAATGTCACGTCAAGTGTAGCCAGCCATCACAGCCCCGTCGTAAATCTAGGCAGCATTCGTTTCAAAATTGCAGCTGAAGAGCCGCGTTAAATACCACGCATCGCTCCTCCTTCGCTCTCGTACTCATTCCCCATTCACATCGCTCCTCCTATCGCTTCTCAAGCTTCTGGCACACGAGCAATACAGGCGACACATTCCCACAACATGTTCCAATCGCCTCCCGTTCTCCTCGCGCCCTTCAATCCGCCCCTCGGGCCTCAGCCGGCCAGCTACCGAGTCTACTGCCCCGAGCAAGTCACTCTCGTGCTCCGCGAGAAGGTCTTCTCCTTCTCCGGCGATGACTTTCTCATCCAGAGCACCGAGGGCATGAGCGTGTGCAAATGCAAGGGCAAGGCGATTTCCTTGCACGCCAAGAAGCGCTTCACCGACATGCAAGACAACGAGATCTTCACCCTCTCCAACAAGCTCATGAACGTCCTGATGAGCTTCCGCGGCGAGAGCCCCGACGGCCAAGCCGACTTTGAGATCCGAGGCCACTTTCAGGTGATCGGCAGCAGGAGTACGGTGCACTTCCGCAATGCCGCGGACGGGCAGCAGATTGAGCTGGAGGTGAAGGGCAACTGGATCGAGCGCAAGGCGCAAATCACCTTGAATGGAAGACCCGTGGCCATGATTCAGCGCTCCTTCATGAACGCAAGGCAGGTCTTTGGAAACGCGCAGACCGTGAGTTGCTCTTTGCATCCGCTGATGGGGTGACGACTTGCTAATCTTGAGATGCAATACAGTACTATGTCACGGTTGCTGCGAACGTCGACCTCAGTATGATCGCCGCGGCCTGTATTGCCCTCGACGACCGCGAGAAAGGAAAACGGTGAGGGGATGAGAGTGGGTAGGATTGTGCGTTTAGCGGGGGGAGAGAACTGATGTACCAACAAGGGATTGTCCATAGATCAGGAGTTGTTGGAATACTTGCTTTACTGTAGGATAAGCTCCGTCGTATATCGCCATGTTCCCTCATCCGATGTAACTTGTGTGTATTGTACAGACGACACTGCATCGCGCTTGCCAGCCGGGAATAATGCGCTGCGAAGTTTCCACCTATCAGCGTCTAGCCGAGTCGCCTTACCCGCCAAGACTTCCTTAAGCTCGGGGCAATCATCATAGAATCGTGAAAGCGACCTCCGACTTCCCTTCCTTCCCATTGCCACCACAACACCACACCTCTCTCACAATGGCCCTTCGACTAGCAACCCGGCGCCTAGCGCCTCTCACCCTTCGGCGAGGCATGGCCACGACCATCGAAAGCGGCAAAGACTCCATCCCCGCCGCGTCGCCCATCACCACCCCCAACCGCTCTCCCGTCTCCGAGTCCAAGACCTCCACCATCGAAGATCCCCAGGCTGGCACCGACGCAAAAATCAAGAAGTTCCAGGTCTACCGGTGGAATCCTGACGAGCCGACGTCGAAGCCCAAGATGCAGACCTACACCCTCGACTTGAACAAGACCGGGCCGATGATGTTGGATGCACTGATCCGGATCAAGAACGAGGTCGACCCGACTCTTACCTTTCGACGAAGCTGTAGAGAGGGCATCTGCGGAAGCTGTGCGATGAACATTGATGGCATCAACACCTTGGCTTGTCTATGTGCGTAGCCTAGAAATCCGACACCAAAGAGCCACCAACTAACCCTCGTAAACAGGCCGCATTCCCACCGACACGAGCAAAGAGTCCCGCATCTACCCCCTCCCGCACACCTACGTCGTCAAGGATCTCGTGCCAGACCTGACTCACTTCTACAAACAATACAAATCCATCAAGCCATACCTCCAGCGCGACACGCCGCCACCAGATGTGCGTTCTTATCATCCATGTGACCTACCACTCGGGTACTTAAGCTGACAATCATCCACAGGGACGTGAGAACCGCCAATCCAAGGCAGACCGAGCCAAGCTTGACGGCCTTTACGAGTGCATTCTCTGCGCCTGCTGCAGCACCTCCTGCCCCTCGTACTGGTGGAACAGCGAGGAGTACCTTGGCCCGGCCGTGCTCCTCCAATCGTACCGCTGGATCGCCGACTCGCGAGACGAGAAGACGGAGCAGCGCAAGGATGCGTTGAACAACAGCATGGCCCTGTACCGCTGCCACACCATCCTCAACTGCTCTCGCACGTGTCCAAAGGGCCTGAACCCGGCTCTCGCCATTGCGGAGATCAAGAAGAGTATGGCATTCACTTAGAGAGAGCTCTGTGGCGCAGGGACGAAGGTCTTGAAGCGGTCAATTCAACGCGAGCGATGTTTGGGGTGGCGTTATGTACATATCATTCCGAGTAAATCGTCCTACCCATGACCAGTCCTTCTCATGCTCACACAAGCCCAACTTTGTTCATACCCATGGAGCAAGCTCATGGCATTTCTACATACAATTCCTTTTCGCCGTCGGCATGGAACTGGACGTCACGTGAGAGCCCGCGCGACAGAATCGTGACGTCTTCGGCCGGGCAAAGCTCGGGCTTGACAATCGCGTCTTCTCGACCCGCGTAAAGTGTTCTGACCTCTCGGCCTCCAGGTCGCATCTCCTCGCACAGCGAATCGCACCGGCCACGCCTTGTACAAATGGTCGCGTGTCCGATATGCGAGAAGCCGGTGAAAGAATCGGATATCAATCGTCACATCGATTCGGAATGCCGCGATTACATTGACCAACCCGCCGCTCTCCCGTCCTCGACACAATCCAAACTCGCGACTTCCAAGCCCACCGCCGCCTTTTTCACTCCTGCGCCGAAACGGAACGTTGGTTTCCGAGACGATGGCGCGAATATTGCTTCTTCGCCATCCGTGAACGGTTCCACCAACACGCAGACCGCTGCGACCCAACAACCATCGTCGCCCGCCAACGGAGTGAAAAGATCGGCAGAGCAACTACAAGAAGAGGGAGGTGGTGGAGCAACAAGCGAAGATGAGCGGCCCAAACAACCCGTCGCGAAGAAGGCGAAGAATAGCCACGCCCCTCTGGCGGAGCGCATGCGCCCACGGACCCTCGACGAAGTCGCCGGACAGGACCTCGTCGGTGCGGACGGTGTGTTGCGCAACCTGATCCTCACCGATCGCGTACCTTCGATGATCCTGTGGGGTGGTCCAGGCACGGGCAAGACGACAATTGCACGCTTGATCGCACAGACGGCGGGCACGCGCTTCGTCGAAATCAACAGTACGTCGAGCGGGGTGGCGGAGTGCAAGAAGCTGTTTGCGGAGGCGAGGAATGAGCTGGGACTCACCGGGAGGAAGACGATCATCTTCTGCGATGAGATTCATCGCTTTAGCAAGAGTCAGCAGGATGTATTCCTCGGACCGGTGGAGGCGGGCCAGGTGACGCTGATCGGGGCGACAACGGAGAATCCATCGTTCAAGGTGGTGAATGCTCTGTTGAGTCGGTGTCGGACTTTCACGCTCGCGAAACTGAACGACGAGGATGTGTTTGGGATTCTGAGGCGAGCTTTATTGAGAGAAGTACCGACGCTGTCTGTGGATGCGGCAGAAGACGCGCTGCCTAATGGCGGCTCGCAGAACTCCCAGCAACCTAATCACCACCTCCTCGTTGAAGACGACTATGCACTTCTCCGATACCTCGCCGCATTCGCAGACGGCGATGCGCGCACCGGGCTCAACCTGCTGGAACTCGCCCTCGACTTGTGCGCAAAGTCGTCCACCACCACCTCGGAAGACATCAAGAAGAGCCTGACGCAGACCCTGGTCTACGACCGAGCGGGCGACCAGCATTACGACACCATCTCCGCCTTCCACAAATCCGTGCGCGGCTCCAATCCAGATGCCGCCCTGTACTATCTAGCGCGAATGTTGCAAAGTGGCGAGGATCCGCTCTACGTCGCGCGCCGCATGGTCGTGATCGCCAGTGAGGACGTTGGGCTGGCGGACAATAGCATGCTGCCGCTCGCAACGGCCACATACAGCGCTGCCGAGAAGATTGGAATGCCGGAATGCCGGATCAATCTTGCACATTGCACCGTTGCGTTGTGTCTCGCGCCGAAGTCGACTCGCGCGTACCGTGGGCTAAACGCCGCATACGCTGCGCTGCGCGAACCGGGAATCGCTGGCCTGCCCGTTCCGTACCATCTGCGCAATGCGCCTACGAAGCTGATGACCGAGATCGGGTATGGGAAGGACTACAAGTACAATCCGGACTACCTGAACGGAAGAGTCGTGCAAGAGTACCTCCCCGAGAAGCTTGAGGGGCGGAAGTTCCTTGGTTTGAAGGACTTGGGCGACAAGGTAGATCCTGAAATCGCGGAGTTGGACGAGGAGCTGCGGCTCGCTGAACAATGTGATCCTGCGGCGGAAGACGTGCTGTTGAATCCCGATGGGGATTGAAGAATTTTGACGATGATTCCGAATGCTTCAAGGATCCGACGGCCTGGTGGGAAGCGCAAAATTCGGTCGATTGGGAACCACGGGAGGAGACAGGCCTTTGGTGAAGACATTGTTCCTCACCGCGCCAATCCACTTCAGCCATTGCCAATGGCCATGGGCTGTGAAGTAGAATGCGGCGACGCGCATCGGGAGAAAGATGCCGATGTGTCCGGCGGAGCAGCTGATTGGCTCCACGAAGAACGGAATGCATTGACACAGGTTCAAGACGTAGCCCAGCAGCTCGTCTTCGTGGACAACGTCGTCGGCGTCGGGATACCAATCGACGGAGATCTCGTGACGCGTCTTTTGGAGCGATTGGATGTTGGAGCGCAGGTAGTGCATCACTATCCAAAAGACGGAATAGAGGTAGGCCGTCTGGAAATCGGGGAAAGAGTAGGCGTGCTCGAAGGTGCGGTCGGGGACGAGCGAGGTGAAGGTGGGAAAGTCGTCGATAGGCCGTAGCTCGAGATCGTTCATGTTGTCCACCGTCGCGCCGTCCTGCCACTCCGTCCACCACTCTCGCAACTGCAGCTCCAACGCCTTGCATTCGTCCAGCACCGCCTCAATCTCCCATTCGGCCGTAGGCGAAGTGGTGTTGATCTCATCGTACCGCTGCAGCATGACCGGCACTCTCAGCGCCAGGGAGTAAAAGGCGGTCTCTGGATCCTCGGTGGCATGCGGTACCCGCAACGCCAACTCTTCCCACTGCTCGTCCACCATGAACGGCGTTTTCCGCGATATCAGCGCCCAGATTAAACTGCCATGTTTGACATTGGAGTAAATCAGCATCGCCAGCTCGGACTTGAAGCTCTCCGGGCCACGCGCCGTGAAGAGCACATTCGAGCCCTGCACATGCTTCGCCCAGCCTCCGCCCATGTTGGCGATTTCCTCGAAGAGCTCACAGATGGCGAGGCACGACACGGCGGCCAGCACATCGTCGTCGTGCATAAAGTCGCCGCGGCCGATGGCGAGGGCGAGGCTGTTGAGCGCCTTGCCGTACACGCGGCCCGCTTGCTTGAGCAGGCGCTGGTCCTTGTGGAGGCTGCCGAGCTGCACGAGGCTCAGCGCGTCGAGGCCTTGCTCCAGTACGACCTGGTCGGAGCGTTTGAGCACGACGGCTTGGAAGAAGGTGAAGTGGCCGCTCTGCAGGCCGTAGCGGCGCTTGGGAAAGTAGCTCGCGATGAACTCCTGATATAGCTGCGCGCGCTCGGCGATGGGGCTCAGGAAGCGGACGGGCGAGGCACTGCTGGGTTTGTTGGCCGCGAGGATTTGCATGATCTGGGTTTCGGAGAGGAGGCCCTCATCGACGGAGTCGCTGGAGGAGCTGGTCGTGCGTGAGAGGGCCCCGGTGTGCGCCGAGGAGTCTGGCGTGCCGCCGCTGCTGCTACTTCTCGCCCCGGCATTCTTCGACTTATACCTCTGTTCCGCACGTTTGGCTGTCAGGCTGGTCTGGTCCTTGAATTCAATCTCAGCGGGCTGATCGGCGCGGTAGCCCAGGCACGGGACGCCGTGGATGGCGCATCGCTCACACCCCGGACGGCCCTCGTCGCACCGGATCTTGCGTTTGCGACACGTCAAACAGCCCGTGGAGCGGATGGGCATGTTGGCAGGGCAGTGGCGTCGACTTCCGTCGCGCGTTACTGCACTCGCTTCCGTCCGGATATCGCTCTTGGGGTTCAAGTATGTTTCCAAGGGAGCCGCATGATCGCAAGGCCTGCCACAGCCCACGAGGTGCCCGGTATTAGGATAAGGCTTTGTTTTGCGACAGTGTCAGCCGTATGATCGCGGCGGCTGTCGTTGACGTAGGACGAGCAAGTCTGGATCGGCTGGCAGCGGGCTTGCGTCGAGGCAGGCACTAGGGTTCTACCCTAACACGACGGGGAGACGACACGACCAAGTCTCAAGCCTTGCTCTAGCCAGCACCGCCTCACGCAGCTTGTGTCATCGTAAAGACATGGCACTTCTCGGCTACAGTCTGAGTATGTTGCTGTCCGTCGTCTGCCAAGGTATCATATGCTCGAGTCATTGCAAATCCCCCCCGCGCCTTGCCCACCGAAGACAGACCCCCAATCCATCCAACTTCGTGCTGCGATGCCAGTCATAAATAGCATTCCAGAAAAGCAGGTGAAAAGCACTCCCAAACTGCCTCCTCGTCGTGAATGCCCAAACCCTATGAGAAAAATCAAAACACCGCATGAACATCGTAGCTTCCTGTAACTCCATCATAGCCGCCATTCCCCCGACGCCTGAAGACCAGCCGAAATTTAAACAGTTTAGCGAGGTGGTGTCCCTGTCAAGGCGGGTGTGATGACAGGAGACGCGCTCGTAGATTTGGGTGTGGAGTGTCCACTTCCACTGTGCGAAGACCGCCGCGCCGACCGAGCCGCGTGCATCTTCTTGCGGAGAGCGCCCAGACGAGACCGGGCGCCTTCAATCACTGCATCAACTTGTCAGCACACCAAGTCCGTTCCCTGGCAGTATCACACACTTACGCTTGAGCACAGTCTGTCGATCCTCAGTCTCCATCCCGTTGATCACCTGATCCGCCGGCTTATCCTTCTTCGCACCCGACTTGCGCATCAACGGCTCGTCGTCGCTCTCCAGCACAGCCTCCAGCAGCATGATGGAAGTGACGTAGCCAATCTCACAGTCTTGCAGGTCGTCGCCCACCAGCTCGGCGACGGCAGACGCGCGGCTCATCTCCACCGCCCGATCAAACATCAGCTTCTCCGCCGTCACGCCGCTGCACAGGTGAATGTGCTCGGCCGAGGTGGTCACGCCACCCGGCGCCAGCGTCGACGCTGCCGTATGATTGCCGGGATGCCCGGGGTGGTCTTCTGGAAGCTGCCATTGCGCTGCCTGGAGCCTGCGCCCGACGACTTCCGACTTCTCCAGACATTCATTGAAGCGGTTGCGCGCCCACTGCACCACGCTGTTCATCCGCTTCCCAACCTCCACGGTATTACCGCCTGGCGGCCTGCGCGCTGGATCTCCAGAGGCAATGTTCGACCGGCTTTGCTGATTCCACCAGTAGCCCGCAAGATCGATAGTCTTTGCGAGAATGGCCAGTGTCTTCACATACAACACCAAAGCCTCTTCGGCCACGCCCACCAGTGCCACCGTCGTCATGTCTTTGTCGTCATCCTCTCCCGACGCCGTCAACGCTCTCTCCTGCGCTCCAATCTGCTGAATACCCAACGCATCCGGAGCAGAGGGTGTAGCTGGGAGAAGTTGTTTGTACTTGACCTCGGCGAATCCAAAGATGACATCGCTCCGGTGTGCCGCATCCTCCATGATTCGGACAATCTTGGTGTCTTCGTCCACAGGGGTCTTGGACTCGTTACCTTCCCCCAATAGCAAAGCGCTAGGGGGGGACGGATACACGGGAAAAGCTGTGTAGCCACGAGGGGGCGAGTTGCCGCCTAAACCAAACGGTGGCGAAGTCCCGAGGGCTCCAAACAGACGCACATTCGCCGCATTCAATGCCTTGGTGAGCATGTTCGTCGCCGACTGCGGCCCAGGCGCGTATCGCCTCTCGAACGACCCTATGCGCTGATGTGTGGTAGTGGGTCTACCCACAACCATCTGCATCGCGCGCGAGGGACTCGAGGGCTGCACGCCGGCGGGGATTGGAGGCTGTCCTTGCGTTGACGCACGCCGGATCATTGCTCTTGACGGCGAGCCGCGGGTGGCATCGAGCTCGTCCGCAAAGGCATTGATTTCCACCGCGCGTTTCTCCACCATGACATACTCCTTCTCAAAGGCCATGTCTTGAGCAGTACGCTCACGAGCATCACGTAATGCTCGCTCTTCCCGGGCGCGGTCGGTGTCAGCGTTTGAAGCCTCACGCACCATCGGCGGACCGGTCAACGGGGATGTCCGGCTGGGACGCCGCTCCATCCTCGGCGCGGAAACGGGAACGCTGGAGGGTCCTGCGAGTAGCTCCTGCCGTCCTGGTGCGGTAAGGTGGGGAGTCATACTCGGCCGGCGCAATTTGGGGTGTTCGGCTTGGCTCGGGCGTCTGACCATCTCCTGAGGTGCAGTATCGGTCTGATTCTGCTTGCCATTTGATGATGTCCGCCTGAGGATGTCTGTGGGTCGCTTCTTCAGGTCTTGATCAGAAGGCTTGCGTATTGCTGACGCTGGAACAACGTCTGAAAACTGTTTTGCCGGAGCGGTGCTATCTGGAGAGGAACTCAATGGTGTTGGAGCGTTGATGGCTTGCTTCGCCAGTCTGCGACTTAGCTCCGAGGTATCTGGATCTGCGGTTTTCGATCCGGTTTGCATGACACGATCTTCCTCGACCAGGCCCGGGATCTCATCTGTGATGACAGGATCGGAGAGCAGTTCATCATAAGTCATGCGCTCGGTGGGGCTTTTCTTGAGTAGCTTGCGGATAAGATCTTTCATCCCTCGGCTGATGACCATATTCCGGTTGTCGAAGACGATGTTGTCATTTGTCTTCTCAATACGGCGAAGCAAGTCAACGTGATTGGGGGCGCGGAAAGGAGGCTTGCCGACCACCATTTCGTACAGCACGGTGCCTACAGACCACAGATCCGCGCGCGCATTGTACTTTTCGTAGCGGAGAATCTCCGGGGCCATGTAGAGTGGCGAGCCGCACAGCGTCTCAGCCATGGATGTCTGGGGCAAATGGCGAGCAAAGCCGAAGTCGGCAATCTTCAGCATGGGGAGGCTCTGCACACCCGCCGCCGGCACGAGCGAGTTCTCGCTGGCGGCGAGTGGTACGTCTTCGGGTCGCTGCCGGTACATATACGAAGGCGCCGGGTTGAGGAGAAGATTCTGCGGCTTGATGTCCCGGTGCAATAGATCCTGGCTTCGCAGGTAGTCGAGCGCGCTCGCAATTTGCTTCATGAAGTGGCGAGACAAGACCTCGTTGAAGCCTCCGTGGGTAGGGTTGGGATATCTCCGGAAGATGTCCGCGGTCTCGGGGAGAGTAGCCAACGACTCACGTTTCTTGAGGAACTGGGAGAGGTCGGAGAGTTGGCAGTACTCCATGATGAGGTAGAAGTGGCGGGGGGTTTCTTGACAAGCGAAGAGAGCGACGATATGGGGATGATGCAAGTCCCTCAGGATCTGGATCTCGCCCTCGAGGTTCAATTTGAGCTTGTCGGACAGCCTCCCCTGCGACACCACCTTGACGGCTGCATAGGACTTTCGCTTGCGGTGTCTGGCCAGGTATACGGTGGCAAAGCTGCCCTTTCCAATCTCCTTGCCTCTTTGAAAGTCGCCGATGATCTCGTCCGGCTCTGACTCGCCATCACCAACGAGCCGTCGCCTGGACGAGCCGGGGGCTGGGCGTGCAGCCATGATGGTTGTGGGGGTGATGTGTTGTGCAACCGCCGAGAACAATCTGGGGCGAAGCGGGGCTATGTATCATTGATGGCGGTGGATTCGAAGAAGTGATCCATCGTCGACAAGCGATGATATGATGGGGGGATCTAGGCGGTCGACATGCTCTGGGCGGCGGTGACGCTGGCGGCGATGATCAAGGTTCGAGTCCGCGAGGGATGATTCGAGGAATCGATGCCGTCGAAGGTGGCGCGTGTAGGGAGGGGTAAGGGAGGGGCGAGACGCGTGATGGGAGGGTGGAGGAGCTCGGGGGCTGATAAGTGAGTTCGAGTCACACGGCGGCGTTGGATGATGTCCGGCTGGTCGGAAAGGCGAAAGGCGGAAGATTCACGAGGGACTGGCGGATGATCAACGCGATGCCGATGCGGGAAACGACAGCACACAAGGTGTTGGAGGGCAGGATGGTGATGGATTAGGTGATCCTAGGCGCGACCGGGAGAGAGAGAGAGAGGTATCTCACCGTCAGAGACAGACAAGCATAGGCGAGGCGGGATGATGGGTGACGGGCGTGCTGGGTCTGGTTCGCGGCCTACAAGGTGGAGAGAGAGAGCTTACTACTGGCTCCCGCCCGCCGCTAGCGCGCCGATAAGGCGCAGCGATAACGAACTCCCTCGCAACACGCGCTGCACGCCACGTCGATCCTCCAATCTAACACACAGCTTGACAGCCTCTGCACGCGTTCGCTTCGACACAGACTAGGTGGGTACCTGGCAGACGTACCTACAGGACGACGGTCATGCTGTATTCCTTCCTGTTCCCATCGCTGACACCACCAGTGCACTGGGAAGGTTACCTCGCCGAACACGTGACCAAAGATGAGCCAATATTCCGTAGAGTTAACCTTCTGGTTATGCTGATTGCTGTAATCTCTCTCGATGCCTCGCGGTCAGTCACGTCTGCATCATCGCACTGTTCCCGTTACTTTTTAAAATCAAGCTCCCCCAACGCCCATCCATGCCATCATGTCTTGCCAGATCATGCCACGGTTGCCGTCCGAGTCTTCTTAGCCGCCGGTACCTCCGCCTGCTCGTCTGCAACAGCATCAATCGTCCGCTTCTGCGGCTCCTCATGCAGCTCCTGCTCCTTCTTCACAAACATCTTCTTCTCCTCCTGCGTCAACTCCAGCAGCGGCCGCTCCTTCTCCGCGCTCAAGTTGAAGTGGAAGTTCCGAATGATACTGTCCGCGTCGTCGATGGCAAGCGGTCGAATGTCCGCAAGTGCCTTGATCTTGATGGTCACCGCCTTGATCTGCGTGTCCGTCATGCCCAGGCCGAGCTGTTCCGCGCGAGACTTGATTGCGTTCCACCCGGTGAGGCGCGAGGCGAAGTGCACGTAGCGGCTCATGCCAAAGTCCGAGGGCGTGATGATCTCGTACGTCGACGGATTGTTCAGGATGGCCTTGGCGTGGATGCCGGCCTTGTGAGTGAAGGCGCAGAAGCCGGTGATGGGGTTGTTGAACGGCACGTTGATCTCCACCGCCTCCGCAACCAAGTCCTCGATCTCCTTCAGCTTCTCCAGTCGGTACTTGCCCTTGACGTAGTCTCGATCGGCGACAATCATGCGGGCCATGAGCCCACCGAGAGGCGTGATGCCATTCCTCTCGCCGATGCCAATGACCGAGGTGTCGATGTGTGTGGCACCCGCTTCCAGGGCGCAGTAGGCGTTGGCGATGGCACAGCCGGTGTCGTTGTGGAAATGCGTCTCGATGTCGCAGCTCACGACGCCTCGCAGAGTTCGCACGAGGTCATAGACTTGTCGTGGCGTGGCGCAGCTGTAGAAATGTCAGTACAGAAGGAAGGAAGCATGCAAAAGACGGAGCACATACCCGACAGTGTCCGCAATGCCCACACGGTGCACGCCAATCTTGTCGACGGCGCTGTAGATGGAAAGCAGGTCGACCAGGTTACTCCGGAAGGAATCCTCGGAGCTGAATCGAATCTCCTTGCCCGCCGCCTTGACGTATTCGATGACCTCGAGCGCGGTGTTCTTGATGTAGGTCATGTCCTTGCCGTGGCTGTGCTCCATCAAATGGCTGCTCGTGCCAATGACCACGTCCACCCCGTCTACGCCGGTGCTCACGGCCAACTTGGCATCGCTCATATTGCAACGCACGTGCGTCAGGATCTTGGCCTTGAGTCCGAGCCTGCAGATTGCCTCGCAGTCCAGCCGGCTCTGCTCGCTGGCGGCGGGCGAGGTGAGTTCGATGTAGTCGACGCCGAATTCATCGAGCGCCTTGGCGATCTTGATCTTGGTCTCGGTGTCGAAGAAGGCGTTGGCGAACTGCTCGCCCTCGCGGAGGGTGGATTCGATGATCTTGAACTTGGACACGTTGCTGAGGAAGTCTTGGACGGGGGCGTAGGGGTTGCTGGGTTGGAAGCGGGGCGGGGCGTCGGTGTGGATTGCTCTGCTAGAGGTGTCAGCAAAGCATGCGCGTCATGTAAGGGAGGCGAGGACAGTACTTGTAGCCGTCGTGGTTGCCATTCGTGCCATTGGTGGTGCCATTGGTGGCCGCGGTGCCGTTGGCGTGTCCATTCACCCCGTTGACGCCCTGAGGCTCGTCATCGGGAGTTGGGCACATGATTGGGGCGGCTTTTGGCGAGACTGTTGAATGCAGAGACACTTGTGCTCAGTGAGGGGGATACTGGGAGGTACAATGGTGGGTGGGGGCGGGAGGTTGAGAGAGAAGTGCAATATTGGGGCGTGGTGGGTGAAAAAGCGAGTGAGTCAAGGCGTGAAGCTTGGGAGCGATAAGTGCATCATTCTCTCACCGACCGCGATGACAAAATCTGTGCCCTTTGCCCCGACGTCGGGGCGGCGGCTGCTGCCGAGCATTCACCGCTTGGGCGGATGGTTGAAACTCTAATGGTGCAGATCGCCCAAAACGCTCGGACCAGCTCGCTGTGTCATGCCAATCTGGGGAGCACGAGACGGAGGTGACGGGGTTTGCTTGCTCCGCCTGCACGCCCTTGTATATTGCCTTTAACAACCTTGCTGCGTTCATGTGACTTGGGATATCTAGATGTAGCAGCAGCAGGCAGGCTTACGATACGTACCACTTTTTCACCTCGTCGGCATTACTTAATCCTGCCCCGTTCCACTCTCCCTCGTTCCTGTCAATCATTCCAGGTTTGATGCGAGCCATCCTCCGATTCCATCCCCGAGCATCTCTGTCTTACTATTCCATCCATCTGAGGCGAACCATGGCGACAGCAAGCAAAGTACAGCTGTCTACAGACAACCAACCCGAATACTATCGCTCGGGAATCTCCAAGGAACAGGCCCACAAGGTCTCGGAGCTGCTGCAACACAATCACGACAATTATCACATCTTCTTCCATCCCGACGGCCTTCACAACCACGTCGTCCACCATCAGCTCGCCATCTGGGCACTCAACGCTTCTCCACAGACACTACAAAAGGCGTACGACAAGGACAAACAATCCCAACGTCCGAAAGGGGAAGTCGACCACGCAGTCTTGGAGCACATCACCAACGACCCCTCCACCTTCACCAAACACCTCGGCGTGCGCGATCGATATCACACCTTCCTCCACTTCTTCCGCAACGAAATCCACCAGCACGGATGGCAGGACGTCTTGCAGAAATTCGTCTTCGCCGGAGATGAGCGAGCAGACGATATGCTAGCACGAATGTATGGCGGCTTCTTGCACCCCATCATCCATCTGGGCTACGGCATCGAGTTTGCCCAGCCGGCCATCATCGCCGAAGCGCTTGCCCAAGCTGCATGTCACGAGGCCTGGATCGCCGACTTTCTGCTTCCCGCCGACAAGAAGGCTTCCGAGCTGCGAAGCAAGACCCCATCGAAATCCATCGCCGACTTGCTAGACGAAATCCACGACGACGACAAGCTCAAGGTCGCCGCGCACTGGGAGGACGGCAACAAGATCCGTGACGGCATTATCCCGCGCGCAGGCGCAGAGATGATCGACTACGCGGCCCAATTCCACGTCCGCACCGACGAGCTGGAAGAAAAGACGGCCGAAATGACCAATGCCGTCTGCCTCTATACTGCCGGCGCCCAGCACCCGCCCAATATCGTCATGTACGACTTCTACTTCATGCACTGCGTCAACGCCTCCATCTTCTTCTCCGCCTTCCTCAAACAAACCTGGCTCAGCGACGCCAACAAGGCGCGCCTCCTCGAATGGAAGGTGCGCATGGACCTCGCCATGTTTGCCTCTAGGCGCTGTCCCGACATGCGGCTCGACGAGATTCGAAGCTATCAACCCAAGCAACCGTCGGGCTGGGAGGAGATCGCGGATCGTGTTTGCCAATTCTACGACGACGGCCACGCCGCGAAGCTGGTTCGCGCGCTGGCTCATGGACAGAAGATTTGCGCGCCGTATGAAGACAAGGCACACTTTAGAGTGAAGTATGATGACTGGTTGCAAAGTGAGTGACCCTGTTCTTCGTTCGCACCTCACCCGTTCTCCCGCTGACCCTTGCTTCCCGTTGCATTAGTGGGCCACATGGCAATTGATTCTGTCGAAAACACGCGTCGTTTCCAAGATATGCCGACCTGGATTCGCTCTGCTGGCTTCGAGGAAGCGTGGGAGAAGATTCCATTGAGAGCACAGCTATAGGTGGCTCGAGGGCCAATGGTCATCACGATGTCGATCAACAGAATGTACGAACTCACGCGAGGGGCGATCGTAAATGTAGCGAATCGGCAGACTGCAGAGAATGTCTACTGTCACATATGTCTCATACTGATTTCTTACGACGACGACTCTTCTATACATTACAGCAACGGCCCGCGGCATGTGTAAGGAGCGTCCCACTCACTACGGATACTGTATGCCATTTCACCGTCGTTCTTCCGCCCGCAAGCAAAACCAAATCGGATCAAAGCCCGATGTTCCAGACACCAAAACTTTATAGCCCGTTTCTCGGTCGCTAGTATACCTGGACACTCCAATGCCCTCACTCAGGCGAGAAAGCCCTGGAGAAATTCAAACCCCAGAACACCATCGCTATTTCGACACGCGAGAGAAAAAGCGCTGGACCAGGGGGTAGAACGAAGATGAATGTGGCGCAAAAGCGCGCAATGGTTGTTTGGTCGACGGAAGGCTCACGGCCGACTTGTTCCGACGAAAGGAAAAATGCCGGCGTATCATATTCTCCTCTCTCGGCGGTGCACAGGGCGACTAATCCCTGTCGGAGGACAAAATGACAAAGTGCTGTTCCCAGATCCAGCCGACGGTATTGCTGGCATCGTCCTGGTTCTTCGCCAGCCAGAGCTCACCCTTTTGCGCAACAACGTCAAAGACTTCGCCCTGGACGTAGGTCAGATAGGGGTACCCAGCTTCCCTGCGAGTCTTGTCGATGCTGAACTCGAACAGACTCGCACAGACGAAGAGCACGGGAGTGTCATCTGGCGCAGGTTTCGGAGAGCTGAGTCGCGCGGAGTCGGGAATGTCTTGGGGGAGGGCGGACGAGAAGATGTTGGAGAAGCGATGGTCTTCCGGTTGTTCTGGTCGAGCAGTGAAGTATGTGGCGCCGGAGAACGGTCTTGGACTGCGTGGACTGCGTGGCTGATCGGCACTGACACGTGCAGGAAAGAATGGCGCTACCTGTGTTGAAGGTAGGTTGGCTGTGGAGGGTCTGCTGGATTGCGAAGCTACATCACCGCCGCCGTGAGACCAAAGTCCCTTGGCAGACATGCCCGAATCCACGGTTTGCAGGGAGGGCCGACCATTGGAAAGAGCGGAGTTCGATCTTGCGCGGCCATCATCGTACGGATAGCCAAGAGTGTCCAGGCCAGGCACATATCCACTGCTTTGCCGCTTGTGGCTTGCCGACGAGCTCGGGATAGGGGAAGCGTCACCCCCACTAGACACGGTGCGGTTCCCACTGCCCATGGTAGATGGTCGCTTCCAGGACGATCCATCATCTACCGTTGACGCTGGAGACAGGAAGTTTGCCGACTCTGCCAGCAACGCTCCGTTGCAGATGCCAAGAGATAGGAGGCGTCCCTTGACCATGTCGTAATCCGGGCGGAAGCATAGCTCGATCTGCGAGATGCTACTTGGGATGTCTGCAGCCTCGAGGATGGGTCGCAACTTCCTCTCCCACGCGTTGTACCAAGTGACCTGGACGTCGAGGAAGCAGTTGAGACAGCCTTGGACGAGACTGGCGGTCAAACTGTACAGCTTGGGCAGTTCGATCTTCAGTTGGTCGTTTAGCGCCTCATACATGTCTGACGCCTCGATTGCCTTCTTATCCGGCTTCTCGCCCCGCTTCTCGATGGCTTTGCATTTGGCGTAATCCACAATGCGCTTCTTACGATTGTTAATCGCATTCTGTGGTCCTTCGTGGAGCTTGATACACATGACCATGGGTCCAATGACGCGCTTGTTGACGGCGGCCTTGTGCTCGGAGAAGGCGACTGACGTGAGCTCTCGAATAGTCTGGCCATACTTGCGCCATTTGCTGTCAAGCTCTGGAACGGGACTGATGGCAACATCGGCGAAGAAGTCGAGGGCGTGGGCGTAGTTGTTCATCTGATCGACAGCCTTTTGGATGCGATTCATGTAGTCCTGCACGTCGCGCATGCAAATTTGCAGTCGGATGAAATGGCCGCCAAACTTGTGGGCAAGCTCATCGAATTCCGTGTCTTGATAGGCTTCGGCGATGCCCACGCGCTCCTTGAGCTTCTCCGTCCGTCGGCCAAAGGCTTTTGCAATGCCGCTTCGCACGTCGGATTCCTTGCGCTTCCGATTGACGATCTGGTCGACGAGATCCGCTCGCTTTTTGGCGTCGTTGATGCGAGTCAACATGCTGATAGAATCTTGTGCAGCAGTCTTGAGTGCCTCTCGATCTGGGTGACCGGGCGGCGTTGTATCAAGCAGCAGCTGCAAGAGCATGGGATATTTCGCGGCTCGCTGGGTTGGCTTGACCAGCAATGAATCCAAATCCCAAGCACTCGTGATATCGCTTGCATTGTTATGGCACTCGTCGAGCCAACATTTCACAGCTGGAGCGTTTCGCAGTGCCGCGAGACGTCGATTTGCTGCATCGTGGTTCTTCAAGTAGACGCTGTAGACTTGCTCCATGTCCGCCAGATTGCGCAGGAAAGCTTGGCCAATCGTGGACGCCCGATCTTTGTCGTTGTCAATCCCATCAGAAGCGTGTCCGCGACCATCGTTTTGCGTGGTTGGCGAAGTCCCGTGCTTATTGGCCCAGCCCTTTTTCAGAGGTACATATACAGGCGCTGCCGCCTTGCGAAGCTCGTCGTAGAAGTGCAGAGAGAAGCGCTCGACGTCATCACAATTGCTAAACAAGGTCTTTTTGTCTTCAGCTGAAAGCACGTCCGGGACGGCAGTGGCTCTGTAGATATCCTCGATGATCTTGAGATCCTGGTGATACGTGTTCTCCGTGTCAAGCAGCTCTCGAATGACATGTCGCCGCTTGCGTAGCCGCTTCTGGTCTGGAGATTGCGACGTAGTCCGAGCCAGTGTCGTTTGGCTGTCACCGTTCGTGTCCATGGAGCTTTGTCGCATCGACTCGGCAAATGAAGTGACAGAGTCGGAGCCGGGCAGGACAGGGGCACCGGTAGCACGCTGGCTGTCGACCGAGGGTCGCGAGGATCCCGACTGTCCCCAGACAGCCTTCCTAACAGCAGGCGACATCTCGCTAGAAGCACGCTCGGAGTACGCAGCTGGGATCGGCGGGACTTCCGGAAGCGCAAACGGCAGATGTGAGGCTGAGGCAGAAGCCTGCGGGGGAAGTGGTGGCGGCGCGAATGCAGGCTTAGGAGGCACTGACGAGGATAGAGGGGGCTGTGATGGCTGCGCATGATCTTCCATCAAGCCGAGGCCAGCGAGGTCAAGGTTGCCGGTGGTCGATATCCGCAAGCCTCTGGCGAAGTCGTGCGGGAGGGTCTCGCTGTCCGCTCCAACGCTCGATCTCGGCGTATACCCGATGTCTTTCGGGGGTGGCTCGGGCCTCTCTGGGCTGTCTGCGCCGTTCAACTGAAGGTACTGGCTCCGCTGCCTGCGCTCCCATGCCGCATCTGCCTTTCGAACCTTCACATGGAACTCGTCGCCCGTCTCGTCGCCGGTTTCGGCGTCGCCTTCATCGTGGCTTGAACTGGTATAGACTAAAGCCGTGCCGCTATCCTGGAAGAACTCCCACCCGACAGGAGTATCAGGCGTGACCGCAGGAATGTCGAAGGGACTTGGTTGCGGGGTGTGGACTTCCTGCATCTCTCGCCCGGGTTGATGCTCTTGCTGGCTATTCAAAACGCTGTCGAGAAGGTTTTGAATCATGAATCCATTTGAGCCTTCATTGGCGGATACACGCTGTAGGTCGACCATATGCTTCTGGACATGCTCGACCATCTCGGCCGTGATGGTGCCTGTAGACTTGTAATGGCGCAGCAGTCGCGCAATGTCGCCTTCTGAGCCGTCGGGCTCGTCCACATTGTGTGCTGCAGACTGCAAGTCCGACGCTCGCATGGTGTCCCGGCGCGGTCGAGGTTTTCGTGGAGTTTCATACTGATCGTCTTCCACATCTCCGTGGTCTTGATCGTCAATAGGAGAAGCACCGTCTTGCTGATGCGCGAATGCTGTTCGCTCATACTCTTGCACATCCGGGGAGTGGGAGGGTATTTCGCGGGCCCGGTCCTGGTTGTGGAACGCCCACGGCTCGTCGAGCATAATCTTAATAGACCCTGCGACACTTTGTAGACCCTGGCCAAGGCCCCATCTGTCCTCCAGGTCGGAAGGGTTGTCCTCACTAGAAGGCGGCGCGCTATGATCTGCATCTCCGCCATCGCCATCCGATTGGCTTGTCCTCGACGTGCTGCGCTCGCGCATGCGCAAGACATTGTCCAAGACGCTTGGACTGGGCAAGGAGTCTGCGTGGTCGTCAGGGGGCGACAAGGTAGTATTCAGGTCTGTGGGCTTAGCCGACGGAGGCTGATAGACGGCAGATGTAAGCAAGGTGTGCTGATCTGTGTCCACCGGTATGCCAAGCACCGGGCTGTCTTCGACTTCGAACTCGGTGCCAGTCGTGCGCTCGGTGGAGGCAGTCATAGGTTCGGGCTCGTGGACAGGTCGCAGGGCGGCGGAGAGAGTATCAACAGTCAATCCGCCGGGCGTCGGCCAACCACCCGGCACCGATTCAGTCTTGTTCAGCTCTGGCCCATCGTCTTGCGCCCCACTTTGCGCACCAGTCTCTGCTTGATCTTTCGAAGCTTGCCGCGACCGGCTTTTCGCCCGGAGACTCTCGAGCGACCTGCTTCCTTCCAGGTTTTGGGAGATGGCTTTCTGAATCCTGGCCCTCCGCTCCTCGAAATTGATCTTTTCGAGCTCCGGGATTTTACGTCTTGATCGTTCTTGATGCGCATCGTAAGGCTTGCCCAGCCACTGCTCACTTGGTGTCCGAGAATCTCGCATGACAGCTGGGCCGGGAAAGTACTCGCCCGCTCTTGCCCTGCTTGCAGAGGTGGATGCTTGGCTCACTGGTTGCCGAGGTCGGGATGAACGCAGAGGAGGAGACAATTTCGGCAACGGCGCCACTATCTTTGCGGACAAAGATTGTCCACTGGCGGCTGTGGGTAGAGATGGAGCTTGGTAGTGGGGTCTGGGGAGATCGGATGTGAGATTGTTCTCCTTTCCCGTCGTTGGCAGCTTGCGCGTGGGCGATTTTGAAAGTCGTCTGCGGGTGGGAGAGGAGTTTGGCAAGGCTGGAACGGATCTTGAGTGGGTGCCAGAGAAGGCCGGTGGATCGCGAGACACGCGACGGCTGCTAATAGGGATGCGGGAAGAAGATGAAGTGGCATATCTTGTGCCAGAACTGGGGGGTGTTGGATAGGAGCCCAGCACACGTTGCTGTCGGTTGTCCGGCAGAGCATCCATCTCACTCCGACTTCGCTTGTGCGTCAAATTATGATGTCCTGGAGCGGGCAAGGCAGTCGCTGGTGCCGGTTGCAGAATGTCCTGATGTGACTGACTCCGCCCACGGCCAAACGCTGTGGTTCCTTCACTCGACCTGCGATGAGATTCAGTGAATGCAGGCAAGTAGCCGTAGCTGCCGATATCGAAGTTGCCGTTCCACCTTCCATCGGATGTGATCTCTCCAAACAGCGGTGCAGATGTCAGATAGCCTGCGGATTCGGGAGTGTCTTGCGTTTTCTTTGGGCTGGAGACCATTCGGGGCGCGTCGTTCGCGGTTGTGAACGAAGTGGTGGATCCAAAAGAGCTCAACGTTTCAAAGGAGGTCAGGGGGCTTTTCACCGGCGATCTTGGGTGTCCAACTCTTGACTTTTGTAGTTTTCGAGGGCCATCTTTCGTCGGCGACTTGGTGGGGGAGCGCGGAGAAACGTGCGCAGAGTTCTTGCTCACCCCCGGACGACGGTATTTATCTGGAACGGAGCGCAGCGTGAGAGGTGCATATGGTCCCCCGCGTACAAAGTGTCCTGCTTGATCGAACTGGCTTGCAATATTTTTGACAGATCCAGAAGGAACGAGGACGGGGGTGGACTTCGCGTTGGACAAGGGCAGAGGATATTGAGGGGTCGTGGAGGGTAGATGCGAATGGGCGTCAGACGTGGGCAGCTGCGACGTTGACTGGGAGGAAGCGGCAGTCGGGGAGGCGAGAGGAGTATCTCCAGTAGGGTAGAAGTATTCGTGTGCGCTGATGGGGCCAGAGGTGGCGCTCATGAGAGGAGGGGAGGAAGTGGTGCTGCGCAGGCTATCATTGTCGCCGCCCCAGGTGGAGGAGGGGCCATTCCCAGACATTTGGGCCGTCTCGCGGTCATCGCATGCTGAAGCTGATGTCGAAGCGGGCAAGCAGTGGGTGCGGCGCCGCTCAGCCTTCCGTGACGATCGTTGCGCGGTCGAAGGATGCTGCCAAGGACCAGGCTTCACGCCCGTGTCGCACAAGTCCAGCGGCTGTGGGAGGTGGTGTGGTGCGGAGCGCGTGTGGAGGGGCGCCAGAGGGTGTTTACGAGATGCTTGCGCGCCGCCACGGCTCACGTGGAGCAATTGTTTCGCGTGGGGTCGAGAGAGGGGATGGTGGAGGTGGTGGTGGTGTGGTTGCAGACGGTCGTCACTTTGGTCGTGATTCCTTGGAAAGGAACACGGCAAGACGGGACCCACTGCGACTAGTGCGAAACTCTATTGCGATTCCGAGATTTATTAATAAACGTCGCGTCGGCAGAGCATTGTCGCCTTCAGACATGTCAAACACTTAACAGTCCCTGTTAACACTGATTTGATCGCTGATGCGTCCCTGCCGCGCCTCCTGGCCGCATCTGATCCGTCAAGCCGGGGGCTTGAGGCGTGCCACATCCGCCATGTTCGCCTCGTCTGCCGGCCATGTCCATCGGTGGAATTCTGATAGGTCTCATGCAGGAGAGCGCGGTGCGACACCCAACCAGCCTTTCAGCCTCGCACAACCGTTTCATGCGCGCATGACCTCAGGCAAAGTTTGCCCCCTCGCATTGCATCTGCAGTCGAAGCCATCGTACCACCCATCCCGAACATTCCAGACTCACCGACATGCGCTGGTGTAACTATTGGCCGCTGTTGATAAACTACCGCTTTCATCTGCTATCGGAGCCGAATCCGGCCTCACCCTCTTCCATCTTCGCACGCGTTAGCCTTGTTCTTGTCTGTGAAGCAGAAGACACCACAGGAAGCAGGACCCAACTCACCTTCTTCAGCAGGTTCTCGATCTTGCGATGCTCAAACGTAAAGGCCGGGTACAGGAATGGCCGGAGATCGTATCGGTTGTCGTCGGGCGTGTAGGACTCCAAGTACAGGCCGGGAGTCATCGTGGTCATCTTGTGCCGGTTGATGGCGTAGTAATACATGAAGCTCCTCACCTTCTCGTACACCTTGCGGGGCTCCATGTGTCCGCTCCAGTCCACCACCAGCCGCTCAAACATGCCCACCGTGCCGAGTTTGAACGTCTTGCGCAGCCGGCCGAGCACGCTGAGTTCGTCGTATGTGAAGCCCATGTCTTCCTCATCGCTCTGCACGTAAGTCTCCGTGATAGGCTCGAGTTCGGCGGTGGGCACGGCGTCGAGAAATTCACCGAGAATGGGCAGATGGAAGTTGTCCTCTGCCCATTTGATGAAGCGCTTCAAATCCGTCTTGGAGATGCCTCCGATGGGGTTGATGTCGGCGGACGAGCAGTCGTACTTTGTGAGATAGCCTCGTAGACATTCGTCGACATTGGCGGAGCCGAGGATCAGGAGGCCGCCCGAGCCGCCGCGAGCGCTCGGGATAAGTTGACCAAGGGCATATGTCAAGACCATGCGAGAGCGTGACTGGAAGTTCTGCAGAGCCAGGTTCTCCGAATTCGAGCCTCCATGCACCTTGAACTTTGGCTGGTAGTCCAGAATGCCCGTCACCACAGTGTGCAGCGCCTCGACCATCTTATCGATGTTGGTGTCGATGTGGTACGAGCCAATTGCCTCGGCCAGCTCTTTAGCTCTGCCGCGTGTCTCCTTGGACGATTGCTGTTTCATACCCATGAAGCATGTCGTAAAGATCTTGTGGCAGAACTGCTCTGCGCTCAGGTCTTGGGGATCTTGACCGCTCAGTCGCTTGGCGTCATTGATCACGATCTGGTTGCCCGCTTTGATCTCGGCGACCACAAGTCGGCACATGCTGTACACAATGGTGGCAGTGGCGCAGCTGTCGATTCCTCCGCTCAATGGAACAATGTAGCCAGCAGCCTTTGATCGCCTCAGGTAGTCCCACATCCAGCAGGCCGGTCCCAGCGCAATCTCCTCCTCCGGCAGATGGTATCGGGGTTCAATGGCCTCTGCAAGTCGAGTCCTGGGATCTAGCATATCGGATGCCTTGCAAAGCATGTAGTCGACTTGGATCCGCTCGAGTCTCTGCACATCCGGCTGATTCGCCTGCATGCCTCGACTGCGCGACGTGCGCCAGGCCCAAATCTCGTCGAGATCGACGAGGGCAGTCAACACTTCGACGTCTCGGAGAGAAAACTGAGAGCCTTGTGCCAATACCTTGCCTGAATTGAGAATCAAGGCACAACCGTCGTAGTACAGTCGGTCTCCGTCACAGCCGCGTTGGTTGGAGTACATGTAAACGCCGCCAGTCTTTGCGGTAGCCTCTGTGATCAGATTGATGCGGGTGTCGAGCTTGCGTAGTTCATGGTGGCTGCCACTAGAGTTCAAGATGATTTCGATGCCCGCAAGGCTGTACAAGGAATGCGGGGAGTTGGGCGTCCACAGCTCCTCGCAGGTCTCCGACGCGAACGAGCCGTCAAGCGCCTCGAAGGCGACCTCGCCGATGCGACATCGCCTCTGTTTCGACGGCAGTCGCTGGATGACTGGCGGAAGAGTGTAGTCGTCAACTCGACCGCGGGGCCAGGGAGAGAAATATCGCATCTCACGAAAGTTGCCGTCATTGCACAGATCCAACTTGGGACGGATGGCAAGCACTTGGCCGTTCAATGCAATCACACGCGCATTGTAGCTGCAGCCACGATGCTGGATCGGCAGACCCAGATCGATGATGATGTCTTGACATTCCTCGTGCGCCAAGATCTCTGCGACAATGTCCCACGAGTTGGCGTAGACATCATTCTCCAGCCAGTGATCTAGCAAGCCGTAGCCCGGGATACACAATTCCGGGGTGAGGATGATTGATGCCCCGGCGTCTTTGGCCTGCCGGACGGCCTCGAGGATGCGGTCACGATTTCCGTCGTAGTCGAGAGACCATTGATTGAGCTGGGATGTTGCGAGCACACATTTCCTCGTCATGTTGCCCGCACGGTCAGGGCAATGTCGACGGAATAGACGTGTTTGCAACGAGGTATGGGTGATGTGTGGTTGTCTCAGGCACGCAGCACGCCTCGCCAAAATGCAGGGTCCATTCTCAAACGGGAAGGACCCGCTGTCCGAGCGTCCTCAGCACAAGAAATTCTGTAGACGACTCCGGGCACTTCTCTTGCTCTGCCATTGCATAGCCAATCCTCATCCACCATGGCTAACGACGACCGTGCCGTGTCCGAGGACTCGTTCGAGTTCATCGAGACCCCTGCTGCTCCCTCGCCCGCACCGGAGGCGCAAGATTATGGAGTCCGAACCACCTCTGTAAGATTCCAATCACCACAGCAGCAGAGGCACATCACTGACACCTCCGCAGTACCCGGCCATCAAAAACGCCCCCGTGCCCGCCGATGGCCCAGGCAGCGAGAACTTCAACAATCTGCTCCTCTTCACCCTCCTCGCCGCCATCCCTGGCTACTTCACCTGGCAACTCCGCGGCGGCCTCATCACATGGATCATCCTCGCCCTCCTGACCGCCATCCCCATCCTCGTGGCCTTCTGGACCATTGCCTCGTCCATGTCACCGCGCCTCAACGAGAAGGCGCGGTATGCCGGAGCACCCATCGAGCACTACCTCGAGTTCAAGAGCGAGGCCGACAAGAAGAAGTATCGAGGCAAGAACCGCATCCCCATGGAGACCTTCCACGAAAAGTACTTTGCGGGCGAGGTCGACTTCAAGGGCGATGCTCTGGAAGTGATGGAATACCGTCACGACTGGGCCAACTTCCGCTTCACCCTGTCGCTCTTCTGGTTCTTCCTGACCGGCATGATGCCCGAGGTCATCATGCACACGCGCTCGCAAGACGAAGAGCAAGTGCGCGACCACTACGACCGCGGCGACGACTTCTACGGCTGGTTCCTCGGGCCCCGCATGATCTACACCTCCGGCATCATCTCCGACATCAACCACGAGGAGAGCCTGGAGCAACTGCAAGACAACAAGCTCGGCATTGTGTGCGAGAAGATCGGCCTCAAGGCCGGGGAGCGCCTGCTCGACATCGGCTGCGGCTGGGGCACGCTCGCCAAGTTTGCGTCGGTCAACTACGGCGCACAGGCCACGGGCGTGACGCTGGGCCGCAACCAGACGGCCTGGGGCAACAACGGTCTCCGCAAAGCCGGCATCGGCGAAGAGCAAAGCCGCATCCTCTGCATGGACTACCGCGACATTCCCGTGCCCGAGGGCAGGTGGAACAAAATCACTTGCCTCGAGATGGCGGAGCACGTGGGCGTGCGGCACTTCAGCACCTTTCTGCGCCAGGTGAACGACATGCTCGACGACGACGGCGTCTTCTTCCTGCAGATCGCCGGGCTGCGCAAGAGCTGGCAGTACGAGGATCTGATCTGGGGCTTGTTCATGAACAAGTACATCTTCCCCGGCGCCGATGCGTCCACGCCGCTTGGCTGGTTCGTGGATTCGCTCGAGGGCGCGGGATTCGAGGTCAAGGGCATTGACACGATTGGCGTTCATTACTCGGCGACGCTGTGGCGCTGGTATCGCAACTGGATGGCAAACAAGGACAAGGTGGTTGCGAAGTACGGCAACAAGTGGTTCAGGGTGAGTTTCCGGCCCAACTCGTTGCAATTTAATATGACGTGGCAAACGCTAATCACGTGCACGATGCAGATATGGGAGTACTTCCTCGCATACAGCACCATCATCTCCCGACAGGGCAGTGCGACGTGCTACCAGATCACGCTGGTCAAGAACATCAACTCGACGCATCGCATCGAAGGGGTGGGCAGCCAATACAGCCTCAAGGGCGCACTGGACGCCAGCCGGGCGGCGGGCAAGTCATTCTTCCCGGGAACGAAATGATTTTAATGCCGGTGGTCCAGCAAGGTGGGAAGTAGACGCGGGGGTTATTGAGAAGCACAGATGGACTGGTGGACGGAGTATAGAAAGGTTGCAGACTTGACGTGGGAAACGCAGCGACATATTGTATGAAATGGCAAAAGTGCGATTCAATGCTTCGAGAGAGAGAGACGCTTGTAATTAGTCGTGCCTGGTGGCGATTAAAACTGCATGCATGCAAAGGCACAATATTTCCAGCCCCACCACACGCTGGAAAGCGGCAGGACGAAAGCAATTGCTAGCAGACAATGCATCGTGAATAGACTACGCGCGCGCGTTACCTCGTGAACCGCATACCCCATGGAAGCCCTCCTACTCATGACATGACAATCCATGCATCCCCTCTTGCTCCCCCTCCCATCACAGATGCAAACGGCCAAGCTTAGAGAGCAAGGCCGAATGCAGCAAGCATGCCACCGGCCAGGAGCTGGGTGCCGTAGCTGCTTGCGAAGTTGGTAGCGGCCGCGAGGCCCTTGGAGCTGGAGGTGGAGGAGGACTGCGATCCGCTGGTGGCCGCGGCGGTTGCGGAAGAAGTGCTGACGGAGCTGGACGAGGAGCCGCTGCCGCTGCCGCTGCCGCTGCCGCCGCCGGAGGTGCCGACGGCACTAGCGTTCTTGGAGCCGCAGGTGACGGACAAGCAGGCCTGCTGGGCGGTCAAGTCCATTTCGTTGTTCTCGATGCAGTTGGCCTTCCACTGCGTGCAGACGAAGAAGGGGAGGGTCTGTTGGTAGGAGGAGATGTTGGGGTGGGAGCCGTCGGTGCAGGTGCAGACGTAGGTCAGGTCGTTCTGGACAGAGTGTTAGCAGGGTAATGGCTCGGAAGATGGAAACGGAGCCGTGACGATTGAGACTTACGGGGTTGCAAGTGTTGGGGTAAGCCTGGCCGCCGCAGATCTGGGGGCAGGTGATCATCTGCGAGCTACACCATGTGTCCCGCTGGCTGATGGGAACTTGGCTGGCGGTGATGTTGAGGGGCCCGGAGGTGGTGTAGTTGAGCGTTTGTGCGCTGACGAGGCCGGCGAGGGCGGCGGTGGCGACGAGGAGGGTGGAGGAGAACATATTGATGTTGAGTGCGAGGTTGATGGGGAGTGGTGCTGGCAGTCGGAGATATGTATGGGAGCTGGAGTCAACGCGTAAGCTTCGGTCCAGGTGTGTGTGGATGGCGTTGTGCCACCGAGGGAGGAGGGGCAGGCCGATGAACTCACCTCTAGCAAACTTGTCGTTGCGTCGCCGGGATGGAGGAGGGCTGGATGAAATACTTGTTCAGCTCGCTGGTGCAGACGGTTGGAGGGAGAACGGGGGTGGCGAAGAGGAAGAGGGTGGAAGGGCGAAGATGGCGGGCAGGTGAATGGCACAAAGCAGGTCGATACTTTTAAACTTTTTGGGAGCATGGGCCTCTGGGTCGCAGCTTCCACGGAAACTAGCCCCAACCTTAATTGCCAAAGTCAACTCGCGGCCAATGCAATGCAATCTCCACCCCCAATGCGTTGTATGGGGCAAATGAATGTGCTGTTCACCATGTCGACCCCGAGGGCAATGTCGACTCACTGCCGCCCGCTGTTCTGCCCTTCCGTCGGTGCCGTGGAGGAGACGGCAGGCGAGGGGTGGCAGGACGATCGCGACAGCGCGGAGGAGAAGTTGGGCCAGGCTAGGCTGCTTTCGGGTCTCCTCTCTGCCTTTCGGCCCTCCGAGACCCCTCATCGTCTCCCCAAGATAGACGCATCCGGCATGCATTACGAATGTCCAAGGCTTGCCCACCCGCTACCGCAACTACACGCCTCTGCCCGTGGGGCTTGGTATGCGTGTCCAGCACCCGCGCTCGCAGTCGGGTGGCGAACATTCTCGCCGCCGGGTCGAACGGCTTGGAATGCCCGTGGCTTGTGAACACCAAGCGCACCTACCTCTTGCTAATCCCAGCCATCATCACTGCACCAAGCCAGGCTTCGGCACATCCGCTATCCGATTTGAGCATCTTCCCCCAAGAAAATGCCTCTAGCGGCCGTTTGTATCGCTCCCGGGCCGAGGCTGGTTGCTTGCGCCCAAGATGGCCTCACACGGCCATATAGCCTGGAGCAACGTTCGACGTGTGCCGTGCCCTTCGAAGTACAGTATCTGCCGTGTCACGACGCTTCGACGCTTCGTGTGTTTCGCCACCCGGCAAAGCTCAAGCCTGCGTAAGCACAGGACGTATGTCAAACTTTTTTTCGTTTAAAGTTTTGGTCGATCTCAGAAAGTGGGAAGTAGATCTGCCTCTCATATCGCCCCAAGGTACATGGTACATCTATTTTAATTATCTAAGCACGTGCATCTTCTATGTATGCTCCGTTCAAAACCACCTGACTACCCTCGCGAACAAATTCTTGTGCCTTGGCTACATCTCCAACGCTCCGTAGGTTGGAGCCATTCTTGACGACTGAGGCATGCACCAAGGCATGCATAGGTAGGTGGCACTTGGGCCGTTGTTCTTGTCGCTTCCATCGTGTATTGCTCGTATCTTCATTCCGTCTACTCTCTCTCTTTCTCTCTTCTCTTACTTTGGATGTGTCGTGCCCTTGGTGAAGCTATGCAAATGGCCTCATCAGCATCGCATCGAGTCGCACACTCGACCTTGGACGCCATGGAACATACCTATCCCACATGCTCCCCAACGACCCGGGAGTCTTGGTCTGCTCCGTGAAACTCTGCCGATTCGCCTGCGCATTCTGTGCACCCGCTCCTCGCTTCATCTCCGTCAGGTTGGCGAATTTGGGCGCCGAGGCCTATGTCTTCGGGTCAGGCTTGATTCATTATATGTACGAGACAGCCATTCGACAAGGCCGTCCATCTCCGACTTACTCTGCGAACCGTATCATCCCCCGTGTTGGAATCGGATGCGGTGTTTTCGGGAGGTGCCATGATGTCTGCTGAATCTGCTTTCGTCGTAGTCTGTAGCGAAAGGAATTTGATGAAGAAGTTGGTGAGGGATGTAAAAAAATGTAAAGAATGGACTGAACACGTTGATTATATGAAACGCTCACCACTCTCTCGGTCGACTGACCGCACAAACATGGGTCTCGCACGTCATGGCCAGCCGACACACGTTGCACGCAAGCACAGGGAAGTGACACAGCCAGCTCTGACGCTGTCATTCATCCCCATATTCGTCCCGGATGGAGAGAGCAGAAGCGATGGGGTCCGGAGACGGGCCGGAGATCGAGAGCGGGCGATTGGCTACGAAGAGATCTCGAATCTCATCGGGCAACTCGAGCCAGACAGGCCCGGGACGAGGCCCGCTGAAGAGTGGGCGATGAACCGTCGAGATCTCGCTGGACTCTTGTGAGACTGGCCAAGCCTCCAAATTCCCCGGAGTCGTTTACGTCATGAAAGCACGCCGTCAAAATCCGCGACTACTTTGAGATCCAGTCTTCTCCAGGCGATCACGGGACGAGCATAATGACGAAGGACGCGCATGGACACCACACTCACCAGACTCTTCATCGGGATGTACTGTACAGTCGTAAGTAAGCAACGATGTTTTCAGAGAAACGATATCTTCAATGAACAAGAACATTACAAGTCTGTGCACCCTCCTTCCCCACGTTGCCAACGCCCTTCGCGTGCCATCGATATCCAGCAGACGGGGTATTACTCCTTCTTCTCTTCCTTCTTCTCCCCGCTCTCCTCCTTCTTGTCCCCACCTTCCTCCTTCTTCTCCTTACCCTCCTCCTTCTTCTCCTCAGCCCCCTCCTTCTTCTCCCCGCCCTCACCCCCTTTGCCAATCTTGCAGATGAGATCCTGGCTATCCACCGAATCGCCGTTCTTGACCGACAAGTCGGCCACCTTGCCGGAATGCGGCGCGCTGATGACCATTTCCTGCCCGAAAGAGTTAGCAACCGCACACCAATCAACACAACATCACAACGTACCATCTTCATCGCGCTCAAAATGGCAATCGGGTCGCCCTTGTTGACGTCGCTACCATCCTTCACCCGCACCTCCACCACCATGCCGCTCATCGGAGCTCCCACCTGGCTGCTGTCGGTCTGGTCGGCCTTGGCTCGTGCCTTGTTCTCCACGCTGGCCTTGTGATCCTCGATCGACACCTGGCGGATCTCGCCGTTCAGCTCGAAGAAGACCTCGCGCGTGCCCGTCTGCTCGCTCAATGGGCCCACGGCCAACATGCGGAGGATGAGCACTTTGCCCTTCTCCAGCTCCACGTTGAATTCCTCGCCCACCTCGGGCTTGTTGAGGAAGTATCTCGTCGGGAGCACCGAAAGGTCGCCGTACTGCTCCACAAAGGCACGGTAGTCCTCGTACACCTTGGAGTACATGACGTAGCTGGCGACGTCGTATTCCGACGTACGTCCGAACTGCTCCTTGACCTTCTTGCGCACGTCCTCGAAATCAATCGGCTCCAGGTACTCGCCCGGTCGCTTGTCCATCTTGCGGCGGTCACGCAGCACATGGCTGCGCAGGGGCTCGGGGAAGCCGCCGTACGGCTGGCCCATCAGACCCTCGAAGAATTCCAGCACAGACGATGGGAAGTCGAGCTGCTCGGCCTTGTCGATGGTGTCTTGGTAGCTCAAGTCGTTGGAGATCATGAACTGCGCAAGATCGCCCACAACCTTGGACGTAGGAGTGACCTTGACGATGTCTCCAAGAAGGTCGTTGGCCTCTTCGTACTTCTTCTTGACTTGTGCCCACTGCGAGCCCAATCCTTGCTGCGACGATTGGAAGATGAGATTGGTCAGCTGCCCACCTGGGATCTCATGTTCGTAGACTTCGGGGTCGGGTCCAAGAAGCCCGGCTTCGAAACCGGAGTAGTACTGGCGTACTTGTGCCCAATAGGTGTCCAACTGGCGGACCTGTTGATTCTCGAGGCCAGGGTCAAAGTCAGTGCCCTCGAGCGAGGCAATGATTGCGTTGATGCTGGGCTGGGAAGTCGTGCCAGACATGCTGTCCGTACAGGCATCCACGGCATCGGCGCCAGCGTAGGCGCAGGCCACCATGGAAGCCACTCCAGTACCGGCGGAGTCGTGCGTGTGCACGTGAATTGGCAGGTCGGGGTACTTCTTGCGAATGCCGCCAACCAGCTTGGTAGCAGCCGCAGGCTTCAAGACACCGGCCATGTCCTTGATACCGAGCACGTGTGCGCCCATCTTCACAATCTTGTCGACTAAGTCCATGTAGTACTCGTAGTTGTACTTCTTTTCGGGGTTCTGGGTTGTGCGCGTGAGTAAAATCGGGTTGCGAAAACAAAAGAAACTGAAGGAAAACACATACCAGCATATCGCCACTGTAGGCGAGAGTTAGCATATTTCGGACAGCGAATATCTTCTCCGTTCGACGAGTTCACTTACGAGTAGCACAGAGTTCCTTCGGCCACACCACCGGCCTTGAGAACGGCCTTGATGCCGACCTCGAGCTGGTTGACATCGTTCAGAGCATCGAAAACACGGAAAATATCCATTCCGGCCCGCTTGGCTTGCTCGCAGAAGTGGTAGATGGCGTTGTCCGGGAGGGAGGAGTATGCCACGCCGTTGGCTCCGCGCAGAAGCATTTGGAAGGGAATATTGGGGACCAACTTCCGCATCTTCCTCAGCCGGTCCCAGGGGTCCTCGTAGAGGAATCGCATGGCCACATCGAAAGTGGCACCACCCCAGTTCTCCAGGGCCCAGGCATTGCTCAGTGCATGGCTGGTCTCCTTGGCGATGTTGAGCATATCGATAGTACGCATCCTTGTCGCCAATAGGGACTGATGAGCATCACGCCACGTGGTATCCATCAACAAACAACCCTTGTTCTTTCGCACGGCCTTTGCAAAGGCCTCGGGACCTTGCTCGACGATGATGTTTCGCCATCCCTTGGTGCAAGGCTCCGACACATCAATCGGCTTGCCCTTCTTGTCGGTGAGCACCGGCTGGAGAATCTCGCCCTTGAACTTCGATTCACTCAATTGACCCTTGATCTGGCTGCCGTTGACGGCAAGGTCGCCGAGGTACATCAGCAGTTTCTGTGCACGGTTCTGGCTGCCGATGAGCGAGAAGAGCTCGGGCGTGTCGTCAATGAACGTGGTCCAGCAGGTGCCTTCGATGAAGGTCTCGTGCGAGAGGAGCGAGGTGAGGAAAGGGATGTTGGTCTTCAAGCCTCGGATACGGAACTCCACCAATGCTCGAAGCATCTTGCGGCGGGCGATTTCGTACGTGGAGCCGTGGCAGGAGACCTTCACCAGCATAGAGTCGTCTTAATTCATTTAGTAACATTGTCAGCGAAGGATGGGAAGTAATCCTAATATCTTACAGTAAGCTGTTCAAACGTTAGCTTGTGTCCATGATGAAAGCAGAGACAATAGAATTAGAGAAAGAGCTCGGGAGATTCCAGTGGTTGGAGACGGTTCACAACATCTCCAAGGCGAACGGTATTCGGGAGAGCCGTGGGAAGTAAGCTCAACACCATAGCCGCCCATCTCAACACGGAGATGTGGCGAGTCCGGCGGAGCAGCTCAGACAAGAAATGGAATTGCGACTTACGAGTGATGATGGAGCCTGAGAATCCATTTCCACCATCCAGACGAACACCTTGATCCGCGTCAGTACCATGAAGCCTATCTCGAGATCACACCAGCTTACCGTTGCCACCAGCAGAGCGGTAGACTTCAATCTTGCCAGCGTCCGGGCTGAAGTTTTGGGCGGGGTCTTCGGTGGTGATACGACACTGTACAGCGAAGCCACGGGTAGAGATACGATCTTGGGTCAGACCCAGCTGTTCCAGCGTGGCGCCAGCTGCGATCTGGATCTGTGCGGCCACAATATCGATGCCGGTGATTTCCTCGGTGACGGTGTGCTCGACCTGGATACGAGGGTTGACTTCGATGAAGAAGTAGCTCCCATCCTGATCGAGCAAGAACTCGGCGGTGCCGGCGTTGCGGTAGCCGGCAGACTTGGCGAGCTTCACTGCGTCGTTGAGGATGTTGTCTCGGACCTCTGGGGAGAGATCTTTGGTTGGAGCCAGCTCGACCACCTTTTGATGTCGTCGCTGCACCGAGCAGTCTCGCTCGAAGAGATGCACCACGTTGCCGTGATTGTCTCCCAGCAGTTGGACTTCAATGTGCTTCGGGCGGTACAAGAAGCGCTCCACGAAGACCGTTCCGTTGCCGAAAGCATTCTCGGCCTCGGATTTGGAGCGCTCAAAGCTATCCTTCAGATCTTCCTGCTTCCACACGACGCGCATGCCTCGCCCACCACCGCCAAAGGCGGCCTTGATGATGATGGGGAAGCCGTGCTCGTCGGTGAAGGACTTGGCGTCCTCGAACTTCTCAATGGGGCCAGGTGTGCCGGGGACGATGGGCACGCCGGCTTTTTGGGCGAGGGTGCGAGCGGACACCTTGTCTCCCAAGGCATTGATGGTTTTCCAGCTCGGTCCGACCCAGATCAGACCAGCCTCTTCTACTTTCCTGGCGAACTCTTCATTCTCGCTCAAGAATCCGTAACCCTAGTAATTTCAGAGTCAGTACACTGGCGACTGCGAGGAGTCATGACGAATGGGGCGCAGATCCATTGGACCCATTGGGGAGCTGCGTACGGGATGTATGAGCTGGACATCTAGCATTCACGTTAGGTACGAGCTCGAGGCTGAATGGCAATATAGCAATCTAGCTCACCATGCTCCTTGGCAATCCTGATGATCTCGTCTTGGGCCAGATAAGCCTGGACAGGCGAGTACTCTCCTCTCTTGCCAATGACATAGGCCTCGTCGGCCTTTTGGCGATGCATGGAGAGGCGGTCTTCGTGGCTGTAAATGGCGACGGTCTGGAGAGACAGCTCGTGGGCGGTACGGAAGATGCGGATGGGGATTTCGCCGCGATTGGCGACGAGGATCTTCTTGAGCTTCATGATGGAGCTGTTGGCACGCAGGCGGCGATGCACCTGGCTCTCGTCCTCGCCGTCGGGGTTGGGGGTGCCGGTGTCATGGTCATCGTCGTGGATGGCTTCCTCGCTGAGGGCATCCTCCTTCGACATGTTTGCGGCGTGGAATGGAGGAGGATGTGGTGCGAGGGAGGAGGCGGGTGGGTGGAAGGGTGAGGAGACGGGGGGAAAGGGGGGAAGAGGGCGCGTGTGGGATGATGTGAAAAGGCAATGGCAACAGCTCAGGCTTTCTTTTGAGAGCCGGCGGAGGGATTGGCGGCGGGGCAGGAGCGATGGCTCGTCAGAGGGCGGAAACTCTAAACGCACGGATCCGAGGTCGACTCGGGGGCCTCTTATCGCCAATGCAGCGCCGGATTTGTGGCTTCCAAGACACCCCGAAATGCGCTTGAGGGGAGAGGAGGTGGAGGTGTGGTTGGATTGAGGACCAAGACCGGTCGTTGCTCGCAATGTCAGGAACAAGCAGCTGCTGCTCGATGTACCTGTGATGTACCCGCAGCCTCTGGGGATGATGACGGGGCAAGCTCGACAGCTCTCCATGCCCGCAGCCCCTCTCGTGCACGGGGAGAGCCGGGCAACAGCCGGGCAGCCGCTGGGGTATAGCCGACCACACCTCGTCCCAAAAGAAAGATGAGGTGAAGATCGTGATCTCGGCGCACGGTGTCTCATCACCTGACCTTGTATCACCACGCCATTGGCCGCCGCGTCTGTCGCGGCGTGTTACGTGCTACAGTACACGACTCACCAGCCACACTTGCACTGCGCTTTCTCCCATCCGAACCTGGTTGGAATGGGAAAAAACCCGACGGGAGAAACTTGTATAGTCACACCTAGTAGCTCTGCTGTACACAAAAACCGTACACTTCTCGCCCAAATCCCAGTTTGCCTCGATTCGAAAGTATTACACTCCCCCTACCTTCACGTCACTGCTTTTAGAATGCTCGATACCCCGTCGGCTGCGGCATGATCCCATTCGCATACGGCGCCGGGCTCTGGCTCTGCACCGGCCCCTGCGTCAACATGAGCCGGCTCTGCCCAAGGATCGGCCCCGTGTCCTCGTCCTTCTTCTCCGCCGCCTCGCGGGCGTTGCGCGCCTCATTGTCCTGCTTCAGCTGCTCAATCGTCGCCGACTGCTGCGCCATGTAGTTGATCATGAACGGCATGGTGAAGTCGTTGAGCCCGTGGCGCCACGAGATCTCCATCACCGTGTGCATGGGCAGCAGGTCGTAGCAGGCATACAGCATGCCCACGTAGCATTCCTTGCTGCCAATGTCGACAAACTGTCCCTCGTTGGTTAGTGCACGTCCTGAACACATACATACACGCAAGGAATTCACTCACGTATCGCAACAACTCCTCCACAACTTCCGTCTTCCCAGACATGGCCGCCGTCTCAATCGCGTCCTTGTAAAGCTTGTCCTGCTTCGAAAGCGCAATCGATTTGTCCCATCGCTTGTTCTTTCGGTAGATGTTCGCAGCAATCTGCCGGAAGAAGACCAGATCATGCTTCTCCAGCCGTTGCGCCAATGCCACGGCCTCGTAGTTGTCGAAATTCTCCACACTGTCACGCAGCTGCTTGTAATCTTCCTCTTCAATGAGCAGATCGTTGATCGCATCGTTCACAGCACGCTTGTTCTGCGTCTGCACGTTGAGCAGGAACGGCTTGATCAGCGGGATGTTGTCCGACTTCTCGAACATCCGCACCACGCGGTTCACGTCGATGCGAGGTGTCAATGCTTGCAGCAAGTCGGTGATCAACGGTGGCTGTTCCTGCAGATAGAAGTTCAAGGCGCGGTAGTAGATCTCCAGGTTGGCCACCTTGATGACGGTCTCCTTGAAGCTCTGATGCTCCCACGCGTCCGCCGCCCGCTCCATCATGGCCAGCGCGGCATTGTCATACTCGTCGTAGTGGGAGTACAGGAAGACGAGCTCCGGCCACAGATGCGCTTCCTCGCACGCTGTGATGAGCTTGGGAATGTTGACTCGGCCCCAGAAGATGCGGAGGTGCTCCATCACACGTTCTGGATGATATTTGCTGAGTGCGACACCCAATGAGGTGAACACGCCCATATGGACTAAAATAAACCGTTAGCAACGTTTTGTACAGAATACGACCCCGGACCACCAACTTACCTCTCTCCAGGCCCAGACCCGCTTCCAACAGCGTGATGAGTTCGTCAAAGTAGCCTTCACGCTCGTACTGCTTCACGAGATCGGCCAGCTCGTCTGCGTGCACGATCAGGTTGAGACCGCAGATCTGCGCCAGGCGGAACTCCTTCTTGGCCACGCAGGCCTCGTTGACTTGCTTCCACACTTTGACGCTGTTGGCTTTCCGGGCGCATTCCACCGCAGCCTGGTAGTCTCCAAGATGGACGAGAGTGGTGGCGAGCTTGGCCCAGTTCGAGATGGATGTGAAGAAGATCTTCGCAGCCTCGTGGTGCCCTTCGGCGTATGCCTTGTCGCCAGACTCTTCAATGTTGGCCACGTTCGTCCCGCGTAGGAAGTCCTCCAGCTCGGCAAGCTGGTCGGTTCGAGCCAAGCAGAAGGCGAGCGCGGTATCGACGGCGGGTTCGCGAAGCGTCTTGCGTGCCATGCGAAGGTATTTGATCAACTCCTCATCCTTCCCAGCGTGTGTCGCAATCTCAATGACCTCTTGGTGGTTGGAGGGGTCTTGAGCGCGGATGTACGATTCAATACCATCGCCAACGCGCAGGCCGTCGAGCTGCGCCTTTCCGACTTTGCTCCAAACATCCGGGCGATCGACTTGATCGGCGTACTCCTGCGCTCTGTCGATGCTAACAACATGGTCGACCAGCACGTTCGTAGCTTCGAGATGATTGTTGGCCTTCTTGTAAATCAAGAATGCTTCCTCAAACATCCCAACTTCGATACATTGCTGGGCAATTTCATCGGGGTCGTAGTTGTCGAGGTTCTGGATGTAGCCAGCGACGCGACCGCGGTCGGATTTGGCAGCCGTGAGCATGAGCAGGTTCTGCAGGTTCGAGTTGTCGCTGAAGGTGGACGGCTCGAGTATGATCTTCTCCAAGAGCTCGATGAGCTCGACGGGCATATCAGCGTCGATGAAGGCCTTGACAGCGATCGAAACTTGTTCGGGATCGGTGGATTCAGGAACGGCAGTCGAGATGACTTGATCGACCATCGAGCGTCGGTGGATGTTGTTGTCCGACAACACATATTGCCAGATCTCGGGATCGGCGCGAGTGAGCAGGTATCGCGCTTGCGCTCGGAACATGGAGTTCTCGTTCGCTGTGGCAAAGGTGTAAGTACTTTGATCATAGATGGGCATCCATCCCATTTGGGGAAGTGACGACACTTACTGATATTGATGAGCTCCAAATCATTCTGCCCCTTCTGATACGCAATGAATGCCAAGTTGGGGTCACGCTTCTCGCAGTACTTGCCCACAGTCAACGTGTCGTAGAGATCGTTCTCCTTCAAAAACTTCTCTGGGTTGTTGTTGCTGTCGATGTAAATCTTGGCCAGCGCGTTGTAGACCGCGGGTTGCTGGTTGCCTGTCGCCAAAGTCTGTTCGAGGAAGGGTAGCAGGAGCTTGAGTCGATTCCTGGACTCGACCTCCGAAACGAGTTCGTCGATTGGAACGGATTGCGGCGGCACGGAGCTGAGCAAGCCTTTGATGATGCCCTCGTCGCAGTCGACGTCCAACAGCCCACCTACGACAGCTGGCGTTCTCGACGGATTGACGCGCTGGACGTACACCTCGATCGACTTGAACTGCTGGTTCTTGTACAAGTACAACACGAGATCGTGAACGAAGTTGAAACGGTCGCCGACGATGATCAGCGGAAGCTGCTCGGTGAGTCTTTGCTCTTTCAGGAAGTTCATGACTCGCTGGCCGTCGTAATGGTTGCTCTCTCGGCATATCCGCTCGACTTCCTGCATCTGGCCCATCTTGGTGGCTGCCTCGATGTACTTGAAAGTCACGTCCTTGTCCTCGCTGAAGTTGACAATTCCGCCGAGGTAGAAGTACAGGCCTTCTGCGGTCCGGTACTTTTCGAGAAGGTCGATAATTCGAGTGGGGCCAAACAGATCAGAGTATTTCTTCGCCACATTGATAACGGCTTGGAGATTCTGGCGGATGTTGACGCGAAGCATCTCGTCTAGGCATTCCAGTCCGAGCTCCACGGTCAGTTTGCCGAAGTAGTTGATCAAAAACTCCTCTGGGATTTTGTCTGTTTGAACAATGCAGCGCTTGATGGATGCTGGATCTTCGTAATGCTCGAGCGCGCGAGTGAGCAGGCCCGCGTTCTCGCACAAACGAGCAATCTTCTCCTGGTCGAAGTAGCTGAACATTTCGTTTCCAAGAATGGCATCGGCCACCTGGGGAGCGTTCAAAAGATTCATCTCGAGTAGTCGAGTCTGCAATTGACCTTGTTCCGGTTTATTCGCGGCTAGGACGTCGAGCAGGAATGCGGTCGCTTGCTGAATCATTCCCTGGGATTGGAAGATGTCGACGGTGCGGTCAATGTCGATCAGGCTCGGGTCTTCGCGCGCAATGTTAGTGGCGAACTCGGCACCCTTCTCCGGGTTGACTCTCGTGATGTGCTGCAAGAGAGCGTTGAAGTCTGGTGTGTATCCAACGGACCGCGAGTAGGGTAGGATCTGGTCAAAGTTGCCAGACTCTGCCATGGCCGCAATAACCTTTTGCGACGCGCCGGCTTCCTGGTAGATGCGTTGCGCGAGCGCAGTGTCATGCACACGCACCAGATCCCCGAGCTGTTCTGAGCAGCCTAGCTTGCCCTCGTTCATCCACTTCTCAAGCAGGTGCTTCCTGTTTTGCTGCAGAACGGGCCGCGCGAGCTCCAAGGTCTCATGCTCGTTTAGCTTGCCCTTGTCGAGAAGCATGCCAAAGTACTGCAGAATGACCGAAAGCTGTCCCTGCTGCTGTGGCACAGACTTGAATCTTTCGATGGTTTGTGGTGTGCGCAAGAAGCCCTGAGGTGAGTTTGCTGCGGTCTTGGCCGCTTGCTGGTAGTCGCCGGAGTTCAAAAGCTGGTCGAAGCGTTGTTGGTAGAGCTGATCGGCGCCAGGCAGTCCAGCCCTGGATGCCAACTTGTAGGCCAATTCGGCATTTTCCGGGTTCTGAAGCAGGTATGGTATTATTGTGTTCTCGTCCACGCTCACGGACAGCACTTGACCCTTCCTGTTGACCCCTACGATGCCCAAGGATTCCTCGTCGATGGCGGTGGTGAAGATGGTGTCGCTCGAAATGCGATTCATGAAGATGGTCGTTCCGGTTTCGAGATCGTACAGGTGGATGAAGCCGTACTTGGTCACCAGGTAGATGACCTTGTATTTTTCGGAGACTTGCATGGCCACGGGGAAGTCGTTGACGGCCTCGGCTGGGAAGTAGATGTCGACGGCTTTCTTGGTGAAGGTCGGGTTCGGAGCCTGGTGATCCACTTCGACAATGTGCAACTTGGCGCCTGTGGCGGATCGGTTGGCAAAGGTGAACAGCTTGGTATCTGACACCCCATCCTCCAGCCTCAGTGTGCCAAACGCAGCAGCATGGCCTTCGATGGACTGGCTGATGCCACGATCTCTGGAGTACAGCTGCATGCTGCCAACAACGCGCCCCTCGCGCTGCGAGATGCCCACGACCACCATCCACTTCTCGTCGGCGCTGACGCGGTAGTTGATGATCTGGCACCCGGCAAGGTTCTGATTCCGCTCAAACACCTTCTGCGGAGAGACCTGCGAGGCATCGAAGATGTTCCAATGATATACGGCGGTGTCCGTGACGAGCCCAATCGAAGAATCGCTGAACCACTTCCAGTATACCACATCCTCTTGCATTGTCGTGCTTTTGATCTTGCTCTTAGCTCCCAAGTCGAAGATTTGGAGTGTTTTCCCGCCAGCTTTAAGAGCGATAATCTCTTTCGACCCTGTTGGAAATTCGCGTCAGCTACCGCCCCGAGTAGAGAGCGCGACTAGGAGGATGCTTACAATGCATGATGGCGCTGTCGGCCTTGATGGGCCGGCGCATGACACTGTTGCCATTCTTGAGATTGACAATGATGACTTCAGGCTGCGCGTTGTCGTCAAGCTTTTGTCGGACGCAGATGTAGTGGTCGGATTCGAGGGTACAGCTGTTGAAGCCAATGGAAGCAGGCTGGCTCTTGTCAGCAGGGCCGTCGGCGACGCACGGATAGGGCGGACATTACCTGGATTCCCACCGAGCTCAACTGCAAGTTCTCCGTGAACTTGATGGGGAGTGCGGAAGCCATGGCGTGTAGTTGATTATGAGGAGGCCCTCATTCAGGCTCCACCAGACTTCCCGCGCGGGACCCCCTGTCGTGATTGCTGCTGCCTCTCGTGAAGGCGCGATCTGCGCGACGGCGTCGACGGAGGAAACGGATAAGTATTAAGGAGTGTATTCCAATGACGCCGGGGTCGTGGATGGAGGCAGAGGTGATGGAAGGTCCAGGCAACGCGTTTACGAAAGGGGACAGATGTGAAATTAAGATTTCCAGCAACTTGTCTGCTGCTCCAGCAAGCAACGACGTGGCACGCGGCGGCCCGGCTCCTCCCGCACGTCACGTGCTGGAACTCTCTTCTGCGCGGATGGAGGACATCACAAGCAGATGTCGTACCTCTACAATTGCAAGAAGTTAGACACGCATCGAACCCTCAGGCTGCACTCTCCTGATCGTTTCGAGACGTGCCAGTGTGACACCATGGATGCTCTTCTTTAGTCGGCCATGTCCCATGTGCCCACGTGAAAGATTACATCAGCAAACCCACGCTAGCCTAAACCGGGCTTTGGGCACCGATACGCATTTTAATTTTTGAAACGACCAAGCGAAGACGTGATCCTTCACCTCACCCTGAGTGTTGCGACTCGATTGCCGTCGGATATCCACAAAGCCACCTTGTCAGACAACACTGCCCCCGAGCGTGCAAACATGGCTCCGTCCAAAACCCCCAACTCGTGGGAGGAGTCCGAGGAGGACAGCACACCGCCCGCGTCCCCAACGGTCGCACCGGCGGCGCGCCGCAGCAAGTTTGACGACGAGGAAGACGACAGCGATGTCTTGGAGTCCTGGGATGCGGCGGAGGACAGCGAAGAAGAGCGCGAGAAAGCAAAGAAGGCGGCAGAAGCCAAGGCCAAAGCCGAGGCCGAGGCGAAAGCGAATCACAAGAGTAAGTCGCAACGGATAGAGGAGAGGCGGCAAGAGAACCTGCGGAGGCGTCTGGCGGAGGAGGAAGAGGAGAGCAGTGATGAAGAGGAGACCGAGGCGGAGAAGCGGGCAAGGTTACGGGAGTCGGAGAAGGCGAGCGACATGAAGCACGCGGAGGAGCTGTTTGGTGGTGCGGGCGAAGGAAACAAGAGGACGACGGCGAAGGCTGTCACTGTGCAACAAGGCGACGACCCGGCAGACGCGATCGATCTCAGCAGCTTGAAGCTGTTCAACCCCACCACGCTCCCACAGTTCAACAAGCTGAAAGAAGCGCTGGTGCCTCTGTTTCTGGAGATTTCGAAGAAGCCGCACTACGCCTCCTTCCTGCAAGACTTCAACAAGCAGGTGGCAAAGGACTTGAGTAGCGACCAGATGAAGAAGGTGTCCAGCACTTTGACCGCGATGAGCAACGAAAAGCTGAAAGAGGAGAAGGCGGCGGACAAGGGCGGGAAGAAGACGAAAGCGGCCAAGACGAAGGCCAGCTTGTCCGCCAGCCGAGACATCTCGAACAAGGCAGACACCACGGCGTATGACGATGGGCTGGAGGAGTGAGTTGTACTGCCAGTCATTATGTCACTGCATCCGCTAACGACTATACAGGGACGATTTTATGTGATTCAAAGAACGTCATCATCTTCGCCATCGAGACAAGGTGCATGGATTGTGGAAAGCATCGCGAGTACCACGGGGAACAGTATTAGCGGAGTCTCGGCATTCCGCGCGCTCCCCACGACGTTTATGTAGCAAACACGCCTGTTTCTCCTTTCCTGGATTGTTGTTCATGCGTCCAATCCGTCTGTCTCTCGTAATGTAAAGCTCTCGATAAGTCACATCGACGGCAATCCCACGTCCGTGCGCTCCTTCCTGTTTCGGCCACAGGCTCACGTCGCCATGCGTCCCGCATCTTTGCTTCCCGCAAACATGTCAATTGTTGGAGCCTCCTCGTTTGGACCACAACCTCTGGACATGCCCTGGGAAATCTTGTGGCGTGCAGAGATGTTCATTATTGAAATCATGCGGTGATCTCATACGCCCGCCCCAATATTGCATTCAAACTTCAATCTACTCGGCAACGCATTCACACGCCACCATGGGACGGCGAAGAAAGAGGCCCTCTGGCGACATAGAGCGTCAGAATGAGAGCAAAGCAGAGACATCCCACGATGCTCACAGTCCGTCCCAGTCTATGGCCACGTCTGAGAAGGCGTCTTCCAGAGGAGACTCGCAAGATGTACAGCTCACGCCTGACATCAAAGAAGTGCAACAATCTGAGGCCGATTTGGCCCAGTCTCATGGACTGAGTCAACCACAACGCAGACGATCGCGTAGGAGACGGCGACGTAAAGCGAAGTCTGCTGCCGCTGTCCTTGCGCGGCCCAGTCTAGGCTCTGCGCCAGTTGCTACATCAGGATCGACGCTTCAGGAGCCGCAGGATGATGCTGTACCGGATGTAATGGCTGCTTCAATAAAGTCTGGAGCCCTTCGCAAGCGATACAGCGTCACTCAGCTCGTGCAAAGACCGCGGAAGCGCTGGCAGGACGACACAACGACGCCAAACACCGTGCGCAGCAAGGCAACTTCTATCAGGCTCGACGCAGGGCCATATACTGCTAATACCACGAAATCAATGTTCAAGAGAGCTGTCGGCTCTCAAACATCCCACACACCACGGCAGCTTCCAAGATCACCGCCGGAACAAACTTCGCTATCACACACGAGTCACAAAGATCGATTACGACTCGACGCAAACCGCTTCCTGACGAGCAATGAGATTTCACGGCCTTCGATACGGCGGACTTCGTTCGGACAGAAGCCTATGAGTGTTCCCTCGCAGTCCGAAAATAAGGATATAGCCGCATCTTTCAGGCGGTTCTCGGCATTTCTGGAAAGCAAAGATGAAAGTCAGGAGAGCAGTTCGAGTAGCGACGAGAGCGACGATGCTACATCGCATGGGATATCCTCTGCTCTTACTGCTCACAGAATGGAGCAATCGCCCAACGACAACCCGAAAGAGAACCAATTGTCCAAAGACAGGCAGAGCAGCCCTTGGCCACTTTCCCCATCAGACCGAGATGCAACCTCAAGATCCAGTGCGGTGACTTCCTGGCCCCCCAATGTTGGCGTCAGACGGCACACTGCCTCATCCGAAAGGGATCAAGGTGTCCATTCCTTCAACAGCAGATCGAGCGACCTAGTCCGCCAGCCGTCCTCGCAACCTCAGCCCATGTTCTCTTCGTTTCTATCCGACAGTGGAGCTTCCGAAGAATTATACAAGATCATCGACGAAGTTTCCCACAATGCGTTTAACACGACGCATCCTCTCCCCGCCTGTAAGCCATCAGTACCTTCTGATCCCACACATCTTGAGGATCACAAGGACGGACTGATGACCAACCCTTTTAGCGATCTCTCTGTGACCGAGGCTACGAGGAAGACCTTGCAATCGGGCGCTTCTAGGAATATATCAGCTCCGCAGGGCTTCACGCCTCTTTGTCAAGCCGTTCGAGTTGATGAGAAGCACTGTCCTGGGGCGTTGGCGCCCGTGATGACCAAGGCGGTGGGGAAATCATGCACTACTGAGAATGAGGCGCCAGGTATTACTGCCGCCCTTGAAGATATCAGCTTGGATTCGCCTGCCGTAAAAGAGAGAAGGAAGCGAAAGATGACCGGGGTGACGAGCAAACACTTTACCCCCGAGAAACGCAGGACAAGAAGCACACAGTCCGCACAAGCTGGGGACAACGCGCCAGAGCAGAGTTCGGAAATAGTCGACAATGGAGTGGTTGCAGAAGGCGAAGTTGCTATTCTCCCAACTCCGACCAGGAAACAACGCAAAGGCACCGGCCACAAGAGCACCTATTTTGCAGTCCCAAAGCCTGGTCTTGATCCCGACGTGATAGACCGGGTCGACTTCTACAATACCACCGCGGGAGTCAGAAACAAAAGCGTCCGCAGGGTGCCAGCTGGGACCTCAACTGCTCCAGTCCCTCCGATATCAGATTCATACTTTGGCATCATCCAAGAGAAATTGTGGCGGGAACCCTTCTGGCTCCTCATCGCCGTGACGTTTCTCAACAAGACAACCGGTCGTGCCGCAGTACCCGTTTTCTGGGAGCTGAAGAAAAGATACATCACCCCTGAGGCACTTTCAGATGCCCCACAGGAGGAATTGGAAGCCCTGATATGGCATCTCGGGCTGCAACGCCAACGAAGCAAGCGTCTGATCAGCATGGCACGGGCGTGGATCGCGGCGCCTCCGAAGCAAGGTGTCAGATTCAGAACGCTACACTATCCTTCCAAAACCGATGGGAAAGAGTATAAGACTACCGAGCCCGTGGAGGTCGATGCGGACGATTGCGCTGGCGCCCTCGAAATCGGGCATATTCCAGGCTGTGGGCCGTATGCATGGGATAGTTGGCGGATCTTCTGTCGTGATGTCCTCCGATGTGTCGCGCATGACTACAACGGCAGCGAGGCGGAGATTCAGGGATTCATTCCGGAGTGGATGAGGGTCTTGCCCGGGGACAAGGAGCTTCGGGCGTGTCTGCGGTGGATGTGGCTTCGTGAAGGATGGATCTGGAATTGCGAGACTGGGGCGAAGAGGCGGGCTATGGATGACGAGATGGAAAGGGCAGTGCATGGGGAGATGGACGTCCCGGACGTACAGGAGAAGAGGTTTGCAGCCAGAGCTGCAGGAGTCGAGATTGCAACGCCAATGCAGACGGAGGAAAAGCAGGGTGCGCCGGTTGCAGGTCCGCAGCCTCCGTTCGAACCGACTGCGAGTGAGGAGAATAAGTCTCCTACAGGTGCCAGAACGTTGCGGCGAAGTGCCAGACTATCGGTTTTGGAGTAGAGAGATGCACGGGGGCTTGGACATCGACGCTAAAATGCTTGCATACTGGAAGGCAGATGTGATCTATGCTACACACTCCGACGCATTAGGAAGCTCATGCATGCATCCTACGCCTCGAATCCCCTCTCATGCAGTTTGCGTGCCATATCCTCGAATGCGATCTGCAAAAGCCCAGCTCTGTCCTTCCAATTTCTCGTCCAGTTTCAAGTCAACACCGCTCTCCTTGTCCACGATTGCGATGCTGTACTCATTCATACTTCTGGCGTCACGGTAGAAGAGCACCTTCATGCACTCCTTCACCGCCTCGACAGCCTTCTCCCTGGTGAGGGCCTTGCTCGCTTCTTCGTCCGGCACGACTCTGCGGAGGATGGGTTGGGCGAGATGTGCGCCAAAGCCCGTGGCGAGCGTGGGAGCAGAGAAGGTGGTTCCGAGCAGATCTGCAGAAGCGAGGAAGGGCTCGTTCGACTCCGTCAACCCGGCCACCAGAAGCGCGTTCCAGAGAGGGTTGAATTCGCTCCGTCTCTTGTACATGACCTTGCTTAGATAGGTGTGCAGGTTTTTCGCGCTCATCAGCGCCACATCGCTCTCTTTGTCGTCGACATCACCACTGCCAGCGTAGTTCTCCTCCACATGAAGACTGAGGAGCAGGCGGTCGAGATACTGCATGTCGCTCACGTCGCCGCCGAAGCCCACAACGGCCTTTTTGTTGAAGACTTTGAGGCGATGGACATCGGTGAAGCGAGCGAGACTACCGTAGGAGGCGAGATTGTCGGCGGCGATGACGACTCCGCTGTTGTACTTTACTGCCAGCACCGATGTGCCGGTTACGATGGGCGACTGGGTGTGTTGGTTTGGATGGCCGGCTTGATGGCCGCCGTGTGAGTGTGGAAGGTAGTGGGGGTTGTAGGCGCCGTAGACGTCGTCTCGGGGCTTGGAATGGTCAGCTCTGATCTATCGAGGGTGGAGGAGGCTTGTGAGCACTTACTCTGCCCCAGGCCTGGGGGAGGTGGTTCATTATGAACGGATCGCGGATGGACTTGCTTGATGTGTTGACCTGCGCGGGTTTCCTCCTTTGCAATGTTGCAGTCCTAATCGGCGAGAACAGACGATTGCGAGGATGGTGATGGAGGAGGTGCTGGGCGTGGACACTGCTGCGCGATGGTTGGAGCTTCACAAGGCAACGAGGTGACGCGAAGCTAGAGTAAATTAAGCTTCGCCTTCTGACTAAGCAAATACACTGCACGTGCAGTCCAGCGCATGCACTGTTGGACTTCACGTTTGTTTTGGATTGCTTTCATTTCGCACCATCCGAGCGAGGTATTGCGGGCATCGCAAATCACTGCACATGGCCGCCCTTGTAGGCTATGGGAGCAGCGACGAAGAGGATGAGGTCCGGCCTGAAAAGCCGGCGAAGGTGGGCATCTGCTATTTCTTACTACACTGGAAGGCATGGGTACCTACTAACAATGTGTGATACGTCAGATAGCGCGGCTCGACGTTGAAGCAATTGAATCGCAGAATAACCACGCTACTGGTGCGACGTCGTCTCTTCGCCATGCTGCGAAACAGAGCTGATTGTATCGAAGCTGTGCCCCCATCCGACCCTACACCTAAACAGCTGCCCCAGGAACAATTACCAAAAGCCACTGCGACAATCGCGATCCCAGGCCCTTCTTTCCCAACCGATGTCGACCTGTCCACTTCCAATACCCCCTCTTTCGCGCCCTTGTCGCCATACTCTAGCGAAACACAGCGCGTTCAAGAATTGACCATGCCCACGGTGCCCAACTTCGACATCCCGGACTCTCCTCCGCTGCCACCAATGAACAGCGAGGAAGCGGCCACATTGGCAGCAGCGACTAGAAAATTCGAGCGTTTCCTAGAGTTGAAGAAGCAAGGCGTGCACTTCCATGATCGCTTGCAGAAGAGTGCGGCGCTACGAAATCCAACTCTACTGCCGAAGCTGATGGAGTTCGCGGGGATGACTCAGGAGGAAAGCTACGTAAGCACGTTACCAGCGGACCTTGGCGTACCGACGCGCTGGGCAGCGGACCAATACGTCGACGAGCTTGTGAGAGCGAATGAACGGAGGGAGAAGAAGCGGAAGGAGGGACGGGACAAGATTGACTTTGTGTCTGCTGCAGGTGGTGCCAAATCTTCCGCCTCGAGCGCCGTGAGTACACCAAACAAGAGTCATACTGTGGACGGAGACGGCAAGAGGAGCCGGTTTGATAACAGGTAGCAAATCAGGCACGTTCCTGCATGTTATCAACGACAGCTGTGCATGGCTCAATTCCTCCAAATCCTGACCGCCTTGTCTTGCCCACCACTACCCACTCTTTCCCCATCAGGAGCCCAATCGACAGCAAACACCTCATCCTTATGCCCGGGTAGATCTTCCTTCAGCTTTCCCGTCCGCACATCCCAGGCCTTGAGTGTGGTGTCCTTGCTCCCGCTAACCAACAGTCTACTATCCGGTGAGAAGCTGACTTGGTACACCGGCCCGACGTGCGCACGTAATGTGTTCAAGAACTTGCCGTCGGAGGCTTGCCACAGCTTGATGTGGTTGTCGAAGCCAGCACTTGCGATCAGGTGGCCTGAAGGAGAGAAGGTGACGTGGTTGACCTGTTTTTGGTGGCCGACCATGCGCTGCAGTGGCTTGGTGGACGTCGAGGGAGACCACAGGAACATTGTACAATCGTCACTGGCACTGACAAGGCGTTCGATGCCACCTGCTGGAGCCAGCGCCGCCTCGTACCGTTCTTTTGCCTTGCGTCTCTTCGCATCCACCGTCTCTGGAACCTCTGCTTTCGATCCGTGATCGTAGAATCCGGTCCGTAGGACATGATCGGTGGAAAGGGCGAGATGATTTACCCAGTGTGCATGAGCGGTGAGAGTGTGCAACAGCGTGCCCTTGGTCGCATCCCAGATCTTGATCGAGCGATCGTGTGAAGCGGAGTATATTGACCCTTGTCCGCCCCATCTGACACAACTCACACATGCCTTGTGTCCGGTGAGCGCCATGTCGGTTTGTTTGCTCACTGCGTCCCAGATGCGAATGGTGAAGTCGCGAGATGCAGACGCGAACCTCGGTCGCCCTGGCTCCCGAAGATGATACGGCTCCCAGCATATGCTTGTGATCCATTTGGTGTGCCCTCTCAAAGCTCCTCCAAGCGCCTGTCCGGTTGCAGGGTCCCATAACCGGACGGTATTGTCCATGCTCCCAGTAGCCAGCATGCCACCATCCGGCGACCACGCAACGGCCAGTACCCAGCCCGTGTGGCCTTTCAAGGTGTGGAGTGGTGTCCCAGTCTCTGCATCCCAGATCCTCGCCGTCTTGTCTCCACTGCCCGTAGCCAGCCTGGTGGAGGTTGCGGGGGAGAAGGCAGTCGCCAGAATGGAGTCGCCATGTCCGGCAATACTGGCACTGCACCGCGTGACGGCCTTGACTCTAAAGACTGCCTCGGCGCGACAAGGGATTTCCAGACACAGCTCGGTAGTAATGGAGCCGTCCACGTACTTCTTGATAATATCCTCTTGGCTAAACTCCCCATCGCCCAGCGGGTTGTAGAATCGGTAGGGCAGTCGCTCGGCGGGATCGTCCTGGCCGAGGAGGCTGTTTAGGAGGAGGGAGAGGTTTTTGGGGTTCAGATCGGCAAGCGACACGCTCACGATGGGGCCTTGCGTGGTGCCGGTGTCTGCGTCTCGGAATTGAATTCGCTGCAGGCCTTGCGGTGTTGGCGGCGGAGGAGAGGCCTGAGTGCGCGCGCGAGCCGCAGTCTCTGTTTTCTGCCGCTTGGAGGGCGGCGGAAGGATGGTGGCCATTTCGAACGCCTTGTCAATGGGGAACTGCCTGATTGCCTGCTGCTACAGATGGGCATGCGTCCTATACTCCAGGACTCGTACTTTCATGCCCGAAAATTGTTTATCGATAAGAACTGGAGCAGCGCCTCGGTCTCGCTCCAACCCTAAGCACTTAGGGTTGACGTAGAACTTCAGGCCACCCACATGAACAGCTCGAGGTTACATGATCCGGCTGATTGATGCTCTCAGCCATGTGCAGGGGCTGAGATGTGTAAAGATGACCTTGTTACCGCCATGGGGTAATTGCTCGGCCATGCGACGTAGGTCTCATCCGCTTACTCGACCTGAAGCGTTATAAATACTTCAGTCACCCATGTCCACCTGCAGCTCTCTCTACTCATCAGCTCTTCTCTCGCAGTCTTGCACATCCTCTCCACCAACATGGTTGAGCTTATCCATCATGTCAGACGCATCCTCACCCCCGAGCTTTGCCTGGCAACGTATAGACTCAGGTTCCCTTTTGTGAAAGGAGCTGCTCTCAATGGCGCGGCAGTCGGACAGATGGTGTTCAAACCTAGCCCGGAGTACATTCAGGCCTTCTACGATATGATATTCCGCTCCGCGATCATACCCTTAAGCAGGCTACCATTGAACAGCCTCCTATCCGTTGATCTCACCCAGCTTTTGCCTCTCCCTACAGCGCCCGACTACCCCGAACAATGCCTGGGCCTGATCACCATCCTGGACCAGCAGAGAATCGTCCAGACGGGGTATGGACAGCGATATCTCCGGGCCTTCTTCGATCCGGTGTGCGAGAAGCTGGCGCGACAGCTCACTGCTCAACCCGCCCAGTTCCGACCCGATGGGAAAGCAGCGTGGCTTTCGCGCGGCTACTCAATCGATGACTGGCTCATCCGGACTCTGTGGTTCTGGGCGCCTCTGGTTCACTCCGATGTCTTCATGACAGCAGACCGGCAGAGCTTGAAAGACTGGCTCCACGCCATGCGAGCCGAGACGGAGACTCACTGTGGTTACGCGGATCCCTTCGCTCCGCTGGAGGCGGCCGACGATGTTGACATCACGGCGTTCCAGAGAATCGAAGAAGCTGGACCGCCCGTGAAAAGCTACGCCAACTCCTCAAGGGAGGCGACTGTGGCAGATTACACGTTTTGGTGGATCCGCATACTGAATTCCCACTTTGCCATCACCGACATGTGCGGCCACTATCCATACTGGATTCGTTGGACGGGCTTGGAGTGGACGCCAAGGGATAAAGCATTCATGGAGCAGACGAATAACTATCGCTACGATCCGGAGGATGAACCGGTCCTGCAGCTGGTGCGGAAGGACTACTTGGAAGGCGTGTGGAGAGCATTGGGCGTCAATCCGGAGTATGAGAGGGGCAGCTGAAGCCTCATTGTTGACGCATGAAAGCTTTGGTGTCGATGCCTGTCAAGATTCATTGTCCTCAGGCACGGCCTGGGGTAAGATCGCAAACAAAAGATAACTGGTGTGCGTCTTCACCTCCGGCTCCGTGCGATGAACGAGATGCCCTTCTTTGTACAGTTTCTTCTGCTCCGCCTGCTGCCTCACTCGCTCCAGCCTGGCCGCTTTGCTCTCAACCTTGCCTCTTCCCGAACCATCGCCGTCCGCAGTCGCGCCCTTGTTGCTGGCGTGGAAATCAGACAGCTTGCTTTCCACCTCCCTCAGTCGTTCGATAGCCTCATCGACGCTCGCCGGAGAGGCGTTGACCCCACGTAATCCCTCGTTGCTGAGCCCGATCTGTTCACGTCGGACGTCAATGCGGCGATTGGCGATCTCCACCATTGAAACTTCCGTCCAGCCAGTCTTGCGAAGGACAGATGCCGTCGCCATCACCTGCTCTATGCACGGAGAGAAAGTGCACAGGTGGACAGGTCCGTTTGCGTTGAGGGGCGATTGCGGGAGTGAACGCGATAGATGATTCAGCGCGAGCCAGGGCGCGGGAAGATCCAGGAAGATCGCATCCGCCGCCGGGGGTGTGCCATCTGTCGAGTCCACGGCAAATCCACCCGTACACACATCGCGGTGGTTTAGCTGGACTATGGGATCAAGGCCGTGGGAGCGGATCTCTTCGCGGAGCGTCTCAACTCGTGGTTGATGGTACTCGTACGAGTACACTCGGCCAAAGCGTGCCTTTTTGGGTTGTTGCGGATTAGGGTAGCCATTGAACACCGCGCGTGCTGCGGCATGGGTGAAACTTCCACTGCCGGCCCCTGCCTCAATAATGCTGCTGCCAGGCCGCACGCGCAGCCGCTGCAGAATGTAACTATAGTCTGGTGTATAGACCACTTGTGTGCGATGATCGAGAGAGGACGTCCATGCTTCCGGCGTAGGGGGAAGGATATGGACGAAGCCTGACCCCGCCTCGAGAATGGGTGCTCTTGCCGGGGAAGAAGAGGCAACGTCTGCTGCAGCCTCGGAGAGGGCGTGTTTCGGCCTCTTCGCTGCGGGTGCCAGCTCATCAGATGGGGTGTCGATGGATTTTCGTTTCTTGTTGCTCTGCGCGTCTTCGGTAGCAGCTGCTTCGACCGGCTGAGGCGTCGGCTTGATCAAGCGGCCTTTGGATCCCGTATTGACTTTGCTGGCCCTAACTTGACTGCCCCATTCCAGATCAATCAGCGTGCTATGGGGAAAGCTCCCGAACCTCGTGTTCGTGACCGGGCCCTCGGCATAGCCTCCATCGGAATCCGTGCCGAGGGTGACGGGGAGCAGGCTATCTTTCCTCAGATGTAGGATGGCTAGGGCGCCGGATTGGGTGCGTGCGGGGGTGTGGAAGAAGGGGGACGGCACGTGGGAATGCGTGCGCGGCGGCGGAGTTGGTCCACGGCCGTTTTGCATGATTGTGGATGATGCCATCACCGTCGTTCCAATTGTTGCGAGAGCGGAAAGCTCACGACGATCATCCGGTTCCTGGTACCTTGCATTTCCCCCGAGCTTCGACTTGCTCTTCTGTGATCCTGCACCCCGCTCCACTCGCGTTCACGACAGGCGCAAAACTCCAACCGCACAGTGTCAACCGTCTTGGCGTCCTCGGTCTGCCGCTAAAAGCGAATCCGGCTTCTTCCCTGACGTGTGGTTGACGTGATGTGCGGAAGCAAAAAGGGCAGCGGCGCAGAATCCAGCCAATTAATAAGCTCCATGCGGCTCCGCCAGCGCCTGCCCAACCGAATTAAGTTTCTGGGAGTAGCCTTACCGGTTCGGGCAACGACTCCAACAAAAAGTGGAAGTCGCAGCGTACCTAATGCGGTTCCTGCCTCTTGGAGCGGCGCAACGCGGCTTCCTCAACCTCTTCTCGTGCTCTTGCCATTGGAAGCAGAGGGAAGGCGCGCCGGCGACTGGTAAACACAGCGCCCTTCATTTCTTGCTCGCCCGCATCCATTCGCTCTCACACCCTCCAACATCTCATCTCGTCTTGCAGCCTCCATCCTTACACTCTTCGCGGCCTTCTCAGCTGTCGGCATTGCCACTCACATCCTACCTACCTCACGATTTTACGATTAGCATCGAGCTGCACCAATACATACATTCGCCTCCCTCGTACACCCTCCGACAGCCTCACCTCCCGAGTCGCTCAATCGACCGACAGCCTTGCCGCCCGGTGGCAATCTGCGCTCAACCGTCCTCCTCCACTCGTCCATCTGCGGAGCAGACAAGATGTCGCCTCAACAGGTGCACAATAACATTGTTCACCTCTTGCCCTTGAAAGATGATGGCTCTCCGGACTTGCCGGGCGACCCTCCCTACATCTACCTGCCGCCGCCCACCGTCCCGGCGTATAGCATCAGATTCGAAATCGAAGGCACAAGCTCAATATGCCGGCAGGGCAGCCTGTGGGTCAACATCCCAGGCAAGCATGAGCAGTTTGATCGAAAGAAGTTCAAGGAGTACAAGTACGTTGACCACATCTCCACCCCAACCCTACCCATGCCCTGCAGACTGACATTTGACGGTTAGACTGACGCCGAGCTTCAACAACACCATCAAAATCGACGTTCCCATCCATACAGCCGGCGCATACTCCTTCTACTGCACCTACACGCCCTTGCCCCCGTTCACCACAGGCAAAGTCGACGTACCCAAGCCCACGCAGACCAGCACCTTCTACATCGACATCTGCCCGAGCCTGCACGTCCAGAAATCCCGGGTGCCTTTGGATGCCATCTCTTGCATCTCGGTGTTGTCAAAGTTTATGGGCAAATACCCAGACGATTGGGATCGTCACTTGCATGGCATCAGCGAGAGAGGGTACAACATGGTCCACTTCACTCCCCTCATGATGCGTGGCGACAGCAACTCGCCGTACTCCATCTACGATCAGCACACCTTCGATAAGCAAGTCTTTCCGCACGGCGAGGAAGACATCTCCCACCTGACGCAGAAGATGATCGAAGAGTACGGCCTTCTCGCCCTCACCGATGTGGTGTGGAACCATACGGCAAACAACAGCAAATGGCTCGAGGAGCATCCGGAAGCGGGCTATAATATCAAGACGGCTCCGCACCTTCGGCCGGCGTACGAGCTGGACAGCGCTCTGTTACGCTACTCCGCCGACTTGGCCCAACTCGGACTTCCCACCCATCTGAACAACATCAATGACTTGTTGCGCATCATGGATGGCGTCAAGGTTCATGTCATCAGTCCTATGAAGCTGTGGGAATTCTACGTCTGCGATGTGGAAAGTGACACCAAGCACGCCGTCAGCTGCTGGATGGAAGGGCGCGCCGATCTCAACGACCCTTTGCCGGAGGATGTGCAGTCCTGGGATCTGAAGCGAAAGGCCGAGTGGCTTCGAGAACATGCATGCCCCGGCAAAGACACCTTGGGCGAGCGCTTCCATCGCACCATCAACCCTCAGCGTGCCGCTGCCCTGCTCACCAAGTTGTTCGGACGCTTCAACGACAAGGGCAACGGCTCTGGCGACGAGCGTGATGCATACGGCACCATGCAGCGCTTCCTCAATGAAATCAACCTGGAATGGTACAAGGAGTACGATGCAGATGTTGCGGCCATCATGGAGCAAGTCTTCAACCGTACCAAGTACATGCGGCTTGATGAGCATGGTCCCCAGGTCGGCGACATTACCCTGCAGAATCCCCTGGTAGAGACGTACTTCACTCGTCTGCCGCACAATGACACCACTTCCAAGCACGATCCCGACTCTTTGGCACTGGCGAACAATGGCTGGGTCTGGGCTGCGGACGTCATGCGGGACAATGCCGGGCCCAAGTCGAAAGTCTACCTTCGCCGCGAGCTCATCGTTTGGCAAGACTGCGTCAAGCTTCGGTATGGCAAGGGCCCGGAAGACTCTCCATTTCTGTGGAAGTTCATGATGGAGTACACGCAACTCATGGCGAAGCACTTCACTGGCTTCCGCATCGACAACTGCCACTCCACCCCTCTGCATGTCGCAGAGTACATGCTCGACGCGGCTCGCCACGTCCAGCCCAACCTCGTGATTGCTGCCGAGCTCTTCTCCGGCGACGAGAAGATGGACTTCCTGTACTGCCAACGCCTCGGCATCAGCTTCCTTATTCGTGAAGCGATGCAATGCTGGTCTACTGGCGAGCTTAGCCGGCTCGTACATATCAACTGTGGACGGCCTATTGGGTCTTTTGAAGTTGACGACATTGCCGGAATCGATGCCAAAACACCCCAGCCCAACGGCCCCACGACCAACGGGATTCCTCAAGGCAGGGCCGTCACGCACAAAATCATCCCCAGCAAGATCCACGCGTTGCTGATGGACTGCACCCACGACAATGAGCCGCCTGTGCAACGCAGGGACGGGCGAGATACCCTGCCCAATTCGGCACTGGTCGCCATGTGTGCGTCCGCGTCCGGAAGCGTGTTTGGGCTGGATGAGCTGTATCCGCAACTCATCGAATTGGTCCACGAGACGAGGCCCTACACGTCACCGTACAGCAATCTCAAGCCTGGCGAACAGATGCGGGTTGGGCCAAGCGAAGGCACCGGCGGAGTCAAGAGACTTATGAATCAGCTGCACACGATCATGGGGATGGACCAGTACGACGAGTGTTTTGTGCATCACGACGGCGAATACATCACCGTCCATCGCATGCACCCGAAATCGAGGAAAGGGTACTACTTGATTGCCCACACCGCTTTCCCGGGATACGGCAACGGCAATGCTGGCTTTCAGCCGCAGTGGCTCACCGGCACCAAAGCCAAGCTGTTGGGAGCGTGGAGCCTGGAGTGTGATCAATCATCAGACGCGAAGCAAGCCGCCATTCACGACAAGGTACTCCGTGGTATTCCCAGCAGGACCAAGGATCTCAAGGGCGTGAAGGTGGAGCAGCGCGGTGATGATACTGTCATCACCATCCCTGAGGCCTTCCCGCCTGGCTCAATCGCCGTCTTCGAGACGTGGATCCCTGGTGCCGAGCACAGCGAGGGCCTGGACAAATTTGTCACATCTGGTGCGCAGGAGGCTTTCAGCAAGGTCAGCCTCACGGACCTCAACGCCATCTTATACCGTGCCGACTCCGAAGAGCGTGCATCATCCAACGGGTCCGATGGCGCCTACACCATCCCCGGCTTCGGTCCGCTCGTTTACTGCGGTCTCCAAGGCTGGTGGTCCGTGTTGCATGACATTGTGTCTCACAACGATCTCGGACATGCCATGTGCAACCATCTCCGCGATGGCCAGTGGGCTCTCGATTTCATCGTCGGCCGCATGGACAAGCTCGCCCAGCGCGACATCTACACCGGCCTCAAAGCACCCGCAGACTGGATGCGCGTGCGCTTCGATGCCATCCGAAAGCTTCCGAGCTTTCTGACTCCACGGTACTTCGCTCTGATCATCAAGACCGCCCACAAGGCCGCCTTCGAGCGTGGTATCGAGCAGATGAGCAGCAATGTGCAGCACGGCCAGCACTTCTTGAAGAAACTGGCCATGGTGTCCTGCCAGATGCAAGGGTACGTGGAGAATGCATCTCTTTGGCCGAACAAGCTTGTGCCATCCCTGGCCGCCGGCCTTCCCCATTTTGCTCAGGATTGGGCCCGCTGCTGGGGCCGTGATACCATGATTGCAATGCGTGGTCTCCTCGTGTGCACCGGACGATTCGAAGATGCCAGAGAGCATCTGCTTTGCTTCTCCTCTTTGGTCAAGCATGGCATGATCCCAAATCTCCTCGGCTCGGGCAAGCTGCCGCGTTACAACTCCAGAGACTCGGTTTGGTTCTTCTTGCAGAACATTCAGGACTACGTTACGTTGGTACCTGGCGGAGAGAAGATTCTGCAGGAGAAGGTCAAGCGTCGCTTCAAGCCCTACGATGACACCTGGTTTGCCTGGGACGACCCGCGAGCGTACCAAGATGAGTCCAGCGTTGCCGATGTCATTCACGAGTGCCTTCAGCGCCACGCGGCCGGCATGCACTTCCGCGAGTACAATGCCGGTCCCAATCTCGACAGTCAAATGAAGCCCGATGGCTTCAACATCGACATTGACGTCGATTGGAACACGGGCATCATCTTCGGAGGCAACGAACACAACTGTGGAACGTGGATGGACAAGATGGGCGAATCCACAAAGGCTGGCAACAAAGGCGAGCCTGGTACTTCTCGAGACGGCGCACCAGTGGAGATAACTGGTCTACTGTACAGTGCCCTGAAGTGGGTCGATGGCTTGCACCGTGCTGGCAAGTTCCCGCATGAGTCGGTTACGACGAGCGACGGCAAGAAGGTGACGTATGGCGACTGGGCTGCAAAGCTCAAGAGCAGCTTCGAGCACTGCTACTACGTTCCCGCCGACGAGAAGGAATGGAGCAAGTACGACGTCAACCCAAAGATTGTCAATCGTCGTGGCATCTACAAGGACGTCTACAAAGGCCGAAAAGAATATCGCGACTACCAGCTTCGCCCGAACTTCCCCATTGCCATGACCGTCGCACCCGACCTCTTCGATCCCCAGCATGCGCTCATTGCGCTCGAGAACACCGACAAACATCTCCGCGGACCAACGGGAATGGCGACTTTGGACCCCAGTGATCTGGAATACCATCCGTGGTACAACAACAGCGAGGATTCGGACAACTTTGCCACCGCAAAGGGGAGATGCTACCACCAAGGTCCGGAATGGCTTTGGCCCACCGGCTTCTTCCTCCGCGCTCTGCTCAAGTTCGATCTGATGCGGCGGCACACAACCGAAGAGAAGGTGGAGGCGTTCCAGCAGATTACCGCGAGGCTGCATGGCTGTCAGAAGATGATCAAAGAGAGCCCATGGGCCGGGCTGACCGAGCTGACGAACAAGGACGGTGCTTACTGCGGGGATTCGGTGAGTGCAACATGCTCCCATGCACGGCTGTCTGCTTTACTAACCCGCGCGATAGTGTCCAACGCAAGCGTGGTCGGCAGGATGCATAGTAGACCTCTACGACGACGCAAGCAAGGCCTCCGCCGAGCTTCTGGGTCACGCAGCGGGCGACAAGAAGACCGAGTCTTAGACTCGTCCATGATCATCTCGTCGACTTGATATCACGCCACGAGGGTACGGAGACATGGAGCTATGAGTGCACGATTTCATTCACCTAATAATCTGGCTCTCCTGCGGTGTAGATTGGGATTGGTTGCACACCGGCCTGGTGTTTATCTCGTCCGTAGTGAGCTCCTATAAGAATATGAGTTCTGTTTCACATTCACACTTCATCTCAATGATCGCGGATTGACGAGCAAGGTTGGCTCAAAACCATTGCCCTCACTTGCCGCCCAGTGTAGGAGGGCTTGCTTGGCCTGCTCATCAACGCAGCAGAGAGACACCGCACGGCCATCTTCGACACTTTCGCCCCGGACCACAACCGGGAGCGCTGTCATGCCAGTTACCCGCTTCACCGTCTCCGGAGTCGCGAGTGGACCGTTCAGCTGGACGAGGTAGGTCAGGGCTCCAGCAGTTGCGACGGCCTCACTCGTTGGTAGTAGATTCGAGACGGTCGCCTTCTTCTTCTGCACGTCCAATTCGTGCTCGTATGCTTCGCGATCGTAGCCTTGTGCTTCCTTGTCGCGCTGGACCATCTGCCAGTGATCGTCGGAGATGCGAGCGCGTGTGAGGTTGTTCCGGTGCGCCATGATGCTGTCTATGGCATCGCCTGATGAGAGGCCGAAGAGGGTTTGCCAACGTTTGATGGTTGCGGATATGGGCTCCGGCGTATCTTGTTGGGCCAGATCCGGGTTATATGCGTTTCCGGCGAGCGCTTCGAGTTCCTGCTGGAGATCAAAGGGATCCATGATGATGGCAGCAGTATCTACGGTAGTTAGGTAGGTAAGGTAAGGTGTGGTATCTGTGACATTGTCATTAAGCGACGTCCAATGATGGAGTCACTAGATGGCAGGAGTCACTTCGATCAGACCCGGGGTTGGCTTTGAGTTCGATTGATGACTATGGAATTACATACTAGGTGACAGCGGGCGGATGATTATTGGGTAATGTTCACCGCCGGAGCATCTGACAGGAAAGTGTAGCCACATCGTGACATTGGCGCACTGGAGAAGAGACATGATCAGGCCGGTCGGAGTCCATGGCGTCTGGCAGGTCGGTGGGGCCGAGTCACCGAATTCCGTGAGTCGGAGTTGGCGAGAGGTGAGTTGGCCCACCCTCGAGTCAGTAACAGTGAGGGTATAAAGAGATTCACGATCAGCAATAGCAGGCATCGACTTTGCCCGGTGTTTTCACAGAGCCGGATTCAGCCACCAGGACTTGACCATCGCTCATCCACCACCCTGAAAGCGTCGCGGCCTTACAGCCTTCGCCGGATTTTAAGCGACACGTAGGAATTTTCCAGCAATGCCTCTTCAGCTACTCCCAATGAAGGAGGCCGATGTGCCGCATTACGTGGATATTACCTGGGCGGCAGCCAGGGGCGACCTGATGGGCGCCATGTTTCCCAACGGAATGTTCGAAACCGACCGGCAATGGCTGATCGACGACAAAATCCAGGCGATGCGCAAGCACCCCGAGACTACGAAAACGATGAAAATCGTCGATTCCGACCTGCCCGATGACCACTCAACCGGCAAGATCATCAGCGTGGCGACGTGGAAGATCTATCCGCGAGAGCGCACGGAGGAGGAAATGGAGGCGGAGAAGAAGGAGGGCGAGGAACGGGGCCATGCGCCGCACGCGAGTGCTCCCATGCTCGAGGCCTTTTTCTCCCAGATGGGCAAGTGCAAGAGGGAGATTGTGGGGAAGAAGGCTGTGGTGTATCTGGGGATTCTCATGACCCATCCTGATCACCATCGTCGCGGCGCTGGGGCGATGCAATTGCAATGGGGCTTTGATTTGGCAGATGAGGTGAGTGCAGTGTTGAATCGCTGATGACATCCAACGCGGTGGCGCGCATTTCACACGGACTAACACGAGTCGGTGATGATAGCTTGGCCTGCCCGTGTATTTAGAAGCCAGCCCGATGGGCCAGCCGTTGTACGCGCGATGTGGCTTCGAAACGATCAAGGTTGTCGATTTCAAACCTCGTGATTGGGGCATGGACCACGACATTCCTCATGTTTGCATGCTGCGGCCCGCCCAGATGGCCAACGGGCATGCTTCCAGACTCCCAACTTAAGACGTTACACGTGGTTTCTGACGCGTCAAAAGACTGCCTTTGATGCGATGGGTGAGGAAAGATAGACAGCGAAAGGAGCAACGTAGGCAGTCGACAAAATCAAGACTTTTCCAGACTATGGAGGCTTCAGTTGACCCTCGTAATCAGCCCTCAGCGTGCTTGGTGGTGCAATATCAGACGGTCTTATCGTTGATGCCCTTGAGGGTCACGTCGCTGCAAACATGGTGTCAGTGAGTGATTGGGTCGGCAAAACGTCTAGTGGCAACTGGGAGCTTACAAGATAAGAGTCGCATTCGGGGGAATAAGGCCCGGGAAGCCGCGACTGCCGTAAGCATAATCCCTGCGACCATCGGTTAGTGATGCTCATCGAAGCCAATGGTTGCGTACGCAGTAGACTTACCCCGTGATGGTCAAGGTGGCCTTCTCTCCGAGAGTCATGCCGCCATCGACGTTGGTGACGCCGTCGTCCCAGCCGCGGATGACCTGGCCGACGCCGATCTTGGTCTTGAAATCCCCTCGTCCAACCGAAGAGTCGAACCTGGGATGGAGGTCAGTATTGCATGGGTCGAGCAGAGAGGGGAGAGGGAAGGGGTGCGCACTGCTTGCCCTTGTTGTCGGGCGCCTTCTCGTCGTACAGCACACCGGTATATTCCACTGCAAGCCGAGTGTCAGTGGCCACGTGGAGTCAGGATTTGGCATGGAAATGCACGCAACTGGTGATGGTGTCCCCGGCCTTGGGCTTGTCCACGCCGTTGCCAGGCGAAATGAGTTTTTTGGTGACTCCCATTGTGATGCTTGGTACGTGCTTTGCGGTACGGGGCGAGCGACAGTTGAGCAGAGGGGAAAGGGTGAAGTGGATTGAGGAGGAAAGTTTGCGTAAGCCGAGAGGGTGGGCAAAGTTTGGTTGCGGCAATGGATGGAATGGGACGGCAGCTTCGATCCGAACTCAATTCCCGCTGAGCAGCGCCAAAATGTCACTCGTTGGTGCGAAGATGTCACCTCTCTTTGGGTGGGGATATCGCTGACGCCGGGGTTTGGCGATGCGACGTGCCCTGCATTGGCGTTGATTGTTGCCTCTTAAGCTGGAAGGGAGGTGCAGGCGCTAAGGTAACGGGGTTCTGCTGCAGAGGACTGCACAGGGCAGGATGGATCGCCGGTCATCACGAGCGCGTCATTTCTTTGGGAAAGCACATCTTGTATTGCACGGCGGGCCGGGATGGCGGCGAGGCTGCAACACCAGGGGCGTGCACATGAGACGAGAACACACGCTTCCCACCACCCCACGCTCGCCATTCAGCACGGGACAACTGCACAAATGCCGTCTACTGCCAAGCGGTCTGGCGGGATGGGCTTGTCGACGGCGTGGAGCTGTGCGGTTACCGGCCATGGAACAAGTCGGGGATCTGCACGCCAAGTAACTCCATCACCCCTCTGCTGCAACCCTCTTCCTGCGCTCTGCTGCACAGAATCAGACGACGTGCAGTCTTCGCCGCTAGACGGGGTGATCTGCCACATGCGGGTGATCGATCCTTCGTAAAAGGCAGTCCTGCTCTTCCACCGGACGCTCATGGCTTGGCACTTATCCGGGCGGCAGCTCGGACTCGCACTAACCCTGCGGGCACGAGTTGACAGCAAACAAAGAAGTGGAGTTGGGTGTCAATCGTTTCCCGTCGCAACATGCCCGCGAGGTGAGCAAGTGAGGTTTCGCCAAACGCAGCGAAGACATGTAGCATGTACCTCGACTAATCAGTGTTGGCGCGACTTTAGGTTGGCGGTGGGTGGCTGCCAGGGCCGTTGCCCATGCTCCATCATTCGAGCTTCATAAGGTACATCACTCGCTACATACATAGCCGTGGCCAGCTACTGTTGGTGCATGGAGAGGCTGTCAGCCCTGCCAGCAGGCGCGGACCGAGGGCCGAGTGAGCGGGAAGAATGCCGACACTCCGCGAGCCGGGTACTCGACTCTCAACCCCATGTTGGCTGCGACCTCTGTCTAACGCCCATCCACACTTGACGGAGAAAGTGGGATCCGCGCAGATCACATGCAAGCAGCCGTGGAGTTCAAGCATAGTCGCCTTTACGGCGAGCGGCGCCCCAGCGTGTGCTTTCACCTTGGGCGAGGTTGCTAGCAGCATGATCTCCGTCGATTACATCCCTTCCAGGTTGCTTGCAGAATCAGGGACTGCTCAATTCGCCCAGAATGGGTGCTTCTCCAGGTCTGCCACCGAGACGGTTTGCCAGCCCACGTTAGGAAAGCGCGAGTCATGCGGTTTGACTGTGTCCGAGACAGGAGCCAGGTGGCAGACGTCGGCAATCCCAGCCCGCTTGACACAATCAAGCACCTTGTCGTAGTTCAAGCCGACGTGTGGCACGCCGTGGCTGTCATCGGACAAGGTGAAACGACCACCTAGGGCTTTGAACTCCTTCGTCACATTAGTGGAGGCGATGAGGGAGATTGCAGCTGGCACAAACACACTCACCTGACACACTTCTACCTGCGGATACGCCTCGGTCATGCCTTTCCTCAAGCTACTCGAATTCAGCTCGAGCACTCCGCCGTAGTCTGCAATAAATCTCAAATTCCGCAGCAGTTTCGCCCAAACACTGGGCCACGTCTTCCACGTCTGATTCGGCTGGTCGCTGAAGAGTCTGATCAGGTCGAAATGAGCGACGATAGGCGGATGAAGGGCTTCAAGCATGGCCAGCTGGGCGTCGAAGTAATCCTGGAAGATGCGTTCGTCGGTAGCGTTGCCCACGTCCCTCGCTCGATGGTACACGGGCGGATCGTAATCGATGGGGATGGTGTGGACGTGATGGACGCTTCCAAGGAACAAGTCGACTTCGTATCGACTCAACAGATCGTGGATGATGGTGAGGCTGGACGGGCGAATCCATTCGCCTTCGAAGCCGATGAATAGAACGATCTGGTCTTTGTAGACTGCCTGGAGACGGCGTGCTTCGCGGTAGTAGTCATCGAAGAGCTTGTAGAGCGTTTCTGGAGTGTGCTCCTCTTCTTCCCGCGGGTAGAAGTCGATTCGTTCGCGCGGAATATGCTCGGTCAAGCAAAAGGTTGTCATGCCCTTGTTGATGGCGGCCTGGACGACTTCATCGAGCGTGTTTGTGGCGTGGCCGCAAAACTGCCCGCTGTGGGAATGATGCGAGAAAGGCATGGTGACGGAGGGGGAGCCAGGGGGTCAGAGCACCAAGGGAAGTGGTTCCTGACGTGCGTCTCTGCCTTGTCCGCCTTGGACCTGTGCCCCGGCATGCGGTGTACTCTGTACCTGCTCACGTCAAGCCACGTGCATGGTGGCAGCGTTCCATTCCATTCACGATCCCAATGGGGCGTGGGGACGTGCAGCGGAAGCCGCGTCCCGTGCCGCGTCCTCGCCCGCCAGGACGCTTGGGCCAGTCACCACGACATCGCATGCGTCGTGCTCCATCCCGCACCAATTCCGGGGAAGCTGAGGTGACGAGCTCTCAACGGAAAGCTCGCAGCAACCTCACCATCGCTTGAACAGAGGCGGATTGAAGGCACGCGAGGCATTGATTGAGTACCGCTGCTGCAGCCGTTACCGACCTTTCCCGTCGGAGGTACGCAACTATCCACTCGACTTCTTGGGACGGGCCCAAAGGACCCCGAGAGAAGCATCGTCAGCACCTGTCTTGCTGAGCATTGCTGTGGCGTGAAGAGAGGGGCCACGATGGCAGCGCAGTCGGAGAAGAGCTCCCTGAAACGGGGCAGGGTACGACAACACCACCTGCGCCAGACGTCAAGCGGCCGGCATGGCTAATGAGAACATCAGGGTTCGGCGGGAGAAGCAGGCGAGACCAAGAAGCCGCGCAGGTCAGCCCGCTTGTCTCACATCGCAGCCGAGACCGAACACGTCAACAAAGGTGGCTTGCCTTCCCCCGTCACCCGCAAGGGCACCACCGACGGCACCGCCAGCCCGCCGCCTCGCAAGCCAGACGAGATTCAGCAGCGCGCAACGCCCCGCTCAAGCCCGGCTCCCCCTTCCCAAGCCCACGGCCTGTCCTCGCCCCCCTCCGATACTCAGCCATTCTCCCAGTTCCTACCTCCACCCCCGTTATCCTACGAAGTCGAGGACGGAGAAGCTGAAGGCGTCTGGGGCTATCTCATCCCCACCTCCGGATACGGCGAACCTCTCGTCCTGAAGAGACGTGATGCGTGTCCAGTGCCGGTCGAGCAGCTTGGCGGTGTGACCGGACGCCAGTCAGTGCCAAAGAAGCACTGGCAAAGGATGGAGGAGGGCTACGAAAAACAAAAGACCCTCAATGGCATCCCCGCCGGCGGCTACCTCTTCGGCCGACATCCAGAATGCGACAGGATCATCAACGATCCTACGGTGAGCAACCGACACTGTCTCTTCTTCAACGAGCACAAGGATGGGGATGCCATCGCCGTCGTTGAAGACTTGAGTGGAAATGGGACGTACGTCAACGATGCGTACATCGGCCGGAACAAACGCCGCGAGCTCCATGACGGCGACGAAATCTCCATCCTCGCCGTCGCCCGCTTCATCTTCCGCTACCCTCGTAACCAAGACACAAACGCCTTCCGACAGCAGTACACCATACAAGGCCAGCTGGGGAAGGGTCACTTTGCTACTGTGTACCTGGCAACAGAGAAGAACACGGGGATGAGGTACGCGGTGAAGAAGTTCGAGAAACGCGGCGGGCCGGGCGAACGGAGCAAGGTGGAGGGTTTGCAGCAAGAGATTGCCGTCTTGATGGGAGTCAGCCATCCGAACATGCTGTGCTTGAAAGATACGTTTGACGAGAGCGATGGCGTCTATCTTGTCTTGGAGCTAGCTGCGGAAGGAGAGCTATTCAACTGGATTGTCATGAAGTCCAAGCTCACGGAGCAAGAAACCCGAAAGGTGTTTGTGCAGTTGTTTCAAGGGGTGAAATATCTCGTGAGTACTGCTCGCCCATCTTCGACGTGTCTGTGGCTAACAAATGCTCCATAGCACGAGCGAAACATCGTGCACCGCGACATCAAACCAGAAAACATCCTATTGACCGACAAGAACCTGAACGTCAAGCTTGCTGACTTCGGTCTCGCCAAAATCATTGGCGAGGAGTCATTTACCACTACCCTCTGCGGCACTCCGTCCTATGTCGCGCCGGAGATTCTAGAGCAGTCGAATCGCCGCCGCTACACGCGCGCGGTCGATGTCTGGTCCCTCGGCGTCGTCCTCTACATCTGTCTTTGCGGATTCCCGCCCTTCTCAGACGAGCTGTACAGCCCTGAGAATCCCTATACCCTCTCGCAGCAGATCCGGATGTCTCGTTTCGACTATCCCTCGCCATACTGGGACCCCATCGGAGATCCGGCGTTGGACCTCATAGACAACATGCTCAAAGTCGACGTGGACGAGCGATATACAATCGACCAGTGTCTCGAGCATCCCTGGACTACCCAACAACCCATCAGCCTCACCGATAGCACCGATGGGCTGACCGGTGCGTTTCGAGGCCTGGACTTCACCCGGCGCAAGCCCGTGCGCGAGCGCACCTTGCTGAGCTCGATTAATGACGTCAAGATCGAGCGAGTGATCAACTCGCAACATGAGAATGGGCAGTCGGAGCCCGTGAAGGTGTTCGATAAGAATGATAGCTTACATCCAAAGCCGCAATCGCAGCAGAAGAAGCAGAAGAAGCCGGGTCATGTGGAACAGACGATGGAGGTGGCCCCTGATGCCGGAAGAGATCCGGCGGAGTTTGTGGAAATGGTGAGTGTCTCACGCCTGAAGAGCTGTCCTGTGTGCATCGAGAAAGGCATGCTAACCAGTTCCCTAGGGCGGGAGAGGAGATGAGGTGCTGTTTGAACAGGATGCCAATGGTAGTCGCTACCCTGACCAGGCGGTGAAAGCAGGAGCTCCGCAGTGAGCGTATGGACATACTGCCGCACTGGAGGCACGGTGTGGCATTCAGTGGCGAGTATAAAAGAAGTTGTTTCCTCTTGACAGGCGTAGCAGCCAGTGAGATCGGATGTACATGTAGCTGGGACGGGGAGTAGTGCTAGGAATCGACTGTATGTCTCAGGTATCAGTCGAGCTCAACGTCTTTTTATGTTGGAGACGCCAGCGCGGGTCGAAGTCGACCGTGCTCGGGAATGTCTCCAATCTGCAACATCTTCTCGTCCAGCAGGGTCGTCATCTCTTTGACAACTTCTGCGTAATCGGGGTTGTCGTACTGATTCATGAGCTCGAGTGGATCTCCTTGACAGTCGAAAAGCTCCTTCGCAGGCGGTCAGCAGACTTCCAGTGTATATGTACCTAGCAAAAGCTGCAGACAGGAGACCTACCCATTCCGGTGGTTCGCCTCCGGGCCGGGTACCAGGTAGTCCGTAATCGAGGTTGTACCTGCACACTTCGTCAAAGGCGGCACTATGTGGCGGGCAGGACAAAGACGAGACTGACCAATAAATAATCTTGTACCGTTGATTCCGCACACCGTAATGCGCACGGCACTCATGAGGGCTGTCGTTGTGCATCCAGTAGCGGTGATATGCCACTTTCTGCCAGCCCTTGGGTCGCTGGCCGTGTAGCAAGGGCCGGAATGAGAAGCCCTGCATATATGAAGGGATGGGATGGCCGGCGAGATCCAGCCACAGCGGTGCAAAGTCTACATTGCTGACGATGTCGTTGCAGATGATACCGGGAGATATTTCTCGGGGAAAGCGTGCAAGCAGTGGCATCTGGAATGACTCTTCGTACATGAAGCGTTTGTCGAACCAGCCGTGATCGCCGAGAAAGAATCCTGCGAGGACAATCAGCATTTCCCGTACAGATCCTGACGTGTCGTTGCTCACCTTGATCCGAGGTATACATGATTAGCGTGTTGTTGACGACGTCCTTTCCCGAGGAGTCTAGATAATCTAACAGCCGTCCGACGTTTTCGTCGATGGAGTGAACGCAGCGTAAGTAACGCTGCATGTATCGCTGGTACTTGAACCGCCGTAGTTCCTCCCTGTCTTTGAATCGATAATTGGTGCCGGTGTCGCGATCGATCAAGACCATGTTTGAAACGTCTTCGGGGAAAGGGATCTTCCTCACGTCGCCCATACTTCCTATTAGCTCTCCCACTTCCGAGCCGCCCTCGGGTTGCACGAGGCCAAGGTCGAAGAAGGTCATGTCTTCTGCAACCCTCATTTTGGCCGCTTTGGCCGCGCTGGCTCGGTGCTTGTAGTCGTCGGTGAGGGTATCGGGGAGTTTGATCTCGTCTCTGTACAAGTCTTTGTGTGTTCGCTTATACTCCCAAGATCGATGCGGAGCTTTGTGATGACACATGATGAAAAAGGGCTTATTCGCATCTCGATTGGAAATGAAGTCGATGGTTTTGTCCGTGATGATGTCGGTCACATAGCCTACCACTACCTCCTGACCGTGTGGCTCGATGAAGACTGGATCGTAGTAGACGCCCTGGTCTGGAAGGACCGACCTACGAGCCACTTAATAGCTGGTTCTACTCCTTGACAACGCCGGGGCGGCTACGCACCAATGATCAAACCCAGTGGGTTCATGCGCCTTACCTTCACCAAGATGCCATTTGCCGATCATGGCGGTCTGGTAGCCGGCGTATTTCAAATGCTTTGCAACGTTGGGCATCCAGTTGTCAATCTTGTTGTCGAGAGTGCGGACGGCATTGACGTGGTTGTGGGTGCCCGTCAGGATGGCTGCGCGACTCGGGGTACATATCGAGTTGGTTACGTAGCAATGGTTGAACAGCATTCCCTCCCGGGCGAGACGATCGATGTGTGGAGTCTTGTTGATGCCAGCGCCATACGCGCCAATCGCCTTGGCAGCATGGTCGTCCGCCATGATGAAGAGGATGTTGGGCCGTCGGCCCTTGGGCGGTGCTGGCGTGTTACGGACCATCTTGCTATGGGTGGAGTGATAAGATGATAGCGCTGCCAACCCCGCCTACCAACCTTCCCGCCCTCCACGGCCCTGCTCGCGCGGTAGATGTGGCCAAGATGTGGGCGAAGGCTATGACCTGCGTACTAGGAATCATCCACTGTGTGGAGGAGGAAGTGTCGGGGTTGTTGGTTGGTGGTGGGCGGTCAGTGATCGTGATGGTGGTGTCGCGCCCGATTTGGAACGCTAGTGCTGACCCCCTGCCCTTGGCGGAGGTTTAATTAATTAAGAAAAATGCTGGGCGGGACTGACAGCATCGTCTGGTGGAGCACCCGAACTGTGGAGGTCAATCCAACCCCGACTCTTCCATCAATCATTATCTCTTGAACATCCTTAACAATGTCCCGGCAAATCTGAACGTGCCCCCCTGTCGCTCTTTTACTCTGTCCGCGCCCCTCCCACCACGTCGCGCAAGAGGGCGCCCTTCTTGAGCTTCGAGTTCCCCTAGCCTCCGACCCAGCTCACCATCCATCTCCTGTCTTCCCTGAACATCCCATGACACCATGGCCGCCTCCATCTCCAAACGACAGCAAGCTCGCAACGAGCGGCAGCTGCAAGATCTGATCCAAACGGTCTCCGGCAACGACCGATGTGCGGATTGCGCCGCAAAGAATCCCGGCTGGGCATCATGGAATCTGGGCATCTTCCTCTGCGTGCGTTGCGCCTCGCTGCATCGCAAACTGGGAACCCATGTCTCCAAGGTCAAGAGCTTGAGTATGGATAGCTGGTCGGCGGAGCAGGTGGATAACATGAAGAAAGTGGGCAACGCGCGGAGCAATGCCGTCTACAATCCCCAGGGCACCCGCGTCGACATCCCCATCGATGCTGACGAGGTGGACGGTGTGATGGAACGCTTCATCCGACAAAAGTACGAGTCACGAACACTGTCCACTGGACACCCCGCCGCGCGACACAACACCGGCAGCACGAGCACCGGCAGCTGGAACGACGAGCCGCCGCCACTGCCGCCCAAACCTAAAAGATTCCCCTTCAACTTTCGCAGTGCCAGCTCCACCACCCATCGCCCCAAGCAGACCCCTCTCACGCCTCCTCGGCCATTGTCCCCCATATCTCCCGGCAACGACGCCTCGAAGCCGCCAGCGCTGAGCAAGCCAAGCCAGTTGTTCGGGATGAAAATCACGGGGGTGAGCAACAATTTCGATCAGAAGCTGGCGGCACTGCGAGACATGGGCTTCGACGACCACAAAAAGAACACGGAGATATTGAAGAGCTCGAACGGCAACTTCGACAAAGCCATCGAAACGTTGGTGAGGCTGGGCGAGGGAAGCAAGCCTCGTTCCCCGGGAACTCTGACTCCGGTCTCGATGGGAAGCGCGGGTCCGAGTGGGATCGTCGTTGACAAGACACGACAAGCAGATGCATCTGCATCCGCGAATCCATGGGAGGTCAGCGAGCGCTCGCCGCAACGCTCCGTCAGCCAGCCAGCTCCGCAGACTTCGCTTCCTCCGAGATCGCAGAGCGCTGGACCAACATCGAACTCCTGGAACCCATTCCTCCCTCAATCGCAACAAGAGCAAAGTGTTCGAGGACTTCAAGATAGCTTCCAAACGCTCCAACTCTCGCATACGGGGCCTGTGCCACAACAGCAATATTACGCGCAACAGATCCCCGCCGTTCCGCCCATACCGCTACAATACCAGAACAATCCCTTCCAGCCGCAGCAACCACAAGCGAATCCCTGGCAGATGCCGCCATCGCAGCTTCCGCCCCAAACGCACACTGCCAACCCCGCCTTTCCCCCGACTTCCACCTTCGCGCAGCCATCGTCCGGACCGGCCCAATTCAGTCCATCTTCCAATCCTTTCTTACACCAGCCAGGATTGCAGGCTGGGCCGTCCAATAATCCCTGGGCTACCCAGCCTTTGCAGTCCCCAGATATAATGTCCGGGCATCCGAGCCCCTGGGCATCGCAGAGCCCGACCTCGGCATCCCCTGGCCAGCTGTCGAGGAATCCTTTCGGTTTGCCACCGAGTGCCATGGCCGAGCAGCCGGCACACCCGTACGTACCGCAACAGTCTGGACCCAGCTACGCAGCGACGCCAACAGGACCGCATACCTATTTTCCCTCACTACAGCCGCCCCAGCAGAGCCCGAATCCATGGCAACAGCCACAGGCACCGCCCATGCCGGCCGCACCAGGCTTCCCTCAGCAGCAGCTGTTCCAGCAGCCACCGCAGTACGGCCAGCAGTACGGTCAACAAATTGGAGTACCGCAAGTGCGCCACGATAAAAGTTCCATTCTTGCTCTCTACAACATGCCTCACCTCGCGCCCCAGCAACCGCTTCAACCATACCAGCAAGACCCTAACGCGGTCCTACAGCCGCCGCCGCAACGCAGTGCCACCATGCCAGCCGTGCAGCAAGGCGCGGATGCTTTCTCGCGGTTTACGTAGCGCATCAGACACGTTAGGAATCAGGTGGACCTCAGCTTAGAAGGCTAACGCCTACCGTAGCTATGTAGCGTGTCAGATGACGAACAAACGATTGATGAAGTTGTCTTTCCCTCTGAAAGGTGGAACCAGTTCATGCTCGCCCTCGGCGATGTGCGTCTTTTAAATAGTCCTCCCGCTGCGTAGGAGAGAAGGCTTGCAGGAGGGTGGAGAAGACGTGCAGTGCTGCTTAACACCGCTCCTCGAGTTCACGAAGTCTTGCTTTTCCACAGATAACGAAGTTAGCTTGCAGGCCATAGGGTTGGAGCCAGAAAGCAGGCATATTGTGGGTGATGTATTCCGCTGTCCTGTAGGGCAGTGGCATATCTCTGCGCTCTGCAGGAAGAAGTATTGGCGATAGTTTACCTTGATCGGGAGTGAGAGCGCGCGGAGACATGTCTGCATGCGACTCAACCGGTGGAGATCACGTTGTAGACGGGTACAAAGGGATGGAAGTTGTGGAAGGAAGAAAAGGACCGTGAGATACAACGTGAATTCTCAGAACAATCCCCTTAGTCAGCCCACAAGCACGGTCCCCTGTCCCACATGCCCCAGGCCTTTTCCAGACCTCGCCGCCTTCTTTTCTTTCCCTTTCCTTCATACACTTCATAACACGCACGCATAATCAACCACTGATCCCGACTCAAAGTCGCTTCCTGGACTTGCTGGTCATATTGGCGTACAAGAGCGAAGCGCATTGAGGGCGTCTAAATGGCTCCTTCGCCGAGCCGTGGCGTTGCGAGTCGCCTGCTCTTTCTGCCATACACCTCGTCTGTCACCGCTTTGTGTTCCCTCCTTCGCCTCCGTCGACGCGCGACTGCTAGCGAGCGGGAGATATAGAATATGCTGGAAACCGACTGAGGCGATAGGCGATCCATCTGGAATACATGCTCCTCCAGTGGGATTTCGAAAGGTCATGTCGACGGTAGTGTAAGGCATGTGTATAGAGTCGAGTCCATTTATGTCTTCCTCGGCGACTCAGATGCGCCGATCATTGCAACAGACAGCCCTCGTTCTTCATTCGTGCCCGCAGCTAACAAGGTGTGCCTTATCTTGTCCGTCTGCGGGGTGACGCGATAGGGTCCTCTACTCCGATGTACCGATCTACCTCCGGTAAGCATAAGAGGAGAGCTGCCCCTCTCATGGTCTACGTTATCCCATCCTTTATTGATCAGCCGTCAAGATGCCCATGAAACTAATCTCGGCGACGCCTTCGGCCTACGCGCGCATCAATCGTATCGCTTTCATGGAGAAGGGCATCGACTTCGAGCTCTTCAACGAAGTACCGTGGAACCTGGACACGCAAACCCCCACTTACAATCCGTTGGAGAAATTGCCCATTCTCATCTTCGAGGACGGGACACATATCTACGACAGCGCCCTCATTCAAGAATTCATCATCAAGACGTATGCCGACAAGGGCCCGGCGTTGGTGCCACAGGACCTGAAAGGATACCTGCAGGCAAGGCAGATCCAGACGTTGGCGATCGGCCAGATGGACGCAATGGCATTGGTGTTCTTCGAAGATTCGAGGGAGGTCAAGAGTGCCGAGTGAGGAAAAAGAGCGCGCAAGATACGCGGCAGTAGTAGTGGCTAATGCTTCGCAGATGGAAGGCGCGGCAAGACCGCAAGGTGGACGGGGCGATGAAGGCGTACGACGACTACGTCCAGGCGGCCAAGGGCGGATGGCTGGTTGGTGGGGAGTATTCCATTGCCGACATTGCAGTCGGCTGCGCTGCCGAGTGGGTGGACTTCTTTGGCATCCGGCCGGAGTGGAGGAAGCAGCACACGCACTTGGCGGCGTGGTTGGAGAAGCTGGGCCAGAGGGACACGTTCCAGAAGACGCAGCCAGTGATGTTTGAGATGAAGGAGAGGGTGGTTTGAGCGATTGATAGAGGATGCGACGACGACATGAAGGTCACGAGCATTCACTTCCATTCCCTCCCTGACCAACCCAAGACTATGCCGAGACGATGCAAAGGATTGGGTAATAGCCGCGAATAGGCGGGTGGACAGGCACGCGCATGTGACAGGACTAGGCCTCTAAGTGCAGGTACAAGAGAAGCCAAGCATGCAATTGGTGGGGGCGAGTTTAGGTTGGCCTGCCTTACCAGAAATGGGCAGTTGCGATGGAGTAAAATCAAAGACATTCCGGCTTCTCTACAATCGAACAGTCGCATTAATACCTACCCATCCGCGCAACCTCCCACTCGTTCCGCTCAACTTTGATTCCTCTCCCTACTTGACGTCTATACCTACGACCACTCTGTCCTCCAACCACCGACGCCGGCGACAATGGGATCGATTAGCGAAACTCCACAGCCTCTTCTCCCCCACCTTCACAAGGGCGCGAACGGAGTGAACGGCACGAAGATGGCCAATTCGCACAGCGCATCCCAATACCATGCCTCGTCGTCCAGCGACGCCATGTCCACCGAAGCGCAGTACGCCGCGCACAACTACCACCCCCTCCCCATCGTCTTCTCGCGCGCCCAAGGGTGCAGCGTGTGGGATCCCGAAGGAAAGCACTACCTCGACTTCCTCTCCGCCTACTCCGCCGTCAACCAAGGCCACTGCCACCCCAAGCTCATTCAAGCCCTCACCGAGCAAGCCAGCAGACTCACGCTGAGCTCTCGCGCCTTCTACAATGACGTCTTCCCCAAGTTCGCAGAGAAGATCACAAGGATGACGGGCTTCGACATGATGCTGCCCATGAACACCGGCGCCGAGGCCGTCGAGACCGCGATCAAGGTCGCGCGCAAGTGGGGCTACAAAGTCAAGGGCATTCCCAAGAACAAAGCATACGTCTTCGGCGTGGCGGACAACTTCCACGGCCGCACCTTTGCCGCCATCACATTGTCCAGCGATCCCGAGAGCAGAGATAACTACGGCCCGTACTTGGACCGAGTGGGTTCTGTCAACCCTTCAACCGGCAAGCCGATCCCCTACAACGACATCCCCGCCGTGGAGCAGCTGTTCGAGGAGCACGGCGGCGAGACGGCCGCTTTCATCGTGGAGCCCATCCAGGGTGAAGCGGGCATTTGCGTGCCGGATGACGACTACCTGCCACGCCTGCGAGCGCTTTGCACGAAATACAACGTCCTTCTGATCTGTGACGAAATCCAGACGGGTATCGCGCGGACAGGGCGTCTCCTGTGCTACCAATGGGCCGGTATCCAGCCCGACCTCTTGATCCTCGGCAAGGCAGTGGCGGGTGGCATGTACCCGGTCTCGTGTGTGCTCGGCTCGAAGGAGATTATGCTCGTGGTCGAGCCGGGCTCTCATGGCTCGACGTTCGGCGGCAATCCTCTCGGGAGCGCGGTGGCGCTCAAGGCGCTCGAGATTGTCGAAGAGGAGCAGCTCACCGAGCGTGCAGAACGCCTGGGCGAGATCTTCCGGCAAGGCCTGCGCGATATCCAGAGCAAGAACGCAATCATCTCTCTTGTGAGGGGCAAGGGATTGCTGAATGCGATGGTCATTGACGAGAGCAAGACGGCCGGGCACAGCGCGTGGGATTTGTGTATGCTCATGAAAGAGAAGGGCCTACTCGTGAGTTCACCCCGAGCTGCGGTGATCGCCAAATTGTAGGGCGAGATGCTAACAACCGCTAGGCCAAACCGACTCACCAAAACATCATCCGCCTCGCCCCGCCGCTCGTCATCACCGAGGAGGAGATCAAGAATTCGCTACAAATCATCGAAGATGCATGCCGCGAGCTCCCACACCTCAAGGGCTTGAAGGAGGCCAAGATTCTGCCTCCGGGCGAGAAGAATGTCAGCATAGGTGTGGACAACTAGCACCGTCTGCATCCCCTTGCGTGTTGGTCTATTGAGCTACCGGGCGACCAATTGGATGTTCCTGGCGGCCTACGTAAATTTGATATCCAGTCATTGACTCGCGCCATCGTGTACTGTGTGAAGGCTTGGCACTAGATGTCCAATATACCTGTCATGATAGATGAGATTTGCAAACAACTACATATGTCTTCTAGTCATGCTCACGCAGCCTCTCATTGGCCAATGACCATAAACCTGTGACCAGAGTCTTCGTAGTCGTATCTGATGCACCTACAAGACGGCCGAGACGTCACCCCACGGACTCAATGCCTAATCGAAATCCACCGGTTTGTCCTCGAGCTGGACGCGCGTGGGCGTTTTGGCCCCTGGCGTCTCGCCGCCGCTCTGTCTTTGCAAATTGACGCTCGACTTTGGCTTGTATGCTGCACGGCGGCCAAGACTGTCTTTCTTTTGCACCTCCGCTGTGCTCGAAGGCGCTGCTCCTTTCGTACTGGCAGCCGATGTCGAAGCCGAGTCGACGCTTTGGCTGTAGGCGTGCGCGGGAGTGTATTCGCTAGCCGGGTTTTGCACGGTAGCGGGCATTTTTGGCAAAGTATTGATGCGTCTTGTGGAATCGGTGGCGCTGCGCTCGCGCGTGGGAGTTTCCACGGATGTCGACGCAATCGTTGCTGCTATCGTATTCTCTGGCTCTGCAGGGGGCGGTTGATGGATGTTGCCGTTCGCTCTCGCCGTGTCTGGCTTTGGTGGCGATGCGGTCGACGTCGTCTGCTGCTGTCGTGTCGTGGGCGGACTGCCGGGAACGTTCAGATTCTCCCTGTTCAAGCTGTCTCGGGGGTTGGAGGATGTAGACGAGGAAGTTGGGGAGGTGACAGACGCCGTGGAAATAGGGAACCTGGTCTCTGGTCCTCGACTCCGATCTCTCCGATGCGAGCCCCCATCGGTCAGGGGAACCCTGGATCCGGGCCCGGGGCTTGGCTGCCGACTTCTGTTGCTCCCCGCCGATGCCTGGGCATGCTGTGCGGCTGCAATGGCTCGGTGGCGTTCCTCCATGGCTTCCTTGCGCTTGGACTCATCGGTGCTAACGGCGCGGTTGGGCCGCGTGCCTGAGACGGAATGGGTGAGGCTGGACTGCCGCTTCAACTCGCTAAAGACTGCGTCTTTGTGCGCAAACAGATCGCGAATCAAACGGACGTTGTACTTTTCGGAGATGCTCAGCCCGCTTTCTTGCTTCGGCCGCATGATGCAAGGGGCGAGAGTGTTGGCCAATGCAGAAATGTATGCTTCGTCCGCGCTGCTCAGCTCAATGAGCCGAGTGAAATGTGTGATCAGCGCGTCGAGGGTGGCAATGTTGGCCAGACGCAGCTGGCCGAGGGTAGACTGCAAGACCTGAATGCGTGCCTGATCGGAACTCGATTGCGTCGAAGTGTATGTCGTCTTCACAATTTCGTAGACGTGCGAGCTGACCAGGCTGTCGGGGAGTTCGAGCAAGTACAACTTCAGGAGGGCGGCCACGGTTGCCATATCGTACTCCTCAAGCACTTCCATCGGGATCGCTTTGCCGGTGTTGACGCGATTGCGGAGGTGGTGGGTCTGCTGCAGAGGCACTTCCGCAATCCAAATGTTGCGGCGCGCCGCATCGCCCTCCAGGTCCGGGTAGTGGGAGTCAAGGAAGGTGAGGATGGTTGTGACAATCAACGGCACGCGCTTGCGGTCCGCACGAGCGCGTGCCTCAATGTCGACACCAAAGGTCTGTTCATCGACCTGATTGTAGTAGTTCTCGTACACTACCACGCGAGGAGCGTAAGTCCCGGTGCGGTAGTTTTCCAGCAGATATCGCGAGTCGCCCAGCGGCTGCACGGTCTCTTGGAACAACATCATCTTGTCCACGCCGCTTTGGAGGCTGGGGATGACATTGCCAATCGCGCCCGAGAAATCAAGGACCACGCTTTTGATGGCTTTGAGCCTGTCCAGCTCACAGCGCTCCATATACTTCAGATGGCTGATGATCTCCTCTTCCAAGTTGCATCGCAAAGTGTCCAGCCTTCGCACCGCAGCTTTGTATCGGTCATCAGCCTCCTTCGCTTCGCGCCGAAGTTTTTCGCCCGGCGTTTCGTTGGGGTACTGGTTGTTCAAGGGGTTCCAATTGCTGGACCACATCTCACTGACTCGGTCGCCAATGACGGGGCTCTGCGGGGTCGAAGCCGAGTCGTGAGACGATGCCAGGGTGAAGGTTCGGCCGGGCAGGCGCGAACGCTTTTCGGGAATGCCGGTGATCTGAAACACTTTGGTGCGCCATTGATAGTTCATCTTGCTGCTGTTCGCAAATGTGCTCCCCATGTTGCCGATGAGGCGCAAGAAACCATTGTTGATCAGATCCTGTCCAATCTTTTCGGCATAGGCAACAGTAGAGCCGCCGCCCATGTGCTTCTGGATGTATTCCACAATCTCCGCACCAGTCGTTACATTTTCATATGTGCCCAATATAGGTACTTTGGCTTCGCCCAGCCTGACGTGTTCCAGCGCGTGCGTGAGCAGCCTTTTCACCTGTTCGGGCATGTAGGTTTGGTCGCCGAGTTCCACGGGCTCGGGCTCTTCATCGTCGTCTTCATCGACCTTGATGCTGGGCACGCTTTGGGGCGGAGGGGCGGCCTTGGGCGAGCCGGTCGTAGCCGCTGCACTCGGATCTTGAAAGGCAAGCTTGTCTTCTTCCTCCAAGTCCTCCACCCTCCTACACTTGTTGAAGTATGCGCTGCGGTATTGCTTGACAGTCTCCGCTTGGCGGTCGTGCGTGCGAATACGAGACTGGAGGTCGTCCTGGCTATTCTGCACCCGCGCAGCATGCTGGTCGCACCAGCGGCTGAAGGGATTGACGACCAGTTCGCGAATGTTCGAGGCAATCTTGCGGTGGTTACGGGCAGCCTCGCTCATCTCCGTGCGCACGCCCTCGTAGGCCTTTGGGAGTCAGCGAGATCTCTCACGAACGTTGTATTTGCCATTGTGCGCACCTTTTTGACCGTAGCGCCATCGTCTCTCTGGAACCCACCATCAATTCGATTCGTAGCCCCTTCGATATCGCCAAGGCGTTGTCCATACAAGTCCTCCGCCTCCGCACGCATGCGTGCTATCGTGAGTAGTTGTTCATTCTCTTGCACGCCTTGCTGGAGCTTGCCAAACAATACGCCCAGGCCTATAATGATCAATGGAAGGGTGCGGATGGAGGGGGGGAATTCTCTTACCAGCTGCGTAATCGGGTGTCCAGAAGGAGCTTGCGAAAGAGGACATGTCGAATGTCAGGCGTTCTGCTCTCACGGCGATGTGGAGTGTTTCATGGGCTCAGAAGGAGGGAATGAAGGTCGGAGGAGGAGACTGGGCTCATAGGGGATGACGTTGAGGGCGGGTGACGTGTTTCCCAGCGGCAAGTCGAGGTCGCAGAGTGGATGTCGGATCGGCCCAGTGGTTTATCGTGCGCTGGACATTGAATGGGACGCCGTTGAATGATGAGAGTGGACAAGAAAGAAGTGTAACGCGGCTGGCGTGGTTGCAACTGGGCATCATCCCGTGGCCTTTCAACACCGGCGTCGTATTCGCGTCACGACTTTTGTCCCGTCAAAAGTCACGACTGCCCCGTCAGCCGTCCCAATCGGGAAGCGACAGCGATGGGCGTGCCTTCCTCGTGCCTGCCTCTTGATGGGCACGACTTCACTTATCACACACATATATGTACGAGAAGTTTCCGACTCGACAGCGTAGAAGCCGAGCGACCATGGCTCCCGCAACCCGTACCAAGACCTCCAACTTGCAAGGCTCTCACCACGAATCTTCCAGCCTGGCGGGATCCCAAGAGGCGGACGAGCATCGCATCTCGCATGTCTGGAAACAGCACACTCAGCGTGTATGTCATTGCATTACGACGTCAACGACCAGACAGGCAGGTAAAGTTTCAAGCTCATGGTACGCTACAGGTCAAGAAACGTCGAGAGCAGCGAGAACGAAACATCACGCAAGCACATCGAGAGCGTACGCAGCGATTGCGCAACAACGTCCAGCTACGCCTGAAGCAACATCAAGAGCGGATGTGAGTTCCAAATCCCCTTTCTGTCGACGTTGAAGTGTTCAAGCCAAATGGAATTGCCGGGCGAGCCAAAGCCTTGTTGACGCAGCTGCAGCCGAGCAATCCGCCGAAAGAGCGTCCAGCGCCTGATCGATCTGTCACAGAAAAGGCGGGAATTGCAGGCCAGCCTGGCACAAAGTGAGACTGAGCTTCACACGGCTTTCCAGTCGACGGCCAGACAACTCGAACTTGCGCTCAGCGGGAGAGTCGAGGCGCTCGGTCAGAGTGGCGCGCAGTGAATCGCATCTTGCGCGCATGTTCGGGACAATGACGGGCGCGAGCAGGAGGGCATCAAATCGACGAACCTCGCGCTTCACGCTCTGTGTACTGTATTGCTAAGTACAGGCGTGGCCGCCTTTTGAACCATTAAAACATTACTATCCGGCTGCGTGACAATAGATCGGGACACCACCCGGTTCCCCTGAAAAATCGGGGCACAACCCGTCTCCCCTACAGTCGGCACTTCTGTTTCCGACAATGCCAGTAGAAAAGTTTGATGAGGCTCCAAGCGCGGCCCAGCGGCCATCATCCTCCGGAAACCGCTCCGGGCATCGTGCGATCCTCCACGGAGCCCTCTCCGGATTTCATTTTCCAAATCTCATCCACGGAGACTGCTCCGACACGCTTCGCCCAGTCGGCTAGCGGGCATCGTGTCATCAACCCGCCAACGATTGCTGATCCCGAACATGCGCAAGTGCAGTCGGCGAGGTTCCGAGGAGACACAGGAATGCTGGCTCTTACGAGGGTCATGGACACAGCCACGGTTGGCTTTTGTCGAGTGACCCGCTCTTGCATCTTTCCGGGCTTGCTGGGGCCGGCAGTTTCCCACCTGCTCGTTTCGTCCGTGCCAAGAGCTCGTTGCCATTGGGGGATGGCGATGCCGCAGAAGCTGACGTCCAGGAATGCCAGATCTGGTTGGAGCGAGCGAGCGTCTTCAGCCACTCGCAGGCCCGCGAGATTGAGGCTGACAGTTTCGACCGGGCCAGACCGGGCGCCTCTTTCCGCAACGCTGATCAGTGCCTGAAACGACGCTGCTCTGGCCCCAGGCTGGCCCCGGCTAGGGATGTCGGGCTTCGTCATAGACTTCTCCCCTTGAACCCTTCCAACCCGCCGCAGCCGCAGCCATGACGACGACCCGCTGCTCGCGTGGTTATGAGCTGTGGACGTTGGACGGGACGCGCGCTACACTCTGCCTTGGTACTGCAAGCGCCAGCAGAACCCTACCGCCGATGCCTGTGTGGGCATGGCGGGCGATCTTCTTCCTTGAACGGCATCGGAGACGCCGGGCCTGCCGTCTTCTTCGGCGGCATTGCGGGCGATATATGTCCTTGCGCTTCCATGCCTCCCGGTCTGGCATGTCTGGCGAGGGCTCGTCGGCACGTTACGCAATGAACAGCACGGTCTCGGTTTGATGACAACGAGCATAGCCGAAAAGGTCAAGCCTCAACCGCGCCCGGCGCCCTGCCACTGGGAACTCTCCGGGCGGCGACAGCAACCCACCCGGCTACCCCCAAATGGCGTTGTCGATTGGCTCCGCGTCAACGTTGCTTCGAGACGCCCGCGCCCGCGCCCGCTCTAGTGTGGTGGCGAATCAGCTTATTATTATACCAGGCATTACCGGTACTGCCTCCCTCCACCGCATCCCGTTCCGATGCCCGCAGCGAATGAGCATCTCTGCAGGACCCCTCGGTTGCCGCGTGTACTGATTTCCTGCGGTAATGCGTGCGTGAATTTGATGCAAGTGTTGCAAAAGGACGATGGTGGAAACTCGACCTTCCCTGCAAACCGCTAGACCTGCGAACCTCGCTTGCAGGCGCGAGGCTTGGGCTCTGCCAAATTTCGTGTGGCACCTGCCGACCCCTCCGCGGGTGTAAAGGGCAAGGATGTTTGAGTCGTCGCCCGGCCGCTAGTCCGTCCAGCTCTAGATCGTCGAGAGATCTTGCCTATTAAGTTCCCAGAGCGTGGCCGCCCTGGCCTACTCATAGCTTACTAGGTAGCCGGCATGCGAGGCGTCACGTATCTAGCCAGGGTTTGTGTTCACCTGGAACGGCATCGTCTTCTCTTCTCTTCCTCCTCTCCCTACCTCTGCCATCGTTTGCCTCCCGTCATCTCCCTGCCTGGCCATGGGCGATTTCGAACCCTCTGCCCACCAACCCTCAGAAGAGGGTGATCCGTCTGCACCATTCAAATCGTTTTCGGTGGGCGAATCGAGCGGGTAAGGACCGTGACTGATCATCGAATGCAGCACACGCCATTGCTGACAATTTAGATCTGCGTTCCACTCGCAACTCGAGTATGTCGCGCAACAACAACAGTACCACCCTGTGCAACAGACTCCTGCTCCGCATGGGCAGCAGGCGTTCGATATGGGCACACTGGCCGCTGGCTTGCCACAGTTCGGCCTACCGCAATTGACCACGCGACCGCACCATGGGGTCCATGAACCGCCTGGTGTGCTTTCTCCGGCCTCTGTCTACCAAATGCAGCAGGCGTCGCAATATGCAGCGGGGCGCAATCCGCAATACGATTCAATGGATGCATCCAGAGCGCCGCCACCATATCTAGGTTCTTCGTACGTACCCTTTCCACAGCAGCCGAACATGCCTCCGCGGGCACCGATGTCCTACCAGAACCAAGGACAGTACCCTCAGATGGACCCCTACGGATACAACTACAACCCCGCCGTCTCGCCAATCGACCCTCGGTTCCCTGCACATGGTCCCTATGGCATGATGCCGAGCTTTCACACCGACCCCTCGAATTTTGCACGTCGACCGTCGGAACCAGCGCCCGTTCCGTCATTTCCTCGAGGCCCGCCTCGTAAACCGAAACAGTCCGGGCACGCGCTCTGGGTGGGCAATCTGCCGCCAGCGGCAACGGTGATGGATCTGAAGGATCACTTCTCGCGCGACGCGACCGAAGACATTGAAAGCCTGTTTTTGATATCAAAGAGCAATTGCGCATTTGTCAACTATAAGACCGAGGCTGCCTGCATTGCTGCCATGAACCGATTCCACGACTCGCGATTTCATGGAGTGCGTTTGGTGTGCAGACTGCGAAGAGGGTCGACGATTGGTTCGAGTTCCTTGGCGCCTCCCGTGCCAGACGCGCCGGACACACCGTCGTCGGGTGAGAGTATCAAGGAGCCACCGAGTCCCGCCGAGACAAAGGAGCCTTCAAGTCCCACGATCGTGGCAAGTGGACCCCCGGCCACAGGTGGAACGCGCGATGCTACAGCTGTCGCTTCCGGCGAGGCTGCGTCAATTGCGGAGAAGTACTTCATCGTTAAGAGCCTGACTGTGCAAGATTTGGAAGCGAGTGTGAGGAACGGAATCTGGGCGACGCAGTCGCACAACGAAGTCGTGCTCAATCGCGCGTTCGATGAAGCTGAGAATGTGTATCTCATCTTCTCCGCCAACAAGAGCGGAGAGTACTTTGGGTGAGCCCGCGCAGAGCGATCAAATGGACGCGTTTTTGCTGACTGCTCTGGCATAGATATGCGCGCATGGCCTCACCGATATCTGGCAACCCCGTTAATCTGAGCCAAACCACGGTTCAGGAAGACGTTCACTCGACCGGTGCACCTCAATCAATCCCGACTCCTGCAACGGCGACGGCGCCAAAAGGACGCATCATCGACGACTCTGCGCGAGGCACGATCTTCTGGGAAGCGGAGCATTCAGACAACGAAGATGGAGAGTCGCCGGCAAAGCACTCGACGGACGGCGAAACGGGGCAGACGTGGGGACGGCAATTCGAGATCAAATGGCTCTCTACATCGCGTCTGCCTTTCTACCGCACGCGCGGGCTCCGCAACCCCTGGAACGCGAATCGCGAAGTAAAAATCGCCAGAGATGGCACCGAACTCGAGCCCAGCGTGGGGCGACGCCTGGTGCAGATGTTCCACCGCTCATCTCCCAGCGCAGCCATTCCCGCTCCGTCTGGAATGCCCTTGCACTGAAACGTGATTACTTCCTCCACGGTCGTTCGTTCTTCAGCAGTGTTTGGCTCCGATCATGAGGAATCTTATTTTCTGCGATTTGCGTTGTTTGCATAGCGGGAGAAGCAAACGGGCTGGGCCATGCATTGTTGCCGATGTGGAAAGGTTGCATCGTCTGGCACGTTGACTAGACATACGGACACGATAACGGCCGACAGCATGGGGCGGAGGGGTCCCTGCAGGTGCATTCTATCGGCACGGCAGGCAAAATCAAAATGGAGAATATTGCGCTGGTGAGGAGGTGCTGAAACCCACAATCCTTGCCTTCATTACCTTCACCACCTCCATCACACTCAAAAGTTGGAGATTAGTGGAGCGGTAACGCTAACGCCAATCTGACGTCTGACCATTAGCTGTCTGCAAAGACGTCGGGCGTCTAGACCCTCGACCCACCAACACCCCGACACTCGATCTCACCAGGGTATCCCCGTCGCCAGAATGCGGCCGTGCTGACCGAGGCGTGAAAGTGGGAACGCTAAGCAAAAGCTGGTCAAGACGCCGCCACTGCCGCGCCACATGCCGCTTTGTCGGCGCAGGCAAGCAATATTGAGGGGGCTTGGGGTTGAAATCGAAGGGTGCGAGCTCTCCCTTCCACCGAACCATCTTCATCAAACAATTGCCGTGTGCGTGAACCTAGCCTGCTAAACTACCCACATCCTTCCCTGGTGGGCCTGGAGGGCCAATGAAACATTCCAAATACTTCCGACCTCATGGCTGAACGGTTTAGCGGATGCGGCCTCTCCAACAAATGATTCTTTAGTAGGGAATCCCGTTGGTCAGTAATTGGTAGTAGTCGTACACGCCGGTGGAGTAGCTTCGTTCGCTCACGTGCACCAAATGCCGCACGAACTCTGCAGCTTCTCGATCCGACTTCTCCAGGACGAAGCGTTCGCGGAAATGCTTCATGGTCTGCGGCTTGAAGCAGGGCAGGCCGGAGTCCAGCATGGTGGAGACGATGTGCGACAGTTGCTCCACGTACTGCCTTGAGGCCAAGAATGCTTTCACGCACAACTCCTCAAAGGTGCGGAAGGGCTGGGACTTTGTCGATCCTCCCATCACCGCCAGCATCTCCGGCGTCAGTTTGAACGGAGCTCGCTCGAATTTCACGCCTCCAGGCACCACGTCGAAGCAAAATCCAAAGTCGATGTGCAGGATGTGCCCGGCATCGTCCACCATGATGTTGCCATTGTGACGGTCTTTGAATTGCAACAAAAAGGAGATGATTGAGTAGGCCGCCATGCTCTTGATGAAATTGCTGCGAGCCTCTTGGAACCGGATCGAGTCTTCGTGGCCGTACTTGGAGATGAAGTACTCGTACAGCCCATTCACCGCTTCGCGTCCAAGCATGTCTCGGGAGATTGAATTCGGAAGCACGTCAATCACACCACAGCCCGGAGCCGTAGCCGTGACTCGGTATGGGAACACATAAACATCCAGGCCAACGGTGTTGAAGATCCCTCGGAAGGCTGCGATCATCTGCAGCGCCAGAACGTCTTGCCGACAATCGTCGCCGACTTTGAAAATCGCCGACTGCCATATCTCCACCGCTCTGCGCTTGTGTGCGTCTCCATTTGTCAAGGCTTGCTCGTTGTCCTCTTGCTGCTCCACGTCTTCCTTGCGGATCCTGAAGGTGGCCATGAAAGGGGCCTTGGCGTGACTTTGCAACGGCTTTCCGGATTTCCGATCGATTCCAATCACCACTCCATCTGGATTGCTGGGCAAGTACACGCCCACCTCCACTTGGATCTTTCGCAGCTCTTCCTCGATCTTCGCCTTCTTTTCCGACTTCGGCTTCTTGATCAGTGGCTTCAACGTGCCCGATATGTCGGTGACTTTGCCGAAAAAGTCAAACTCGCGTTCGTAAAAGCCACGATCCTCTGTGGTGAAGCTGGAGATCAACGCATCCGTCACCCGGTCCAACGACGGTTTCACGGGGTCTGGCTCTTGAGACTCCTCATCCTTGTAGGCATTTGCTTTCATGTTCCAAATGATCTGATGCGCAAAGAGTTGCGAAAATGTGGCTGCCTCGATAATGTACCGTTCGACATAGCCCAGGGCGTCGTAGCGCAGTGTTTGCACAACTTGCGGCACGTAAAAGAAGGTGACATCGACTGAATGGCTGTCCAGTGCCCTCATGGCGTATTGGATGATGAATGGGTGGTTGCCATATGCCGGTAGAAAGTAGGTGACAGCCGCCATGGGATTGATCGGTGCCCAGTACAGCAAATACTTCAGCTGAACCCTCACGTCATCTGGCAGCAGCGAGCCGAGTAGAACGTAGAGTGCATCAGGCTCGTCAATGACTTGGTCTGGCCGGCGCAAGATGTACGCACGAACCTCGTTCATCAGACTCTCCGACTGTGAGAACCTCGCGGCCAGTTGGACAGCGATGCGGGGATCCTCTTTCCATGCTGTGCCTACCAATGGCAAAATCGCCGAGTCTTTGACGGTTGCACCGAGATTGTTTAGGGGAACTGTTCCTCTGGAATCACTGCCAAGTGGACTGATCCAGACAGTGAGGCGGTTGACTTCGTGCATTAAGAGGTGTTGCAACAGCTCTTGCTTCGAACGAAGCGACTGGAGTGAGCGGGTAGCTTGAGTGCCAATGGGGCCGGTCTCCTTCAGCATGCCGTACACATCGTTGAGTAATTTTATTTCGGCCTTGACTTGCAGTCTATTGCTGCCAAACGACCATCTTGGCGGTGCGGCGAACCAGCCAAGGCCAGCAGAAAGAATGGAATCTTTCAAGCGCCAGCGGGTGGCTGGGCGGATGTGGGTGCTGTAGCACAATACACTGAGTGCCAAAAGAATGATACTGAAGTGCACCTCTCTTGCCAGCGGATGTGGTGAAGTGCGCTTCATCGCACGCATGGTGATGTACATGAGTCGTATGTACACATGCTCGATGGATGGTGCGATGAGTCTGGACGCGTTGAAGTGGCTCGAAAGCAAGTGGGTCAAGCGGAGGTGAGGAGTGATCAGGTTTTGCACCATTTGCTGGCGTCGGCTGATGGTACTCCACGCCGACGGCGCGAACTCTTCCTTCAGGTAGAAGGGATCCGGATGGTGCAGAGTAGGGTGGAAGAGGCCCTTCTTTCGTCGTATGGAGGCCTCCCACCCGGCAGCAATCTCAACCAAAATGCGTGACTCCAACGCCGGATTCTCCTTGACAATGCCCAGCCACAGTGATATGCCCAAGTTGATGGATTGCTTGGTGAACAGGGCGAAAGGAATTCCAACCAAGTCAGATACCAACGCTGTGCGATCGCATGCATTCTCACTGAGTACGCCAGCTGCGTTGCGAAGCGTGTCGCGTACTTCTGCAAACGGAACGTGCTCACGCTTCTGAAGCTTTTGCGCCGTCGATCGAAGTCTCCGAGCTTCCACAAGTTCCGACGTGGACGGCTCCGGGTGGAGAGGGTGGACGGAGCCCGGATGTTCCACAATCAGCCAGTCATCGTCAGCTTTGGTACTGGTCTCAACGCTTCGGTATTCCAGTCGCGTCGTGTATTGCGCAATGAAATCGGAAGCCGTGTTTACGTTCAAGTCTCGCTGTCTATCCAGACTGGTGAGCCTCTGGTCGGTGCTGGGGATCGTGGAGCCCATTTCCACTGCAAATGAGCGGCCGAGCGCAATGTGTCCATAAGATCCATCATCTTCGTAGTCTTCAAGATATGCTTGCAACAGACCTTTGACGTCAAGCGGGGCCAGATTGATGGCCTTGGAGACCCATAGGCGGCATCGCTGGTGGAAGTTGGTAAGCGTCGTTTGACGATAGTGAACATCGTCTGAGATGCGAATTGTTACGTTGCCTCTCACAGACGTGTAGATGGCCTTCCAGTCATACTCGTCTGTCTCGGCGTCAAGACAGCTCTTCCACATGAGCGTCAGAAGTTCAAGCAGAGCGAACAAAGACGCCTTCTGGCACAGCGCTGACGGGATTTGGTTGATGATGCGGTCGGCCGCAGAAACTGCTGCGATCTGAACTTTGGATATCCTGTGACAAGCACCTTCGAAGAACGAAGCCAGCTGCAAGGCAACTTGAGAAGCCCCGAACTCGTGCCGCTTCCCGGTAAGCGCGGGGCTCAGGAATGTGTCCACGCTTCGCTGGGATATGGCCAGCATGACGGAGCCCATCTCGGTCTTCTTGACCTTGTTTTCCAGGAAGTAGGAGAGCACGGCAGTGCAATCGCCCGAGCGTGCCCGAAACGTGGACACGAGGAGCGCTGCATTGAGGAAAACACAGTCCTGGTATTCGAGATCTTTGATGTGATGTTCACATTGTGGGAGGGCTGCGGTCAGCGCCGCCTTTAGCTCCGTCGATCCTTGAGTACTCGCTCCACGCCGTAGGACTGGGTTCAGATCGATGCCGCTTTCCGGCATGTCGACACGATCTTCGTCGACAAGGGGCAAGCTGTACGAGGCGAGGAGTTGCAGTTCCTCCGTATGCTCTCTGGTGGTAGGTGAGTTCCAGGTAAAGCCATGGACCACTAAATTGAACCATGCGTCACGGCTCAGCTGAAGCACTCCATTTTCGTCTTCAAAGAGCGGGAGATGATCAGTATCGTGTGAAGCCAGTACAGCGGTAGGCCGAATGAGACGCGCGATTGTCTCCGTGGCTTGGGCGACGTCTACCTTTCGCTCGCCAGCTGTATCCCCACTGCTGACCCCAAGGTCGAGCAGGTGCATCAGATAGGGCTCGTAAAGCGGCGAGTCTTTTTTGATCCACATGGCGAGCCGCACACGTGCATCGGTGACCGCATTGATGATCACGGAACTGTTTCTCACAATTGACTCGCCGGCAATCCTGGCATACAGCCGCACAAGTGCTTTGAGTTGGTCAACGCCACCGCAGAGACCGAGTGCCGCGGACTCGATGATGACTCGTGCATTTACCGTTTGACTGATCCGGCCAAGCTTCTGCACAAGAATAGACAGAGCCAGCGCTGTGATTTTTTCGTCGTTGCAGGCTGTTGCGATCGAGACGATGGCTGCGATAATCGATCCGTACACGACGTTGGACTCCTCCTCATCACTGACGACCAGCGAGAGCTGGCTCCCAAGAAGCTGCTGTGATGGATAAGATTCCGAGGACCCGTTCGTACCATCAGCCACCCCATCGAAAAACGGCGATGCACCGGGCGGTTGCTCGTTGCCAGCACTGAGTAGATTGCCCAGACTGTACAACGTGCTGATGACCAAATCTTGAGAAAGGCGTTTCAAAATTGTAGCTAGGCATTGCCCAGCGAACCTGGCCGTCTCTGAGGGCATTTTGCCATGTACCAGAAGCCTTGGGACGGAACGACTCATGTTCGACGCTGTTGTTGTCGAAGTTCTGGCGAGCACTACCATGGACTGCAGTACTGTCTTCGCAAGCTCCTCGTTGGCCATTTGAACGTAGTCGGCCGTGATGCCATCAAACCACGAAAGAAGCAAATCGTCATCAGCAATCCCCTCGTTGATGAGAGAGCAATATAAGAAGCTCCGCAGACTGCTCGCTTTGACCTGCAGCGCGAGGCGTTGCTGCCAGGCGGAGCTGACTTGTAGGTAGTCGGCATCTGCCTCGAGAAGATCCAGCTCTTCGATGACCACCTCGGTGAGCTCTACCATCATATCATCGTCGGCATCTAGATTTCGACGATCCACCAGCGGCGAGCGATGTACCAGGGTATCCCACAGGCCAGAGCTGGTCAAGTCACTTTCCGGGGCGAGAAGCCGGGACACACTTTCTTCGACGACTTTCATGAAAGCTTGCTGTAATAACATCGCGCCAAGAGGGGTTCCCTTGGTCGCATATCGCCGAATCCAGCGTCTCCATTCTTTGGCGGGATGTGAGTTGCTCCGTGAGTTGCGCACCGCGGACAAGGCGCCTTCCATAGACACCATAAACTTTTCCGAGAGCAGGTATCGCAGCTTTTGGATCATAAACATACGTTGCTGGGGGGTCCATATGCGGACATGATTCGCAGTGGCCCTCAAGAAGCCAAGCAGGGAGACCGTGAGCTGGATTGCAGGTAGAATTCGCTCGACCGCGTGCGCTTGGCCGACCGTGTCATGCTTCGGTACCGGGGTCATCCAAGCAGTGCTCTCCGCGCTATTGGTAAGTTGCTCGACGGTCTCCGTGATAGTAGCAAGAGCCTTCTGTCGGAGCGAGGGGTGATTCAAACCGATCGCGAGGATTGCGGAGGTGAGGTCGAATGACAAAGACTCCCATGGCGGCAAGTGCTGGTACAGAGGCGAGTATCTCAAATGTTGTCGATGAGCTTCGGGTAGGTAAGGGCATAGTTGATCCAGTAGATTCGCAGCATCTTCCATCGTGCGAAGCAGCGGCGCCGCTTTACAGAGCGCGGCAAGAACTTCGAGTTCGCGGAGGCTCATGGGCACATTGGAAGTGTGTATCTTTGGGCTAGAGTCGATGGATCCATTGCGTGCATCTGGCGGTGTTCTGTAGTTCAAGCTGCACAAGCGCGCGATGTCGTGCCCGCCTTCCGGGCCGTGGCTCGTCTGCGCGGACAGACAGGCCAGTCTGTCAAGAGCATCGCGCCGGATGCCGCCGTGCGCGGTTGATCTGGTACTGAGCATAGCTGATGTGGCGCGATCAAAGTCTCATCATCACAACGGAGCTGGTCTGTTGTTTCTGCTGTTCCGGCCACGCGCGCAATGGTTGAGGGAGCGTGGAAGTTGAGCAACGTGTGCGGAAGGCGCACGCGCAGGAGATGACGTGCCTGGTTGGGGGAAGTTTGCCGGGAGCGCCACAACTCTAATTATTAAGCTCGGTGGCTTGACGGCCGGCCTCACTGTGCTGAGCCACATCGGAATTGGAGACTCTTCGCAAAATTTCTGGAGATTCGAAAGATTGTCTTCTGTCAACTCATCAAGCACCATGGGGCTCGCGGCGCCGAAGAGGTAGAGTGCTGGTCACGCAGGTGTGATGGAATTCCCTGCTAATCCAAGAACAGGCGAAACAAACTCGCCCACGACCCCAACAACACCGCCTGGGCCAAAGCAGACACCAACTTTGGACAGAAGATCTTGTCTGCACAAGGCTGGAAACCGGGCGAATACTTGGGCGCACGAGATGCAAGTCATGCAGAGCACTACACCGCCGCCAATGCATCCCACATCAGAATCCAGCTTCGAGAGGACAATCTGGGCCTCGGTGCAAAGATTGGAAAGGGCAGCGCTGATACGTTTGGCCTGAGCTTATACTCGGGGCTGTTGAGCAGGTTGAACGGAAAGAGCGAGGGCGAGGTCGCGCAACAGCAGCGGGCGTTGCAAGATGCTGAGCTCAGGAACTATCAAGCCCAGAAATATGGCATGATGAACTTTGTCCGGGGTGGGCTACTCGTGGGGGATGAGATGAAACCTGTGGGCTTGGAAGACACCAAGACGAGTCGAAAGAGATCGCAAGAGGGGGACGCCGATGGTTCTGCACGTACCTCAAAGAAGGCCAAGAAGACCGAGGGTGCATTGAATGTGGACAAACCAAAAGAGGATAGCCTTGCAAAGATTGCCAACTCAGGCGACGTGGCAACTGAGAAGACCAGGTCAGATTCCACGACGAAGGTGGGCTCCAAGAGCAAGAAGCGCCGCACCAAAGAACACACCGAGGCCAGGGATACCATCGATTCGGATCAGCTCGTCAGATCGGAGAAGCGTGAAAGACGAGAGAAAGAAGACAAACGAGCACGGAAAGAAGAGCGCCGAAAAAGGAAAGAGGAGAGACGACGGTCCAAGTCCAAGTCTCCAACAACAGCTATCGACGCTACGGCATTGCAAAGCGATGGTCTTTCGACAACATCCGTGCCAGCTACGAACATCAACCGACTCGCCGTACGGCATCGATACATTCATCAGAAGCGTCTCGCCTCTCTCGATCCCCAGGCCATGAGAGGCATTTTTATGATTTCTAGCTAGACAATGCCTTTAAGAATGCGAGAAATTTCTCCTGGCACTGCTCGGCTTGATCAATGTAAATCTCGTGCCCGAAACCCTTGATCACCTCCATCCGGCACCCAGGGACCGCTTCTTTCAGCTGCTTTTGCTCGTCAAGGTCGACCAGCTTGCTTCCTGCGGGGGTAAGCATGAGCATCGGCACTTTGATGTCGTGCATAATCCGTCTGGCGTCAAAGGCCGGGTCGCAAAGCAGTTCCGCGTGATCCCCGAGTCCATCGCCATTGGCTACGGCGATCTGGTTCAGCCACCATCCCAGGAATTCCTTGTCGGGCATTTGATCGGCGCCGACGACGCCAATCAATGCCTCACCCCAACCGCGAGAGCCAAGTTGTCGACACGCTACCGGCCAGCTCTGGTGGCCAAAGGCAAGCATGTCCTGTGCCGCGGAGGGCATATACAGCGGCGAAGAGCAGATGGTCAACGAGTGCAAGCGTTCCGGATTGCGAGCGGCGAGAAACTCTCCCCAGATGCCTCCCGTCGATTCGCCCAGATAGTGGACTTTCTTCAGTCCCAACTGATCAAGAGTGTCCACGATTTCGTCGAGGATGGTGTCGATCTTGTATTGATAATCCTGCCCGGGTACGCTCGAATACCCGTGCCCCCTCGCATCTCGTCTGATGACACGGAATTGCTTCGCCAGGACGGGCACCCATGTATACCAGAATGCTGAATGTCGCGCGAACCCATGCTGGATGAGGATTGTTTCGTGGGGTTCCCAGGGGTTCGCGAAGTCCTCGTCGATATAGTACGTCTTTTGCCCGTTTTTGTGGGTGATGTAAGGCATGATTATGAGCGAATGAGGATGTTATGTGGAATGGCGGAATCAGGATGCATTCTACCGATGAACACATCCGTGTGATGCCTGACGCTCGAGGTGCTTTCCGCATTTGGCAGGTGGAGACGCCCGAGGTTGATGGCACAGTTGCAGATGCAGTGGGGTTGGCATGACTACACGGTGATCAGGATGATAGCGTCAACGTAGACAGCAAGAACTGCGAAACAATGCTCTTCGTTGCTCGTCAAAGGCTAAACATGAAACAAAAGCTACATCGATCCAAGTACGTGTTCTTTGCCGCATCTCTCCAATCTCTCTTCGCTTGTCCACACTGCCAACATCTAACTCCACAAGATGTTCAACCTGTGCAGACCCTTCCTCGGCTTTGGCGGCGGCTCCTGTGGGCCGTTTTCGTAGATTTCGACATATCTCGCGACCGGAGACTCGTCCAGAGGCACCAACTTGGATTTCTTGACGAATTTGAAGCCGAAGTAGAGGAGGAAGATGATGGGGATGTTGATGTACGACGAGACGAAGGTCTCCGTGTCCCACTGTTATCCCTTAGCTTTGGTCGGCGCTTGTTCGTCGAACTCCTAGACTTACATTGTTGTTGAGGAACGTGCTCCAGCCGCTGGTGAGGAGGAGAATGATGCACCAGACCACTCCCATCCACGCGAGGTACGGCTGAAACGGTGCTTTCCACGGCAAACGATCTCGGCTGATGCCTTGCTTCTTCAATGCGTAGTAAAACCGCAGGTAGACCAGACAGATCTAGGACCTCAGCGTCAGCAAATGCGGCTCTGCACCTACGCAAGCGGAGGTCGGGCGAGGCCTGCGAATCGGCTCAGGGTCATACGTACAATAGTCCAATAGACCAGTGCTGCCACGGCAGTGAGGCTCTGCAACCAGCCAAACACCGTCGCAGCCGTATGCGACAACGTCATATAGCCAAGCGCGATGAAAAGGGACATGAAGATGACAGCGACGTAAGGAATGCCGAAACGGCTGACTCGAGCAAAGATTTGAGGGGCTCTATGCTCGCGTGCGAGGCCACTGGGGAGGATAAGATGGTTAGCACAGGCGATGAAGAGGCAGTGTTCGGGTGATACGTACAAGAGATTTCGACTGGCCGCGAGCAGACCGCTGTTTCCCGCTGACCAGGCCGAAGTTAACACGACGGCATTAATGATATTGGGAACGACATGCACGCCCGCTCGCTGAGCAGCGATGACGAAAGGAGATTGTGTGGCGTTCCCTGTCGATTTCAACAAGTGAGGATCGTTGCTAGGGACGAGCATTCCCACGAAGAAGATGGAAAGAACATAGAACAAGAGGACGCGCACGAAGATGCGTTTGGCCGCCATTGGAATGTTTCTCCGGGGGTTCTTCGTTTCCGCGGCGGCGATACTGATATTCTCCACTCCATTATACGCATATACCGCATTGTTCAGGGTGGTATAGAAGCCAAGAAAGCGACCCAGGCTGCCTTGGATCCCGAGATACTGCACCAGCGGGCCAGGATTCCTCCAGTAGGTGAATCCGAGGGCATGGTGATCAGGCCCTCCACCGGACACGAGCACTAGGGCCATCAAGTTGACCCCGACAATGAGGAGGATCTTGAGGATGGCGAAGAAGAACTCCAGCTCTCCGTAGACGCGGACAAGGAAGATGTTGCTCGCAAGGACCAACAGACCGTAGACGGTGATGAAGACGGCGTTGCTGACCGAGGTGCCGGACCAGTAGTTTGTAATTACCGCAGCAGCGACAATCTCTGCCGGCACGCCCACGATTGCGCCGTAGACCTGGTTCCAGCCGACGGCAAAGCTCATGGCGGAACTGAAGAAGTATTCGGCGTGGCGAATGACACCGCCGCTCAAGGGGACGAGGGCGCTCATTTCGGCGATGGAGAGGACGGGTGCCAGCACCAGGACACCAATGAGTGAGTACCCGAGCAGAGCTCCCAGAGGACCACCGGCGAGGATGGCATGCCCACTACCGAGGAAGAGGCCGGTTCCGATCGTGCCTAGATGTTGTAGAACGGTCAAGATTGTGGAGTCTGGGTTGGAGAGGATGGCAAAACCTACCCGCCAAAGCTATCATCTGAATGTGTCGCTGATGCAAGCCAGGCCTGGAGGCAGGCGTCAGTTGCCGCCCAGGATGTCCCAAGAGCTAGGCACGTACCTCATCTCCGAGACCTCCTCAAACTCCTCGACCGGGCCATCGGACGCGGACGTCTGTTCGACATCGACAACGGGTTTGGAGTCGCCATACTGGGCAGCTTTGTCCGCTGTAAACTCGTAGGACGACATTGTGACAGCCGCCTTCCGACACAGTCAATATGGAGAGGATGGGGGGAGGCAATGGGGTATAAATGCAACGAGACGGCACGAGGTAACGTCGGGGGGACCGAGGGCCAGGCCCAGGAGATACGAGATGCGCAGGCGCAAGACATCTCTCCGCTCTTCCCGCATTGGAGTGAGAGACGAGAGAGGGGGGCGAGAGAGCTTGATAGCGCAGCACGCATGCCGCCGTGCAGATGGTGCAAGATTGGGTGTGCTGCCGTCCAATTAGCCGACAGCCTTGCCATGTGGCTAATCTTGCGTGATAGCGGGCGGGCATCACGCTTCCACCCCTCCGATACGGCACGGCGGCAAAGAGTCCGCTTTTCACGTGCGACTCCCATACACTTGCTGTCGCGACAACTGCAGGTCATGGTGTCTATGCTCTGCCCCATGCATTAGTGGCAGTCTGGTGGTCAGGCCGTGGCCGCCACGTTGTGCCCTCGGGCCATTCGGATGAAGCGCCGACGAACAAGGCTTGCGAAGTCTCCGCGGCCTCGAAGTCGCGCGACGATGGTGCAATGGGCATGTCGGCGGTCTAGACGTCGAGCCTGCAGCAGGGTCGCATGCTCGCTATCGTGAACCGTGACCTCGCCGTCCGCAGAGGATGATAGGAAGGTGAGGTACTGGAAGCATGCGCACTCGACAGCACACCATCTGTACTTCTCAGACTGCATGGTCCGTTCACGTGACGTCACCATCCCTTGCCGTTGAACGCGAGGCCAACTTTCGATGAGCCTTCCGGTGTTGATAACCATTCCTGCTTGAACATCACCCCCACAAACAATCAAACAATTCATCAGCCTGACCAACCGTGACCCATCCAATCGCTTCCATCAATATGTCCACTCAACTTGACCGAGCGCTCAACCAGCGGGTATCATTCTACGTGCATCTCACACAAACATCGATACACAAGCTGATAAGACGTCTTCACAGAACCTCATCCTCGCTTTTGCCGGCGTCGTGACGGCCGTCACCGCCTACAGCATCTGGAATGGCGACCTCTTCCCCAAGTTGACCGAGCCCACTGGCGATCCCGAGAAGTGGTCCGACGCGGACATGAGGCGCTGGTTGAAGAACGTACGTGTTTGCCCATTCATCTGTCTTCCCCGTGCCCTCTTCTCCAAATACTAATCTCACCGCAGAGGAATCTCATGTCCGGCTCTGCCGAGAGAGAGGAGTTGATTGCAATGGTCCAGGCCACGATTCACGCGCCCACCTGATTGCCTTTCAATGTCGTGTCGTACGCCCAAGCATCTTGACTGGTGGCGACGCAGGGAATGACGAGATGTACTCTTGACGCTTGACATAATTAAGGGAAAGCCTGTTGCAATGCCAATCTACTCACTCTTTTCACTAACTCGCATTCTCGTGCCGTAAACCCTTGATTCAATTCTCAGTCACCTCCTGCAAAGCATCTTCCTCGTCCTTCTTCTCCCTCTCCAGTTCCTCGAACTCCTTATCCTCCTCCGCAATCATCCGCTCCAGCTCCGCATTCTCCTCCATCTCGCGCTCTTGCACCTTCTTCTCGGCCTCCACCCGCAACCTCTTCTTCTCCTCCAGAGCACGCCTGGCCTCCGCATTCCGTTTCCTCTTCTCCTCTAGCTGAACACGGAGAGCGGCTGCTCGGTCATTCACGCGCTGCCTCTTGATGCTGCCTGGTGTACTCTCTCGAGACTCGGATGCGACGTAGCTGCGCTTCTGCGTGTGGGAGCCTGGTGTGAATGCAGTTGATGGCGAGGCACCGACGATCGGGTTTCCTCCGCGCTGGGTAGTTGAGAGGTGGGTTGGCTGCTGGTCGGCCGCACCTGAGACGCTCATCGACGGGACAGCGGCAATGCGGCTCTCAATAGCTTGCGGATGTCCGTGTCCACTTGTTGTGCCGGCCACCACATCGTCCCTCCGATTGGCCGTAGGCGAGAAAGGCTCGACTTTGACGGCTGGCTGGCCCGGTTGGTGCCCCGGGAACGCAAACACAGTTGAACTGAACCCTTCTCTCCGAATCGGAGGTGAGTTGAGACTTCTCAATGTCCCTGTCGATTGCTGTTGTTGAGTCATGGGGAGATAGCTGGGTTCCACGTGAGTCTGGTCATGTTGTCCCGCCGCGGGAAGGACAAAGCCCATGCGCATGCCGTTTTGATGGTCTCGTGCAGTTGAGGTCACATGATGAGGGCGATCAGCAGGATGTGCAGCGTATGAGAGTCCGCCAGCCCCCTGGAGATTGTAGTCCAGCAGCATGTTGTCGAGCATATTTGGGTCATAAGGAGAATCCACGAGGCTGAAGATGGGGTCATTCGGACTGAAAGGTGCTGCAATGCTTTCATCGAATGTCGGGAAGTTTGCGCTCGCTGGCGGGGCGAGAAGTGCTGGCATGATGCGACCCGGTGAATACCCGTGAGATCCGTGCTGGTTGCTTCCATCGCCGATCATGAGGCCTCCTGCTCGCCGGGGAGTTGCACCATTGCCCAGGAATTGTCCGAATAGCTTCTGCTTCTTCGTTAATCCTGGAGGTGGCGGTGTGACAAACATCCCGCCCCCGTCGTTTGTCTGGCTGCCGCATCCCGTAGGCACCTCTTTTCCACCGCGTGTGCCAATCTGCGCTCCTGCCTCCTCAAGCTCGTAGCTCTTGTCCTGTCTGTACACACAGCGAGCCATTTCGATCGCCGTACGACTCCTGTAGTAGAAGATGAATTTGGCCCACGGTTTGCTTCCGAAACGGGTTTGCGCAACATGTCTCCTGTGCTTGGACTGCCGGCTGGGATTCACATTCGGATCGGTCACGTGGACACCTAGCTCGTGCGTGGGTGGCAATCCACCATCTGTGACTCCATCGATGTCTCGTGTCTTCCAACTTCCACACGTCAAATCCGAGTAGTCCGTTTCGTAGTTGTCGGAGGCATGCTCGCTGATAGAAATGACGATGCTCAAGCTCCCAACCCCATCGTCCACGCCATCGGCCACCGTAGGTGTCTCCTGGAGTCTGCAGGCGGTCAACACACCTTCCACGACCAGGGTCGAAGGGTATATGCTCGTATGCCCCGGCGGGACGGGCATGTCAAACACTCTGTCAAAATCAAGCTTTCTCTTGACCGCCTTGACCTCTCCGGACTTGGAGCCTTCGATGCGCTTGTCGGCAAGAAAGCTACCGTCGGCGAGCAGATCGACGCTGCCGTGCAGGATGGTGCCTTCGAAATAGCCTCTGATCTTCAATTCGTCGCCGTCCGAAACAGGAATGATGCATGAGAGTGTGTTCGGCTCGCTGTCAACGACACCATTCGGTAGCGTGTACTCCGCACATGGCAGGCCGTTGATAAACACTTGCAGCTCTGCCGAGCGGTCGGTGTTCGGCGTGTGGCATCGCATCGTCGGTGGTTGTGGATGAGGTGTGAGGAAGGAGGAGAAGGAAGGTGGTAGAGAGAAGAAAGCGGACTTATAACCCAGGATGCAAACGAAACGCGGGTTGGCGTGTGAACCACAAGATGCTGGAAGATGCAACTTGAAAGCTTAATTCACTCACTAGGCATGTGATGCTAGTCATTCAGAGAAGTTCGGGACGGTTCCGGGGCCGTGCAATGCCTGGGACGATGGTGATCTTGCGTCAAAGCTTCAGGCAGCACTGCGGCAAACGCTCTGAGACCGCGAGCACGGTTGGATGTTGTCTGGTCGTTCCAGCTCAACTCCATGACAGACACCAGCTGCGTGCCAGGGCTTCGAGGTAGCGGCCCGCCGAGATCATCCTTTGGCCATGTCGTCGGTCCAGAAGACCATTGTAGTTTCGAGGATCATATTCACTCCAGCCGCTCACACGACGAATCTGAGATTCTGACTTTGAATCAACCACTTCCTCCCCTCACCCTGCTTCCCCGTTCCCCGCCCTCCCACCTCCTCTTGGTTGGGCACGAGCACAAAGTTGTCGCTGAAGCCCCTCATCGGCCCATCCCTGCGCTCTACTAGTCGAACGTATCCCGAGACCTGCACCGTGAACGACATGTTTTGCTCCAGCTCTCGCTTCGAGACTTTGCTGCTGTCAATGGGGTTGACGCTGGGATTGAGCACATGCACGTTGACAGATTGTGGCTCAAAGTGCGTCCACGGCATCTGCTTCTGGAAGCGATCTTGAAGAACATTGGCATCTTGGAGCTGCTCTCCATTGAAGCTGATGTGAGGGAGCACGCGGCCGGTGGAGGGGTCGTTGGAGGGCACGTAGAAGGAGGCAATCTGGCCGCGGGACCCATTGAGACTGGTATAGAAGTCGTTCACGAAACTCTCGGCGGCAGTTGTGGACACACGAGTCCGATCGGTCTCTGTGAGTGTTCCCATTGTCGCAAAAGCGAGGCCTGATCTTGCAATGCACGGGATTGCAAAGCAGGAGGTGCAGTGCTGGACTTCCGCGCCAAGATTTCAGCTTCCGCGCTAGCGGGTATATCCGCACGACCTCGCACACTCAATTCAGTGGACGTTCGCCAACGCAGACGCAGAACATCACCAGCACATCACCCGTTCAAATCCGCCCAACATGCCTCGCGAAATCCAGGACATCAAGACCTTCATCGAGATCTGCCGCCGGAAAGATGCCTCCTGTACGTCCGAACCCGGCGAGAGCGCGCGAACCGATCGCACAAGAGAATGATTGTACTATACACCGAGCAATTGGCTGACTTGAGGATACATAGCGACCCGGGTGAAGAAGAACAAGATTGGCAACACAACACAGACGAAGTTCAAGGTGCGATGCAAGCGCTACCTCTACACGCTCGTCCTCAAGGACTCGGACAAGGCGGACAAGCTGAGGCAAAGCTTACCCCCGGGTATGTCGTGAAATCTGGGATTCGGTCGATCAGCAGTCCGGAGCAGAGACTGATCATAACGTGTGCAGGCCTCACCATCACCGACACCCCCAAGAAGAATGCGAAGGGTAAGCGGGCCGCGAAGGGATCATCGTAAAAGAGGAGCACAGCATGGTTGAGGTGGCGTTGTGGGCAGCGTGTTTCGCGGAAGCACCATAGTCTTGCTTGCCCGCTCCGAGAGTGGCAGAGCGCTGGCATGCGACGTTCAAAACGAGACGCAATCGAATCTTTCACAACCCAGCCTTCCCCCAAGATATGGCGCAAACCGTTCCCATTCGACGTTCCAAATGAAGCAAGTCATTGATGAAATCTTTCGTCTATCGTTGATCATACGTTGCTACTATTCGTCGGTCTAACAACACCACATGCTTTTATGCCTTCTTCTTAGATGCATCGAAGGTAAGCTCCGCCCGTTCCATCACCGGACTTTCCTCGCCAAAATGCGCCTCCTCGCTGGTGAAAAAGTCCTCTCGCCTGATGCCGCTCCTGTCGCACATGCTGCGGAAAATGCCTTGCTGATCGTAGAGGTTAATTGGAGAGTCGAGCTCCGACACATTACCAGAGTCCATGACAAGGATGCGGTCGTATCTGATGAGACATGTCAGTACATAATGCCTCTCTTCAAGCCATGGTATGAACCAACTTACCCTATAATCGTCTTGAGACGATGGGCAATGCATAACAATGTCTTGCCCTTGAAGCCGCGGACGATGGTACGTTGGATCTTCCGATCGGTCTCGAAATCAACCGAAGACGTCGCCTCATCGCAGACAATAATCTGAGAGCCCCGCACGAGCGCACGCGCCAATGCGAGGAGCTGGCGTTGGCCGAGGGAGTAGTTGAGCCCTTCATCTTCCACGTTGCTATCGAGATGAATGCGTCCGGACTCGTCCTCGATGGCTTGCTCTGTGCCGACCAGATCGGCCTGGCGCAGGGCACTCCACAACGCGAGATCAGTGTGCTCATTGAAGGGATCGAGATTGCTGCGGATGGTTCCTCGGAAGAGCGTGGGATCTTGTGGGATAATTGCGAGTCGTGATCGCAGATCATGCAGCCCGATCTTGGCGATGTCGAGGCCATCGATACAGATGGATCCGCCAGAGAGCTCCACCAGACGAAAGAGCGTCGACATGATTGAAGACTTGCCGGCACCGGTTCTGCCAACAACGCCAATTCTTTCCCCAGCTTTGACGTGCATTGTCAGGCCTTTGAGCACGAGCGGCAGGCCAGCGCGATATCGCATCTGCACATTGTTGAACTCGATTTCACCCTTTTGCGGCCATGAAGATGGCACATTTCCGAGATGAAGTGGTGCCTCCTGCTCCAGCTGCGTGCCATAGTAATGGATACGTTCAGTGGAGTTCATGTTGTTTTCCATCTCAGCCAGCTGCCGGACGGTGAATTGAATCATCTGAACAATGGTCAGGATGTATGACAATACCAGTCCGCCGACGCTAGGGTTTCTGCTGAACCGGCTGGTCACCACGAGGATCCCGACCGTGAACACTAATAATGTCCCGATCGCGTCAAGGCGGACAGCTAGCCATCGCTGATTGGCGTACGTCAAGAAGTACGCCCCATCCATGGAATCAAGAGCGTTATTGACGGATTGCAAAAAGTGCTGTTGCATCCCATATGCCCGGATCGTGGAGAGACCGGTGACGGCTTCGCCGAAGCGTGAAAAGACGACACTTCGGAAGACGGCCTCGTGACGCTTCATCTCGCGCGCCGATGAGCGGTAGTAGCCGGCGGAGAAGGTAAACATGATCGCAAGCGGTACCAAAGCGATTGCGAAATAGTGATAGTAGGCGATGATGAGGCAGAATACCGACACGATCATGGCCATGGTGAAGAAAAACATGCGCATCGAATCGGTGAGCATGTTATCCATGACACTATACAGGTGCACGCATCAGCCTCGCACACGAAGGGGATATTCGAGGGTGAAACTTACTCGACGTCCTTTGCGAAGCGATTGGTGATTCTGCCCATGGGTGTCGTGTCGAAGAAAGACATTGGCGAGCGGAGCACTCGCTGCAGAGCTCGTTGAAGCATCACTTTGCTGGCTTTGGTTCCGAGGGTAGTAAGGGTGACGGAAAAGGTAAACATGAGTGTCGCCTGCACGACTCCCAGCCCTGCATAGCCACCGATATACGCTGCCGTGCCAAGATGATATCCTGCAGACTTCAATGAGCGTGCGTTGAGGAAGGGGATCGGGAGACACTTACTATCGCCGGTCCAATACGTGAGCCAAACGCTGGTGACGATGTTGGCGCCTTGGGAGACCAAAAGAATACTCAGAATCATCGGGGCCACCCAGATTGAGCCGGCTGCCCGAATGTAAGCAGCGTAGACATCCCAGCCCACGCTACTCACGGCCTTTTCTTCCTGCTGCATCAGAGCAGCTTTCGGTTTACGACCCTTTTTCGCGACGGCTTTGTCTGCCTCCACTTCGTCTTCAGCCTCCTCTTTTTTCTCATGTTCGTCTTCCACAGCAGTGGTAGCCATGAGCTGCTGGAATTCTTCGTCATTGCCCATTAGTTCCGGGAAGGTCGCAATTCTGTGGATGTATCCTTCTTTCATCCAGACTATTCGATCAGCTCGATGCAATACATGCAATTGATGAGTTGCGAGTACGCGGCATTTGTCCTTGAGTAGACCACAAATAGCGTTGTCCATGATGTGTCGGCCGACATGAGCATCGACTGCTGAAAGTGGATCATCCATCAAGATGATATCGGCGTCGAAGTAGATGGCTCGTGCGATGTTCCTGAACGCGAGTCAGTAGACCGATATTTCGTAAGAGAAAACGGATGAGTGGACTCACAATCTTTGCTTTTGACCGCCGGATACAGTGATTCCTCGTTCGCCAATCTCGGTGAGATCACCGTGAGGGAGCATCTCGAGATCTGGGCGTAATGCACAGGCATCCACGACTTTGTCATACCACTTTTGATCGAAATCCCGCCCGAAGAGGATGTTTTGCTTCACAGTCGCGTTTTGAATCCATGCATATTGCGGGCAGAAGGCGCGTGCGGAGCCCAAAGAAACACTTCCCGTAGTTCGTCGCATATCGCCAGCCAGCGCACCCAACAGTGAGCTTTTGCCGGAACCAACAGTTCCAATCACGGCAATGAGCTCGTCCCGACCAACTTTGAGGTCGATGCCTCGGATTTGGAACGGCTCTTCTTCCTCCTCGCCAGACGAGCTAGTTGATGCCGAGCTGGGAAGGGCTTGCAACTTCTCCTTTTCGAGCTGCTTCGTAAGTCGCTTATCCTCCTTTGCCTGCGCCGCTGCCTCCTTCTTCTCTTCTTTCGAAGCCGGAGGAGGGGCTTTTGGCGCTTCTGCAATGCTGCTGCTCGGATCTTGAGTCGGACTGCGTTCCCAAGTGAAATTGGCGTCCTTGATGACGATGGCGTCGCTGGCCTGAGGGTCCCATGCGATATCGTCGGGAACCTCCTCCGCCTCCAGAAACTCTTGAATACGGGCGATGGAGGCGAAGCCGTCCACGACCTGCCCGATGACCATGGGCAACAGATTCAGCGGAATGCGGAGGGAGTTGAATAGAGCCAGAGAAGAAAAGATGGGCGCTGGTGACAGATGTGGTTCCACAGCCAGTTGGTATGTGATGAATGAGAGCATGGAGGCGAAGATGGGTGTCGTCATGGATACAGCCATGATGCCGTTTCGAATGGATAGCAAGAACGAAATTCTGCCAATTTCCTCGTTTCGAATTCTGGCGACGCGGTCAAGGAAGCTGGTCTCCCAGCCGAAGTATCTACAGCAGTCAGTATGGTACTACCGTTGGACAATATTGAAGGAGGATATACTTCACAAAGCGTACAGACGCCAAGATCTCTTGTGTCAGTGTAACGCGCCGATCGGTGATCTTGTTGATGGCCTTTCGGCGTCTCATCAGGCTGCCCACGGCTCGGCCAAGGAGCGGCATCATGATGCAGATGAAAGCGAAGCCCGAAAGCGCCGCGTATTTGAGGTTGATGCATAGTAAGGCGAGCGCGAGGAAGACTTGAATGGGGGAGGTCCAGCAAATGTGAAACATGCCGGAGGCCTGGTCGATACGGTAGGTGTCGGTGCTCATGAGATTCACGATCCTACCGTTACTCCAACCTTGTCCGTCAGCCGGACTCGGTTTCGGCATTGGTTTGAGCTTGTCGAGTGTCTTTTTGAAGAAAGACTTTTCCTCTTTGCTGCCCGGCTGCACGTGACTTGCTGCGTTGAACTGCTCCTCGGCCTTGTCTGGCTTGCCACCCGCTTTGGCACGTCCCGAGATTTTCATGGCTTTGTCGAAGATGGTGGCGATAAGCACTGCCCTCGCCTGCCCACCCACCATCATGCCGCGATAGATGAAGTGGTTGGTAGACAGCGATTGTATGATCTGCATACACGTGATGCCGATGACAAGGCCGATACCCCGATGAATCGGCGGCGGGGGCAATTTGTGGGTACTGGCGTGGTACGCGTCGCCAGCGAAGTCGATGAGATACTTCAGTGTGAAAGGAGACAAGACTTGCATACAAGCAGCAGTCAGCTGGCAAGCACCGCCGATGATGAACTCCCTCTTGAATGTGTCGTAGAGCGCCATTGTCAAAGGCCGCGAGCTGCCCGCCGCGTAGCGGTTTTTCAAAGCCGCCTGGAGTTTGGCGGACATGACGTTCACCTCGCGGTCAGGGTTCACCCACCAGACATCGTTCACTTCGAGCGGTCGTTGGTAGCCCACGCTCATCAAGGGTGCAATCCATTGGAAGATGAGCATGCTGAAGAAGCCCGCTTGATGCTCTCGGGACAGTTTGCGCTCTTTCGGTACAGGCGGGATGTTCTTGCGCTTCAAAGGGTTGAGCTTCTCGCCCCACGTCCGTTTTCGAGGGGAGTTCGCGCCATGCTCTGCATCTTCACTGGGCGCGATGCTGGTGGTGTCTGTCCGCGCGGACTGGGTCCTCTTCAATTGATGTCGACCACCATTCGAGCCTTCGCCGTCCTGCGAATCCTGCTCTTCCAAAAGCTCGACTTTGCCGTGTTTCTCCTCACTCATATCCTCATCACTCTCCGCGCGCTCGATGGCTGCTGCGGCATCGACATCGCCGGGAGGCCCCGCCCATCTCTTCTCGTCATTCGGGCCAGACATGCTCAGCGAGCGACTCGCATGGAATTAGGGAGTGAAGGAGGGGGCAAAGCGAAAGAGAGTCGAGCGCAAAAGACAGTTCACGTAATAACATGACTGGCGGACAAACCAACCGAGGCGGCGACAGTCTTTATGCCGATGTCTGAACGACGTCGGCGTTTAATAAAGTCCGTTGCCCTTCGCAGACATGGCCCGCTTCGAGAATTCGTCTGTCAGCCACGGCTTGCGATTGGACATCGCCTGCTAAGAAACGGACGAAGCTTTTGAGTGAGGCCCCACCTCCACTCCGATGCGTTCATCAACGCGCCGTCCAAGGTACTGGGGGTGGCGACGCGATTGTGGGTGGGAACACCGACGGAATAGCATAGTCTGCTCCGATCCGTTCCCGGTGTGGTTGCCTCACGATACATTGATCAGTGTCTCGTGAAGCCCCGCTTCTAGAAAGGTATCTGACTGATTCTTTGCAAAACAATCTAGACCGCACAACCTGCATGAATCGTAAGGGAGCGGCATCAAGGTTGGTGCCGAAAGCCGTGCAATTCAGCCAGAACAGGAATTAAAGTAGTCAGATGGGGAAAGCAGAGCGCGCCTCACCTACCACCTTCGATTTGTACTGCGTGCTGGATCTTCACATCGTCATCGATGTTGCTGCACGTCCTGGTGTGGTGTGTGGTGCGTCTTCGTGCAATGGGAACCGCGTACGGATCATTAATTAATCATGCCAACTCGCGCCGATCGTTTGCCCTCCACCCCCAAGTCGGGGTACAATTACCTGAGCTGATATGCTGCAGGATTGATGTACTCATATTTCCCAGACAGCGAAGGTAACAGCTCGTCCGCTCTCCAACCCTTGCCGGCGGCCCTTGCTTGTTGCGATGCCTGGCAGCCGTGGCAGTGCGTGGGTCGGCGTTGGACCGGAGGCGATGAATCTTGCGAAGAAGATGCGGTCATCTCATCCCCGCCGACCCATTGCAGCAACTGGGACTGCTTGGTCTTGCGGCCTAGCACCTCCTTCCGCAGTACCTCGGCCTGCTTCTTGAAGACAACCCAGAGTTCATAGTCGTCGAGATTGTCGCTGTCGCATGCCTTTCCGTCTCCCACCGCTGCACTTCCCTCCTGCGCCATGAGCAGCAGCGTGGCGACGAAGCACTCCTGCAAAAAGGCAAAACTGAACAGATCCGTGATGTGCGCCATTGCCGGGCACAACTTCTTCGGGAAGACGATGGACTTGTTGGTCTTCAACTTTTGCCGCCAGAACTCGCAATAGAGCGTGCGTTCGTGCTCGTTCGGATTTGGGAACAAGTACTTTCGATCGAACCGACTCGGCCGCTTCGACAGACCAGGATCCAGCCGATCCAGGAAATTGGTCGAGGCTACAATGAACAAGCCATCGTTGTTCTCCAGTCCGTCCATCTCGTTGAAGAAGTAGCTTCTCGTGTCCGGAGTCACAATTGTCTCGACATCCTCCAGGATCAGCATGCACGGTGCCTGCGACCGGGCCTGCTGGAAAACCTGGCGGATATCGTAGGTGTACGGGGCATCCTTGATATATCTTAACGTAGATTCCCACTCGTACGGGGAATCTTTAACATACCTTGACGTAAAGAGAACGAACGGGATCCTTGCGCTGGTCCAGAGAGAGCATCAGCGCGCGGGTCGAGATCGTCTTTCCATTTCCAGGGGGCCCGTGAAACAGTAAGCCTCTCTTCCACGGCACGCCCAGGTCTCGATAGATGGCCTCGGAGTCGAAGAACTTATGGGCCACGTTGACTAGCTCGTCCTTCATTCCCTCGTCCAGAATCACTTTGTCCCAGCTAGCCTTCTGCACCTCCTTCCACAACCCATGGCTTTGAGTCCAATAGCCGTCGTAGACCCAGATGACTTCCGACAAGGTATTCCGCCAATCCCCCACAGCTCGGATCAGGTTATCAGTGATGGTGGACGGGCCGAGCACATGCTCCTTCCCTTGCTGCTCCTTGAGAATGTACTGGACACCTTGAACAAGATACAGGATGAAGTCTTCACCGCTCCATTGGTAATGGAAGCGCGCGTAGTCTAGATTTTCGCCCACCGAGCCATGCTCCGACCTCCGTGAGGGAGAGTTGTAGCCTCTCCAGCTGGCGTAGTCGTCGTTCATGTCCACCTCGCACTTCGCGAACCCCGCGGCAGCAAAAGCGCGCAACGGAGCATTGCCCTCCGGGCATGTCGTCACGATGAGTTCCGGGTTGGCCTTTCGTAGAGCGACGAGATATTGTAGGTCATGGTCCGCGGACGGCGCGGAGGTGCAGTTTACCAGGTCTTTGAACAGATGGTGCGGCTTTTCGTGCTTGCCGCTCCTTTCGACCAATGTGAATGGCTCGTCCATGGTGCCGATGATACAAAACTTCTCTGGGCAACTCGGGAGAGAAAGATGGATTGGAGAAAGACAAGACGCAGATGGCAGCCGGGGTGTTCAAAGTGTTGCCTGATGTGATGACAGCACAGCAAGCTCGGACTCGCGACATCATCAGTCAGCCAGGCCCGTGCTACGTTACCATGAAGCATGCATTCGAAACTATAAGGCTAGGTAGGTATCATTGTGTTACTTGCCAACTCGACTATGTACGTAGGCATTCGTTACATCGGAGATCCTTTCGCGTTCCCAAACCCTACACAGACACCATTGGCTGACTGCTAGCACCGCCAGTCAACTTCGCCAGACTCACCGCACGCGCCAGATTGATCCTCTCCGCCTCGGCGGGGGAATAAGGGTGATAGTTCCCATCAGCCGTCACGACGCGGCCGCTCGTAGTGCGTACAACGCGCACGGCCGCGGCTACATAGGATTTCGCAAGGTATGCCGTGTCCAATTGAGCGCTCTTCATGCCTGCATCGCGGTCTCCCAAAACGGTGGCAAATGTGCCGGTAGAGTCCCTCCATCCGACCCCATGGTCTACGACGGATGCAGCATCGTCGCCTCCGATAAGATCACGGTAGAATTCCGCGTGGACTTCAGCAGAGCCCGAACGGTGGTGAGTCTTTATCTCGTCTGCTTTCGTGACGATGCTAGATCGCACAGGCTTGCGCACGATCGTGTGTACTGAAGAGGTCGACTTTCTTCCCGGCTTTCCGTTCGTGTCATCCTGCAGATCAAGCACCGGTCGGCCGAGTGCTTCCCCAGCCGATTGCCGCCGCGCCCGCCACGCTTTGGCGTGCTCTTCCCAGCTGACTTCTGGCGGCTCGGTGAGGGGAGCTGGCTTGGCGATCTGAGCTGTGCCATTACTCGATTCGTCTGCGTGGTGGCTTGAATCTTCCTTTTCGTAAGTCTGTGGCAGTCTTGATCTCTTCTTCGACTTGGATTTGCGAAGTGGCGCCGTCTGGAGGCTTTCGGTCTGCGGCGAATCCCGAGAAGCGCGGGCACCCATTGCCTTCTTGACCGTCTCTGCAATGCTCTCGGTTTCATACCCCTTCTGGACTTCCATGGCCTTTTTGACCGCGTCCGCGATGCTTTGCGTTTCGTAGCCCGGGAGACCTCTGAGATCCCGCTCTGCGCCAACGTCGTTGCTACGCTGCAGTGACTGTCTCGTGTCGACCTTTGACAGATGGCGAGGCTTGAGGATAGCCGGTTCCGGCACAGCAATCGACTCCTCTTTGCGTTCCATCGTATTACCGCGGCTTCTGAAGCGCGCCAACAAGGCGGGATCGATTGCATTGATGCCCGAAGGTCGGTGGCGCACAGTATCCACACTCGGGCGGTTGTCAACGGGTTCCGAATTGAGGTTGCTGGGCTGATAGGAAGACCGCTGGTACGCATTCGCTCTGGGTGTCGTACTTCCACTGCGCTCCGTGTTGATGCTACGATTGCCGGTCATGCTCGGTTGGATTGCCGTCAGCACTGGAAGAGTGGCGGTCGGCTCTGCAGGCAGGCTAGCGAGAAGCTCTAAGGGTTCTGTCGGCGTCGATTGTGCAATTGTCACATCTCTCGAAGGATCGCTATCGGACCGTCGGTGAAATGCAGTCACCACATCCACTGGTATGTCAGGTATCACTGCGACATCCTTGGAGTGCTTGGCGGCTTCCAGCTTCACCTTGTGAGCCTTCAGTTCTGCGCGCACGGATGCGGGCATGGCTTTCTGTAGCTTCTTCTGCGACTTCGACCATCGATTCGGTGTCTGTTTGATGTCGCTGTTCTGCATGGTATCATCCTGGTGTACGGCAGGGAGATCCGGTGTTTTGTTCTTGCTAATGCCGAGCAAAGAAAGGTGCTTCTTACTCCCACGATTTTGCGGAGGAGAAGCCGTCCCGAGCCCGGACAGGAGGGATGGCGAGTTCAAGATGGCGTTGAACGAGTACAGACTCACTTCATCCGCATTTGGGGAAAGACCGGCATAGGCTTGGTGAGCAGGGGCATTGAGTGGTCTGTAAACCATTCCAGCTTCCTTTGGCTCTTTGCGATCAATCGCATGATTGGAAGCGTCTGAGCCGTATCCACTGTCTGGCTTTTCGGGGTACGATTCACGCCTGACGACAGGTGACATGGGATCTGCAGCAACGTTCACACCTGGAGAATTGAGGTCGCTGCTAGCCGCCACATGGTCAAGATTGCCATTCTGCTTCGATGCTGGTGCATTGGGCATCTCTTTGGCGGAGACCGGCGTTTCAACGGCTGGGTTCTTGTCCCGACTGGAAAGATCGGTCACAAGACTTAGTCGTCGGGCTAGATTGACCAACGCCGTACTGTTCTCTCCAGGAGTGGAGGGGAGTTGAGTGTCCAAGCCGTCTTCAGGTGGTAGAAAGGAGATGCGATGACTCCACCTCTGGGCAAAGCGAGGTAGCTGAAGTTGCTGAGTGGGATCATGCTGCTCATCGGATTGGATGATGTTGTTCGAAGCCGGCGCATTTAGATTCTGGTCATCGCCAGCACTATGCGGGGCGACTTCTTTCTCGTTCATGGAGCGTGAGGGGCTACTCTCGACGGCAACCGGGAGTTGTGATCGAGTTGAAGCCCTGGATCGGCCGGTATTCGGACGCGACGGCGACGATTCTGGATTTCTTTCGGGGCGGAATGGACGATACATGCGCGGCGATGAGTCGTCCCTCTCCTCTGGGACGGGGATGCCAGACTTGGCTGCCTCGCTGGCTCGCCTGCTCCGTGGCTTCGGCAATGAGTGGGCGGCCAGTTGTGCGAGGCTGGCGGTAGTAGCATCGTCTTGAGAAGCGTTCGGCATTACCTGCACCGGAAGAGGTGTGGAGGGAGTGGCGTCGTCCCCGCTCGGATGGTCAACAGAAGGCCGAGATGCGGCTTGGATGGCGTGACCTTCATTTGGGGTTGAAGGCGCAGTGCGGAAGTCCTCCGCAGTGCTATGATATACAACACTCGGATCCGGAGAAGCCGTACCGTTGGTGATGCGCAATGTGCCTGGTCCAAAAGCGCCCATGTGACGAGCATCAAAGTCGGAAGGCGTAGCCGCACGTGGTAGGGTGGTGCACGCTTGTTTGGTGGCAAGATCGAGAGCTCGAAGACTTTCTTTCTTCGACTGGCGTTTGGAAAGGCGACGCTGCTGGGATTCCGCGGCAGCCACTTCGGGAGTCTTTAGGGGATCATGAGAGGCATCCCGGGTGGCGATACCGGGAGGGAGCATGGACGACATCCTGGTGAAGCCGCCGGGTGGAGTGCCTGAGAAGTATTCCTGTGCGGGCGATGGTAATCTAGGACTTGGTAAAGCAGATTCCCTCCTGGGCAGCAGAGCCTTGTGCAGCGCAACCAACTCTGCGGCGGTGGCCGTCTTCTTGATCTCCTCCAACAGCTGAATGGCTTGAGAGATATCGATGGGCGAGCGAGATTCGCGCACGGTGGATAGCCTCTGTATTTCATTACTGCGCAGGCTGTCTGACGAAGGAGTCGGCACATCGAGGGAGGTGTGACTTGTAGCGGCGTGCGAAGTGGATCGGGTCAAGTTGCTCTTGTGGTCTGCGTCGAAGCTGTACATGGGGGAGATGGAGGGGCGACGAGCTCGGGTCTCTGGAAAGGCACCGGTGAAGTGTTGTCGGAGGGACTCTCGGCCGTCCGGGTGGCGCAGGTCGTCGATGGAGGCTCTGAAGGTGACATCTTGCGTCTGCGTTTGCGGGGCTTTGGCGAGCCGGGTGCTGCTTTTGGCCCTGTTCAGCTTCATGGTCATTGCGATGCCTGCGAGTCGCGAACGGAAGGACTGCTAGCCAGCGTCGAGGAGGGAGGGAGATGCGCGGATGGTTGTCGGAGATTTAATGCATGTCACGAGCGAGGAACCAGTCTGCGGAAAAGGTTGTTTTGCAGAAGGCTGGGACGTGGCGTTGGTGAAGGGAGCGCAAGGCTGGCGGATGGAGCGCACTGCAGCCGGTGTACGACGTGATGCTGTTCTGCCTGATCCAGCACGCACGGCGAGGACGGCGGTGCTCGAGTAGTGCGCAGCGGCGATAAGTAAGGTAATAACAGAACTGGAAAAGCTGCAGTGCCCGGAGCTTCATTGTGGTTTCATAACAAGCACCCGGCCTGCACCTGCCAACATTATTCCCTGCCTCGTCGCTTTAGCGTCAAAGCCTAATTTGCACCGCGCCTGTTTCATAGACGGGGATCTGCAACCTCCGTTTCCTCTCCCAGCCGCTCTTTGCGGACGAAAATGGCAGTGCTGAACGGCTTTTCCTCGTTCGTCAGCATGGCCTACACGTTGGGAGACGTGCAATTTTAATGACGCCTAGCCGCGCTCTCTTCGGATGTCGTTTTACAGCCTGCAACCTCTCATCGGCCGACGTCTCCTTCCCATTTGGGCTTGGCTCGGAGAAGGACTGCATGGCTGGAGAGCTTCCAACTACGCTGTTCCCCTCTCCCGTGGCGAAGCAGGCTTGCGTACGCTCGCGTACGTCAACACTTCATCCCTGTATACTAAACATGCAGCTACAGCACCTCCATGCTCGTGTAAAGCAGGGCCTGCTAGTCGAGCAGTTTCGCGCCTGCGAGGATACATTAGCTTCCGAAGTGCAGCACGATGAAACACAGCGGGGGCACACTACGCCCGGCACATGTTGCCTATCTCAGTCACACACCTGTCGCTGCTCGTGCGTACTGCAGTGCTCTCGCCCCTGCATGCTCAATACGGACGGCACTCCTGTCCGCAGCTACCGGCCTTTCAACCTCGCCTGTAAAGCTCAGCATCGTTGTAATGCTTGCTCGAACACACGCCGATCATCATACGAATTTGAACTACCGGCGGCGCGCAGTTCCAACTGCTAGTCAACGTCTGTCACCAACATCCTTCCGAAATTGCTCCCTAGCCTGTGGCTTGTTATGCGCAGGGATCATCACTCCCGGATCACATCCGCTCAAGCCTCAAGGCACTATGAGACATCACCTCATCGCCGCCTCGACCTCCGCATCCTCATCACGCTCAGGCGGGAAATCCCATTCATTCACGGGATAGCTCCCCTTCGGACTCCTCCCCAACCCCCCTCCCCTTCGCGCCGTCACCCCATCCTCCACAAGCCTCAACAGCCCGTTCTGATGATCCTGGCGAAAGGTAAATATGCGATAGTCCGCATAGTGATACCTGCGCTTCGAGATGGCCGTGCGCAGGAAGCCTGAATGCGCCACCACCGCAATGGCCTGCTCCGGTCGCGCGTAAAGCCGTCGGAGACACGCTTGGCCCCGCGCCGCATTGGCGCTTCTCCCGTAGGCGTATGGCGTGCCGGGAGATTTGTCGGGGTAGACGGGGTCGACTTTGGAGAAGTCGAGCGCGGGGAACTCTGCGGCGAGCGTGTCCAGCGCGCTGCCTGTGTCGCAGGGGCCATCATAGTTCTCTGAGAGCGTCAGTGCGTGCTGGGGCCTCCGCGAACCCGCACAGGATCCGTACCCTGCCACATGGCATCGACCTCTACTCTCACTCCTCGCTCAATCAGCCAATCCAGCCCATTGAGAGTCGTCTGCAGCGTCCGTCTCATGGGACTGGTGATGATGTGCTCCACCTTGTCGGCGATTGGGCATTTCTTCTGCAAGTGTTCGGAAAGCTCGCGGCATTGCCGCAGCCCGTCCGTAGTCAATGGAGGATCATGTATGTCGTAGTTCTCTGGTAAATATTAGCACTGGCCGTTCAAGTTCGTGCTCTGGCGATACGCTACCGCTTGCGTTGTGCTCAGCTTCGGCATGTCTGATCAAAATGAGTGTCGGGGGCATTTGCAGTAACCTCTTGATCAGCCGGTGTAGCAAGTCGGATTCTGGAGGAAATGCAGCTCGGCTTTCTTCCAACAATTTCGTCATCCCAAGCTGTCCGTCTACGTCAGGCTATGTGCCAAGAAGAAGTGGCTCACTACTTTCGCTCGCTGACGGCCTGGCTGTTCTCTCAAACATTTGAATGTACAGTATGATGTGTCCGAGATCGAGTGCGAAGCTCGCTGAGGCTTTTTGCCCGGAGTGCGATACCTCCAGCCATCACTTCTCCCATCACATAGCCTGAAATCGGAGCTCAATGTCCGTTCGAATTGACTTCAGCAGTATCGTTAAACTGATGATACGACGGATGGGGAAGAGCGGGCCAATTCCAGCATGTCTGATTGTGCATCTATGGTCGAGCTCCTGCGCAAAGCATAGCGCTTCTACTCCCATATTGCATATGAGCCTCATGATCTAGTGGCGAAGACCATGATTCTCCTGCCCGTTCCTGTGCACTCCATTGCGGTGCCATTGTACGTCACTCGTCCGCTTTTACTCCTCGTCCTCCTCTTCGTCCTCGACCTGATCCTCATCACTGGCATCGACTCCCAGAATCTCCTTCCTCCATTCCTCCCTGCTCTTGGAAGCGTGATGGCCTACGTGCTCGCGAACGGCTTCGGCAAAATCGTCTTGGTCTGAAGCGAGCGCAGGGTTAGCAGAGATCATCGGAAATCCCACCGATGGAAACACGTACCGTGATGATAGCCCAGGGTCGTCGTTGTATTGACTCCGTCACTCTGCTCCGGCTCCATGAGTAGGCCGTAACATGTGTCGAGGATGGTCCCGAGGCTGATGTCGCTGGTCCAGTCTCGGTCGAAGATGGAATGACAAATTCTCCCATGCACATTGACTGCCAGGGCATTAGCGAAAATTCTAAACTGTTTGTGGTCAAGATCGATGACTTACCATTCGGATGCATGATCTTGGTGACGAAGCGACCCTTCGGCGCAAAGATGGGGTATCGCTCGTCTGCGTGGATGTACAGCAGAAACGTTCCATCCTCGTATGGAGTGTCATCTGGTCCTGACATCACCACCTTCATGAAAGACATGTCCTTCTCGCTCACGTAGACGTCATACGTGTCGTGCTCGCGGCTCGCCAGCTGCCTCAGCTCGCTCAAGAGACGCGTTGTGCGAAAGTTGGATCGCTGCGCGCTCACCGAGGTAGTAGTGCGCTCTGACCGTCTCTTCACAATGGCCGACAGCTCTACGAAGTCGTCACAAAGGTTCGGGTGGCTCCTGCGGGGTGGTACCTTCTCCTGAGTCACCTCAGTTCCCAGTGCCCAGTACTTTGCCGCGCGGAAGAAGCTGGTAAAGTCGAAGCGACTGGCTGGAATTGGACGAGGCACCGAGATTGCTGGTCTCTCCGTGAGCGACAGGAATGGCTCCATCTCGCACATGGTCAATGCATTGACGAGCTGTACGACAGAGTCAGTGAGGTCCAAAGCCAAGCATTTCCCAGCCACTTACACTATGAGGGTGGAAATGGTAAGAGCCCAGTACGATCGAGAGCGCGCGTAGATCCTGATTACTCTCGAAGCCGAGAGAAACAGAATCCACAGCAACACCCGCCTTGTGAAGCTGCCAGCAGACATCTTCACTGGTGTTGCTGCTAGACTTGGTGTCCACACCGTCCGATATGCAGATGATTCTCTTCTTGGCGTTGGGATACTTCTTGCCATATTCGACGAGTTGATCCTTGCAGAGGGCGAGGGCATCCCAGAGACTCGTGTCATGCTTGGCGGTCATGTCATTCGTTGCACGCCTGAAGTTCTCGAGCACATGCGACATGCCCATTAGCACTTGGGCCGTCGAATTGAATGTCACTAGGCCGACGTGAGTTTTGAATCCGTAGGCCAGAATCTTGTTTGCTAATGCCTGCAGTAAAGATGGATTAGCCAACGAAACGAAAATGAGGCTCGAAGCAGTCTCACACACCTCGAACATCTGCTTGAGGACATCTAGTCGGCTCAAGTTATGGCGCTTCAGCTCATCTTTCGGACCCATGATCTTGACCTTGAGGACCAACGGCAGGACACTCGCGGCATCTTGTTTGTACACCGGTTCGTGACCCAAGATTCCGAAGCAGTGATACATGTTGAACAAATTGGAGAGTCGCTCGGTAGTCTTTCGCGGGATCCCTGACAGCAGGTTGTCACCATTGTATTCCATGCCCGTCCAGACGGCCTTTGCTTCGATATCATGTGAGGCGTCCTTCAACTCGTGGCGCCAATACTTCCAAATGACGGAGGCGATTGTGCTCGCGGCATCTTTCTTGACCCAATACGCGAAGAGGAGGTGATCAATACCACCGTAGACCTTGATGAGCACGAGATCGGAGCGAGGAGAGCTTACAGCACCAGTGCTTCGCGGCACTGGATCGTCTTGTGCAATTCGGACGGAAACATGCTGTCCATTGGTGATCTCCAGACCAGAAAGTGCGGTATTCGAAATCGCTGACAGCGTCCCATGTTGCTCAGTCGCCAGCTGAAAAATGGAGTACCTGGCCTTCAGGCCACGGAAGACGAGGCGATGGAGATCGGCAGCACTTATGGTCGATGGTACGTGCCGGATGAATGAGCCCACTTTGCTGTTGAACGTGATTTCGATGTCCATGGAAGGCCGTAGTCTCTTCGACTCACCCCCCTCGCGCGCGGGGATGCCATCACCGTCGACCCACAGCGTGGCAGCGTCGCAGATGTCTTGATTTACAGTGAGCTCTGTGCTCGCAAGATCCAGGCCTGTCTTCGGCGAGGAGTGTCGGATGCCGAACCAGGTCTGAATTGCGGCCTTCGAATACGTGTGCCCATCAGCAGCCGTCACGGCGTCCAGCATTAAGGACCTCGAGATGGGACAACGAAGGTGATCCGGTATTTCGGTTATACTGGCATCGAGGGTTGGGATCTGCTGAGCTGGATTCAGGGCCGGTGGCGCATCTTCGATGGACCACGTCCACTGTTGAGCGATATCGCGTGAGTCTGAATTCGCCCGGTAAATCAGAAGGTCACAAATCGGCTGTTCATGCGTTGTAAGGCCCGCCCAGAACGTCTTCAATTCGTCAAGGTCCGTCTGGTGATTTGGGGAATATTGCAGATTGTGGTAATGCCTTCCGAACTCTCTCGCCGCGTTGAGAATCTCTGACAGCTTCACGATTTCAGCAGAGAGAATCATTTTCAGCAGCCTCAAAGTCTTCATAGCACTTGGCCGCTTTTGAGGCTCGGGTGCCTGAAAAACGATGGCAACCATGTCGTCGAAGCTTTCGTAGCCACACAATCGTTCTTGAACGTCCTCGAGGACCGCCCGACTGTAGAATTCGGGCTCGACTGGGACGTTTTCGATTGGATCTTCGTCGGAATTGACTTCTTGAAAATCGGTGGGGTTTCGCATGCTGGCAGAGGTGTCGACACAGAACATGAGTAGCTCGTCGGGAGTTTCCATTCGCCTCACTTCACCACCTCCGAGCGCGCAGAATGCGGCGGTGCCGTCGGCCTCGTAGCTCTGCAGAATCGGGCTGATCAGTTGTTCGACTATCGCTGTATCAATCACCTCTTCTCCGTGCAGCGGACGGAAGATCATAGAGGAGTGTCCCGGATCAGCACATGCTTGTTCTCCCGTGTACACCGCCAAGTGAGCATTGCGATCGAACGTCAAGCATGGAGCGACCGCAGAAACCAGCTGCCGTAGCTTGTAGACCGCGAGCTTGTTTATGCCACAGAGGTCGGCCAGATGGTTCAGGTCAGCCAGCTCCGTGACATCGATCGCAGCGTGTATATTGCCTGCATCCGGGTACCGATAGTTTGCGTTCAAGTGCTTCCGGGATAGGACTGTGAGCTCAGCAACGGCGCCGCCGCCAAAGAGTATTCGTCGAAAGATGTCGGTGTCGATTTCGGATTCCACGAGGAATGGTTGAAGGTCAGTTTCGAAGAGCAGACCGCCTTCGTGGAAGGCTTTGAAGAGGCTCGCTTCCACCAACCCCTTGGAGGTCTGCACTGCCTGCGAAACGACTTCATGTGTCCTGTGGTCGCGGACATCAATGGTCTGAAAGGCAGCAGTGTATGGAAGACCGGCTCCCTCTTCTTTCGGCAGCTTGAGAATCTTCGCTTTGTCGAGAATGAAAGCCCACAGCAAGCGCGAGCCTTCAAAAACACGAGAGTGGTCCGTGCCAACAACATCTGTGGGTACGAAGCTGTCCAAGGCGCTGAAAAGCGTATGGCTCAGAGCGGAGCATTCGACTTCTGTAGGTGTCTTGCCCTGGATCAAGATGTGAAGAGTGCGTAGTGCAGGAGAGAATTCGTGTGTCGGGAGATCAAAGGCGTGAAGCACGGCGTCTTGCGCTCTGTTTTCTTTCCGCATGTTCTGGACGAGAGAGGCAAAAACACGCAAGGAAGAGAAGAACATGGCCATGCCGCGGTCGGACTGGATGGTATTCGGTTCCCAGCACGCGCGAGAGCGGAAGATTGTTGACTTGCCTACCGCAAGCTTGGCGTTGCCCGTGGTCGTTCGATCAACAGCAAAGATATCGATGACGCCATCGACGGCGAGATTGACCAGGCCGGCGTCAGAGATGGTGGCATTCATGCATCCGGGATGGATTGGTTGCTCGGAGGTGTGAAGGTCGAGCGTTTTGAACTTCCGTTGGCCAGTCTCATCAATATCAGTGCGAGCAAGTTGGGACAAGTGGCGTTGTTTGGAGCAGACGGCGATGACAGGCGGCTTCTTGTAGCGACCTGTGTACCTGGTTTGCATCTCGGCGCCGCGAAGTTCCACTTTCTTCTTATTCTCAACATCGACGCCGAATCTGGCACGGAGCGCGGCCTTGAGAGCGGGCTCCGTTGGGGTGGTGAGATTGAGACGCTCTACTGTGCTCTTCCCGTGCACAACAAAGCAGTCACTTCGATGTGGTGTTCCATCTGCGAGCTGCCTGGCCAGGTTGCAGTTGCATTCGAGAAGTTCCACATCGTCATCGAAAAGTGGCTGAATGTGAAGATGGGCGGCGACACGATCGTGTAGCTGGCGAATGGTCGAGTTGAGAGGCACTGAGACGACTGGGCAGGCGCTCCTATCTTTGCAAAGTGCCGGGGTGATGATGCGAATGTTGAGCGTGTCTTCGATCTCCATCGCACCACGGAGAGGGAGCACGGGAGGCTGGGAGGCATCTTTTGAGGCAAAGACTGCAAAGATCTTGTCCTCATCGGCGTGGACAACGTCACCCAAGTTGTCTTCCTGGTCTAGGATGGCGCCGGTTTCGCTGTCAATGTGCAAGGTGGCAAGATGCGTGTGAGGTGCGAGCGAGAGCTTTTGCCGTGCAACGCGTTTCCACAGCTCGTTGATGAACTCAAGCACAGCTGAAGATGGCTTGAAGGGTATCAACAGTGTCGGCCGCTCGCCAGTGGCGCCCGGGGACACGATGGTGACTGAGTATCGCTGCATGTTGAGGAGAGGCCCAGGAAGCCCGACGATGATGAGTTGCACGCAGTCAGAAAGCAAGGGAGAGGGTGGGGTTTGGAAAGAGAGCGGACGAGTGTAGCAGGAGAGTCCTGTGGTGAAAGCAACCGGCAGTACGGCGTATGTGAAAGTTGCGTAGTGACTTATCAGACGCGTTTGTAGGACTTTGGAGCCTAAGCGCGTCTGCCTAAAGACCACGTGCGTAAAGAACAGAACAGGAAGGAGCGACTAACTTGGGCACAGTCACGTGAAGAAGTAATTCGGAGCTTATACCTACATCACCTCGAACAGAGCATGCCGCATGCCCGTTCGACAACCCAGGGGAGTCGAGGAGCCCACTCCATGAGTGACGAATGGTGCGATCTGAACGTGGATCACGTCTCCTCAAGGCCGTATAAATGATCCCACGTCCTAATGTCAGCGACGAGCAAATCTCGATGTCCTTTGGTGAGAATGTATGAAGAGGTGCAGTACATGTAGGCAAAGGAGTGAAGTCACGGAGGCCACCGTAGACCCTTGCCAGGAACCAGTAATAAGGTTTCTCCAGATCTGACATTTGATCATCGAACTCTAATTGCATAACTAAAAAAAGTGCCAGCTGTGCTTTCACCAAGTCTTGGACAAGCCTCACTCTCCTGCCCCTCTCCCCCACTCCCCAATTCCTACATCCCTCTACGAATTCAATCAGACAACGCCGACATCTTCGATGCTGTCTCAACCTACGACTCGATTTCCACTACTCCGTTAAATCCTCCTTTCGCCAACCGGCCGGCCGCCGGCACCCCCGACAACATGGAGAACGCCTACGTTCGCTCCACCCAAGAAATCCTCCGGCATTTCAACGTCGTCGAGAAGACTGGACTCTCACACAAGTCTGTCACTGCCGCACGAGAGAAATACGGCCGAAATGGTAAGCACCTCTCCGCGAACATGAGACGCCAGAACCTCCGACTAAACCTTTGCAGCGATCCCTGAAGATCCACCAACACCGCTCTGGGAGCTGATCTTGGAGCAATTCAAGGATCAGCTCGTCATCATCCTCCTCGCCTCCGCCGCCATCTCCTTCGTCCTGGCCTTGTTTGAAGAAGACGAGGGCTGGACCGCTTTCGTCGATCCCGTCGTCATCTTGACGATCCTCATTCTTAACGCTATTGTGGGTGTGAGCCAAGAGAGCTCGGCAGAGAAGGCGATCGCCGCACTGCAAGAGTATTCGGCGAACAAAGCGAAAGTCCTGCGGGATGGCATGATCAGCGAGGTCAAGGCTGAAGAGCTGGTGCCTGGAGATATCGTCCATGTTGCAGTCGGCGACAGGATACCGGCGGATTGTAGGCTCTTGAGCGTCCAGAGCAACAGCTTCAACGTCGACCAGTCTATCCTGACCGGCGAGAGCGAGAGCGTGGGGAAGGAGACGCATGCCATCAAGGACGAGCAGGCCGTGAAGCAGGACCAGATCAACATCTTGTTCTCCGGCACGACCGTCGTTACTGGCCACGCTCATGCCGTCGTCGTGTTAACCGGACCAAACACTGCAATCGGAGACATCCACGAATCCATCACCGCGCAGATCTCGCAGCCCACCCCGCTCAAGGAAAAGCTGAACGATTTTGGCGACATGTTGGCCAAAGTCATCAGCGGTATCTGCATCCTCGTCTGGCTGATTAACATTCAACACTTCAACGACCCCTCCCATGGCAATTCTTGGACAAAGGGCGCCATCTACTACCTGAAGATCGCCGTCTCGCTCGGTGTCGCTGCCATTCCCGAGGGCCTAGCAGTCGTCATCACCACTTGTCTGGCGTTGGGCACGAGAAAGATGGCGGCAAAGAACGCCATTGTCCGCTCTCTTCCCTCCGTGGAGACGCTCGGAAGCTGCAGCGTCATCTGCTCCGACAAGACTGGCACCCTCACCACCAATCAGATGAGCGTCAGCAAGGTCGTCTACATCAACGAAGCCGGCAACGACCTCGACGAGCTGGACATCCAAGGCACTAGCTTTGCTCCGGATGGCGAGGTCTTGAAGAACGGCAAGCCCGCGACCAATCTCGCGGTGTCGTCCAGCACCGTGGCGCAGATGATCCAAGTTGCCGCCATTTGTAACGACGCTCAGCTGTCTTGGGATGACAAGAACAAGACGTATCACAGCGTTGGCGAACCAACAGAAGGCGCATTGAGAGTGCTGGTGGAGAAGATTGGGTCTACCGACTCTGCACGCAACGCCAGACGCTCGTCCCTCCATCCCGAGGAGAAGCTGCACTTCATGAGTCAGGCCTACGAAGACAAAGCCCCGAAATTGAGAACCTTTGAGTTCTCCCGCGACCGGAAGAGCATGTCTGTCCTCGTCTCCAACAACGACAAGTCGAAGCAGCTTCTGGTCAAGGGCGCCCCGGAATCTGTCATCGACCGCTGTACTCACTGCTTAACTGGCAGCAATGGAAAGCGAGTCCCACTGAGTGACAAATTGAAATCGCTCCTCGAGGATGAAGTCGTACAGTACGGCAAGCTTGGGCTTCGCGTGATAGCACTCGCGAGCATCGACAACGTCACCTCGCAACTGGCCACGACTGCCAAGACCAACAGAGAATATGCCCAAGTCGAGCAGGGCATGACTCTGCTCGGTCTTGTTGGCATGCTCGATCCGCCGCGTCCAGAAGTGGCATTGAGCATTCGTCAATGCCGTGAGGCTGGTATTCGTGTTGTGGTCATCACCGGCGACAACCAAAACACCGCCGAAACGATCTGCCGGCAAATTGGAGTCTTCGGCGAGGACGAGGATCTTACTGGCAAGAGCTACACCGGACGGCAGTTTGAGAGTCTCAGCGAGAAGGACAAGCTAAAGGCTGCGCAGACTGCGTCGTTATTCTCGCGTACCGAACCTGGCCACAAATCGAAGTTGGTCGATCTCCTGCAATCCGCTGGAGAGGTTGTGGCCATGACGGGAGATGGTGTCAATGATGCTCCCGCATTGAAGAAGAGCGACATTGGCGTTGCTATGGGCACTGGTACCGATGTTGCCAAGTTGGCTGCAGACATGGTTCTCGCCGACGACAACTTCGCCACGATTGAGAGCGCCGTTGAAGAAGGTCGCAGCATCTACAACAACACCCAGCAATTCATCCGGTACTTGATCTCCTCGAACATCGGCGAAGTGGTGTCGATCTTCTTGACTGCCGCCCTCGGCATGCCGGAGGCTCTGATCCCCGTGCAACTCCTTTGGGTGAACCTGGTTACTGATGGTCTTCCCGCCACTGCTCTGAGTTTCAATCCCAAGGATCACGATGTGATGAAACGACCACCGAGGAAGCGGGACGAGAAGCTCGTCGGCGGCTGGCTCTTCTTCCGTTACATGGTCATTGGCATTTATGTCGGCCTGGCGACTGTGGGAGGATATGCGTGGTGGTTCATGTTCTACGAAGGTGGCCCTCAGATCACCTTCTGGCATTTGGTAAGCTCGTCCCTCGTCATTTTCTAACGTTGTATCTCCGACTAACAACTATCAGACGCACTTTCATCGCTGCAAGTCCGCCTTCCCCGAGATCGGCTGTGCCATGTTCTCCAACGACTCCGCCAAAGCCGCCTCGACCGTGTCGCTCTCGATCCTTGTGGTGATTGAGATGCTCAACGCGATGAACGCCCTCTCCTCCTCCGAATCACTCCTCACCCTGCCTCTCTGGAAGAACATGATGCTGGTCTACGCCATCACCTTGTCGATGGCGCTTCACTTCGGCCTTCTCTACACCCCAATCCTCCAGACCATCTTCGGCATTGTCCCGCTGAACTGGGACGAATGGCAGATTGTGCTGGGCTGGAGCGCACCCATCATCCTGATTGATGAGGCGCTGAAGTACGTGGAACGAGGCTGGTTCTTGCCGGTGACGGAGGCGGCGAAGATGCACCAAAAGAAGATCGACTGATTGTATCGGCTGGCCTACTCTATGTATACGCTGTCATAGACCCATCTAGAATTAGACACCCTAAAAGTCCGAGATGTCTACACTTGTCCAAGACGCTCATGAGCGATTCCACTCAATGCTCGACTTGATGTCGCCGTAATGCGCAAGTAGGTAGTCCTTCCAGTAGTAGCTTCGCGCCTGCCACTGGCCGCGGTCTGCCGCCTTGGGCAAGACGTCTTTGCCCTTCTTGACGTATGTGCTCTTCAGGCGTAGAAGTGGCGCATCTTTCATGGTGTTCTTCTCCTTGTCGCTGAGGCGAGGAATGATTTCATCCACGCCTTCCTTCTTCATTTGGTTCAGCATGCGGCAGATCATCTAGTGGAGACTTGTCAGCATGGGGTAACAGCACTGCCATTGAGATTTTCTTACCTGCGCAGTCGCGTCCGCACCGAGCGTCCACGAAGCATCGACGTATCCAATCACGAAGGCGGCGTTGGGGAGGTCTTGCAACATAACGCCCTTCCAGACGTACTTCTCCGGCACGTTGTAAGGCTTGCCGTCAACACTGACATCGATACCACCACCGACTCGGACCTTCAGCCCGGTGGCTGTGACGATGATGTCCGGGTGCAATTCCTTGCCGGAAGTCAACTTGACAGAGTCCGCCGTCACCTTCTCAATCACCCCTGTCTCCACACTGGCCTTGCCGGATCGCAGAGCACGGTAGAAGTCTGCGTCCGGGCAGAAGCACACCCTCTGCTCAAAGGGGTTGTAATCTGGCGTGAAGTTCGGGCTGTAAGAGACGGTCGGCGGGAGTTGGGGCTCGGTGGCGGAGCGGAACATCTTCTTGCCCAAGGACGGGAAGTATTGGCAGAAGGTGACGAGGAGGAAGGGCACGGCGATCCATTTCCAGCGGATGAGTTTGTGTTGGTAGTAGACGGGGAACCATCTGCGGATGAACCTTTCCAGCGCGTCTTCGCTGGGGGTGGAGAGGATGTAGCTGGGAGATCGCTGGAGCATGGTTACGTGGGAGGCTGTTCTGCTCATGGCTGGGACGACGGTGACTATTTGCTGTTAGATGAAGCTGGGACGACGTGCCTGGCATGTCTGGCTTACCTGAAGTTGCTCCGCTTCCCACAATGACTACATTTTTGTTGGCGTAGTCGAGATCCTTAGGCCAGAACTGCGGGTGAATAACCTTACCCTTGAAGTCATCGATTCCAGGAATGACGGTCTTCAATGGCTCGTGGTAATCGTAGTAACTTTGCAGCGAATTAGCTGACGTCCAATATGACTTTCCGTGCCCAACTTACCCAGTACACAACAAGACAAACTTGCTCCGGAACGTCTTCTTCTCGGTCTTGTTCGCAGTGACATCAAATGACCACGTCTTGTGCTCTGAAGAGTAGTTCGCAGCGTTGACCTGATGATGAAACAGGATTTTCTTGTCAATGCCATACATCTGAGCAGACTCCTTGAGGTAGTTGAGAATCAACGGGCCGCCAGCAATCGAGGTCTCCTCGGTCCACGGGCGCCAGGGGAAACCAAAGGTGTACAAGTCGGAGTCGGAGCGGATGCCGGGGTACTGGAAGAGCGACCAGGTGCCTCCCATCTCGTGTCGGCCATCGAGGATGATGTAGCTGAGGTCGGGGTTGCGTTCCTGCAGTCGGTATCCAAAGTTGATGCCCGAGATACCAGCACCTATGATCACAACATCGTAGGCGTTTTCGCCGCCCTTTTCAAAAGCCATCTCCAGAGATGTAGAGTGTAAATGAAGACGAGACTTGTGCAATTGGGACGTGGTTATCCTTGGAGCAGAGGGACGGGACGGCGATTTATCTACCTCTTCTGCTCGGTCGTCCGGAGTAATGAGCGAAGTGGAACGAGGCTCTTCCTTCGATTTATGAAAGATGTCGTCTTTGACTACTGCAAAATGCCTCGGCTTGCAGATGTTAGGGATGATCGTCACCAAGGCGGGCGGTACGGACGACGACCTCGAAAGGGGAATTTGTGGGGCGATGGTTGTTCCGAGGCCGACGACGAGGGCATACGAGGACGAATTGCATGCCGCATTCGAGCAACATACGTCCGTAGCAGTCAGGCAGTCCATCATCAGCCGACCTCAACAACGACCCGGCGGTATTCTATTGTTGCTATCCGCTGGGCAGCATCGGTGTCTCGTAGAGCGTCCGCTGCGCTTGGACTGGGGGTGCGCTCGCCGCTTTCGTACGTCAGAGCCAGATCCGCGATGCATGGAAGAAGTCATTCATGCAACTTCGTATGTCGACCAGGCTGATACGATGATGCACCCTAGGATGTCATTGACAGCGCCGGTGGGTAGATGCATCACTTCGCGCTGGAAAGCGAGTGAGATGTGAATCCCGACTCCATGTCACTGCGCCCTTGACCCAAAAGAACTCGTACATCACACGCACTGCCTTTACCTTGCTCACCATCGAGCCATCATGGCAACGCCGAATACTCCGAGCCACGCTACCCTACCTCCAAGGCGCGTTCGGTGAGCAGATCAATATGCATCGCCACCTTATCTTCAAAAGTACGACTGACAGCACCAGAATCGATTTTGGGAAAGAGGTCGTTGTGCTCGTCGGCGGATCCGAAAAACGATTCGTTTGTCACGCCAATCTGCTCACCGCACAATCTCCATTCTTCGAAGCCGCGCTGTCGGGCAGATGGCTTGAATCGGAGGAGAAGCTGGTCCGCTTGCCCGAGCAAGCTCCAACCGCCTTCAGCATCTATCTCAACTGGCGCTACACTGGAGCAGTCGATCTCTGGGACGGCGAGGACAACGCCGGGACATATACCATCCCGGAGGGTGCCATCAAGGAGAATCAGGGTCCACGATTTTCCAGACTTGTTCGCTGCTCAGTGCTGGCAGACATGCTCCAAGACCATGCATTCAGCAACGCTCTCATCGACAGCTATTTCGACCTCGTTGAGATCACCTATCAGTTCCCGAGTTCCACAGCTGTAAACCTAGCGTTCCAACTGCTCGCTGAGGGCTCGTGGGTGCGGCGTCTCTTCATCCGACAGCTAGCGTTTGATGCCAACGCATATGAGCTCAGCCAGCGTATCAACGAACATGATTTCCAAGTGGTGAGCGCGATCGCCGTATTGTCAATTATGGAGAGAGGTGTGCCGATGAAAGACAAGAGAATACGAGCGAAACGTCAGAGCATGTATCACAACCCAGCGGAAGGCAAAAAGAAATGATCTCGAGGGATGTGATCGATGAGAAGGCCTCCACGGAAAGACTGGGCACGCATAACGTTTGAGTCACAATGATATACTGCTCTGGATAATCAGTGAGGGTACAATACGGAGATGAGTGCAGAGGGGCGAGAGATGAACCCGCCCGACTAGTAGTACCATCGACTCAGACTGTAAAGGGGAACCATTTCTGAAGAAATAACCAATCCCTACCAGCCACCGTAGTTGCATGCAGTCATTCACACTACGAACGCTGCTCTGTTGCACAGGCCCTCAATCCTCACATCGAACCCACTCTCTACCCCAAATCCCTTTCTGTTACATTCACTCTCATGAGTGCTCCTTCCTCATGCTTACTTCAACGTCACCTCTCGCTCTTGCACCTTCGGGCTGCGCGAATTCCAACAGTCACCTCCACCAAGCTCCAGCTCACCTCAGATCTTTATGATGATTCCGCTCGCCATCGACCCAGCCTCACATCGGTCTTTACTTCGTCGCTGCAGTCCAAGTTCACAGCGACCATGGCATCACCAGCAAGCGTCAGCAGTGGACGTTCGCTGAAGCGCTCAAGGTGAGTGCACCTGGGGCGAACAGGCCTTTCGGTTCTTCTGACGTGAATGTAGGGTTGATTTCACCGACCACATTACCATCCTTGTGGGCGAGGACGAGAGAGCATTTCTCATCCACAAGAACATTGCCTGCGACAAATCCGACTTCTTCAAGGCTGCATGCAACAGCGACTGGAAGGAGAGGAAAGAGAAGACAATTCGACTTCCAAACACGGAAGTCCGGACTTTCACGATATTCGCTTGCTGGCTGTATACGAATGAGCTGGATCTGAATGGCACCGGGCAAAAGCCCATCTGGTCGACAGGTATGGACGCTGAGCTGAGGCGGAACACCTGGATGGACATTTATCGTTGCTATGTCCTGGGAGACTTCCTGAACTCCGCGCAGTTCTGCAATACTCTTGTCGATGAGCTCCTGGCCAGCGCGGAGGCTACAAACAAGATCCCGGGACCGCGGATAGTGCTGCACTTTGCTGGCGAGCTGAGGCTTACGTCCACTCTCGGCAGGTTGCTGATCGATTCTGTTGCAACTGAAGTGACGAAGGAGGTTTTCATGAAAAACGTAGACAGTTATGCGACCGCGTTCGTCATTGAGGTGGCGAAAGTTTGCGTGATGGAGCGGAACATGACGCTGGATGAACGGCAGCCGAGGAACAGGCCAAAGTGCTATTACCACGAGCACAAAGACGAGAAGGACAAGTGCGCTTAGTGCTGGGATGCGACGGGCGAGATGGTGGAAGGACGAGACATGGTGATGATGGAAGTTGAAGCATCCTCCAGGTGAAGCAGTGCAGCGCGCGTAAGATAGCGAGTAGTCGGAAGGTGGAAGGTTGTAAATCATCGGGCTTTCGTGCGCTCCCATACAGTACGCTCTCGATCGGACTGTTCCAGCATGGACCTGACCTGAACACGTCAAGCGCTTCTATTTGCAACAGCCGAGCATCCGGGAGACGGCCTTGGGACCATCGTCACGGAGCACAAGGCGGTGTGGCGGGGACAGCAATGCATCGATACCACGAGGAGCACGAGCAGGCTGAAGCCATTGTGGCAGTGTCGGAAGCAAGCCCAAAAATAAACTCGCCAGGTAGAGTGTACCTGCGTTAGCGCAACTTTTGGGCGGTAGGACTTCTTCCGAACGGAGCGGCGGAGGCGAAGCAACGGCAAACGAGCGCGCGGCCAGACAGGCACAAGCGCACAAGGCAACACGTGCACAACGTCGGACGAGGAAGTTTGGGCGGGTGTCTTGGAAGAAGAAAGGGGGAGGGGGGCAGGGGGTCGCTCCACTGCGAAACGGGAGCGGCCCGCAGCCCTGGTAAGCATCGGCTGGGCTGTTGTTTGCTATGTTCACCTTTCAAAAGGCCACTGTTTACACCTCACACTTCTCTTCCAGCTCTCCCTCCCACTCTCCTCCGATCGCTACGTATCATCACGACTGACGACTTTTGCTCTTCGTACTCAAATTCGACGGCCTGGGGCAGCGCGGTTTACAATACTGACGAATCAACAACACGCACTCCTGTTGCATAGATTGCAACCATGTGGTATGACAAGATGAGAGCGATGGAGATGTGAGCGCGGGTCTGATTGAATGCAGTGGAATCTTCGGGTACATCAATTACTTGGTGGAGAAGGACAGAAAGTACATCCTCGACACTCTGGTCAATGGTGAATCCAACATTGCTCCTCCTCTCCCCACCGCCATGCATTAACCCCATCTCCTCCCCAGGCCTCGCTCGCCTAGAGTACCGTGGCTACGACTCCGCCGGTCTTGCCGTCGACGGTGACCGCAAGAATGAAGTCTTCGCCTTCAAGGAGGTCGGCAAGGTGGCCGCGCTCAAGAAGCTCATCGAGGAAGAGAAGCCCGACATGACCAAGGTCTTTGACAACCATGCCGGCATTGCGCACACCCGCTGGGCCACTCACGGCTCTCCATCCAGGGTCAACTGCCACCCTCACCGATCCGATCCCACCTGGCAGTTTGCTGTGGTCCACAACGGTATCATCACCAACTACAAAGAGCTGAGGGCATTGTTGGAGAGCAAGGGCTTCAAGTTTGAGACGGAGACGGACACCGAGGCGATTGCCAAGTTGGCAAAATACATCTACGACGAGCATCCCACCATCGACTTCACCACCCTCGCCAAGGCGGTCATCAAGGAGCTGGCGGGTGCGTTTGGTCTGCTCCTCAAGAGTGTGCATTACCCCGGCGAGGTGGTGGCCGCTCGCAAGGGCTCTCCCTTGGTGGTTGGTGTGCGCACACAGAAGAAGATGAAGGTCGATTTTGTGGATGTCGAATTCCAGGAGAATGACATCCCATTGCCCGCCGAGACGGCCAGCCACAACGTCGCCCTCCGCAAGACCAACAACCTGCTCGCCCCTCCAGACAAGGCCAGTCTGCTCCACCGCTCGCAGTCGCGTGCCTTCCTGTCCGACGACGGCGTGCCTCAGCCGACGGAGTTCTTCCTCTCCTCTGACCCCTCTGCCATTGTGGAGCACACGAAGAAGGTGCTCTACCTCGAGGACGACGACATTGCTCACATCCACGAGGGCCAGCTTAACATCCACCGTCTGAGCAAGACCGATGGCACAAGCAATGTCCGCGCCATCCAAACCATCGAGATTGAGCTGCAGGAGATCATGAAGGGCCGCTTCGACCACTTCATGCAAAAGGAGATCTTCGAGCAGCCGGAGTCCGTGGTCAACGCGATGCGTGGACGCCTCAATCTGGAGGCAAAGACCATCACGCTTGGTGGCTTGAGACAGCACATGACCACCATCCGTCGCTGCCGTCGTCTGATCTTCATTGCCTGCGGAACCAGCTACCATTCATGCATGGCTGTTCGCGGATGTTTCGAGGAGCTCACAGAGATTCCCATCTCTGTCGAGCTGGCCTCCGACTTCCTGGATCGTCAAGCCCCCGTCTTCCGTGACGACACCTGCGTGTTTGTCTCGCAATCTGGTGAGACTGCCGACTCGCTCATGGCCCTCCGCTACTGCTTGGAGCGTGGCGCTCTGACCGTCGGTATTGTCAACGTCGTCGGATCCTCCATCTCCATGATGACGCACTGCGGTGTGCACATCAACGCCGGCCCGGAGATCGGTGTCGCCTCCACCAAGGCCTACACCTCGCAATTCGTGTGCATGGTCATGTTCGCCCTCAGTCTCGCCGAGGACCGCGCGAGCAAGTATCAGCGACGCATGGAGATCATGGAGGGCTTGGGTAGGGTCTCGGAGCAGTTCAAAGAGATCTTGAAGATGGACCAGGATATCAAGGAGTTGTGTCAAAAGTTCGTTTCGTCTATGAAGACAGCCCCTGACTTTCGAAGCGCTGGTACTGATTCGATTTGCAGGTTTAAGCATCAGAAGAGCTTGCTCTTGTTGGGCCGTGGTGCCCAACACGCCACTGCGCTGGAAGGTATGAACGACGCCCGCCCTCTCTCGTCTTCGCATCGATCTAATGCCATGTTGCAGGTGCGCTGAAGATCAAGGAAATCTCCTACATGCATTGCGAGGCCGTCATGTCCGGAGAGCTCAAGCACGGCGTGCTAGCTCTGGTCGACGAGTCTCTGCCCATTGTCATGATCCTCACGCGCGACAACATCTTTGCCAAGTCTCTGAATGCCTACCAGCAAGTCATTGCTCGCAAGGGCCGTCCGATCGTCATTTGCAATACCGGCGACAAGGAGTTCCCCGGCGAGAAGACGGACAGGATTGAAGTGCCGCATACCGTTGACGTGCTGCAGGGATTGCTCAATGTGATTCCGCTGCAGTTGATGGCGTACTGGCTGGCTGTTGGCGAGGGGTGAGTAGTGTTGCTGTTGGTCTATCGTTGAATGCGTGCTAATGCTATGCGAACAGATTGAACGTCGACTTCCCCCGCAACCTGGCCAAGAGTGTTACGGTCGAGTAATCCCGCGAAAGGGAGCGTCCACTCCTTACGATGCGGTATGGAGAGCAACGAGAGTCTGTGCCCTTGGCATATTAGATGGCGCTGAAGGCGTTGGCGCGTGTTACGACTATAGACGATGAGGGGCTTGCGGCGGGTATGTTTTGATTCGTTCTGTTGGTAGAGAATGAGAGCTTCTGTGATTCTATCGACTGCCTTTGCATCATTCTTCAATGCGCAAGCGCGCGGTATATCGGGTGCAATGAGCTATATAACCAACGAGAGGCCGCGCGCATCCTTCAATGAAGCTGTAGCGCCGAGCAGGATGAGTGTTGTTCGATCGAATGGCGATATGTCGACAACAGCTCAACACCAAGCTGTCCTCCTCGGCGTCTCGCCGTCCAGGATGCACTGACGCGCGCGTAGCGACCAGCACCTCGTTTTACATCATCCACCGACTCTCATCAATGCCCTGCTGGCTGTCATTCAGCAGGAGGGGAAATTGAGCAGATCGGCGAGCGCTTGACAAGGAATACAAATTGCAGCTGAGCAGCATGACAATTACGACGTTTTGTCTACCTGGCTTCCATCTGCAGAGAAGCGAAAGCATCACCTCATCACCCGTCGGGATCGTCTGTTGCCGGGATAATAGCGTTTTCGACTACTGGTTGATCCTACCGCCCTGCTGGATCCCCGCCCCCAAGCCATCGCCTGCACGTCGCCAGGTTGTTGGGAATGCATGGGAAGACGACCAACTTGATTCTACTGTTGGTGAGAAGCATATTTGTCCATCCTTGTCGCCAACAACTCACAACTGATGATTCTCGACACGAAGGACTGAAGATCTGACGAGGCTTTTGCGCAAAGCCCTCCCGCCAATCACCAAACAGACCGGAGACGTCGCGAGGCGTGGGCGCTTAGAAGGCTCGCCACGACGAATCACAATCCACCCCAGCTGCTCGCGGGGCGTTTGGGAGGCCGTTGACGCCAAACCCCTCGTGTCCAAGGGCGAGTCCGGGGGTGTGGATTGGACGACGATTGGCCCGCCCGCCGCGCTGCCTCACCACTGCATCCCTCCGCCATCCGTCACCATCCTCGACCGCTCGTGTTGGCTTGCACGTTAACCGCCCGGCACCAAGAATAGCTGGGCGAGGGCGAGAGCGTGTGCATCCCCATGTGCCGTCCCCGACCAACAGCCGTGTGCTGCCCTCAATCAACCTGCGGCGCCAGGTGAGCCGCCCAAACTCTCTCCCGCTCGTCTCGCTTCGCTTTAAGCATTCCCTTCCCGCCTTGCTGCGAGCCTGCTCTCCTTCCTTTGTGCCTTGCCTTGCTCTGCTCCCTCCCCTCCCTGCCCTCACTGAGTTCTTCTGCTCGCAGGCCTTGCGCGGCGTTCTCGTCGTCCGCAACTTCTTCTTTTCGTCTTTCTGTCGCTCATTTCTCCCCTCGACGACTTGCCGTCATGGCTTCTCTTACCGCTACTGCCACCATGCTCTCGGCCACGGGCTTCGACAAGAGGGCCAGCTCTGCTTCTTCCCTGCAGACACCCGGCTCTGGCTCGTTCCCCTCCGAGCTCGTCAGTCCCTTGGCGACTTCCCCCAGTCTCTTGCGGAGGGATGAGCTCAAGACTCCCATCACCCCTCCTTCCGCCTATCTCGACTTTCTGCGGAACATGTCGCCTGCCATGCTGAGCCCTGCTCCAAGCAGTACGAGCGCGCGCTTCAGCTTCAGCGACAAGGATCTGGCTTCTCATCCTCCCTTGGAGAAGGTTTCCTCCGCAAGTCCCCCGATCCAGCTGGACCCTCAACAACCCCAATTATCCCGTAACACCTCCTACGACTCAAGCATCTCCGCGAACAGCAGCCTCAGCAGCCTGAGCGGCGTATCAATCGCAAGCTCAACCTCCCACGGCTCCGCCAAAAAGCAACGACCCGAGTCCCCCCGTGTAATCATCCCACCATCCCCCTTCGCCAAGCCCGCTCCAAGGTCAGCGCGCACCCCACGCCTGCACATCCCTCAATCGCCCCTCAACCCCGCCGTCAACTCAACCCACTCCATCCCTCAATCCCCCTACTCCACAACGCCCCTCAGCGCAGCACCATGGAGCGCAACCTTCTCTCCCCGCGACATCGACCCGGAGATCAACGGCAAGCCCGGCAAAGTCAGCGTGCGACAGGTCGTCACCAGGACTGTCACGTATTGCCGAACGCCGCTGGACCCGGCGCCGAAGGGCAAGAGGCGAAAGATTGAGGTCGAGGAACTCGATTCCAAGGAGTCGTCTGAGGAGCCGCCGGTCAAGCAAGAGAAGCTGGATGATCAACAGGCTGTTTCGGCTACGCCTGATGCGCCGAAGGACGCGTAGACCGCAGTCGGTTCGCGGGTATACGATCACTGCTTATCTCCATGTATCGTCTCCAACTCCTTGATTGGCACGATATCGGTGCTACCCGGCTGCACCCTCCTGGACCCACGTTAATGATTGATGATGGATGTTGCACTGCTGTTGTGAAAATTCGCCTTCCCAAGCCTGGCGCTCGGAGTACGATAATGGAACATCCTCAGCCTGGTGTTCGAACGACGCGTGGGGTCGATGCTTGCTGCTGTTAATCTACCCGCACGCATAATACTCGCAATCAGGGGCATTGGTCTCACAGGGTGAGAAGACCTGGAGGTCTGAAATACGGCAAAGTGCTTTGACGCGAGCGCACGAAACACGATCTTCGAGGCCCACCTGGCTCGCAGTCGAGGCAGGGCCGATGTACGTCTTGAATATATCACAAATCACTCAAAACTCACTATACTCCCTCGTCTTCCGTGGTTGTCAACTCACTCGGACGGGTTGTGCGCGTCACTTCGCCCCTCGATCGTTCCTTCCTCGACTCACTGGGCTCACAGTCATGTGCTGTTGGACGCGACACGTGCGTGCCGTTTGTTTGCACATGATGGAGACGCGCGCGTTGATTAAACCTCCCAGCCACCGCTTCTTCTTCTTCTTCTTCTTCTTCTTCTTCTTCTTGCTCCCCCTTCCACTTTCTTCCGCACACACCTTTACCGACTTGTTCCTTCATCCGTACTCTGGCTTGATACCTCGACATCACCATCGACAGCTCATTCAGCATTATCACACGCATCTTCGCTGCTTCATCCTCTCGGTCTCCTCATCCTCTCGCTCATCATAAACAAGTAAGTATACCGCTCCGGCGCGTTTACAAGAACCTCCTCACTGACCACGCGCTCTCAAGTCTCATCACACTCCAACGCTCATCCCGGTCACCATGTCGGTGACATTCGAGATCAGCCTACCTTTCAAGACCGTTCTTGCCATGCGCGATATCAAGGACGAGCTGGCTACGACGACCAAAGGCACCGTGAACACGGAGATCGAGGACTTCCTCGCTGCTGATGCCTGGCGTATTGTAGCCAAGGCCGCAAAGGGGCTGGACAGCGACATCATTCCGGCAAAGGAGAGCGACGCGTACTCTGAGGAGTACTGCAGCTGTGACGACGACGTCAAGTATGGCGTCGCTTACTCCAAGGCCAACGGCGACCACGAGCCCTACAACGTCACTGTGCCCATCTTCGATTGCCCCGACTCCCTTCACTGGAGCGCCAAGGACAATTGGGAGACGTCAGAGTTGTTGAAGGTCACCATTCAAGACGCGATGCGTAAGGAGAAGAGGTTCGAGGTGGAAGACAGCACTACCTTCGCCCAGCTCACCCAAGCATACGCCCAGCGCATCGACTCGCCGATGTGGTCACTCACTTTCAAATATAACGGGAGAGTGATCCACAACGAGAGCCTGTGCACTCTGAAAGATGTAAGCTTCCTCCACTGCCTCCCTTGCCCTGCAGAAGCTGATACATGCCGCAGCTCTCGATCCACAGCCACAGCGTGATCGAAGTCCGTCCGTCGATTGATGATGTCGTCCACAAGCACATCACCGTCACGCTGCAGGACGAGACGGCCAAGTACGAGGATTTGAGATGTGCGGTCTCGGATCAGGCCTGCGTCTGCGACCTGGGCGTTCTTTGGACCAAGCACACCGACGAAGACCCAAACGACTTCTACTTCGAGGTAGATGGTGTGAGCTGGTTCACGACCGATGAAGAGACCATGCAAGAGGTAGGTGGCTCTTCGACGCTGGCGGTGGAGTCTGAGGCTAATATTGAAACCAGCTCAACATCGGTCATGGCGACGTGGTGTGTGTGAAGTCGAAGGAAGTTGCGGATGCGGACTGTGACTGGGGTGCCGTCGATGCCGACATGGAGGCGCGTCAGCGCTGCTCAAGCCCAGCATCGGTTCGGTCTTCAGACGCGAACAACTGGGGGGCGCGCACCGTCAGCAATGCGGGTTCGTGCGGCTTGCACAGGACTCCAAGTGGCTTCTTCGTCGTCCCCCCTACGACTTCCGCTGGCTGGACCGCCCCTCCCCCTACGCTTGCTCATGGCGGCTGGGTGTCCGGTAACAAGGCTTCAAGTGATTACTGGGCCATCCCCCCTACCCCGGCTTCCATTGGCGGGACCCACCCTCCCCATGCGCTGGTTCAAGGTGGCTGGATGCCCCATAGCCGTGTAAGAAATGCTGTGTCTGACATCAACCTTCAAAGCTAACGAATAGAGCAGTGGGGAAGCGATAAGGGATCTGTCCAGACCGTGAGCCTCCATTCGGATTCGGAGTGGGCGCAGAACACACCTTCTACCAGCCCTGGAGGTGCGGCGAGCTTCATCGACGACGCGGACCAGAGCAGCGTCACTAGCGAGCCCATCGCCTGTGCTGGCAGCCTCACCATTCATGTCAACGTTCCGAAGGGTGACCGAGTTCTGGTCGTCACCCATTCTCAAGACACCCTTGAAGAGTTCTGGGATCTGCTGTACCGGCAGGCCGGCAGTGCTGTGCTGGGATGCAGCGAGCTGAGGTTCATCGATGGCGTTCATGTCATGGAAGAGCCCTCAAGCATGCAGAGGTCGCTGTCCGAGGTAAGTCGTGGTTGACGGTCTCTTCTACTCGGATCTGAAACTGACCGACACATAGCTCGGCGTCTCCGCGCGCACTGTCCTCGAGGCTAGCCGTCCTGACTGGTGATTCTGTTGACGGAGAGACCCTCGATAGCTCAACATCGGGGTAGCCTTCGCGGTTCAAATGATTTCAGCACAACGATTCGAGCTTCTTTGCTCTGGCGTGGTACGGTAAAAAGACGGCTACACGAACTTCTCCGAATACAATGGGTTCTCTGGGCTGCTCAGGTTCGAGCATAGCAGGATAAATGCCCCCGATTGAAATAGAAGGGCGTGGTACATAGCCAGGGTTATCCAAGGACATCGAAAGCATCTATCTCCCAGCTGCTACTTGTGACGTTGGAGCGCTCGCTACATCGCCATGCTAGCGGGTAGCATCGACTATAATGAATCACTGTGAGGAGTTCAGATTGTAGACCGTGGCTGATGAAGCCTTATAGGCCTCAAAGAGTCATCGTGTCTCTCCTGGCCATTGCTTGTAACTAGGGATATGCGCCTTAGATGAGCAGAGCTGCGGTGACATCAGCAGGCCGGTCGCTCTTTCCGAACATTTCGCACAGTATACCACTCCAATTTGACCCCGCCCAACATCCAAACTCTTCCTCAGCCTTCCTCTCATCTTCAAGAGCATTGAACCATCGACGCCCAAATCCATCTTCAAGAGCATTCAACCATCGACGCCCAAATCTCACCATGTCCACCCTCAAGGTCAACCTCGAGATCAAAGTCGACGAGCGCTCCGCCTCCTGCAACGTGGAAGTACCCCTGACTGCCATCGGCGCAATGACTCCCGGCTACCATCGCGCATCACAAAAGCTTGTGGTGGACTTTGTGTCGGCTGTTGTGGCGAAGGTACTGGGAGCGAAGGAGTTCAAGGTGCCCGATGCTCCAGCGAGTACATCATCGACGAAGAGGGGGATGAATGGCTACTCTGCGGAACACACCACAAAGACAGAGTACGAACTTGGGCACGACTTTGATCTGCTGAATCACGATGGTTAAAGGACATCAGGCTAGTTTATGGTATCCTTCCCCCTCGGCGGATTGTCCGAGCATTTGCTGACCTGACGGCAGGAATGTCGTATTTCAGGACTGCTATCATTGTGAAATCGTGCCTGGGATCCAAAAGGAGGAAACAGGTGTATCTTTGAGGCGTTTACATGCCTGGTCGAGATGCGGTGGGTCAGGCAAGATGGACTGGAAGCCGTGTTGTCGAGGATGGTGGCCTGAGGCTGCAGGCCAAATTCACCCAAAATAGTTAGCGCGACTCTGTATGCTTGCTGAGTCACCCGCTCCATGACAATGTGAACTTCAAAGGTCTGTAGATGAAGCCATCGTCGTTTTCTTTCCCTGTAATGCCGCTGTTGGCTGAATATCAAGATGAAGAACGGCGTTGAAGACGTTCCACCGCCTCCTCCTCCCCCTCCGCCCCCTACTGACGTCCCACCTCCGCCTCCACCACCCTCGGATCTCATCCCCCCGCCTCCACCCCCAGAAGACTTCGAGTCGACGGGTGCGACAGCGCCTACCGTCAAGAAGCGCAAACTAGGCTGGGGCAGCACTGCCGCTTCAAAACCTCAACCACTCAGCATCGAAGAATTGTTGGCAAAGAAGAAGGCGGCTGATGAAGCGGCGGCGAAACCAAAGTTTCTTTCGAAGAAGGAGCGCGAACGCCTTGCCCTGGAGAAGCGCGAGAAGGAAGTGGCCGCGGAGAAGGAGAAGCATGAGGGGGATAGGCTCACAAATGGATCTTCGAACGGCACAAACGGGCACAGTGTCGCGCGCAATAATGCGGCACCTACGGCACCGCGAGGGATGCGAAATGGAGAAGGAAGAGTTCCAACAGGACCGGCCGCCATGCGAAACCTCCCCAACAAAGGCTATGATATGGCGCCACCACCCCCACCAAAGTCCGTATCCATAGTCGATGGACCGAAGTCGTCGAAGAAGTTGTCTGAGCGAGACATCGAAGCCGATATGACTCGAACGCGGTACATGGGTGCCGACAACAACACCTCCACATTCAGCGCGAAAAAGAAACGCAAGCGAACGACGGAGAAGAAGTTCAACTTCGAGTGGAACACCGAGGAAGACACCAGCCCGGATTACAATCCCTTGTATCAGACCCGAGCCGAAGGCACGAGTCTTTTTGGTCGTGGGAAGTTGGGAGGCTTCGCGGATGATGCTGCGGATACTATGGCGCGGGCTTATGCGAGAGCAATAGAAGAAAGGGACCCTGAAGCTGGGCGAGAGAGAGCGAAGGAGATACTCGAAATGGAGCGGAGACGGCGCGAAGAAGGAGGGCGCAACGGCATTGACAAGCACTGGAGCGAGAAGAAGCTGGAGCAGATGCGTGAGCGTGACTGGCGCATCTTCAAGGAAGACTTCAACATCGCGACCAAAGGCGGCAGCATCCCGAACCCCATGCGCTCTTGGGACGAGTCTGGCCTGCCAAAGAAGCTTCTCGACATCGTGGACCAAGTCGGCTACACGGAACCGTCTGCAGTACAGCGAGCAGCTATTCCGATCGCCTTGCAGTCGAGAGATCTCATCGGCGTGGCTGTCACCGGTTCCGGAAAGACTGCCGCATTCATCCTGCCACTGCTGACTTACATTTCCGAGCTGCCGGCACTGAACGAGTTCACGAAGAACGACGGCCCCTACGCAATCATCATGGCGCCGACGCGTGAATTGGCGCAACAGATTGAAGTGGAAGCGAAGAAGTTCGCCACTCCTCTCGGCTTTACCTGCGTGTCCCTCGTTGGTGGTCACTCGATCGAGGAGCAAAGCTACAACATGCGCGACGGAGCCGAAATCATCATCGCGACGCCCGGCCGTCTGGTGGACTGCATCGAACGCAGAGTCCTTGTCCTGTCGCAGTGTTGTTACATCATCCTGGACGAAGCGGATCGCATGATCGATATGAATTTCGAAGAGCCCATCAATAAGATTCTTGATGCCCTTCCGGTCTCCAACGAGAAGCCCGACACTGAGGATGCGGAGAATGCGGCGGTGATGTCTCGTCACCTCGGTGGCAAGGAACGATATCGCCAGACCATGATGTACACAGCCACCATGCCGTCAGCCGTGGAGCGCATCGCACGCAAGTATCTTCGTCGGCCCGCGATCGTGACGATTGGCAATGTGGGCGAGGCGGTCGACACGGTCGAGCAACGAGTCGAGTTCATTTCCGGCGAAGACAAGCGCAAGAAGCGCCTGAACGAGATTCTGAGCTCGCGCGAGTTCGCCCCACCCATCATTGTGTTTGTGAACATCAAACGCAATTGCGATGCGGTGGCGCGCGACATCCAAAAGATGGGCTTCAGCAGCACCACGCTGCATGGAAGCAAAACGCAAGACCAGCGTGAAATAGCACTGGCATCACTCCGCGACGGACGTGTGGATGTGCTGGTCGCTACTGACCTTGCAGGTCGTGGTATTGATGTTTCCGATGTATCGCTCGTCGTCAACTTCAACATGGCCACCAACATCGAAAGCTATACGCATCGTATTGGACGTACGGGTCGTGCAGGGAAGACTGGTGTGGCGATTACGTTCTTGGGGAACGAGGACAACGATGTCTTGTACGATTTGAAGCAGATGATTAGCAAGAGCGATATCAGTCGCGTACCGGAGGAGTTGAGGAAGCATGAGGCAGCGCAGCAGAAGAGAGGAGGGCCCGGCGGTGGACACGGGAGGAAGCGTGATGATGATAGCGGTGGTTTTGGAGGCAAAGGTGGTTGGAATTGAACATAGAACAGCGTAGAACTAACGAAAGGGTACTCGGAGCATGGTAAAGACCCGCCGCAATCAAGCCAACGAACAGCAAACAGCGAGCACGCGCAGCATCAGTCTTCAATTGCACTCCCCTCTGGCTTCTTCCCATCGTGCCCGAGCCCCAACTTCTCCTTGCCCTTCTCCAGTAAATTACTCCCCCGTCGTGCAGCAGCCCCGCTCGACTTCCTCCGCGGCTTGGACTGCGGCCGGGGCTCCGACTTGCCAATCGTCGCCATGTTGCCTTCGCCACCCCGGCCCCAGTGGAAGGTGCCCTTCTTCTCGCGGTCGTGCACTTCGGGCAAAACGACGTCTTGCGCCTTGCGCGCACTCTCCGCGGAGTCGTTGGAGGCCATATTGCCCGTGCCTGATACGATTTAATGTTACAAAATGGCCTTTTGAGCGATGGCGAAAAAGCAGACTTTGTCGGAATTTTAATTCACTTACCGCCTCGCCCGGTCGAGTAGTGCTCTTGTTTGATCGTCGGCGTTTCCAGGTCTTCGGGTTGGACGGACGTTCTGGGGCTTTGGTTTACATTGCCCGCTCCCCCGCGGCCACGGGTATGGTGGGTGGCGTGTGACATTTTTGCAAAGATGCAGGGTGCGCGCAGTTGAGGGGGGAAGTCAGACGGGTTAGAATGAGGGAGGTAGGGGGGAAAAGTGCGATGGGCGGTAGATGTACTTCTTGATGGTTGGTTGAGCTGCTGCGTATCGCAGCCAAGTGTCAGGCGTGCTTGGCTAGAAGGGTTCGCGTGGTGGTTGATGACCTCATGTTTTCGATACGTAATGACAACAGCATGAAGGCCCAAGAGCTCGACAACGCGAGCAGATGCGAGGCTGCTGCACGTGATATGCCAGGAGACAGTCTTGCACAACCAGACGACGGATCAGAATCCACTACTTGAGCTCCATCCCACGTGCGGAGTTGGAGAGGTGGCAACGGAGGTGAGGTCTCGTGTAGCCTGGCCTGGCCGCGACATGATAAGGCGGCAACGCGGCTTGTGATTGGTCATTACCTCCCGCGGCTGCGCTTGCCTTTTGCAACTCTCCCACCTTCAACCACACCACTACCTCCATCTCTGCTAACCCCCCAAGCTACCTGCATCACGAGTATACTTCTTGTCAAAGAAACTGTGCCTTGGCCACCACTCCGCAATGGCGAATCTACTCGCAGCCACACCGGCGCTCCGGCGCGCAGTCCCTCGCATCCTACCCCAAGCTTCTTGGACCGCCAGCAGCATCCGCCCCTCACCACATCTCCTCGCGCCAACCCACGAATCTCACGAGCGAAGAACATCCGCCACCACCTCCTACGCCCGCCAACAATGGAGTCTCCGCCGATCTCCTCCTCCTCGCCAACCCTCGCGCCGCACCTTCCACGCTACTCCCCTCCTCCACAAAGACCACCAATTCGACACGCTCAAATTCGTGCAGCGCCTGCAAGCCGAGGGCTTCAGCGAAGCCCAAGCAGTAGCAATGATGAAAGTGCTCGGCGACGTAATCGAAGAGAGCATCCAGAACCTCACGCGCACCATGGTGCTGCGCGAAGACCAGGAAAAAGCGACGTACACGCAAAAGGTCGACTTTGCCAAGCTGCGCTCCGAACTGCTGTCCGCCGACTCCACCGAGTCGAGTCTGACGCGCGCCAGCCATGAGCGCCTCACGAACGATTTGGAGAAGTTGCGCTCGCGGCTGCGGGACGAGGTGCAGCGTACGCAGGCGAGCGTGCGGCTGGATTTGAATCTCGAGAAGGGGAGGATTCGCGAGGAGGCGAATAGTCAGGATTTGAAGATTAAGGAGACGGAGACGCGGATTGAGCAGGAGACGGCGGCGCTAAGGGAGAGGTTGGAGGCGGTGAAGTTTAGTACGCTGCAATGGTTGATGGGCGTGTGTACGGGCACCGCGGCCATTATTTTGGGTGTGTGGCGATTATTGATGTGATGGCATGAATGGATTACTGGCGAGCTGGGCTGAAAGCATTTGCGTATGAGGCAGAGGATACTATGGTTCTGGAAAGAGTTCAATTCTCGAGATTCTACTTGACTCCATCCCGATGGTCAGCGCTTTGGCCGTCTGGTGTATGCACGGAGCAGGGTCCAGTGCAAGGATGTCATGCCCCGAAGCGAGTTCTTGGGCAGTAGAGGCACGGAGCGGGGTCCAGCGCAAGGATGTCGTGCCCCGAAGCGGGTTCGTGGGCAGTGTAGGCGCACGGAGCAGAGTCCAGTGCAAGGATGTCGTGCCCCGAAGCGGGTTCGTGGGCAATGTAGACGCACGGAGCAGAGTCCAGTGCAAAATGTCAAGGTAATGATGCGACGAAAGAGTCGGCTTGCTGTCGACGCCCTAATCTACAGTCTCATCTGGAAGATCAGCATCATCTCGTACATCTTCCATCAGCAGCCGTGGCTGCGCTGCTCGCCTCTCGATCTGGTCGAGCTGCAGCCGAGCGCTCACGTTGGAGTCCAGCAGCGCGAGTCGTGTAGTCAACGTAGACCACATGTTCCGAGACTCACGTGTCCAGGCGTTGACAAAGTCCTTGCATTGGCCAACCGGAATGCGCTGGAGCTGCGACACTGCGTCGCTGTGCTTGCGGACGAAGTCATCTAACGCAGCTTCAAGAATGACCAGCGCATTGTCTTTGGCTGTGCGCAGTACAGGAATCATGCGAGCGACGTCTTCGCTTTCAGCTCGATCAACGTCGCCTAGCGCCGAGACACGACGATTGGCAAGCTCCCGGATTTGCCCCTTGAACTCATCGGCGCAGGCATGCAGAGCTATCGAGGCATCTTCTCTGCTGACTTCCGAGGTAGAGGGTCGCGATGGTGGTGCCGCCACCTCCGTGTCGTTGCCACCGGTGGGAGCATTGGGGTGAGTGGTGATGGTGAAGGCGGGCGGGGCGGGCGGGAAGCTAGAAGCAGCTGGAAAAGTCGATGCGTCGGCGGCATCCTCCTCCTTCTTTATGGCCTCGAGTGTGGCTGAGACATCGAGGAGTTGGTCCAGTTCGACTTTCGGGACCACGATGGTGGTGGCGACGGCTTGTTGTCGCTTCTGCCATTTCTGGATGTACTCCGGGCGAGCCCTGACCTTGTCAGCGTAAAATTGATTGTTGCGGTGGGAGCCGATGTCTCCTTGTGAGGTATTCGGGCCCTTTTCCAACAGCACCCGCGCGATCTGCTCCCTGACTGGCCGCGGGGGGTCTTTGAGCTTGGGCGCTCGGGAGGATTCTGGTTGTGGCTGTTGCGGTGCCATTTCGTGACTGCAACGAACAAAGAAAGTGCTTCAGGAGAGCAAGTGAGGTTTGGAGGAGGATGAACCTCGATCTTCTGAATGAATGCGAGGTTCTCTGCGTGATGAGGAGATCAAGAAACAGGTCGAAATTCGTGTGGTGCGTATGAGCCGCCGATGCGCTCGCTCATTTCCTGCGCGAGGAAGGCACGATCGTGGGAAGGAGCAATCGTCGAAAGCTTGGCAAGCACTTCAATCGTGAGTAGAAGTACTTGTAAGTACTACGACCGGATGAAATACGACAATGGAAATACTCTCCCTCCCCTTGGGGATGTGCATACATTACCGTTGGCCTATTGGAGGTACTCCGCACGAGAGAGCGCTGGTGCCTAACCATTCGGATCCTTCGACATTAGAACTCGCTCGCTCTTCGTCGAAGGCTATGCGGAATCCATTCATCCCGAGGGCTATATCTCTCGCTGACCGCTGTTGAGGAGAGAGGGAGAAATGGGATCAAAGGTGGCGAAGGAAGAGCGGAGGCACCGAGAAGATGAGGCGGACGACGGGAGCGCTCACCTGAGCGTGATGGTCGTGGGAATGTAGGTGCTTCCCCACCATCATGGCCTCAAGCTGCATGCGAGATACGTCCACAGCAGCAGGTGAGGTATCGTAGGGCGAATACTCTCGCCCAGTCCGTAGCCAGCACCATCCTCAATGCACAGGACTAGTACGGATGAAAGGACTCGATTTACGCGCTCGCCGCTGATGACGGATCACGCGCTGGACAAAGGTACGCTAGGGCAAAGCACTCTTTTGTCCATGGTATGTTTTGCCGAGATGAGTCAAGATGGATGATGAGCTGAGGTGAAGAAAGGGCGGGCTTGGCGATCCTGCCGGCGCGCGGAATGGCGACGTCCCGGCCAGCGACAGTCGTCCACGTGGAACCCGAAAGGCTGAAGGGCGGAGGGTCATCGTGGGATCGGCCGCGCATGAATGCACCTTCAACTTCAAAGCATCATTTCGAGGGAAGGAGGAGTTGACGCGCCCGAGGACTGCTGCCTTGCCCAGCGGCGGCGACTTTTGCCGACCATTGCTTCCTGTTTTGGGGCGGTGGATGATGCTCGCGGAGGGACTCAGAGGCCGACCAAAACCTTAACTTTGGCCAAACGGCGGCCGGGTAGACAAGGCATCCGGCCTCCGTACCCGTTTTCTCCCATTCCGCCGCTATAAGGCAATGGTTCGACACCTCGCCTCATCCATTCGATGTTATAACCGACCGCGTTCTCTTCCTCACCTTCTCCCAACCAACACTGAATCGTTGTTGATTCAAGTGTCGTGACTTACCCTCGTTCATCCCACCTTTCTTCCTCAACACTGAAGACCCTTCACCCCGCAGTCTCTCGACTCTCATTTGTTGACGTCAAGATTTTTTTGGGCAAGGCCGACTTCTTTCGTTCCACTACCCTCCTCTCCTCTGGCCAATCACACCCGTAATCACTTACCCACGACCATTCTTCAGAATGGGACTTTTCAAAAGCAAGGCCAAGGAGCGCGCCGCCGAGTCGGACGGCGCATCGACGGATCTGGAAAAAGAGCAGCCTACCTCGGCGCCGAGTCTGGTTGGTTCCACCCACGACAACCAGCCTGAGCTCGTGGGTTCGGCCCAAGAGACTCAGCCCACGTACGTAGACGACAAGGCTCCCGACAATGCGCTCGAGAGACGCATCGAGGGCATCGAGGCAGACGAAGAAGAAGCCGAGGCGCGAGAGGAGGATGACACCGACTATCCCAAATCCACCAAGCTCATCCTAATCACCATCGCCCTATGTCTGAGCGTGTTTTGCATGGCCCTCGACAACACCATCATCGCCACTGCAATTCCTCGCATCACCGACGACTTCCACGCCATCAACGATGTCGGTTGGTACGGCTCTGCCTATCTGCTCACCACCGCTGCCTTCCAGCTCTTCTACGGCAAGCTATACACCTTCTTCTCCATCAAGTGGGTCTACCTTGCTGCCATCCTCATCTTCGAGGGCGGAAGTGCTCTCTGCGGCGCCGCCCCCAACTCTACCGCCTTCATCTGCGGACGTGCTCTGGCCGGTCTCGGCGCCGCCGGCGTCTTCTCCGGTGCCATCCTGATCGTCGCCAACACCGTCCCTCTTCGCAAGCGTCCCACCTACACCGGCCTCATTGGAGGCATGTACGGAATCGCCTCCGTCGCCGGTCCTCTCCTCGGCGGCGCCTTCACCGACAAGGTCACCTGGCGCTGGTGCTTCTACATCAACCTTCCCCTCGGCGGCCTGACGATGCTGTTCATCTTCTTCTTCTACCACCCGACAAAACGCGCGCAGACCCTGAACGCCGGCTGGAAGGCTCGCCTCGGGCAATTCGATCTCATCGGTACCTCCGTCTTCCTGCCCATGATTGTGTGCTTGTTGCTCGCGCTGCAATGGGGCGGCAGCACCTACCCGTGGAGCGACGGCCGCATCATCGCCCTCTTTGTCGTCTTCGGCGTCCTCTTGGTTGCCTTTGTGGCCATTCAGTTCTGGAAGCAGGACAATGCCACCGTGCCACCCCGCATTTTCAAGCAGCGCAGCATCATGGCCGGATGCCTCTTCTCAGCCATGTTGGGTGCCGCTTTCTTCGTGATGGTCTACTATCTTCGTGAGTTCCACCCCTCTCCTTCCTCCATATTGCCTTTCAGTCAGCTAACCAAGTCGCAGCCATCTGGTTCCAAGCCATCAAAGGAGTCTCCGCCGTCGAGTCCGGAATTCGGAGCATCCCGCTCGTCCTGAGTCTCGTGCTCTTCTCCATAATCAGCGGTATCACCGTCACCGTCATCGGCTACTACACCCCCTTCGTGATTGCCTCGTCCGTCTTCATGGCGATCGGTGCAGGACTGCTCTCGACCTTTGATGTGAACACCAGCGAAGGAAAATGGATCGGATATCAAATCGTGTTCGGCATGGGCGTCGGCATGGGAATGCAGCAGGCGCTCATCATGGCGCAAACCGTGCTGGACAAGAAAGATGTCCCCATCGGCACGACGATCGTCATGTTCGCGCAGCTCATCGGCGGCGCCATCTTCATCTCCGTCGGCCAGAACATCTTCACCAACAAGCTCCTGTCGAACGTGCAGCGCACGGTGCGCGACATCAGTCCGAAAGTTATTCTGGCGACTGGTGCTACATCGCTCAAAACCGTCATTCCCCCTGCGGACCTGCCGGCGGTACAAGTGGCGTACAATGGCGCGATTGTGAATACCTTCTACGTCGCCGTCGGCGTCGCCACGCTCTCCATGGCCGGTGCGGTGTTTTGGGAGTGGAAGTCGGTCAAGGGCAAGAAGATTGAGATGGGCGGAGGTGCGTGATTCGACAATGCGACCTGTCACTTTTCTCTCTCTTCTTTGAGCCTGTGGAACGTTCTACCCGTTCCGCGAGTCTAGACTTTGTTTTGTTGTTCTTTCTATTGCTGCATAGCGACGGGGGCTGCTCGACTCAATGATACCAAAGGGCGATAGACGGTTGAGCGGATGGATAGAGACTGAGAACTTGGCCTATCGAACGGTCGGGATTTCACAGCACGAGCTGTAGGATAGGTATCAAGGACCATCTGCTCATGCTGAAGATAGAGTGCCTCAATTGTGCTATACCCAATTTCACGCTCCATCCAGATAACGGCCACGTATCGTTGCTTGGTCAATCTCGGGCGCCTGCAGGTCATGGGGCTGCGTAACATTCACACCATGATCCGCCACGACTTTTGGCCATCTTGGCGTGGGTGATTACCTAACGCAGCTACCCTGCCGCTGGCCTTAATCTGTGACTTCCCATTTGATGCCGCCCAGCGCACTCTGGCATCCCCCAAACAACCCGCCAACCCCGTCCTTCTCCCACCTCCCACTGCAATTCTTGCATCACCGATTCACGCCTTTCCATCATCCAACACATCCCCAGCGGAAATCCGACAGCAAAGATGGCAAGCGAGGTATGTTTGATCCACCCCAGTCGCTGCACGCCCAAGTCGGCCCCCTCCTCAACCAAAACTCCGTGCCCCTCCATGACCACCTGCCGCCGCACACGCTGACCTGTTGTCTCTGTAGCGCGAGAGGTATGCCTGGCACCAGTGTTTGCGACTGCTGTTCACCCTCGGGGTCCTGACTTTCATCCTGCAGTAAGACATTCCTCGCCCGACTGTGCGAGCAGGCTGAGCGCTACGATGGTACGTCACTTTCCCGCAACACCCCGTTGTCTCACACGCGCTGACATGCTTCTGTAGAGATGGTCGGCTACATGAAGGTGAGAAGAGATGATGTACCGCGGTTTGTTATGCAGTTCCCTTGCTGACATGTGTGAATAGGAAGTCGCCAAGGTACGAAGGCTCCCAGCCTAATCTCCCCAATCCTACACAGCACTCGCCCTCGCCATCTCCCCCTTCCCTGCACCACTAACACCCCCACGACAGATCGGCGGCGAGCTCACCGTCGACGAGCGCAACCTCCTCTCCGTCGCCTACAAGAACGTGGTCGGTACGCGTCGTGCCTCTTGGCGCATCATCTCCAGCATTGAGCAGAAAGAGGAGGCCAAGGGCTCGGACAAGCACGTCGGCATCATCCGCGACTACCGCCAGAAGATTGAGACGGAGCTCGAGAACGTGTGCCAGGATGTCCTCAACGTGCTCGATGAGAGCTTGATCCCCAAGGCTGAGACGGGTGAGAGCAAGGTCTTCTACCACAAGATGTACGTAAGGATCAGTCAGGCGTTGGAAAACCTCCCTCCCCTTCGGCCGCGCTGATGATGATGTCTTTATCAGGAAGGGAGACTACCACCGCTACCTCGCCGAGTTCGCGTCCGGTGAGAAGCGCAAGACGGCTGCCACCGCCGCTCACGAGGCCTACAAGGTATGTTTATGACACCCGTCTCAGTCATGCAGATCCACGACTAACCTCCTCTCCAGAACGCCACCGAGGTCGCCCAGACCGAGCTCACTCCCACCCACCCAATCCGTCTCGGCCTCGCCCTGAACTTCTCGGTCTTCTACTACGAGATCCTGAATTCACCCGACCGTGCCTGCCATCTCGCCAAGCAAGCCTTCGACGATGCCATTGCCGAGCTCGACAGCCTCTCCGAAGAGTCCTACCGCGACAGCACGCTCATCATGCAGCTCCTGCGCGACAACCTCACCCTCTGGACGTCGTCGGACGGTGGCGAGCCCGACGCCGCTGCTGCTGAGGCTGCGAAGGCTGACGACAAGGCACCGGAAGCCGCTCCGGCCGCGGCCGCTGCCGAGCCCGAGGCTGCCCCCGCCGCTTCCTAAACTTCCAATCCCTTCGCACATGCACCTCAACTTTCTTCATCCTCCACGTTGTGAACTGCTTTCGGCGTTGGAGTGAAGGATGCGGAGTGCAGTTTCTCTCTGGGGCTGCGGCATGATGGTGACGAGAGACGGAAGGAGACGCGTGTCAACATGAATAACAACGGAGCAGAAAATTCAAGAAGATGGCATGGCTTGAATTAGACGAGTATCCAAGAAGGAGTGCTTTCCCCCCCAACCCTTGATCCCCGAGCAGTGTGTGTGTCTGTGTGTGTGTGTGCGTTAGCGGCTGTCGAGGTGCTCAATGTGTCTTTGAGTGCCTTTCGACCCCATCGAGTTTTGGTCTTTTTTTTTCTTTTCAGCGAGGTTCCCCTGGTTGTTACTATGCACAGGGAGGTGCAGTGGCACTGGGTCGACAATGGTCGCCCATCACGGTCTTTACCAAACGAAAAAAGTCACTGCGGACGTCTGGCTGGTGTGGAATATGCTAGCTAGGTAGAGAGGCAGCGACCATCTCAAAACTATCCAAACAAAGCGGCGTTTCCCCATGTTCAAGCTCAATTGAGTAGTTGAAGCGCTGTTCCATCAGCACGAGTTGTTGCGTCAAGGAGTTGTAGTGACGCACGTGCTCAGCCTTGATATTGTTCTTTCTGCATTCGGAATTTGCCCCACCAGCCTCCTCCTTACTACACCCTCCAACAAACCCACCTCCATTGCCACTCTTCCCTCCTTTCTAAACGCATCTCCTTCAACGCAATACTATTAAGCAGCGTCACCCTCCACCATCATGGGCAGATACTCCGACGACCCAGCCTGGGCCGACATCATCCCGCTCCCCACCGACGAAGGCGGCCCCAACCCGCTCGCAGCCATCGCGTACGACGACGAATACGCAGAAGCAATGTCGTACCTGCGCGCCGTCATGGCCGCCAACGAATTCTCCCCGCGCATCCTCGACCTCACCGAGGACCTCATCGACATGAACCCCGCGCACTACACCGTCTGGCTGTACCGCGCGCAATGCTTATTCGCACTGAAATCCGATCTGCACGCCGAGCTGGCCTGGTTGAACGCCACGGCGCTGGAGCACCAGAAGAATTACCAGATTTGGCACCATCGGATGCTGGTCGTCGATGTGCTGGATTCGTGCGAAGGGGAGCGCGAGTTTGTGTCGCGCATGTTTGAGCTGGATGCGAAGAATTATCACGTGTGGAGTTATCGGCAGTGGCTTGTGCGGCGCTTTGGGCTGTGGGAGCAGGGCGAGCTGGAGTTTACGCGGGACTTGATTGAGAAGGATGTGCGGAATAACTCGGCGTGGAATCATCGGTGGTACGTGGTTAATGGGAGGGAGGAGAGGGAGGAGGGGGAGGCAGGCGGGGTGGTGGGCGATGCGGCGGTGAGGGAGAGGGAGATGGAGTTTGCCATGCAGGCGATTGAGAAGGCACCGCAGAATCAGAGCTCGTGGGGCTATCTACGTGGGATTGTAAGGAAGGCGGGCCTGCCATTGCAAGGGTGCAAGGCGTTTGTGCAGCGGTTTGCGAGCTTGGAGCAGCCGGATGAGGTGCGGTCGAGCTATGCGTTGGACTTCATGGCGGAGATTCTGGCGGAGGAGAAGGGGAGTGAGCAGCAGGCGGCACTGGCGTTGGACATGCTGGCGCAGAAGTACGATCCGGTTAGGAGGAATTACTGGGAGTATCGCAAGGGTTTGCTGGGTGTGGATGCGGTTGCTGCGTGAAGCCCGCTGGGTCAGGAGTTGGGGTTTGTGACAAGTTGATACCCTTTGCATTCAGCAGACCATGACGATCGCTTGCTTTTCATCCCTCAAAGCTGTCAACGCTGCACAATCGTCTCTCGTAGCATCATCTATCTTTCCAAACCTCATAGTCCATCCAATCCCCATGTCCGTCACATAACGGAGCATCCCACTCCATACAGCGCACTCTCCACGTACGCCTTAACCAAATACCAATCCGCCCTCCTCTCCGCAAACTCATACACCTCTTCCGACGGGAAGATGCCGCGATACCGCTCCGAATCGGCAATAATCGTCGCCAGCTCCTTCGCCTGCGCCGCCGTCTTGGTACCCTTGGAAGACAGTAGCGACGACCGCTTCGCCTTGGACGTATTCCCAAACAGCGTGGCGGGCGGATCAATATGCACAAGGTAGATCTGCGACATCTCGCGCAGGGCCTGGAAGTAAGGCATGAGCGGCTTCTGGCGCAGGTTGGCGACAAAGGCGCTGTAGTGGTTGATGTCGCTGATGAACTTGATGGCGCCGTCGACGCTGATGCGCTGGCGCTTAAAGTGCTTGCACAGCACGGCGAACAGGCGCAGCCCGACCTCCTGCGTGAAGACGTCGAGCATGTGCTTGTCTGTGCTGCCGACTAGCATGCTCGTGTGGCTGTTGACCATCTCGACGACTTCGGTGGCCGTTCTGCTGACGCCGATGTCGACCATGGCGGGCGCGGCGCCGTTGCTGCTGCTGCTGCTCGTGGCGCCGGGGTTGAAGTCGGTGGGGGATTGCGTGGTGGCGCAGATGAGTTCGATTTCGTCCATGAGCACGTCGATGCCGCGGTTCAGTCCCGCGGCCACTCGCTCGTCGAGCATTTGCTCAAAGTGCTTTTTCTGCTTCACCGCGGGGCTGAGGAAGTCGTCGGCTTCGGTGAGCTTCGTTGCCACCAGCTCCTGCGCGAAGAAGACATCAATCATTTGCTGGATCAGATCGCCCACGTTTACGAGTTCCAGGAAGGTGACGAGGGGCTCCACACCACCGTGGCCGCTCCCAGTTGCGGTGTCATCTCCTTCAAGCCGGGCTTTGACCCCTCGGACCTCGCGCGGGTTGTACGTGCTCAGGTGTCCTACTGCTTTGTCGAAGCCGTTCTTGACATGCCGATCGCCCAGTACACCCAGCATCGTGATGAAGATGACGTTGCATTGCTCCTTGACCTCCTCACTGTACGGAGGCCCCATCCGCACCATGGGCGCCATGCGCTCGATACACGCTTTCGCCAAGTGAGTAAGGCTGAGCGCGACCTCGATGCTGAATAACGACTTGATGCCTTCGAGTCGAGAGTTCATGATGGCTGCCTTTGCCGCCAGCTCGGTCGTTGGCGCTTCTGGCTTGGGATGTTGGGTGCCCAACGGCCCGTCCAAGGTTGAAGAGCTTGTTCTCGACTCCTTGTCGTGAGTATCAGCTACACCTGGATTGGCTGGGGCTTTGGAGGCCGATGCTTTGGAGGCATTGAAGGCCGGGAGCACGTTCACCGGCATCATGACGACCTTCTTGAAGGAGGACAGAAAGTCGCGCTTGGCTTGCTGCCGGTTGAGGTTGGACATGAAAAAGGACTCTTTGGAGGCTTCTTGCTCCGACAGCTCCCTCTCCCAATGCGTCACTTCGGCCGTGGATTTGGTGTTGAAGACGCTGAGTTCTTGCGCAATGTACGACTCGAAGTATCTCTCGAAACAGGATGCGAGTATGCGTTGTGCTTTGTCGTGGAAGTCGGGCGGGGAGGCTTTAGTTGACCGCAGCGATGCGACAAACCGCAGTCCTTGTTCAAACGATCCTGCCACCGCTTTGACATATGTCTCGCTCCCGCGACCACGGGCATCGTCAATGAGCGCGGTCAAATACTCGGCAATGATCTCCTCACACATCCGTGACAGAAACGGAGTCAGCACGTCAATCGTTTCGGGGAAAACGCGATCGATGACCTCAGCTTGCTCGACCATCTTGTTCGCCAGGTTCTCGAAGAACATCTGCACGGGATTGAGGTCGACATGGCCCGGCGCAACGGCCTCCAGGCAATCGAGTGGGTTGCCCACTTGGATCTGACGCGCCATGACCGGATGGTGAGAGACGAAAAAGTCTACCGCCGCGCTACCGGCATTGAGAGTGGCGAGCACGTGAGCGTAGCGGTGCATGCGGCCGTCGATGTCGCCCGCTGCGAAGCCTTGCTCGAACTCACGCAGAACCGCAGTTTCGAACACTGCGATGATAGTGTCCAGCTTCTGCTCGCGGTCTTGCCAGTCGCCCGAGTCGTCACATCTGGCGAATTGTTTGAGGGCGGCAAGGATCTTGGCCTGCTGATCCGGGTCTCGAAATATACGGAACACTGTCGCGTCGGAATGTCGTTTGGAACGGACGAGGTTGAGGTACAGGGGTGCAAGAGTGCCGTATACCTTGCCGAATTCTTGCCTCGCACGTCCTCGGATTGAACGAACTTGGGTGAGAATGGTGAGCGCCTGATGTGCATCCCATACGTTCCCCGTCGGAGATGAAGGAGATATGGCGAGCTCGTCGAAGCCATCGGCCAGCATCTTTCGCGCAGGAGGTAGATGAGGATGCTGTTGCTCCAAACTCCTCTTGTATCGCGTCTCTTCAACTCCCGCATCAAACAGGGTGACACCCCCACCCGCAATGCCATTCACGCTTCCTTGCAAATGTACCCCCGTCCTCTTCGCCTCGTCCGCCTCACGCACCCTCTGCGCCTCAGCCTTGCGCTTCATCGCCTCTTCCACGCGCTGCCTCGCCTCGGCCTCATTCCACACGCGCAGCGTCTTGAGCTTGTGAATCCAGCGGGTGTCATCGTAGACCATCTCCTGCACGCGCCGCGAGACTCGAGCACATGTGAGCAGGTCGGGGACGGGCAGGTAGTCGAGGATGGTGGCGATGAGCTCTGCTGGCAGCACCGGCTTGGACGCAATGATCTGCGTGGCGCGCAGGGAAGCGAGGACATTGTCGTTGCCTCGCAATGCGGATTGCTGGGAGAGTCGATTGCCTGCGGTGGTCTTATTGCCCGGCTTGCGCGGAGACTGTGGGGTCGACCTGCCGCTCATGGTGCTGATGTGGAGGAGACATGCGTGGTCGGCGCATCAGACGTGTCGTTGATGTATAAAGAGGTGTAATTGAAGTAAGCAGGTGAGGTGGGTGAGGCGGATGTGAAGCGCAGCCGCGGCCGATGCTCCGCCTTACGTAGGCGTCGTCGAGAATACGAGAGGGATATATTTTGAATCCCACTGCACATCGAGTCTGGTTCAAATCACACCCACCAACAGAAGAAGTAGGCGAGGCCTGCAGCGAATGTAGTGGAATTCCGTGTCTGGCCGCGTGCATGACTGCCTCTTCTTCCGGCCATCCTCGACCTGACACCCGCACGCCGCCTTCCACTCTCGGACTGAGCAACGATCCGCCCTGACTGGCCTCATTCAACGAGAGTATGCTCCGACAAGATGCCCATCAAGGTCTTCCTGAGAGACACGCCGCAGCGCGCCATCGCCCTCGGCACCGAGACTCACGTCCTCATCTTCCGGCATAGTCCGCCAACCACCGCCTCCACCTCCACCACTTCCCTGCCCGACTCCAGCACTGCACCGCGATGCATTGTCGAATTCGCGCCATGGGAGGACGTGGATATGAGGGAGTATCGCTCCCTCCCTTCCCTCGACATCAAAGGCACGCTCGGCTTGGTGACCATCAACAACGACGTCTTCATCTGCGTCGTCACCAACAGCAAGAAGACGGCCACCGTGCGTCCGGGCGAGAGCATCCAGCAGATCCTCGCAGTCGACTTCCACTGCCTCACCCGCTCCGACTACGACCAGCTGCTCTACACCCAAATCAACCCCTTCCCCACCGACGACCTCGACCCGGACGGCTATGACCGCTCCAGCATCCGCGGCGATTCCTCCCTCGATCACCCATGTCTTCAACTCAAGAAGCTGCTCAGCGGCGGCAGCTTCTACTACAGCTCCAACTTCGACCTCACCAAGCGCCTGCAGGACCGCCCGGCCGATGCCACCACCGTCGCCATCGATAGTCTCGACGCCGGCTACTTGTGGAACGCGTACATGATCCAGCCGCTCGTCGAGTTCCGCTCGCGTCTGTCGGAGCGGAAGAAGAAAGCCCTCGACGACTCGGGCATCATCACTTCCGCCATCCGCGGCTTTGCTGCTACCCTTGCCGTGCCGGCCTCCTCATCGCCTGCCCGTATCAACTCCTCCGGTATGCCATCCACCATGACTCTCATCTCCCGCCTATCATGTCGGCGAGCGGGCACACGATTCAATGCCCGCGGTATCGACGATGACGGGAACGTGGCCAACTTTGTCGAGACCGAGACCGTCTTTTGCACCGACCAGCTCTGCTTCTCCTATGTCCAATGTCGCGGCAGCGTCCCGGTGTTCTGGGAACAGCAGAGTGGGCTGCCGGGCCAGCAGAAAATCCAGATCACGAGATCTCCTGAGGCCACCAAGCCTGCATTCGACAAGCATTTTGACATGCTTTCAAAGGTGTATGGTGATATCTTCATTGTCAACCTCCTCAGCAGCGAGAAGCCGGGAGAAGCGCAGCTCATTCAGCTCTATGACGAGCAAATCAGAACGAGCCAGCTGAACGAGCAAGTTGAGTCGCCTACTGACGCCACCGCGAGTGAGCACCAACATCTCCGCTCCGTCAACTACGACTTTCACGCCGAGACTCGAGGCCCTGGCGGCTACGACGCAGCTCGTGGAATCAAGCGTTTTATCATGGAATCCGGCATCGCGTTCGAATACTACCTCACCGAAGACATCCAGGAGGCGGTGCATAGCAACGCCCGCAGGCAGTCGGCTTATGGACAGAATGAGGTGCTCAAGCAGAATGGCATCTTCCGAACCAACTGCCTCGACTGTCTAGACCGTACCAATGTCGTGCAGACCGTCATCTCTCAGATGGTGCTGGAGGTCTTTCTCATCCAACAAGGCGAAGACCACCCCACTTCTGACTTCTGGGCTCGCCATGGCATGCTATGGGCGGATGATGGCGATGCCCTCTCCAAGATTTATGCAGGCACTGGCGCTCTCAAATCATCCTTCACGAGATCCGGCAAACACTCCCTCGCCGGCGTGCTCGCTGATGTCCGCAAGTCTGCACAACGCTTCTACGTCAACAATTTTGAAGATAAAGGAAGACAAAACACAATCGACATGCTTCTGGGACGATTGATTAACCAGATGCCCGTCAGTCTGTTTGATCCAGTGAATGACTGGGTCACTGCGGAAGTTGGTCGCCGAGCGCCCGAATATACCTCCTCATCAGATGTCAACATATGGATTGGAACATTCAACTTGAATGGTAAAACCACAGGCACCGCTGAGGATCTACGACCTTGGCTTTGCCCGAAGAAGGTCGATCCCGAGCTTGGCTTGCCGGAAATATATGGCGTTGCGTTCCAAGAGATAGTAGATTTGGATGTGCAGCAGATCCTCTCCACCGATCCAAACAGGAGGCACGTGTGGGAGGAGGCGGTGCGGAAGACGCTCAACTCCAACGCTCAGAAGCAAGGCGGAGAGGAGTACGTCTTGCTACGAGGCGGCCAGCTCGTGGGAGCTTCGCTGTCCGTCTTTGTGAAATCGAGCGTGCTGCCGTACATTAAGAACGTCGAAGGCGCCGTGAAGAAGACGGGGATGAGCGGGATCGCGGGCAATAAAGGAGCCGTGGCCATCCGAATGGATTATGCCGATACTTCCATCTGCCTCGTCACAGCACATCTCGCTGCCGGCTTCGCAAATTACGACGAGCGAAACCAGGACTACCGCACCATCAGCAACGGCTTGAGGTTTCAGCGAGATCGATCGATCGAGGACCACAAGACGGTCATCTGGTTCGGCGACTTCAACTACCGCATCGGCATCGGCAATGAACGAGCGAGGCAGCTCATTGAAAAGGGAGACCTAGGCACGCTGTACGCAAACGACCAGCTGAACCTGCAAATGGTGCACGGCAGAACCTTTCCACATTATTCCGAGGTCACGCCGACCTTCCTGCCGACGTACAAGTTCAACATCGGCTCGGACGAGTATGACACGTCGGAGAAGTCGCGTATCCCCGCCTGGTGCGACCGCATCTTGACCCGCGGCGACAACCTCCGTCAGCTATACTACGCCTCGGCGCCGCTGAGGTTCTCCGACCATCGACCCGTCTGGGGCCTGTTCCGCTGCACCATCAGCGTGGTCGACGCATCGAAAAAGGATGAAATCGCCGCGGAGCTCTATAACAAACGGCGAGCAATCGTAGGGGACCGCACAGCCAACACCGCCGACGACAACAGCGACTACGACGAGCTATACGGCTACGAAGCAGTAGAGGAAGGCCTCCCGCCCGCCAGCTCCGACAAGCGCAAATGGTGGCTCGACAACAGCATGCCCGCGACGTCCGAAGTCGACGCCCCGACTCACAACCACATCCCCAACCCCCGACGCCCCTCCAACCCCTTCTCCCCAACCTCCGAACCGGACTGGGTGAGAGTCGAGAAACCCTTCGCCCCGCAACCCCCGCCTCGACAACAGCAACAAACCTCCCAACCCACGAACGCCACCGCCAAATCTCTACCCACCCGCGAAGCTACTACGTCCGCCACCGGCACATCACGCCCCGGACTCGACGGCACAGCCGCCTCCGAAACCGACGACAGCAACAACACAACCCGCACCCACCACCTGCGCGAAACCCTGCGCAAACCCGCTCCGCCCCCCAAACCCAACCTCCTCCGCAGTGCAAGCAGCCAGTCCACCACCCAACAAGCCAACCGCACTGCTCCGCCCCCACTACCCGAGCCCAGGCGCAAAGCGAACGCTTCCTCGAGTACGGCTAATGGCCGTGCATCCCCTGCTGCCACGGCACCTGCTTTGCCTGCGCGACATCCGCGGGCGTCAACGGGGCTAATGGATGAGGGGGATGGCGGTGAAGGGCTGACGGATTGGATTCCGCTCCGGCCTCAAGGGCAGTGAGTGGAGGTGCTGAGAAGGACTTGGGTGGGGTTTTCTAGCTGGTTGGAAGAGGGGAGATGAGGCTTTTGGGCGGGCATAGCGTGAATTCGAGGCAGCGTAGCAATTGCAGTATTCACGCCCGTACGGCGTTTCTCCTGCTCCTTGCTTGACCTTCTCATTGCTCTTCTTTTATCTGTAACTCCTCCTTCTCTGATCAAGCTCCATGAGAACGAGTCTAATGGGCAAGCAACACGTTGATTCGAGGTGTTGTAGCTAGGTGACTGCGAACGCCCATATGGCGTCTCTCTTCCTCTCGATTCAACTTACTAAACGCGCCCATATGATCCATACATCCACCATTCCCTCTTATTGCCCTCGAAATGAGGCTTATTGGCAAGCAAGGCATTCATTCGAGGGGCTGCAGCAATCTGGCTACTCACGCCCATACGACATCTCTCATGCTCTCATTTCATCCTACCAAACACGCTCATACCATTCATAGATCCTCCAGATCTACACGTTGGCCATGAAAGTGAGTCTTATGGGCAGAAGCAACGCATTCGATACGAAGGGCTAGAGCTAAATAACTATACTGCCCAAAGGGCATCTCTCATGCCCACGATCAACCCCCCAGGCCCCAAACCACACCCACGCACGCTCAATCTTCCCTATTCTCACACTAAGAGGGGACCAGCGAGCGCCCACCAGCACCACCAAACGACTCGCTTACCGGCTCTCCGCGCGAGACCTTGCCCAGCTTCTCCAAAACACCCAGCAACCCCGTCGACCCCTGCACCAGCGCCGCCTGCGCCTCCGTTCCACGGCTTCCTACCGAGATGGTGGAAACCTGCTTCACGATTCCTTGCTTGCCGAGATTGTTGGCCCAGCGGAAGGCGACTTCGTCCTCGCGGTCGTCGCCAGCGACCAGCAGGAACTGCGGCGGCGACGCGTAGCCCCCGGCGGTGCTTTGCTTCTTGGTGATGGAGTCGAAGATGCGCGCGGCGGCGGTGGCTTTGTTGGCGTCCGAGGGCTCGATGAGGACGGCGCCGGGGAGGGGGATTGCGTGGATGCCGAACGGCTTGCAGCCGCTGTTGATCTGCTCTGCGAAGTCGCCAGCCACTCGCACAGCAGCGACCTGGTCTTCCACCTTGGCGTAGTGGAAACGCACGCTGCACTGGCGCTCTTCGAGGAAGCTGCCTTCGGAGCGCTCCAGGAAGTACTGAAGAACCTGCTTGACTTCTTTCTTCCAGCGGTTGGCGTGGTTCACGTCGATCAAGGGTCGCCATTCGGCGGCTTTCTTGCCGGCTTTGCGCATGAAGCACCCATTCTCTGCGATGAGGCCCAGGCCCGGGGCAGTGCGGAAAATGACGCTGAGCTCCTCCACGCTACGTCCTGACATGACGTAGACAGTATTCTTAGGATCCGCCATCAGCTCATGCAAGACGTCGATGATGCGCTGAGGTTGGACCAAGGAGATGCCGGAACTGGTCTTGTGGGGGGCCAGCGTGCCTTCGTAGTCGATGAAAAAGACGCGACGGCTCGTCTGCAAGTACTTCTCACAGAGGAGAGTGGCCGACAGACGTGGTACTGCAATCGAAGAGCGCTGGGATTGCTCATCATATGCTTTCCCGAGAAGATGGTTGAGCTCTTCGGCCCAGTGCAGTCCCGTGTGACGCAAGACACTGGCGTGCAGGTGGCTCCAGCGCTGCTGCTTCTCCGCGTCACTCATTTCCAGTGCCTGGTTGATCGCGGCGCCCATCATGTTGTTGTCCCACGGATTCACGGAGATGTGGCCGTGAAGCACCTCCGAGCTTCCCGAGAACTCGCTCAGGATCAGAGTGCCATGCTTCTTCCCGCCCAGGCTGCCGTCTTGACAGATTGCATAATCGGCAGCGGAAAGGCTCATGCCATCGCGAACGGGTGTGATCATCAAGCAATCGCCAGCACTGAGCAGAGCGAGGCATTGAGCAAAGTTGATGTCTTGCTTCAAGAAGATCACCGGCCTATGCCACAAATCTGCATGCTTGTCATTGATGCGCGAGATGATCCTGGTCACTTTCCGGAGAAGGTCAGTCTCCTGATCCGCCGACGTGGCCACTTGTATCAAGATTGTTTTCTCCACCCACGCGGGATAGTTGCTCAGGAAGTTCTCGTATCCGAGGAGCTTCTGCTCGATGCCGTGAACGCTATCGAGCTTGTCTCGCGCAACGATGAGCTTCTTGTTCCCGTATGTGTCTTTCATGATGTCGATCCACTTCTCAACTTCTGCGTCTTGACGAGCTTCGTGGAGTGCGGGCGGATTGACGCCGATGGCTTGGCTGGTGACATTGATGAAGCGATCGGGAAACTGCACCCCTTCCTCGGTGGTTTCGAGGTTGAGAAGCCGGCTACACGCCTGGAGGAAGTGTTGGGCGTACTCCAGCGTCTGGAAGGCGACCAGATTGGCACCCAGCATGCCCTCGAGCAGTGTGCGGCGGGTGGGCAGGCAGCGAACCACCTCCGAAGACGGGAATGCTGTGTGCAGGAAGAAGCCGATCTGAGCGTTGGGGAGCTTCTCGCGGACCATTCCTGGAACGAGGAGGAGATGGTAATCGTGAACCCAGATCGTGTCTCCACGTCTGTAGGCTGTGAGAGTATACTGTCAGCTCGTTGTTGATGCACTCGAAGGCTCATTTGACTGCTCGAAAGACGAGTTCGGGGTTTCAACGAGACTTACACTCAATGACCTTGTCTGCAAATGCGCGATTGACGTTGTAATAGAACTCATAGCTGTGATCACAATAGGCCTTGTTCTTCGGGTGGTCAGGGATGTGGTAGTGGAGGATCGGCCACAAGATGGTCTTGCAGTAGCCATGATAGTGTCCGTGGAGATCTTTGTCGGTGCAGTAGACGACGGCTGAGTTGTACTCGTTGAGGAAGTGGTCATCAACCTGCTCACGCGTGCTGCTTTTGAGGGCATCGGTCGGGAAGCCGAGTGTGCCGATCCAAGACACCTCCATCAGCCCAGCTTGCGTGACTGCACGCATGGCGTTGGTCAAGCCACCGTTGCCGCGAAGTGCTGGCTCGACGATCCATGACGGAGACTCGGTGGTACGCTCACCGCTGCCGCCGCGGGAATCACGAGGGGTGGGAGGTGTGGCGTGTTTCTCGGCGGGGCGAGGTTTCTGCTTCTTCAGCTGGTCGTTGACTTTAGTAAAGTCCAAGACGGAGCTTGAAGGCAGGGGGCCAGCTTTTGAGCGTGGCTGGTTGAAGGGTTGTGCCGCTCCCCAGGGTGACGCCTCTGCGTCGCTTTGCACGAGCGATCGGGGATCACTGAACTTGGCGACGTGGCGTTTGGAGTAGTCTGCAGTCGAGGGATCAACGCAAAGCTGCTGAGAGCTGCGATGGAGGTCAGCTAGAGTGATGGAAAGGGGGTGAGGATGAGGGTTGTGACGCGTCTTACCTTGCACTGGTGTTTAGGGTCGTCTCCTTCGTCTCCGCCGCCACCGCCTCTAGGCCAAACAGGCTCGTCGCGCTTGCTGACCTGAGCAGCTTGATGGGCGGGCTCATGCGTTCCTCAACACGCGACGTACGGTCTGCTTGAGGGCTGTCTGCTTGAGGAGGGGATGCCGGGGCTGCAGAGGGCGGAGCTGTTGAGGCGGGAGCTGCAGAGGTGGGAGCTGCAGAGGCGGGAGTTGCAGAGCGCGGCGATGGAGCACGCGTCGGAGCCTTGCCCTTCATCCCCTGAGGGAACTTGAGCGTGTTGGGCAGAAATCTGGCATGGTCAGTGAGGTTTCAAGAGACGGAGAGCGTTGTTGATGAGCTTACAGCGCTACGACGTGCGTGGTGGCCATGGTGTTGAGATGGCGGCCTTAACGCGTCGATGAGGAAGGAGGGTGGCTAGACGGAAGGAGGACGCGATGGCTGCTGAGACGCGGCCGTGATGAAGAGAGAGAGGTGATTGTGAGTTCAAAAGCAGGCAGGAGAAGCAGTCTGTGTGTGAATGAGGTGGCGGATGCCTGACGGATGGTGATGGTGCGTTTCGTGAATGCACGAAGCGGCGTGTGTTTGTTTGCAGGGGGGACAAAGTTGAGGCAGGGCCCGTCTGCCTCGCTCCGGCCGCATTGCTCCTTCCCTTTACGGTGGAAATTAACACGCGTCTTGGCGAGGGAACGTGACGCGCCATGATGCTCATCATGTACTTCACCGTCCATCAACCTGTCTCAAGTATCCTCGACACGATCAAGACCTCCGTCGACGTGAAAGGCCATCCATCATGGCTGCGATCGACACGGCAGTGACTGCTGGCCAACACTCTGTCACCGAACCGCGCATTGTCCTCTTTTGATGATCGCTCTAGCAGACTGATTCGAACAGCACCTGGGTTCGCCTGCGAGCAGTCAGACGCGTGCCATCACCGTCTCCCAGAATTCCAAAGCGGACGGTGCGACTGTGCCTCCCAGATCGCCTCGGCGCGTTCAGAGACAGGCCTTGATGGGCGCTCAACCCGCATCATGGTTCGTTCAGTCGAGGGAACGCCCAACAACCGGTTTCGCAACGTGCCCAACTCGACGGGGAGACCGCGTCGTCGGTTCTCGAATATCTCCAGCTCTCCAAGCAGCCAGTAACGCGCGCGACAAAGCCAGCAGGCTGTGCGATCTCAATCGGAGATGGAACACACGGCCTGATCCACGAGACCAGAACTTCACGAATGCCATCGACTATCGCCCAAGTCCACGTCGTCGGTTCTCGAGTATCTCCAGCTTTCCAAACAGCCGGCAAC